GTGTGGCTCCAAGCTCGGCTGTGGCGGCGGCTGGAGGGCATGGTGCTGCTGCTGCTGCTGCTGGTGATGCTGCTGCTGCGCGTGGTGGTGTTGCTGCATGCTGGCCGTCGCGCTGCTCGCAGCGAGGCAGAGGCAGAGGAGGGCGAGGCAAGGCAAGGCAAGGCAGGCAGTCTGTTGTTTGCAGAGTGAAGACGGCCGGCTCGTCTGTCCTGCAGCATATACAACTTCGCGTCACACTTCCTCCCATAGCGCGATGGGTTCAGCACTACTGTCCGAGGCGTCGAGCGGGCAAATCACACGCGCCCAGGCTAAAGTGCCCACCGCTAACGCGCTGCCCGAGCCGACTGCTGAGTCGGGCGATGTTGTGCAGCGCGCTGCCGTCGCCGTCCACATCCTCCGCTGTTGCTGCTGCTGTCCGTCGGCGGCGAGTGGGAGGGCGCGTGTGCGTGTGCGGCCGTCTATCGCGCCCTCACCTTGCCCGCCCACCATCACCGCGCCGCCGCTGCTGCTACCACCGGCCGTGTGACGTCGGCGCGGGCACACGCTGCGCTGCTTCTCCATCGACAGCCGCACTTCGCTTCGCTCTCTGCTCGGCTCGAGTTCTCGAACCAGCACGCGGTGGAGCCATGACCTGTTAGCGCCGTCGCGGGCCTGCTGCCTCGAGGCTCGAGCACGACTTATCCTTGTCCACCACGCCGCCGGTCCTGGTCTTCGCTTATCTTCCTGCATGGGTGTGGACGGCGCACCGCGCACGATTGCCTCTCCCTGCGACCTTCCAAGCCCTCCATGCTCCGGCACGCGGAATTCGGCAGCCTGCACACGGCTGATTTGAAAGCCTAGACGCTGCCACATGAACAATGCCTGCCTGCACTGCTGCTCTGCAATATATCGGCCTTCCCCTCCTCCAGCAAGTGGAGGATAATCCCGACGCGAGCCAACCGCTGCGTGTCCAAAGGTCACTGCAAGCGAATTCCTCCTCGGTGCAAAGAAGTGGCGACCTGCATTCACATCATCTCATCGGACGGCTTAAGCGTGATTGGAGCGGCTCATCTATCTCTCGCCCTTCATCCTTACGAAGACGGCAAAATCACGCGTGCAACTCCTGGCGTAAACATTGCCAAATGTAAGCGCGATACGCCTCATACTGCTCAGTCGAGAGGAGTGAAAATGGGTATCTATTTGGCACATCGAGGCTACAACCTCCAGACGCACCAGCCAGTTGGCCAAGTGCCAGCTATACCTCAAGTCCGCTGTGATGCTGATCATTAACCTCGTCTCGCTGTTGTCTCCATCATCGACGGAGGATTGGCCATTCCCGTCTCCCAGCCGTTGTTGGCCAACGACTCCAACATGACCGTCCAATCCGAATCAGTCATTCCGTTCATTATGTCATTGATACCATCGGTTGTCATACCAGTGCCCATGCCTCCTGGTGTCATGCCCGTATTCACATTGTCTGTCCAGTTTTGCGCGAAACCACCTGACTGTTGAGCCGTATACGTCGAACCTGCTAGTGTGCTCAAATCAAAGTCCGCTAAAGACGCAGGCATTTGAGCTGAATCCGTGTGCATCCCATTGTTGTGCATCGATTGGTGCTGCGGTGAATATGAAGTCGATGATGTTCCGTTGTGATGGGAGTGCGTGCTCGAGCCCGGCGTCCTCTGATCACCGCTGGCATCGGGACTCGTGTCCATCTCCACGACGAGACCGTGATTCGGACTTGGATACATGGTGGAGCCACTTATCGAGCCAGGTGTACTTCGTTGCCGATTCGGGAGTTCAAAGTGTTGCGCGTTGGACCCATTGACAAATCTACCATTCCCGCCATTGTTCATGTCGCTGACCTCTGGAGAGTGCGACTGCTGGGACATGACTGGAGTTTGATACACCGCGAGGCCATGGTCACCAAACGTCGGACGAGCAGTCGAGTTGGGCGGCAATCCCATTTGAGCGCAGCTAGGTGATCGATATGGCGCGTCGTTTTTCAATGGAACTTGTGCTCGAAGTTGTCTGAGGTCCTGAAGCCTAGCACCTTCCAAGTCGATGTCCAATTGAACCAAGAAAGATTCCGTGAGCGGGTTCTTTCGTTTTATGGCGTGCATGGCCGACAGCAGGAACTGCAGACTCGCTCTGACCTGTGCGTCATTTGATCGAGCTTTTAGATACTGTACAAAAACGCGAGCCGCCACGTAAAGGCAGAATGGCACGAAAGCGTTCGTCTGCGCCAGTGTCAGTAGGATGTTCAGCAATGCACGTAAAAGAACGGCAACGCACAGCAGCGAGATCGAGATGTGAGATCTGTCGCATTATGTTGGCGATTTCAGCGGCCGCAGTCACACATCGAACTTTGCACTCGGCCGCAATCCGTGGAGGCATCCGATTCTTCTCAGCTTTGAAGATAGCTGCTTGGTGCCTGCATTCACATCAAGTCAGCAGGCATCTCGAGCATGTATTCACGACTGAATGACATGTGAAAAGATCTCAAAGGCGGCATTATAAACCTCCAATGATGCGGGTGGGCTCTCGACCAACGGATTTACGTACAAGCAGATGGTTGAGGTGTGTATGTTCATGTTCTGGGAGTGTTTTCGTCAGCAGCGTCCAGGCATTTACGAGAATGGTCGTTGCGGGCATACCACGAAGACTGTGTTGGCGTTATTGAGACCTGCAGGTAAGCGCAAGGAATCCGGCAGGCTCAGAGCTATGTTTAGTAGCATATTTTCAATGCTTCTGTGTCGTTTCCAAAAGTTGCCGTCGAGATCACCTTCGCGATCATCCGCATCGGGCCGGTGCAAATGAGTCAAGTTCTTGCCGAACAGACATGCCATAACGACTACTCCTGCAAAGGGAGTCAGAGTCGAGGTCGCATGGGGCTCCAGGGCTTCAGGAAGTGAAGTTGTCCTCGCCGGTCTGCTCAAATCGTACGCGTCCTCGTCTGCCGGCAGGTTGGTCAAAATGTCGCGTTCTTCGATCGCCATGGGCCAGCCGGTCCCTATTGAGCTATAACGGTCAATGCAAAAGCACATCCAGAACGTCCTACGCCTCTCTTCTCTCTCGGTCCAATCTTTGGGCGGTGACAAGCACTGTTTCACATCCAGGCCATTTCCGTCCTGTACATATCAGAAGCGTGATCAGTAACATGTGTAGATGCCAGGTGCATATCCATCGTTATTACTCACCATTCTGTGAAGTCCCATCATGAGAGCCATACGGGAAGCACGGCCAGAAGACATCCATGCTCTGGGGAAATACATAAGTTTGAACTCGTGAGTAGCCAACAAGGCCCAGGCCTGACAATGTGCGACAGTGATCAAGCTCTCGCCATGGCCTTTCATTTCGTCTTGCTGAATATACTTTCGTGCTCGTTGGTAAAAGTGCTCTTGCAGAGCTTCGTATTTGTCCGTGACTGCAGCGGCACTCGCCCACATTGCATATCGTAAGCATATGGGCGGTCTCATGTGCGGCGCGAGGTTCATGGCGGCATAGTATCGTGGTCGGTGTATCATGGGCAAGGACGGATGCACTTTCTCGAAGTACACTTGGTTCAACTCGTCAATCACATCTTGGGTGGGCAGCGGCTCTTCCAGACCCAGTCCGATCATCTCCCAAGGGAATTGGTCTTCAAAAGAAGCATTTTGATCATCTACTGTAGCTGCACCCAGCATTGGGTTGTCTTGTTGCGTCTGAGAAGGCATGTCGCGTTGCGCCATCGTGCGTCCAGCCTGTGCCGCGTAATTGGTTCCTAAGCCAGTACGATCGTAGTCTGGAAGCGTGCTCTTTCGTCCGTTTGGCGCAGCCACGGGCGGCTCATCCTGTGTCTTCAAAAGTGTCTCTACCTGCGCCAACCTCGCCTCTAGGGCTTTCACATAGCCCCTTTTGGGTCCGGACTTCTTTCGCACCTCGTCGTAGGAGCAATCATGCTGCAATCGGGCACAGGTGCCGCAGGAGGGTTTGGTGCCATCGCATTTCAACTTGCGCCTGCCGATCAAGTCAACCACGGCCGTGGGGATAGAGCAGCCAGCGGACACGCTGGGAAGAGGTCTGAGCCGACTCGCTGCCACTTACTTCCTACACAGCACGCATGCTATGCGCTTCGGCTTCGGTACCTGGCCGTTGTCGCCTTGTCCTTCTTGCGAACCACGTCGCTCGGCCGGTCGCTCGGCTGCATCGTAGGAGGGGGCGTTCGCGTGTTGCTGAGATAGGTCGTTGAAGAAGCTGTCGTCCTGCGCTGCGCCTTGTCGCTCCGCCATCCTTAGCTTTGTAGCCGCAGCGAGTGGGTTAGATGGGGTCGCGAAGGATCCTATGATGGCGCATGGGCAACGACTGGCCTGATGACTATTAGAAGGGTGATGTCAACGAATCAAGGTGAGACATGCAGTTGCGTGAAGACGTCGGGAATCCGGAGCACACAGTAACCAAGGCCAGCGCTGGTGAGAGTGATGATGGAGTCGACATGGATCCCTCCAGAGAGCGCACGAGAGCCCGACGTTGTTGGCGCATCGTGCTGATCTACGACGCGTGCGGCTGAGGATGCCTGGAATCTGGTCGAATCCAATGAAGAGCTCGGAGCAGCGCTGACAGGGCCTTCCGGCAGGGCGATCCGTCTGCGAAACACCCTTTTGCGACGGCACATGGCGAGACACGTAGTACAACACGATTGACTGGCTATGCTCATGCTACCGTACCGCTTTAACCAGTTCCTTTCCTATCGTGAGAACAGCACAGCGCGATTGATGAGAGCGCCACCCATCTACGCGTCCATGCCACAAAACTCCATGCCATAAAACAATTCATCGAACATTAAACAACGCCGAATCCAAAACTCCATGCTCGATACCATCAGTGCGACGACCCCTGTCGGCACACCGATACGAATGGGAAGCAGAACTTTAGCTGTTGCGGGAATGCTGTACCCGCCATCATGAACGCCGTACACGATCCAAATCTCAGAAGAACCTGATGAGTTCTAGCGATGCATTGACACATGCACCAATGCCCTTCCGGCATGGACTGATCCGTGGGAGGGGGTCGTAAGCTTCACGACCGCACTGCTGCACGGGTGCAGAGATACGCTCATGACCGAGACGTCTTGCTGTCGAGGTATGTTGGTGCCCACTTCTTGGCCCATTGGCGAAGGACAATCGACGCTGTGCACAAATTAGTTCAAGCACGCACAGCACAGTACACTCTTCATCTCGACTTACCCTTCAAAAACTTCTTGCTGGCATACTTGCGGAAGAACGCCTCGTGCACGACAGGGGCGTGAAGGTAGTCGACCATAAGCTTGAATACTGGCTGGATCTCTCCCTCTGTGTAGCCGGCATACTTGGCCAGGGTGGCGTCCCATTCGCCACGATCGAGCGCGAGACGTGCGAGGTACATAGCCGCCGCAGCCACATGCGATGGTGGGTACTGGAGGAAACGGTGATCGAGACAGGCAATCTCGAGCAGATACTTGCCGAGCGTACGCGTCTGGATGTCGTAGTTGTCGGCTTTGGAGATGCGCCGAAGAAAGTTCATGGGGTTCGGGTATGAGAGGTCGTAGTCGAGGGTAGCGAGGACGAACCGCTCTGCAGACAAGATCTCGGTGTCTTTGAACCCATCGTCGGCAACGTGCACGAAGTTCTGCACGTGAGGCGACAGAACCTCTTCGTACTTGGAGGCGATGAACATGGCCGTGACTCCGACCAGCTGTAGGCGGTCAAGCTGAACCACTTTGCACGAAAGGAAGCGGTCGATGATGTTGACCGCAAGGAAGAGGGTCTCCGGCAGCAGTCTAAACCGTGCGTGCACCTCGAGCAGCCAGTCAACCAAGATGCCGCGCATCTTCCATTCCAGCTCGCCTTGGTTCTCCATGTAGTCGGGGTTGGCCATGGTTGTAATCTCGGTCTCACGCATGTAGTCAAAGATCTCATGCACATATTCGGCAACCATGAGTGGGTCGTCCAGGTCTTCGGTATCGAGGTCTTTGGCCTCCTTGATGAGCTCCTCCAAGGACTTCTCTCCGTCATACTCGTCCAGGTCAACGGAGGTACTGACACGCTCAGCGGCCTTGGACTTCATGTCGTCGCGCGCGCCATTCCTCGGGGGTGGCACGTTCTCGACATCGTCCTCCTCATCTTCCACGGTAACAGGACGCTTTGGTTTGGTTGCCGACGTGTTCCTCTTCTTTGGGGGACCACCAGCCGCAACACCAGAGCCACTGGCGGGTCGCTTGAGTTCTGATGAGGCAGCATTGGTGGTTTTGGCGCCGAGGGCAGGACGCGTCGAGCTTGTGCGTGCAGCCGGCTTCTGGATGCCAGCAGGCTTTGCGGCCTTGGAGAGCGTGCCTTTGGAAAGAGTTTCCTTCTTCGCGTCGCCAGTCTCTACCACTTCCTTCTTTGCAACATTGCTCACGTCGCCCAGGGCGGTGCGCTTGCGGGCGCCCAGAGTGCCGGTCGCGGTAGCAGCAGTGGTAGAGCGCTTCGTGGTGAGTGCCTTCTTGGGCGGATCTCCAGCGCCAGCATTGTCCAAAGCAGCGGCTTTGGCACGCGTCAGACGTGTTGTACCGACATTCTCGGCATTCTCGTCAGTCACCGTCCGCCTGGCAGTTCTGGCCTGGGCATGATGTCAGCGAAGGCGCGGAGGGCCACAGAAGCAGCAGTGAGGTGGTGATGAGCACTTACGGGCGGCATGGTTGATGTGAGTGTAAGTATGCGTAACTACGCGTATATTATGGTAGGATGCTGCACGCGAAAGTGCCAATCGGGAAGTGTTTGGGCGTGCTATCAAAACCTTATGTCAGCTGTTATGATGGAACTCGCAGGCCGCGTGTAGACGCGATGGCGCTCACCAGACGTGGCAGAAGACCGGATGAAGCGGTGCAGAAGCAGCGGCCGTGGTGCTCGAGTGGCAGATGGGCGGATGGGATGCTGTGGTGGTGAAGATGCCGCGTGGGAATGGCACAGGCGCAGCGGAATGCGTGCGTGTGTGGTGAGGCCGTAAGATGCTGGCGACAGTGCCCAGACGCCGTCCTCGCACCGGACCGCGTGTCGTTGGCGGAGCGCAGCAGCAGCAGCAGCGTGGTGCAGAGCGGCGATGGCGGTGCTGCGGTGGGAGCGGAGGAAGACGTGTCGTGAAGAGCGTGCAGAGGTGCAGAGGCGGGAAGAAGTCGTGCAAAGCTCGCGTCCCGATGGTGGAGCTGGGAGCTTTGTGTGTGTCTGGCGCTTGCCGGAGAGTCGCGTTTCAATGTTTTCGAGCACGCCCGTCCGTGCGAGATCGAGAATCGCGATGATGCGTCTATCGTCCGCGCGCGCAATGCCACAACGCTCGCGTCCAGCAAATGCAAATGTAAGAGAGCAGCAGTGCGTTGCGAGTCCAACCAGTGCGCGATGACGCCGTGTTCACGTCGACCGCAGAGGATCTCTTCAATCCCGTCGCTGGATGCGTGTTGGTCTCGTTTCGCAGGGCAACAGTAGTCGCGTCGTGGGTCTCAACCTCAGGCATCAGTCGTCACTCACTCGTCCCTTGCCGCAGCAAGCACGGTCTCAGATTCTGCTTGGCGCGTCTTCACTCCGATGCTGCACCTATCCAGCACATCTCGCCGGCATTGAGGTGCGTCGTCCATTGTCTGCGACCGAGACACCAATCGCTGGCGTCGCAGGCCACCATCACACCAGCAATCATGCTGCAGCCGCGGATACGGTCCGTCTGCTCGCAATGCCACTCCCTCCTGGCCATGACCAGGCGAACTTATGCCACCGCCGCCCAACAGCCCATCCAGGCTGCTGCAAGCACGCCAGAAGTGACGTCCTTTACGCCGCCCACGGCATCGATGCCCAGGCGTAACAAAGGTGGATTTCAGCTCAAGACGTACAAGCCGCGCACACCGGGAGTCCGACATCTTCGCCGTCCCATCAATGACCACCTCTGGAAGGGCAAACCACTGCGAAAGCTCACCTTCACAAAACTTGGACATGGAAAGGGTGGTCGAAACAACTCAGGTCGAGTGGTGGTGCGACATCGTGGTGGTGGTCACAGGAGAAGGATCCGAACTATAGACTACACTCGTGCGGAGCCGGGAAAGCATCTGGTGGAGCGCATCGAGTACGACCCGAACCGATCTGCGCATATCGCTCTGGTGGAGAACGTCAAGACTAAGGTCAAGAGCTACATCATCGCCGCCGAGGGCATGCGAGCTGGCGACGTGGTAGAATCGTTTCGCGCAGGCATTCCAAACGAGCTGTTGGCCAGCATGGGTGGTGTTATGGATCCGGGCATGCTCGCCGCTAAGACTGCATTTCGAGGCAACTGCTTGCCTATGCATATGGTACCCTTGGGAACTCAGGTGTATTGCGTTGGCTCGACACCAGGCAAAGGCGCTGTTTTCTGTCGCAGTGCTGGGACTTATGCTACAGTGATCGCAAAGGAGGAAAGGGGAAAGAAGGTTATCGATGTAACTGTTCGGCTACAAAGTGGCGAGGTGCGGAAAGTCAGCAAAGATGCATGCTGTACTATTGGCGTCGCGAGCAACCCACACCACCACTTTCGACAGCTGGGGAAGGCTGGCCGAAGCAGATGGCTCAACATCAGGCCCACCGTGCGTGGTGTTGCCATGAACGCAGTCGACCATCCTCACGGTGGTGGACGTGGTAAAAGCAAGGGAAATGTGCATCCAGTGTCGATATGGGGAACTCCGGTAAGTCTCTGTTCGTGCAGCGCGAGGTAGGATTTCATGCTAATTCTTTCACAGGCCAAAGGAGGTTACAAGACTAGACATAAGAGGAATCCTAACAAAAGAGTGGTGCAAGAAAGACCACGCAATCAAGGAAAGAGAAGATCGAAGGCATAGACGACAAGTCTGGCTGTCTTCATGTACAAAATCCGGGCACGTCGAGGAACTCTGCATAGGTATTCGGCTTCACCGTACTCATGCCTTGTGTGCAATCTGTAGCAATAAGCGTGACGATACACTACTATTCCACAGAATCTCAATATCCCCTCAACATTGCGGCCGGAAGTGCCGCGGGAGTGTCGAGTAAACATGCGCTTCACACTTGTGCTGTGTCCGCTATCCCCGATTCATCTGCCTCGGCTCTGACCTCACCTTCAATCTTTCATCAATCCATCTCAACACGTCCTCGCCCTCATGTCGCACTACAGCAACAATGCCGACCATAGATGAGATGTACCCGATTCCTTGCGCCTTCTGCCGCATCAGCAAAGCATATCCGAACGAAACCACGACGAACGTGCCGCTTTCTCCAGATCCAGAGCGTGTGGATCCGCAATGCCATTTAATCCTCTCGACGCCTCTCGTCCTCGCCTTTCTCGATATTATGCCAATTTCCCCCGGACATATCCTACTCACGACGCGCAAACACTATCGGACACTCGGAGATCTATACCCAGCGAGCAATCAGACGTGGTCGTCCCGTCGCGAAGCAGAAGAAGCTCGCGACGCTTCTCGGGCGTTGGGCGAATGGCTGCCGATCGTCAGCAGGGCTCTGTGCAAAGTGACTGGCATCGAAGATTGGGTAGGAACAGCCATTGTGCGAATGATAGCTTGTGGAGTATGTGACTGACTAGACGGCAATGTTTATAGAATGTCGTTCAGAATAACGGAGAACGGGCAGCACAAGTAGTGCCGCACATCCATTTCCACCTTATTCCCCGATACCAGGAAGGACGAGAAGAGACGCAGCGTAATGGCAGAACAGACTGGGGAACGCTCAAGTCATGGAAAATGTTTGGAAGAGGCTCCAGAGAGGATTTGGACGATGATGAAGGTAAAGAGCTGGCGAAGAAGTTGAGAGATGCGATTAGGGAGGAAGTTGAAAGTTCGGTTCCGACATCCAAGCTGTGAGCACGCGAGACTGGATAACCCGCACTTGATGCCTTTTGTCCTTCACGGCAATTGCTCGCACGCTGCTTCGCGTCACGACATTGTCTGACCAATTATGCCCGTGACTCTGGCGCAGGATGGAGAATTACGGCAGAATCTCAGTCAAGATCTACACGGAACCTGAATCAGGACCCACCGAACAGACAGTCCGGACTGGAAATGTACTACAGCTCCTCGCGAGAACAGTCGGCCCGCCATGGCGATGCTATGCGCCATATACTCTTCGAAACTGTGCTCGTTGCAAACATTGAGAACGGCACAATCAGCGCAGCTTCTGTGAGCGATATTCACATTCCTCACTGGATGATCCGCTATGGGAAAGCGAAGGCCCTCAGTTCACTGGGGTATTTGAGCCAACAGTCAGGTCTGTGCCAGCAGTTCAGGCGTGTGGAAGTACGACCAAGCGTTGCAGCTATGCAGAACCTGGCTCAATTTGCAACCCCTTCACAACGTGGATGTTTCAACCAGAACCTGACAAATCGATCTTGTACCTGGAAATGGCTGTCTATGCTCGCAATCAAGCTACACTTTGACGAATGCCCTTCCACCGCTATCCTTTGGTTCGCCGCTGTCGCTCGCCACAGCACCCTTGGTCTCGCATGACTGCTGGCCATTCCGCAGCATCTGCGCTGCGCCATTAGCATTGTCATGCGCATTGAGCGTAAGATAACATGGTCTGCCCAGCTCCACATGCCAATGATACACGCATGGCGTCAATTTATGCAGACGCTCGACATGACGCAAGCACACCTGATGCTCCAACTTGCGTTTGTAAAAGGCATCGAGGAGCATGCTGCAGAAATTCTGATCAGACATGAAGGCCTGCCATACACTATTATCCACCGCATGCTTCGATTCGTCTTCTGCTGTCACGATCCAGTCTACAATGAGTTTGCGAATTCTGGAGCCAGGTCGAGTGTAGCTCGCGATTGCTGGCATTAATCTCACCAACGATGTCAGATCACCCTTTTCGTCGAGTAGACCAAGCAGGCTACTGGTGCAGACATCTGCAAAATCCACAATCTGGAGCCTCTCCCCAACATTGTAGCCGTGTATCAGGCCAATAAGCTGGCTCGATATCTTGTTGTCGACAATATCTTCGGACGCCTTGATCGGTGCTTCACGATGGTATAGCCAGTGAGATAGGTTGCGGAGACCTTGAAAGGGCAGATTCAATTCAAGTCTTGAGATTTGAATGCGGGTTGCAACACCGACCGTTGGTTCAGTGAGTTTCTTCAGAATAGGAGACGATGCGAAGAGCAGCTTTTCATGAATATGGAGATGTGGTCGCAGTTCTGGTCCGTCACTGCTGCTACTGACGACTGTGACGATGGGGTCGGTAGTGCTAAGCATGTTTGTGAGCTCACTTGCTTCTAGGTCTCTCAGATAACTTCCCACCTGATGTTCGTCATTGTGGCGGCCTCGTAATGCAGGTTCCGTCTTATTTGCGGAAAGATTTTGATAATGGATGCGTGAAATGTGAGAGCATGCATATATTCGTGATTTGATGCACGAATACAATAATGCCACGATCGTCGATTGCCAGTTGTTCCAGTGCCTCGCCAACATACATTGATGTGATCTCACAGATGGGCTATTCACTGCCTCCTCGAGTCTGCGAATTCGACCGAGCTCTTGTCAACCCGCTCACTTTCAACAAGTAGCTGCATTATGAAGGCTGCTCGTTCTCACGCAGAAGAATAAGTGCAAAGTGAATATGCATTGATTATCACAATGACTCCTGCTTGGAGAGCTTCGAGTGCAAATGAAGCTGGAACGTGACTGGAACTATCGAAATGAGACTGAAGTGAGCTGCTCAGGCATGCAGATGCGTGTAACAATAGCTCGCAGCAGTGGAAGCCTGATCTTAGTTGACAGAGCATCGTAACCTCTCCTCACTTGAGATATAAACTACATAAGCTCTTCTACCCCCTGGATAGGTTTGGCTTTCGCCTTTCAACAAACAACTTCAACTCAGCTGGTCGGTACCACGTTAGCTACAATGCGGGCAGGCCTTCTCTTCAGGGCTGTAAGCGACCAATCTCAAGGAACCAACTCTGCCAATCTCTTCGCCCCTGCGGCCGCTGGCTCGTCAGATAGGTCGAGACAATCTTATCGGCCACCGCTTGCCATTGATGGACAGAAGCTCAAGAACGCGCTGAGCTGGAGCAAGAAAGAAGACAGCATCTTTACGTTCTTCACCCCGTCCTTGCTCTTCGCGATCGCAACTGCTTCAAAGAGAAAGTACAGCGGAGACACAAACATCAAGCTTATATGCTTTGATGCATCCAACGCGCGGACGCTGCAGGGCGAACGAGTAAAATTCGAGCTGGTGTCGACCTTGATGGAAAAGCTGGACATCGCCATGTACAGAAGCAACAAGGCGCTCAAGGAATTCTCGGATGTGATTCTGACTACAGCTTGTTTCGTACCTGGAAACGATGTACGGGTCGCTCAATTCGATCAAATAGAGCTGCAAGGACTCTATCAGCTCTATCCATATCTGGGGGAGAATCGATACCGCGCGAGGCCGAAGCTAAGTCGTGTCATCGAGAACGCACGAGGTTTCGGCTGGCAGAGCCAGCGACCGCTGTCTTTGCAAAAGATCGGTCTTGCTGCTCAGCTCGCAGCAGTATTCATCGGCGCTTCCAACAAGCGGATGCACTCGACCAGTATTGAGCCACGCCTTCTGGCCTCCTTCCTTGGTTTGCAAAAGCGACACTTCGCAGACAGTGCTTTGATGTGTTGGCTCGACAAGTTTTCCCAGGAGGTCATTGAGATTGACGGCTGCGAGGGTACAAAGCCCGATTCTTTTTGCCACAGTTCTATTCCAGAAGTTCTCCAACAGCAGGAGCTTATGAAAGTGCTGAACAACAGGCAGATGCTTGCTAGTGCACTTACCAGTAACTGCGCAGTCGCAACAACAGTTGTGGATTATGAGGCTCACGAGTTCGAAGAATGGCAATCGATGAACCATGCTCAATATCGGGCTGAAAATCCGAGGGATGGCAGCAATGCGGGCAGGAGTCGAGTAAAGAGGAGGCTGCGCGATAGAGACGATCGCCCATTCGAAAGACGCCCCCGCAGAGAATATGCCCCCCGAGATCGCGTCTCGAGGCCAAGAAACCACGAAGAATCTCACATCTATGGTGGTCGCAGTGTCCTGGCAACCAGGTTGGAGCGTGCGGATGGCCACAAGTACCGGCGTGAGAGACGTTACGAGCACCGCCGCCACTGAAACACTTCAGAGTAATGCGAGGACTTTGACGTGGAATCGAAGCGAAGAGCAAGCTGAAATGTCGAGACGGAATGGGATTTCTGAGTGGAATGGGAGGTCGAAGGGGCAGGCGCGGTTAAGGTTGACTAAGACGTTGATGCAGCGGCCAGAGACAGGTAGACACCCCAGACCAGACCAGCCACAGAGCCGAAGAGCATGCGTTGCTCGAGCGGGATCACAGTGAAGCTGAGAATGCTCACAGCAGGCCAAAGTTTCTGACCGGCAAGGGTCATTGGCCAAAACTTGGTGTGAACATCGTTGGAAATGGATCGCATATCTTGGCCACGGAGGAGTGCAATGCCCGCGATGAACAGGACGGTCTGGCGGTCGTCAGCGAGTGCGATTCAGGCATGCAGGATACATACATTTACTGAAGCGCCAATCGTCTGGTCTAGGGTGAATTTGATTGCCGTGTTCTTGACACTCAATTTCTTTGCTTCATCATTTTTTGATCCTGTCTGTCCGGGCCGCCCTTTGCTCCTGCCGTCGGCGTTGCGTCGATGAAGAGCATCGTCAGTGGTATGCGTGCCTGTACTGTGTCCCCTAGACTTCTCGTCCGAAGGTGTTGTTGTCGTTGGGTGATCGGCTTGGCCAGGATATGCGGGAAATCGAGCTTCCAGCCAGGCTTGCCACAGGCAGTTTGGAGGGCATGCGAGCATGGAGAAGACGACGAATTGGAGCAATTCCACGACGTTGATGCTTATCGGAGACTACGTCGGAGCTCGAGTCAGCCTTGTTGCAAGTGCAGCTGAAGGTGGAAGCCACACACCTGCGTACGCCAGGCGGTAAGCACTTGGGCTAGGATGTTGGAGACGGCGCTGAGCAGGCCGGCTTGGATCGTCGACGTGACAATGGCGGAGGGCATGGCGGGCCTTCACTGACAGCCGTTTGCAGGAGATGAGCAGAGGGACAATCTAGTCGAAGCTTGTGATATCGTGTCCAGGAACAGAGTTCAGTCAAGGCACGACGACAGGGCTACGTCATCGTTGGTCCCGCTCTGATGAGACGTTGAGTGTGAAGCAAGTGCAGACAAGCATCGTTTCAGGAGGGGAGGGGGTGGCGACGGCGGTGAGGAGACAGTCAGCGGTGGGGACAGCGCGTCTTGGGAGCTGCAGACGCGGATGTGCGTTGTAGCGACGAGGACGTGACGGCGGACCAGTGCAGCGCGATGATGCGTGGATGCATGCTGGTCTCGGCTAGAAGAAAAGCGCCGACTGGCCTGCGACAGGGCCACCATCCTTTGGGCACGTCTTTTCCACGCACCAGTCAGCGGGAAACAGACATCGCGTACACGCGACGCAGCGGACAGCAGCAGCAGCAGGGGGCCACGCCGCGCCGCCACCTCCTCCGCCGCCGCCGAGGTCCAGCAAATCACGTAGACGCAGCATGCAGAGTCAGGCCGGGCGCGCTCCTGCGCCGACGTTTGCTCCGTGTCGAAGCGCTCGAGCACTGTGCCCCCGGCGGTTGCTATAAACCCAGATTTGGGGCGACCCTTAATGTGCGCCTCGCAGTAGTGGTAGTAGTAGTCTAGTCTGGCTGTTCGTGAATTCCCGTCCACCGACCACCACTCACCACCCACCGCGCTCCCACTGTTCCTACCCGCCCTCCTGCCAGCATCTCGTCGCCGCCCATGCGAGCATTTCCACCACCGACATCGTGACCTGGCCGTCGTCCATGCCCGTATTTGTATGAGCAGCCCGCCCGCACGTGCACATCGAGGTGGGCATGGTGGTNGGCGAGCGCGGATACAGCTCTCTGCCATCGCCGCCAATATGGAGGTCCAGCGCGACGTGCAACAGCGCCGTCAGGCCGAGCTCGAGGCTCTGTATCGCGCCCGCAAGAACACCGCCTCCGCCTCTGCCTCCGCCGCCGCCCGCAACACCCATCTGGCTGCCCCAAATGGCCGCGGGCACTCGCCGCAGCTGAGCATTTCCGATGACACGCACCACGTCACCGAAACCATCCATTCGTGGTACGACGAGCCGAACAGCATGGAGGAGAGGCACAGCAACCGACCCCTGAGCTACATCAACAGCCCCAGCGAGCGCGAGGGCTTCGAGGCCCGCCGGCAGAGAAGGCATGGTGCTCTCCTTGGAGCTGCCGGTGGTGCCACAACGAGCCCTCCTGCGACCCCGACATCTCCGCCCAGTACGGCTCAAGGCCGCTTCTCACCGCATCGAATGCAGAGTAGCGAGGGGCTCCCTTCGGCCGCTAGCGGCGAGGATATTGGCAATGGGAACCCGTCACTGCAGCGCATGGGATCGCAAGGACAACGATCACCGGGACAGCATTCACCCACGACCCCGCCGCCCCTCAGCCGACAGTCCAGCACCGACATCGCGATCCAGCAGTTTCCGCTCAACGACATCGACTATGAATCGAGTCCAGCAGCGGTAGCGCAGGAACTGAGCAATCTCCAAGCCATCAGACGCATGTCCATGAACGTAGATACCGCCGACCCTGATCTACCATCTTTCGGCGGCATGGGTAGCATTTCGAGCGTAGCCCCAACCGACACAGAGGACGAGGATGATCCGTCGAAACTGTTCTGGGTGCCAGCTAGGCTGCATCCCGAATTGGCACCAAAGGAGTTCAAGACATTTATTGAAGATCGAGTCGATCGAATCCGTCGAAGATCGGGGGACGAGAATAGCTTGTCACCAGAAGGCCTTTCACGGTCAGGCTCAGGGGATAGCAATCTGCGGCGCAAGAAGAGCATGCTGTCACATTCGATCGATACAAGAGGAAATTATCAAGATGGTGCAGAGCGCTTGGAGAGAAAGCGTTCAAAGGGGATGCAGCTGGAGGGCCAGACCACTGTTGCAAATCTGCACGACCTGGAGGAGCTAGTAAATGATCCGGCCCAGTTGATGAGTCGCATGAGCTTGGAGGCCCAGAGGCGGTCATTGGAGTCACCTGCCGAAGTCCCAGCGAGCGAAGATATGCCCATCCTTCCCCCAGCCATGGGCACACTCAAGCGCTCGACGAGAACGACATACCGTCGAGGAAGCCTCAAAAAGGGGGAGCGAGTGCCCTTCTCAAAACGTGCGGCACAGCGGCGGCCTGAGCCTGATGCTGATGAGCAGAGACCGGAATCTCCAGTGTCCGCACACGCTGAAGAACGAGAACCGGTTCTGGGCCTCACTCGCGTCCAGACAGAACCCACACCACCTCCTAAAGACTCTAGGCATGCACATCCTTATTCGAGGCATGATCAGGGACATTCGCTGTCTTCAGAAGATTTGCAAGCAGAACCTTTGGATCGATCGAGCACATCACCACCACAGCGTAACGAACGAGTTTCTTCGGAGGACTCATCCACTGCACAGTTGCCTTCGTCTCAACAGCCGAGACAGTTCCAATCTCGAATAGCGTCTCCTGGACGAACGACTGCCCAGCTGCCCGGCTACGATAACAAGAACCCACTACCCCAGATTGTCGAAACGCTCCCAGATGGTTCAAAGGTCCCGACGAATCACTTGGTACAGGCCATTCCGGAGCGAAAGTCTTCCCACGAAGTACCTCACCAGTTTCAGCGAGGCGGTGCGCATATGCGCCCAGCCCCTGGCTCTAGTCGTCAGACTCCGCAGTCGTCGAAGCTCGATGATCTGTCTGCGAGTCCCTCCCCTCTGCTTGGTAGCGGCAGTATGGGCACAGATTCTCTCACTATGATTCCCACATTCGACGAGAAGAAGAACGAGAAGAAAGAGGGTGGCCGCAAAAGTAGCTGGAAATGGATACTGGGCAGTGACGACAAGGCTAAAGACGACTCCACTGGTGACTCAAGCAAATCGTCGAAGTCAGGTAAGCAGGGGAAAAACTCCACAGACAAGGCAAGGCTGGATGTGCTCCAGAATTCCATTGATGGAACCGTGCCCGCACGTGGCCGGGAAAGCCTTGTGCTGAATCGCGAAGATGTCAGGCTGGAAGAGGAACGCAGAAAGGATGGCAAGAAGCCAGAGTCGTCCAAGAAGGAGAAAGAGTCTGGCCTGCTCTCCGCGATATTTGGCAACAAGAAGAAGACTTCAGATGGAGATCTCAAAGAGAAGAAGAGAAAGGGAGACCGACACCACTCTCCGGACCCTCCGCCGAGGATACTGAAGCCTGACATTGACTACAACTGGACCCGGTTCAGCATACTCGAGGAACGAGCCATTTATAGAATGGCTCACATCAAGCTGGCGAATCCACGTCGAGCCCTGTACAGTCAGGTCCTGCTCTCGAACTTCATGTACTCGTATTTGGCTAAAGTGCAGATGATGCATCCCCAAATGCAGATACCGGCCCAGCGGACTGCTCAGCAGAGGGAGCAGCAGCAAAAGCAGCAACAGCAGCAACAGCAACAGCAGAGTCAGCAACCTCCAGAGTATAACCAGTACCAGCGATGGCAAGAAGTGGGTTGTTCGCAAGCTGACCAGTGGAAGTCATTACTAACAGTTCCTAGGAACAAGCTCGGCAAGATGCCGCAAACCAAGCAGCTTCAGAAACCCGCACCAGCTTCGATGCTGTGCATGAAACTCAGCGTGACAACAACACTACCAGTACAGCCAAGCGGGCTTCTGCTGATGAGTACGCTCGTTCCGGGTCGCACAACCCCCAAGGTTACGCTCGAGCTAATGGCTCTCCAGGTGGGAACAGCTCTTCCAGCGCGTACAAAGTGGCTGATACCAACGCCTATTTGGGGTATCAAAAGGCCAATCGATCGCAAGATCATCACGGTGATTTGTGGAATGACGACGAGCGAGAGGAAGAATTGTGGTGAGCTGGCCGCCACGGCTTTTGGTCAAGTACACACTGTCAGAGTGTGGGAAAGGGAGTCTAGCAGCTTCATGTGTACGATATCATTGCTATCTGCAGAAGCCACGAAACGTATACGCGCCTCTCCGCGCTTGGAACGCAATCGTCATGAAGCAATGGTTTCACCGTCTTTCATTCCTGGTCTTAGTCCATCGTTGCGGTGTAACCGGTGCGATTTGCTGTTGTGCAGTCATATAAACTCTCGTGTGCTGAATTGCGCTTTTCGATGGTAAACCAGCTGGAGCAGCATTACCGCAACAGCAAGATCACCGGAACAAGGTTCGAGGTATCCGTCTGTCATTGCTCCACAACTTGACTGATTGAGCTGTGCTCATGCAGTCTGCCAGGTGTTTGGCAAAAGTCATACTGCTCACCCACTCCACAGCGTCCCAAGCAGATATGTATCCTATAGTGCTTTGAGTTGCTGGCATATTTGACGGGGCAAAAATTGACTCCGCGCTCCGTTTGGTCGTCCTCAAAAGAGGATGTGAGGCAAAAGTAAATTCCTGATCAGGAACAACGACTGGATGAATGTTAGCGATGTTTCACCAACAACGAATGATCAATGAAGCTTACCGAAGGCAGGATTCGAACCTACGCCCCCGAAGGGAATTGATTTCTAGTCAATCGCAGTAACCACTTTGCTACTTCGCCATTGGTGGACAATCTGAACAAATGTCACAATATGGTGGCTCCAAAATTTCCGCCAAGACCTGATTATTCGCTCAATGAGATCACGGAAGGAATTGTGCTCATGGAGCAAGCGAATCAGGAGTAAACAGAAATTCCATGAGCTCAGAACGTTAGCAGAATGGTCTTGCTGAGAAAATCCCGGGCTTCGGCTCCACATTCGCTTTTTCCGATCGACCGAAGCCTCGTTATGGAGCAAGTGTTGCATAGCGGAAAAGTGTTCTCGAAAGTAGATACGACAACGATCATTGACCGATTTGATTAATTCCCGAGAAGCTGTTCTTCTATTGCAGAGTCGATATGAGTAGATCAGAGGTCAAGACGACTTGGAGTTAGACCTCTGAATATATGTCTGTTCTTCTCAGTAGCGGCATCTGAGTCCGTATTTCCTGCACCCTATTCAAATCTATGTCTGCGAATATCACTTCAGGTTCTTCTTGCTTCTCACCACTGCACTCTGCAATAACTTTGCCCCAAGGATCGATGACTACGCTGTGGCCGTAGCTTGCACGTTTTTCGTTGTGCGATCCAACCTGAGCAGCGGCCACCACATAACACTGGGTTTCGATCGCACGGGCGCGAAGCAATGGCATCCACTATGTACAGTCAGCGTTGATGCTTGTGTGACGCCTTTTGAAGTCGAAGACCTACATGAGCATGGCCGGTTGGAATGGTGAAGGCGGACGGATACAGCAGAATATCAGCATGCTGACGCTTCAGAGCCAGCGCAAGTTCAGGAAAGCGAAGATCAAAGCAGATCATAGCACCAATCCTGCCTACAGGAGAGTCAAAAGGTTTCGGCAACACCTTGCCAGGCTCGACCGTGTCACTTTCTTTCATAGAAGGCCCATCTTTGATGTCAAGATCGAAGAGATGAAGTTTCTGATAGCGCTGAGCAATCTGACCTTGTTCATCGATCCAGATTAGAGTATTCTTGATGCGTCCTTGCCGTGCCAGGTCGCCGCTTGGCTCGTGAATTCCCACTGAAATCGGCAGGCGATACTTCTTGGCGTCTGCTTGAAGTCCCAAGACGAAAGGCGATCGATCCACGGATTGGCATAGCTCGAGCGAATTTGAAGATGATGTCCCGATGTAATCACTTGCTTCTGGTAGAAACAGAGCCTTTATTGCTGCGATGCAATAAGTCTCATGGACCTTTGGTGTGTTCAGGCATTGGTGCTACCTTTGCTCCGGCTTCGAAGGCTTTTTGCAAGACCTTGCGACACTGCGCCAGATTTTCCGCCATGTTTCCCGTAGATGTGATCTGACCTACGCATATACGAGCCATGGTGGATGAGGTGGAGTGTGTGGTATGTGTTTGAGTCCTTGATGCGTGATATGGCAACGGAGTGGCTTTGGCAAGGCACCAACTGAGGCACCCATCCGATGCCCGCGGGTCGTGCCGTCATCCGCGCGCGCTAACAATTCTGCATCTTCTCCTTCCCATTTCTCTGCTCCAACTTTCCCTTCAGACCAACAACACGCGCCGAAAGCGCAGCACCACCCACTTGGAGCTTGCACACCATGTGGACGCGATGCCGCTGCTGACCTCAGCCTAGCCCGGCAGCGGCACTGGCACTATGTGCCCGACAGGTACGCTTCTGTCCGATTCTACTCCAGCCATTTCGTGATGAACCACTTTTACACGAACAATCCAACTCCTATCAATCATGAAGGTGAGTACTCTGTCCATTGTCTTACGCAGACTCCACATGCTGACGAGAGGTAGGATCAAAACAAGCTCTAGAATTATTCTGATCGGCTTTCAATTGCCTTACTCGCGATGAGTTATGCCTACGCATCTGCTGACCCTTTGGTCGTACAGTTGCTCAATATGGCGCTGCGGATCATGTCCTACATCAAGCACTTCAGTAACTCAAAAGGTACGTTGCATCTTTCCACCCTTCACGCCTCCCTCTCATGTGATGATACTGTGACACGCGAATGGCATTCCTCGGTCGGAAGATACCATGTCGAACCTGTCAACCAATAGTTTCAGCCTTGTCTGATTTTGATTTTGTTCACACAAACTTCTCGTTCAGTTTCATGTGGAACAAGCACTGACATGGGACATAGGTAAATATGACCACTCTTGCACCGCCCATGCCTTCATGATGAGCACTACAACGCAACGGGCGGACAGACTGCCCTCCGAGTCCTGCATTCGCCAAAACGGGGACGTACAATCCTCGTGGATGTTGGGGCGAGGAGGTGCTTGTTGAAAAAGCGTCGACTGATCTACTCACAACATTCTCGCATTCGCCGTGAACGCTAATCAGAGCATGTTGCTAATTTGAGACAGGTATGCCGTTCCGCTTCTTGCCCTGCGAAATGAAGATCACTATTCACACTGTCCGAGCATGGTACATCTAAAGCATGCGCTTCTGCTGTGACGCTTATACACTGAAAATACTGACGCCCTCCTTCTCCTCCCGCTTTCCACGTCGAACACTCTTTCGAAATGTTTTACTGACTTTGGACAGGTATGCCTTTCAACGCTTGTCAGCTTCTCCCCTTTCCGCAGAATGATGATCAATATTCACACTGTCCGAGCATGGCACACGTAACGAATGTGCCGGCGCGATGAAGGCATACAAATGATTTAATGAGGTGTGTCACATCGTCCTGCCATGCACGACTACGAATGCTAACTTGTGTCAGCCTGATCAGCACGTTTTGCTTCTTTGCACATGGCGTTTGCATGTTTTACAGCACTAATTGCGTGTCTTGCACAGGTAACGTTGGTGGCAGTTCGCCAATTTTTGCTTTTCACGAATGGTAAGCCGCAGTCCGATTCAAACTTGAGCACGCTTCGAATGATGTAAATATTCACCCGGATTCATGGAAATACAATGAAGGTTTCAAATCAAAATCTCTGACAACTCCCATTCGTGATGATCATTAAGAGCAACTGACTGAGTGAATACTGATGGTGCGAAAAAACAGTGCCGGTATGCGTTACCCATTTTTGTTCGACCGATTTCGTGATGAGCAACAAGATTTCGCTGTGTTCTTACCGAACCTCATTGACGATTTATTCTTACCTTGGAGACCTGAGCATTTCCCCATCGATTCGCATTGCACGACCGCCACATAGCCCGGTGCATTTGCTGATCATGGCCGAGCAGTCTTTGTTGCTTGCTGCGAATACCATATTGAGAATTGACGAGAAAGCGCTATACTTGGCTAGATATATGGTCAACAAGATATCTTCGAGGTGCAAATCTACAAGTATAAATACCCATTCAAATGTTCTACCATTTTCCAGCAACAAAGGTTGATCAGTTCACATGTCATGGCATTCTGACTACTGACGCAATATCTATCCCCAGTGAAGAGCGTTACATTCCCACTGCAGTACGCATCAACGTGGGGCGAACATCGTCGGCACGTGCTCGTTTTTGCCATATCGCTGATGTGATCAACGTGCTACACCCCGGAACCAATCACGTATACTGACAGACATGCTGGACAGCCCGTGCTCACAGGTGAGGCATTCAACAGTCGTGCGCACGGCTAAATCCACAGATGTGCCAGGCAGTGGGCCAAGTTTAAGGTTGCGTATGTGCGAGGATGGGGGCACGCACGTGCCCGTCTCATTGGCTCCGTGGATTGGGAGCTTGCACTGCGGTCGTCTGCCCGCTGCGATCCTCGAATGATGGCACGCGACACTGGAAACGTGCTTGCGCTGCGCGCTCTCTGCTGCCACCATCATGTCTGCTCTCGCGTGGGCCTCATCTTCGGCGCATGCACCAGCACATGCAGCTTCCGCGCAGTCCTTGTCTATTAGAAGCTCCTCGCCGTCCTGTCGCCCACCGTGACTTCCTACGCCGCCCACCTCTTCCACGCCCGCCGGCCAGTCGAGTCGAGCACGAGACCGACTGCTAGCATGCCGCGGCCGCTTCCACCGCCCACTCCGGGCTCCAGCAGCGACATCAGAGGCAAGGACGGCTACCACGCTGGCCCAACGCTGCATCTCCCGCCAACGGCCTATCAAGACCACGTCGACCGTGCAAGCACCGCATCAGCCACCCCATCTGCCAATGGCTCCGACAGCTCCTACCGTCCTCACTCGCCCACATCGCCGGTCGAGACATCAAGGAAAAGGCCGGCACCCAGCAGTGGCCCTGTCGTCACAAAAGATGACTTCACCTTGCCGCCCCCGCCGACGAGGTCTCGCAAGATCATTCAGATGAAGCCCAAGGACAGTGAGCACCAACAAGCGCCCTCGGCTGCTGCTTCAAAACAAACGGCGGCGGCTGAAAGTGCACCTACTACAAAATCTGGCAATAAAAGGAAGTCGGCGAACGCGGGTACAACAGCAGCGGGTCGCAAGATCGCCAGAAAGACTGCACACAGCCTGATCGAGAGGAGGAGGCGGTCGAAGATGAATGAGGAATTCGGAGTGTTGAAGGACATGATCCCTGCGTGTCAAGGGCAGGAAATGCACAAGCTTGCTATCTTGCAGGTATGGCCATAAGTCTTGAGGAGGGTGCAGAGTGTCGCTAACATGCTGAGAAGGCGAGTATCGAGTACCTTAGATACCTGGAACAATGCGTGGCAGATCTGAAGGCCCAGAACAATTCACCGACAACATTTCGTGAACCACCGCCACCCCGGAGACGGACGGACGCAGTCGACGAGGACGACGACGAGGAAATGGGCGATGATGCCCGGGACCGCGACGACGGGACATATACGCCAGCGAGTGCCAGTGTGAAACAGTCGAACTCGGTCATCTCCCTGCCATCCCTTTCGCAAATCACAACGACGACGACCACGTCACCGTCAATCTTCCCCATCGGAGCAAGCAACAGGCACTACTCCATTTCATCCGCTGCCAGCAGCTACTCTCCCTACTTCCACTCCAATCAGGCTTCTCCGGCTTTCGGCCCTCAACTCACTCATGTCACCACAGCTCCATCCTTCGGCAATGCTTTTGGTCTCGGTAGCCCGGCATTGAAGCCCATCGACTCAGCTTCACATCTGAGGCATATTGCTGAAGGGGCGACTGCTGAGCTGTCTGATAAGCAACGAGGCTCTCGCATTGGACGGAGCGAACATGAATTGGATCAGGAGGCTACTGCCGCATTGCTGATGCTCAACCATGACCGACGGAATTGGCGCGCTGCGCAGCACGAACCTGAACCAGCGCGATCTTCCAGCACGGGAATGAGTGTCAAGGATCTGCTGAGCAATTGAAAAATTGTAGCTTCGATTTATTGTTGTTACGAGAATATAGACATGTACTGGACGTGTTGTCTTACGACGGAGAGCGGATGCCTCATTGGATCTTGAGTCTCGTGGACACCGGTAATGTGCGTGAATGTACTTCGCCAAGACAAGGAGAGCATGGTCTCTCTTTTCTATCCTTCCTGGTGATTTGCCGCGTTCGTCCAAGCAATCGCACTGCTAGTTCAACATCTGAGTGAACTTGTGTCGGGTCCAAGCGTAACACGCCACCTTCTCACCGAGTGCTTTTGCGTCCAAAAGCTTCTTTGTGTGAACCTACTCGTCGTGACTTGTGCTGTCCGGGGATGCTCGAGCTGGGAACGTCTTCAGGTGCTCCTCGAGATACGACACGTCATGCAGTTGGCGTGTTCACACGATTCCAAACTTGAGGGCCGGGCCCAACATCGGAGCGTGTAGAGTGGAAGGTTTTGCTAGAGTACTTGTTGCGCGCGGAGGAGACGCATGGGCAGTATGCACCGTACGGTCTGCAGGCGATTGGCTCGAGCGGATGGAGTAGCATCCCTGAAGTGGCGTGGCACTGTTGCTGGGCGGTCATGGCGGAGCTCGACCCGCACAATCTTGGTTCATATCCTAGGGACGGCTTTCGATAGCAGTCAAATGATGACACCAGCGATCGGGGAAATGAGCTGATGGTTGGGTTATTCGTCAGGACCTTCATGATGTAAGCATGCCACCACGATTGCCAAATCCAAAGCCGCCTCGGCCGCTCTGGTCTGGCCCTCGAGGTTGTCGCATGGGCTGGTCTTCTTTGGGGACCGTGTTGCTCGGCTCCCGCTTCGTTCGACGTGCCGTATCCTCTGGGTCAAACAACTGTTGATCTCTCGCTGCATTGCGCGCAGGAGACTGTTCAGCAGATGACTGTGGTTGACTGCGACGACTGGTGCCATTGTTCTGCTTCCCGCGTCCTCGTCGATTTCCATCCCGACCCTGGGAGCTCTCGCGCGAGCTTGGAGCCAGGGTCGGCCTAGAGGAGCCCATGATCCTCTCTCTGGCCTCTGCGTACCGCTTCTGCTTCTCTTCTCGTTCAATTTTTGCCTTTCGCTGCCTCTCCTCGAAGTCAGCCTCGCGCTTCTTCCGCCTCTCCTGCTCGCTGTCTTCGTCGTCGTCGAGACTCAATCCGCCTACACCACTCGCGACATCCCGTTTCGCTATCGTTGGGGGCTTCCGACTCAAAAGGGTGACGGGCACCTGGTATTCCTGCTTCAGTGGTACTACACCTTGAGCTTCGAGCCAGTGATTACGAGCCGGGTTGTCGGCCGAGTCCCATATCAGCTTGTTCTGCTCGATGTGCTGCGCTTTACGCGCCGACTTGGACAGTTTGGGCGCGGGTTTATCTTCGATAGGCTCTGGGTTCTGCGACACAAATGTCAGCACATGGCCAGTCGTCGATTCCCATGGTGGGGCGCGAGGGAAGTGCGTACGTCGGCCGCCTTCTCCCAGTCGTCGTCCCAGGCATTTGGCACGCTGCTGCTACCGCTCATGGTGCATGTAGCGTGCGGCAGTCAGCCTGCGGGGCAAGTGTTCCTCGGAGACGTTGCTGCGTGCCGCCAGTCAGTCAGTCAGCCAGCCAGCCCGCAGGTTGCTGTTGCTCTGACTTTCGAAGAGTAGGCCGGCACGGATCATATTGCCTCCGATGCCTCGCGTCGAGCCGTTGACCACTCAGCCGGACTCACATGTCAGTGCCATCTGCAGCTGCGGCCGGTCGATTTGTCACGCATCCTGCGAAGATCAATACTCCCACGCCTACATCGCAGTTCTGTGATCTATCATCGCTTCGATGCCATGACGTGGCTCGCACTGTGATGGATGCCAACACGGTCCATGCGGCTCTCGATCCGATCTGCCATCAGCGTTGCGCTACCAAACCTTCCAGTCTTCAAAGAAGAGAAACCACTTTGTCCCGGTCTCAGCGACGACTGTCCTAGACCTGATAACCATCTCCAACTCTGTTCCGGCTAAGGCATCATCGCACGTTACTCGGCCTCGTTGTTGTATGGCAGCGATGCAGTATTCAGGCCACCAGCTGTTCCTGTACGAGGCGACTGGCAATGAGACCTCTGGTCGTCCATCGGTCTGGTGCAATCGGCTGACATCACTTCCGGTATCATTCCAATTGCAATGCTGGCTAATGCGAGCTTACTTTCAGGTACCACTTGCACTAGCCGTGTCCAGTCAAGAACTGCACCCAACGACCCAAGCTTGTCGATGCCACATTGCTTATGCTTCACTTCACGATCATTAAGTCTCATGCTTGGTCGGAGCCGACTCCTGGTGCCCGCGGTTGTCCTAGCACGCTTCTTGCCAGAGCCTGCGCGCACGATCTTCGTGGCTGTCGGCGAGAGTGCATGTATTCTAAGGTTTCTCCTCCGAAGCCTATGGAGACTGTGGCTTCCAAATAATTATGGTAAGCGTCTCGGAGAAGTAGTGTGAGTTTTGGCTCAATAAACCCTGTCTTATGTCAACGATGACTGCATACATCAGTGCTTGAAGACCAGAGCCGTACTGCCGTTGAGGAGTATATGAGCCAGGCCACAGTCGCTGACATGCTCGGAGAGCAACTTCACGTTCACACGACGCATATCCACGCAAGATGAAATCTTTCACTACCGTCGCAGTTGTTGCTGCGATTGCTGCTACAGCATCGGCTAAGAAGTGCCAAAACATCACGGTCCCAGTGACAATATCTGCCCGGAACGGCTACTTCGATCCAGCTATCGTACCAGCGACCGATATCGATGTCACAAACATCATCCTAGACCTGGGACAGCTGGGAAAGAACTACACCCAAGCGCAGCTGAAGAGCGTGGGTCTTTCGAGAACTGGAATTGCGAAGCACTTTTTCTGACCTCTCTCATAGTACAAGACCGTACACGGCTCCTATGAACTCGCTACGACCTACTGCGCGCCAGACAAGGGAGACCCTAATGTAGTGCAAGTGCTTACTCATGGTGTCGGCTTCGACCGCAGGTGTGTTTCGGCCTATGAACTGAAAGAAGTTGGATGATAATTGACATGCGATAAGCTACTGGGACTTGCCCTTCAACAACTACAACTACTCATACGTGAATGAGGCAGTCGACCATTATGGCTACGCCACCTTCTCCCACGACCGACTCGGAATTGGAATGTCATCGAAAGGTGATCCCCTCAATGAGATTCAGGTCCTGCTCGAGGTTGCCGCTCTGAAGGCTCTCACCGACAAGCTCCGAGCCGGTCAAATTGCCAACGTCCCCAAGTTCCAAAAGGTCCTGCACGTTGGCCATTCCTTCGGATCCATTATGAGCTACGCCCTGACTGCTCAGTACCCTACTATCTCTGATGGTCTTGGTCTGACTGGCTTCTCTCAGAACGGCTCGTTCATCGCCTCTTTCTTGAACGGAAACAACTTCCGTCAAGCCAATGCGTTCCCACAGTTCGCTCAGCTTCCCAAGGGCTACTTTGCCCCTGCTTCGGAGCAAGGCGTGCAACTCAGCTTCCTGTCACCAGGCGACTTCGACCCAGCTCTCCTTCCAGTATTTTTCAAGACTGGCCAGCCCGTCACCATCGGCGAACTTCTTACGCAAGGCGGCGCAGCTGGTGCTCCAAACCCAATCAAGGCGCCTGTGCACATTGTCACCGGCGAGCGCGATATTCCATTCTGTGGCGGCAACTGCTTCTCCGCGCCGACAGGTCTCCAGAGCATCCCCGAGTCTTCCAAAGCTATGTTCAAGAACGCGTGCCCATTCAAGGTCAGCATCATCCCACGAGCCGGACATGGATTGAACCAGTTGTACAGCCACGTTCAGACATACAAGGAGATCTTGGATTTCTTCGTGCAGAACGGTGTTGCGCCGGGTGGATACCAGCCACCATACGGCGGAAAGCCTCACGGATACTAATGCTAGCCAGAGAAATGTGACACGACAGACGACGATACCAGTGAAAGTAATGTAATGTCATCGCAAGTAACCTAGATGGAAGTAATGAACACGAATTGTATTTTACCCTCATATATCTGCATCCACAAATCGAGGCAAGAGTGCTACATTCCACTGCTGGAATTTTCGAGCGTTGCTCGGCAGCAACTGCGCGCTATTCGCTAGTTTCGCTCGGAGCTCTTCCATCTCGCCAGGAGGGAGTTCAAGTTCGCCTTCGGCAAGTGCTTGTTGGTTGAGCGCTCCAATGTCTTGCGATGATAAATCGCAGTCTTGCCAGAATATTTTTGCTGCTCGCACGGGTTCTGGTGTTTCGAAAGCTGATGTAGAGACGGTCATGTCTGGCGTGAAGACCCAAAGTTTTAGACCTTGTGAGCTGGGAGTCGTGCTTTGTGCAGTGAACTTTCGAACGCCTTGACACTCGACGGAAGACAGCAGCAAACATGACCACCACTTCTCCGATGCATATGATGTCGGGGCTGGCTGGGTAGACGACGAAAGCGCCAGATGCAACTTGCGTAATTTGTAGCCACCACTCGTGTGGATATGGCCGAGGATGGTGCTACATGATGCACATGCCAGCTGCTCTCCTGCTGTACTGTTACTGTCACTTGAAGAGCGAATCTGAGTTCGAAAGGTCAGTTGGCGTAGAAATGTTGTACATAAAAATGAAGGGAGCGTATGTATCAGTGCTTTGATCCCGTCAGGTCCATGTGCTCCTAGACGTGACGGTGAAACGCGAGACGTAGATCACTTGTTCCACCAGACCTACCACGAAGGCTGGTTCCGGCTTCACAGCGTCGGCTTGATGTTGCACATTTGTATCCCGACTCTCCCATGATACTGACCTCGCGGCCTGACAGGGCCGGTTCTTTTTGTGCTATGTTGGAAGCTTACGTCGAATAGGGAGGGCAAAGGGTTCTCAGGTGAGACGCAACGACCTACCTTGAGACTACAGCAATCTTCCGGTGCGAAGACGAAATCGACAGGATCCACCATGCCCACACCGGATGAGATTGCAAGCATACTGTCTGCAGAATAGCCTTTTACGGGCGCTGTGTGATCATTGTCATGCACGTGAGGTCGATGGCAGTGCCAGAAGTCCATCATCTCTGCCCAATTTTCGGAGGGCAGGTCTTTCCAGACGTGGATTTTGCCGCTCTCGAGCAAGATCTGCTGACAATGGTTGCAGCGGAGTTGCACATCGGCTGTCAAGGAGCGCGCTGTCCACGGCACAACGTGGTCGTCCTGGTGAGCGCCCTGGGTGAGCAGCCCCTGGGAGTCCGATTTCTCCTGAAGTTGCACACGAAAGCTCAAGTCCTTAGTCGGTGCGGCTGGGATGGTCAGAGTGGCAGCATTGTGGCCACCGGGGACTTGGATAGGCAGCTTGATGGTCGCGGTTTCCCCTTCATGGCTGAGCGACATGCAGCTTCCATCTGCGGAGAGGGTCGCGCGGGTCTCCTTGTTGGAGACCGTTGACAAAACTGCTTGGATGGAGATGGCGCGAATGTTGAGCAAATGCTCGGCGTAGAGGTGGATTGTCATGGCAAGATGGACCTCATGTTGTGTAGAGACTGCTTTGTGCAGACGAAAGAGACGCGGTTGTGGGGGAGGTGTGGGGTGTCGGCGGCGGGGAACACGGGAGTCCGACAGCCGGGCTGGGCATGGTTCGATGGCGCCAATGCAGGGTGCGGCTGATGAGAGAAAGTGAGGTGTGTCGAGGGCTGGCCATTGCATACGACTGACTGTTCGACGTCCACTCCCTCCCACAACGCAACGACAATGGCGACCACGAGAGATTCAGGCGTACGCTCACTGGGCCACGTCCTGGTGACGGGAGGAGCAGGATTCCTGGGCAATCACATCGTCTCGCTGCTGGCCTCACGGAAAGCATGTGCCCGCATCACGGTGCTGGACCTCAAGCAGCCAGCGAACCCCATTGCAGACGTCGACTACCAGCAGGGCGATCTTACCGACTACGATTCCATGAGCAAGTTCTTCGGCGCCCGCAAATTCGATGCCGTCATCCACACGGCCAGCCCGGTCATGACAGCCAGCAAGAACCGCGAGGTCATGCGTAAGGTCAACGTGGAGGGCACAAGGGTTCTGTTGCGCGCAGCACAGGAGACGGGCGTCACCGCATTCGTCTATACCAGCTCCGCCTCGGTCATCCACGATACACAGAGCGATCTGATCAACGCCGACGAATCCTACCCATTGATCATGGGCAAGGACCAGCCCGAATACTATACCACTACCAAGGCCGAGGCTGAACTGCTCGTCCTGGCTGCAAACCGCGCTCCACAATATCCCAAGTTCTTGACGACCGCCCTTCGTCCCTCAGGCATGTTTGGCGAGGGCGATGTGCAGCTGATTCCGCCCGGACTCAGCGCTTACTACAAAGGTCAGACCAAGATTCAGATTGGCGACAACGAAAACCTGTTCGACTTTACTGAGATCACGAATGTTGCACACGCTCACCATCTCGCCACGGCTGCTCTGTTGGCAACTTCTGAGCGTGAAGGGAAGGGACTCGCCGCACCTCTCGATCACGAAAAGGTGGATGGTGAAGCCTTCTTCATCACAAACGACGCCCCTGTCTACTTCTTCGACTTTGCTCGCATGTGCTGGGCAGCTGCAGGCGACAAGACGCGGCCAGAGCAAGTGTGGAAATTGTCGAAAGATGTAGGCCTGTTCCTGGCGACGCTGATGGAGTGGATCTTCTTCCTCTTCAGACTGGGCAAGCCGAATTTGACTAGACAACAAGTTCGATACACCTGCATGACGAGATACTACAACATTGACAAAGCCAAGAGGAGATTGGGTTACTCGCCGCTTGTTGGGTTGCAGGACGGGATCAAACGGGGTGTGGCCGATGCTTTGTATCGAGGGGTCGTCGTGGGGCAGCCGCCAGAACTCAAGGGAAAGAAAATACAATAGTACCAGCATGATCTCACCTATTCTGTCGGCTGCATGAAGTATCTATACCAAAAGCTACTTCTATCCTTGTGCACTATTTCCTCTAGCTTTCACTCCACAGCGCCAGCTGTGTACCACCGGCCGTCCCTTCCTCTCCCATGCTCGCATTGCCGCCTGGTGCTCTTGGTCCCTCTGATGTTTCTCAGCCTCAACGACAGCCAGATACTGCCGCTGCACCGACTCCTGATGCGCAGCATCGTCATCCACTAATCCTTGATAGATACGATCGAATCTCTGGCTGATCCTCCCACTGTTCATATCCCCTTTCAACGCCTCTCGCTCTACCGCAACGACGAGTTTACGCCCGTAGAGTGCTACTTGAGCAGGCGTCTTCCTGTAATTCTTCGGCGTCAAAGCTGCTTGCGCTGGCTGCGTAATAGGTATCTGAAGGCGGCGTTCATCGGCTGAGGATGCTCCATCATTCTTCCAAGAGGTTCTGTGCCTTGTGGATGGGCACGCAAGAAGAGGCTGGAGTTCTTCCAGTGCACTTGTATAATCGGATCCAGATAGCTCCGCTCCGCTATCCGAATCATCGTTCCGTAAGTTGTTGGCTTGCCGCGAAGGTCGTTCGTTCTTGCCGGCGCTGGTCATGTCGGCAACGCCGTTGGACGTGGAAGTTTTGGCGCTGACGTTCCTGGTGTTTCGTTGCGGTCGATCTTGCTGACCACCTTTTCGTCGAAATCTTTTTACGATGACCTCCGTGCTTCCTGCAAAGACATCGCTCAATGCTCTGCTTGCTCTTCGCTTTGCGTGGCGGCCAGCATCCGCTCTCATCTCGAAGTCCAACACAGCTTCCTGCTGTTGTGGGACCTTGTGGCCAAACAGGGTTCCTGAGAAGGTGAACTTGCGTCTGGGCGGCATCTCCTGTTCCTGTGCATCTTGCGACCGCGGCAGTCTCGATGTCCTACACGATTCCATAGCGGGTGTAGGGGGCCGTGTTCTCCAATTATTGAGCGAGACTCGCTTCGTGATGGCATTCTTAATGAACGCAATAGATCTCTTCCTCACAATCCACACCATGCCCTCCCGAGCATCATCTTCTACCTCATTCCTGACCTCAGTGCGCGAACTTGATCGATCGGATCCCATCAGAGCCGCATACTCTACCGTTCGGACAAACGGTGCGGCTTTTGTGTCGTGCTTCTGCTGTCCTCCCGCGGCCGATATGCCCCTCGCAGCCACTGATGGCGGCAAAGCATGTCGATCGCGTCTGCAGGACAATTGGTGTCCAAGCGGTCTCTCCTTGCTGTCCACTATCGACGAGTTGAATCGGCTGTCGAGAAAAAGACGCCATGCGCGCTCTTCTTGTTCGAAGACCTTGATGTATTCGTGATATGTCGCCAGCGTCTCGGCAGCGCCTTGTCCATCAACCATCTTGAGTCCGTAACGTTGCTATCGCTGCAGTCTAGCTGTTCCTCTCACGTTCTTTACTTTACCTTGAGCCGATGTTACCGTCCTGCAAATGTAATTATGCACCGTGGTTCTTGAGACGAGATGCGCTTGCTGTTGTAGAGGGCCTATGTCGCCGAAGGTACGTGGAGTTTCTAGACATGAGCGCCCCATGCATAGAGCACGTGTTTCGCGATGATGCAGTAGCTGCAGCTGTGGCTCGCAACTTTGGCCGGTGGTAGCATCAGGGAGGCAACTCAGCTTCGCTGACCACCTGCGAGACAATTATTGGCCGCTAAGGCTGGAAATTTTGGTACCTACCATCAAGGAGTTCTGGACATGCTGGACAGACGAAGAGTAAGCATAATTTGAAAAGTCTGATTGGTTTTCAGTATCTAGCGCAGACCAGTAACGTAACCTCTCGTTCAATCTGGTGTGAAGAAGAGTCGTGTCGATTTCCTCCCAACGCTACGCCACAATTCACCGCCCAAGGTCCAGGAGATGCCGAGCACCTTCTACCGTACCGTTCATAGTATCACATAAAAGTCGTATCGTATCAATGCATCATGCCATGAAAATGGCGACCGCAACCTAGCTGACTTGAAGGTCTGGCCACGTCAAGCTCAAAGTCGTGGGCCTTCAATAAGTGGACTTCGAATGGTCTTCGGTAAGCTCCGGAAAGAGCTCAGCCAGGGCAGCATTGGTGCCACCGTTCGGAAGAGCCGGAGGTCCGTGGAATTGCTGCTCGAAGTTTGCGGGAACATTACCCCAGCTGCTGGTTGTCATGTTAGGGAACATGTCACCAGTCGTCGCTACTGGGGCGGAATTGCTGAAGAGAGTGAAGTCTCCTGTTGTTCCAGCCGAAAAGTCTCCGTAATTATCCTCCATGAATGCGTCTTCGGTGAAGGTCTGCTCCATTTGTGCAGCAGGCGAGATGTGTGTGGCCGAAGAACCCGGTCCGGCGATGCTCGAATCTGGAGTAAAGGCCTGCCAATTGTCAGGAAAGGCGAAGTCGTTGTCGGTGAACATGAAATGAGCTGGCGACGTTTCCCCAAAGGTGCTGTGCTCGTAGTGTGCATTGCTGGAAACACTGGCAGAGGTCCGACGATCGTCGCTCATCGCTGGTGTGATAGGGAAAGCAGACGTCGGAAAGTTTGCCATGTCATTGAAGTCGAACTCGCCGGTGTAGTTCATGTTGAAGTGGCCCAGGAACTCGGATGCTGGTGTGTTGCCATAGGCAGGAGTGTTGTAGTTGCTAGGGCCAGCCACAGGAGGCGGCGCCATTGATGAGCGCCGGGACGTTTCGCTGTACGTGTGAGAAGATGGAGATGGCGCGATTGGTGTAAGTGGAGTGAGCATCGTAGATGCCGGCGATGGTGGAACAGAGCCGTGTGGCAGTCGAACGACTTTCGAGCTCTTGCCCTTTCCATTGCTCTTCGAGCGGACGTAGTCCCAGCCGTGTGCTTTCTCCATGTGCTGCTTGCAGTTGGATTCACGCTTCGAGGTGTATGGGCAAGGCTTGAACATGCAGTGGTACAGTGAAGGCGCCGCCGAGTGCTTGTCGTTCACGTGGCGATCGCGTTCTTTCTCCGTTGGCCAGCCAAATTCGTGGTACTTGCAATCTTGCTCGGAACATTTCCAGGGTCGTTCGTGCGTTTTCACGTGCTTGGTCAGATCACACGGGCGCTTAAACTCTTTGTTGCAGAGCTCGCAAGTGTGAATCTCAGGCTTCGCATTCTTCTTGCGGCGAGCCATAGAGCGTAGAGCATCTTCCTCATCCACGTCGATCGCCGCGCGCTTCATGTTTCCTGATGCTAATTCCTCCTCAGAGATCTCTTCTCCAGTCGCAAGAGAAATCACTTTGCCCTCGGGTGTGGTATGCACAAGCTGTGCCGGCTTGCCATTCTGACTCAAACCGCCATGGAGTGAGACAGTAGAGTCCCTGTTCACGTCGTAGTTAGCACACGGTGCCATTGTTGCTGTTCAAACGACTCGGTGTGTGTCTGAGATGGGGGTGGATGGTAAAGCAATTGGCGGTTGCGTTGGATGCGAATGTTGGGGGGGGTGGTCGCTTTTTGATGATGAAGCTGCGCGTAGCTGCCTGGCGGCCGCGTAGCTATTCAGAGCACAATAGCACAATAGCACAATAGGACAATAGCAGCGAAGATTCTGCCTATTGAAATCTGGTGCAGGCTGGATCTCGCGAATCAACAATAGAGCCAATGCGATTGTACTTACTTGGTCACATCCATCGTATCGGACTTCTCCTGCTTGGCTTGCTGTTCTCTGGTAGCTGCCAGGATCGTGGCGTAGCGCCGAATCTGTGACTGTGAGTCAGTATGCGCCAACCCAATGGGCGCAGTTGAACGAACCTGCTCAACCAAATCGAAGAAGTAACCCTGCGTGTACGGTCGATCGGTCGGTGCTCGCTGGTCGGACTCGTGAAGGGTCGTAACCGTGGTGTGGAGGACGCGAATCGTTCGCTCGCAAAACTGCAGATATTTCGAAGGAGAAACCGAATAATCCTTTACGCCAGAACGCCGATGAGTAAATGTGCGATCCGAATGGGCACGGATGCGGGTACTTACCGGTGCGAGGAAGATGAGGGTTTTCTCGAGGTCGCGGAGGTTCTTGATTTCTTTGTCGCCAATTCTGGTGGGAACACTCTTGATGAGTTCGTGGAAATCCGAAAGCGCGGGCTCCTTGAGGATAGGCTGCACGATGTGCTTGTGGATTTGCTCGCCCGCGTATTTGCTCAAGCAGCGTTCCTCATCAGCAGCTTCCGATATGCTAGAGAACGACTGTGAGCCAGGAGAAGAGGGCGCTCCAGTAGCTATTATACTGTCAGCGGGCGCAAGGTACTGTCCATTGCGGGGCTCACCGATGCGGGATGAATTCTTGGCGGTCGCTATTGATTCCGTGGAATCTGCGATGGAGGAGCCAATGCCACTATCAGACGAATGGCTGTGGTGTCGTGTTCGATTTGTCGGAGCCGATCGCTGCCCCGTGGGCTGGTCCGCTACCAGCGTGGGAACGGGCAGCACTTCGGGCTCACTCAGGACATTGCCTAGGGCGACAGTGGACTGGGCAGCCACAGCTTCGTCGACACGGTGAAGCAGCTGAGTGACACGACGCTCGCCGGCGCCGATCAAGAGATCCTCAAGAGACTTGGGAGAGGTTGAGGAGCGCATGGGCATGGCCGGGGTGCTCAATCTCGACTCTAGCGGGTCCCAAAAAGCGCTCTTGCTTGTGTTGCTGTTGGGGTGGAAGGTGTCACCTTTTCGGATGGACATGTTCTGAAACGAGTCGGCCAGAGAGGTAGAAGGGTCGGTGGCCCTGGCAGGACGGCGGCGCGGGTTCGTGGCGGCCGACATGTTGGCGGCGGTCGCAGTGATTCGAGGATATGTACAGGCCGGGATGACTCGTCAAGGGCGGCGACCTATCACGGGTTAGGAGTGCGATCGCAGACTGCATGTATTGGGGTGAGTCACAACTTACGTATGGCCGCTGCCGTGCAGTATACTGCAGAGCAGACGCAGCTCCGGGAGGGCGAGCTAGAGGGCGGCCTCGATGGTCTGAGAGAGGCGCGTCCCCCGCTATCGTGATCTGACACGCCCGCCCAGCACGTCTGTGTGTAGCAGCGCGAGTATACTGTTGATGTGCGCACGGCGAGCGCTCGAGACAGGGCGGCGCAGCAGGATTGGGAGGGGAGGGCGCTGGGCTGTCGTCGTCTGCCAAGAGCAGTTGGTATCGGCGGGCGGCGGATTGTCGTGAGGGAGTGGTGTTGCGAACGCTGGCGAGAGCGAGGGAGAATATTCAATGGCCCGGTTTTCAGACACGAACCGGACGATTGCGTGGTGAGGGTCGGCGGAGGAGTGCACGCTGCTCACATACCACCACGGCCTGGCGTCTGCGTTGCGCTGCTGCCTGAAGTCCACGCGCGGGACGTGCCGCAATTCTGGGCCACTTCTTCGACTGCGCCTTCCAGCTGTGTCCGCGTCCGTCGGGCTTCTTGAGTGTTCCGCTCCGCTCGCTCGCAGCGCCTTCATGCAGTGACAGAAGCCTGCTCCGCTGCTGTCGTATAAAGAGCTTCAGTCGCATCCTCGCTCAAACCAGCGTCGTCGCTCCCTCCGTCCAGCGCAGCACACAGCGGCCCCATGGGTGCCTGAATGAGCCATAGCCACCCTTCACCGGTTCAGGCCCGCAGGCTAGGTTCGGAAGGATTGGTTGATTGGAAATCCGCGTCCGTTTGAAAGCGCAGCCTGCGCGTACATGCGACACGGGCCGGATGACGACTGGCATTGAAGAGTAGTGACACCGTGTTCACTTTCGCAGAAGGTCACAGACGGCGCTCAAAAATTTGAGGATTTCTGGGATGGAGCGTGCGAGCTCAGTGGAAGTGGAGACGGACCTTCGGACTGCTTGCTACCACCACGCATACCCCTCTGTCACATTTAGAAGCAGATGTCAGCAGCATGTGCTGTGCGGTGCTGCTGTTCCCAAGCATGTCGCCGCCACGATCGACAGTGGCCAATCACATGGAGCAGCAGCATCGTACCTGTTTGCTAGTCTGACACGCTCGCGTGCTCGCGACAAGACATGAGACGAACAGACGTCCTCTGCACGCGTTCTGCGATGCTAGTAGCACAGCACTACGCGGCTACTCGAAGAAATTCACAGACACTGTACTGCGCGGTGTTCAGGAGCTGCTCAAGATGGCATTTGATCTGCATGTTCTCCTACATGTTTCAGCGCTGGACCCATCGTCTCCTGCAAGTAAGGCTGACACTCCTTCGTGAATGAACTCCTCTCTTCATTCACTGCTCTTCTGACCTTCCCTTATATTTCTTCTGTACGAATCTGCTAACGTCCTTCCTTTCCTCCACGGTACTCTCGATCAACAGCGTCCACCCCTCGGAAAGCCACAAGGACTCGTTCTTCTTGCACGCCCAGCAATAGCTACCACCCATCAGCACACAATGTTGCTCACTTCAACTCTTGCGAGCACCATAGCTCTGACCGCCGCCGTGTTCGCACACCCGCTGGCTCGCAGGCATACGGCTTGCATCACAGCCAAGGATCTCACAACCATTGCGCCCGACACCGCATCTTGCGATGGCGCCGACTATCCCGCTGAATGCGCTGCAGCAAGCATAGCAGCACCAAACATTGCCGAATCGTTCCACGTCTTCAACATCGAATCCTTTGGCGCCCAGGCAGCGCTGGTAGCGATTATGCTTTTCGAATCAGGCGACTTCAAGTACAAGATCAATCACTATCCAGGGGTCGCCGGCCAAGGCACACGCAACATGCAATCGCCTGCATTCAACGAAAAGTATGCGGCATGGATCGTTGCAAATGGCAACGATGCGAACATCACGCAGGATCGTGTGGCAGCTGCAAGTGCACAAGGCCCGGCGCAGCTCCTGGATTTGATCAACACAGACAAATGGAGCTTTGCTAGTGCTGCCTGGTTCATTTCAACGCAATGTGATGCCAGCCACGTTGCAGCTCTGGCTGATGGGAGTCAGACGAGCTTCGAGAATTATCTGACTGATTGTGTTGGAACAACGGTGACAGACGAGCGTATCTCAGGGTGGTCAAAGGTCGTTGCGCTTGGTCAATGGCAGAAGTGACTTCCCCCGTAGGACGAGCGATGTAACTAACTGCTCAGCATGCTGGTCATGCTCTGTGCAAATTCGATCTCCAAAGCGAAGAGTATATGTCCTAAATGTATGGTGATGACTCTCGTCTATATACGCGCGGCTTCGTTCCGCACTGCCCTGCAAGTGACGATGCTTCACCGAGAACTTTTGGCGGCTCTGCCTAGCAGCAAGAATGTGACAGTATCGACATGGTGGCACTCCATGGCCGCACCGCACCTTCGACCGCATGTCTGCACCTGCTGCGCAATCTCCTCGATGCGCCTGCCCATGCATGCCCTCCCGCGATGACGAGGCGCTCCGCCGCGCCTTTGCAATCGCGAACCTTCACAGCGTCAACGGGACACGTCCAGCGACGTTCACAAATCGCGCGCAGCGACCACGATAGAATACAGCGTCGCACCTACGCATCCTCGCCGCACCATCAAGAGACCTTCTGGCGGCGGCTGCGACAGTCACGGAGCGCAGCAAAGCCTGCCGCCAACGACAATCTGCCTCCACTTGCCGGCTTCCTGGACGACAATGCTGGACTGGGCGGCAGGATCATCAAGCCCAGCAACGAGTTGAAGCTACGCTGCACCGAATTCGACGAGAATGGCAATGTTACGCTGGTTAATGGCGAGTTCCGCAAAAGCGAGCTCATTCAGAAGTATTCGCTGCTACCGCGCGATTTGCGCAAGATCGATAGCAGCGTGCTGCCACACATTCTGGTCCGACCCTCGGCCATCTTGATCAATTTACTGCATCTGCGGTGCCTGATCAAGCACAACCGCGTTCTGGTCTTCGATGTCTATGGCTCCACCGATTCCTACGCACAAAGTCTGTTCATGTACGATCTGGAGGGCAAGCTCCGGCAAAAGCAGACGACAAGTGCTGCGGGGAATCTGCCTTACGAATTCCGAGCCCTCGAAGCGGTCCTCATCAGCGTTACCAGTGGGCTCGAAAGCGAGTTCGAGGGGGTGAGGGAACCTGTGGTGCGAGTGCTGCGAGAATTGGAAGAGGATATTGATCGTGACAAGCTACGACATCTGCTCATCTACTCGAAGAAGCTGGGCACATTTGAACAGAAGGCTCGCCTGGTGCGCGATGCGATCGACGATTTATTGGAAGCGGACGATGATCTAGCCCGCATGTACCTCACCGAAAAAGCTGCTGGGACAGAAAGGGAGGATGACAATCATGAAGAGGTGGAACTGCTCTTGGAATCGTATCACAAAGTGGCAGACGAGATTGTGCAAGTCTCATCTAACATCGTCAGCGCCATCCGAAACACAGAGGAGATCGTTCGTGCCATTCTGGATGCGAACCGCAACAGCCTCATGCTTCTCGATCTGAAGTTCAGCATCGGGACCTTGGGCATCAGTGCCGGCATGTTCATCGCCGCGCTGTACGGAATGAATCTGGAAAACTTCATCGAAGAGTCGAACCTAGGCTTCTTCGGTGTAACCGCCGCATCAACTGTGCTCTCGATCGGAGCATGCTGGTGGGGTCTCAAGAAGCTCCGCAAAGTGCAGAGACTTTCTATGTGGGGCGAGGGAGGCGTAATAAAGAACAATGCCCGGAGCTCAAGGGGCCGCTGGAGTGAGGTTGAAGGACGCAATGATGGCGAGAAGCCACTCGCTGAAGCAGTTGCCGGCATCAAGAAAGCTGAGGGTCTGAGATCATGGAAGGTCGCACAGAACGAGCGCTTGAAGCACATGCACGGCGACGCAACAAAATCTGCGCCTCCGCTCGCGCTGAGAACGATGAGATGAGGTTCGTGGCATCCTTGATGCTTTTTGTAGAATTATCGTGCTGGGTCTAGCGAGGCGTTTTGGGGGCATCTTGACTCTTACTACAGCATAGCATAATGTGGTTTTGCACCACAGTTACGTGTATATATTGTTCTGCCAGAACATGCAGCAAACCAGCGACCTGTTGCTCCGGGCGCATTGTGACTCTCCGGCTCGGATCGGTCTTCCACACTTGCGAAGCTGCAAACACCAGCCTCAAGAAGCAAGCCAAAGTACAAGCTCGAAACTCAGAATTTCTTAACAGGAAGCGCATTGTATACATCTTGGTGCGGTATTCATCCTGGCCGTCGCTTCAGGTGACGCGGAATGCGGCGCTGCGACCCCTCTGCACCACTTTAGCCCCGCAAATCAGCATCATGCATGATGAGTGGGTTAGGAAAGACGACATGTCAATGAACAAGGGCGTGTATCTGTATGCTTTTCGCATGGCAGATAAGATATCCCTTTATCTTCCTCAAGTTTGACCTTTTGATCATACATTCTGAGAGTGCTGGTCACACAAGCCACACAAGCTAACATTCAACATGGCAGATTGGCGACAGATTGCAAAAGAAAAGGCTCAATCAGTTCTTGACCTGATCCCGGCAGAATGGAGGTTGGCAAGCATTCCCTCGCCCGAAGAGCAACGGGACGTGACTGGGGCGTACATTCACCAGTTCCTCAGCGAGCGAGAGATTCAGATCACAGAGAGCGATGCTCTGCAGATTGTGAACAATGCAGCAAGCGGCAAATGGACTGCCGTCGAGATTACCAAGGCTTTTTGTCACCGAGCTGCAATAGCTCATCAGTTACTGAACTGTCTGCATGAGATATTCTTCGATGCAGCTATTACCCAGGCCGAGGCTCTCGATCAGTACTATGCTCAGCACAAGAAGGGCGTTGGCATGCTGCATGGCTTGCCTATATCCTTGAAGGACCAATTTCATGTCAAGGGAGTCGAGACGCATATGGGATATGTCGGTTGGATTGGCTCGTTCCAAGGAGAAAAGGGTACCGGCAAGGAGAGAAATTTCGAATCTGAAATGGTTCGAGAGTTCAGATCGCTTGGAGCTGTGTTGTACGTCAAGACGAGTGTCCCTCACTCTTTAATGACGGGTGAGACAGTGAACAATATTATAGGTAAGATCGCAAGGACTTGAGTGTACCTGGCGTTCGCAAGGCTCAATGGTCGCTTAGGTTATACTCTGAATTCCCGGAACAGACTACTTAGCTCAGGCGGGTAAGGTGAGACAACTGCTCTAGAAATGCCCCAGCTAACTCTTTATTAGGTCATCTGGGGGTGAAGGTGCCCTGATCGGTGCTCGAGGAAGTGTAGTGGGTTTCGGAACAGACATTGGCGGATCGATTCGAATCCCATCAGCGTTCAACGGCCTCTTTGGTCTCCGTCCGAGTTCCGGTCGATTGCCATATCAAGGCATGGCAAATAGTATGGATGGCCAGAACAGCATTCTCAGTGTCGTGGGTCCACTTGCCACAACTGCAGATGGATTGAAGCTCGTCACTCAAGCGGTGCTGAGTACCAAACCATGGCTGACCGATCCCCTCACGCACGAGATCCCATGGCGAGACGACGCTGAGCTCGCAGTCTCTGATCCAGTGCGTCGCCTGAGTACAAAGCTCTCCTTCGCAGTTCTGCGCCACGATGGAGCATGCAGCCCAACTCCACCAGTGGCGAGGGCAATCGACACGGCAGTAAAAGCAATGGAGAAACTCGGCCATCAAGTCATCGAATGGAAACCTACTCCCGAACACTCCAAGCTGGCTGATATCTGCGTCAAGTGCTACAATCTTGACGGAGGCGCAGATGTCTTCAAAGACATCGATCTATCGGGAGAAGACATGGCCGAGCAGGTTCTCGTGGCTCGTGGTACACAAGCTAATGCATCAGAAGTCATGGCAACGAATATCACTAAACGCAACGCACAGAAGGAGTACATGGATTACTGGAATAGCACAGCCGCGCTGACGAATACTGGACGACCTGTTGATGCAGTCATTTGCCCCGTTGCGCCTTTCCCTGCCGCACGACCGAAAGCATTCACATACTACAACTATACTCTCTGGGTGAATTTACTAGATTGTGAGTAGATGTGCCTGTTTCCTCAACACTGTCCGCTGACACTACTGCGCCTAGACACAAGCGTCGTGGTTCCGATTACGAATGTGGACAAGAACATTGACAAAAAGTTCGAGAACTTTCAGGCTGTCAATGAAACTGATCAGAAGACGCAGGATATCTGTAAGTATCCATCGAGCACTTTTCAATTCTCCATGCGAAGCTGACGCAATATCTGTAGACGACCCAGAAATATATGATGGCGCTCATGTTTCGATACAGCTCGTAGGTAGAAGATTGCAAGAAGAGAAGATGATGGCTTTGGCGAAATACATGGGCGAGGCAGTTCATGGCAAAGCTTAGGTTGCAGATATTTGTGCAGGTTTCATTTTGCGGTGTGGCAATCTATACGGATGTCTAGTGCAAAGTCGATCGCTGGGCACCTCTTGCAAATATCGTCTTGCAGGTCCGTTCACTTTATTTCGTCCATGGTCAATGGAATCCATTAGTGTCTGGAGCTACGCGATTCATAAAACCTCCAAAGAATTCGTCAAGCATACCAGTCGCTTCTGTTGCTAACGGGATTACAGCACTGACGTATTGATCCGGCCGCACCACAATGATACAGCCTTGTCGATCGACACCTCTGGTTTTATAGATCTCCCCAAAGCCAAAACCATAACTAGGCTCATCTGTGAAGGCCTTTTCATAGTCTTGCAGGCCAAGCTTCCCTTTCGCCGGTAGAAGCAATGATGGCAAGGCGGTAATTTCAAGAGTCTGTCGGGGCTGTTGGAACACTGCTCGGACATCGATGACCGAATCGATGTCAGCTCCGTGAGGCGTCAGGCTCGGAATCAGCTTCTTTTCCAAGTAGTCGCAGATGCCAACCACAGGTGATGAAGGAGAGGTAGGATTGTTCTCGTCACCAAAAATGACAATACGCCATCGTCCGTCTGCTTTCATAGCATTATGGCTGAGCTGGACAGGTTTGGCATCTGCGACACGAACGACTTGTACGGACTGGAATCTAGTTCCTAGCTGGAAGCCTGTTGCGAGATGCTGATATGTTGTGTTGAAACTTGTGAGTGGCCCGGGAAGATATCGCGTCTCGACGCCAGCCATAAAGCGACCTTGACGTTGAAAGCTCTCCTGAAATACGGCTGGATCCACGTACTCTTTGTCTTCTTTGTCAGCCTTGTTCTTCGGCTTAGCTGCGAACATTCGCGACATTTCGCGATCGAAGTCGATTAGCATTTGTGCTATTGCTTGTCTTTCCTGCGAGTAGGTATGCAACAATTTTGCGGGTGAGAGACCACGCAGAACCTTTGTCATGTTAGCTTACCCTGTAAAGACAAGCGTGTGCATAAAAATACTCACATGAGCCAGCTTCCACCCCAGGTTGAAACTGTCGTTCATAGAGACATTCATGCCTTGGCCGGCTTTCGCGCTGTGCGTATGGCACGCATCTCCGGTGATGAAAACTCGCGGGTCACGGAGATGCTGTTCTGTTTTGGGAACATCGTCAAAGTGATCCGTAAGTCTTTGACCAACCTCATAAACTGACCAGTAAGCAATTTGCCGCACATCGAAACTGTATGGAGCAAATATGCGCTTGGCTCGGTCTACCAGTGCCTCTGCTGTGACCGCTGATCGATCCATTCGATTCCCTTCTTTTACTTTGTCGAGCTCGATGTAAAATCTTGAGAGATAACCACCTTCACGGGGAATGATGAGAATACTGCCTTGGTCTGCAGAGTGGATCACTGTCTTCAATCGCGCATCAGGGAAGTCAGTAACGATGAGTGCATCGAGGACGCCCCAGGCCTGGTTCTGGTAATCGCCTTTCATCTCCAGCCCCAGCTTCCTGCGGATGCCGCTTCTTGAGCCATCGCATCCCACAACGTATTTGGCGCGCACCACTTCCTGCTGACCTTTATGAGCTTCATCCAGACGTTCCAGTGTCACAGTAATTGGGCCTTGATCTTGCGGTATGATCAGATCCGTGACTTTGCGACTATACGATGGCTCAAGTCTGGTTGGAGATTGTTTCATAGCATCCAGCCACAGATCGTGGAGTCGAGCCTGATTCAAGATTACATGCGGAAATTCGGACAGTCCTTCTTCTGTGTCTGCGATCATCAAAGATCAGTTCCCTGCTCTCGCGAAAAGCGCCGCAAGCTGTTCAAGATCAGTTACTCACCTCTAATCCTCCCACTTCGTCGCAAGCCACTGCCATCCTCCGTCGGCGACCAAAATGTTGTTTCATTGACCCAATATGCTTCCTTCAGGACACGCTCACTGAATCCGAAAGCCTCAAAGATCTCGATCGTTCGACACTGTAGGCCATCGGCTTGGCCTTGCTGCAACCTTCCCGACTTGGACTCCACGATCCGGGTTGTGATGTCCGGAAATTGGGCCATTTGAGCGCCGAGCAATTGGCCGGCAGGCCCGGCTCCTACAATCAGTACATCGACTTCTTCTGGTAGACTGGATTGAAAGTCAGGTTCTTGGCTTTCGAACTGTGTCACATTCGGATCTCCGGAGCCCTGGAAGCCATTGAGATGGAACTGCATCTCTGATAAGCGATCAGTCAGGGAAAGAGGGAGATGATGACCGAAATTGATCGGAATTATCAGTTGTGAGACAAAATCATGGCCTACGTTCGTTGCGTCCTATATACCGCAGGTCGGTGCTGATGCTGAGAGCGTGATGTTCACAGGCGGAGGCGAGCCGGCAAGTGCTCCGGCTGCTCTTCCCGTGCCAAGACAAAGCTGACGGGTGTAGATCGGGAAGTCACGCGCAGGCCAATTCTGCTGTTCATTCACGAGGTGCACATGAGTTGCAATTGTCGATGTCACACCCCATGCCCATGCACAACCATTCCACGTCTGCAGTCCTCCAGGTTTGCACGTCCGGGCTGTACCCATTCCGTACGATACACGATTTTCCAACCTACACCCAACACCAGGAAGAGAGCGATGACGATATAGTTCATGAAGAACGCCTGCAAGTCCCACGGAGCAAAAGTCGTCCAGCCCTGCAAGAACACAAATCCAACACAAGTGATGAAGCCTGTCCAAGGGACATAGGGATATCCAGGTGCACAAAAGGGCAGGACATCGGTGGAGATGCCTTGCTTACTAAGCGCCTGCCGCATGCGAATGTGGCAGAGGCAGATGCAGCCCCCTGACGAGCTTGGTTAGCGATGCGGTACGACTAGGAAGGATGTGCTTACAAGTGATAAACGTCGCGACGCCGGTCATGCTGACGACCCAGGTGTAAAACTGGCCCGCTCCCGAGGCAAGGTTGAGCAATGACAGAAATCCGACTGTGTTCATGAAGACGTACGCATAAACGGGCACACCCCTCGAATTGGTCATGGCGAAGATTCTGGGTGCTTGTTTCTCCACAGCGAGGCCGTACAGCGTTCTGGATCCCACGTAAAGTGCGGCGTTGACCGCAGAGAGAATGGTAATGACAATCACTGCGTTCACTGCGTGAGCGCCTGCATTGACGCCAACCCGAGTGAAGGCGATGACGAATGGCTTTTCGAACGTCAGTCAGATGTCTAAATGGTGTCATAGGCAAGCATACCGAGCGTGCCGTCTTGTTGGCGGCATTGAGAAGGTTGGGATCATTGAATGGCACAGTGATGGTGAGGAAAAAGATACCTCCCAGGAATATGACCACGATTCCTGCGGTATGCTTTAGCTTCATGGTCTCGAGTGTATGCTATACCCCATGAACTTACGCCAAACCACGCTCTTCACCGCCTTGGGCACGTCTTTGCTGGGGTTCGCAGACTCTCCCGCAGTCAGACCAACCATCTCGGTGCCAGAATACTGGAGAGCGGCGAAGACAAAAATCTTGAAAACACCTTTGACGCCGTCGGCGAACGGTCCGGGATCACGGTAGAACTTGAATCCGATCTTTTCGCCTCCAATCACTCCAGTCGATATGAGGATGGCGCAGATGAAGAAGATCAGTATGAACAGAACTTTGATGGAAGCAAGCCAAAATTCTGCCTCTCCAAAAGACTTTACACCAAGGAAGGTGAAAGCCATGAATATGACCCTGTACGCGTTGTCAGGAAGCACGAACTGCACTTCAAGGTTGGACATCCTACCAGAAGACCATGATCCAGCCCCATCGCGGCATGGCGGTATCCCAGAAAGTCAGAACGAGGCCCAGATTGTCTGGTGTGAGTTAGTCTCGTCCTTCTCGTACCCAAGATACATCGCTCAAGCTCACTGTATTCAGCATGATGATTCCTGCCCACAGCAGCCAATAGTTCCACCCCAACGCAAAAGCCCAGCATGGATCGATAAATCGGTAGGTGTAATGAGTGAAACTGCCCGCGACAGGGATGAAAGCACCCAATTCTCCAATGGACTGCATCACGGCCTAAAACTTGTCAGAAATGTCGGCTCCACTGAACGAACAGACAAATTACATATAGCAATGTTCCGACTATACTGAAGCAGATGAGCAGACCCGCTGGACCCGCCGAGGAAAGCCCATTGCCCATTCCAACGAAGTATCCGGGGCCAATCACACCACCAACGGCAAGCATGAGCTACATCACGGCGTGAGCAAAGTTCGACCACGATCAGATATGCTCACACACGCACCAGATGCCTCTGCGCGAGATTGCGCTTGAGCTCGCCGCCATGTTGTACAGGAGCGTCGATGACAAGACCTTCTTTGGTAGTGATGGTCAGCTCCAAATCATTCCCCTGCTCAGACGTGGCAGTCTGCGGATCCTTCTTGTCGTCAGTCATGGCAATATGTGAAAGACCGGAGCGATTTTTCTGGAATTCACACAGGAGTCGTGGTCGTTACGAGGATATTCTATATCTTTAGTACCCCGGCCTATCTCCATTGTACTATCTTCTCCATTGTAACGATAGCCACGACTTTGCGGGGAAACGACATCTAGGCTGACCTGGGCCGAGTCAGTGGAGAAAAGATGTGTAGAAAGATAAGGCCGATATGTGAGACTGGCACTATGAAGCAGAATGGGGCGCTATTCGAGAGCCGAGTCAAATTTCTTTGGCAGTGGTGGTCGAGAGCCGAGTCAGAACTTTATTTTGGTCGAGATCTTACTGCCTCCTCTTCCTGAGATGTTTACGATTCCGTTCCACCAGGGCCAGAATGCTGCAGAGTAGACGATGATGCTCCAACCAGTGTATGCAAGGGCGTTTTTCATTCGCCAGAACCTTATCTGGCTGTCGCGTGTCGGCTTATTGTGCACCTCACCTCATTCAGACCACGAGGCGATACACGTGCCTGGCTGATCGTGACGAATGCAGGGCGAACGGCACTGGGTTGATTTCTGTTGCTTATCGCAGGCACAATCTGATGCCTGTGCTTTCCGCTCTAGAAATCCCGCGCTCTTGTGTGCAGAGGAACCAGCCGCCACGTCGTAGTAGCTGAACTCGCACCTCTGGAATAGAAGCAAAACCCACAAACGCCGTTCGCAAGAAAGAGGGCCTAGTAACATCCCTGTTGATGAGAAAATCACCCACGTAGCAGAATCTGTACCGTCTCAAAGCTGACAGCCCGAAGGCGTCGCCGTAAATCACTTTCGAGCTGCGCCGAGACCGACTGATGAGCGTCAGTTGCCGAGCCCACAGCGTGTGGAACGATTGACTTACCTCACTCAATGTTGTCGAAGTATTGTACATGGCGGCTTGTATGTCAGAGCCTGCTGACCCTCCACCCACGGCGCTTCTCCTTCGCCGAGCCATGTTCAGTCGCTGTGAAAACAGGTTGACGAGATCTTGTACTCGGTAGAGATCGTCGAGCACCGTCTGTGCCGCGGCCTGTATCTGCTCGTTGCCAGTGGCACCCACAGCATCCATGAGACCGTCAAGCCCTGCTGGAGGGCTGCGAAGCAGGTCCTTGAGTGCTATGGGCGCATTCGAGCCCATTGTCTCTGCCGTTGCCATGGGAGAGTCAGCACGAGGAGTATTCTTCGCAGCTGACGCGCACCACGCAATGAGCTGTACAGAGCACGGTCAGTGAATGCACGTATTTGCCAATCTCTTGCAGCTGGCACCACTGACCTTGAAAGTGACCAAGGAGATGATCGTCAGTAGATTTCCGTTTAGTGAGCAAGAACAACCAAGGATAGTATTCAAAGAAGCAATGATTGTCCGATTCATGGTAGCAGCCATTTCGAGCGTGGGAGGCGGGATTTGCTCAGGCATACCACGTCTCGGGCACGCTTTGGACGCTTCCGTTATACTTAATTGACGTAGTAGGTCGAGCGCCGTGTTCAAGCAACAATGGTCCGGCTCACACGCGGCGGCTGCCCATGGCGGCTGGATGTCGGTCCACGTCGTTACATCGCTATTCATCATGAAAAGATCCATGTTGGTTTCGTTCGGTAGCATCGAGACATTGAGGTCTGGTACTTCTTGCGTGAACGGGACGCTCATAGGAGCGGTTTGCGGATAAGTAGGCATCGAGTGTGGCATAGGTTGTGATAGGGCGGTAAGGTGAGGATCCTCTGTGGACACATCGACCATGTCCGTCGTCCATTCAATCTGGCGATTCTGGTCTCCGCTGTCTCGCCGCACTGGCGCCACTGGAGGCTTCACATGTGTGCCATAGCTCTGATCTTGGTCGCGATTGCTGCTGCTGCTGTTGTTGTTGGTCGCTGACCGACCGTTGCGCCGTGATAGGCCGTACTCGCATTTCAAGCCACGATTGATGCATCGGGAGCAGGATGGCTTCTCTTTACTGCATCGGACCTTGGCGCTGGCACATATTTCGCAACTGTCCCGGAGTTTGACGGTCTCTCGACTTCTTGCGGCTCCGCCGCTACTGGTACGCTCAGGCATGAGTAGAAGGAGAAGGGTCGAGGCGTGGGAGGGCAAGAGGGGCCGTGGGTGCGTCGATGGCGGTGCAGGAGATCTGAGGCAGCGGTGTAGTTCACCTCGATAGCCCTGCCGCAGTCCCGGAAGTTAAGAGGGAGTCGTTGCGGAAGTGCGGTCCCAGCAAAGCAGCATGCAGCGATGCTCGATCAGCGGGTGCTTCCAGGAACCCTCAGGGTTCAAAGACGACCAGGAAGTCGGTCACCGAAGAAGTGTGAGTGTTGGCCTGCACGAATGGGTGGGTGCCAGCGGTCTGGAGGAGGCCCGGCTGGGTGTCCCAGAGTGTCAGCGAGCTATTCCCACCTGATGGCGCTGGCACAAAAGGCCATGCTACTGCGGGCGAGCGTCATGTCGAGAAGGCAGCATTGCTCTCGCGCAGCTGCCGGACTCAACAGCGTAGCATGCGAGCTGGGATGCAGGAGATACACGAGCAACAAGAGGTCGTGGTAGATGACGAGTGGAGGAGTGGCTCTGTATGGCATGCTCTTCAGCACATTACAGATGAAAGCCAGATGCGTATCCGGATGTTCATCGCTGCTCCTCTCCAAGCGCTGCCGAATGGAGGTTGGTTCAGTGGCCGCATTCGTGCATGGGCGACACGTTGGCGGGTATGCTTCGTGGTGCTTGGTGCCGGCTAGTGCGCAGGGCCATGTTGGCGCGCCGGCGTCTCGTGACAGACCTTCGCATACACGACCCTTTCATGATCTGGTCATCGCGCGGCGGCGGAAGTGCGGGAGGTGTTGTTGTTGCTGCTGTTGCTGCTGGTTGTGCTTGGCCGGCTGATTTTAAGCTCTGCGCCAGATGAAGGCTGATCTGACACCACCACCACCGACCTGCACGCGCGTCCCAGGCAGCGGCGCATCGATATTGGCGTGGCGCAGGACCCCCCGGCTCCTGCTCCTTCTCGCCATCTGCAGGGGACGACATGGGCACTCCTCCGCCCACAAGTGCAATGCTCCTCCCTGGCCGGCCGTCGAGCGGTGTCTGCTCCTGCCGCAGATCTGCCAGGTCGCTGTACTACGCCTTCCCCATTGACGAGCGGCGCCAACATCTGCAATCCATCGCGCCGCACCCCTGCCACTCTCAACTCTAACTGCTTCAGGCTCCTCAAATCCTGCACGACACTGACGATTGCTCGTCGCACCCTTGGTCGGCGCCTTACGGCTGAAGCGCTGCGTGAGGAACCGTGACGCGAGCCAGTCCGCCCGCCATGGGGCTGCACATCAACACAACTACTCCGCATGTGCCTGTCCACAATGATTATCGTCCATGATCTTGATCTCCAACGCACCTCGCCCAAGTCCTGCTCCCATTCTCAACACTGGCCCCTCCGCTGACCAATACGCCTGCCTTTACGCCTCCGAGAACTGTGGTCAAGCTATATTACGAATGGCTGAGCATCGAGCGGACAGCGAGCCTCCCTGCGCAAGGCCGGATGCCGTACAGCAGGATCACGACGCCCTCGCCGACGACTGGTCGCACACAGCCGACCGCAAGGCCAAGAAACGCATGCAGAATCGAGTGGCCCAGCGCTCCTACAGTGTGTTCCTCCCCCTCTTCATCCTCCCTGCTTGGCCTGGCATGCCCTCCCACTGACATGGCGTGCTTAGGACAACGCATGAAGGCTCGCGTGGAAGAACTGCAAGCCAAAGTCGAACAGCTCGAGGGGACGAAACACAGTGTGCAAAATATGGACGCCAACGCCCACGTGTTAAGTCCAGACACGTTCAACACCAACGCTCTCTTCACCACCACGCGAGATTCGCAACTTGGCTCCAGCTTCCACTCTGGTGCGCCCACTGCCAATATGGTGTCAAACACCCCACCCAGTGCGCCGCACGATCATCCCCATGCAGTCCTGAGGCCGATCACCATGGAGGGCGCATCTCAAGCCTCACACGGCTTAGCAACATTCGCTCTCCTCAACAGCAATGCTGTGCCATCGACCATGGCGCAAGACATGTCAAACGACATGTCCCTCCACAGTCTACAGATGCAGTCAACGCCCTTTGGTGACCAGACTCCGTGCTTTGACTATTTCAGAGGCAAGTGCATTTATCTCGGGCCATCAAGGCGCATCCTAGACTAACGTGAGCTTTCAGACATTCATGGACAACATACTCGGCAACCGCACTCCATGGACGCTGTGACTTTCCAAGACGCTCAGCCGATGACATCGACTGCTGTGAGTTCAGCGAGCAGGCCCGGCTCTCCCCCATCAGGCTCATCTTTGACGCCTGATTTTTTACCTTCATTGTCTGGCATCAACTCGCCAGATGACTCCTACCGATCATCCAGCATGGCGTCTGCGGAAATCCCTCCCCATTCATCGCATTTGAGCAGTGGTGCATCGGTGGAGGATCGCCTGAGATACGTTGCCGAACAAGCCAAAGTTGCAGGTTTTCCGGACTTGGACAGCATGATTACAGCGTACTACACCGTCTTGGCTGGGGATCCGTCTGCTGCGCTCGGAGATAGTGAGGGCAGCGCCGCACGACGCTTGCCCCGTTTGATCGCCACGTTACGACACGCGGTGCAGGAGTGGAGAGATTGGGAGCGAAAAGGTTTCCCTTTGGATTGATCGGTTACACAAACAGCACTCGAGGATCGGGGGCTTAGACCAACGAGGAGCACTGGAGTGACATATCATGTGCTCAAGAAGTGCACACCAACAGGCGACACATCTTCCGGAGGGATGTGCTTACAGACACTCGGCAGCATTGGTTATTAAGCAGCACCATACGCTGGCTTTGAACTTGTTGAACATGGAGATGCAAGCATTCGCACACTACCTCGCCTGGCGTTTGAGCCAAGGATTGTACCCAAAATGAGAGCATCATGCAACCACAGCCTTTAGGCTCTGTACTGTATCAATAATACATTCCTCTAGCGACCGGAAGTCGACAAAGGTCGGAAATGCGCTCCGCGTCTTTGAGTTATCGATCGTATACATTCCGTCTTTTGGCCACGAGCCTCCGGGGGTGCCAGGAAGTGGCAGACTGTCTGCAAGGTCAGGAAAATTCTCTCGGGCAATACGCACAATATCCTCGTTGGCAAACCAGCCAGTCGGAATGAAGTATCGCTCCGAAACGTCGTCTGCTCTCTCCAGGGCAAGTACATGGTAATGCGCGGCGTCACTGTAACGATGCAGGAGCAAGGTCAGCTTTCTGAAGCATAGCCTCCGGGGTCTGACCGGGAACCTTCATTCCACACACTTACCGCACGTCGGTGAAGATAAAGCTCGCTCCATTCGGCCTGCAAAGAAGGGAGTCAGCCAAGGCTCACCGGCCACGTTTGACATCCAAATGTGCACAATGGAAGGCAGCGGTCTCACGGTATTTCGTTGTCGGCCCGTGCTTTGCCAAAGCAAATATCTCTAACACGCTTCAAGCTTTCGTTGACATTCGCTAGATTGCCATCCCAGAGATCACCAGAAGCAGTCGGTCCGAGCATCAGCGGAGGACAAATCGTTTGTAAAGTAAAGTTCAGCGCTGGATCCTCTGCAACGAAACTCCAGGCTGCTTGCTCCGCCTGCTTCTTTGAGAAGCGGTATCCACATAGGGGGTCCTGGAATGCTTGCTCAGCCGTGATCGGGTTCCAGTCGGCTTCAGTGTACGTATGGCCTGGATAGTTCCCTGCTGTTCATTGCATCGGAGCTAGTCAGTATACGCTTTAAGCGAAGACAGATGAGTAGGTTGCACAGTGGGAGACACATCCTGTCCCTCGCTGCAACACGCGACAGGTCTCTGCTAGAAAGCGAGGTAGACCCATAGACCAGGTCAAGGCCCCATCGATGACAGTGCATGCAGCAATCAGGACTGGGTTCCGCGAAAAACGGCGCGCAGGGATCACCACTTACGCCAAGCACCTTGCCATGGATGAATCATTGCCGCTAGCGACGAGGTGATGACCACGCGCCGCACACTTGGTGCATGTGCCTTGATGGATCTGAGAATCCCAGTGGTGCCGATGATGGCAGGGTCAAGCAGTTCTGCGACACTCTCGTTAGCTCCGTTCTGCCCTCGTCTGGTTGCGATCAACACCGAGCATGCCTGGGAGGGACTGAGGAGATCGACACCTTTCTGAATATCTGCACGAGGGAAGCAGGGAGTTAGTATGCCACTAGACTCAGATGGGAGAGCTTGAATCGCTTGACTTGACGTACCAGTTACCGCAAAATGAAACGGCGATGTGGGATGACAGACGCCGTCGAATGGTGGTGAAGAGACAACCGCTTCGTCGAATGCCCCTTCTTTCGCAATGTCTTCCACGATGACCACGTCGAAGACAGCGTGATCCAATTCTGCGTAGCGCTTCTTCAATTTCTCGGCTTTGGTTTTCGTGCGCGCGGTGGTCACGACACTATGCCCTCGCCTGTGGAAAAGTAAACAACTAGTCAGCTCCGATCTCTAGCAAAAAGAAGAAGGCTCAATAATGGAACCCAGAGATGCGCGATCGACTCCGACCCACCGAAGTAATTGATTAATGATATGGCCGGCTAGGTAGCCTCCACCTCCAGTCACCAGTACGCGCATATTCCAGCATACGTCGAGGTGAGCTGGTCAACACTGCAGTCCTGCTCGCGATGGCGATGAGTTTTAAGGCAAGTTCACAATTTTGAGAATTCAGCGGAAAGAGCAGCCAGCAAGATGTGTCGAGCAAGCAGGTAAATATGTTCTCGAGTGAATCAAGCCAGTACAAAGACGCGTGCACTGTGATGACGAATGGCTCGCTCGTCGCTTGGGCAATACGCGCGACTTGCCGAAGATGAGAGCATATCGGAACCTGTTCCACGAGCCGAAGGCAGGATGCTCACTGAAGATTTTACTGTAGAGTGTATCAGAATGTCCCAGCTCGTGCTAATGCTGACTATACCTCACACCATGACCCACGTAAGTCGACCTCGTTAGCCCCACATGTAGTGGTACAATTGAGCGCTTCGAGGCACAGAGCAATATTATCCTTCCCAATTGGCACAGGGTTTGAGTCTGAGTCTACTCGGCTTCCAAGTGATCTAGCTCCACGTGTAGATCAGTTGATCGGTACCCTAAACGACAGATTGGCCTCGCGACCGGCTTCTAGGTGGAGCAATTCGATTCATACCGGGAGCACTGGGATTAGCAAGGAGCACGTTCTGCGGCGACTGTCAGTGCACAACCAAATGGCCAATAGTACCAGATACAACCTTCCTAGGTCGTGATCTTAACTGCGAATACTCTACCTACAAGAAAAAGGCAATGCCGACCTTGCCACTCACAAAGGTCGACGAACACACCGAATCGACAAACCTCGGAGTATACTTCACCCCGGGTGATCCTCATATAAACGGCCCGGCGCGCGAGGTCCTTGTGAATTACAGCGGCGTGCCCGAAGATGAAGTCGTCTCGCATGTTCGCAAAGTGGTACGTTGACCTTTTCTCGTGCCATGAGTGCTTTACTTTTAGATCCGCCACTGAACAAGTTCGAACAATAGCGCGATGAGGCCTGGAAAGTCTTCAAATACCCATGCGTGGGAAATTACTATTTTCTCGAATTCAGCGTCAGCAAGTCGGAGAATTATGCACAAGTACTGGATCGCCTGCGTGAGGGAGAAACGTTGTTGGATTTGGCATGTTGCTTTGGACATAATATTCGGAAACTCATCCATGATGGCGCGCCGGCATCGAATGTCTTTGGTAGTGAATTGGAGCCAGGTTTCATTCATCTGGGCTTCCAATTGTTCAAGGACCGTGACAAGTTAGCCGCGAACTTTGTGTCTGGAGATTTCTTCGGCGAGGATGTTGGTGGTCTCGCCGGGAGACAATTCGACATTATTCATGCGGCCTCGTTCTTTCATTTATTCTCTTGGGATGACCAGGTGGAGGCTGTGTCTCGAGCTGTGCGGTTACTGAAGCCAAAGGCTGGGTCAATGCTGTTTGGTAGACAGACTGCTGTGAAGAAAGCCAAAGAGGTACAGCATCCTGCAAATATCCGGTCTGGGAACATGTTTCGGCACGATGTGGCGTCTTTTCAGAAGATGGTCGAACTAGTCGGCGAGAGGACGGGTACCAATTTGGATGCTTCAGTGAAGCAGCAGGAGGGTTGGGAGGAGCTCGAAGAAGCACATGGATGGCATCGCATAACGTTTCAAATTGTCTTGCAATAACGCCGGCTGGTTCCAGATTGCGGGAGAAGAGCCGTTGGATGGGCCAGACAGAAGGCTATGTGTGAATCAAGTCGCATTTCGAGAGGCGACAGCTGCAGCCGATGGTGAGGCGTCAAGTATATGCGTTTTACCTATCGTGATGCATAAATCTTGGCTGAGCAAACGCATGCTCGGAATGTCCTCTTTCCTCACCAACTTTCTTGGATTGTGCAGACACAATACAAATACCACTTCTGTAGGTGGCCAAGTCACGAGATTTTATCTCTTCTTCGGAACATTCATGTTGATGTGGATCGTCTTCGGTTGCAGATACTCCTTCAGACCCTGCACCATTGTTAGCCTCCATCGGCATCATCGCGAAGTGTATACTTACCTCTGGACCACTTTCACGCCCATATCCGCTGAAAAGTGTCAGTCGTGTCACATCAATGGTTCTCTATACGCGATCACCAACCTTTGCTTATATCCGCCAAAGGGCGTTTGTGGGCTGGTGTTGAAAGCGGAATTGATGCCAACTGTGCCAGCTTCGAGTTTGCCAGCGACTCGCAACGCTCGTGCGACGTCTGAAGTGTATACCGTAGAGCCTAGACCATACGTTGTAGCATTTGCGAGTTCGACCGCCTCATCTTCGTCCTTGAAAGTGCGGACTGAGATGGCAGGACCGAAAATCTCGTCGGTGTAAACTTTCGAAGTTATATCGGGATTCAGGAAGACTGTTGGCTTGACCTAGAATATCAATGTCAGCAACGAACAAGATTACGGGTCTGAGCGTGATTTACGAAGGTGCCCTTATCGCCTTTGCGCTCTCCTCCAACCAAAACCTGAACGCCCTCTTCACGCGCTCCTGTGAGGAACGACATGACACGTTCAAATTGCTTTTTGTCGGCGAGCGGTCCAAATGCAGTATCGGCAAGAGAAGGATCACCCTGTGAATCGTCAGCACGCAGAGCCATGTACGGTGAGGTGAGAATGTCTCATACCATCTGCTTCTCTGCGCCTTCGAAGGCCACCTTGATCGCCTCGATGAATTTAGGTGCAATGTTCTCTTGCACCAAGACGCGAGATGCGGCGAAGCAGATCTGTAAACCATCAGCTCAAATCGAACGCGCGAGAGTCAGGCAGGTGGCTATCGCTCACCTGCCCAGAGTTTCGTAAGAAACTTGTAGAACTATGTTCTACAGCATTTTCAAGATCAGCGTCATCGAAGATCAAGGCCTAGTACCACAAAGTCAGTTTTCACCCGTGATGCCAGAGCGGCTGACGATTGTACCGGACTCTTGCCGCCCAATTCGAGGCTGACTTTCTTCAAATTGGACTTGGCTGCTGCTGCCATTACTGCTCTTCCGGCTGGTGCAGATCCTGATGCGCAATCAGCATGGCGAAGGCGGAGAGAAGGACTAGCGGACACAAGGACTGACCTGTAAAGGCGATCTTGCTGACCTGCATGTGATGTGCGAGAAGTGATCCAACCTTTCCATCGCCCGTCAAGATATTTATCACTCCCGGAGGGAAGCCGGCTTCGTTTAGGAGATCTCCATAAGCACAAGTGCCAAGTGGACTCTTTTCACTGCTCTTCAGGGCGAAAGTGTTGCCTGCAATACAACTCATGTCTCAGCTGTGCGAGCCCATTCTGGGGACTATTGTCGTTACTCACCTGCTGCCATTGCGGGTGCCATCTTCCACTATTTTCATGTAACGTCAGTCATCTGAACTCGGGGCGCAAGTATGTGAAGACACCCACAGCAGCTAAGACATGCGTGCCGTTCCCTGTCAAGGTCAGTCGGTCATTCATAGTGAAGGCGCACTTTCAATCTCACAGGCGCAGATGCCCGCACAAACACCAAGAGGCTCGTATTGCACGATCTGGACCACAACATTAAAATTGATCGACCGGATTTGCTGCGAGTTTTGCTGCTACCGACCTTGTATGTACCGTCCTCATCAGGCGGGAACGATTCACCTGTTGTTGATCAGAAGTCAGCAGCTCTACCCAACTCGTCCGAAAGAATGTGAAATATCCTCACCAGCAACCTTGCCAGAGTAGCCTGCATAATACCTCCACAGAGCGACTGGGCCAAGAATCATACGCTTCGCCACGGAAACGGGCTAAGTCGATTAGCTGATTTGCTGCGCCGTCGAAACTCGTTCGACATACTTGACCCATGGCAACAGATTCCAATTGAGCCAATTTGTCGACATTCGCCTCAAGCAGGTCGGCGAACTTCAGCATAATGGCGGCCCGCTTGTGACCAGCAGTATCTCGCCATTGCGGGAAAGCAGCTTTGGCAGCTGCTACAGCGGTATCGACATCGGCTTCGCTGGCAGCTTGGATCTTGTCTGTGACCAAAGAATCATCGTTGGGGCTGTGGATGGTCAACGTCTCTCCACTGGAGGAGGGGACATATTTGCCGTTGATGAACAGATTGGTTTGGTACGACATGTTTAGTTCGGATGTCGTATTCAGAAACTAGGGGGAAGGTTTAAATGAGCGAGCAGCCTGAGCGTGTAGCTCATTGCATGTATTTAGCTGATCATATCCGTGGCAATGGAGCACCCCGCACAGCTGCGGCCACTGATGGCATCCTGCGTTCGTGCTGCTTTGCGACGTCTGCGGTGTCCTGCTCCATCGCCGGAAAGCTTTCCGCAGTCCCAGCGACACGAGTTCACGTGCTGCTAGGCATGACTGTTGTTCGTCAAAGCATTGGGCCAGTCATCGACTCGTTTCTTGTTGACATTTCATCGCGGAGAGATGAAGGAGCAAAGTCGGGCAAGGAAATTGCGTCCTCTTTCCGGATGAAGTTTCAGCCGACATCGCAACTCCACTCCGTTGGACGACATCGATCTCTACGCAATCATCATGGCAACGCTACATATATAAGTACAAGCAAACATGCAATACCAACGACCAGAAAAGCCGTCTCCCGTCGCCCCGCGTATCATCATACACGGCGGCGCGGGAAACATAACTCGACAGAACTTGTCACCAGAATCGTATCAAGTCTACCGCCATGCTCTTCTCTCCATCCTCAAGCGTGCACGGGCGCAGCTTCCGAACCCTCAAGCATCTGCACTCGATGTTGCCACATATGCAGTCTCACTTCTCGAGGAGAATCCGCTCTTCAACGCCGGACGAGGTGCAGTGTTTACCACAGAAGGCACTCACGAGCTCGAAGCTTCCGTCATGGTGAGCACCGGATACCGAAAGCGAGGTGTTGGTGTAATGAAAGTACGAACGGCTAAAAGCCCGATCAAGCTGGCGAGAGAGATGTTATTGCGAGGAGAGCTGGACGATGGTGGTGGTGCTCACGCCCATAATCAGCTAGAAGGCGAGACCTGCGATCGTCTGAACCACGATTGGGGCTTGGAGTCTGTGAAGCCGAGTTACTTTTGGACGCGAAGAAGATGGGATGAGCACCGAATAGGTCTTGGTCTTCCGCACGATAATGACACTTACCGAAAGCACAAGCAATTGGCCGATGGCGACGATTCCCTCCCAGAGAAAGATGAGTTGCAAGTAGATCCACAGACTTGGGACGATCCGAGCTGGAATGGCAGTGACTATCTACCTCAGGGTACTGTAGGCGCTGTGGTACTTGACAGCTCAGGCGTGCTCTGCGTAGCAACCTCAACTGGTGGTTTGACCAACAAGGTAAGACGTGTTGCAAACCAATTCCTCGACACTGTAATTCAAACGTAGCCTGGAGTTCAGAACTAATGGCCTCTACAGCTGCCCGGTCGGATTGGAGACACGCCTACATTGGGCGCAGGCTTTTGGGCGGAGCAATGGCAAGAGAGAAAGCCACAAGAAGACAACCTGTCAACAAGTTGGCTGCAAGCATGTTTGCCTAATTTCACGAGCTATACAGCACTAGACATGGCCCCTGAGAGTACCTTCCGAGCAGTAGCAATGTCAGGAACTGGGAACGGCGACAGCTTTCTTCGGACAAATGCTGCAAGAACCGCAGCAGCTATTGCACGCTACGCGGAAACATCTACGAGAAAAATCTCGCTACAGAACGCTGTCACTGCAGTTGCTGGGCCACATGGCCAACTACAACAATCAGCTGGGGACAGGTGGAAGCGAACTGGTGAAGGCGAGGGCGGAATCATAGGCATAGAGCTTATAGAAGACCGCGGACACATCGTCTACGATCACAACTGCGGCGGAATGTTCCGCGCTTATGTTGACGACAACGGCCACGCGCACTTTGGTGTCTTCCAAGACGAGAAGAGAACTCTTTAAGGGAAGTGCACAGAGCAAGGTGGCAACAAAATGTGAATCATAGAATAATCGCGAACACGCCTTTGCTGGGTATCGAGGCCTGACGCTGTTATTATGAAAGTTACCAATATGGTTCGCTGAACTCCACGCTAAAAGTCTCTCAAGATTTCCACCTGGATGCAAAAATTCTCCTCATACCCATGGTTGTTGTTGCTGTTGCGTCGATTGTGCTCCTGGCCGCGGAAAGACAGGAACAGTTTCTAAATTCTCCATGCCCCCCATGGTATTTTGAGGTCCATGTTGCCAGCCACTCCCTGTCTGCTGATTGACGAACTGCGATTGTCTGAAAGGATTGGTGCTTCCCGTGGGCTGCACCTGCAATGCATTCGGCGCGGATGGCGGCTGCAAGTTTGGTGTGCTTCTCGCGAACGGGTTCGTTCCAGTGGCTTGTGCTTGAAGTGGCTGAGTCTGGAAGGGACCTTGCGTTCCATTTAAAGAGTTTTGCTGTTGAGGAGGGGGAGAAGGGCCGTTCTCAGGTATTGATGCAAATGCACTTTTAGCGAACGGATTTGTGGATTGACGATTGAGAGCCTGTTGTCCGGGCGTTGAGCCTGCAGTGTTGGCTCCTGTCTGCATCATGGATAAACGAAATGGGTTCGTAGTTTGTCCAGTTGCCAGCGCTTGCTGTTGAGGTGGCTGCGGGCTGTACCCACCAAATCCGGCGCCAGTGTATTGAGCTTGTATGGGCTGTGGCTGCGACTGTGTCTGTGGCGCTGCCTGTTGATCATACTGAATTTGCGGCACTCCTGGCCCAGCGTATCCATTGAACGGCTGTTGAGGATCCTGCGAGTAACTCATACTGGGTGGTTGTTGCTGGTAACCAGTCATTTGCATCTGCAATTGCTGCGCCTGCATCTGCTGGACCTGCTGCTGCTGCTGTTGCTGTTGCTGTAGAAATGGATTGGTCTGCATGGTTTGTTGGTTCGACTCGATAGACTCAAAGAAATCGATGAGGTCCGGCGCCGGCCCCTTGGCGGTTTGGCTTGCTGGCGCAGCAGTCGCGCCAGACTTGATATCATCGAACGGCGTTGGAATTGGCGCTGCGGGTTTAGTCGCTGCTTTCGCAGCCGACGTGGTCTTTGAGAAAGGTTTAGCCCCGGGTTTCTTCGATTCCTGCTCCGCAAGATACTGCCGTCGATTGATCTCGAAGTCTTTATCATCCAGATACTCCTGCAGAGAGGCAGCAAGACTGGTGGGGGCATGTTTGAGCTTGGGTATGGCAAGCCTCGTCGCATGCTCATACTGCCGAGCGACACTCAGGTACTGCACTACCTGTTCCGTCTGTTTGCAAAACTTCTTGTATATTGCGATAGACCTCTCCGCGTCGGGCCTCGACATCTCAAAATAATGGCTCAAGACATTCATCACGCCCTCGTTCTCGACATTGTACAGATCCAGCAAGTCCCTCGTGAGCAAACGGAATGCAGTCAAGGAGATCTCATTCTCCACATCGTTGTTCAAGAAGGTGCATCTCACTAATGCTGCAATTTGGCTCTGTACGGTTTCCGTCTCACGAAGCAGCCCTTTGTCCACGGTCAGGCGCTTCATACGCCCCTCGCCAGCGCGCACATAGTCGCATCTTGTCCGTTCGTATCCCAGTGCGCGCGAGAGAAGGTATTCAGAGTAAACGCGGATATTTTGCCCTTGAGTCTGCACGTCGGTGAATGTGTTGATGGCTAATCGATTGCGCGGCGCGGCGGAAAGGTAGCTGAGCGTGACGTCCTGCACGCCCTCCTTGATCATCAAATGCACGATAATCAGCGCCTTGAAGGCCACGGTCCACGTCGAGTCGCGTAGTCGGTTCTGGAGCGTGCGGAAGACCTCGGCGACGCCTGCCTCGCCGGATTGCGTGGCAAGCAGGATGTGCTCGACATATTTGGACTTGGGCGGCGCAAGCTTGACTTTGGTGCCTCTCTTGACCGACTTCTCGAATGAGTTGCTCATGGCCGGGTTGTAGCGGTGGTTCGCCAGGGACATTCAGACGCAGCGGCGCGGAGCGGATGGGGCGCGGCGGATTGGCGGAGTTACAAAGGCGGCGGCAGCATCGCGATCGCATGCAGCAGCGTTTACAGGCGGGCGGCGGGCGTTGCAATCACGCGCTGCTGTGAGGTGAACTGTGAACTGCGAACTGGCAACGACGACAGAGGTGCAGCTCGGCCGGCTCGGCAGGTTCAGCCACATCAACACGGCGCACGGAGAGACTTAGAATATGCAGGAGCATGACATCAGCCCCAATTTCACACTATCAGGCACATGCTACACAAGTCTTCCATCACTCCGTCTCCAACCTCGCTGTCCGTACTTTCCACCCACGTCCGTGTGCTCGAGATCGGCGTCTCGCAGCGTCATGTCTGAGCTGTCCGCCGATGTCTTCTCATGCCACATGCAGCACGAATGGCAGTAGGCCTTCGTCCTCGACCAAATGGGCCATGGTCTCCTCATCTGCCTGCATCGCGACCTCCCACATTTCCTCGTCCTCACGTGGAGGCAACAAGATGCAGCCCGCATTCATGCACTCTCTGCTTGCCTCACGCACGAACTGAGGTGCGCCAAGCCCCAGGCCCAAAGTCGCCGCAGTTCCCATTGGCATTTCAGACCAATTGGTGATAACGAAGTCAGTGTTGAGGTTTGCACCGATGTCGAGAGCGCCACGGACATCCGAAGCATTGTTGACTGCGGCGATGGTGGCACGCAACTCCGTCTCGTCAGTCGTCGAAATGCTGTCATGAACCAGGTGAGCCGTGTGGCTCAACGTTCCAACGTCGAACGGCAGGCTGAGGCGGATGAAGCGTTCGGTGGCTTTCGCAGGGACGCAAGCATTGCCAAAGTAGTCAGGTCCAAGAACCGGGTCGAGACGCATGCGCATGTCGACCGGGAAACGGCATGTTGACGTCTGCTTCTCTTCCACTCTCACTCTTGGGCTTCGGCCCCTGGTGATGGCCTTCCAAAGAATAGCCACCAGGCATTCGAGTGGTCCAATAGTCTTGCAGGGCTCGTCAAACGACAATACGGCCCGCTCGTTGATCAGACTTGTCGTTTGACGAATCTTCCGCAAATCAAGTGCCAATATTTGGCAGCTGGCGGATCTTGGTGCACTTGGATTGCTCGATGGCTTCTGTGCTCTTCCGTACTTGGTCTCCTCAAAGCGTTTGGCCTTGACTCCACGAGAACCGGAGAGGCGGTCTCGGCTTCTGGACTGATCAACAGCATCAGATCTGACATCAGTCGAAGCAAATTCTAAGAGCCTATTAGTCGCAAAAGACCGCATTTCTATTTAGGCTCGCACTTACCATGGCCACTAGACATCAGGCGGATGATGGCTGACATGCCACGTTCGTCAGACACTGCATGATGCAAGAAGACCGTGACGAACACTCCCCCTTCGATGAAGGTTGCCTGAACGGCGAAGACTGGGCTCTCTCCCGCCGCCGGATCTGGGAAGTCCGGCAAAGAGCTGAAGTTGGTTCCTACTAGGGTGCTGGCTGGCATTCCACTTGTGGCGAGCTCATCGTATGTCTCCGCAAAGTGCGCTTTACTTAAGTGTTTGACGATAGGACGGATTGCTTGACCCTCCGCTTTCACGAGAACCTGAAGATGTCCGCTCTGCCCCTTGTCTGTATCTTCCTGTTGTCCTTGTTCACGAATGTCAAGCAAAGCGAACGTATTTCCGCCGGTGCTCTCTCGCCTTGACTGCAGTAGTGGGGCGAAGCGGGCGCCGATGCTGACAGTCTCTCGGCGGAGAGGTTGTGCGTGACTTGGCAGCACAAACTCGACGGCTTCGGTATTTGTTGATGTTGAGCCTGCTAGGATGGGGTAGCGATTGACGGCGCGCTGCATTGCATCGGTGAGTCTTGAGACGACATCATCTGCTCCTGTTTTGCCGTTTCGATATGGGAAGCAGTAGCAACAACGGACTGTACACCTGTCAGCGGTCCATATACTCGACGAGGCGTCCCCAGTTCGACTCACTGTAACTTCGTACCGCCGACTGGTCGATGGTCGACAGCCGGTACGACACTGGCTCGGTCATGGTGTTCGATTGCTGGTGTGGTGGAGGTGTAGAGAGAAGTCGACGTAGCTGTGGTGTGCGAAGGTCTTCAAGGTTATGTGAAGAAGTGCAATGACAGTTTGTGGAGCTGAAGAAAACAGTTTCGCGATGCACCTCGGCGGAAGTGAAGACGGCAGGTGGCACGGCCGTTCGTTTGCTCTCACATTGCATACATTATGTAAGTTTGTTGTTGCTGATGGAAACCGTTGACAAGCAACAAGTACGATGCAACCTCAAGTGAAGCTTCAGGTAGGCATAGTCCCAAATCGTGTATTTCTCGCATGGCATCCCCTCATCGCGCATGGAGAGATGCAGCAGTCCGTCCTCCAGAGAGCAAGCTCACTTGGCTCCCAATTCCTTCCACTTGCGGGCACAGGTCGCGGCAGCAAAGTGATAGCTGCTCCCCTCCTGCGCCAGGTACTCGCTGATCTTCTTCCATGGCAAGCGACCACTGTCTCGACCACGACCACGGCCATGCTGACCTGAGAAGCGAGCGACAGCTCGGTTGAGAAGGCGAACCTGCACTTTCGTTAGGACACGGCTGCATACAGATGGAAGTGCAAACATCATGGACTTACATCTTCCGCAGTCCATTCTGGCCGACGGACACGCTCAGTCTTATCCTTGGTCAATACCCTCACCCGGCCTCGCAGCGTCGACTCTGCTTCTCGGAAGTTGCCCATGCGCTTGATCTCCTTGTACGAGAAGCCTTCGTTCCTCATCTTGAGCAGGTACTTGTCACGGGCGCGACGAGCATGCGCGTCATGGAGGGCTCGATCGTTCATGTCTTCTGCGACGTTGTCCTCAACATCCATGTCGGAGCTACCCTCGCTGAACGACTCGGAGCAGTCCTCCTCACGACCTTCGCCAAAGCCCTGGATCACACCGGCCTCTGGACGCAGAAATTGCTGTATGGCAGCCGGCTGCACGCTCTGGAAGTCCACGTAGGCGGACGTGAAATCCGGAATGCCAGTGGGCATGGGATGCCCGTGTGGGTGGTAGGTGTTCGATGTCGGCATTGCGATGGTGGGCCACTGACCAGACTGCGTGTGGAAGGCAGCTGCCAGCGTCATATTACCGAAGGATGCGGAGCATAACGCTGGTGCATAAGCCGGTGTCGCCGCACTTGCCGAAGTTAAGGGGTTTGAGGACAGGGGTCCGAATGAAGAGTCGAGCTTGGGAACAGCGTGCTCGAGGAAAAGATTGTCGTGCGTGCGCTCGTCTTGCACATGCACTGAACTGTCAGACTGCCGGCTGCTTCCAGGGGTCCGCGGGTCGTTGCTGTAGGTGTCGGTGGTGGACGGTGATGGTGCATTGTCACACTCGGTCGTCGACATGAATGATTGCCCACTCTCTACGTTTTCGAACTTAGCGAGATCCACTCGACTGGAAAGCAATGAGCTGCGCCGAACACAGCCATTGTCGATGTGTCCGATGCCCAGCGCACTGGAACTGCGCAACCCGGGCCCATAGCCGCGATGAGTGAGCGATTCTGGCGCCGCGGTGCTAGCAGACGAGCCGGGACGAGCTTGAGGTGTTTCAAGGTTGGCCAGAGATGAATGCCCGGTGGGCATTGGCCACATTGCTTGTTCGCAGTGAGTTGTGTCCATTGACTGATATGACAGTCCGGCGCAGTCGGTGGCAGGGGCAGTGAAAGAGTCATCGAGGCAGTACTCTCGCCATGGGAATGAGTCCACCGTGGCCAGATCTCCGGCCACTGCGCTAGGCGGCGTCATAAAATCATCGAAAACCGATGCAGAGAAGCTGGATTGGAGGTCGCGGTTCAATGGGGGTCGGAAGGTCAATGTCGGCGTCGGCGTCCCGTGTGGGTATTGATCGACTGGCCGAGACACAGGCATGATGAGGTATTGCTGAGTCCACGGAGGTCTCGCGCACTGGCGTCGGATGTTTTGATGAAGGGGATATGGATGCACGAAGTTGGGCAGAGACATTGCGCGAGATGAAGCTAGAAACTGTTAGTGGCGTTGCATTGGCTGACAGAGCTTTGCTGCAGTCCACAAGCGCGGTGTGCACGTACCTTCAACGGTCAGGAACTGGCACGTGGATTGCAGCGGCAAAGCACTTACGAGATGCAGCCCGGGCGTTCGTGCAGGTGGAAAGTCGCAAGAACGGGCAGGTTCGAGCCGTGAACTTGTGCAGATGGGTCAGGGCGGTGAGGACGATGCAGTCGCTGGAGAGCGTTCGACACAGGATCTCTTGCTTGAACGAGTGAAGCCGTAGGTCTCAAACGCGCTCACCGACCTCTGCTCGTAGGCAGCGAGCAGGAACTGACAAGATCGATAGTGGCGATTGGTGGGGCGCGGCAGTGATGGATGTTTGCACGGGTTTCTTGTGCTTGACTTCCGTATTGCTGAGGCTTTCTGGTCTTCAAGCTATGGTGGTCTGTTCCGTAAAGGCGCAACGGACGATTTCGATTTGCAGGGAACCGGATTTGAAGAAACAAGCCGCCAGAAGAAGGACAAAACAACAGCCGCCAACGATGTGAAGCAGAAAGCGAACAAAAACAATCAGAACCAACCTCCAAGTGCAATCCCTTACGGAGTGGAAGTCCGGGCTTTGCCACGGGCATCGTCCATGCTTTGTATTGCACGTTTCAACATCGTGCCCCGCGAACAACACGAATGTTCGTTTGACTCTTTCCGCCACTCAATGTCGGGAGACATTAGGACGAACGTTCCGCGCTCCGCCCATGTGTTCCAGGCATTTCTGTAAGACTTCAGGGTGGAGCCATAGGCAGGCTGCGACTCCGCGCGGGAACGATGGCAGAGGATACAGGGTGCTGGACTGCCTAGCCTCAAACAATGTGGTGGATGGCCCAATGGTGAGGCAACTCCTTCCGCGCCTGTCAACGGCAGCATGATGAAGAACCGTGTCGTGCGTTCACACAGGTCCCTGACAGGGTCTGAGATTCTCGGATCGGACCTGTCATCAACATCAATATGCTGCTTTCCGGGCCAGCGCAGAGGGCTAGCTCGGCTTGCATGTGGCCTCATCACTCAGGCCGAGATGATAGCGGCAAAATCGACGGCTGAAGCGATTGTCAAGCAGACAGTGGCAAAGTCCGACGTGATGCTTGCATGTTGCCATAGTGAAGCAGATTGCCATGTCTTGTCGAGCCTGCTTCACTCTGCGGCGACATGCTGGGAGAGCACTGAGCTTGGCAGGATGGGTGTCGTCGGCGATGGAGCGTGCGCTCGATGGCTCTGCTTGCAGCAGTTGTTTACCTGGAAAGCTGCGCACACTGCAAGACTTCATTGGTACCCCGCGGTAGCATGCGTGTGGTGCCAACGATGGTCGACCTATGCTGATCACAGCATCGAATGTGACAGCTCATCTTCTTATGCCTCGACTTGCATAGACATACCTCTGAATCGTTCATCGTCCAGCTGGCCCAGCCTTTCCACAGCGAGAGGCAACGAGCGCGGAGGCAGCGTCAGCACGCCCTTCCCCAGGCGCCCTCCCGCTTGTTTTGATCGGCAGCGGAAGTGTCGCGAGACAGAACGCGACGCCCCTGGGCGAGCGCCTGTCAAGCCGGGCCGATGCATGTGCCCGCGACCCATGCTCCTGTCAAGCTGTGAAGAGCCTCTGGCAGAGTGGAGCAACGTAGCAGCGTGAAAATGGGCACAAACGACAGCAGGGCAAGGCGGCAGATCGGCCGGTCCATCATCAGCTCGTCACGTTTGACAGTGTGAAGTGAGATGTGAGATGTGAGACGCTCGGTCGCATCAGATGGAGCTTGGCCATCAGCAGCTTTGGTGTGGTGTACTATGCGAACTCGCAAGTCGTGAGAAGCGAAGTCAAGCCACCTCCACGAAGCCAAGCCACAGACATTGCCGAGAGTTTCGCTTGCTATTTTGGGGTTGGAGACGATCGCTTCATCTTCAACTTTCCGGGACAGAGAGCAAAAGAACCATCCATTTCCGCACTGCATGAACAGCCGAGACGACCGAACCTGCACGGAACCACAAAGCGACCAATGTCACTCTGCTGGCACCAATGACAACGTGCAAATTATCTTATTGGTGCGCAGAAGGCATTTTCTCTAACCGCCTGTCGTTGTCCAATAATCAAGCGAGCTTGAGAAGGTGGAAACTTCGTCTATACAGCGCGTCGTGGAAACTGCGCACTAGCACATTGGAACGCAGTCGGGATATCAATTGACTGGTCGGCAACATGCGGCCTCGAGCGCACATTGACAGCAGTGCAGTGCACGAGCAGTCTCGCGGTCTCCCCACCTCATCACAACCTCAAGCAGCCCATATTCATGCCCAGAGCCACCATCTTCGAACGATCGTTGAACAATTGCCGCCCCGAAGCTGCCATCTTCCAGCCCGGTGTGCTCGGCAGTACAGCGGAGTGAGCTGCAGGAGCATGCGATGAAGAGTACTTGCCATCTGTGTGTAGTTGAAGACTGCTTAGCCGCCGATGCTTGCTTCGCGCCGACCCACGACCTTCTCAGCGGCCACAAGTGCTTTTAATAGCTTGAAACAGGCGCGATACTTCCTTTCACTGCTCAACCCGCATTCCATGACGTCTCGGATCCAGCTCACGTCGATTCGAGGGCCATTGAGCCGACCTGCTCGAATACTCTCAAACATTTTCTGCAGAAGCGCTCAGAGAGCATTGCAAATTGGTGTTTCAGCCTGGCGTCCTCCTGGAGGCCTGTGGGGCCTGTACGCCAGACCAAGTGGTTGGAGTGCTCGCGTGCTGTTTCAACCACGCTCTGCAATAGGCCGAAACATCTACTTGTGTGTATCAGAGGTCCATATAAGCTGGCCTGTTGCCACTTCGGCTTGACAGCAAAACACAACCTGCGAGCGGCTGGCCTCTCTCTGTCTTCGGTCATCTGATCGACTTTTCCTCTTTTATTTCCTTTAGTCTTTCCTTATCTCTTGTTGGGTCTGGTACTGGTTCTCCAATTAGCTCTAATCCATAATTGCAAGTTTCTCGCCAGTCTTCCGTTTCACTGGAATCTACGACGCCTGGCCTGCGTCCTCGAAGATCGATCATACCACTATCGGAACGAATTGCCTTCATCTTTCTCAGGGCTCCTGAATGACCAACTACAACCATCTTCCGATCATGCCCAAGCAAATCCGGGCAACTATGGCTGGCAGCACGGCTTCCTCGGCACCGTATCCGTCAGCGTCTGAGCATGTTCACAAGGCCGCAGCAATCTGGAGCTCGGCTGACGATGAGATTCTCTTACGAGCTCGAGCATCGGGACTCAACTGGCAACCCATTGCGAACCGCCACTTTCCGAACAAAACTGCGAATGCCTGTCGAAAACGCCATGAGCGTCTCATCGAACGCCGCCATGTTGACGATTGGGACACGCACAAACTTGAACTGCTGGCCACGGAGTACATGGCGTGTAGACGGGAGATGTGGGAGATCTTGGCATCTCGCCTGGGCGAGCGATGGGGGGTTGTCGAGTCTAAGGTGAGTCGGATTTCTTTTCTTTAACTCTGGTAGTACACTGCTAATTGTTCACGTCAGTGTATGGAGAAAGGGTTCAAGACGCTCCAGACGGCGGCGCGAATGGCCCAGAGAAAAGCGTCCGTGGCCTATCAGCCTGTCGACGAACACGGAGGTATCTCGGACCACAACAGCGATTCTGGTATCGGCTTTGGTTCGGAGGCTGAGATGGAGGCAGGAGAGGCCAGACCTTCTGGCGATGCTGCGTCCTGGCATGCACAGTCGACGACTGAGCGCACGCGAACGCAGTCTCGACAGGAACACGGACGATCGCGGAGTCTTCCACAACCTCTACCACTCTACCAACCGCCCCCTCCAATCCGCCGCACGTTCGACAGAGATCCATCAAGTGTATCGCCGCAGGACGATGAATTCCAGGCTCCAGGCGTCTCCCAGCGCTGCTCACCCGACTCGCAGAGCACAAGAGGCGGCATCAGCATTCAATCTGTGCTCTCCAATTGATTGCATATCAATTTTCTTTTTTTGTACACTGCAGCATGTTGCGATGAGATACCCCCAGCTGCTGGAACGATTGATGTAAAAGACAACTTCACGACTGATGACGAATTTCCTTGTGGGTGTACGATAGCAGGAGTACTTCACATGCTGTGCTTTCAATGCTAGATAGACGAGAGTGTGGGGCCATCGGCTCGACCACATAAATATTCATGGCCTTCTTCGTCACAGTGCTTGGCAGCTATGCGTTTTCCTCCACTCCCGTCCGAGCCTCGGCGGACTAGCGGAGAGTGGGCCGGTGCATTTTGGCGTCACGACAACCACTGGCGCAGCAGCTGGTGGTCGTGTCGTCGAAAACGTACTGACGCGTCCCAATGCAAAGTCTCATTGTCCCGCCGCGACCACTGCAACCTGGTGTGCGAGAAAGTTGCAGCAGCCGCATAGGCTGATCCTGGCGCGTCCCCTGAGGCGACTTGTCCTCAATGCGCAGCCTCATTTCCTCCTCGTGGCCTCCGCGATGTAATGCCTCGACGTCGACCGTGCACCACGCAGCGCGCCGACTGTTAAAACCGAGCAGCCAGCGCCGCATCCTGCTGACCATTGCCTCCGCCTCCGCCCACGCCCACGCCCGCCCTCTCCACCGCAGTCCCCATCAGTGGTCCTCTCTCGTCCATTCCGCCCGCGCCAGTCCGCCGACGGCACCGCGAGCCCCAATGGCGACACAGGTGCTGCAGAAGCGCACGCACGCCGGTCACTCGCACGCAGGCGGCCATCATCACCACCATCACGGCGACAATGCCTACCTCACGAGTAAGAATAGCAAGGACCCGGGTGTCCGCATCACTCGAATCGGTCTATACGTCAATTTGGGCATGGCAATAGCAAAGGGTGCGGGAGGTTACATCTTCAATTCGAAAGCGTAAGACAACCCGTTCTCGAGCAAAGACCGCCGCGAATGCAGCGTATCTCGTGCCGACAGCGAGCTCACCAAACCTGCAGTTTGACCGCCGATGCGGTACATGCTCTGACGGATCTCGTCTCCGATATTATGACACTTGCTACAATCTCCTGGTCAATACGCCCGGCGACCTCAAGGTTCCCCATGGGATACGGCAAGATCGAGTCCCTCGGCGCTCTAGCCGTGTCGTGCATTCTCCTTGGTGGTGGGATTGGCATAGGACTGCAGGCAGTCCTTGCTTTGAGCCAGCAGTTCTTCCCACATATTCACGAATTTTTGTCACATCTGGGATTTTTAGCACATTCCCACTCGCACGATCACGCGCACGGGGCGGCAGAGGTTGGGCCCAATATCAATGCTGCGTGGCTTGCGGCGGGATCCATTGTGATCAAAGAATGGCTATATCGAGCGACCATGAAAGTCGCCAAGGAAAAGCGCAGCAGCGTGCTGTCTAGCAATGTTGGTGATCTGACGACTTGCAAATCGATCTTAGCTAACAAGTGCAGGCTTACCACCACAGAGTGGACAGTTTGACGGCATTCGTCGCTCTCTTCACTATCGTTGCGAGCCATTTTCTGGAGAGCGCGCGATGGCTGGACCCAGTTGGAGGACTGGTCATCAGTGGGATGATCGTACAAGCGGGATGGGGCAATACCATGTCAGCACTCTACGAACTCGCGGATCGTGGACTCGAAGAGGAGATCAGGGAGAAGGCCGAGACGACGGCTAGAGGTGCTCTCAAGAATTACGGACTCGAGCTTCGCGGATTGCAAGGCATTAAATCTGGTCAGAATCTCATGTTCGAGCTCGAAGTTGCTGTGCCAAGCGACTGGACTGTATCGCGGGCCGATGAAGTGGAGCAAATTATTAGGGATGCGATTGCACAGAAAGTGAGGGGGACCAAGCGCGTCACGATCAGGTTCACCACCAGGAACAATGCACCTTTCGCGGACGAGTTTGTTGCCCGTAGCGATGATCCAGAACACGGAGCGGACGAGGACCATCATGACCACGACCATGATCATGATCATAGCCATTCGCACGGGAAGGCCATGAATGGTTCGACGTCACAGAAGCGAAAGTGAATAGACCTTTCAGCCTCTAATCTCGCCTGTTTAATCAGCAGTGCACACGAAGCGAGGCACAATATAGGAAGTCAGCCTCGAATCGAGCGATGCCCTCAGCAGAGAGGCGGTATGCTAGAATATTGGCATTCGCTGTAAATGACCTTTGCTGCAACAAAGCTCTCCACTGGTCACGAGTTGCTTGGAGCATGTGGCACAAGCGTTGTCAATGCATTAGCTTCGCCATTTCTGACTCGAGCTTGCGGCGTCTTGCGATATGTATAGTAAAGTACCTCTGTGACGGCCGCGCCTGGTGCTGACGGATCGGCCTGTGTGAGGCATGTGCGTTGCAATGCATGAGGGTCTTGTCTTCGAATTGTTTGAAACGCAGTGCGCAGCTCAGTGCGACTACTGTGCTCACGCCACAAGTGGCAGAAGGATGAGACAGAGACGATCACAGATCGGAGCGCGGCTCTGCGAAAGTTCGGAGTCAAAAAAGATCAGCACACCCTTGCACATGCACTGGTGATCTCGGCTCGCCGCAAGGCGCACTTCAGCTTCCAACTTCCCAGTTTCATCCAGCGCTGTTGATGAGTATTGACGTTCGCTTTGGGCGTGCTATCGTGGCCATCACGTCGCGTGCTCCACCCACACGCGCTGCAAGCTCCTAGTGCTCCTGTGGCAGCTGCATGCCGATGTCTCGGCGAGCAAAGGCGCACGGCAGGACGGGGCGATGGCTGCGTCGTCGTACATGCGCAGGAACGAACGACAACTTGTGCTGCTGACCGGGGTGTTTGGACAATGACGCTCCCAGTCATCATTTTTTGCATGCACGTTCCTCGCTCGCGTCGTGTCTTTCTTGCATGCTCGTCGTACAAACAAGCTCGCGACTTCCGGTTTGTGTTATTTTCTCCTTCTCCCTTCAAAACAACTCCAAACTCGCTTTCCCATCTTCTCTTCACGACTCGACACGAACACATCAATCAACGAATACAAGCAGCTTCATACCAAAGCATCAGCACTTGCGAACACACGAAACTCATATAACGACCACACGAAACACATCCACAACTCGAGGCCACCGCAAACATGGGCGCCGTCGTCTCTTGCTTCAAGTCCGTGGTCAATGCCATCACAAGCTGCTTTATGGCTGTTGTGAACGCCATCGTGGCCGTCCTCAAGGCCATCGTCAACGTAAGTCGAGCTTTATGTTTGAGCAAACGCGACACGCAAAACTAACCAACCTACCAGGGCATCGTCTCCGTCTTCTGGGCTATCGCCTCGTGCCTGACTTGCGGCAAGGCTGGTGGACGTCGGAAGAGGGCAACAACGAGCGCGGTCTAGCGTTCGTCACACATCAAGAACACCATCCGATTGTGGACCTCGACACAGTTGGCAAGCAGCACGCGTTTCGGCGCGTTCGCATGAGGACATTCGAATGAGCATCCGATTGGGAGAGGGTGGAGGTATTGTCATTGGAGGGAGGGGCAGGCTTTCGAGGACTTTTTTCGATCTGTGGTTTCGCCCGAGTTTCATCAGCGGTTTCCAGGGAGGCGTAGCAGTGATACCCATAGCACGAATTGCACTAATACTCTTTTGATCCGTTCTGAGGGCTGCTTTGTTCCTGGGGCACGCTCTTGTCTGTTCAACATTCATCGTCGTGGGCTCATGAGTTGTGATATTCCAACCTCACCTCTCGAGGTTCCGTAAGATTACATTCGAAGCGACTATGAACCAAAAACAACATTCAATCGCTCTCCGTGGGCGCCGTTATCATGATTCAAGCATGGCATTTCAAAAGTGCTGGGATACATGGTAGAGGGCACATGCCATACGATGAAGCCGCCGTTCGTGTCTGCGAACGTGCCTCGTCCATGATACATCATCTGTCCATGATACATCATCTGCCCCCTCAGGTTTCTTTCGTGTCTCGGTCGTCATTGCGGTTGATCATGCCCACGCTCAGTGCCTGCTGCCGTAGATTGCTGTACCGTGTTAGCGCCATATGTCTGCCTGTATCTGCCATTCCAACTTACCGCTGGGCACAATGATGACAACCAGCAAGATGATAATGCCAATAATGATGCACATTCTCATCTTCATGTCCTTCCACCACATCTGCTTGCGCACTCGATTCGCTCCACGGCGGAAGCTATTGGCCTGGGTCGACAGGTGGTCGGTCTTGTCCTGCAAATTGTCCAATCGCTCGCCACGTTCCGAGATCTTGTGAATGTTGTTCTGCATGGTGTGGACGGCGCTGTCGATCTCCTGTTGTCATTGTCAGCCTCCGATTCCCACCTCCGCCGGCTTCCAGCGCATGCGCCCTTCGCGATGTCTGTCCCATTCTCGTGCAGATATCACTTACGCGCTGGAGACCTTGTGTGCGAGCATTTCCGGCATCTCCCTCTGCGCCGCGCTTCACATAGGGGTCGTAGAGACCTTCGTTGTTGCTGGAGGCCATGATGACGGAGGCTGTCGCCTGATGGTCAGGAGGTCGTGGATGTGTCGGAAGCGGTTCAGAGACGGTTTCTTAGCGTCGGCGTGCTGGTTGAGGGCGTTGCGAGAGTCGTGCGATGGTGAAGAGGTGTGCGCGGTGAGGTGGCGTGTGTCGGAGAAGTAATAAGGCGCAAAGCACGTTGACTGGGAGAGAGGCTGAGATGGCTTGCGACAGGGCCGCTTGGCACGAGCAGTTGCTGACTCACTAGAGCACGCTTGTGGCTCGGAACGGGGATTTCAGGTCGAGGCGACAACAACCGTGAATGCTACACAGCCACCAGGCGTAGATTATGGTGAACGGTAAAACGATCTTGGACAAAGACACTGGCACTATTGCAGACCTGCGTAAACAACATGGCATTGAGAGTGGCAGTCACATGATCGTCATCTCACAGGGCTTTCCAGGCCGCGGCTGTTGTGTAGCTATTTTGACCATGTTCGTAATCGCATTTTTGGCATGCACTCTCCGCCACCACTATGTACAAAGCTGCCGTAACGCACATGAACTGAGACGAGCCTCGCTGTCTCGATCATACTGTCTCAATGTACCTTCTCACTTCCCAATCAGTCACTGCCTCATCCCACAGCCGGATCTCATGCTCTCGAGTGCCAGCATAATGGTCGACGAATTCGTCGCCAAAGACCTCACGTGCGACACTCCCCTTACGAGCGAATGTCGCTGTCGCATCTTTCAGGCTCTTCGCCAGTCTTTGACCCTTGTCAGCCTCGCCGCCGACATCTTGGCCTTTCCCAAGCGGAGGCACGGGAATCTCCATCTTCTTCTCAACACCTCGCCAGCCGAGCGCCAGAATGGCCGCCAGGACCAGGTACGCATTTGTGTCAGCGCCTGGCACGCGTATCTCGAGTCTCGTGCCCTTTGGTGGACACGTTGGCGGGGCGATCAGGCGAATAGAAGCAGCACGGTGTTCCAGTCCCCACGAAACGGTGACTGGCGCCCAGAAGTTCTCAACAAGACGTTTGTAGCTGTTGACCGTAGGGGCAACGAGAGGCATGATGTCCGGTAGGCCGTCCAGCACACCTGCAAGGAATTGTCGGCCAATGTCCGAAACGTGCGCAATGTCCTCGTAAGGTGCGTTCTCGTCCTTCTCCTCGCGATAGAAGAGGTTCTTGCCCGTCTTGTTGTCTTTGAGCGAAACATGCATATGTCCGCTGTTACCAGGAAGCCCTTCTCGTGGTTTTGCCATGAAGCATGGCGTGATCCCATATTTCGAGCTGGTGTTCTTAACCGTCAGCTTGAACAAAGCAGCCTTGTCCGCCATTTCTCTGATTTCTCCATATTCCAGTGCAGCTTCGTAGACACCAGGCCCGCTCTCGGTGTGCCAACCTTCGATGTCGCACCTAAAGTTGCTGCACGTCTTAAAGATATCGTAATACCAGTCCTGGTTATGCGTCGGTCTCGTGAGAGAATACCCAAACATGCCCTCCTCTAAGCTCGGCAATGAGTTGACCGGATTCTGTTTCAAGAATGTCGCCGTCGCGCTCGAGTTGCGTTCGTCGGAATTCTGCGGTAGCGAAGGTGCTCGGAAGGTGAAGAACTCATATTCGGCTGGCACAAATACATGTTAGCAGAAGACTCTCGCACGACCTCCATACAGCATGAAAACAACTGCCCACTGCAGATCATTGCTCACCTCCCGCCAAAGCACCAACACCTTTGGCCTCAATCTTCTCTACGGCCGTCTCCAGCAGGCTTCGGGGACAAGCGCTCAGCTTGCCGCCCTCTGGCTCTCTGAAGCTAACCAGGAAGAAGGGCACATTGTTCTCCCAAGGTATCCTGCGGAAACTGCTCAGATCAACCTCTGCAGTAATATCCCTGTATCCATTCGCGGCGTTGCTAATTGCCAGCTCCCGGAAATATGTCTGGTCATGCATGTCCCAGCCAAAGATGACTGAGCAAAAGCCAAATCCCGAGGAAGCAATGGACATGAACTTCTTCTTGGACATCAGCTTCCCTCGTATCTGTCCGTCGATGTCCGCGCCGCCGACTTTGACAGCAGGATCATCCTTCAGCAGGTCTTCCAAATCCTCGTAAGTGAGCTTAGACGGGTCTTTGACGTCGGCCATGGTGCGTCTCTGTGCAACGCGTGTCGCGACTCAAGGAAAGTGGAATACGATAGAGTTGTATCGTTGAGTACAACGAGAGTGTTGCAGTGTTGAAAGGGATTGCTTGCGACAACTGGTCAGAGATTACTTCGGCCGGACCTGTTCCCAGTGTCGTTATCTGGAGTGGAGGCGCAGGTCGCGGGACTGGTATATATGCACGCCCACGGTTCACTAGCTGACCTTACCCCGAGCTGCGCAGCAGATCAGCAGGCTAGTCGCGTGGCTGCGTCGGCAAAGTCATTGCGCGCGGCCCATGACTTGGACCTCACCTGCGATGTTGCTGAACGCAGGGCCCTTGCTTCCCAATGCTCTCGACGGCGATGGCCTTGATGAAGCACGTGTCCATTGTAGTCTAGCCGGCGGACAGAGACCGATGTCTTCCCGCGCGATGAGGCGTCCGTCGCGAGCCTGACACAAAGCCGCCGAAACCGCAGTCCATACACGCGACTCGAGAGGACCCGTCAGTGTCCACTTATCAGAAGTGCGGGTCTAGTGAGGTAAAAGAACGCGCCCGACATGGCAAGTACAGCCTATACCACGGCGCAGTGTGCAAGATTGGGATGATAATGTCATGCGGAAAGCGCTAGCGTGCGACTGCTTCCATCAGCGGGCGGTGTGGATAAGGCATATCTGATGAAATCTGAAACGGCACGTCGTCACTTCACAAGGCTGCAGCACTACCACCTAACATCGCAACCTCACTATCGACACCGGTGCAGCAGCAATTGAACTGCAACTCGTCTTGTACCTGTGCGCCCCAGCTGTCATCAATTCTTCCCCATCCATTTGGCTTTGTGCTACGGATTCGTTTACTCGATTAGGAAGTGCCACAGAAAACTACTCTTTGATATGTGAGTGGACAATGCGCGGGCGGCATCTGGACATCTCAAGCACAATACTGATACAACATGACTAGGGCTGGCGGCGGAGACGCTCGACAAGGCCGTCTGGCCGGCAAGAATGCCATCATCACCGGCGCTGCTGGGTAAGTCATCACAGCGATCAAGTACTATCGATCGAGAAGAAGAATATACGACAAGATCATGCCATTGACTTGGGATACATCAATATCTGACCATTTTCTAGAGGTATCGGACTCGAGACGACCATCCTTTTCCTCCGTGAGGGCGCCAATGTCTTGATGACGGACATTTCGGAGGCTGCCCTTGAAAAGGCCATCGCTAAAGCCAAAGAGCATGCTCCTTCAGCAAGCGGCAAAGTCGAGATTGCCAAAGTCGATGTCTCCAAGGAAGCGGACGTTGAGGCTGCCGTTGCAAAGCTCGATGCCTGGGGTGGTCTCGATATCATGTTCAACAATGCTGGTATCATGCACGCCGACGACGCTGGTTCGTTCATTCATGACCAAGACTGTCCTCTCTGGCTTTCACTGACTTTGTATCAGATGCGGTCGACACACCTGAGAAGATCTGGGATTTGACACAAAACATCAACGTCAAGGGTGTTTGGTACGTCACTTTCGATGAGAAGATTGCCGACAGGATACTGATCAATATCCCTTGAACTACAGGTTCGGCAGCAAGCACGCAGTCCTGTCTCTGCGCAAGTACAACAAGACCAAGGGCAGCATCATCAACACGGCTTCCGTCGTCGCGCTCGTGGGATCTGCCACACCACAGCTTGCATACACAGCTTCGAAGGGAGCTGTGGCAGCCATGACGCGCGAACTGGCTATTGTCCACGCACGCGAGGGCTACCGCTTCAACTCGCTCTGCCCGGCTCCTCTGAACACTCCACTCCTGCAGGACTGGCTTGGTGATGATCAGGCGAAGCGCCACCGCCGCGAGGTCCATTTCCCCTCCGGTCGATTCGGCGAAGCCATCGAGCAAGCACAAGCCGTTCTCTTCCTTGCCAGCGACGAAGCTAGCTTTGTGAACGGGCATGACATGGTCGTTGATGGAGGCATGACCAAGGCATATGTCACTCCAGAGGGCCCAGCAACTCAGCCACCAAGCAACTTGGCGAGGTAAACGCCTCTATCAACGTGTACTTCCTTTCATCTCATCTGAGGTCTCTTTTGCATTGGGAGGAGAATTGTGACTTCTTCCGCGATGAGTTGATACACTGATAGAACTTGGATCTTCATGATAGTGCAGCCTGCAGCTTCTAAATGTACTGAGCTTCTACTGCTCTTTCAAACTTCACAGCCTGCTCCCAGAGCCGCCTTTTTAGAGACTGCCATGTCGACTGGCACAATGCTCTTTCTACTTCACCACCAACTCTTCAGTCTCTTCCATATAGCTACAGTCAACACCCAGATGAGTAGAAGGCCAACTACTGCAAAAGCCGCTTTGATTTCTCCAGCATCATGTGGCTCGCGTGCAAGTGCCCCTCTGGCCCACTCCGGGAGTCAGAGACTACCGCTGGATCCAGCTAGAGGTTTGTCACCAAGGTCTGGAATTCGTGAACACAAGTAGTTCTTCAAGTCCTCAATCTCCTCCGGCGCCGCACTGTGCGGTAGCCCCTTGTATGTGTTGAACGACACATCCCAGCCCCACTCCTTCAATTGGTCCGCCGTCATCTTGCCCCAGTCATATCTGACAACCGGATCTGCATCACCGTGGCCCATGAAGATTGGAGTTTTCTGGTTCGGGCTGTCCTTGGGCACCAGTTCCCGAACCTTGCCCTTGAGTAGCAGATAACAGGAAAGTCCAAAGATTCCACCCAGCTTTGTTGGTGAAGTTATGCCCGCCATCAAACTCATTGCTCCTCCCTGGCTGAACCCACCCAGAACGATGCGCTCTGTTGGAATACCAGCTTTGATCTCCTCCTCAATCAACGTGTGGAACACTTTCTGCGATCGAAGAATGCCGGCTTCGTCTTCGCTACGGTTGGCGAGATCTCCGAAATCTGCAATGTCGTACCATCCCGGCATTCGCATGCCCATGTTGACGGTGATCGGAATTTGGGGTGCATTTGGGAAGACCTAGACATCATGCAGTTCAGTCAGAAGTTCAGTTTAGCATGTCGGTCACGCTGAGAAGCAGAAGCTCATTGTTCCAGTTCAAACGATCGCGTGGACTTACAAACTTGGTCTCTGGGAACAGGGAGCGCTACTAGACAGTCAGCGTTACTCATGAAGCTGCCTCGAATTGCATACACGTCTGTACTCCTCAGCGAGGAAATACCTAGCCGGCAATGTCAGTCATGCCGAGCATATCATCCATTCTCCCATTTCACTGATTTGGCTTACCATCCTGCACCACTATTCGATGTGGTCAGCCATGTTGTTCATACCACTACTTCTACTTTCCCATCGTGAATATGTACCTATCGCCGAGGCCGTGAGCAACAATAACTGTCGACGTGTGCCGCTTCAGCGCGGGCATCACGAGCGCCGCAGCCCCTGAAGTCGCCATAGTGGAGGATATCCCGATGACAAAGGAAGATCAGCAGCTTGTTGTATTTCGCCGAAAGTTGATTGTCACTCTCGGTGTTGCGGCAGCACTGACGACTGAGGGGCGCGCGGAACACCTCCGCTATCGCATACAAGCAGCCCAATGGCTTACTTAGCAACTACTTTGAGGGTTACAAGTACAGATTGTCAAAGTAGGATTCTAGAAGCTCGTATGCACCAATGTATTATCAATGTTTTTCTTCAGATCCTGGGTGAAAGTGCTACTCCTCGGACTTCTTGCCGCTACCATTCCGTTCCTCGCATCTGACAATCTGCTCAACACTGTGAGAATAGCTACCAACGGCTTGAGAACACGATTGACTAGCGCCACCATTTGGCAGGGGGCAAATCCTCAAACCAGTAACTCCTCCCCCATTCCATTTCAAAGGATACAGACTACTTCCAGCAAGATGGCCCGCACACCTGTCTATTTTCTTTCCCATGGAGGCCCGAACATTATGGAGCAGAAGGACCACCCAGCTTACTCGAAGCTTCAGGAGATCGGCAGGGAAGTGACACAGAAGGTCCGACCGAAAGCCGTCGTGGTCTTTAGTGCGCATTGGGAAGGGTATCGGGACACTATTGAAGTCAACACTGCAGAAACCATGCCATTGATATATGATTTCTATGGATTCCCGCCACATTATTACGAGTTCAAGTACCCTCACGTGGGATCACCAGAGCTCGCAGAACGCGTGATGGAGAAGATTCGAGACGCAGGCCTGAAAGTCGAAGGCGTGAGGAGAGGATTGGATCATGGCGTTTGGGCGTCGTTCATGTGTGCGTTCGATCCACAAAAGAATCCGCTCAACGTCCCGATCGTTCAGGTTTCGATCTATGGCGAAGACGATCCCGATATGCATTACAACCTGGGCAAAGCTGTCGCATCGTTGCGCGAGGAGGGCGTCCAAATCATCACCAGTGGCCAAGCTGTCCACAATCTACGAGATTTGTGGCGGGGAATGCAGACACCGGGAGCGCTGGATTATGTACACTCATTCGATGAAGCGTTAAAGCAGGCAGTGGAGGAGTCTCCCGAGACCAGGCAAGCTGCCATGGCTGCACTGTTGAAAAGACCCGATGCGAAAAAAGCCCACCCTACTTTTGGTAAGTAAAGGATCGTGATTGCCGACCATGTGTCGTTTCCAGTCGTATCTGACAGTCAAGCAGACCACCTGTATCCCATTTATGTGGCGGCCGGCGCAGCAAGCTCTGAAGATGGCAATCGGCTGTGGACGATGGCGGATGGCAGTATGAGCTGGGCGCAATATCGGTTCGGGGAGGTTGGCGCTTAGTCCGCATTGCAGGCCCTAGAATCGTGAGAAGTCATGTATAAGAATCCTTCGGAATGCACAAACTCGTCGTGTTCTCCCAATGCACGTCTGTCACTTTTGGTTACCTGCATGGTACACGAGATACTGTACCCGGGTCTTGAGCTTGTGTTCATCGATTGGTCGGAGATTTGCGACCCCCAGCTGTCGCATCACCTGTTGCCCGAAGTCTTGACGCTCCGTCGCCAGGCGCAGCACCCAAGAATCTATCGCGTCGTCTCCTGAGCGCTTATCAGAGATTTGAGTAAATGATGCTCGATGGGTATCGTCGGATTCGTTCTTCGAGGCCCTGTCGTACTGTACACATGTACACAAGAAGCAGTGTGCTTCACAATTCCATTCGTCGCAAGCAATAAGATGTTCCCCTTCTCCCTTTTAACTATTGGCCCTTCACCAGTGCGGTGATTTTATCCTCGATCCCCTTGTCGTCCAATCCTGTCGCGCATATGTCAGTTTTCGGCGAACCAAGCGCTCAGAGCGTTGGGGCTCCTCATCCTACCCTTCAAGTCCTCCGCCTTTTCCCGCCCAAACTCATAACGCGCAATCACTCGAGGCTCAAAGCCCATTGCTTCTCTGATCAAAATGGGCGTGTATGGGTTGTGGTGCTTCATCGTTGGATAGGCGCGAGTGAGGAACGAGCTATTGGAGGGTCAGATGGGCTGGCAGCATTGCTTCGTGGGAAAGTGCATACCGGACAGCATTGGAGTGCTCTGAAGTCTGGCAGTGGTGGAAACGCAGCTCCTTGAGGGCCTTGGAGAAGGCATATTTGCCCGACATGGTGTTGACAGGAACGGGGCAGAAGGACGGACAAGGAGACAATAGTCGAGCTGCGCTGCTGCAGAGCAGTCAAGTGAGCGGCGGCATCAATGCGGTCGGCAATCACAAAGCACAAAGTCCGATAGCGCCAAGCAAGAGCCTCCATCACGACTCCGCCTTGTGCTGCTGGGTGAGCATTGGCACTGCTGCTCACCACCACCTCAACAATCCGCACACGCTCTCACGCTCGAGGCCAGCTGGACACACGGACACTTATCGGCGTCGTCCCTTCATTCCTCAGCATCACCGCCGCCATGTCCGCGCGATTCGGCCTCCGCGCTGTGCAGAACAGCTTCCGTCAGCCCGCGCTTCGCCAACAAGTCAACACCTTTGCTCAACGACGAGCCCAATCAACGGCAACAAATGCTGCAGAGGCAGCAAAGACCGAGCAGTCGGGATTTGCCAAGCTATGGAACTCTCCTGTTGGGCCGAAGACGGTGCACTTCTGGGCTCCCATCATGAAGGTGAGTTGAGCTGAGCCCGCCGGAGGCTTTACTCGTACGGCTCAACCTCATAAACACGTGCTGACATTCCAATCTCAGTGGGGCCTCGTCCTCGCCGGTGCCGCTGACTTCGCTCGTCCCGCTAAAGATCTTTCGCTCTCACAAAATTCAGCCCTCATGGCCACTGGACTGATCTGGACACGATGGTGCTTCGTCATTCGACCGCAAAACATGTTCCTGGCCAGTGTGAACTTCTTGCTGTTCTGCGTTGGCGCTACGCAAACCACAAGAGTATTGATGTACCAGCGGAGTTTGGACGGAAAGTCCGTGGGCGAGGAGATCAAGGACGATGCGAAGCAGGAGGCAGGAAATCTCGAGAAGGCGGTTGAGAAGGCAGAGGCAAAGATTGCAGGCAAGTAGGTGGTGCCATACCGAGACGGTTGATTCACGCGAACGACACGGGCACAGATGTGAGAAACCACATTCTGTGTCGCAGGCAGTGGCTTGCTTGATCAGCGACCATTTCCCTATACCGGAGCTAGGAGTCTGTATTGATTAATTCAAGCCCGTGTACATTGCAGCAGCTTCCTTTTGTATATAACGACTGGGACGCATTCAGATCTTTGAAAAGGGACAACCTTTACCGGTACGAGAGCTTTTGAAGCTCTGATTTTCACGACCAGAAGCTAGCATTGTCAACTTCTCGCCGTGAGAGAGGTTTACGAATACGACCCTTGGTGCACTTTCACATAATGGTGCAAAGCGTCGAGCAGAGTCGTGCGCGGGCCGCAGGCGTATAGGTCATGGCAGACAAGACTTACAAGCACTGCGATTCTCACAACTCTTCCACGACTAGCACGATGTGCAGCTCGACGAAATTATAACAGGTAACACAATTGGAGAACAGAAACATTCCACTTCTACAACTTCCACACTCAGATCTGTATTGTGTTCCCATTGCCGAAGTACCTCAGCAAGCTAATAACCGAGAGCTCACATCCGACCGAAAGTCGGAACATCTCACCATCATACCGGGCCTCTTTCTCCTCCTCTTTAGCAGATCGTGAACAATTGGTCCGACACTCGAATCACTTCTCTTCGGCGCTCCTGTTTCTTTCTTGCCTACCTCCATCCGACACTTCATTCGTGAACACTCAACACGTAAATACACAACGAACAGATTCAGCCGCGAAGATGAGCCAATACTCTGCATCCGTTCCAGCCGATGGCACAGTGAAGCCTGAGATCAGAAGCTTTTTCGAGAACTTCTACGCCATTTCAGATACTCCCGATGGACATGAGCGATACGCAGATCAATTTACGAATGATGGCGTTCTTATCATGGCGTCGAACAAAGTGCAAGGAAGAGACAGTGTGTTCTGCCCCGCTCTCTCATCGATCACGGCTCTCGGCGAAAATAAAGCTAACCAATCTGCACAACAGGCATCATTAAGATGCGACATGGCATGTGGGAGAAGGTCGCCAAACGTTCACACAAGCCTGCTCAACTGTATGCTTTCGGATCGGGTTCAGACGATATTATGCTCTATGGAACTGTCGATTACACGCTCAAGGACGGCCGAGGCACCACTGTCGATTGGTCTGCACGAGCGCACTTTTCGCAGGTTGGTGGAGAGTTGAAAATGGACTTCTATCAGGTCTACTTGGTGAGCTTGGTCTTTCAGTCATAATGTGTCGGATCATCGCTGATACCCTGAGCAGGACACTGCAGCAATGGCAAACGCTAAGTAAATGTAATGGACGGGCGCTGTGAAGTAAATGAACACTCAAGGCTCGTTGATAATGTGATGACACCGAGCACCTCACGGACAATGGAAACCAAGAAAGAGGGTCAATGTTCAGTTGAAAAGTTCTCCATTTCCTTCATCACATCACACACACTGTATAATTGTACAAAGATGCCTTCTCCACTAATGCATTCGTTCTGTCCGCGCACACTCCACGCAAAGTCAACAAACAATATAGGAGGTCTTTCCCCCATTGCGCCATTCCAGCGCTAACGCCCTAGAGTAAGGAGCATGTCCCCTCCCATCTCATTCTCTCTTTCTGAGCCACGGGTTCTCTGGACAGCGATTAAACCAGCAGCAACAAGAAACCAAAAATCAATCAGCCAACAGCTCTTCCAAGATGTTCTCTTTCTGATGCGAGGAGGAAGACCCAGAGAGTGCAAGCTTTCCTTTCCTCCTCTTCTCGTTCTTTTTCATTCCTTCTCTCTTTCTTGTTCTGCACTCCGTACGTCCCAGGCAACCGTGGCAACAACAGACAGGTATATCGGGTATGACAATGACAAACAAACAAACACCATCAGTGTCGGCAGGAAGAAAACGCCGCGCTGGCCGATTGACAACAATAACATCTGCAAGTGGTGAGCAAAACAAATAGGGGAATATCCCGCTTGGGTAGTCGTAAAATATGTTGCAGCATCCCACCCAGAGCACGACCTGATGATGCACAGAGCGCCACTGCCGACGACGAACAATGACAGAAGCATGTGTCAAGGCTTCTGCTTCTTGCTCATCCTCGGACTGGGCTTCACGCGGTTCCCGGGCTCAGTTTCATCGCCTTCCATTTTGACAGTACTTCGTCGTCGCTTATTACTGTTGTTCAGGTTCGGACTTGTGTTCTCGCTGGCCACGCTGCTATTTGTGCCTTGAGCGCTATGCTGAGGCATCATGGGCGGGGCGGCCATATTGGATTGATGTGGCGAAGGTGTGTGCGAGTTCATGTTCATTCCAGGTGCGAGCCCGCCAGGATGACCCAGGTGCGGCGATCCGTTCATCGGCAGACTCATGTGTGAGACATTTGGCGATGAGAACTGCCCGTTGGGGCCCATCTGCATATTCGCCATGCTCGGCGTTCGTGAGCCTTGAGGTACTCCATTGGGAGGTAGGCTGATCTGAGGGTTGTCGTATTCGGCCACCAGCGCTTCCAGTGCTTGTTCAGGCCGCATCTTCTTTTCTTGCGCGGCATGCATCAGATCAGACATGATGTTCATGGTCTCGCCGATCTATTTCCTGTTAGACAATCACTCTAGCTGCGGCTTCATCACACCCTCACTCACCTCTAAGAAATGCTGTACTTTGGACGTGAAGCCCATGGAGCCCTTCGGTGTCTTGGGAAAATGATCTATCGTGATCCGATTCTCTGCTTCCTGGAGCTTTTGCTGCGCCTTCGGAAGTTTGTTCTTAGTCATCTTGGGTGACGCTTTGGTGGACATGGTTGGGGAGAAATCAGTAAGGACTTTCTCGATCTGGGTTCGAGAGAGAATTTCCTCCGTGCTCATCGTTTGAAACGATAAACACTCGATCAGGTCCGACCCGGCAGAGTACAGAACCTGTAACGAGCCTGTCATTTCCAGCCGCGCACCGTTCGGATATGATACTGAGAATATCGCCTTCTGACAGGTGACTTGGTGGCTGCCGCTGGGATGCGGAACTTCTCGTGCGTGCTCTGTGTGCAATCGTAGCGAACTCGCCCCCGAGTCAAAATACGTATAGAAATAGCGGGCGACATTGGGTCGCAGAACCTCAAACGACCTTCTGCTAGGGTTGCCATTCTGGTCGGAGTTGGCGAAGCTGTGTATCAGCCGGCCATCACCTGCGAAGTGTTTCTCCACAAAGCTGTGCCAGTGCATGATATTCCTGCCATTGGCCGCGGAGCTGTCGTTGTCCGGCGTGAAGTTGCTGAGGTGGTCGTTGAAGTGCATTAGCCTGAGGATAAACATGCCCCCTTGCGCCGAGGCTGCTTGCTGTTGCTGGGCCATGCGTGCTTGCATTGCTTGCTGCCGCTGCATAAATGCAATCTGCTGTTGTCGCTGCTGTTGGAAAGCTTGCTGCTGTTGCGGTTGGGGCTGCGCCATAGCTGCTTGGCCTTGTTGCGGCGTTTGCTGTGCCTGAGGTTGACCTTGCTGGGCCGGGCTTTGCTGCGAATGTTGTTGCTGGTTGGTAGGGGTCTGTTCATTGGGGTTGGCTACCCGCGACTGTGGCCGCATCTGTTGTGCTGCAGCTGCAGCATTGGCGGCTTGCGCTTGAGGATTGGGAGCCGCAGATTGACCTGGGTTACTCTGCTGAGAGTTTGCATGCTGCATGGCCATTTGCTGGGCCATTTGACTCTGCTGATGCTGTTGCTGAGCAGCTTGCCTCTGCTGCAGAGCCTGCTGTTGCATCATCTGCATCTGCTGCTGCTGCAAGTGCGGTGTCAGCTGCACCTGTTGGCCTCCACCTTGAACAGCTTGCTGGGCTTGCTGATGTTGCTGCAATTGTGCCAACTGGGGATTCATCTGCATCCCAGGTTGCATCATGCCACTAGCTTGCGCTTGCTGGGCCATCATTTGTTGTTGCCGCATGCGCATCATGTGATGCTGCTGAGCCAAATTCGGATTCGAAGCCACTGCGAATGTCATATTAGCTGATGCCGGACAGCGCAAGCGAGACTGCCGCGCGCTTGACACGCTATCAAGACTCACTCTGTGCGAATTGGTGCTGGTGAGCCATCTGCTGTTGCGCAGTCATGTGGCTCAAGGCTTGTGCGTTGGGTACGCCGCCAGCCATACTCTGGCCACCCATTTGCGCGGGCATAGCCATCCCAGCACCAGGATGTTGTCCGCCCATTCCTGCTGGGCCCATGCCCGTTGCACCAGGCTGCATACTCATCATTGCGGCTCCTTGATGTGGTGGGGCTGTGACGCCCGGATGCATTTGCATTGGCTGTCCCATGTGTTGTCCTGGATTCGGGCCCATTCCCGGGTGACCATGGGCCATGCCTGGGTGCACGCCTCCAGGCGTGGGTTGATACGCGGCCATCATGTTGCCGCGCTCAGAGAAAGAATGCGCGCAGGCGTCGGCGACGCGTGCAGCAGCGCGGAGGTGGAGGCTCGAGGGCGCAAAGGCGCGAAGATGTGCCGCCGGCCTGAGAGCGGTCGAGCAGCAGTCTCAGGGCGGGGCCAGCAATGCATAGAGTAATGCAGGCTAGCAATGCAGTCGTCGAGTGAGAGCCCAGGTCCCACGCAGCGTGCTCAGAGGATCGAAGTCGGCGGTCGCAGCCCGCTGGCGTTGGGTGCTGTCGCGGGTGCGTCGCGGTGCGCTAGGGTGCGGTGCGCGGGCGGGCGAGCGTGCACTGGCGACACGGTCCAGCAGTCCGACGGGGAAGAATGGGGTGGAGGGTCACGCGCGGCGATGGAGTGAAGTCGCGATGCGAAGCGGGAGACCCAGTGTCCAGCGTGCCGGCAGGTCGAGGTGACGGCAAGCCGTCGATCAGTCCGTGGCTACTCGGCGCAAGCCCGTGTCTCAACACAGCGCAGGTCGGCAGCGGGCAGGCCGTTCGTCGTGCCTCGATCGGGCGGCGGTGGTGCAGGTGGTGGTTGGGGGTGCACTCAGCGTCGGCGGCGCATGGCGGCGGCGACTCGGGACGGTGAGCACAAGCAGCGACGAGACGAGACGGTGCGGGAGAGCGAAGTGCTGGTCGACAGCGCAGCACAGCGGCCTCTGCCTGCCACGCCCTCAGCGACACGAACACGTGCCCCTGAAAGTCCTGGCCCTTTGCGTCTGCTTCCTTTTGCTGCAATGCTGCCATTACTCGCGTTTGCACACCTCACCGCTCCGCCCTCCCCTGCCACGCCGACAATACACGCAGCGGAATTGATCATCGCGACGACACCATTTTCCTCCGATGAGTTGCCCGTCTGATCGCCCATGTTCTGAGAAGTTATGTGCTCGCTGTCCTGACGTCGACTTTTGCACGTCGGGATAAGCTCGGCCGCTGCTCCCGCGCCCGAGCTCTCTGGATTTCTTTCTACAAATTCCAAGCTGTTCGACCATCACCACCAACCCATCTACCACCTCGCACATTGCAGCCGCAACACCCAAGGTATGTACACACGCGCCCCTTCCACTCACCAACATCCGCCACACTTGAAAGATGACAACCATAAATCATGTCTTCTTTTCCCAACTGAGTCGCCCTTGAAGAAATCAGTCTTCTCGTCCTGCCTTCGCCGGCGGGATGTAATACTTGCCAGTAACCTTTGTCTGACATTTAGCACCTCATTACTCCCGCACACATCACCACTGTGCCGCGCAGCTGCTAACAGCAAATTTGTCCAGATTTTCACCTCGATTTTTCGTCCACCCATTCGAGTTCCGGATCCCACCCAACTTCCCGCGCGAAGAGCATGCACAATATGTCGATCGGCAGCACTGCACCAGTACGCACACACGAGGTCAGTGGCTTTGATTTCTCTCCTACACACATCCAGCTGGATGATGAAACACACACCACATTCGCAGTTTTCACTCTATCCCCCACCACGAACCTATCGGGGGTAAATGAGGGCGCAATCTTCCTTGGATGTCTGACCCAAACACCAGCAAATCATCTCTTCACACCACAACGTTTCGAAATTTCTTTCGACTGGGTTCTGACTTTGCTGTATAGGCTGTCGCGCTGTGCTATCCATGCACGCCGCTTTCTCATAGGCATACTTTCATCTGCATTCTGCCCGTTGTGGCGGACTCGGGAGAAGGCTGTGCTGGTGACAAGAACGTTGTAAATGCTCGCCCGACTATGCTGGTAATCGCCCAAGCTACCCAGCAGGTACAATATCATCCTGTGCTTTATTTGACCAATTTAACTATGCATCAATCAAGTTCTCGCTCTCCCCATTCTGCTCAGCTTGTCCTTCCTCCTCCCCGTTGTCTCTTGTATCCTTCTTGCTCGATCTCTGATAGTACTCATCCAGCACCTTCTTGGGGATACGGTTCAGCAGCTCCTTGGGGTAAATGCGGAGCAATTCCCATGCCTTGTCCAATCCGTCAAAGATGGATCGTTTCTCGTACATGCCCTGCGAAATGTACGTCTTCTCGAACTTTTCCAAAAACTCGAGCGAAAGCTTGTCCTCGTTTGACAGCGCTTCCTCACCGACGACTGCCTTCATCGAGGCGGCGTCACGACCGATAGCGTACTTGGCGTAGAGCTGGTTGGACACGTCTCCGTGGTCCTTGCGCGTGTGACCCTCACCAATAGCAGACTTCATCAGACGGGACAGCGAAGGCAGGACATTGATTGGTGGGTATACACCCTTGTTGTCGAGTTGTCGATCCACGAAGATTTGTCCTTCGGTAATGTAGCCTGTCAAGTCGGGAATTGGATGTGTGATATCTGCGGGCACGTGTTAGTTGTGGACAATTCTATCGGCATCGACCTGTGCTTACCGTCGTTAGGCATAGTCAGGATAGGAATCTGGGTGATCGAGCCATTTCGTCCCTGGACACGGCCAGCACGTTCGTAGATGGTGGACAAATCAGTGTACATGTAACCCGGGTAACCACGACGACCAGGCACTTCTTCTCGCGCAGCAGAGACCTCACGAAGGGCGTCGCAGTATGATGTTAGATCAGTCAGGATGACCAAGACGTGCTTCTCCAATTGGTAGGCGTAGTACTCTGCAGTCGTCAAAGCCAGACGCGGTGTGATGATACGCTCGATGGTGGGGTCGTTGGCCAGGTTCAGGAACAGTGTGACACGTTCCATACTTCCGTTCTCCTCGAAGTCCTTGGTGAAGAAGCGGGCTGTTTCCAGGTTGACACCCATGGCACCGAAGACGATGGAGAAGTTGTCGTCGTGATCGTCGTGAACTCCTTTGCTAGGCTTTGCTTGGTTGACAAGACCAGCCTGTCTGCAAATCTGGGCGGCAATTTCGTTATGAGGCAAACCAGATGCTGAGAAGATGGGGATCTTTTGCCCACGAGCAACAGAGTTCATTGTGTCGATGGCGGAGATACCAGTCGAGATCATCTCCTCCGGGTAGACTCGCGAAAACGGGTTGATTGGCGATCCGTTGATGTCCAGATAGTCCTCAGCCAGCACCTTTGGTCCCTTGTCAATTGCTCTTCCCGATCCATCAAAGACACGACCCAACATGTCTTCTGACACTCCCAGCTTCAAGCTGTGGCCTGTGAACTCGACTTTCGTCTTAAAAATGTCAGCGCGGCTGTCAAAAAGATGTCCATACCATTGCACTGCTCACCTTCTTGACATCGATGCCTGATGTGCCCTCGAACACCTGCACAACGGCGCGATTGCCTGCGGAATCAGTGTCAGCTCTCAAGCAGCTGTTGACCGCCAGCCACTTTCAAGTGTCATACCCTTTGCCTCAAGCACTTGTCCCGATCGCTCTGTGCCATCGGGAAGTGTCAAAGACACAATCTCGTTGTATCGTGGGAATTTGACCTGTGTCGCCGCTCTCAGTACTCTTTCCACGTATCCAAACCCCGTTGTGCGCCATCATACATTCTCCAGCATAACAAGTGGTCCATTGACACCCCCGATAGTATTGTACCGCACACGCGGCGTCACTCGCATCATGCGAGGATCAACATCCTCGCCTTTGGCCATGGCTGCGGTCGGCGAAGCGGCGGTCTCGAAATGGTGCGATGCTTTCAGATGGAGTATGGGCCGGACAAAGAGGCGGATGCGATGCCTGCAGGTACTGGAAGGCAGGCGGAGGGTTATTTGTGAAGTTGTGTGCCTGACGGCGTTCTTGAGGTCACAAGCTTGAGAGCTGGCAACGAGATGGAGCTGTGGTCAGAGACGCACGGACTCGTACCAAGTCTACTTCACCTCCCACTGTATCATTTCTGAACATACATCACATTTTCCGCACCTCGTCATCTAAATACACGCACAATCCATTTGGAAACGCACGGCACCCCCCAACAAGACACACGAGAGACTCCAAGTAACGCAATGGCCCGATCACCATAATGGTGGCGTAACATTTCGTACAAGTCATGATGCATTCCACAATACGGACATTTCTAGTCGTTGCAAGCTATCTACCAATGTCTAGTTAGACTCAAATGGCGTTTCGAATGGCCTCTCAGCTCTTGGGGTCAGACGAGCCAAATGGCGGCGTTGTCCATCCTCCCAATCCAGCAATGCCGTGCTGAAAACAGTCAGTATATATTCGAGAGTATGACGTATGACAGACTTACTGGGAAGTGACTCTATTATCCCACACGATAGTGGTCCCCTTCTCCCATTTCATGCGGACTTGCATATCGGCACCCAAAGCAATGTGGTTGTAGAGGAAGTTGAGCAGATAGTCCGACTCTTCCTTCTTGAAGCCCACAATGCGGCGAGTCTGTACAACAGTCAGTTCATGGTTGCTGTTCAACAGGGCGTTACGTCGGCGACGATTGAATGCTGCCAAAAAGATACTTACAAATTGTGGGTTCACAAAAAGTGCCTTCTCTCCGGTGACTGGATGCGTCCGCACAATCTATTTCGCTGTCAGTTCTGGCACGCACTCGAAAAGGCTAGACTCGAAATATACCGGATGCACATTGCTCACAGGCTCCCTTCGGACTATCGATCCACGCGCGAGCGCAGCCTGCGCTTGTTCATGGCCAGAGTGTACAGCCTTCAGACCATGCAGCCTCTTCTGGAACTCCGGCGACAGCCGTCTGTATGCAGCAGCCATGTTGCAGAACAGAGTATCACCGCCCGCCGTTGGACCATCCAGACGATATAAGAAAGTCGTTGATGGAGGCTGCATCTCATAAGTGACATCAGAATGCCACGTGATGCTGTTGGTTCTTTCTTCAAAGAAGTCCTTCGCCGTGGTGTCCGAAGCTGAGCGATGGACAAGATGCACCTTTGGGTATCCTTTTGGAGCACCACTAGCAGGATGGATGTGACTGGGGCCATAGTATTCAGCAAAATCGATGGCTTCCTGAATCGGCAGGTCCGCGAAATCTTGGTTACGGAACGCTACGACCTTGTGTTGCGCAACAAAGAGAGCCAGTTCGTCCTTCCCGGCATTTTTGAGCTTGCTAAGTTGGATGCCAGTCACCTCGGCGCCAATGTTGGCTGTCAACTCCTTGACCTCAGCGCCGGCCAACAGATTTGGGAATGTTGGGTCGGCGTTTTTGCCTGGTTCAACAGGCTCGAATGGCTCGTATGGAGGGTATTTGGTATCGTCCCAGTACGGCAAGTAGTGAGGGTATGTTGCCGGTGCATGCTTTCCATCTCCTTTCAGTTCGATATCATATTTGGTTGAAGCTGTTCCTTGGGCGAAAGCTTCCTTGTACTGAGAGCTTTGCAGTTTGTCTTTGCGATGAACATCTTCGGCTTTCTTATCAGTGTACGTCACGTCTGGCACAGTGGTCGTCTCAACTAGTGCAGGTGCCATTGTTTCTGAAGAGGACTTGTTTTGAGAAAAACTATGATTAGGTATGTGTAAGATCTTAACACAGGTGTGAAAAGAAGAAAAGCAGAGCAAATCTCACGGGTGAATGATGGCGATGATGAAGAGCTCTGATATATTCAAACATTTGCCATGCCGGCATCGGTCCCTGCTATGGCGGCATCAAAGATCAAGCAGCTTCTCTTTCTTGTCGCGGCTGCTCGCTAATAGGCTGATAGCCACTCACAGGCTTGGTGCAGGGCTCTCTAGAGCCAAAGACATGGCTGATCATCGACCTGCCAAGTCATGAGCGGGGTACGTATCGATACATGTAGGGGTGCAGCAACGTGGAAGACGCGTGCCGAGCAAGCGGTCCATCGCCGACCAGCCGTAGACCACGCCGTCCTAATCGTTCACCATCGGATTTGCTGCTGTCCTCGCACTGATAGAACGTCAAAGCAGCATTTCTCACTCCCGCTTGAAATGGCGTGCTCGGCTTGTGATTCGCCAAACCAATCACCCGATGTGGACTCTCTCACTGGACTCTTACCGGCCCAGTCAACAGCCTCAGGTCTGTTGTTTTCCCGCATAGATGACACGCACGATGCGTCGCTGTATGGTGGGCCATCGCTGCTTGCACTTATCGCGACGAGGACGAATTTTTCTCCCAACGTGCCGGGCAGCCCACGAACGGACGCAACGATCCTTGCCATCCCACGGCCTGGACATACGTAGTGGGCATGTTGTAGCGTAGTGGCAAAGTGCTTGAGCATGCTTAAGATCTTCTGGGCACCGCGTTGTTTGGCAGTACACCAGTAGGTGAATCTCATTCCCTTGCAAAAACTTGGCCATCATTGAGCCTAAGCCACGATGGGCCTCCCCTCACATGATAGCTCGCCGAGAAGTGCTTCCCCCGACCATCACGCCAAACCAAAGGTGTTGCCGGACGTCAGCATTGCGGATTCAGCCCTGTTCAAGCGTGTGGAGGGAAGGACTTTCGAGACGGAAAGCTTGGAGGACTTTTACAAACCCATTGCCGAGTATGAGGGCGCTCATCGCTATGATCCAAAGTTCGCGTGGGAACAGAAGGAGGAGAAACGAGTTGTACGGAAGATCGGTAAGGGCTTTGCCAAACTTCATCTGGTACCCGCTGACATGAGGGAGATGCGCGAATTTGTACTTGGGCTTGCTTGATGTTCTTCGCCCTGCAGCTTGATCGTGGCAATATATCGCAAACGCTCAGTGACAACCTTTTGGAGGATCTTGGAATGTCCACAAACGACGTGAGTCTCGTGCGCGAGGGAAGACCCTTGTCGCAGGATCAGAGCCAAACGGTTGGCCTGAAGTGGAAGCCATCATTCATTCGACGCGGCCACTGGGCTCCAGCTTCGGTGAAGTGTCAATTGAGTCAAATGCTGACTTGTAACAGTATAACACAGGACAGACAATCTTCTACGTCTCTTTCCTGTTCGCCGAGCTGCCATCGCAGCTAATATCGAAGAAATTAGGACCAGACAATTGGATACCTATCCAGATGGTGTCCTGGAGTCTTGTAGCGTGCATGCAGGCTTTCCTAAGTGGCAGGAGCTCCTTCTGGGCGACTCGCTCGTTGCTCGGACTGATCGAGGGCGGTTTCATTCCAGATGTATGGACAGCTCGACCTGCCTCTGGAGAAGTACTTGCTAACATCGCCTGCACGTTCCAGGTAATACTATACCTCTCATACTTTTACACTGGGAAGGAACTCCCGATCAGACTTTCGTTTTTCTGGACCGCTTACCAATCGACAAGCATTGTTTCAGCTTTCCTGGCGTATGGTATCCTTCACATGCGAGGCATCAATGGAATGGCCGGCTGGAGATGGCTCTTTGCTTTGGAAGGAACTCTCACCGGCCTCATTGGCATGCTCTCATACTTCTACCTTCCTCCGTCGCCGACGCAGACAGCTTCCTGGTTCCGTGGCAAGGACGGTTGGTTCGACGAGCGCGAGGAGAAGATTATGGTCAACCGGATATTGCGAGACGATCCCAGTAAAGGCGATATGCACAACCGCGAAGGATTGAGCATCCGCATGCTCTGGAAGTGTCTCCAGGACTATCACATGTGGCCTATTTACTTGCTTGGTCTAAGCTGGACCATTCCCAAGTGCGTATCCGCGGCGATGGGCGTTGAACCAGGCTGACGAGACATTAGCACGCCAATAACATCGTACTTGACTCTTCAACTAAAGAGCGTGGGATTTGGTACCTTCGAGACGAATCTGCTGACGATTCCGGCATATGTGATCTTCATAATTAATCTTCTGGTCTTGACCTGGTATGTGGGCCGCCACGAAAGACTTTCGCTCAGGTAGCACTAACTCGCAATAGGTTGAGTGAAAAGCTCAATGAACGCTTTTTGCTTGCCACAATCAGTCAAATTTGGGCGCTCCCGCTCCTGATTGCACTAGAAGTGTTGCCAGCCGATCGATCACCCTGGGTAGCATGGATCCTTTCCGTCCTGCTGTACGCTATGGTGAGTAGCAACTGCTGTGGCGTATCGATGCAGTTCTCTCCACTAACGAAGTATCAGCCGTACGCCCACGCAATGATTGTCGCTGTCACTTCGAGAAATGCTGGCTCTGTGAGAACACGTACCGTTGCCTCGGCATTGTATAACATGATGGTCCAGACTAGCAATATCATCGGCAACAACAGTAAGTCCTGAGAGCCTGGTGGAAGGATGGGGGCTGACTTGTGACCAGTATATCGTACGCCAGATGCTCCGCAATATTACACTGGCAATAAAGTGCTCCTGGCGATCGTTGCATGTGAGTAGCACGCGACTTTGGCGCACAAGGCTTGAGCTGACCAACTTCCCAGACAATATCTGCCTGTTTCTGTTCACAAAAGTCTTCTATGTGGTCGTCAATCAGAGGCGAGCCAAGATCTGGGACGCCATGTCCAAGGAGGAAAAGGAGAATTACTTGTCAACCACGAAAGATGAAGGCAACAAGCGTTTGGATTTCCGTTTCGCTCATTGATAGATCAAGCATTGTAAATTCTGGGTGATTGTAGCTTGAATCGTAAACGTCTTGTGCGATTGTTCCAACCTCGATGAGTAATGTTCGCGTGCTGTGTTTGATGTCGAAGAGAGTTCGAGGCAGGCCTGCAGGGTCTCGGTCTTGGCCCCGCTGCAGATCTGTCCCCGCCAAAACTTCTGGTTCACACTGCGACTCGCACTTGTGACTCTCAGTTTTGAGCAATCTTGTCTTCAATTGCTGGTCTTAGAACACCATGGCGGACGAGAACATATATGACGAGATCGAAATCGAGGTCGGCGATCAACACCTTCCCACTTTGTACGCCACGACGAGGAAGTGACTGACGACGATTGCAGGACATGACATTCGACGAGACTTTACAGATATACCACTACCCATGTCCCTGCGGCGACCGCTTCGAAATCAACATTGATGATCTTCGCGATGGGGAAGAGATCGCAGTGTGCCCGAGTTGTAGCCTGCAGATCCGCGTCATCTTCGACCTCGAGGATTTACCAAAGCCAGATGGTGGCGAGCAGCAGAAGCCGCAGACTGCTCCTCAGCAGGTTGCAGCGGCGGCTTGAACGGAGCTCCGCGTCATTGGGAAGATACGAAGAGATAATGCACATGCGAGGAGGAAGCCGACCTGTGCATGCCGACCTATGCTAGACAGAGCGCTGAGGCACATGCTTTGCTAGCAGGGGAAGAGCCAGACCCGGAGAAGTCGTACACATCAAACACCAGCGATTTAAGGCAGCGAACCAGATCCGCGCCGCGTCAGCAAGTCTGTGAGCAGAGCGTGGAGGTGGATGCATGCCACAAGCGCATCAGGGGAGGATAGTCGAGAGGCGTGGTTGATACAGTCCAAGACAGCGGCGCGCAGGTTCATGAGCACAGCCGGAGGGTGGTACAGAGAACACGAATGTGAGAACAGGATGTAGTCATTCAAAATGGCGTTGACGGCCAATTGCATCTGGCAGCCCTCTGTCCAGCCGTCTATTCTGTTGCATCCTTGCTGGGAGCCATATCTTCCTCGCTGTGATCAATACCCAATCCGAGCTCCTTGCTCAACAAAGCATTGAGCCTCGTGCCGTCGCGCAGGTACACCCAATCTCCATGACCTCCGCCCTCTTTCTGATGCATGCTCTCCCCCGATACCACCCAGTCGAAGCGCTTGGGGCCGGACAGAGGCGATGACAGCCAAATCTGCTTATTCGGCGGCTGCTTGTTGAGAACATAGGTGCCATTGGGTGGGAACACAATGTTCAGCACACCGGCCTGGCAGTGTGTTAGCTGATCAGATGTGCAAGTCAATGTAGCTCGCTGTGTGGTCGAAACCTACAGAGTACTCCACTTCAACGTCTTCCCGCGACTCCTGCATAGCCTCTGCCTTCTCATGTACGGCATCCATCTGCAGATCAGACAGCCGCTGATACTCCTCGTCGGTGAGCTGTGCGGCGTGCAGGCTGCCGGGTTCTACAGCTTCATCATTCGGCGGCTTGGGGTCTTCTGTCTCAGGCATGATGCCAGCGCGAGCGGTAGATGTGATCGAGAGCCATCGCGGATGCGACAAGGTGACGGGACGTATCGTTTGGCGGAGGGCCTGGCGGTGCATCTGTCGGTGGGGAGTGGGCTGCGCAACCGCTTTCGAGGTGCGGCGGAGGCATTGGCGCAGCAGGCGTGTCGTGGGCGGTGCGGACATGGTGAAGACAGGTGACCACGGAGGTTGATTCTGCGCAGCGATCAAGGGGGAGAGATGTGTGTTGTCCGTCAACAGATGTGATGTGAGATGGTTTGCTGCAGCAGTCAAGGTGTTGCAAGCTTGTGCACGCGATGACGGTAACTAGTCTAGCGTGAGCTTCGCACTCCATTGCAGCTCTCCCCACAGAACCCTTGCTGCCAGCACTCTGGCTTCACCACATGGCACTTGTGCACAGACATCACCCGGAAGCAAGTTTCTCATATGTCATTCGTATCGTCGTATCAAGAGATCTACCATCAGAGCGCCAACACCATCTCATGCCTTGCGATCGGCATCTTGGATGTTTTCCACCTGATCTGCCTCCAGCACCGCCTTCTCGTGCAAGTTCTCCACGACACCACCCGCGCCCGCCGTGAGCTCTTTGCCCTTCCTTCCAATGAGGTACCATGGCAGGTTGAATACGGCATCGCAGGCTTCCAGTGACTTGCCTGCAAGCTCGGGCAAGAAAAACCATGCCCAGACCAACCCAATGATTGTCACTGTGGCGAAGAATAACATGGTCCCACCATGCGTCATGCCGATGAACATTTCTGGTACTGCTTTGGAATTGCCGTACTCTGCGACGGGTCAGCAAGGCAGGCAACATCAAAAGCTGTACGAATCGGAAACACTGACGGTTGACAAAGTGGAATGTCATAGCGAACGATCCACCGATGGCGCGGAGCCGTAGGGGGTAGATTTCGGAATTGATGAGGTACTGGATGCAATTCCAGCCCATTGCCCAGCCGAACCCGGAAAGATAGCTGTGAGAAAATAGGTCAGCGAATGACGCGGAGTGCCGCGGGAAATCCACGTACATCATGACCAGAGCTCCTGTTGCGGCATTCTTTTGACTCTGGCTCTGCTCTTCGAGGTCGTCCACCTGCTGGTCTATCATGAGGAAGATGGCCATATACAGCATCGCAACAAATTGCAGTGAGATTCCGATCATGAGAGACCGCTTGCGTCCAATGTAGTCAATCAAGAAAAGTGCGCAAGACAAGGCGGATATGAACTTGACAACTCCAAAAATGGCTGTTGCAAAGAGCTTCTGGTTCTGACCCGTCTGACCAACGAGGGCGAAGAACTCAGGAGCGTAGATCGTGATGGAGGATGCTCCACTCCTGTGGTGAAGTCCGGTCAGTCCTTCTCTCACAAGGGACAGTTGCCATTCGTATCTCACTTACCATTGACTGAGTAGCTGCGAGAAAACCGAGAGGAAAAGGCGGTATCTGTTGGCACTAGAGGAGACGAGCTCGCGGATAATGCCGTACCATTTTGTGCCCAGGGTCGCTTCCTTCTCCCGTTCAAGCTGATCCCTGACATCGATGATCTCGGCCTGGACGTACCAGTGATCGCTCGGAAGGTTACGAAGGGTGGAAAGATTCTTTGTTGCCTGCTCATACTTCCCGACCTTCATCAGCCATCTTGGGGACTCCACGGCAAAGAGCGAGGAAAACCCGATGATAGAGGCGAAGTAGATGTGAAGCATGTTGGGCATGATCCACTGCAGCTGGCTTTCTCCCGAGATGTGGAGCGAGCTGCCCCAGACGGCAAAATATCCTTTGGTCGGAGTCAGCAAACGTTGCGTTGGCTCCAACGCGACGGGGACTTCGAACCTAACATGATCCCCAAGTACACACTGCCACTAAACATACAAACACAGAGTCCTCTCGTGAAACGTGGAGAAATTTCCGCTAAATACGTCGGAGCAACGACACAGCTCTGCCCTACTCCGAGTCCAGCAACTGTGAAAGACGTTAGATCGGCCTGTAACATGATTTCGATCCTCTTACTGAAGCGGCCAGCGTAGATCTGGCCAATAGATCCGGTGGTTCCAGCGGACAGAAATATCGCGATGCCGATGACCCAAAGCAAGCACAGTTGGCGAGTTGCCCATATACGACCAATCTTGTCTGTAATGTAAAACGCGATGAGTGCTCCTCCGATCGATCCAAGCTGAAGCATAGAGGTAATGTTGCCCAGACGGCTCGCTTGTTCAGTTTCGCTCAAGCTTGGGTCTTTGAGATGAAATTTCGAGGAGAAGCTAGGCAGCGTGGAAGTGGTGCCGATGAGGCCCTGCATCGTGATTTAGGGATGGAAGGACGCCAGCAGTCGGTTCGGAGTCTTGCCTCGTCTACGCCACGAGCGGCTCCCATAAGTCCAAAGACTGATATCCATGTCAATATTTGCACGACTTCTGCGCTGCGATTTACCACTCACCGAACACGCCATACCATAATCGCCAATTCAGTACCTCACTGGGAGCTTCCTGATCGTTTCGACGGAGGAACATCTTGGCCGAAGCTTAGAATGTCTTGAGCTCTGCTTTTTGTGCCTGAGGCAGTGCGGGAGAAGCAGAGAAGAGAAACAAGCAGGAGCTGCTAAGAAAACCAAGGATGCGGCGTTGCTTGGGGCACTTGTCCGAACTTATAAACGACGTGCGACCTCGTGAGCTGAGCCTTTCATCGGAGCACACCCGCGCACAGGACGACGGCCTACTTGGCACTTCTCGCATTTCACTACGCGACCTCTCCACCATGAAAGTTTTCCAATGTGAACCCTGCTGTACTGGGGAAGCACTGTACTCGGCAGAGTGTGTATGGGGTCGATGCGGGATAGCTGTGCGCGAGCAACGTGGGCGAAGCTCCATTAGCTTCACTGGCGTTCGAGACCTAGTGGGACTGAAGCTGTTCGTAACGAATGAGCAACGGAAGACGAGGGGCCGTATGACAGCCAAGTCGCATAGCGTTGCCGTAGTCGCAGCCAAGCAGTCGAAGATGTACCGATATGAAAGCTTCGTCCCAGTGCGTAGAATGTGTGCGGCTTTTCCGTGGCACATGTAATACCACACGGCTGCACGCGCGGGAGACGTCGGGCAGGCAAGCTTGAACTTTCTGCACACGCGGGCCTTCAGTTGCCGCTTGCAGTGGTAACCAAAACTTCGCGAGTACACAATGCATTGTGTGAGCATGCGTTGAAGGAGCGGCCAAGCGGGCACCTCATGCAACGGCCAGGTCGCCTCGTGGAGATTCCACACGACACGGGGTTCCATCGCATAATCCCATGGGGTGCCATTTGCGGTGGGGCATTGCCATAATAGGTGACAAGGTCCGGACTGTCAACTCCCATGGAATTGGAGACTCCACATGTGAGATAAACAACTCCGCAAGAGCCGCAGGCATGGCAAGCGCAGCCCTTCCTACGTCCAATGTGCTCCAATTGCCCTTGCCAGTGCCACCGCTATGGCCCGAGACGAGGGCGGTAAGACCAGTCGGAATTGCCCTTTTGGTCATCCCGAGCGATTGATTGAAGAGCCTGAAAGTGGTCCCGTGATGAATTGTCTCAACTCATCAATATCGTTTCTCGGATCAAAAGGATTACATGTGGTCACTGATCCGTATTGGCTTGGCTCCGACTTTTTCGGCTTCAGCGTTCAGTGCCTGGATCTCAGCATCGACATAGGGAATACCGGTACGCCTTCGAGTCTCTTCTGTGAGAATCTCAAGCTCTCCAGGATAGTAGATAGTATCGACGCCCGCCATTTTCTCCGAGTCAACCACTCGCCGATACAGATAGTCCATCCTGGATCGGAATTCGTCCAAGGTCATGAACAGGTCCGGCTTGATGGCGACCAGAAAGTGCCCGACGTCCGCAGGTTTGCTAGGGTCGTATGGATTGGTGACATGGCCAGCGAAAGCAGATCCTGACAGAACACCACTAAAGACGTCCATCCTACAACTTATGTTAGCCGCGATTGCTTGAGATCCCGAGTAAGACGTACACTGGATCAACGAGTCAGCGAGAGCGAGAAGAAACGAAAGTGCAAGAAAGCGTACTAATCGAGAGACCGGATCCTTTCGGTCCTCCCATAGGAAGCATGACACCCTCTAAGGCTTGGGTAGGGTCGTCCGTACGATCGCCATTGGCGTCCAACGCCCAGTCGAGCGGAATCTTTTCGCCACGCCGTTTCGCTTTGTATATCTTTCCGCGGGCTGCGACAGATGGGGCCATGTCCAGGATGAAAGGCCGCTCCTTGCCGCCTGGTGCACCACAAGCAATCGGGCTGACTCCCATGAGTTTTGTCTTACCGCCCCAGACAGGCAACGCTGGAGAGCTGTTGGTGAAGACCAAGCTCATCATATCCGCATCAATGGCTTGTTGAACGAGCCAAGCAGACATGCCGAAGTGATTGCTGTGCTTGATGCTCACCATACCGATTCCATAGATTTTTGCCATATCAATGGCTTTGCTCATTCCCATATGAGCAGCAACGAAGCCAAACGAATTGTTGGCATCAACCTGGGCGACCACGGGAGTGACTTCGTTCAATGTCGGCTGCGCTTTGGCATCGAGCACACCTTCCCTAATGCGGGCCAGATACGAAGGAATGCGATTGACGCCATGCGTATCAACTCCTCTAAGATCAGCTGCTACAAGGCATCTTGCGACGATGGCTGCGTTCTCGATGGGCACGCCGTTGGCCTGCAGGACGCCCTCAACATAGGATCGTGCATCCTCTGGAGTAACGTGGTACTTTGTCGCCGAGGCAGCGGCTTCTGACATTGTTTTGGTTCGTTTCAGGATGGTTGATTGGACTGCGTGGTGTCAAGATAATTGTGGACTCGTGATATAAGTGATGACTTTCGTGGGGTGCCTGAGGAGGACGATATATCAATCGCAACGCTCTCGGAGAGTCTGCGTATAGATATAGCAGGAGGGTGCGTACACTGATGCGCTGCTGCTGCTGCGAGTTCGGAGCTGTCGTGAGTACCACGTCCCTACGCGAACACGACCAGGCATGGTGAACTATGTGTGCTCCGGTTCCGGAAGCAGCCTCGACGGATCCGTTTGGCAACGAGAGCCATCGTTGCTGTTGCGCGTGTGTCGGCGTCGGGGACACTGGGCCATCGCAACAGCACTTGGCGCGACGAGACCAGTACGCGTTGCAAACATCCATGTCGGCAGTCGTAGTCCTCCGTGCTTGGCTGTTGAAGATCTGACCGCCCGCCAATCCACGACAACCTGGTTGTGGTCGACCAAAAATTATGCGGTAGGCATCCAATCACGCATGACGCTCTGTTTCTTATCCACCACGCACCACCACCATTCCTCTCGCTCAAGCCGTCGACTCGGCGTTCCGCGCCGCCGCCCCCACCACCACCCTGGAGACATGGCGCAGCAGCAGTGACCGGACGGGGAGGCATCGTAGCAGCACGGCCGAGCAGTACTCGCCCGCCCCAATCGAGCTCGACAGCCTCGACCCTCCCACGCCGAGTCCCACGCGGCGCAGCTCAGCACTACGACGAGTGCCCACCCGAAACCTCCTGCGTCCCGCGACTCGCGAAGCCCTCCGTCGCAGACAGAAGCTCTGCGACCTCATCGAGCACGATATGAAGTTCTCACACAGTATCCAGTTCAATGCGGTGCCTGACTGGTCCTCCAACTACATCGCCTACTCCAACCTCAAAAAGCTAATATACCAGCTCGAGAAGCAGTTGAATCAATCGGGCCAGGGAGCCACACAGCCCACCGATCCCGAATCGTCCCCGTTGCTCGTAAATGGCGCCGGCGATGATCCTGACAAGGTCTTTAAGCGCAAGCTAGACGATGAGCTGGAGAAGATATGCAGCTTCTACCAGCTCAAAGAGCTCGAGATCCTGGGCGAGGTGGACGCACTGCTGCGGGATGTTGAAGAGTTCGAGTCAGAGCATGCTGCTGGAGAGGCCGACGGTCAAGGCGGCGAGCGCAGACAGAGTCTATGGGCACGCGCACGCCAGCAGAGCATCTTCCGCACCTTACCGACTAGGCGCAGAAAGAGCTCGACTGTAAGCAGCAGTCAGCGTACACCCATTGCAGAGGATGACGAGGATGATGAGAGCGAGGACGAAGACAATGAGCGAGCCCCTCTCAATAAGAGCCAGTCAACTATAGACCGCTCGACCACGATCGGTAGAAGTCAGTCCACCTTGTTGGAGAGGTCCACCACGCTCGATAAGGTGAAGGGTCGCCGAGGCTCTTCAAGGAAGGACCTCACCTCGAGTGCATATATGGATGGTGACTCTTCGGCGGAGATGCGCCGCAGGCCCAGTGCAGCGTTCAATGAGTTTGGTGACGATGCCCTCCAGGCTCTATATGACGAGGGCATAACGCTGAAGAAGAGGACGACAAATCTTTACGTGACGCTTTGCGAGCTACGCTCATTCATACAACTCAATGAGACTGGGTTCAGCAAAGTCCTCAAAAAGTATGACAAGACTCTCGATCGAAACTTGAAGAGAACATATATCAACGAGAAGGTCAAGCCTGCTTACCCATTCTTGCCGAGCACCACAGAGCAGTTGAGTGAGCATCTGAGGAAGATAGAAGAGGCATATGCAGGTATCGTGACCAAGGGCGACGTCGACATGGCTCGCCGGGAACTCCGCCTGCATTTGCGTGAGCATGTTGTGTGGGAACGCAACACCGTCTGGCGTGAGATGATTGGTATCGAGAGAAAGGCGCAAGCAGCCAATCTGGGCATCCGCAACACCATGCTTGGTCAGGATCATGATCCGAAGCGTGCACGCCTGCAGGGCGATGACGCCGATGGTACTATTAAGGAGGTCACCTTGCCCATTGGCAAGTACCGATGCCCCAAGTTCCTGGTTACGGGAACTTTCTGGGTACTATGTGCGATCATTGCGGTCTTTGCAGTCCTACTGTCAGTGCCCATCATGGATCGACCAGAGCAGCAGAATTGTCTTGCGCTTGTGATTTTTGTCAGCCTGCTGTGGGCAACAGAGGTGAGTCGACCTTCTTGCTATATTGCAGTAAAATGTACTGACTCCAGACCAGGCTATACCGCTGTTTGTCACCTCACTCCTCGTCCCATTCCTGTGCGTCCTGCTGCAAGTCGTGCGGGAAGATGTGAAACCTTATCGCCGACTCGCAAGCAAAGAAGCAGCTGGGTACGTGTTCGCTTCGATGTGGACGCCAGTCATTATGTTGCTGCTGGGAGGCTTCACAATTGCAGCAGCGCTGAGCAAGTATAATATCGCGAAGATGATGGCGACCTTTGTGTTGTCCAAAGCAGGGACGAAGCCGAGTACGGTTCTGCTAACCAGCATGGGTGTGGCCACGTTTGCAAGCATGTGGATCAGTAATGTCGCAGCACCAGTGTTATGCTTCAGCATCATTCAGGTGAGTACTACGAGTGGAAAGACAGGGTTGACAACTAACACTGTGAATAGCCAATCCTGCGCAACCTCCCGGCTGATAGTGACATGTCCAAGGCTCTTCTTCTCGGAATCGCTTTGGCCTCAAACATGGGCGGTGCGGCTTCACCAATAGCTTCACCGCAGAACCTCATCGCTCTAGAGAACATGCAGCCGCAGCCCGGGTGGGGAACATGGTTCTTCATCGCACTGCCCGTCTGCATCATCAGCATATTACTCATCTGGTTGTTGCTGCTGGTCACATTCCGCCCCGGCCGCAGCACCACCATCGTACCTATCCGTCCTATGAAGGACAAGTTCACTGGAGTTCAATGGTTCATCACGGTTGTCACTCTTGTGACGATCGCTCTGTGGTGCGTGAGCCACCAGCTTGAGCACATATTTGGAGACATGGGAGTGGTTGCCATTATTCCGATCGTGCTATTTTTCGGGACAGGAATCCTGACCAAAGAGGACTTTAACAATTTCTTATGGACCATCATCATCCTCGCGGCAGGCGGCCTCGCTCTCGGCAAAGCCGTCAACAGTTCGGGTCTGCTCAGGACTATTGCCGAATCGATTACAGGAATGGTTTCGCACTTATCGCTCTACGGTATTTGCTGCGCTTTCGCGGCACTGATCGCCGTCGTGGCCACCTTCATCAGCCACACAGTTGCGGCTCTCATTATTCTGCCTCTCGTGCGTGAGGTCGGTGCTGGAATGGATTCGCCACACCCCAATCTTTTGGTCATGATCTCCGTGCTCATGGCTTCTGCAGCCATGGGCCTGCCCACAAGTGGCTTTCCGAACATGAGTAAGTCGTCTTCAACTCAAGTTCCACTGCCAGGTCCTTGCTAACATCGTTTTCAGCGGCGATCATGATGGAAGATTCCCAAACTGGACAGCGATACCTGCAAGTCAGGCACTTCTTGACGAGAGGTATACCTGCCAGTATCCTCGCGTACGCCGTAATTATCAGTGTTGGATATGGATTGTGTCGAGCTGTAGGATTCTGATCGGACAGCCGAGTTGTATAAAGCTTTCCGGATAGACAAATTGTGTAGAATGCGCTCCTGCGATATAGATGGGCCTGTAACAAGCGCACAGAGATCGTGTGCAGCATATCCTATCCCGTACCGCGAAAGGTCCAGATTGCTCTCATCCGTCATTCTCAGGATCCTCCTCGCCATACATGTCCTCTTCACGTTGCTCGTCCACTTTCTTCTTTGCCGTGCCCTTTCCTGCTTCAGCGGCCTTGTCTTCTTCCATCTTCTGCGTCAGGAAGGTGTTGATTTCGCCTTGCAGCTTTGAGGCATTGGTGCGCAGTGCTGCGAGATATGACGTTTTCTCGTCTACACTCCCAGATTGTGGAGGCGGTGGGAGGTCAAGAGAGAAGTTCTGAGCAGAGATCGGGGACCTGTAGCTCGCAGCGAGCGCCGCTCCAGACATTGTTGGTGCGTTCAATCTTTGCCGTGGGAGTGGATTGCGAGTGTGACGATGCAAGAGCCGATTCGAAGTTAAAAGTTGTGTGCGATGACCAGTTCTAACCAAATTTTGAAGGCGGGATTTCACGCGTGAGAGTGAGAAATCCCAACTTGCGGATACGTGCATGAGATGCAACGCTGCCCCATTTCGCGGGGTTCAACAGGATACGAAATCTACATTGTACAGGGCTAACGGACACGCACGGTTGGCATCGATGCTGACCCTACATGAAGTATCTGTATTGTACTACGATCTTTCCAATGACCATAAAATATACGAACCTGTGTAGCCGAAGCCGGATGTGATCAAGTGAGCAAGTATGAGCAGTCTACTCTAGCGGACGCTTGTGTTCGATTGATGGCCCCACGAATCCGTAATATTGCTCGTCAGATGCTGACCGCGTGACATTATTACAGGCATTTCCTGAACGCCATATGTATTCGATCCGGCGAACTTGCGGCCCAAAGTTGACGATGGTGTCGCAAGGAGCGGATCGAGCAGCTCGTGACGATCGGCATTGCGCTACTGCTTACGGTGCACTTTTAGCTGTCGTGTGCCTGAACTTGCTCCAAACATCTCATGTGGGAACACATCGGAACGCAATGGATCGGTCTTGAGGCCGAGCTATTGCCGAGACTTGCGGAGCCTCGGGGGAGACAGTTGGCAGCCACGTTGAGTACGTTGCGTCCGGCGCGAAGCAGTTTTCAGAGCATGTGTACGGTCGCCTGTTGTGACACGTAGGAAAGTCCGGCGCCGTGCCGTCTGATTGAGAGAGAAGAGAGAAGAGCTGGTATACCAGGTCGCTTGTGACCTCAACGCCGAATGCATATACGTATAGCACAGAAAATGGACCATCCTCGTCCGCAAGCCAGATACTCGTGTCGCGTGTCGTAGCAACATGTAAACCGGCGTCTAAAGGTGGTGTATTGGTACAGGTTGTCGGATTATGCTGGAGTCATCGTCGCCACCTGCTTGTGGCTGCTGTGTCGTTGCCCCATCTTTACTTCGTCTCCTCGCGCAAGTAAGTGATCAGGTCGTTCCTGTCCTTGCCCTTCTTCAAACCACCGAAAGCCATCTTCGTTCCTGGAATGTATTTCTTTGGGTTCTCGAGGTACTCAAACTGCACAGCGTGTTAGTTTCCAGTTCTGTTTCCGTGTCATAGCATGCTGAGGAGCGGTCGTACCAGTGTGCCCTCTTCCCATGTGATGCCCTTTTGCTTGTTCGCATCTGAGTATGAGAAGCCCTCCACCTGACCGGTTTGACGGCCGAAAAGTCCGTGAAGGTTGGGTCCAATCTTGTTTGGCTCACCCGCCTTGAGGTTGTGGCATTGCGCGCATCGGGTCTTGAAGAGGTTGGCACCCTTCTTGGCGTCACCTGTCCAGCTTGTTAGTTGCTAGAAAGGAGGTCTGACTGGACAGCGGAGTCGAGGAGGGGTGTGGAGCGCGAGAGCGACGACACTCGTAAATGGTGCAGTCGTGAGCAGTCGGTGGGAACGCGATGGCCGTCCGACCGCCATTGATGTCGCCATGAGAGTGTTTGCGCCTGGATTTTGAAAAAGGCAAACATACCGTCCTTGAACTCGTCCTTGCCCATTGTGTCTGATGTATGAGTTGATGTGGTAGGTCGCTGATGAGAAGATGGAGGGATGAAGACCTGGTGAGCAGTACGGTGTGGTTGAGATAGAAGTGTCGAGTGGAGGATGGAAGATGGAAGGGAAAAAAGTGAAGAGCAGCTCAGGTAGATGATGCGCAGAGCCTCCTCCGAAGGTTTTGCAGCCAATCAGCTGAAGTCAATTTGTACGCGGAATAAGTCGGGTTGCTGTGGCTCAGCAATCTGTGGCGAGCGTTATTCTCGCTTTCATCACAACAATGTTTCGCCGTCACGACTCACCAGTCAGGCGGAGGACCGCCGCCACATCTGCGTTTCCGCTCGCCGTACCAGCTGAGATTGCACTCACAAGTCAGTCACATACTGCACTACGAGCTGGACGGTGTGACGTAGCTTGTAGCGAAAGTCGATCTGCGTCTCGTGGCAGCCGCGCCAGATGACGCCGCAGTGGCCGGCATGCTCACCAGTCTGCGATTGCATCCGGATAGCCGACGGCATGACTTTCGGTCGTCTGTAGACAAGCAAACTGGAGCCAACCTACAGTACTTGGATACTCCTCGAGGCAATTCTGCGGACCCAGGCTGGAGGTCATTTCTATCAATATGACCCAGTTCTTGTCATGATCGTGCAACAGATGCAACAGCCTCATCGACAGCTGGCTCGGCCGTTTTATCCTTGCACCGCTTGCACAAGCAGCGCAGGCTCCACGCGTCCTTAAGGTGACACGAAGATAACACGATTTCACGAGATGCGAGGCATTCAAAATTGAAGTGATCAGATCATACAATGTCATTCATTGCATTGAAGTCGTCGAAGCTGTGGCGCAAACGGCCCTGAATTCAGCCGTCCCATGACAACGCCTATTTCCGTCCGATACTTTCATGCACAACGCTCGATGCTCGCGATTATCCCTAATACTCGCCTTGCTGAGCAGCACCGTCTTCTGCAGGAGCGCCTTCCTGCTCCGCTTGCTGCTGCTGGGCGTACGCCTGGGCCTGAGCAGCCTTCGCGCCGTAGTCTTGCGACGAAGGTGCAAGGATAGGCTGCTCCTCCTTTGGCTCGATGATGGTGACGGAATCTGGCAGACCCTTGCCGCCGGCCTTCTCGCCAGATGGGTCGTTGGGCGATGAAGAAGCGCGCATGATCTTGACCTTGATACCGAGCACACCTTGTCGGAGGAGGACGTGACGTGTGGCAGAGTCGATGAAGTCCTTGGCTGGCTGACCAGAGTGGATCATGAAGCCATCGGTGAACTTCATGGACTTGGCACGAGCTGCACGCAGCTTACCAGAGACGACGACCTCGCAACCCTTGGCACCAGACTCCATGATGAATCTGCGAGTGGCCAGATTAGCAATAGTAAAGGGAATGAAAAGGTGCAGTTCTTACCGGAGGACACCATAGCATGCACGTCGGACAGCCAGTCCGTTGAGAAGCTTGTAGCGGAGCGACTCGCACTGAGCAACAGCAGAGAGACCACGGGACTGGACCTTGGCGGCGTAGAGCGAGACGCTGTCGGGTGGGAAGCGGAAGCGGTGGGTGATCAGGCTGGTGAGCTGCAATTTGGTCAGATTCAAAGTTGGCGGACTCCACTGCTCTCATACTCACCTCACGGATTCTGCGACCCTGCTCTCCAAGAACCTCCTGGGTGTGTGTTGCGCGGATGATGATGTCGGTCACAGTAGGAGTGACGCGGACCTCGACACCAGAGTATCCCTCCTCAGCTAATTCGCGTTGAAAGAATTCGTTGAGCTCAGCGTAGAAGACTCCATCTGCTACGAACTTGCGGCGCTTGCTGATGTTGACGCCGCTCATGGCCTGGGCAGGAGCGGTGGTGGACTGCATGGTGGTCGAACTGCACGAGACTATGTTCACTTGTGTCAGCCCTTTCCTGTGTGATCTCGTGACACACAGCTACAATGCCGCTGCCTCCGCCTCTGCGCAACTGGTGGTTCCTATCCTGCTGTGTGCGATCATGTGCTGCCGACCGAGACATTCAACCTCGCTGACCTGTGGAAGAACTGCGTAGCAGTGTTCCGTAGCCATTCCTCGTGCATTCACCAGCATCGAATGCCCAGTCTCCACCACTTCCACCAGTTCGCGCCTGTTTCCTTGCTCTTTCATATCGTGTGCCAAACCAGCGACGTCGGCGAAGACAGCAGCAATGGGAGCGTCATTGAGTTGCTCACCTTCTGTTGAGTCCTGTGTGGTTAGTTGCGGCAGTCGTGAAAAGCGGGCGGCAGATGGTCGACGTCGAGCGCGCACAAAGGTGCGTCCAAATTTCGTGGAGTGGCCGACAGAATGCCAAGCACAAGGTCGGAGCTTATCGGCCCCCGCGCCGCGATTGCCCTCTTTGGCTGACAGGGACGCGATGGGGACCTTTTTCTACGAACATGTTCAATCTCCAATCTCATTGCGCGTTAACTAAAGGGAAAAGCTCATTACGCATCTCATCTAAGCCAAGAGGGACGCATAGCTCAACGACAAGCGTTCCAATGCATCTCGACTCCCCATGTCGCGACCCCAGCGCGGCCCTTCTTTCACACCACCTTCTGTTTCTGCCGGCCTTCATCAAGATGGACCTGAATATACACGAATGGATAAATCACCTCTGGAATCATTGTCACCGCAATTATTGCTATACTCAAGTATGACCCCACGTAAGGCTAGACAGGATTGATCTATTAGTATCAGTCCGTCCGACTTCTACTCCAGCAATCGCACTTACCCAATTCTCTGGGACATTCCAATAGCGCCAGAAAAATGTCAGATATGCTGTTACACATCCCAAAAACCGGGTCACCCTACTTCAAGTCAGTAAAGATCTCCGTGCAGCTTGCCAAATCACGCACCAGATCTCCAGCGAATGGCCCTTGGTGTCTCGCTTTGTCAGAAGCAGATACAGCGAACCCCATCCAATGGGTAGCTGCAGGAGTAGTCCGGTCCAATATGCCGTCACTTGCTCACGCTCATCCGGAAAATATTGGCATAGCACATGAAGGAAACCCAAGCCTGCGATAACTCCACCGACCAGCCTGCCAGCCACAACCTTTCTGCGGTTGGGATCATAGGCTGAAAAGACTGCCACGGTCGCAAAGCTAACATCGAGCAAGAACCAGACCAGGAAGCTCAATCGCTCAAAGGTGGTCGTCGTTGTGGCAAACGCGTAGTAGATCTCATACGCCATAGTGCCGCACCTGTGATGCGGTCGTCTCAGCCTTCGTGTTCAGTTTACATGGATTAGGAAAAGCCATACAAATATTCAACGGCACCAGCGCAAGTCTTATCTCTAGCTGTTCGTGTCATGTAGAACATGTAGCAGAGCGCGTACAACACGCCACACGATATGATCAACCCATCTTGGATGAAGAGATAGCTCTCGGGCGGCTGAAGTCGAGCATCCGAAGGCTGGACAATGAGATGAGTGGTATATTTCTTGGCAAGCTCGAAGCTCATACTTGCGGTTGTGTAGCAATAATGTAAACGCAATGTGATGCCGTCATCGTGGCTTCGATAGCATCTGTATTTATGTTCTTACAAAATACTCGGACGTTCGACGGCGTCTTGAGTGCTGATGAATCTTCCGACGCTTCCGGTCGGCCAGAAAGATGCAGCCTAATGATGAAGGATGCATGGCAAGCGTATCGCTGTAATCGCGCTCGAGCTGTGCACTCTCATTTCCGCATTGGACGCAAGTTGCACTTTCCCACCATGGGAACAAGACAAAGCGACCTGTCATATAGACTGTGAAGGTTCACCTCGATGTGGCTGGAAGCCATAGATTAAAAATATGCTCATCACGACAAAAACATGATGAAACACGGCAATGTGGCTGTGTAACGTCATCTGTACAGCGCGATCATGAAGATGACGACAGACTAGCACGCAGCCGCTTCTGTGACAGATGCTACATACCTCATGCAGCGGTGTGGAATCATTAATGGCATACTTCTGCAAATTGTCCCAGCCTATGCGACGCTTGTGACAAAGAACAGGGCGTTCATTGGCGATCTTGTGGGACGGAATGCGATTTCACATTCATCCAGTAGCTATGAGAAGATGGCTAGTACATATTGCTTTGCGATCTGGTACGCAGACCAACGGGATCACTATAATGCCACACGGTCCTGTCGAATTTCTGTTGTGTCAAAGATCTCAACCAATACCGCATTCACAAACCGCAACTTAGATACTCCTTCGCTACCGCTTGATCCAAGATCTTCTGACGTGTTGGCAGCAGTGATTATCGTCGAGGACAGCCAACATGAAGCTGCTACTCGTTGGAGCAGCGGTGAACGCATACGTTGCCTACGCGGAGACTGGTTGCTGTTTCCACGCAACGGCAGATGGAGGTCCTGGCGGCATCGTGGAGCAGCTCTTCGATGGACAGAATCGCATTGGACAGACGGGGCTGAAAGAGGGAGAATATTGTATCAATACTCAAGGAGGTTTGTCCAACATCCAGACCTGAACCGTAGCCGTGTCTCACAATCGCAGGATTGGTCGACAGTAGCGGAAGAGGGTGAGCGAGAACACTTCCACCCATCCCGATGCCCGGGAGCGCATCCATTGTAGCAGAATTCTGATGTGCGTCCAGATGTATTTTGACTCCTCCTACCTCGCAATGGCAGTGCGACGCGGGAGCACAGCCGAGCAAAGGCTTCTATGTCGGCGCCGATGGTACTCTGGGCTACAACTCATCCACACAGTTCTGGACCTGCCCGACTGGAGACAATGGAGGTTGGAACATTTATGGCAACCAGCCTATTCCAAATGAGCCGAAATGCATTGCCACAAAGCTCTTCGCAGACAAGTGTAAAACCTCTGAGCCGCCCGCCGATAAGCCAGCTCCGCCGCCGTCTTCGCAATGTCCAGGATATTTGCCAAAGGCATATGAGGTATTATTAGTGAATCGATAGTTGGCGTAGAAATCCGCTGACGGGGCTGGAAGTTTCCACACCTTATCGTTCCCGTCGACGAAGCTGAACGCGACAAGTGCTATGGGACTAGCTACAACGGCACCGCTGGACGAGGCCTTTCGTCAGTCTTCAACTTCGACATTCCAATGGCGGCAAAGGGCAAGATTTGTGGGTTACACCTTGGATATCATTACTCTGGTTCGATAAAGGCACTGACAGATGTTCAATCAAATCCAGGTGACATCAGATTCTTGTTCCCGACTCAACGCCAATTGGAAACATCGGCCTACACCTTCGCTGACAGCAGTGATGGCTTCAAATTCGCTTTGTTGAGTGATGCCGCTACAGAGTGAGTTATCGCGTATCTGCCTCGCGAGCTCGACTGATCCGGTGTGCTGCAGGCAAAGCACCTTTGCCAATTTGCCCAGAGTGAAGCAAGACCTGGGTCAACAGGCTTTGGCTCCGGGAGCAGCTTTCGACATTGCGTCCATGGCATGTCCTGCTGGTGAGCGAATCTCTGTCTGGCTCCAAGCCAAAGGAATTTCATACATCGACTTTTTCCAGGAGTAAGTCGCTGTTTCATACAGTTTTTGAAGTAATCTGCTGACACGGGTACCCAGCTACAACCCCTGCCGTAAGTTCTTCGCCTGACAAGTTCATGGACTGTGTGAACTGACAATCTTCAGCTATCGGGCTGTACATTATTCCACACTGAGAACAGTGATCCTGATGATGGAATGAGCAAGTCTATACTTGAGATTCGTAGTGTACTGACGTATTGTTGAAATCGAGATGTTTTCGCGCGCATTCCATGAGCCTGAAGAGCCAGTACAGTGGAATGCACTGTGCTCTGAGCGTATAGCCCCGATTTGTGCTTTGGGTTGTACAGCCTACACGGTGCGTTGTCCTTCCTCTTTACTCCAAGCGGTAAGTCCTCTTGCTTGCGATCTGTCTCTCCTCGGCTTCCCAAGCCAGACTGTATTTTATCGGCTTTCCCACTTGGGGTTTCCGAAGAGCTTCCTGCCCCACATGACTGGGCAAACATGGCATCACGCCAGCTTCGGTGCTATAACAACCTGCAGTCACGAACCGATTTGTTGTTCCAAGAGACTTGTTGTGCACAGACCCAGGCAATCTGATCCTTTGACTTCGACTCTGGCTCTGCGTTGGTACGTGGGAGCAATCCGATAGCTCGTAAGAAGGCACCATCTTATTTGTATAGACAAGCCGTGTGTGCCACCAGAAACAATGCGACCTCTGCTGCGAGTAGCAACAACGTCACCCGTCGGAAGGATCATTTCACGGCCAGTTGTATCTGTGCAATGTCGAGCGAAGCATGCCGTACACAGCCCTGTTATCGCGGACTCGCCTGTCAAAGCAGCTGCGTCGAATGGGCAGGACAATTCTGCACCTTTGCTAGGGACGACGAAAAGGCTGCCCGAGTTCTCCTTGGCGGAAAAAGTCGTTCTTGTGACAGGTGCAGCTCGTGGGCTTGGCCTGGTGCAAGCAGAAGCGTTGCTAGAAGCAGGTGCGACAGTCTACGCGTTGGACAGATTGCCAGAGCCCAGCCCCGACTTCTATCGGGTCCAGAAAAGGGCCGCCGAAGAGCTTGGTGCGAGATAGTGAAAGAACTCAGGCACTGAATTTGTGCTGACCGCAGTAGGTACCACGCTACACTATCGACAGATAGACGTACGAGACATCCCGCAGCTGAACGAGATCGTGCGAAACATCTCGGAGACGCAGGGTAAACTCGATGGCTTGATCGCCGCAGCTGGGATCCAGCAAGAAACTTCAGCCCTGGAGTACACAGCCAAAGACGCGAACACCATGTTCGAAGTCAATATTACTGGTGTTTTCATGACTGCTCAAGCGGCGGCAAAAGAAATGATCAGACACGGCCGAGGAGGCTCTATAGCCATGATCGCATCCATGAGCGGATCAGTTGCCAACAGAGTAAGCACTTCTTCCTCGGGCTGTTGTCGCGAACACAACTGACTCCTGCCAGGGTCTCATTTGTCCAGGTGAGCAACCGAGCCGTAAGCTTTGAGGGCGCGGAGCTAGGAATGACTGACGCAATCTCCAGCATACAACGCCTCAAAGGCCGGAGTGATACAACTCTCAAGGAATCTTGCGAGTGAGTGGGGCCAGCATGGCATCCGCGTGAACACCATCAGCCCGGGATACATTGTCACGGCCATGGTAGAGGCGCTCTTCACCCAATATCCTGAGCGAAAGCGTGACTGGCCGACGCAAGTGAGTTCCATGACGATGATGACGGGTTTGAACTCATGTGCTCATATTTTCGCCGCAGAATATGCTGGGAAAGCTCAGCCTCCCGCAAGAGTATCGCGGTGCGGCCGTCTTCCTGATCAGCGATGCTTCCAGCTTCATGACGGGCGCTGACTTGAAGATCGATGGTACGTTACCACGATTCGAACCTTGAGCGATACTGACACAATTCTGCAGGAGGCCATTCGGCATGGTAGCGCTTGGTCGTGCTTTGATCGTTTATTATGTGAAGCGTGGTTTCGATGTTCGTTCAGCTCTCGCTTCCATCGTCCTCTGCAGATGTGATGGCAGGTCTAGTCTTTTGCTCTTTCCCCATGAACCGACGTTGGAATAGCTCGTATGAAGTATATAGCAAAATCGGCAATGCGCACATTATAGCCGTAAAGCTACGGGCTGCGCGTCTGTATCGGGGATCCAAAAAGCCTTCCTTGACCACACGCCTCGCAGCCTGCAACCCTCTTTCTCTGTCCGGAGATGGTGGATAAATTGTTGAAGGTGGCCTAGAGGGCCACAGTCGCGACAGCCAGCCCTTCTTCTTCGGCACGGGTTCCTGTTGCTGATCTACGCGATGAGAGACGCGTTCTTTAGCTGGAGTCGGCTTGTATGGCAGAGGAGGTGGGGGCGAGGGCCGAGGATTGCCGGAGGTGGTCGCGTAGCCTGCGCGAGGCCATAGTGCACGTGTAGGGGCACTTTCGATGCCGCGCTGGTCGGGCATCGCACGTGTGAAGACAAGTGCGTGGAGCGTGTAGAATATGTGATGGAGGCTTAAACAAAGCTCAGGCAAAAAGTTGGCGCCCCACGAATGGCGCCGAGCAGGGGTCCCTCGATCCTTCTCCCACAACATCTCTACAAACACAAACTCGCTCTGGACTCTCTCAAACATTGGGTTCCATTTCGCGATCAACAGCCCTTTCGGAGACAACTAGAAATCGGCATATCACGCGAATCACTACATCTGCGTTTTCCAGATCCTCAGCATTTGGCCAGTTCAGCCGCGAAACCCCACAGACGCGTGCAAACAACGCGTGTTTGCAGCATGACCGCAGACATAGAGAATCGGGTTCCAAGGACCGATGCTCCGCACGTAAATCTCCACGGAAAGCCTCGACGGGTCCTTGGTGATGTATCTGCGAACCTTCGCGTAATGGCGGACCCAAAATTCTTCGATGGCAAGCCGTTGACCGGAAGCCAACTGAAACGGACCTCAGCTACAGCTCTCGACGATAGCTCGGGCTTCACATACCTCAAAAGACGAAGAATCTCCAGTGACAGGAGTTTGTTACCTTTCGAGAAGGCACCAAAGGATCCTCAGCCTAACGCCGAGCATACACAGCCCGCGCTGGATCGTGAACAGGTATGCTATTAATCATAGACATGGACGGCCTGAGGCTAAGCATCTAAAGCAAAATCTGGAATCGTCCTCTGCAGCTCCCGGGACACCTGCTCACTTGGTAGTGGACGACGAAGACGACGATTCCTCAGCAGAGCGGAAGTCCTTTTCCTCTCTGATCAATTATGATCCATCATCCCAAAATGCTGCTGGTTCGCAAGGTCGTCCGACTCCACTCTTTCGGGGGCCTTCGCATGCAGAGCTATTGAAAATGCGCCTGCAAGTCGCCATGTACAAGGTCAAGACGTAAGTACCACCTGCTGGTGCCACTCGCTGAGCTGACCGGCTTCTTTAGCAACCAGATTCACGTGCCATTTGATGAATTGCGAGAGAACACGTTATCACAACGTCAAAGAGAATACAATGAGGCGGAAGAGGCAGTTGCGGCATTGCGTGCTGAGGCTCAGGCAAAGGACGCCCAACGCACTCACGCCCATCCATCTTCAGCTTTATTTCCGGCGCCCATGTTACAACCCACAGACTACAGCAGCCGGACAATATACGGTCCCACCTTAGCAAGCTCGCCTCCTGTGAGTCGTTCATCTCGTCCCAACATGCGAGACTCGGCTCTGCGTGGCTTTGGTCGAAGGACGACAGCGGAGGAAGAACTCACTAGCAGTGTCGTCAAGGGTCGCGTTGCAGCCGGCTTGCTCGATCTCAGGCGTGGGGCGGAGGGCAGCTAGAGTCGGTCTGGAAGTGCCGTCCAATGTGACCTGCTATGAGAGACATAAATCTCTCCAGCTCTCACCAGCGCGTACGATGACGTCAAAGCCAGCAAAATCCACTTCTCGACTCACAGTTCCTGTTCTTCTCCGGATCTGTCGCGTGACGGTCCACCAAAATGTCATCCCTGGACAACGAAATTGCCACTACTGCAAACGACTTGCTCGAAAGTCTTGACCTCCAACTGGACAAGTACGACGTTCGTCAGAAGTTGTGGCAGGGCTATGGACACGTGTGTAGTGTGGAAGCAAGCAGTGACCTGGGAACTTCACGGTTCCTGATCTTGAAATATGTCAGGCCTCCTCCATCTCGGGATGCCGAATCCGAAGGACATCTACGCAAGGTCATTAGCTATTCCGTCGAGCAGCACTTCTACACCACTCTTGCGCCTCTTATACCACGCGAGATCGCCGTTGCCCAGTGCCATGCCAGCATCAACGCAGAAGGCAAGGTGGCACTGCTCCTCGAGGATTTGCGCAATCGATTTCCTGTTGCTGGCGAGAAGAAGTCAGCCTTAAATAAAACTCAAGTTCATGCTGCGATCGACTGGTTAGCCAGATTTCATGGCTTTTGGCTTCAAAATTTAGCACAGGCAAACAAGTATCGCTTACGACTCCCTCCACTTGAGGATGCGCAAAGCCGAGAAGCGCTAGAAGATCACAGACAAGGCGGCGTTTGGTTAAATGGGGGCTATACCTATCTTTCAACGCGTCGATCTGAGTTCGAATCTCTGAGCGAAGACGACAATTCCGAGTGGTCAAGAGCACTTTGTGCGCCCGTGGCTAACTCTGGGACGTCTATTGCTGAACAGGTCGCGAGAATCTTGTCGCCAGCCACTGTGACATCGCGATCAGGTCTCGACCAGTACCAGAGCCTTATTCATGGAGATGTAAAGGTATGCCGTTGACAATGTTGCGTGCATCCTGAGTTGTGGTTGATTTTGCGGCAGTCCGAGAATCTTTTCACGACAGAGTCCGGAGAGGCAGTCGCATTTTTCGACTTCCAGTATGTCTCGCAATCACTTCCATAAGCACCCACGATTCCTGACTATGACTTCTAGGTACGTTGGTTTGGGCTCTGGTCTCAGTGACTTAGCCAAGCTCTTCACCTGCTCTGTGCCTGAAGATTCACTCCACGAGTGCAACAGTGCCGATGGGTTTCCGAACGCCTTGACGATGGGTCAAGGTGAAAAAGCATTGCTGTCCTCTTATCGCAAGACATTTGAGGAGGCCTCTGGAAAACCTTATCCATGGGATCTCTTTGTGATGCATTGGCAAGTAGCCTTGATCGATTGGCTTCGTTTCCAAGCGTCCTGGGGGTAAGTGAATGCGGTATAGATCGCATCTTATAGTAATTAATGACCTAATGCAGGTTCTGGGGGAACACTGAATGGCTCGAAGCGCGCGCTCGCTCGATACTCGCGGATAGAGGATGGTTGAGTTGGCTGTCGTGCGCCTGCGAGCCATGAAACATGTCTACATGATGTAGTTCCTTGATCATTCGAGGCAACCTCTCGTGGAAAGACAACGAGCAGGTTCAATTCGCCTTCACTTATAAATCTGGATGAAGGCAAGACACTGATGTACAAGAGTGCTACTCGCAGGTGATAGTCCTTGTATCACGGAACATCAATGCACACGGAAGGCCTACCATTGACGAAGGATTCAGGCTTGGCAACGCTAAGACGCATCCGTCAGCATGCACGTATGAGTCACTCCGACTCATTAGACATATAAGCAACAGATCTTTCTCAGGATAACGACCAGAGCAAATTCTCCCCGTCACGAGACCCCATTCTTCGTCCGGCCTCGCGTTAGAGGCCTCAAAACCTAAGTGCAACAATGCCAACAACAGGAGTCGTCACCACTGAGGAGCGCCAGCGCCAGCGATGGTATATCCTGGGATGCGCCACAGCAGAGCATTGACTGGTCAGAAGACTTATACGGCCTTCTGGACTTTGATATAAACGACATTTCGAACTTCGCACTGGATACCTCCATCTACAACAATGCTATCGACATACCGACATTGCCTGCAGTTGAAAGCATGCAATGCCCTTCTGGACATATCACAGACGGCGACGCTCAGTACAATTTGTTTGGCCCAGAAATTGACCGCGATCGTGCTGAGCCTGTGGCCGGTCTGTTAAACACTGGACTGCCATCGGACACGCAGTCCAGTGTGACGAGAATCGCCTCGCACTCGCCGGCAACCGGCTCGAACAGCCAAACCGCCACATCATCTCCTTCCTCTCTTCTTTCAGACCACCGAAGAACTGCCCCAAGCTCGTCCATTTCGGATCAGTCACAGTCGGAACCCAGCTACAAAGTACAGAAGCGGAAACGCAACACCGAAGCCGCTCGGCGCTATCGGCAACGAAAGGAAGATAAAGTCGCCCAATTGGAGGAGGCCTTGAAGGCAATGACCGATGAGCGCGATCAACTTTCCTTGATGCTCGCCCGAGCAGAGGCGGAGACGAATTTGTTGCGCAGCATGTTCAAGACCTCTTGAAGATTTACAGTGCTTGTAATGTCGGCGGCTACTCTCTAACGTCGGAACCTCTCGAGGCGGCGCTTCTGCTGTTTTAGATTCGCAATGCTGTACCGTAGAACGTTGTCAATTACCCAAGCATGCAGATATGCTGCTAATGATTCATTGTCTGCCGCCGTTTTCCTTTGTGATGCATATCGATCTATGCCGGTCATCATCTACCCTGTTGCTATTCAAGGCCCTCTTGCTTAGCATAGCTTGTAAAGTGAACGCGCAACAGACCCCAAGACCTTCGTCACGAGCTTAGTCTGGTTCGGTCCAGGTTCCTGCAGACTCTGCTTGTCTGCGTCACCATATGCCCCCACCGAACTGCTGCTCAACCAAGCGAAATGACAGAGCAGGCAGGCCTACTTATCGACTGTTCGACCGCAGATTGACTGCGATATTAGGACAACGACCAGGTACGAGCACGAGTGTCCTGGACCACTGCCAGTGAAAACAGCTGAAGAGAGCGTAAAGGTGCTTCAGGTCATTCCATTCTATCGTCTAGACTCTAGTATCTAGGTGATCTATCGGTCTGATAGATGTAACTTCGCCATTCCATGCATCTCTTGCCGCGTCCATAGTAATCTTGCTGTCAATAAGGTAGGTACAAGAAGCTTAAAAATGCGCCTTTCATCGTTTGCCTCAAAAAAGCAGATCATAGATCATCATTCGCGCCGTCGTTCTGTGCCGCCAACTCTTCAGCATGCTCGTGACTCTCGTTGCTCTTGATTCGTTGCAGTTGCTCCGTGACATATCTGTTGATGGGATCATCGGGATCATCTTCTGGTCGAGGTTTATTGCCATTGGCATCGTCTTGGTAGATAGACCATGCTCGTTCAGGCTTGCCGTTAGTGAATGCCTCATCGGCATCGTCTCCGGACGCATGAGTGTCGCCGTCACCATTTGTGGCGCTCCAGTCGCTTCTAGCGCCGATCGATCGTGTTCGGGTGAGCGAGCGAGCAAGTCTAGGGCTCTTTCGGCCACTTGCGAGTGAAGCACGACGTTGCCGGCTGAACGTGTCATCGAAGTAATGCGCAGCCGCACTACTAGGCGTGCGCGGTGTCTGTGGGAGACGACAGTTTGTGCTGGCAAGAGGTCAGTAACGCAGGCGATGAGACCAGAGAGCAGTCACTTACCCAGTATCCTGGATGATCTTGGCGATGAGGCCTGTCCAGCCGGTCTGGTGAGTAGCGCCGAGACCGCGTCCAGTGTCGCCGTCAAAGTACTCGAAGAACCACAGGTAGTCTTTCCAGTGCGGGTCAAAGTCGAGCATGTCGTTGCCATCGTAGATCGCACGACGTCCATCGGGTCCTGAGGACATCAAGTGCTGCAGCCTGTGCTGAATCTCCTCCGCAACGTGGCCGAGGTGCATGTAGTCGCCAGATCCAGTCGGGCACTCAACCTTGAAAGTACTGCCGTAGAACATGTAGAAACGCAACAGTGATTCGATGAGCAAGAAGTTGACCGCGAGCCAACAAGGTCCTCGCCAATTGCTGTTGCCGCCAAACAGCCCACTGTCCGAATCACCGGGAACGTAGCCGACAGAATAGGTTTGTCCATTGACATCCATGGAGACCGGATGGTCTTTGTGAAATTTGGACAAGGACCGAATGCCGAAAGGACTCAGGAATTCGTTGGGGTCAAGCATGTACTTCAGGATGCATCGTAGGCGGTCTTCATTGACGAACGAAAGGAGGAGACGTTCGTCCTTGCCCCGACGCTTCATGCTGGCAATGTTGCGGGAGATGACCTCGTGCTTGTTTTCGATGAACCATTCAAGACGCTTCTTGAACTGCGGGAAGCGGTTAATGACCTGCGGCTCCAGCGTGAGAGTGGCGTACATGGGAATGAGCCCAACCAGAGACCGAACAGGCATCTGATGTGTCCATGGCCCACCCCACGATATCGCGTCGTAGTAAAAGCCGTCTTCTTCATTCCACAGAGACTTTGATTCGGAACCCGACCGGTACTGCATCGCATCGGAAATGAGAATGAAGTGCTCGAAGAACTTAGATGCAATGTCTTCGTAGATACGGCGATGTTTGGCGAGCTCCAGGGCAATGTTGAGCATGCACAAACAGTAGAAGCCCATCCAGCCGGTCGCATCTGCTTGCTCCAGAGTCCCTCCAGTGGGCAAGGGATCTGATCTGTTGAACAGGCCAATGTTGTCGAGGCCCAAAAAGCCGCCCTCGAAGACGTTTTTGCCATCGAAGTCCTTGCGATTGCACCACCACGTGAAGTTGAGCAGCAGCTTCTGAAAGACGCGCTCGAGAAAGTCGAGATCTTCGCGGCCGTACATCTTGCGCTCGATCTTGAATGTGCGGAATGTCGCCCACGCATGGACTGGTGGATTCACGTCGCCAAAGTTCCATTCGTAGGCCGGCAGCTGCCCGTTCGGATGCATGTACCATTCGCGGGTGAAGAGATCGAGCTGCTTCTTGGCGAAGTCAGGATCGATCATGGCTAAGGGTATGCAGTGGAAGGCAGTATCCCACGCGGCGAAGAAGGGGTATTCCCAGGAGTCGGGCATGGACAAGATGTCGTCCAGATGCATGTGCTTCCACTGGGCATTGCGGACATGCTTCCGTTCCGGCGGTGGTGGAGGCATGGCCGGATCGCCGTTTGCCCACTGATCCCAAATAAAGTGGTAGTATTGTTTACACCACATCATACCAGACAGAGCCTGACGCTGAATGTTGCGAAGATCATCGGTCATGGGCATAGGATTGAGCTTGTAGTAGAACTCGTCGGCTTCCGCCAAACGTTGTTCCATGACATTGTCGAAGTGCTCCTCATCCATGTAACCTTCTGCAGCCTTCTTCGAGACTCGAAGACGAACGACAGCACACTCTCCGGGTAGAACGCCCTGACCCTGGTCGAATGCATACCAAGCAGCACTCTTCGTTCCCTTCTTCTCTGGATTGACGGCCTTCTTGTCGCCGTGCACGACACGCTTGTGGAAGGCATCCTTGACGTACGGGGTTTTGTTCTGTTTCGCCCCCCAGAGGTCGACGTAATTGGTGTCATTGTCGGTGAAGAGGAATTCGGGCTCGATATCTGTCTCGCGGCCACAGCTGTTTGGCGACGGAGAGCACTGGAAGTACCGTTCTCCAAGTTCCTTGTGCTTGATGTGAGCGGACAGGGAATCTAGCTGCTCGATGCTTGGCTTGGTAGAGTCGTAACCCCATGCCCATGTGTTGCGAAACCATGCATGGGGCAAGATGTGCAGCTTCGCTGGCTCCGAGCTTCGATTGTATGCTGTAACACGGAACAAAAGCTCGTCTGGGTCGTCGGCCTCTTTCGCAGTCTCAATGAAAATGTCCCAATACTTGTTGTTCTTGAAGATGCCAGTATCCACAAGATTGTATTCTCTCTCTTCCTTGGTTCGGCTCGCGTTGGTCTTGATCAAATCTTCGTAGGGGAAGGGATCCTGAGGCATCTTGTAGAGGAATTTCATGTAGGAGTGAGTCGGCGTATTGTCGAGGTGAAAGTGACATTCTTTGATACTCTCGCCATGCACACCTTGAGGATTGGAAAGTCCAAAAAGACGTTCTTTGAGATGACCGCTAGATAATGGTCAGCGCGGCGAAGTAAGAGCAGGAAGTTGAGGTTGACTCACTCTTTGCCATTCCAAAAGGCGAAGGCGAAGTTGAGGCGGCCGTGAGTGTCAGACACGCCCGCGATGCCATCCTCGCCCCAGCGGAAGGCACGCGATCTCGCCATGTCATAGGTAAAGGAGCTCCAGGCGTCGCCATCGTTGCTGCAATCACATTAGCGGAAGCTTTGCTGCTGAGCAAATGAGTCTATGGACGCACGAGTAGTCCTCGCGGACGGTTGCCCACTGTCGTTCGGCCGTGTAGGGTCCCCATTTCTTCCAGTACTTTTCGCGAGCACTGTCCTCACGCAGGCGTCGCTCCTCGGCACTGAGGACCTGTTGGTTGTCAATGTAGACCATTTCCACGGCCCGGCGTCAGGAGTGCCGGCACTCCAGGTAGTCGAGGCAGACGTCGCAGTTGCAGTGGTGGGGAATCGATGTGCGGTGGAGGAGAGTCGGTGGCAGTCGTCACGGTGGGTCGGTGGTTGATATCGATAGGACGCACCCGACGGTGAGTGCGAGTAATGCAGCCGGGCGGGCGAGTAATGCAGTGCAATGCAATGCAGACAATGAGCGGATGTGTGTACTAGCGGGGCTGGTGGGTGGGAACAGAGAGACGGAGAGAGAGCACGACGAGAGAGTGAAAGAAAGAAGCAGCAGGCACGCGACTTGACACGACACGATGATGAGGCTCCCAAAGCTCATGCAGCTGCGAGTCTGCACGCGGTCGTGTTCCTGATCGCCTTCGCCTTCGTTTGCACATTTTCAGCGGAAGCGACCATTGAGCTCCCAACAATTCGTAGCGCCAATGACGACCGGCCCGCAGTCCGTGCTGCTTGCTGTGGATGATGTGCATCGCTGATCCTCGCGTGCACCGGCCGGACGTGACTTTTTGGTCAGTCTGCCGCGGGCCACACGCTTGCTTCACGCGTCGACCTGTGTAGAGACGGCCAACAAGAGACAGAGAGACGACGGCAGTGTTGCCAACAGCTGCACTGCGATGCATCGACCTCCACACGCCCTCCACACGCACTCTGCACTCGGCATGCCGCCTCCGCATCGCGCTATGACGGAATTGCCGCTGTCTCATAGTCGGTGAGACTTTTGTGCACCCAAAACAGAAGTTTGGACTATCGAGTGCACAGGTACCTCGACACCGCTTTGCTCGTCGACTCGTCACTTCTCCGTCGCTACGAACTCTACACTGCGGACTGTCCTAGCAAGACTCCACCGGCTGCGTGTCGATCCCACCTTGCTGTTCCTCATGATGGATCTGCTCCGCTTGCTCGATACACCTCATGTTGGCCGCAAGCTTGTTGATCGTCTCCTCGTATTCATCCCCCTCGTCGCTATCAAACACGATGCCTCCGCCGGCTTGCAGATACGCAACGCCGTCCTTGGTCATCATCGTACGCAGCGCGATGCACGTGTCCATGGCACCTTCGGTCTCCTTCCCGCTCGTGATGTTGATCGTGCCGTACCCAAAATACCCAACAGCGCCGGCATACACTCCGCGCTTCTCGCCTTCGAGCTCCGCAATCAGCTCCATGGCTTTCACCTTGGGCGCACCAGACACTGTGCCAGCAGGGAAGATGGAGCGGAAAGCATCGAAACGCGTCTTGCCCGGACGCAAGATACCCGACACTTCCGACACCAAATGCTGTACATGGCTGAACTTTTGAACGACCATGAGCTGGTCGACTCGGGTCGATAAGGGATCACAAACACGGTTCACATCATTCCGCGCGAGATCCACCAGCATAACGTGCTCTGCTCGATCCTTGATGCTCGCATGGAGTGTGTCTGCAAGCTCTTGATCTTCCGCCGGTGTTGCTCCGCGCTTGATTGTTCCCGCAATGGGATGCGTGATGATTCGTCCGTTCTCCTCTTTGACCAGTACTTCCGGGCTGGCGCCAATTATTTGGAAATCCTCACAATCCAGGTAGAACAGGTAGGGAGACGGGTTCACCGTCCGAAGATGCCGATAGAGGTTGAACGGATGTAGACTGGTTGGGCGAGCAATGCGCTGAGATGGCACTGCCTGGATGATGTCTCCCTGCACGATGTGTTTCTTCAACCTCGTCACATGTGCTTCGTAACCAGGACGGCCAATGTTGCTCTTATACTCCTGCTGCAGATTGATTGGCCCTTGTGGTGGCAGAGGCAGGTCTTTGCTCTTCAATGCCTTCACCAATTCTGCAATGTCATTCCTGGTCTTCTCGTACGCCTCTGCCACTGCGTCCGATGTCGCATCAGATGAGGGCACATGCAGATAGCTAATCACCACCACCTTTTGAAAGAAATGGTCCATAGCCACCACGGTGTCGTATAACATGAACAAGCTCTCTGGCACCTCTAGCACATCTTTCATCGATCGCTTTGTCTTCGGCTCGAAGTACTTGACACAGTCATAGCCGACATAGCCAATCGCACCACCGGTCAATGGCGGCAGCCGCAGTGCTGGTATCTGCGCGACGCGATACTTCTCGAGCGCTGCAGCGAGCTGCGGTAAAGGGTCGGCTTCAAGTCCATGATTTGGTCCGGAAACGAGCGTCTTGCGAGGATCGGCGCCGACGAAGCTATATCGCCCAATGGTCTCAGAGGTCGCTGCGGATTCGAATAAGAAGGACTGCTTTGAGCGCGAGCTATTCTTGAATTAGTTCTGTTGCTCCGAAAGAGGCGTGAAGCGCTGCGTACCTGGCAGCGACCTTGAGGTATATCGAGGTGGGAGTCAGGAACTCGGAGGGAATGGATGTGCATATTGGAATGAGGTTAGGAGCATTCGCAAAGCTCTTGCTATCATCGATGATCTTTTGAACGTCGGCCAGCAATGGCTGCACAGCTATCTACAGCTGCGTCAATGTCATGGCCACGTGGAGGAGGGCTCGAGGACAAATGTACCGTGGGGGCCATTGCGAGGTCGGGTTAGGGGACCGGTCTAGGCGATGTCAGGAACACGAACGCGCTCATCGAGTGGGCCGCCGGACCTGGTAATTCCACAAAGAAGGCGTTGATTCTGGAGAGGTCGTTTTGTGCCAAAGCCGTGATAAGCCGTGATTCAAATGTGCTGCGAAAGGCGCGCAAGACTTGCCGAGAGGATGCTATTCCCAATGGGGCGGACCGAGTGCCACGCCATGTGGAAAAGCCTTCCGTCCACGTTTTCATCATGCCGCGAACCTTATCGCCCATCACCACCGCACATCAAACGTGAGGTGGGAGGACAGGCTGGCTTTTGAGGTTGCAAGCGCGCGTACGAAATCTTGGTCTCTTTGGCACGAGCTACCATGATGACGGCGCCGACTTCACCGCAGGCCTCCTTGCCCTCTCATTCCTCCTCCTCCTGGTCTTCTTCTGTCATTCCTTCACCTTCTGGTTCTGGTTCTGCTTCCGCTGCTTCTCCTACTCCTAATAAGACGTTGGCGTCTGCTTCTCCGACGCTGCCCTCGTGGCATTTTCCCTTCGGCCCATCTTCCAAGTACCATCTCTCGGAGCGCCCACAGCGCAGTCATCAACGCGTCAAGACGTCCTACACGCCGCGCGCTCCCGTGCTGAGCACCGAGCAGCGCGCGCATCGTCGCGCTCAGAATATCAGCCTAGGCAGCTTTCCGAGTCCTTCCCCGAGCGAATACAGTCGCAGTCCGCTCTCGCGCCTTTCGAGTCACAGCAGTGCGTCCTCTGCCAAGTATCCTGGAACCATGGCGCGTTCCACCAACGGCGCCCCGCTCACTCCAGCCAAGACCTCGCGGCGGACGTCTTCGCTGCAGCAATCGCCATTCTCGGACTACTTCTCCGACGATGCGCGATCCGCGCTCAGTACCAATGCGCCCGCACCCTCGATGGAGACTAAGGCGCTACTCGTGAAGATGAATAAGCTGCAATCACAGCTCATGCGCGATCAATCGGATAAAGGCCACCAGGCCATCAGCGTGGTTGGTCGCAAATTGGCCGAGATCGACGCTGAGCTGGAATCTTTGCATGCTCACTCGCAGTCGCCCATTGACTTGGATGACTCAGCGATATTCATGTCGGGGGAGAAGATCACCGTGCAAACGCCCCAACACAGCCGCGGCCCTTCATGCCAATCGTGCAACAGTTTAGATAGCAGCGTCGCCAGCAGCAAAATTTTCGACGAGGAAGTTGCCACGCTCAAGCAATACCAGGCTGAACGCACCTGGTACCTGGGCAAAACGCAAGAACTCCTGGAGAAGCTCAACACCGTCCAGGCTGAACTGCGTCAGCGTCATGCAGACTTTGCTGAGCTGCACGAGCGTCATTACACCGTGATCGAGGAGAAGGAGGCTGAGATCGAGCAGCTCCGCTCTGAGAATGAAGGCTTGCGTCAGGATCTTGGCTTCGAGTACAGCGAGCTGCTGTTCTTGAAGTTGCAGATGAAGTCGTTGGAAGTTGACATCGATGATCTTCGAAACATTAACAACACTCAGCTGTCAAGCGAACAGCGCACCAAGAAGAACGAGATTTTGTCTGAGATGGACCGCTGGCGGACAGATTCAGACTGGCAGGACGTTGAAGCCCGTTTTAAGCGTCGAAGAAGCAAGTATGGCATTCCCACCTCGCCCGTCCGCAAGGACAGTGCGAGGGCCAATTCTGATATTACTGCACAAGATGAGATCGATTGGCAACTTGAGACTGTCCGCGAAGACCGCGGACGCATCACTAGTCTTACTATCAAGCGCACAGACAGCACTCAGAGATTCCCGCAGAATGGAGAGGAAACGGTAATTACGGAGCAGACAGTACAGCCTGTGACCTTGGGTGGTTCCACAGGCTCTGCTGCAGGCGATCCCTTCGATTGCACCGCCAAGAAAACAGAAGCAGAACGCCTTCCGAGGTCGTATGCACATCAAGACACGCAGACAGATATTTCTATTGCTTATCCTCTTGATGAGGATGAGCCCCATTTTATCACACAAGGAGGCCTTCGGGAAGTTTCAGGAGACGCCCAGGAGGAGGACATTGAAGAAACGTACGAGGAAGAGGAGGAAACTGAAGATCACGATTATTCTATTGCTGGCACACAGGGATGTGCCATCCACATCTCCGAGTCCGCTGAGGCGGACGAGGATCTTTACCAAGACGTTGAAGAAGATGAAGAAACTATTCTAGAGGAAGCCACGTTGCTGAGTGTGCCGCACAAGAGCGCGTGGCAGGAACTGTGGAGCAGTCTGTCAAGCCTCACAGGGATTCCGGACGACGAGGAAGACGAATACTAACCTAACCGACACCACTACACGTGGAGACCACACTCATTGCACAAAGACTGGACTTTGATACCCTTTTCTGTTTGAAATTTTTTGTTTGGGACTTAATCAAACACAACACATCGCCGTACTAGGCATTTTCCGATTTCGGGCGCTCTATAGGGGTTGGGCACGGCGCCTATTTGTTGGTCTACGGAACGGAGTACTGGATCGATTTGAGAGCCAGGTATGTTCGAGTACACACTCGACTTCCCCACCCAACCCTTTGCATTGCATGCTTAATTCCTTAGCACGCTCTATAGAACACCCTCTGTAGATATTCTGTTAATGTACAGATCACACCACTCCTTGCTCGCTCATGCTCTCAGAGTGTCCATCCTTGTGTGGTGGTTGTGACTTATCGCGTGGATCTTCTCGCCGTGCGTGATCGAAGTTCCGCATCTCTTCGCAGAAAGACACGACTCACCAGACGATGTCCACTTCGCTCAGGTCGGCTTAGTCGCTGTCAGAGATGCAGTACGCATCGCTATCGACATCGCTCGCCTCGTTGCGCTCCTCGGTAGCCTTGTCATAGACAATCTTGCGAGGAACGGCCTTGACCTTTGCGAACTTGCCACCACCAGAAGATGTCGCGTTGCTGTTGGTGGTAGAGCGCAAAATGGAGCTCGAAGCCTTCGAGTTGCCAGCCGTGCTGGTGCCGATGTTGGTAGAGCCGGCGTTGCTGGGCAGAGAGACGCCTGCACGCGAAGAGTAGGTGCCGCGAATGGTGCCATTATGGGAGTTGGTGACACTCTCTGCTGGAAGGGTGAAGTCCTTCTCAAGATTAGTGGGAGTAATGGTGGGCTTGGAGAGAGTTGCTGCGACTTACATCGTCGTCGCTCTCATCGTCCGAGTCGTTCGAGCCACCTCCAGAGCTCTCATCACCCTCCTCTGCGCCTGGCTCGTAGTTTGCCTTCTCCTCAGCGCACTTCCAGCAAATCTGATTGATAGTCAGCACAGTCTCGCTCCAGCCAAAACTGCAATTGACGCACTGCGTGATCGGGCGTTTTACGTTGCGCCTTCGAGAACTTGTCCAGCCCCTTGTCCATGTCGCAATAGTAGCAGTGCAACTCGGTGACTTGACGGCCAGTGCAGGGAATGCAGGAGATGATAGCCTGGTTGATAGCGTTGAATCTCGGGTTCGACCTCATGTGGTCGGCGAGATCCCCACGCTGCTTATTGGAGAAAGCAGTCGAGCCCTTAACCTCATTGCAACGGTTGCACTTGATCCTAGGTAAAGTCAGTCTCCTCTTGATTGGAGCGGCGGGCACGAAACTGACCTGCCAGGCACCGAGACGGCATTGGTGCTCGAGTAGGCGCCGTAAGCCATCTTGAGAGTGTCTTGATGAACGTGGGTGCTGTTGTTGGTGGAGGAAGTTGTTTGTCGGGGATCGAAGTTGGATGAGCGACGTTCGAAGGTGGAAGGTTGAAAGATGGATGAAGAGTTGGGTAAAGTGGCAAGTTTCTTGTGGCAAGTTTCTTGTTTGTGCAAACGGAAGTTTTAGCGGGCAGCTGCGAATGACGCGAATTGCTGCCTGGGGTTGATTATGCATGTGAAATGCAAGTGAGCCTCGAGTGAGCACGTTGAGTTTCTCCAGGATGCGACTCTCACGCGTGCCAGCATTGTGCACTGCCGGTGAATCTGCATTTCTGCCGGCCCGGATGGACCTAGGGAAGCCCCAGTGATAGACAATTTGGTCGCTAGAATGGTATTCGACAAACAGCAGACAGATACAATATCGGCTGACTTGATTAGATGCGTATCAAAGCAGACAGCAGTGCTAATCTGTGCTTGCTGAGTAGTCGTTGGGGCGCAGGTTCGCGCATTGCGAGCATACCACGTGCGAGAACAACCCAAGTTCACAGAAGTGACCCAGCTCTCCCAATAACATCAAATCATATTTCCGTTGAAGCCGAATTGACAAAAGTGGCCAGATTGCTGCTTGACCCCACTTATGCGACTCATTGTCCCGTCATGTCTTCTGCGTTCGCTTGCTGATATTCATTCGTTGCTTGTCCTCCCATTGTGGATGAATAGTACCACTTTCTCATGATGGGGCCATCGCTAGCCGTAGGGCTGACGGGAAATCGTTTCCTCTCAATCAAGCTCATATCACAGCTTCTGATATCGGCGCAGTCGGCTAGTAGCCAATGTGTCCTCGATGCGGGCAGCAGGAGAGACCTCAAGTACACCTCACAGACCTGACCGCCATGTTGCGGTCCGTGTCCGTCCACTCCAAAGCATCATGGTCCTGGACTGTTCCACGTTCCTCTTATTCCACTCATCTGTTCATATATCCCTCTTTCCTCGCAACTCACTTATCCCCCATCCTCACCACTTGTCGCAGCTCCTTCTTCACGACCTCCGCACCATCCTTCGCAACCTCTCGTGGAATTGTCAAGTCCGGTCCACCCGTCCCATTGGTTATATTTCCACTTCCATTCTCCCCTTGCAGTGCAACATGCTGCATGACCAGCTTCATAGCCTCATCATAGCTCTGCGCATCTCCACTGCGGAACAGCTTCTCCACGTAATCGCGTACATTCTGAGTCCAGCCTGCCGCATCAAGTCGCTCGTGTAGTGATGTCTGGATGCGTCGTATGCCCCCGTTCTGGAGCAGAGCGAGATTGATGCTGTCTTGTGTGGACGGGTTGTATGCGGACAATGCGCCGTTGACGGCTACTTTGCGGTCGGCGGACATGGCGGCGGGTGTGATGCACGCACGGTGAGCGTTGAACTGCTGATTCTCTTCTGCAGGATTATTATTATTGTCAACCAGCTGTTAAGATGAACGGAACCAGAAGCAAGAAGGACGACGTGAACAAAGCCGTGACGATGCGCGAGGTGGCAGGGGTGGGTCCTCTAGCGCGTAGATCCGCTTTCACATGCACGTCCAATTCTCCTTTTTGTATTCTCAGTCGAGCAGATCCTGCTACACGACCGAACGACGGGGACTACTATGTACCTTGGAACATGTTGTGGATGACAAAATTGATGAATCTATGCTTTGCAATATGCTCATACTATTGAAAATTTCCTCTCTGAATGATTGTCCACAAGGCCCGGTCGACCTGTCCCTCCCTACAGGTAGTCCTGGACCTCAGATGTGAAAGACAGTAAAGTGATGCTCGAACGCACGCTCCTCGCTACACGCGTCAAGTCACTGCATGATGAAAAGAGATATGCTTCGCCACGCGAACGCTGTCAATGCCTCCGTGAACATCCAAACATTAGCAGAAGGGCTTTCTATACTCGTCGTGCCCCCTTCATTATGTGCATGCATGCACATGATTCTCCGTACAATGGAGTTACAGTATCCAAGGCCTCGTCGTTCCAGTCAAACGAATCGCTAGTTGCTAGTTCCAATTGTAGGAGACTGCTACGCGAAGAAACGGTGGTGACAGAAGACCAGTCGTGTTGATCAGACGGAGCAGCCGTTGACATCGCTACAGGGTCGACCTAAGACCTGCGGGTGACGTTGTCTCTGCGTTCGAAAGGGTCTCGGAATTTGATTTCGCTGGTATGTTCGATACCTCGGAGCAGTTCAATATTTTCAATGGGCATGCCGTCCCGCGATTGGTATGTCGGCGCGCCCTTCAGGATGCCAAAATCGACGATCAGAATCCGACCATCCTGACTGGTAGCCACGATTCGACGATAGTCCGATTTGGCTGCGAGCATCCAGCTCGTCGTCCACTCCTCCCCACGCCAGAGTTCCTGTCCAGTCGTGAAGTCGTACACGCGAAGATCGAGATCGTAGCTTCCAGACACGACCCTGTCGTTTGCGCTATCCAGCCACAGCGAACGGACGAGCTGCGAGTGGCCCGTATACTGCATCACCTCCCGTCCAGTATCGGTTTCGAACTTGTAAGTGATGTTGTCGTTACCACCAGCCAAGACATGCTTCATGTCCTCGCTGAATTCCACAGCAGCAAGGCCTCGCTCCTTTGGGCTGAACTCTTTGATCAGCTTCATTTGATTGATGTCCCACAAGCGGGCAATGCCATCTCCGCTTGCACTGACAAGCAGGTGGCCTCGCAATTGAACGGCATTGACAGGACCTCTGTGGCCGATCAATTCACCCCTCGCTTGCAAAGTCTCGCGATCCCACACGATGATTCTCGAGTCCTTGCTGCAAGAAATGATGTGCTTGGCGTCCAGCGCAACATCGAGGACACCACCAGCATGCTTGCGCAGGCGTGCGATCGGCTCGAAAGTCTTGATATCCCAGACGATCAAGTCATTATCTGAAGATCCCGTCACTAGGATCTTTTCATCGTACTGGAGACACAAAATGCTTGCATCGTGATAATATTTAGGCTCCTGATAGATGTTGTCGCCGTATGCCGTGCCATTCACACTAGCAGTCGCCATGTGGAACGATGGGTAGTCGACAGTGCGCAGCACTTTAGGACCCGCTACTGGCTTCACATTCGGTCCTCCAATAACGCGGAGACATTGGTAGGTATTGATGTCCCATACGCGAATTGTCCTGTCTCTCGATCCCGTGATTATGACATGTTCGTCGAACTGTAGGCAGTAGACACTATCAGTATGCCCCGACAAATACACAGCCTTGCCTGCCTCATCGGCACCAGCTCGCCAGTTTTGCTCGAGTTCGACGCGGGCTTTATACATCTTTCGCCATTCCTGGTTGGCTCGATTGGCAAGACCTATGCCCTTTCCTCCCACTTGGACTGGCGGGGGGTCGGTGTAGACTTGACGTTGATATTTGCGAAGGAAGATGGTGCGCCACACGGATACGTCCGTAGCCATTGAGTGCCACTTCCGGCATACCTGTTCAGCGTTGAGCAGATTTGGCGCGTCCAAGTGCTGGAAGACGAGGAGAGATAGCTCTTCTGGGAAGATTCTGGTGAAGTCGTGGTTGGCTGGCTCGGGCTCGAGCATGTCCACATCTCCGTCGGGGTCGCGAACAGAGCCCATGTCAGAACCGCTGTATGTGGACAAGTCTGCACCGCTATCTGCTGCACTGCTCATGGAGCCCAGGTGATGCCGACGGTCGTGCAAATCTTGATTGGATCCTACCCATTCCGCCAACGATCCAGCCGGTAGGAAGTGGTGGTTGTGCATGGCAGCGGCCTTGCGAGCAGCGTCACCGCCTGGCGCGGAGCCAATGGAAGGAGTGAAGCGACTCCCGATAGCAGGTCGTACCGGCAGGCCCAAGGTACTGCTTGGTGCTGGAGTGTCCTTGCGATCACCCAAAGGGAAGAAATTGTTACGATACTTTCGAGGTCTGTCGTTTTCGTGTCGAGCGCTGCGCTTGGATGGCGAGGTGGGTTGTTGTTTGGTGAGTAAGGCAGGATTGATGCACGCCGGCTCATGACTGTCAATGGGGTTGGGGGTGCTTGACCTCCGGCCGCGTGACACGGGCAGGGTGTAGCGGTGCATGTTCTCACGCAGCGTATTCACGCGGTCCCTCGAGTACCTGGACAGCCGCCTGCCGATGGAAGCGGACTTGGCTGTATCGCCGTGCGGTGCTTCGGTCTGCAGCGGGGAGAGAGGCTTTCTCGCGCGTGCAGCGTGCGCCTGTTGCAGATGGAATTCCTGCTCCGTAAGGTGCGGCGGTATGTCCTCCCATAGCCCAAATGCATCGGCATTGGCGGCTGTAGTAGCAGGTGACACGGTGAGCACGTGGACGTCGTTGGCGGTATCGTCGCGGGACATGCGTCGCTGCGACAGGAAGGCGGCTCCTTTGTCGAAGCTGCTGGGGCCAGCAGCAGATGCTCGCGGCGTGTGGTCGTCGCTGTCGGAGGATGATTCGTAGTCCAGCGGCTGATTCTCCTGGCCGCCAGCAAAGTCGAGTGTTAAGGAGGACGAGGCATGCACGGTGTGCGGTCGCTCGTCTGACATGCGTGGGCGGTGGAGGGTATAGCGGCCGGCGAAGGAGGCAGAAGCGGCGCCGTCGAGCATGGCGGCAGCGACGGCGGTGAGGATGGAGTCGGGATGCGAAGTGATGTGCGTAGGCGTGTATGCGTGGTTGCGAGTGTGTGGTATGTGCCGAATCCGGACAGGCTGGCAGCCAGTCTGCTCGCGGCCAATGCAAAGCAAGCGGCGTCGAGGACCAGTGTCGGCTGTGGAGGTGGAAGGAGGGTGGTGCCGCGGTGGGCGGCGGCGGCGGCGGAGGCGTGGTTAAGAAGAGAGATGAGCGTCCAGAGCAAGGAGTGATCTATAGTTGGAGCGATGATGAGAGGACGGCGCGAGGACGGCGTCTGTGTGGCCCTGGCAACAACGACGAAAGGACAGGACGGGTAGGAAACAAGCAGCGCAACGCAACGCAACGCAGCGGCAGCAGCAGCAGGAAGCGCAGGCCGTGCTGGGCAGCGACGTTTATAGCAGCGGCGCGGTGCGGCGAGACATGCAAATGCTGGCGACGCTGCTCCGGCGGTGGAATCAAAGACTTTGAGGCGTGAAACTCGTCGCCCGGCCTTGTAAATCTCTGGGTCCATGTCCGATCGCAGACAAGTCACGCCCGCCGTTCCAGACGACGGTCATTTGCCGGTACGCTGACTGGCCCTCCCCGGCGTATGATGGGCCATGATGTTGCTGCTGCTGCTGCTATTGCTGCTGCGCTGACGCTGCCGCCCCCGGGCCTGAGGTCACCGCCGTCACCCTCAGTTCTGCCACGCCCGCTGTTCCATGTTCGCCGCCGCAGTCTCTGCACAGATTCCTGCGCTGCCGTCGTGCGTTCCGCCACCATCCCGGCCACGCCGCGTGCCAAGCTTCCAGCCCATCAACACGCTGCTTCCATCAGCACCGGACCATCTGCGCGTCTGAGGTACAGTACCACTCTTCAGCTGTACCCTTCGCCGCCCGTGTGCAACACACGTCGACCCATCTCCTAGGCGCGAGCAGGCGCCAGAAAGCGCTTGCATCCAGCCCAGCATGCCGCGCACCGCATCGATCGACCCATTGCCACTTCCATACAAGCTCTTCTTTCTCTGGATAGAACCTGTGTCCACCATTGTCGGCGCATACTTCGCCCACTTTCAGCAGGAGTACTACATGCACGCCACCGTGCCCGATGCTGGGGCGATTTCGATTCGCGAGTCCGTTGTCCTGTCCCAGCTCGCCAACCTGTACTTTGCCTTCACCTTAAACGAAGCTTTGGTTCTCCGCGCTACGAGATCTCGCAAGGTCTGGAATACCCTTCTGCTTGGCCTCCTCATTGCCGACTTTGGTCACATCTACGCCTGCAAAGCTGCTGGATTCGAGCTCTACTACAGCATCTGGAAGTGGAATGCTATGTGGTTCGGGAACCTTGGTTTTGTTTATATCGGCGCAACTTTACGAACATGTTTTCTGCTTGGAATCGGCCTTCCGAGCTAACTGCGATAATGCGGACGCGTGAGCAGTCAACTCAGCGCGGCATGAGATTGAGGACATGCATGTACAAACAACATTCGGATGCCGAACTCCTACCGAATTGTAACCGTGGCCCGTACTCGCGACACCACTGTACCAGGACAATCTATACGTTCGTCACTTGACCGCGTTACGAGTGTCGCGAGCTTCTGGGCTCACGCCAAGCCATTCAACCCTAGGGCATCTGGGTACAATGTTCCAGAGCTACCTTCAGCCAAACATCAGACCTAGAGTACCACAGTTCCCGAGTTCTCGACGCTTGAGACGTACGACTAGTTGCCGTAACCAATAAAAAGTCGAACACTTCAGCTGAACAATTCAGGAATGCTTGGTTCGATCAGATCACCCTCAAACCATTGGGGCCCAAGCTGTAGATTTACCTCTCACGCAAAACACGTGAAGCTCCGCCCATGCTTTCGTCGACGCCAATCTCCGTGCGGGCTCTGTTAGATTCGAAAGGCGGCAATGCGGCAAGAGCGGATTGTAAATCGCGTCCAACGTCGATTGCTCAACGATCTGATCAGCTTCTGTCGAAACACTTCTCACTCATTGTATATTGCAGTAACAACGTGCTGTGTTCCGCGAGACGCAAATGTGGCATGGGATCCCATGAGCCAAGGAAGGACGAGCGTCGACGTCGACTTTGCGGCACATGCACACTCCTGTCATCTCGTGTCATGTTCACGTTCCTGCATGCACTGTGCATGCAGTAAAAACAGCCACCACTTGCTGCTAATGCGGCCAACCATCTCGGGAGCACTCGCGAATGCTGCTCACTACCTTTCGCAGAGCAGCCAGAAATGTCTAGCTGACTCGTGAGAGGTGGAGCTGACTCGGCTTGGAGCCGATGACGACAGACGGCAACCCCAGCACGCTCGTGAAAAGCATTCGTGCAGTCTATAAACCGCAGTGAAGCCATGAAACGTGCCATCTCGTGTAGACAGTACCTGCAGTAGGATATTCAGTTGCATTGCACTTTCCCTGTTCCTCCATTGTACTCAACATGTCCCTAGCAGGCAAGAATGTTCTCATCACGGGTGCCTCAATGGGTATGGGCACAATTCGATACGCTCACCTGGACAACTGCTGACAAACCGTACACAGGCATTGGCGCTGCCATCGCAAGACGACTTGCAAAACAGAAGGCGAATCTGATTCTTCTGGCCAGAAATGAGAAAAAGTTGCAAGAACTTGCACGAGAACTTCAAGTCGACTCTGGAAGACTGGTCTATTGCACAGCCGATGTGTCTCGCTACGATCAGGTGGAAGATGCTGTCCGCAAAGCTGTCAAAGAAGTCGGTGACATCGACATCCTCGTCAACAATGCAGGTCAGTCGTTGCGAATGTGCTTTCCGCAACATACTCTGCTGACCATTGACTGTCTTAGGCTTGGCTCTTGGAGCTCCAGAGAAATTTCCGGACCTCAAGATTGAGGACATTGTGACTATGACAGGTACTAACATCAATGGCTATATGTTTGCAGCTTATGCTGTGCTCAACGCCGGAGGGATGAAGAACAGAAAACGCGGAACTATCTTGAACGTCACATCTGTGACAGGTTTGGAAGGCATGAGTGTCCTTGCACGTAATTTTGGTCCCCAGGCTGACTCCAGTAGTTCCCCCATTTCCGGGCGAGGCAGTTTACCACTCCAGCAAAGCGGCGCAAGAAGCCTTCACGAATGTCCTCCGAGCAGAACTGCAAGAGACGAACATCAAGGTCTTAGCCCTCCGACCTGGCATAGTGGCGACCCATTTTCACCGACAAAGAGTAGGGGGCGACAGAAAGTTGTACGACGATTTCATGGAGGGCATGGAGCCACTATTGGACGATGACGTTGCAGAAGCTGCTGCATTCATGATCAACTCGGAGGAACGTGTAAGCGTTACGAGCATTTCTGTGACGCCGACAGCACAACGAACCCTGCAGGTCAGTTACTTGTGCGATGCCGAGAATCGACGTGATTACTGACAAAATACAGGTCATCGACAGAACTTGGAACGATAGAAATCAGCAGAGTGGCTCTGGTTCGCAACAGAACAACTCTCAGCAAGGCAATCAGGGTGGCCAACAAAGCTCGCGAGATCAGAACAGTGGTAAGTATAGTTGCGGAGCGTCATAATCTTGATATACGACTAATACAAACTCAGGAGGGTCGAACAGTAATGATTCGAACAACCAGTCGAACAACCAGTCGAACAACCAGTCCAACAACCAGTCGAACAATAAAGCCAGCCAACATAACGATGATCGTCGCGGTTCGGGACAGACACGAGGGCAGGATAACCAACAGCAAAACAACTCTCAGAGAGATCAAGGCCAACGCAACGACCAACGAGGCAACGAGTCCTCTACCACGAACTCGGGCGGTAACAACCAGTCGTCTGGCAGCAACAACCAATCCAGCTCATCTGGTAACAACCAGTCGTCTGGCAATAACAACCAACAATCCAGCTCATCTGGTAACAACCAGTCGTCCGGCAATAACAACAACCAATCCAGCTCATCAGGAGGCAATCAGAATTCGAACAAGAATAACAACAACAACCAGTCCAGCTCACCAGGCGGCAACCAGAATTCGACCAATTCGTCGAACAACCAGAGCTCTGGGTCTAACTCTAACAATTCGTCAAATACCCAGTCCAGTCAGAATCAAAACAGCAATAGCAACAACGGCGGCGGTGGCGGCGGCGGCAACAGCGGTAATTCAAACTCCAACTCCAATTCCAACACATCGGACTCGAGCTATGGCAACAGCAATAATGCTTCGTCTGGACAAGGAAACTCGTCGAACAACTCGTCTTCAAACAACAAGGGTAGCTCAAGCAACGAGAGCGGCAATTCGGGCAACAGCAACAGCAGTGGAAACAACAGCAGTGGAGGAAGCGGGGGAAATAGCAATAACAGTGGAAGCAATAGCGGCGACAATCGTATGCCAGGCAGCTACTAATTCGTTGCCAAACGGAGTTCGTACTTTTGTGTATAGTTCATGTGCCAATTCGGAGACAATATACTTCCTGTCTTGAGAGCATATTCCATAAACTTGGCCGATCCAAAGGTGGATCAACGATCCAACGCAATCACATCTCAGCCAAACCTCATTTAGATAATACCTCAAGAACATGAAACAGGATGCATTGAAACGTGGTCACAAAGTGTACTTCCAACAATTCTTTCTCTACCAAGCAAGCTGCGCCAGATGCTATGCATTAATTCAAATCATGCCATCGTAAGCACTCCCGGACCGGGACGCAAATCTACTGCAATCATCCTCCCGTATTCTTCGTGCCAAAAAGAGAAACTTTCAACACTCGAGTGCTGAAACTGAACAGATGTGAATCTCAATCAACAAACTCCCTCATCACACCTTCTTCTCATCTCCCATAGAGCTCTGAGTAAGGTATCGCTCAAAGACACGCGTCTCCAAATCTTCCTCAGCCTTCGCACTCTTGGAAGCTCGTCGTCGGAAGTAGATGCGCTTCGCCCACTTCCATGCCTCGACACCAGCGAAGAAAAGACCAGAAGCGATAAAGACAATGCCCCATTCCCATTCGATTCCGCTGTGCCTGAACACTTCGTCACTGATGACAGGAATGTAGAGGATGGGGAAGATGAGTACGAAACCGGCCACGACGGCCCAGAAGAGGAACTGGTTTCGCCAGACGTCCAGCATCCATTGCGTGAAGTAACGGTCCGAGTTTGGTTGCATGCGGAAGAACGATCGGCGCATATCGATGACTTCCCAAGCCAAAAACAGCGAGAACCAAGTGAGGCAAGCAAAGGCGGTTGCACGAGCGCGGAAGATGAGCCCACAACCATCGCCGACCGACTCATTGCAGCCGACGCCGATTTGACCGGATCCCCAGCCGTAGAGGACGAGCACGAAAGCACTAAGACAGAGTGCAGCAATCCAGAGTCCAAGAACGACCATGTCGACCATGAGCTCGATGGAGAAGATACCACGCTTGAGGGACTGTGGGGGGCGTTGCAGAACATCAGGTGCCTTTTCTTGGAAACCAAGACCCATATCAGGAATACCTGCTTTGCGTTAGCGAAAATCCGTCGACCACTTCTGGTGGTGTTTCGACTTACCAGAGGTAATCATGATGATCCAAAGAATCTCGATCGGGGAAATTGGGAATACCGAGAGCTCAGCATCGTCCTTGAAGACGAGACCAACGAGCAGAACAATAGCCTGGGCGACGTTCTGGGCGAGCAGGTGCAGCACAAACTTCTGGATGTTGTCGAAGGTACGACGTCCTTCTTCAACAGCAGCGAGGATACTGGCAAAGTTGTCATCAGTCAGGATAATGTCAGAAGCGTCCTTAGCAACATCAGAACCAGCTTGGCCCATAGCGATGCCAACATCTGCTCGCTTAAGAGATGGACTGTCATTCACACCGTCTCCGGTCATGGCGCAGAACTTCTTGCGTCGGTGGAGGGCTTCGATCATGCGGACTTTGGTGTTTGGTGCACATCGAGCGATGACCAGAGGCAAAACAGGCAGTGCGTCAATTTCATCATCTGAGAGTGCGTCGAATTGCGAGGCAGTCATGACCATCGCATCTGCGATATCTTTGCTGAGTTCGTTCATCTTCGAGGGCAAAATACCGACTTGTGCAGCGATCGCTCGGGCAGTTCCAGGATGGTCACCAGTAAGCATGTGGACTTCGATACCTGCCTCGTGGCAACGGCGGACAGATGGGCCGGATTCAGGGCGTGGTGGATCGTAAAGACCAATGAGGCCGCGGAAGACCAAGTCTTGCTCAACCGAAGCGCGATCGATTTCAACGCCCTCTTCATAGGTTTCGTCGTAGTCACGGCTAGCCAGTGCAAGCACACGGAGACCATGCTTTGCCAGGGCTTCCATGTTCTGCAGGATGATTTCGCGGTATTCCTCAGTCATCTCCACGGCGGGCTTGTCGTTCTCTGGGAAATAGGTCGTGCAAGAAGCAATCACGCGCTCGACTGCGCCCTTGGTGAAGGCGTACATCTTTTCAGTGTGGAGGTCTCTGTAGATGACACTCATCTTCTTGACGTCAGAATCGAAGGGGAACTCCACGAGCAATTTCATCGCCGGATTGTCGCCAGCTGTGGATGCTCTACGGTTCCATTGGAAGCGCGATGCGAAAACCTGGATAGCGATTTCAGTGGGATCGCCGCGTGCGTGCCACTGGCCGGCATCTGTCTGATGTACTGTCGCAAGGTTGGCCAACGAAGCAGCACGCAGGTAATCCTTGAGAGCATCGTTGTTTTGCAACAACTCCGCGTAGCCACTCTTCTTGTCCTTGTCCGTGAGTTCAACCTTGTGTGGCTCTTTCTCGATGAAGGAAATGTCGCCTTTGGTAGGATTGAATGGCTCGTCGGTTTGATCGATTGTGTATGTGCCGTGTGCGGGGACCCAAGCCTTCTTCGCCACCATTTTACCTTGAGTCAGCGTGCCGGTCTTGTCGGAGCAAATATCTGTGACTGCACCGAGCGCTTCGAGTGACCTCAAGTTTCGGACAATGACGTGACGCTCAACCATGCGGTTGGTGCCAGCGGCCATGGTGATGGTGAGCACGACAACCAGCGACGCAGGAATCATAGAAAGACCTGTAGCCACTGCGTAGATAATGATTTCTCTCTGGTTGCGGAATTCGTTCGCGCCGAGCACAATAATAGCGCAGATGACAGCGATGAAGAACAACAAGACTGCTAACCTGGAGAGCTTCTTTTGCAACGGTGTTCCGACATTGACGCCCAGAAAGTGACCGACGGCATCTGTGCAGGTAAGGACGGCAGCTTGAACGTAGCGGTACGTCTTGGCCTTGCCTTCCTCGTTGCGCTTGACGGGTCTGACTCTGCTGTTCTTCTTTCGAAGTGCGGCAGCGATGGATCCGATTTCAGTGTACATACCAGTGGCGAAGACGATACCGGTAGCACGGCCCTTGGTGACTGTCGAGGAGCTGTATGCCACGTTGAGGCGGTCACCAGGACCAGTGCCCGGCTCAAATACATCGTTGTGTGCCTTGCGAACAGGGAGAGACTCGCCGGTGAGCAAAGCCTCATCAGTCTCGAAATTGACTGCGTCAATAAGACGGACATCGGCAGGGATAGTGTCTCCGGTTTTCAACTCGACCAAATCGCCTGGGACGATGTCGACGGTTGGCAGGCTCTTTGACTCGCCGTCACGGACGGCTTGGGCAGTTGGCGAACTGAGTGAGCGGAGCGAATCCATGGTCTTCTCGGCTTGGAACTCTTGCTGTAGATACACGTGATTAGCGAACGCTCAGCTTTGGCGAATCTGACCGCTCCCATTGACCCTGCCTGGACAGTGCCACTGTTCTGCGAGCTCAAAGTATCGTTCAATGGACTTACAAAAAATCCGACTGCAATGTTGATGAAGATGACACCGACAATGACACCACCTTCGATCCAGGACTGAATGGCGAAGGACACGACCATGGCAATAATGAGGACCAAGGTCATGGCATTGGCTATTTGCCTGACCAAAATCTTGCCGGGGTTGACACCTTTGCCATCCCCGAGCTCATTCTTGCCAAATTGTTCCAATCGCGAGCTGGCCTCGCTCGCGGTGAGACCATCATCGATATCGGCGTTGAGCTCCTCGGCGACCTGCTTCCACTTCAGGCAGTGGGCAGGCTGGCTCAATGGTTGGTTGGATTGTCCGGAGACATGCTCCTCCAGAGCTGGGTTCTGCTGCTTTCCCATAGCGTTACCTTATCATAGGCGGGCGGGGAGAGAGGATGGAGAGAACAATGAAGCGGAGGAATGCAACATGAACGACTTGTTACCGCTTAGCGAAGGATGGCGGATAAAGAACAGTCAATGGGCTTTGCTTCACACGTGCGGAGAGGGTGATGCAATGGCATATATGTACGTCCGCGGAGCGGCAAGCTGGGTCAAGCAAAACTCACAATCGACGGATGACAAGAAAGCATGTCTCTTGGGTTCCAAGAACGCCCTTGGCGCAGACCCGTAGATGCGTCCTCAACCGCTCGTATGGACAGCGGCGCCGCTGCTTCGCACACAAAGCACGGGGCCGCGGGAAGTTCTTGCTCTGCACAGCATGGCACTGCTGCCGGCGCGCGGTGCTCAGCGGAGCGGAGGTGGTGCGCGGCGCTGTCGACGGCGAGGGAGCTGAAGGCACGGCGGCGTTGCCAGTGGTGATGATGGCATCTAGCCAAGACCACGCGCCGCCAAGTGCTCGCGATGATAGCGTCGGCGGACGGCGTTGATTTGCTGACTTCGCAATGCGCGTACTTGTGACCCTGCAGGCGATTCTGTCGCGCTTCTAGCGGCTTGGCGAAGTCTTGAATGGCTTGCCGTAAGCTCGCTAGCCCGTTGCCAGGCACGTCAGTTACGCCGACTTGCCACGCCGCCCCACCGCGAGTGGTGTAGGAAAATGGGTGTGGAGGCCTTCCTGCCCGAAGCACACCGACGTCATCTGCATGCGACGCGTGAGCCACGCAGAGAAACGACAAATTCGCCCTGGTTCTCCCGGTGCCATGCCAAGATGGTTGTTCGGCGGAGGAGGGCCAGGTGCGGAGCGGGTCAAGCTGCGGGTGGCGATGGGGCGGAACCGCGCGCGAGGAGGATGGAAGATGGATGAGGCCGCCAGCGAGGTGCTCCTGCTCCCATACCAGGCGGCCTCCGAACGAAGGCAGCAAGGCAGCGTCGCGCTTTCCTCCGCGATGAAAGTGCTTTTCGCGGGGTGGTCGTCGCCGATCAACGCTGCCCATGCACGCAGCTCCGAGCCGCGCTCCGAATGGACACGCCTGGCCTGAGGAAGTTGACGCTGACGTGCTTGCTGCATGCCATCATCTGTACAAACTGCTCACCACCCCCACCTCCCTGTTGACCGCAACAACCACACCGCTCCGCACCGACACACCCTCACCACCGCCACCATTAACTTCCTACGCACCTTCTTCACCGGCGCGCGTTCAGCCAGCCCGAATTCCGTCATGGCCGCCAAAGCAAAAGCACAGGAAATCATCGACAACAATGCAGTTGGTAGGGATACATGGTCGAGAGCAGTGACGCTCTGCTGCGGACAATACTGACTGCCATCGCAGCCGTCTTTTCCAAGTCGTACTGCCCGTACTGCAAGGCTACCAAGTCGCTTTTGAGCGAGTTGGGCGCAAAGCCATACATCATCGAGCTTGACCAAGTCGGTACGTAGCTGGGATCCGCGAATGCCACAATGGGAGCTGGTGCACGGCACTGACAGATACGCAGATGATGGTGCTGCCATCCAGGATGCCCTCGAGGAGATCACGTCTCAGCGTTCCGTCCCAAACATCTTCATCGACCACTCGCACATTGGCGGCAACTCCGAGCTGCAAGCCAAGAAGAGCCAGCTGCCTGACCTTTTGAAGAAGGCCAACGCTGTTTGAGAGGTGTGGACGGAATAATCATGTACAGGGACAACGAGAGCCTTAAAACACGACAGAGTTGTCATGAAGTTCGAGTGGCTGCATCAACCCCACACTTACTCAATCATATCTCATACCACGTTTTCAAATGATCGGTCACTGGCAGCATGAGCCATGGCGAGTCTGCCTCATGTCTAACTTGCGATCCTAGTCGAGATCGCCATCTAATGCCATCTTCCGCATAGCATCCAGTGATTTTGAAACAGCCATTTGTGCTCCCTCCCTGTGCTGCTTGGACAATGCCTTGTGCTGTTCAGACCCCTCCTCGAGATCAGCATGTCTCCATTCAAACGTATAAGCTATTTCCAGTCAGCAAATCCCGCAGAGACAGCCAGAGAACAACACTCTGCACATACTCATAAACAACTCCGCTCCATCCTGCCCCGACCCATGCGAAACAGTATTCGTTATGACCGCACCATCCGGCTGAATGAAGTCCACCTGTTCGAAAAACGTACGCCATGAGTACCCGTTCCTGATGCCCAGACTCTCAACCTATGCTTCTCCAAATTACTCACCTTGGCAGGATAATACGACTTGCAAACCTCCCTCACTTCATGAGCCGGAATTCCTTCTCGATCCTTGAAAGCCGCAACTCGAACCACTTCATTTTCTTTCTCCTCGATAACTTTACAGCTCGTAATTATCGGTACAAAACGCTGAGCTTCACGGATTTTGATCTGTAGACCTTTCCAGACTTGTCTGCGAATGCGACAACATCGTCTTAGTTTCGGCTTATCGCATGTTTGAGAAGTGTAGAGATTATCTTACGTACTCCTGCGTGAGGGTCGGCTTAGCGCCTGCGGGGTTGATGGCTTCGGTATACGCGACGTTGATGGTAACCATGTTGTGTAGAAGAAATCCCAAGCCTCTTGGATGTTAGGACTGTGGGTAGTGCCTGTTTCGTGCAAGCAGAAATAGAAAGGTATCAATCCTGCGACTTGATCGACCCGCTGAGTTTGATCCACTTGGCCAAGACTGTGTTCTCGTACCTGCGGTCTTTGGACTGCTTGAATGCTCGGGAACAAAGGTAATTCTGAACTTGTGTGCACTTGCATGTATGAGATGATCGATTGCAAAGGAATCAGTAGCTTGGCGGGCCAAGAACTGGGCATCCGGGACAAGAGGAGTAGCTGAAGCACGAGCTCTCAGCGCCAGGTGTTCTAAAGAAATAGAGCGGAGGACGAAGCAATGATACTTTTCAGCCTGATAGTTTTCCAGGTGTGTTGGATATAGGAAAGTTGGAGAGTCTCAGTCTTCTTCGGGCCCCCGCAGCCGTTGTGAAACCGTATATGATAAGTGGAGACAAGCTACGAATATATCACAAGATCCTAACTTGCTCGTCAAACGACGTGCTGCACGTCGTATCTCGTTCTGCTCGCCTTGCTCATCGTCCTCTCTCTCGTCCGAGCCATCTCTTTTCAACAGAAAGCATGTTTGATACTCCTCTTGCAGTTGGCCAGCAATTACGAGCAAGTCGGTATGGGATAAGGAGAGGTGTTTCCATCGCAGAAGTTCTTGTCATAGCAGCTGTAGAAGAACTCAGTCAGCCTCGTTGTGAAAATTTTCTTAGACCGCGTGTCACTCACCCGCCGTATCTTTTCCGACTGCGATCTGGACAGATCGAAAACTTGTCAACACAAGTACTGACCGGAGTGCCTGCATAGACGAGTACCAGGTTAGGATTGCCTTCGATCATAAAGCGTGCTCCTTGAATTGACTGACATATTGATGTTGGAGTGTCCGTCATTGTTAGCGCCTGGCTTTCCGTTTCAATGACGATTGCCGACGCTGACGGCGATGCTGGATCAACGGTAGCGGCTGGGATGAGGGACAAAATGTCGTTGTTATTCTCAAGCATTGCTAGTGAGGAAGCTTGAGGGATTCGTCGGATTATAGCGCCAGGTCGAGCATGGTTCGGGCGGCTTGTGTCAAAATCTTTCATGACGATAGCAGAGACTGTAGTCATAAAGACCAGAATGAGTATCTCCATCGCATAGAAAGTCAAACTTTGCGTACGAATCTGCTAGATGCTGGCGAGGAGGTGAGGGCTTCATTGGCGGAGACGCGAGCAATGTGAAATGCTGGTGCGAACGTATACAATTCGACGACCATTAAAAGCATGACCTCGGCACTCGTTCTGGTAGTGCGTGCAGACCGCATGCTCGATTTATCAGTGTATCGACGATCGTCGCGAGGTGGATTGCGAGGAATGTGATCTTGTCGCACTAGTGTGTGCCGTTTCTCCACCAATTCTAGAGCTTTTGAGCTGTTCCAGTAACCTGGGAGGGTGCCTCATGTTCTACAACGTCGGCTCAACCGAGCCGCATTGATCGTAGCACCAATACTGAATGCAAGGACTGCCATGCATTCTCTGCGCTGTGTTCATGTGGCCGCGTCGGCGAATTCTCGCTTGACCTCTTGCAAGAATTCAGGCTGCGTTAGAACATCGACTGCAGTGGCGGCGAGAGCCTTGGCTACTCGCAAAGCAAGGCGATGAGCTTCTTCGGTCCTAGAAGCCTTTTCGAAGTCTGGTGTGTGGGGACCACCAAAAATGCTTCGGATCCTGGTGATGCACTCGCTTAGCTGGAGGCTGTCAAATATCTGTCTCATCACTCACCAAAAGTTGGGACTGATCGATGGAACAGCATGACTGACATCCCCTTGATCCGTACTAGCCCTGGTCATAGCAGTGAGCCAGTCAACTTCTTCGGCCAAGATATCGCCGCCCAGGGAATTGAAAGCCTTTCGGTAGCTACGCCCAAGAGCTTTGTTCGGCCGATGATTCGCATATCCCCCTTTTTGCGTAATCACCAATTCAGCACCGGTCGCTGCTGCTGCCCCTTCAAAACATGCCAGCACGCGCTTCTTCAAAGCATCGAGCCGATCGCTGGTTTCAGAGCGAACGACAAAACGGCCGGAAGCGTAAGCGTGTATGATATTGGGTCTTCGAGATGTCAGCAGATTGTCCTCCATTCGACACCCGCGACTCACCGCAGACCACCGTCCACTATCTGTGCCTGGATAATGTCCCCAGGTTGTGTCTGCTGTCTGAGCGCGGATATGCCTGTGGATCAACGGGATGAGCTCAGCTTGGGTCCAATAAGTCATCGCCACCGACGACTTCTGCAATCAAATGGATAACCCTGGTGTTATGCAGCCAAAGAAAACATGAGGTGAGTTCTGGCTTCTAGGGAAAGGTCGCGTACTTGTATATGCAATAACCAGTGCATCTAGTGCATTAATGCCATCCCCTTGTGTGGCAGTCATCAGCGTTCTGCATCGGTCTTTTCAGATTAATGCCACTGAATTGCTTACAAGGTCTCGCAGCAGCATGGGCTTCTTTCCCAAAGTATTCTACTTTGAGGGAAGAGTAGGCAGATGTCCGCATTCTGCAGGTGACCATCATCAGATCGCAGCCCACTGAGGGAAGGCAAGTGGCAGTAGACTTACAGGGCGTTATTTCGCGATATGCCGGGATGAGATATGAGGGAGACATCTATCCCTTCGAACGCACCAGCTGCCAATAGTTTGATCTTTCCGCCTCCGCCTTCCTGGACCTCATAAGCTTACCGCGAAACCAGGATGATTGATCTACATGACCATGGAGAGAGTTGTGCGAAGGCATGTCGACCTACCTCTGCCGGGGTCCCGAAGAGTACCACCCTCCCATTGAGAGCATGATCTTTCATCATTTCCGCTGTGGCGAGTGCTGCTCCGATGGAAGCGATCGCAATGAGGTTGTGACCACACGCATGTCCAATACCCTTCAATGCATCGTACTCTGCATTGAATGACACAGCCGGACCGGATCTGCCGCTGTCAAAGACTGCCATGAAAGCAGTCGGAATGGCGAATGCTGAACGTGTCACATTCCCTGATGCCAGCGAATGGCAAGATCAGCAACAATGTCTAGGCCGCATTTGCCAGCTGCTTACAGCCTGGGTACTCAGCCACGAAAGCGGTAATAGTCTCGTGTGCGAGGTATTCACGATATCTGTCAACCCCCCGAAACGCAGCGGTCAGTCATATCGGCAAAGGACTATGTCAATGGGCGTACTGTAGCTCAGGATTGTCGTGAATCTTGAGCGACACATGGCGAAGAGCTGTGCTCAAGAGCTCGACATGATGCGAGATGGAGTCCAGGTACGCATCGAACTCGCGATTCGCAGCATCGGCGACGCCCTCTTCGTGGCGGTCGGTTCGGCAGTACATGTTCGCAGACGATTGCTGGAGCAGGAGGGGAGTCGAGGGGAAGCATGCAGTTGCAATGGCGCAGGCGCCAAGTGCGAGCGGCCCGACACCGAGATGCATTGCAAACGAACGTCTTTCTCGTCAGCGCTGTCGTTCTTCTTGCTGTGCACCACTTCACAACCGCTTTCACAAAAACGGCAGGATGTGTATTCACGATGTTTATGTCGCACTAAATGCTGGGCGGAACAGACGGGCGTGATCACAACTGCCCTTTGTCCCCGGCCAGATGCCGCATGACACCCGGTCCTGGTCATCATTTGTGCAAAGACGCAGCGTTCCTGCCCTGCTCCGCTCCGCTCTCCTCCGCCGTCCCGCGGCGTTGCACAGCTGATGGAAGCTCCGCGGTGAGGCAGCTACTTGCAGCGTCTGCCTGCGAAGTCGTGATCAAGTCCGGCTTCACCAAGGATAGCGTGCTATGTTCGCTATTCGGAGAAACTGCTGCAGAATTCAGTGTTGTAAAGATCGCCGATCGCTGATAGTACGATCCTATGGGCTTTGCTACCGAATCGCACTCCCTGGCAGCTACGACCAGGATGACCTCCGGTACTTCAGCTTGATGAAACATACTGAGAATGGATGGTTCGCGACATCTATGCTTGTACCTGAGGGCAGCTGAACCAAATACACAGCGAGGCGTCAGACAAGATTTGGCATTCTGTGCGGAGGACTCCCACTTGAAAGTGCCGAATCCTAAAATTCTTCCCGCACATCCTACTCACCAAGTGTCAGGGAGTTTTACGGCCCGGCAAGTCCAGTATAGCAGGCAAGATCGGAAGTCAGGACTGCAGTTCGATTGCTATGTATGACACGATCAAGTCAGCCTTTCGCACTGACCAGGGGTAATGGAGAGGATCCACTTCTGTCCAAGTGCTCTAGATTCGCTGCATACAATCCCATGTCTAGACAGCCTCAGAACGTGCTCTTTCTGGCAGGAGCTTCTTGTGCCTACCATGCATGCCCTCCACCCTTTGCAGACCGAAACCTAGTTGCTCTCAGCCACCCGCTGCTTGCCTGCGCCGCGGACTGCCAGGCCTTTCTGCATTGCTCTTTGGTTGGCCGTGTAGAGAACATACGACATAATGAACGAATCGATGGAATCGTTGCAATGCCCTCTGTCTCCTAACAAGTCACCTACATGCTCTGCTGGTGGACAAGTCATCCTCATACGCTTCTCACGCGCAAGAATTCAGATTGAGAATTAAGCCTGGAGGCCAAAGATCGATATCCCATGGCAGCTAGTGCGCACCAAGATGCCATGTTTGTCTCTCCAGACAATCTCGTGATTGATCACCAGCTTGACCACGGTTATGGCCAGCATGAACAGAATCCCCTTTCTGACACCAGCCCCCAGCATGACCAGCAGAATCGCTCTCTTCGTACGCACGACCCTCAGCAAGCCACTTGCAAATCGTACTAATAGAGAAACAGCAACGGCACTGAATGGAAGTCGTCCAAGTCTGAGCTTGCCCAATTTCCCAGAATGGAACTTCGCATCGCAGCAGAACCTCCGACTCAGCCTTCCACCCACACCGAACTCGCCCTTCCGGCCACTGCGACCACTGACCGAAGAGGATAAACTTGCATTTCCATGTCCAGGAGGACCGCAAGAATGTTGGAACCTCCAGCTATGTCCGAAGCACCGCCAATATCCTCATACACCACCTGAACCGAGCAACAGCGGACAGCATACCAATGCATCCGCTACGCGCACAGACAGCCACTCTTCCACGCCTCCAGAGCAGCCGAGTGATCCGGAATCACGCAACAAGATGAAGCGTCCTGCCATCGACCCCGACGATACCATCCCAGACAACACAAACACACGACCATCCGCCTACAGAACCATCAGCCGCGACTCCCGAGCATCTCTATCCCGCGGCCGCGTACCCCACAACCTCGTCGAAAGACGATATAGAGACAACCTGAACAACCAAATCGAGTCCCTCCGACTGACTCTCCCTTCTCTCCGCGACGCCCAGCCTTGCACAGGCGACTACGAAGATGTCTCTTCTCCACGCATGCCTTCCAAAGCCGTCATCATCCAAACAGCCGCCAATTACATCCAGGATCTACAAGGCGAGCGAAGTCGCCTTCTGGAGGCCAATAAAGCGTTACAAGAACAAGTTAGCAGTTTGCAAAAGCTCGTGCGGTGCGATGAGTCGAATGTGCTGCAGTATATCAACGCGATGAGGTTGACTGCGGGACAGCTACCGACGCCCCTGTGATATTTTCCAGGAAGGAAGAATCTGAGAGATCGCAGGACTCATAGCTTTCGCAGTGTGCAAGAACTCTGAGTTCGCTAATCACAGCCTGTGGACAGTTGTTCTGCTGGACACCATGCAAACGCGAGATTTACAGTCGTAGGCTGTATATGCTGCTCTGTCCACAATGGCCGCCTCTTGATTGATGATCACAAGCAATACGTACAAGTTTCGCACCAGCCATGAATGGGAAGGAAGAAGAAGACTGAAGGCTAGCGCCGTCGTTGAGCTCCAATTGTGGATAGTATATTATGGACATATTTTGACTTGTGATGTCGGCAGCATCGCGATCGCTGCAGTCGAGTGAAGACAATGTACACTCTCGTGGGCTCTCCCTCGTGGTGAACGTTGTTCTGCAGTGCGCAAGCAATGTGCTTTTTCCTCGACGATGCTCAATTTCCCGAAATACAAAAAAGAAACCGCTTAAACGCTATCAAAACCAGAATGTTCCGCATCACAATCGCCCAGATATGTCCGAAAACATCGGTGTGCTCATTCTTATGTTCGGTGCCCAACCATTTCCACCCCTGAATCGCTGCCGCTGCATTTGTCCTGGCGAGATCTCGATATGTGCCTGCCAAAGCGGCTGTGGTTAAATCTACACGGTAAGAAAATGTTCCTGTTGCGCACTGGGTAAGCGTTAAAAAAAAACGCAATACAAATACATGAAAATCTTAGGGACTGTCCAGGCAATGCTACATCACAACACAGCAGCATGCCTTCTTGGGTTTGGGTTCTTCTTTCTCGTCCAGCTCTGGTACTCGTAAGGGTTGGTCCTGAGCGGTGCTGCTTCTTTGGGGCGGGGCTGGCTCAGACGTCCCGGGCCTTTGCATTGTAGGTCCACTGGATATCGTGGGCGTGATCTTGTAACCCCCACCATTACCGTGACGAATACTGCCACTGTCACTCTTCAGACCTATTGGCCAGCCGTTGCTGTTCGAAGCGTCGTTGGAGGGGGTTCCATTGGTAAAAGTAGTGTCGGCCGCAAGACCGTTCGATGGATCCAGGTCGTGAGAATTCAGGTCTAGCTGGCCTGAGATTGGTCTCTTGGGTCGCAATTCCTCGTCGTTGAGAAGATTGAAGTCTCGGTCGTATACGGTACCGGTCTTGCCCTCTTTCTCCCATTGTTCTTGCATCATTCGCTTCGCATGGGTGGGCAACATTTGTTGGTCAGGCGGCAAGCGAGGGTCAGGTTTGTACATGGATGCTATCCACGGCGGATCGCCCTCCGGCGTGAAGACTCCAGTGGAGGGTCGAGACTTGTGTCCGGAGCTCGATCCAGGGCGACGAGTTGCAGAGCCTGAAGTCACGCGCTTTCCCGCCGATGATCCTGGCCTGGCAGTACTGCTCGAAGGGTTTGAGGCTTTGCGTCCTGTCGGGGTTTGCTTTGGCACGCGCGCTTTCTGAGGAGAGTCCTCCCCAGAGGCAAGTTTATTGGCGCCTTCGGGGGGCGTGATACGTTTCCGGTCATGGTCCGACTCGAGCAGCATCTGACTGCTCACGCTACCGCTGCGAGCCCTCGCATACTGCGCCTCGTCCCAACTGCCACTTAAGGTCTGAGATCCTGCTCGACTTCGCGGCAGTGGTGAATCGCGCTCCACCACATCGTGAGGGACGGGCACTGGGGTGTTTCGCGATACTGGTATTCTCGATGTGCTCGGTCTGCCTGTCGGTGCCTGTTGCGATGGCTGAGACGAGTCGTGATTGTTGCGGTCGTTGCTCGGCCGATTTATGGACGAATCGTGTCCAGTGGAAGGTTGTGACGCCTGTGGAGAGTGTTGGGGTGAGGTTGTCTCACGGGTTGACGCAAGAGGAGTGACACCGTTGCTGATGGGTGTTCGCTCATGGTGCTCGTGAGCTGGATATGCAGCGGCGTAGTCATCATCGTATTGCGTGCGGTTCGACTGGTCATTGAGTGGTTTGCGAGAACCCGTTCGGCTCATGGACCGACTCATTCTGCCATTCTCACGTCCGGGCCCCAAGCTCTGAGAGCGGCGCGAAGGGCGAATGTATATGCCCGCCTCCTCCAACTCTTGAATCTCGATTTGGGCCAGCTTGTCTCGGTGTATCCACGCTGAATCGTCGTCGGGAGTGTAGGGGCTGCCCGGGCCACTGCCCTTGGCCTTGGGAGCAGGACCGCTCTGCTGCTGCTTGTTTTCTCGCAGCGTGTTGCGAGAGCGTTTCCGCACTGCAGTGCTATTGACAGCACGCACTGATGTCCTCCGCTGCTTGGCCGTCTCCGAATCGCTCTGTAGGTCCCAAGCGCTGCTGCGCCGATCGAGCGCCTTACCCGCATTCTCGTCCCAGTCGTGCTCAATGCGCTGCGGCGAGCGGGACTTGGGTGGTCGTGCATTACCGTCGGTCTCCTCCAAGGGCACGGCGTAGCTCCACGCCCCTCCGCTGCCGCCGCCGTTCATGGTGGTGGTGGCGGCCACGGCGGACGTAGCAATAGTCGGGAGCTGCAGCACTTAGTCCACCGCAGCTCCGTCTCGGCCCTCGTCGCGCGGCGGGTAACGTTGGTGCAATGGTGTCGTCGAGGGCAACGGCGGGCGGGTGTGCTCTACGCGGAGGTGCTGGTGAGCATCGATGTCAGGGCGGGGAGCAGACGGAGACGGAGGTGGGCGACGGGTATGTCGCTCGTGCAGCAGCGCGTTTCACGGCAGCACAGTCGCAGCAGCGCCGAGAATCGCTCGCAGGTCGGCGGGTGCGGATCCTGGTTGGACGTCGCGACATGAGAAGGGATATGAGATGCTCTGCACGCTGCGGACTCCCCGTGGCAGGAGGAGCACAGCGCACGCCCAGCGCTGTGGTGTGCGTGCGCGCGCTACTGGCGATCGAGGCAATTAGTTATCATCACGGGCAAATGAAGGACGACTTCCTGGCCACTAGTACAACTTTAACATACAAGAACGCCTCCTGATATCCCAATACATCACCACGCATCGCCTGTGCTTCCGCCGCCGCACTGCACAATATTCCCGCCGCAACGGTGATTGACGCTGTTCGACGTGTCCGTGAATCCCCAGCCTTTGCCCTCCGCTGCCCGTCCGTCAACGGCCGACGACAGCCGCCAGCACATCGTGTGCCCAATGGCAATTCACTACAGGGAATGATGTGCACCAGGAAGTTCTAGAAGCCCGCCGCAGCGAGACCAAGTCGCAAGTTGCAGACGACCGAAACTTGGGAAATTCGTCTGCGTTATTGCCGTCAGGCTTGCCATTGGGGTCCCTGCTATCGATAGCGGCACAAATCAGATTTCATGTCGCCGGGACTCACTTCGGAAACAGAGCGAATTGATTCACACAAGACACTTCTCGTAAAGAACAAGCGAGCGCAGTGCTTGCGCCTTCGTGCCTTTTTTTGTAACAATGTTCCATCCCAACTTCCTACCAACTCTATGCCTCTGAACGCCAATCCATGCCCACCTGTCATTTGCCCAAGTCGCGCTCGTCAACGGCATTATCGCATACAATTCATCTGCGCACTGAGCCTGCAGTGTGGCGCGGGAGATCACTCTTGAACCACAACCCTGCACGAGCCTTGGCCGCATATACCAACCGTTTCGTTCGCTATACAACACTGTTCCATTCGCACATCTGTTCAACGACCAAAAGCCGACATGCCAGCGTGCGCGTGCATAGCAATGTGGTTCTGCTGATGGAACGTGCCGATGGGCTGAAAGCCCCTGCGAGAAATAGTCAGCATTGATGTGCACTTCAGTGGGGGCAATCACAAACTTACTTGACAAGGTCGATGCCTTCGTCATCGTCATCGTTCGATTGGTACGCGGTCGCTGGTGGCACACTCCCGTACGAACTACTTTGCAGATAGCCACCGTTCGCGGTGGGATGCACCGAATCAAAGTGATTGACGACAGCCGCCTTCGGAAGCTCATGCTCACGCAACGCAGGCTGAATAGTCTGCACCACGGTAGTTGGCGGAGTATGCTGCTGCACCCCCGCCGCTGATGGTACTGCGCTCGGTGGCGTCTTGTCTTTCGCAGTGTCGCCGTCCTGCTCTCCGCCAGCATTGCTGAGCTGACTCAGGCTCTTGGCGGTGGCCGTCGTTGGCCGGCTCAATGTTGGACTCGCGTCCAGCGCACGAACCGAATTGTGTGGTCTCGGAGGGCTGCTGGATCCAACGACTGGACTACCTGGACGGAGAGATTCCAATGCCTTTGGCTGTGCCTCCTCTGCATCGGACTTGGCAACGGGAGATGTTCGTTCGTCATGCTGCTTTGCGAGCTTCCCTTTGTCTTTGTTCAGCGGGAAAGGTGTTTTCAGAGGACTAATGTCAAAAGGCTTGAAGGGCGTGCTGCCTGCCAACCCTTCCATCTTCCAGAATGGTGCCGGACTACTGAACTGAATAAAGTCGCTGGGACGCCGGAGAGTACTTGGAGGCGCCAGACGCTGCGAGGGACGAAGAGGGAAGGGTGTGTCCAAAGGTCCGCTTCGTCCTTCGTCGTTGACGTAGAGGGATGGCGGTGAGCCAGCAGCATTGGCAAGTGCGTTAAGTCCATTGCGCGGCGTGGATCTTTGGGGGTAGTCGTAGTCAGTCAGGTTATTTCCCTCGATACCTAGGCCCGCGCTGTGTTCGAAGCGCCCATTGACTGGTCGCCTTGAGCCCCGATCGGGCGTGTAAGCTTCGATTGCGGTCGAGTACGAGGGCTGGTACGCATTCATCGGAGGCGTGATCTCATCACCATCCCTCTTGATCCCGGAGCGTAACGCAGGGCTGTGAGGTGAGCCCATGGTGCTCTGAGTACCTGGGATGGGATTTGGTCTCCTGCATCCTTTCATACCTTGCTGCACGAAATTATCGAACTCGGTAGGTTCGATCATCCATTTCATCCCCTTCCCAGGCTCATCCGTGCGGCGAGCGATTTTTGTGAAGGCTTTGTTCAGACTCAGGTTGTGGCGAATGCTGTTTTGCCAGCCGCCCGTGTTAAAACGATAAAATGCATAGTTTGCCATGATCCACTTGTATATGTTGTTGAGCGTCATCTGCTGTTCCGGAGTGCTCAAAATGGCCATCCCGATGAGTTGGGCGTACGAGTGTGGTGGTTTCAGGTCCTTGGCGCCCTCTGCAGCATAATCGATTGTCTCCGTCGATTCCATCATGACACCACGAGCATAGTTTGCGGCCGGCGACGACTTGGCATATGGATGTGGAGCACGCATAGGGGTGCCCGGATTGGCCTGCAGCGCGGCCCTTTGCGAGTGTGGATGCATGCGTTGCTGTTGTGAGCTTTGCCGTTGCTGCTGCCCAGAATAGTCTGACTGATACATGCCTTGATCCTGAAGGTGACTACGGCCAGCGGTTGAAGGGGGCTCAGTCCGACTCGGTCCATTGCGTGGATCGTCCTCACCATCTTGACCATCATCTGACGATGACTGCGCCTGTTTGATGATGGATGCGTCCCAAACAGGACCATCGTTGTCGTCGGTAGCCGTGGTTATGAAGGCCATCTGGGTTCCACTGATCTCGATCACGCTGCCATTACGAAGGTATGCAGACATGCCTCGACGGCAGAGGTTATTGTCGACGCGCGCGCCATTCCGGCCATTCACGTGCAAGACCCAGCGTTGCTGCTCAGGCTCATAGTTGATGACGGCATGTAGTCGAGAAATTTGCCTGTCAGGTCCGAGATCAATGTCCACGATGGTCCTTGCAGTCGGTGTGGTCGGCTGGCTGTCGGTCGAGGCAGCGGGAGCGGTAAGGCGTTCATGCGCTTCAGGTCTTCCAATGTTGATCTCCAGCTTCCTGATGATGAAGACCCAGTCCCTGCCGGCAATTTTGCCGTAGCCCGGCACGTTCTCTTGACCCTCTAAGAGATCATTTGCATAGTCTTCGACGGCCATGACCTGCTTGTCTGATACTCTCAGACTCTGGATGATTTCCTGCTCCGTCGGTGTGGATGGCTCCGTCTCATTGTCGCTGGCTTCTTGTTGCTCCGTCCCCTCTGTATCATCGCGCTCGGTAGTGCGAGTGTCCTTGATTTTACGACGGGTGTTGCGCGAGGCTGGAGCAGCTGCCTCGCTTCCTCGTGTTCGCTTCTTTGAGCCACGCGTGGGCGTGGCCTGCACCTCGACGGCATCGATGTCTGAAGGCTCCTGAGTCTCAGCGGCCGCAGGCGCTTTACGCGCACGGGTCTTGCCCTTGCGTCCAGAAGGCGGCATGGTCGAGAGCACGCGCAAGAACCGAGCAGTGGGCGGAGTCTCGTGGCAGAGGCCGCGGTGGCTGGCGAGACGACTGTCGCGGTGCGCGCACAGTTCCACAGCAGGCTCGGTCCAGTATTGTCAAGGGACCAAATCGATCGGATGACGGAGGAGGAACAGGTGCACGGTGGACGCGCCGCGCAGAGGTGTTGCTTTGTTGATCGTCGTCGAACGCGCAGCGAGTGTCTACAGTGGCACAGGCGACATGCCGTGGTCCGCAGCGGTTCGCGAAGTGCTGCAGTGTGTCGTGCGTCGGCTCCGTGTCCTGGGCAGATGCGATGTATGTGGCCGCTCGAGGGCGGTAGGAGCAGGAGATGGGAAAGAGCGAAGGTTCACGCGTCGTCTGGCGCTGCAACGCCAAGACCCACCGCCCAACTGCTTTTGCGTGACCAAGGAACAGCGTGTCGCGATGCTGGTTCTCATCCGTGGAAAGGTGGAAGAGTCCCCCGGGTGCATGGACACGGGCGGAAATTGTTTGCCTGCGACCTCTGCGCCGCCCCGTGTCCACTCCGCTCGAGTCCTGTGCGCCGCCGACTTCTGCGTGTCTCGATGACGTGCATGTTTGCATTTGCACACGGCGTCGGCACGCGATCCTCACACGCTCCGTCCCTCGCCCTCATGCTACACTGAAGATGGCAATGGTTATCTGGGACAACGGTTGAGCGGTCCGCTGCCACAGACAACAACGTGGGAAAGGGAGAGTTCAGGTGTAGATTCGGGGAGCAACATCCACTGCACCCGCAGCCCGCTCGGTCGCCCTCTTTCTGCACAGCCTGCTCGCCGGATGTACAGATTTATTAGACTGCACGGAGCACAATCGACAAACAACCCACTTGTCACGAATGATCAGTGATGGGTTCGCGTGCCTACTCAGTCGAGCGATTACGAAAATTGGATGCAACTCGCGAGCTTCAACAACGACTGAACGACAGCGGTCTTTCAAGCCGACCAGCCAAAACGACATCGCGTCAAGTGATGCAGACAAGCTTCGTCGCTCTTCCAACAACAGACAACTACTTGCTACATGGACGTTGGGGAAGCAGGAGGTGCTTACAAGATTGCAATAGCGACCACAAGCAACGGGCACCATACTTGGTGTCCATCTAGATCTTATTCTCATTCTCACAAGGCGTCTAGCATTCTCTGCGAAGAAAGCAGATCGATTGGTTGAGGCGTCCCGGCACTCGCTCCAATCATGCCACCAGCATTCGCGAGCTCCGCCTGGCAATAGACAGCGAGCGAATGCACAATTTCCGTTTCTGCATCGGCGCACTTGCACCACTTCCTCTTACTGCCGTGCATTATCAGAGACTCGCGAGCCCGGCCCTCAAGTAGAGTTCGCATAGCCCAGAGAGTCTTCAGAGACGTACAGCAGAATTTGCTTCTGTGCGTCAATCCAAATATCACTTCGCTAAGCGTTATGGATATGACTGTTGCGAAAGGAGAGAGTCAAATGTCTGATCGCGTTGTCAAGACAGCGCATGTCGCTCTCCATAGATGACAGTAGTGTCATCACCCATCGATGCTATCGCATGGAGGTGTGGAAGCTGGTGCTTAGAGCGCGAATCATGATTACAGCTGCAGTAGAAACAGTACATGTACATGCACAGCCAGCAATCATCGAAACGTGTAAGACACGCGATCGGGGCCTGCAGGTGAGCTTACCTCCTGAGGCAAGTGCCGAGCAGCTGCAGGTGTTTATAGGCATTGGCTTTCACAGTGTGGCGCTTCATCGTGCGCAAAATGTACAGTACACGCTTGGGATTAAGAGTCAGCTCTCGCAGCGATAGCAGACGTGAGTCTCAATTCGACTTGAAACGTCCCATACTGTCGCAACTCTGTCATGCGTATGATGATGTTTCTTGTGAGCGTTTAGCACCCCAGACACTCGGGATACGTGCGCCACAGCCGCGTGCCGAAGACGCGCACCAGACCAGAAGCGCTGGGTTGGCGGGTCGCGTGGACGATCTCTCTTCTGCTGTCCACCGCGACCGTCAGAGCGCACCTCAGCAACCTTGAAACGTGCAATTGAAGCCCATACCTGGTCCTTGTGTGCTCAGACGACGCCGTTCCCCATTCCCGAACTTAACACGACGATGGGTCTCACTTGACGACCGACAGCTCCTCCCCTTTACGATGCCGAGTTAGTCGTGCCTGGCATTGCGAGTTGGACACCAGCACAACAACATGGCATACGACCAACACTCCACTTACGAGCCACCGCGGCGAGCATACCAGACACGCGCGCCGGCACCTGCGACCGGCCAGCAGAGTTACAACGATTACGCAGACTTTGCGAGCACACCCTTTGACCACTACGAACAGTACGATCAACCTGCACATGCGCAAGCTCGGCACCAACAATATGGAGGCCACGAGGCGAATTATGCGCCGAGCGTGAAACAAGGATACGACAATCGCTATGAACAGGCACAAAGCGCATCCCAGTATCATGAGCCGCGCTTCGACCAGCAGTATGCTCCTCCCGAGGAATATGGCCAGGACAGGCACTATGACGCGCGATATCAGCCGAGAGCACCACAGCAACGTTCGCCGCCACATGTGCATCAAGGGCTTCCACCCAATGCTGGATCGATGCGATCAGACACCAGTGGACAACCAGCGTTGGAACAGTACGACCACCGAGATAACGGCTATGCGCCGCCAGTGAACGGTTATGGCTACGCGCAACCGCAAGAGGCCAATCATGGGCACGTTCATGCGTCGAGCAAGTCTTCCATGGACGAGTGGAAAGCGAAGGAAAGGAGTAGACTGCAGGCGGAGACGAGGTCGCCACAAACGCTGCCTTTCGACAATGCGTTTCCGGATTTTGGCAATCAAAAGCAGGCGCGACCTGGTTCGAAGGGCTCGGAGGGAAAGCACGCTGGCAGCAGGAGCCAGCACGAGCAGAGACCCAAGACAGCAGGACAGCAACAGCCACAAGGCTCATGGGAAAACAGCTACGATACTGCCGCTCACGGACCGACGCGCGATCAAGGCGCTGGCCATTCCAATGTTCGTGACTATAACCATACTCACCAAGGAAGGCCTGCCCAAGGACAAGCACCGCCACACCCTTCGGGCCATCAGCTAGGCAGTCCCATCGATCAGCATTTTGACTTTGGTCTCGGACAGGATCCATCGCCACCGACAAATGGCTATCATCCGGACAGCTATGCCCACTCAGCATCGCAGCAGCAGGATTATGCTTCCAGCAGGCAAGCTGAGCGTGCAGCACCTCAACACCGCGGCCCTACTGCCGTACCGCCTCTCGATACCAGTCGCACACAGTACCAACAGACCCCAGTCTACAATACTTCGCAGCCACTCAGTCCTACGCACGTCCCGCCACGGCCGTCCACAGCTCAAGCTGCTCGTGCTCAAGCTGTGCACCAGCCAGCGGTACCATTGTCAGAACCTCAGTCTGCGACATTCCATGACGATTATGCCTCCGTGCCTCAGAAGCCCTTTGCACGTGAAGACTATGGTAGACCTGCGAGTCTCGGGGATATAATCGATGACTATGGCGCCGACCCTGCCCCGAAGCCTTTGCAGCGGAAGCCGACTACCCGCGAAGAAGAAATTGAGGCCGACATGCCAGACTTTGACAGTGCTGCGCCGGCGCAGCGTTTGCAAGCAAACAATGCTTCGCGGGGTCCTGCTCCCACTACCATCCATCCTCCAGCGCATCCAGGATTGCCACACTCCTCATCCGCGCCAGACGTGCGATATGACCAACCTCCAATCCAACATGATCCGAACACACAAGCTGGATATAGACCTCCGCCAAGACACGATGGCTACCATCCTGGAGCATCGTCTGTGCCTCCACAGCTTCCACATACAGGCGCACAAGATTCTCGTATGCGAGCCGGCCCGCCGCCTGACATGCAGCCTCCGCAGGCACCTTTCGCTCACGATCCACCAGTGAGACGGTCGCTGGATGATGGAAGACCCATGCCTTACCGGAATGGTCCGCCTCCTCCACAGCGCTTTGATGCTCAAGGGCGGCCACTGCCGCGTGGTCCCCCCAATGGCATGCGTGGAGGACCGATGGCCATGCGTGGAGGACCCAATGGTATGCGAGGAGGTCCTAATGGTATGCGTGGAGGGCCGAATGGTATGCGTGGAAATCCAAACGGCATGCGTGGTCGTGGAGGGCCGAATGGTATGCCAATGGGCAGAGGACATCCACCACGCCCCGATCTTGACCGTCAAGGGACCGCCTGGTCAGACCCTGGAATGAATCGGGCAGGAAGCGCACCACCAACTCGCGGTCCCCTTCACGGAGCGCATGGCATGGCCGCGCCACCTCTAACTCAGCAGCGCTCTGCCCCTGATCAAAACCCTTCGTCCAACAACCCAGATGCACTACCTCACCACCCAGTACCGGTGCGCCCAGGACTCATGGAAAACGGTGGTCCTGGGCAGGCAGCAAAACCACCTCCGGTCCGGAACTATGGTGGTACTCAATCAGCACCACCAATAAAGGGCGCGCCGCCGCACGAGCGACAGGCCTCCAAGGACCATTTTGCGCAGCCGGTCACGATCGGAGAGCTGGAGCATCTTCGCTCTTCAGTGGATGCCAGTCCGGATAATGCGAAGAAAGCTCTGATCCTAGTGAAGAAGTTGGTCGAGGCGTCAACGGTACTCGCGGCCGAAGGAGGTCGTGCAGACCCGAGAACCACAGCGAAAAATCGCGAGAGACACGTGCTGGAAGCCGACAAGCGCCTCAAGAAACTGGTTCAAGGGGGTTATGCAGACGCCCAATTCTATTTGGCAGATTGCTACGGCTCTGGGGCGCTGGGGCTCGAGTTCGATGCCAAAGAGGCTTTCAAGTTATACCAGGCAGCAGCAAAGGGAAATCATCCTGAGGCCGCATATCGCACAGCGGTGTGCTGCGAAATTGGTCCCGAAGAAGGGGGAGGCACAAGCCGCGATTACGCCAAAGCTGTGCAATGGTATCGTCGTGCTGCGACACTTGGCGACGGACCGGGTATGTACAAGCTGGGCGCAGTTCTGCTCAAAGGACTGCTGGGTCAGCAACGCAACATTGTCGAGGCTGTCATCTGGCTGAAGCGTGCTGCTGAAAAAGCAGACGCTGACAACCCTCACGCGCTACATGAACTAGCACAGCTCTACGAAAGTGATAACACGAACCCAGAGATTCGCAACAAGCTCGTTGCTGATGATTCGTATGCTCGTGAGCTCTTTCAGAAGGCCGCGACTCTAGGGTACAAGAACAGTCAATTCCGCCTTGGCCAAGCGTACGAGTACGGGCATCTAGGATGCACGATCGATAACAGGATGAGCATTGCATACTACACTAAAGCTGCAGCGCAAGGCGAGCATCAAGCCGAGCTTGCACTTTCCGGATGGTATCTGACAGGAGCGCCGGGGATCTTGGAGAACAGTGACACAGAAGCGTACTTGTGGGCACGAAAGGCTGCTAGTTCTGAACCTCCTCTCGCCAAGGCGATGTTCGCTATGGGCTACTTCACCGAGAACGGCATTGGATGTCCACAGAGCATGGAGGAGGCAAAGAAGTGGTATTCCAGAGCAGCATGTAAGTAACTCGAGGTTCGACAAGATCAGAATTGTTTCTAACGTGGATTACAGCATACAAGTTCCCCAAAGCGATCGAGCGTTTAGAAGAGCTGAAGAGAGGTGGAGGCAAGAAGGACAAATCGTTCCCTCCTCCAAGTAACGGCAAGCTCACCCGTAAAGATCAGAAGCGCGACGAAGAGAATTGTGTGGTCATGTAATCACCAGTCTTTGCCGAATAGTTTGTGTGGGCGGACAAGAAGCGCATGGGGAACACTTGGTTCCCAATACGGCAGATATCGAGACAGTTGACTTTGCCATGGCAATGATGAAACAGAAACGGACGACATGACAGTACAGAGCTGGACTCGTGTATATATACTATGGGACTTCAGAGCCGAGCCGAGGCGGAGGGAGTGCCGGATCAGCTGGTGGTATGGCAAGTATGTTTTTCTAAGGTATACTGAAATGTACAAATACCAAGATATAAACGGGTCATTTCGCCAAGAACACTTAGAACACTTTCCATCAATATCACTGTGTCACTCGCCCTGTCGGTAAGGATCAGAACCTCATGACTATGTCTGCCGCCGTGGATTCTTCGCAATGCTCTTGCCAGTGGCACTCTATAGGTGGGATGTTATTATCCGGGTATCATCGTCTATATCTCACCATGCATGCTCAGTCCTAGCCAAAATCTGCCCGTCCGTCGACCATCGACAATTAGTGGCGAGGACGAGTCTAATAAGGTGGAGCAGCCATGAGCGGTACTCTCGCCTTCTTCGTCTCATCAACCTGTATCCCAGCAAGCAATTGTTGCAAATCGACCTCCTCTCCCTGATTGACTTCCACCGCCAATTCAACCTGTCGCTTGCCTTCCATAATCTCCTCCAAGTCTTTGGCGCGCACCCTCGGCTTTATCGAGCCATTGCCATCGAAAGCTCCCACGTTGCTGCTGATATTGCCAGAGCTCAATCTCCGCTCGCCACCAAAATTGTTAGGGAGCATGAGCAATTGCGGATGACTTTGCTGGCTTTGGCCAATGCTGCCACGCAGAGACGCGGCCTTTTCCTTTTCCACAAACCTGCCAAAGCAATCCTCGGCCTCGAAATCGAGATAGCTCGCATCTTTCTCCTCGGACTCCAGCTGAGCCCACGTAGCAACTGCATCCTTGTACGCGTTGCGTACATCCTCAGATCCGATTCGCGCCAGCCATTGCGTGCCATCCCAGACTCCGACATTGACGCGATTCCGCTTGATCAACACGTTGGTATGTGTTTGCTTCTTGCCCACCTGAGCGGTTTCAATGATGCTCCGAATGATGTCAAAAGCGCACTTTCGGGCTTCATCGGTGGTGAAGTAGCCGCTTCGAAGGCTATTGCTTCGCTCACTGGTTTCTCTGTCCGCGTCTGACCTGTCATCGTGAGCCGAGTCTTTGGTCGCGGGGGTTGTACTTGCTGCAGCTGTGCTTGGGCGAGCCGGTGATGCAGCATTGGCAGAGGTCTTCGTCCCGCGAGAGGTGCCAAGACGGTGCCTGGGCGTTGTGTTTTCAGTGGCACGGGTGTTTGATCGCGATCTGCTTTCTCCAAAGATGTTACTCTTGAAGTCCGCAGCGGAGGGATATGCTTTTACTCGCACAAGAATGGCCGCAATCATGTCCGTGACCTGGTCCGAGTAGTAAATGTGTCCGGCCAGACATGCGATGCTCTGCTTTAGTGTCTCCACCGTCGACATGGCCGCGTTCTGTTCGTTGCTGGCAGATGTAGTCTCGCGGGTCAAGAGATTGTTTCCTGGGCGGGCGCAATATGAGACGGCTCGGATTGTCGTGGTCATCAACCCAACCAGCACGTCCATGACTGAAAGGCCGATGAGATTGAGATCCGAGCTAACGACGCCGTGGATCATTTTTGCGTAGGTTTCGTGCAGTCGAAAATCGGCACCGTCCACTGGCAGCCGTCTGAGCGTCTCCACAGCAGTGAACAGGATCACGAAGCGATCTTGCACGGGTGTCCAAGACGTAATGAGCCTGAACAACTGGCTGGCCCAGTCATTGATGCTGCGGCCCTGCTCGCCAGCGATGAAGCGCATGAAGGAGAAGGTAGCTTCTCGCGTTTGGCCGCGATTTTGCGTATTGAAAATAGCTTTGACACAATCAGTGGCGAGTAAGCCCACCTCTTCTTCTTCGATTCGATCGGCATCTTGCGCTGTGCCTTCGGCAGTGCGCGGATCTGGTGCCTGCTCTTCCTGGTATCCCGACAGTGTCCTCGAGTGTGTTATACTCTGCCTCCGATTCAGGGTTTTGCTGTCTCTGCCCTCCTTCTCTTCAGCTTCACGGTAGAGGCCTTGCAAGGAGTCGATGTAATCGTGCTTCCCTGCGTTGCGTAAATTGGTGAGCACGGCAGCAAATGAGTAGTCGAATTCGCGGTTCCAGTCCCGCTCGAGCTGTTCTGCGGGGGCGAAGATGCTCATGATGGCGGCAACACCGGCCTTGCGCAGCCGCAGCGCATCGTGATTGGCGACAGGCTGCGTGGAGCTGCCCATCTTCTTGGTGTTATTCTTGGCGAGAGACCCATAGAGGTGAACCACTTGGGTGTACAGGTCACGGTATTCGTGGTCTGCGGCAAGGCTGGCGGCGTCCTGGTGCTGACACAGGGCGTCCCAGGTAGCGAGAGTCGCCTCGATCAAGCCAATGTCGGTCGAGTTGTCGAGCACTTGGCGGAGAATGCGCAGGACTGAGGGTGAGATGAGAGCGAATCCCGAGCCGCGATTAATGGCATTGTGCTCGAGGACGGCCGTCAAGATCTGCAGGGTGATCTGGACGCGTGCGCTCTGGCTGTGGGCGACATCGTACTGCGTCCGCGACTCCAGGTAGTCGCCGACCTTGTGGATCTTGTTCTGGCGACTGCTGACATAGTAGAGGAGATAGGCCAGCTCCGAGCCGTTGGGTTTCGTGTCCAGGCGCGGGTAGCATCTGAGAATCAGCGACTGGTGCTTTGGCCGCAGCTTTTCTGGTCGGCTGGGCATCTCGAGCGCTGGGCGCAGCGCGGTGGGGGCAAACAGCAGCCTCGCTATCGAGACATCCAGTCGTCGGTCCGGGGGCGGGCGGGGGGCGCGTGGTGGAGGGGTGTGCGTGTGGGCGCGTGGACGATGTCGGACGTGCAGGCAGGCAGGCAGGCAGGCAGCTGAGGGAGAAGTGAGGTCGAAGCGGCCCACGTCATTCCAGCTCGGCGTTTTCTCCCACGCACCCGCACATGCACGCTGCTGAACCCTGGCGCGGTCGCGCCCGACAGAAGAAGAAACAGCCACTTGCGGCTGCAGCTACGCGGCGCGGCACAGCAGAATTGTGCATTGCGGTGACAAACGCCCCCGGCCGTTGTGCTGCAGCCTGCACTCGTGAGCCAGGAATCCGCGACGGCGACAGCTGTGCGAATGCGACGCCTGCATTCCGGGGGGAGTTCGAGAGAGGCACAAGCACACATGGGAAACATCGCCTATGCACTTCAGAAGCTAGCCATGTCCACCGGCGCTAGGGACGTGCGCAGAGCAGCAGCTGTCACATTGCTACCGCAGCCATCACCCAGACCGAACCGACCGAAGAGCCGACCGAAGAGCCGTCACCGCCATCCTGGCTGCGTTGCAATTACTCGATTAGCAACAAATATCATAATACTGGCATCATTCTGCTTGCAGCCTCGCTGCAGTGTCTCCTAGCCGAGCATAGCCCCTTCGCAATGCCCCAATCTGTGCAATGCCCTTCAGCAGCCGTCGCGCAGGCAGCAATGGATGTGTTTACCCAAGCCTTCGTCACGCTCAATACGACAGTGGTGCAGGCGTGTAGACTGGGGGCATGTGCGTCTCGATCGGTAATCGTCGCCATCCGAGCCTTCCATCCAGTTCCATAGGCAGAGCTACGGTGACCGTGACACCCATTGGTTGCGCACCGGGTCCCAGTACTCGTTCCGGCGCGCGGATGCATTCTCGGCTGGCGGTTGGCATCAGTACAGAAGCACTGTGCTATCGTGGGTTGGGTATCTTACAGCCATTGCTATCCTGCTCCTGGTCTGGAGTCACTGACTGTGCACTGCTGCATGCGCCGCTCGACTCATCATCGTCATTCGCCTGATTGCCAGGAGCTGTGTTGCCGCCTCGAATGCGATTGTTGCGTTGGTCTCGGTATCTATCGAGAGGCATCAGCATATTGTCAGCTCCGCAGGAGGGACAGCACCCGCCGAAAGGAATGCCACAGTAGCCACCGGATCACCCAATTCTCCTCCTCCGGTCCATCTGTATCTTTTCCGAGGTCGTAAATGGTCCGAGTCTCTGGGCTTGCGAGCTTGTAGATACGTAAGATCTCAGCGTGCGTTGCTGTCTCGTTGATGGGTCTACCCTGACGTTAGTAGCTCAGCAGAAAGGCAGTAGCGGACAACGGTGCTGACGCACGACCCTGCGCTCTCCTTTTCAATGAGCCGTTTCCTACCCGCCACAGCTTCCCTCTTCATTAGACTATAGAGCTCCTTGTGGGCTCGATCATCTTCACACAAGTGCAACCGTTGGAAGAGTCTTGTTTTCGACTCGCTTTGCGCCAAAGCAGATACCGGAGCGGGAACCATGTTTGTAACTGGGTCAGTGTGAGGCTTCGTCTGAATCCGATATAAAGCAAGTGCAGTCCGGAACGGCCTCGCACGACCTTGCTAAATCGTCATGGGGAGCGGAGTGCCTGGACTACATCAGCTACCCAAGCATGCGGCTTCCACAATCCATCCACTTTCGAGCTGCAACGCCATGTCTGGATCGCGGGACTCGGTCCAGCCGTGAAGAACGGATCCTTGCTCGGAGCAGTTTGGGATCGACGATGCGCAAATCAATAACGCTTGCTCAACTAAAAAGACCAGAGAGGGACTCGGAAATCCGGATCCGCGCGGTTGGCCGTGACTTAGCGAGCTCGTGACGAGATGCAATGGGTGCATGGCTGGCTGGCTGTGTGGAGAACGGCGTCGGCCCTGCAAACAACCAGCACCACCACCACCACCGATAATGCAATCTTGCCTTGTCGGTGACGTCTTTCAGGGAAGAGTGCGAGGCATGAAAGCCGTCTGTGACACAACCGGCTGCAGGGTGAAATTCTTTGGTCCTTGGTCAGTTGCAGAGCGCACGCGTCATAGTAATACTGCATGAAATAGTCTGCGCAGGAGAGGCAGACCGGGGTTCTTTTGACAGCGACCACGTCAAGGAGGTAAGTCCGAATTCCTCACTGTGTCGGTGTGCAACTGCTCGGAGGTGCCGAGTCGGGACTGATTGTGGACAGCTTTTTTTCGCACAGTCCCTTTCGCAGCGCGATGGTCCCAACTTGATGTCACCTGAGTCTGTGAGAGTCCACTTTCGTCTCCAAGCACTGACCGTAGCAGAGTCGTTGAGACATGCCCAATAGCGGCTTGGAGCAGTTGGCGAGTGGGTACTGCGGAAGAGTCCGAGGAAGGGAGGGGCTGTCTCTGTCAGCAAGCCAGGGCAATGGAAAGTCGGAAATGCAGCCATAGCAGCTCCCGTCACCGTCAACAACAGCTCGAGTGGCGCTCGTTGCCGTGCTGGGGGTTGGTCGACAAATTCTTTCGTGCAATGTGCCGGCTCTCCTTGCAGCAGGAATCATGCCGCAGTCACACACCGATCTGTCGACGGCACATTCGAACTGCCACAGGCTGATTCTAGCCAGCGTATACGACGCGCAGGACAGCTTCCTTTGGGATGTCCTGCAGTACAAGCGATCGTGCAGCTATTGCGAAATCGGTCGCGAAGTCGTGACACATCAGCTTTTGCGAGCGGTACTCTCTGATGGACCTCGATATTGCGCAGCGGCGAGGGCGCTCTCGAAGGCAGCTGGGATCATCAAGGTGACCTTCAAGAGGCTGATGAATGGCACGCAGAGCACGCATCTGAGACGCAGCACGTTCGAGAGAAACTCTGCTGCTGCTGCTGCTCGGATGAAGTAGACAGCCGATTCGACCAGGCAGTAATTCAGGCACCAATGGCACTCGCACCTTCCCCACGACCCCCGGAGCGCACCGCAGTTCGCCCATGATGCCTGAACGCAACTGCCGACGCTGATTGAAAGCACCAACTCTATCGGCAGTTCACTCTCGCCTTCAAACAGCGCCATGAATTCCGGAACAGGGAACACCACCCCGATTACAATCGTCGTCTGACGAAAGACGGCGTGCACATGGCACCGTTGGACCCGACTCGCCGGGCACGCGGGCCTGGCGATATGGCTTAGCCAATACCTAGCGTCGTCGACATCTGCCGTTCATATGCAATGCTGCTCCATATAGCGCCTGGCAAGACTGACGCCCTCCTGGTCCGTGTGTAGGTATATGAGGGCGTGGAAGCCCGTGTCAGCGGTGTCAGCAACTCTGTTGTTCTCGCACATTCAACATGTTCGCATCCGATGTGATTCGCTTCCTGCTGGCTCACTGGCCATCTGTCCTAGTCTTGAGCGTTGTCCTCTACTTCGTCAGAAACAAATTCAACAATGGCTTGAATAAGTATCCCGGCCCACGACTGGCGGCGTACAGTATGTGCATTCCGTTCTTGGTAGTCCTGGCAGCAAGCTAACTCTTCCCCAACAGCGGACTGGTGGCGATATTTCGACGTCCGAGGCGAGCGCGCTGAATGGACACACATTGAGCTACATCGAAAGCATGGAGACATTGTGCGTCTAGGGCCGAATGTACTCTCCTTCGCGGATCCCCGCGCGATCAAGACCATCTACGGACTCAACAAGGGCATGACTAAGTCGGATTTCTGTAAGCACGCAATCAACTCCTGCTAGCAACCAAAGCTTACATGATACACTAGACCCTGTCCAACAAGCTGTGGCGAAGGGTGAACGCTTACAGTCACTCTTCTCGACAAAAGATGAAGATTTCCACGCCAAATATCGACGATGTGTCAACAATGCCTTTGCCATGTCTTCTCTCGTTGGATACGAGCCACTGGTCGACAGTACCATGAATGCCTTCATTGAGCAGACTCGCAAACGCTACGCTGAAACCGGCGAGAGTTGCAGGTTCTCGAGGTGGCTGCAGTTTTTCGCGTTCGACGTGATTGGCGAGTTGACATGGAGCAAACGTCTGGGCTTTGTGGAGCGAGATCAGGACGTCGAAGGTATCGTTGGCTTCGTCGGCGCCTTCCTGGCATATGCTGCTCCGGTTGGGCAAATGCCATTCCTGGATCTCATCTACCAGAAGAACCCGATCAAGCTTCAACTACAGAAATGGGGCATCGATAAGAAAGTCTTTGCTGTGACAAAGTTTGCTCTGGAACAATCCGCGGATCGTGCGTCAGAAATGGAGAAGATCAAGCAGCATGGCTCATTAGATGAGCGCTCCGGCAAAGCTGTGGATCTTCTCATGAAATTTACACAAGCTCAGCACGATCATCCCCAGTTCATGACGGATAGACAGGTCCTTTCGTCATGCACGAGCATGATCTTCGCCGGGTCGGAAACAACTTCCATCAGCCTAAGCAGTGTTTTCTACCACCTTATGAAAAATTCTCATGCCTACAAGAAATTGATGGACGAGCTCGACGAAGCTGCACGGAACGGGACTATCGCTGAACGGGACTACGGGAAAGTCAGTTGGGCAGAGGCACAAAAGCTACCCTACCTGGATGCAGTGATCCAAGAATCGTTCCGGCTGCATCCCGCTCCAGGGCTAATACTAGAGCGAGTCGTCCCACCACAAGGCATCGAAATCCTCGGCGAGCGCATTCCGGGTGGCACAATCGTTGGTTGCAATGCTTGGGTACTACACAGAAGACCAGAAGTCTTCGGCCGTGATGTGGACACTTTCCGGCCAGAACGCTGGCTCGAAGCGAAACCAGATCAACTCCGTGAAATGAAAGCGACAATGTTCCAGTTCGGAGCTGGTGCCCGAACGTGTATTGGGAAGAACATCTCACTGCTGGAGATCTACAAGCTCGTGCCGACATTTTTGCGCAATTTTGAGGTGGAGCTGGCTACGCCAGGTCGTGAGTGGAAGACGAAGAACGCATGGTTCGTTACGCAGGACTTTGATACTAAGTTCAAGCCGCGCTCAATAGCGCAGAGTGCATAAAGGATTGTATTATATATAGCTGATGTAGATCTTTCCATCTAGACATGGCCGCTTTAATGCAGCTTTTGTTCTGCTACGCATGTCGTTCCCCGTCATGCGTTAGTCACTTGTGCAGTACGCGCTCGATAGCGGCAATTCATACTTTCGCAAAGACATCGCTTGTTGAGGTCTTTCCAATATGTGTCTGAGTAATCGACAGTGATCTCAGCGCCAGCATCAACCCCTTTGCTGACGAGAACAATCCTCTGAGTTCCCAGCCAGACGAAGCGTTCAAACTGGCTATTCGGAGCGCAACTGTGATTGACGAAGCGAGTATAGTTCCCTTGCTCTCCTTGCCAGATCTGATACGTGGCCCGATCAGTCTGTCCTATCATTACATCCTTGCCTGCAACTCCGGATGTAATCTGGCCAACGAATTCGCCAATCGCGGCGCCTCGCTCGAATGGACAACATGCTAATAGGCCGTTGTTTTTGCCATTCGGCGTTCGGTACACCTGCACAGGCATGTGTTTTGCCTTAGCGCTACCATAAAGGTTCGGAAAACATGTGCAGTTGTTGTCTCTTGGGTCGTCGGACTGTCTTTCGTTGCATATTTGGCATTGGTAGGCCGATGGTTCAGTCAGGGGCGAGACGGTACGTGGATCGTACAGTCCCCATGCATCCTCGTCAATCACAGATTCGTCCAGGTGCGTGTACGTGAAGTTCGGATCCCACTGGCGATATGTGATTGGCAGTGGAATTGCTTCGTCCCCGGGACCGCAGACCACCCAGCCGTGAGGATGACCTTCGTATCTGCGCTCGACTGGAGCGCCAACAATTGCCAGTAAGCTGCGCCAGCGTGGATGGAGACAGTCCGCTGACACTTCAAAACGATGCCGCAGTGATCGTAATGTCTGGAAGGTGTCTTCTGTGAATGACACCCTGTACTTGCAAAACCGGTATAAGCCCATGCCCGCGAATACCAGCGCAGCCCAGCCACCAGCATTTTTAATGTCATGGTAGCCGCGCCAAATAGCAACCTTGTTTCGTAATTCCTTCTCGGTCCAGCCAAAGTCTATACATGCCTCTGAAATGGCAGTCTTCTTCGCCTTCTCCTTTGTCATGGTGGTAGCGAGCTCGGCAACGCGGTCGTCGAAGGCCTGTACCCACTGAGCCTGCACGATCACCTCTAGAGATCGACACGTCCTGCTGGTTTGGCTAATCTTGCGTGCAAGGACATTCATTCGGCCAAACATGCTCTGCACGACAGTGTCGTTTCGGGTAGCCAACTCGCTTTCTTCATCGTTGCGAAGCAGCATACGCGGCTGGCCAGGCTCGATGGCGTGGAACTGCTCGACAATTTCTTCTGGGTCAAGCTTCACGGCAGAGTATAGGGATTCCCAGACGCCAAAAATGAATTTGTCCAGGCTCGAGGGCTGTAGAATCGGATTTTCTGGGAGTCGTTTCTTCCGCTGAGGAAATACTCTGGCATCACTATCGAGCCTTCGTGCCACAGCACCTTGACTTTCGGATGCATCGGCGCCGGTGGAATCAGATCTTCCCACTCGCAGGCCGCCAGTAGCGCGTCTTTTCGGCTCTCTTTCGTCGCCTGATGGTGATAAGTCTGTAGTTCTCGGCCTGAAAGTCCTTCCATTAGTGGTGTTGTCGCACAATCCTGGAGAATCCGTGTGAGTATCAGTCGCCACAACGGGGCTCTGGAAGCCAGACGGTGTGCTAGCTGTCGGCGTGGCGACATCCGTGATATCGACAGATGCGACGCGGACTGTGTGTTGTCGACGAGATGCCCCAGAGTGGCCACTTAGAAGGCTGCATTGGAACTGCAGTGGCCCGCTCGACAGATCCTGCTCTGTCTTGTCCGCACATCAGTTGCAAGCTCTTTCGTCAATGCACAATAGACGACATACGCACCAATAGTCGCCTGATGACCGAAGGCAACTCCTCGACAATGCGAGCACTGATGTCCCGAGTCAAGGAGTCGACATCGGCCTCGGTCATTGGGGTGGCCATGAGTGCCCAGAGGAGCGGGCCCAGAAGGCCTTCTGCCCACCACCTCTGTCTGTCGTGGAGAAGGCGATGCCCATGGCACGGCCTGCAGACTTCACCGCCTTCACGCTACCACACGTCAAACGCACCATCAAGCAGAGACGGGGTGTCGCTGACGGATGGGGGGTGCGAAGATGCGGCTCGCGCTAGTCACGTCTATTCCGCTTGGGGCGCACCACGTGGATGGCGCAAAGTCTCGGCACCCGCCAGGAGCAAAGTCTAGACGACATCAGGGAATTATTGGCCCACACGCACTTGCCTCTGCAGAAAACTAAACAGTTGATGAACGGGACCTCCCAGGCCAAAACATCTCAAGCACTGCATTTTCCCAATTGAGTTACGTTGGCGATGCCGATCCTACTGCAGCCAATTGCCGTGCCTATGCGTGCCCTTCACCTGTGCCAGGGCACTCGGCTCAACAATACGGAGGCTGCTCTGACTTGATCACGGGCCCGTGCAGCTTCATGCGTTACCTGAGCACAGCAGCACTGGAACGTGCGTCTGAGCTGGCAGCCCGCGGAAAAGCGAGCTGAGTTGGGGTGGCAGTTGCCCGGCCCCGAAACAGCTTGGAATGCTGCGACAACACCTTGAAGGGAATCTGGATTGCCGAACCACTCTGCCTCGCACGTTCCTGCATAGGTCTGGAACGGACCGTCTAGTGAGCGGAGGCTTGCGAACTCGCATCTGGGTGCGAGTCGGAGTCCTCTGACTCCTTCAAGAATCAATACATCAGGCAGGGTGGACGACCATTGGACAACGAAAGCTCTACACCACCTCGCTTTCAAGATTGGCCAATGGAATTTGTTCCAAAACACCCCTTACATCGTTTGCTACTGCGTCTGCGCTCAGGACCGCCCTAGTCTGCTATGTTTAGTGCGTCTGTCTTGCAGGAAAGTTAGCATTGCGCTGCTCGGGCTTATAGCGCAAGCTCGAAGACGTGATGTGCTCGTCGATTGAGCTGTCCTCGATTCAGCCTGCTGCAGCGGCAGGCTTGTTGCAAGGAATCTACCTGCATGAATGCGCATTTCAGCTCGAGCAGAGATAGCACTGTACATGGTCACCTTTGCCCCATATTAGCCTTGTAGTCACTCCATGAAGTAGCTCGTCACTCTCGCCAAATTACCCAATTGCTATCGCTCTATTGCTGCCACCGAAGTGCAAATGAGCCCATCTTGTGAGAATTGGGGCGAATGGAACGGCTGGGCAAGTTGGCATGGGCAAACCTGGGACGCCAGTCCGGTCTCGCGAGACCAGCGAGAAAGTGGACAATCTCCCTGGTCGCACCATCCCGCGGAAAATTACACTGACGAAGACACATACCGACACGGCGAACTGCTCCAGACCCATTCCGCATCTTCGACAGTATCATACTATGATACGGCTGCATGGAACATGGTCCGTGCCACAAATATACCTCCAGAAGGTCCTGGACTCGATGAAAGTCCACAGGTTGCAACCGACTCAAATCTTCAACATGACTGGCCGACCTCTGGAGCACCTCCATGCTATGTGCCGACGCCTAATGGAGCTGGAGCCGAGAGACTGGTGCAAGAAGTGAACGGCCAGACAGGCCACTTCCTCAACACAAGTGGTTATCATCACTCCAGTGATACGGGCTCCGAGTTCGCCGTGAATGGCGACTCCCGCGGCTGGAGAACAGAGCCCACATGTCCAGGGCCTCTCGCCGAATTGATGCCACGTCGACAGTCTCCCAGGTTCGCCGGAGATGAGTATACCGCACGATGGGTCCGAGGGTACGGCACGGATCGCGCAGGTTGGTGCGGGTTCTGCTCTTCGTGGTATGCACCTCAAACCATCTCGGTTCGTGGCATTTACTAATGTGTCTTTTCGTAGGCATAAGCTCAAGGATTCGGCATACTGGTATCATATGCACTACTCGGTAAGTTGGAAGACGACTTCCATTCTGCAGTCATACACAGCGCGCATATGAGTCTAGGCGAAAGATGAACTGACACATGCTTCGCGCAGCACGGCATTTCTTGCGCGACAGGCAAACCTTTTGAAGCCCCGCAAGCTCGCCGAAACGCTGAAGGTGCGGTCGGCTTTGAGGTACTTTGTGGATGCTGCAGTCAGTGGGTCTATGTCGGTCGGCTGGATCGCTGGCAGACACCCTATTACCGTCATGCGTACAAATGCCAGATGAAGAACCGGTTTGGTGTCGATCGTTTTCGTGTTAGCAGACCAAAGAGCACCTCGCCGCGAAACATGGCTGGTGGAGTATGGAGGTCGATTTGAAGTTGCAATCAAATCCGTGCCGCGAGAGCTGAATCGGAACTGCACTTCCGTCCTCGACTCCCGGCTGGAATGGATCATTGCTGCTTTTAGGACTTGCGGTGCGTCTCCTTTCTTCTCCGACATTCCGAGTGGGCTTCGGTGTGGTATCTTTGCGGTGAGCTTTGCTCTTGCCACGGATGGATGTATGAACACTGTTTATGTTAGCCGCAGATATAGCTCTGGCTTATGACGCTTTAATGAGTTTCGGGAATGCTGCGCTTCTCCTTACTCTTGAGCATTGTTCTCGATGGAGATTGTTATTACGACAGGAATCGTCGTGTCGACCCAAGAAACAGCAACATCATGTAGATGTCTCGTCGCTTTTGTTCCTGCTACCAAGTCCCTACAGTCTGTGAATTGCAGAACCGTAATCCGGGCGGACGCGACAACGGCGCAGCATGAGTCCAGGGGCGCGGAGTGTCCTTGGTGAACAGATGGAGAATAAGCGTGGTCGGCTAAATGCTCATTTCGCATTACAGTAGGTCTGGCAAGGGTCTTCAGCTAGGGTCAGGATCTGACCAGAGAGACGGACCGCCGCAGCCTTGGCTCAGATCGTGACTTAGCAGCAGTTCCGTCGGAAGGCCTTGCGGTCGATCAGAACACGAGGGGATCTTTTCGTGCGCTCACAACCTCTCCATCGTCTTCGTATCAGCTGAGCACTCGACGTCATCGGCAGTAGGCAGCTCCCGGCCATCAATGTTGATTGGCATCGTCCAGCTCTTGTATGCTTGGCAAACGTTTTTAGGCTGCGGTGCACATTCGCAAGGATTGCATACACTACTGTGCTGTGACGGATGGCGCTGTAGTAGCCTAGGACCAGCTTGTAGACGATGTTCATCCGGACTACACACACGCTGGGTATGCGACGGTCGCATCCGGCAAGCGCACCAGCAATGGCATCCGTCCAGCGATGTATAGGCCAGTGAGCATCTTCTATGGCACCGCTCGGTGGTGGTTAGCTTTTGGTGTGACGCAGCGGGGAGCTCTCGTGCGCTGATTGGTCTGCGGCGCAATTGATTGGCCGGACATGGAGGAGGAGTGGCACGGCGGGAGACGCGCAGGTGCAGATGCAGTGCAGGTCATGCTGGGTGGTGGAACGTGAGCCATGGATCGTGCAGTCACGCGTCGATGCATCATGATGCCTGTAGCGAGGCAAGGGCGAGTGTGCGATGAGCTGCTTGCTGTGATGGAAGATGGCAGGCTCGGAGAGTAGGTCGTCGTCGTGCCCAGCGGTGGTGGTGGTGGGCCTGGGCGTGTCGCTCGTATCGTGGCACAAGCGAGCGCTGGGCGCGCTTGTTGCTGATCATGCAGCTCGTCGCGGATTCATGCGCGTAAAATTTGATGCAGCACGCAATGCCCCACGACGCCGGCATTGGGTGGCGGAGGATGCGGCGAGTGACCGAGTGACCGTCGTGAGGGCGCAACGGGTGTCGACCAGCGGGAGCGTGTGCACTATAGTACAGCAATGGGATGGGACCGCATCGGAGACGGCGAGGGCAGGCAGTTTCAGTTCAGAGCTCGATAGCCGGCCCCTCTATCTGAACAACACTAATAACACTGCGCGCAGCAGACGTGAGGACAAGCACCAGACCTCCCCCCCGAGCCGCACTTTCATGCGCCGTTGCTCCACCCATAGATCTTTTCGCGCACAGCAGCTGACCGGGGCTCGCATCGGCGGCTGCTGTTCACTGCCGTTCATTTGACCACACTTCTTTCGCACGTGCCGGCCACTATCTGACATCTCGCCTCGTCGCTCGCCCTCTGTCGCCGCTCTGCTGGCCCTCGATGAGCCATACGCGGTGTCATGGACTCGGCCGATGGACAAGAGTTCACTCGGGTACGTCGCCCCCTCCGCTGCCGCCAGTCCGCCATGACGGGGCGCACCTTGCATCGTCGTGCCAAGCGCCGCCCTGCTAACGACGACTGACTACAGAAGCTGGCCTCGTTCGTGTCAACGCATGAACGGGCCCTTGCGAACGCGCTGCAGCTGCAGCATCAGAGGACCAAGCATGGCAAAGAGCAGGGAGCCGCAGGCCGGCCGCAGACATCGGCCGGCGCATCCAGCACCATGACCCTCTCGCAGTCGCTCTCGCGCCCCTCCTACCTGTCCTTCTCCTCGACCGCGAATATCAAGCCCGCGAAGCTCGTGCTGACGCCCCACCATCTCTACTATCTGCTCAGCGTGTTCGAGGCCGAGCTGGGCATTGATCCGGGCCCGATGTTGATACGGCTGGAAAATCTACACAATGATGCGCCTGCGTCGAGCTACATGTCCTTCCTCAACCACCCGCCACGATTGCGGGGGAAGCAATCGGACGCCGACTCGCTGCGCTCTGTCTCGAGCGTGCGCAGCGTCATGTCCAGCATGTCGTCCGTGTGGTCCACGCTCACGGGACACAATGCGGCAGCCAAAGAGCAGAAATTAAAGGCGCAACATCGTGATGATCTCAAGTACTTGTACTCGTGCTTCACCAAAATCCCAGCATTGCGTCTTGCACCAGACCACAAAGCCCGTCCTATCGCCGGCTACGAGGAGTTTCCCTTGTGAGTGCGACATGCCGAAAGGCTACTCGAAACGTGCAGACTTGTGTGAGAGCCATTACTAACCTCTGATCGACCTCATCTAGTGACACCGCCGTGCCCTTGTTCGTCTTCAAGAACGTGAGTTCACTCGAGGTTTGCGATCTCGACTTCCGCTCCTTCTACGGCTGGGACAGACTATCAGAGCAATTGCGCAGCCTGACTGTAAAGAATGCCATGCTAGAGGATCCAATAGAGTTGTTGCGAGACATTGTGTTGGATGACACCGAGAAGAGGCGCAAACGCTCTTCCAAAACGCAGGTGCCGACCACGCCATCGACCCCCGGTCCGTCTTGGTTCTCAGCCAGTCCAAAACGATTCCCAGACTTTGGCTCCGCAGCATCACATCCTACCACTCCTGCAGCGCTCGGCCGAAGGGGATCGCTCGGGTCTGCCATTCTGTTGGAAAGAGGTGTCTCAGTTGATGGCACGAAGCTCATGGAGAATGTCAGGCAGTCGAGTAATTCTCCTCCACGGCCTGCAACCTCGAGGCACATGTCGCTGAATAAGCCGCGTTCACATCGACCTGGTACCTCGAATGTTCGCAGATCTTCGGGCAGCTCAGGCTCCAGCCACCATGAAATGACTCCCCGCCACAGCTCCTCTGATCTTCTGGCTATGGGCATTTTGCCTTCCTCAAAATGGCGCTTCTTGCGACATCTCAGCTTAGCAGAGAACTCGCTCACGCATCTTACGGTGAGCAGCCTTGCACCAGTAGCGAGCACGCTGCAGTCACTTGACTTGTCGGGCAACCTCTTCTCCGAGATCCCTGAAGCCCTGGCAAGTTTGACGCACCTGCGCGCGCTCAATTTGAGCAACTGCATGATTGACAGCCTCGCCTCGCTCTCGCGCAATCCACTGCCAGCCATCACCACTCTCAATTTGCGCTCCAACAGGCTGCTTTCACTTGCTGGCATTGAGCGTCTGTACTCGTTGGAGCGACTTGATTTGCGGGATAACCGGCTGCATGATCCTACAGAATTGGCTCGATTAACAGGCATGCCGGACGTGACCGATTTGTATGTGATCAAAAATCCCTTCACTAGGACTCACAGCAGTTACCGGATTACAATATTCAACCTGTTCCGATCCACTCCAGGCCACATGCAGGACGTTACGATCGATACCATGGGCCCACTATACCACGAGAAGAAGTATCTTGCAGACCGCGCCCCAGAACCTGCAAACAAACCCATTGTCAGACCACTGCCGGAGGATGAAGTTCCAGAGCCGCTCTCTGTCGCTGACCTACCGATTGATGCTGGACTGGAGCCTGTTCCGGAACCCCCAGCAAACATGGGCCATCGTCGATCTCGGTCAGACATGGGGCCGCCTTCGACAGTGAGAAGAAAGAAGAATCCGCGTAAAAGGGTACTGGAGGCTGTGGCAGCTGTGTCACAGCCTCCATCGGCATTGGAAGAAATTCCCACGGAGCCTCAAGTACCTGAACTCACTGAACTGCCGCCAATGCCACACACCCCGACAACCGAAAGCGATCAACCCTCGACCCCGGAAGCGACACCACATCGCACTATGCATTTGATACCACCGGCGCAGACAGCACTGGCGGCGCGGCCCAAAGTCCAAACAGGCTTTGCAGCCACCACTCCACCAAAGATTCGGGAATGGTCCGATGATAATAATTCACCCGTGAGATCTCCAGAGGGTCTTGAGCCAACATCGGGATTGTATCGCCAGAAGATACAGGCCCTGAAACAGGATTTGGGTCCCAATTGGCTCTCTGCATTGAATGAGAGCAACGTGACAGAGGAGCCGAGAAATCGAAGCTTCAGTCCTTCATCAAGAACGACAGTCGCCGCCCGGCCAGAGCTCGCAAGAGGCGTCAGTGTTGGGGGACGTACCCTCGGGTGAAGGTGCTCGCTCATTCGCTCGGACTCTATCGAAGGTTGCCGCGGACTTCTTCGACGACTGCAACTGCATGGCCACTGGCGTTTATGATTTGTTTTTCTTTTGGATCTTCTCCCTTCGTTGCTTCATTGTTTCGGGATACCTGGTTTTGAAAGAGAGCGTAATGACCATTCTTCTCGTGGCCATTACTCGGATGGCATTTTGTCTGGTTGTTGCATTGGTGTAGAAATACCCCTGGGTTTTGGCGAGCGAATTAATGCGTTCTTGTCTTACAGAGGCGCTTCTTAGTTGAAGGCGGCATGCGAGCCGTGTAGAGGATGAAGCATGCCTCCCGAGGCATATAGATTTCGTGTTGCGTATGCCGGAGAGGCATTAAACGATGGCATTTGTAGCGCGGCGTTCTGGGGGTTAAGCGGATCTGTTGAATACGTAGCATTGCATTCCTCGAATCAAATACAAAGTGTGGTTCATGGATGGCGCGAACGACTGGCCGGTACTTGAGCTGAAGTATGGAACATCGGCTTGTGCAGATCGTGCGTGTTGGGAACGATCGTGGACATTGTTTCTTGGGTCGACATGCGATATGACACGGGTTCCCCACCTTTGTTCCAGAGCACATGTGAGAGCTGACGGTAGACATGTACTGTCGAACAGCTCCACGGCAGCAGCGTCCGCAATGTCGGTGTCAGTTCTGACGAAGCCGACTTGCTTACTGATGGCCCGACAATGGCGGCGACAAAGGTGACGTTGCACACGCCCGGCGTCGAACGCTGAGTCTGAGAATAGCCTCACTAGTCGGTCTCGAAGCGCGGGCCTCTGTCTGCTGCAATGATCAGCGGCGAGGGTGAGGTGTCTGTGTGTGGCGTGGGTAAAAAGTGAGCTGCGTTTCGACCGCGTCTCTGCGTTGCGTTGCGTTGCTCGATCGAGGGGCAGCTCTAGACGCGCGCTGCTGCCGCTGCTGCTGGCTCAGCAGTTGGTGCTGCATCATGCACGGCCGTGAGGGAGGGCACTACTGTGTACCGGCGAAGACAGGCCCGTCGCACGCGTGGCCGTGAGCGGGCTATTGCGCAGAGAGCCCCGTCGGCTGCATATTGGTTGGGCTGTGATGGTGAAGGGGAGAGTGCACGACCGCCCAGCTGCCTGCCTTCCTTTCGCTGTGCTTGGCAGACGAGCCGGCGTTGTTGTTTGGCGAGCACCGCTCCTTCTTCCCTTGCGCGCTCTCTCAACCAACATTGCCTCTGCCTCGACTGCACACCTTCACACGCCCGCCCGTGCTCGACGACTGACGACCTGCATCCGCCGTGTTGCCTGCCCCCGTCCCGCCTGCGCAACTTCATCCATCGCCGAGCGGTGAAAACCTCGACGCCTGACGCACTTGCGCGCCCACTCTTGTCACTGGGCCCCCTCCCCTCCGCATCACGACAGCGACACAATCTCGCCCGTCACTCGTCCTCACTGCGCCTGCCCGCAAGCCTCAGTGGACGTCCGACTCCGCTCCCTCCGACCCAGCAAAAGCCTCGTCGCCCCTGGTCATCCGAGCGGGACCTGAAGACTCGAAACTATTGTCTAGACACACGTCATTGGCAGCACTCTGCAATAGTGGTACACAGGCATACGAACAGAGTCTGCGCTGCTCCCTCGAGCCTTTGCGCTCATCCGCTTCACGTTCGGTACGTTGCTTTGATGATTTTTTCTTCTCTTGCTAGCGGCACAGCGGCGGCTGCATGAACAGCAGCCAGACAGTTCGAGCAGCAGCAAATGCTGCGGCATACGGTGGGACCTTTCTTCCAAATGGAAACCGGGCGAACAGAGTATCTTTGTCTCCGGTCACGTGCAACTGGACATGTTGAGACAGCTATGCAGCTTCTCGCAATCGAGCTGGAACGCCTTTCCACTGACTAATTCGCAGTCTTTTCGCCCCTGTGCTGGGCTGCGGCGCTCTCTACGCGACTGGCTGAGAGTACCTTCCGCTTCGACGTCCTCTCTCCCCCTCCCAACCGCCGACCATGGCGGACCAAAACGATGTGGACTTGGACTCCATCATCGATCGTCTCCTCGAAGTGCGCGGCAGCCGCCCGGGAAAGCAGGTGCAGTTGCTGGAGACCGAGATTAGATACCTCTGCACCAAGGCTCGTGAGATCTTCATCTCTCAGCCCATACTGCTGGAGCTCGAAGCTCCAATCAAGGTGCGTGCCAGTATGGAGGCCAGAGCATGAATGAATGTTGACAACTGGTAGATTTGTGGTGACATCCACGGACAGTACTACGATCTGTTGCGCCTGTTCGAGTACGGCGGCTTCCCACCAGAGGCCAACTATCTCTTCCTAGGCGATTACGTTGACCGCGGCAAGCAATCTCTCGAAACCATCTGCCTACTCCTCGCCTACAAGATCAAATACCCTGAGAATTTCTTCATTTTGCGTGGCAACCACGAGTGCGCGTCCATCAACCGCATTTACGGCTTCTACGATGAGTGCAAGAGACGCTACAACATCAAGCTCTGGAAAACCTTCACCGATTGCTTCAACTGCTTGCCAATCGCCGCCATCATCGACGAGAAAATCTTCACCATGCACGGAGGCCTGAGTCCAGATCTGAACTCAATGGAGCAGATTCGCCGCGTCATGCGCCCAACAGATGTATGTTCCAGGATCAAGGTTAACACACGGCTGAACTGACATTGGCGTAGATCCCAGACTGTGGCCTGCTCTGTGACCTGTTGTGGTCAGACCCCGACAAGGACATCACTGGTTGGTCGGAGAACGATCGTGGTGTTTCCTTCACGTTTGGCCCGGATGTCGTCTCGCGATTCTTGCAAAAGCACGACATGGACCTCATCTGTCGTGCGCATCAAGTCGTCGAGGACGGCTACGAGTTCTTTTCCAAGCGTCAATTGGTGACACTCTTCTCTGCGCCGAATTACTGTGGTGAATTCGACAATGCTGGCGCTATGATGAGCGTGGATGAGTCGTTGCTCTGCTCATTCCAGATTCTGAAGCCGGCAGAGAAAAAGCAGAAGTAAGCTCGTCCTCTACTCCTCACGGCACTACTGTTACTTACACCTGCTACAGCAGATTCGGGCGACGATAAAGTGGGCAAAGCGACAGATGAAATCTTTGAAAGCAAAGTGCATCCAATTCACCTTCTGTGCCGAGTCCGGATAGCTGCTGGCAGAGACTTGCGGCAATGCGTGTACGACATCACTGAACGAGGCGGAGACACGATTCACAAAATGAAAGGTCGGGAGATGGCCGCGCAAGAAATCGACGAGACGGAGGTGGTGTGTACGATTTTGCATGGGTTAAGAGCAGTCTGGTGGCAGCGGCCGGAGGAACATGCCGGTCTGCCACGTTCTCACGCGCACTCGCACACAAGTCGCGCAAGTGGTGATGGCAGCATTGGTGGATGCTGTTACTGCTGCGATGGCGGGTTCTGTCGAATACGCTGAGCGCTGTTTACTCCATACGTTCAACAAGGTGCTTTACTGCTGATGTTCTCTCCAACCCTGTCACATACATGACAACAATAGACACAGAAATGGCCGCGTAAGTTGTTTCTGGGTTTACCGTTCAGGCATTGCATATGACATCGCACGTAGTGAAGCTGTCAAGGCTTTGACCATCGACGTTGCAGTCAGAGCAACAGCACTCCTTTCAGAGAAAGTCCAGTAGCAGTTTGGTTGACTCGTCTACAGGATGAAGCATTCTACTACGGACGCGGCAACTGACTACATTCATCTGCTGTCCACCCCAAGCTCGTAAATGAGCGGGAGTCTGGCTGGACGTTGAGTGGAAGTTCCCACCTTTCTTGTCGATATCAGCGATGTCGTCTGTGGCCAACATAGCAATGCTGTGTATCACATCTTGGTGAGGATCGACGAAATGTGGCCCTGAAGTAGCGTGCACGTGGGCAACGAATGGGAACCAGTTAACGCGACGCGCCACTTTCGCGTGCATGTTTCAGCTTCAAGGTGAGGATGCGGCAAAGTAGGCTGCTGCAGGCCGTCGGTAGGCCTGCGGCTCGCGATGGCGGCGCGATGTTGTGGTGCTGCCGCTGCTGCATGGCCGGAATCCACGGGTGCAGCGCGTGACATGACCATGTTCACGCGTCTGGAGTCGTTGCTCGCATGATGCATCGAAAACAAACACGACCGGACACAGCGACCGCGTCGATTCTCTCGCCTGGCACTATCCCACCTCGTCAGTGGCGGTAATGTTGAACGATTTCAATTGAGGGCACAATCAGTGATCTGGCCATTGTCGACTTGACTATTGTTTCCATTGTCGAAGGGGGTGGATAGAGTGCAACGATAATACCAAGCTGAGGCTGCGAGGTGGCAGGCCCGCGCTAAGGGTCCACAACGACATTGCTTGTTCGTCGTCCAACCCCCGACATTCACACCAGAGAGTTACGGCATCCACCACCAATCCGACAACATTCGTTACGAACAGCAATTCGACCGCGCAACTCCCGATCCATAGCCCACCCTTTGCCCACTCGTCGCACCATCGCGCACTCGCTGTCCACAGGGCCCCTCGAATCCGACGCAAGGACCACATTCGCAATCACAGTCGCCAAACATTCGATCTAACGGCACCATATCCAGGGCTCGCGCCCGGTGACGCTTGCGCGGCCGTCATTTTCATCCATTCCAGCCTGCGCAGTCACGATGGATGCGGCGCGCGCAGAGTACGAGCGCATACCACAAAACGATACTCAGACCCCAGCGCCCTTGTCCCCACCCAGGAGCAAGACTCCACCCACTGTCACTGGCAAGAGGGCGCACAGCGATGAACAAGTGCCCACCACCGATCAGTTTCGCAGCGGGAGTGAGCCCGTGAATCCCGTCGCATTGAACAAGGCGCTGAAAGACATTGAGCGAGCTGGACAGCGGAGAGTGAGTACGCCAGCACCGAGTCCGAGTCGGAAGCGGCAGAAAGTCCAAACCAGCGATCGCTTCATACCGAATCGCGCAGGGCAGGATTTGTCTGCAAGCTACAACTTGCTACATGAAGATGGGTCCCCAGCTACGCCGTCGCGGCACCGCAAGAAGGGACCAGGAGATCTGCAATTTCAGAAGATGGAAGCCAACCGGACATACTCATCAATACTGAGGTCGGAGATGTTCAACGATGAAATTCCGCAGATCATACACGACCGCACTGGCTCGCGCGGGCAGACACCGCCTGTGACGAGCACTGGCGCAGCTTCGAATCTGGCCGGCAGCAATTTCACACCCTCAACACCGCATAAGAACCTTTTTTCGTACGGACCACAGCAGCCTGTGTCATTGACGCCGCGTTCAATATCCCGAAGCGAACGAGGGCCAAATATTAATGCCCGATCCGAAATCTACAGCTTGTCACCGGTTAAGCACTCATCACAGACAATGCTGTTATCTCCTCGCAAGACCCCGCGACAGGTCAGCAAGGTACCCTACAAAGTGTTGGATGCACCTGATTTGGCCGACGACTTCTATCTGAACTTGGTAGATTGGGGGTCAAACGATATACTGGCAGTCGGTCTTGGCGCCTCGGTCTATCTATGGAGTCGAGAAAGCGGGAAAGTGACTACTTTGTGCACCTTGGAGGGAGATGTTGTTACGAGCGTAAGCTGGATTCAGCGTGGCACGCACCTCGCGATTGGAACTTCTAAGGGACTTCTTCACATCTGGGATACGCTGGCACAGAAGCGGCTGCGGACCATGACTGGGCATGCTTCACGCATCAGCAGTCTTGCTTGGAATGCACATATACTTTCCACGGGATCGCGAGACAGATCGATACTGCATCGAGATGTGCGCTTATCAAATCAGTACCTGCGTCGGCTTAGTGGTCACAAGCAGGAGGTTTGTGGATTGAAGTGGAACTCAGAGACTGAGCAGCTGGCTTCTGGTGGTAACGACAACAAGATCTTCATCTGGGACAAAATGGAGGAGCGGTGGCAGCATCGGTGGGGCGAGCAAGAAGGTGGCCACAAGGCCGCTGTGAAAGCCATCGCTTGGAACCCTCATCAACGTGGTGTTCTGGCCTCAGGGGGCGGCACAGCGGATCGATGCATCAAATTCTGGAACACGATATCAGCGGCACAGACTTCGGCTACGCGATCAATACCTGTCGAGCAGACGAATCTTGGACTAGGACTCTCCACGTCTCCAGTACCGGAGCCCGAAGTTTCAAATCAAGTGATGAATCCGCATCTCATCAGCTCCCACGACACAGGCAGTCAGGTCTGCAACCTGCTGTTCTCTCAGCGAACTTCAGAACTTGTGTCCACGCACGGCTACTCACAGCATGCTATCAACATCTGGAAATACCCGAGCATGAACCAAGTGGTCAGTCTCACAGGCCACACGTACCGTGTCCTCTACCTCAGCATGTCACCTGATGGAGCGATCATCTGCACAGGTGCTGGAGACGAGACGTTGCGCTTTTGGGATGTGTTTTCGAAGCAGAAGGGCGAGCCCAAGCGCGGTATTGTGGGCGAATGGGGCATAATACGCTAGCTTCAAAAGGCGGAAGGCTACCCGATGAAGGAGAATTACGTTTCAGTGGGGACTTGGAGAATCAGAGGAGTGGGCATCGTGCTTCGCCTTTGAACGAGAAGGACCAATGTGCTACATTCTGCTCGCAAGAAAGCAAACAGACTTTCGGTTTTGGCTGGTCCATTGGAGTCGCGTAGCACGGTGACTGGAGCTTACGCATAGCATTGTGGGAGTTTGAGCGATAGTGCATCGTTTATGCGCTTTTTATGATACCTTATTATGAGCACAGGCAAGGGACGCATGAGCGACGGCGCAGAAGCCATTTGGCCCATTTCCGACAGCTAAGGGAGATGAGAGAGACGGATGTTTGGAAAGCCGTGTAGCATTTCTCATCCACAGCGGAATCGTTGCAGAGCACATTCTATTCTCATGTTGCACATCTTCTCATCAGCCATGGACCGTATGCGGGCCATGGTCGGCTTCACTCCCCGCCGATGTCGCCGATGAATTGAACTTCCATTCAAATGCCGACCCTACAACGCAACAAGCTCAGCGTCACCTCATGCTGGGGCCTCGCGTACCACTCTCTTGCATACGGCAGCCGCTACAGCGTTCATTTTCACTTTCGCCGAAGCGATCAAATTGGATTCGTAGAGCATCTACTGGTCCAAAATTGGCGAACATGGCGATACCGACTTACCTGACTGGCGATAAAGCTGCCATCGAGTCATTCATTGACAAGTTCGATGTATGACCACGACCTAGGCCACTGTACATATGATATACCTGGGCTGATCACGGAACAGACGTTTCTGTTCGACTGTGATGGTATGCCAGATGTCTGACCCCGCCCTTCAGCTCTCTAGCTGCATCAAGAGAGGCAGTGAGGAAATCAAGGACTAATCACAAGAGCGCGATACAGGTGTCCTCTGGTCTGGCGATCACCTCTTCCCCAAGGTTCCAGAGACGATATCTCTCCTCCGTAAAAAGGGCAAACAGCTCGTCTTCGTGACAAACAACTCGACCAAATCCCGCGCAGACTACAAGAAGAAATTCGATAAAGTGGGCATTGAAGCCTATGAAGAGGAGGTTTTTGGCTCATCATACAGTGCAGCAGTCTACATTGCTCGCATCATGAAACTGCAAGCTCCAAAGAACAAAGTCTTCGTCTTGGGCGAAACAGGAATTGAGCAAGAGTTGCAAAGCGAAGGTGTACCATACATCGGCGGCACGGACGAGAGTTTCCGTCGAGAATGCACCGATGCCGATTTCAAGAGCATTGCAGATGGGTCGGCCTTGGATAAGGATGTCGCTGTTGTGTTGACAGGATTGGATTTCCATCCTTCGTATCTGAAATATTCGCTTGGGCTCGCATATATTCGGCAACAAGGCGCGCACTTTCTTGCGACGAATATCGATTCGACGTTGCCGAATGCTGGGTCGCTATTCCCTGGCGCGGGAAGTAGTAGTGCGCCGTTGGTCACTGCCACGGGTCAGACGCCCTTGGCGTTGGGAAAGCCGAGCCAGGCGATGATGGATGCCGTGGAGGGCAAGTTCAAACTCGACAGGAAGAAGACGTGTATGGTGGGTGATCGATTGAACACGGATATACAGTTCGGTATTGAGGGTAGATTGGGAGGCACACTGGCGGTTCTAACGGGCGTCACTCAGAAGGAGGAGTTTTTGGCTGAAGGCGCGAGTGTCGTGCCGAGTGCTTATGTGGATCAGCTGAGTGATTTGCTCGGGTGATCTTATAGGACTGCTGGATGCGCGCTGCAAGCTGCTACGTAGGAGGGAATAGAATCTATACAGTCTGTGAGTAGAGCTTCGTCTGTGTTCAACGAATCTCAAACCTGCCTCCAGTTACGAACGCTCACTCGTTTTACCAGTGGCCGTAGCGGTAGCTCAGCGACGATGGCCTTTTGTAAATGATCAACATACTTGCACGACAAATTATGCAGACAGTTTACGCAATTGTTAAGCGCACACTGTGCATCTAAAGCAAGAGTGCCAGCCGATTCATTCATTTCAACACAATCTACAGTGACTTCGTACAGGTAAGCTTTCTCATACACCCTAGATCCCTGTCTCGCACCCTCCCAACATCTACAATCTACTCCGCCCGCCTCTAGAGCTTTTGTCGTTTCCTTGCTGGTGACGAGTCGGTGTCGTCTCTGACCTCAAAAAAGAGAATTCCCATCAGCACCCTTCTGTCCAGAAGATCCCGTAAAACCAAGTAGGAGATCTCCACTCACGCAAGCAGATACTTGGCCGCATGCTCCACATGATCGTCGGCGAATGTGCTGATGAAGAAGTACGAGTGGTCGTAGCCTTCTCTGTAGTTCACCGTCACCTTCTTCCCTGCCTCTTTGGCAGCCTTTTCCAAATTCTCTGGCAAGAGCTGGCCTTGCTTGTAGAAATTGTCGCCTGTTCCGACGTCGATGAGAATGTCCGTATCCCCGGAGTAGTTGCGAATCAGCTCTGTGGCATCGTGTTCTGCCCACTTTTGCTTCTGGTCGTCGCCGAAGTATCCGCCGAACGCCTTCTTTCCCCAGTCGCAGTTGGATGGGTTGGAAATGGGTGCGAATGCGGAGACGGACTTGTATTGTCCTGGGTTCTTGAGGAACAGAGTCAGAGCTCCGTGTCCGCCCATTGAGTGTCCGAAGATGGAAACTCTTGAGCCGTCTAGCTCCTTGAAGCTCGAGAAGAGTTGTTCCGGCAATTCTTTTGTAATGTAGCTGTACATCTTGTAGCCCTTGCTGTATGGCTCCTTTGTGGCATCGACATAGAAGCCTGCACCGCTACCAAAGTCGTACGCATCGTCTTCACCCGGGTGACCCAGACCACGAGGGCTGGTGTCTGGGTATACTATCGCGATGCCCTTTTGCGCAGCCTTGTGCTGGAAGAAGCCCTTCTCGGCACCATTGTCGCCTGTGCAGGTCAAGCCTGCAAGGTAGAAGAGGACCGGGACTGGCTTTGACGAGCTGGCTTGAGGTGGGAGGTAGAGGTTAAGTTTCGCTTCGGTGGTGAGGACTTGGGACTTTTTCTTTGTGTTAACGCGCCTTCAATGGTCATCAATGCGGGGGACGCCTACTTTGTGTTGCAGCTTCAAAAGCTTGCCGCCGAAGCTGTTGATCGTCTGTGTGGTTTCGAAAGACATTGTGGTGAGTGTGCGATACGTCGTCCTGTGAAGCAAATATTTAGAAGAGACGAACAAGTGGTGTGAGCGGAGAAGAGGAAGTATGCAATTGATGTTCAAGATGGGTAATGACTTGCGAAAGCAATCGCTGCAGTAGTTCTTCTGGGGTATCTGCCCCGCATGATGTCAAACCAGGAACTATTGCGGAAGCCCATCCGACGACCAACGTCCTTTCTGCATTCGGTTTGTGCTTCAACTTCTCGTCCACTCTTCCGAGTAGGAATCTCCATCGCTCTCCTGTGCAGCCTTGGCTGAATTCTGTCCTTATTCGTGATGCCATGTTTCATGCTGCATTCTCTCATTCCCATCACAGCCTGGGTACAGTCTGGTAATTCGTGTCTTGCCGATGGCACATTGGTGGTTTCGAGGGCAGAAGTCCCTTGTATCACGATAAAGCGAGCTCTGTTGCAATATCGAACCCACCACTCGCAATGTGGCGCGCGGTAAGTCGCAGGTGCAAACTGAGGCTGCGTCGAAAGGCAGCGCCGAAGGCCGAGTTGTGCTGCAGAGCTCTTTTGTCCTCATAATCGTTCAAAGCAATTCCTCACTAGAGCAAACTCGTGTCAGCCAAACTGTCCGGCGAGATATCAAGGACTGAACTAACGTCTTCCAATCCTCATAGTAGCCATCAGGCAAGTATCGTCGTACGACCAACGGAATCTTCTTCTCGCGCAGCTCCTTTAAGGCGATTTGAAGCGGATCCGTCTCTGATTCAACATCGACAAGTACTGGCGCTCCCATGCTGCAACCCTGTCAGTAACACGCCTCGCGTCTTACGCATATCCCTTCCACCGACCTGATTTGCAGAGCTCTCGTTCCCAGAACTCTTGCACGCTCGTATTTGGTCATGTATGGGGTAGTCGTCCTGTTCTCGTCGGCGATCTTCTTGCTTTTCAGCGCTTTCACAGTGTTGGATCCGCCTGCGTCTCCACTGGTGACCACGTTGTTCTGGTTCGCATCGGCATAGTCGGTACTGTTGAGCGCTGCCTCGCCTTGCATGGGTTGATCAGGATCGACGTCTAGCGATCGTCAGCGCCGTGTTGTTGACGGGCATGTGCCCTTTGTTCTGTTCATGTGCATGCCCACCATTCTCGTAGCCATCTGCCGGAATGTCGTCCTCGTCGATCAAGTTCTCGTCCAAGAATCTGACGGTATCCGAGTCAGCCAGAGGTTCTCACTCGCCAGACGATCTTCAACCAGCGCGCATACTCGTTCTCGCCAAAATCTTGCATGTCATCGTCGCCGCCGCCATAGTCCGACATGATCGCTGCGTTGTCGTGGAGGAATCGGAAATCGGCGCGCGAGGGAACTGTGATCGATGCGCGGGGTGAAGCGACGGATGTGGGCGACGGTGAGGATGAGGGAGCGCAACTGCAAAGGAAGTGTCTTTGTTGCGAAGCGCGTCTCAAAATCTGGAAGCCGGAATCCCTGCAGGACTTCGGAAGTCGGCGCCCCGGCTGACGATGCCGCTCACTTTCTCCAACCCATCCCAACGCACCAGCGCTTTCTCATTTCAACATCACCGCTCTGCTCTGCTTGAGCCGCTGGCGGTCATGGCTTCCAGCCCGGCTGGGAAGCGAAAGCGCGCTGGTCCAGTCGACAGCGCGCTCGGTGAGATCTTCATCGACACCACGCCGCGCAAGAAGCGAGCTCGATTCCACTTGGACCACGATGACCTGGAAAACTTCTCCGATGCAGACTCCTATGCTGGCAGCTACACGCCCTACGCCGACAGCGTCGATGCCGCTGCCACGGACTCCATGAACGATAGCGAGACTCCCATCACCGAAGCCTCGAGCACTCGGAGCAAAAGCCGACCGCGGGAGAAGAAATTCATGTGTACCTGGCCCTCCTGCGACAAGAAGTTCTCTCGACCTGTCCAGCTCCAAGCTCATATGAACTCACACACGGGCGAGCGGCCCTTCAAATGCGACGAAGACGATTGCTCACAAAGCTTCTTCAAACGGGACCATCTCAGGCGACATGTCAAAGACAAACATGGGAACCAATCTTTCACTTGTGCCTATGTGGTCTTTAACGATATCAAAGGCCAGCAGGAAGCATGCAACAGGACGTTCGCCTCGCAAGCGAAGCTCAAACGCCACATGGCTGCTCACGAGGACAAGGAAGAAACCACTTGTTCTTGGCCACATTGTCGTAAAGTATTCCGGAAGCAAGACACGTTACAGCGGCACATCAAGGCGGATCATTTGGGCGAGGATGCGTACACATGTACCAGAAAGATGCCGGATGGTAGTTCTTGCAGGGAGACATTTCCCACACCGAGCCAACTCAAAAGCCACGAGAGAAAGGAGCACGAACCGCCCAAGTACATTTGTGACATCTGTGCTAGCGGCGATGAGCCTCCTTTGGACGACGTGATTCCCAACGATCTTGACGAAGAGTTTCTGCCAGGTCCCGAAGACATGGTTGCACCAAACGAAGAGCCGACTAATGGCTCCATGGATGCACTCTCGCTGGACGAGGTGCCTACTGCTCCGCCCAGCTTCGGCCCAGGCCGCTTTCTTACATTGCACGAGCTCCAGCGCCATAATCGTCTGTTCCACCCTCCAACGTGTTCTGACTGTGGTAAAGTGTGCAAGTCGAAAAAGGATCTGGCCGCGCACATGGATATCTCGCATTCTGCTCATTCATCTGGCACGCCACACGTCGCACAGAAGCGATTTGTGTGCCCATATGTCGGCTGTGACCGATCGACATTGGAGAATGGATTTACGAAGAAAGGCAATATGCAGCAACACGTCAAAACAGCTCACACCAAGGAGAAGAAGTATGTCTGCGGCGAGTACGACTTGGGAGGGGTGGAGAAGCTGACCGGCTGGAATCGGATCGGATGTGGCAGAGTAATGGGTACCAAGCAAAGCCTGATCGGGCACATCAGGACTCAGCACATGGGTCTTCCTGCACTCGTCAGCAAGCGGACCGGGCGCATCGACAAAGTCAACAAGCACGATTTGCTGCAAATTCCCACTACTGAAGGAGCGACCACGACTGCCTACGAGGACGCAGATCAAGACGTAAATATGCAAGACGAATTCGCGCCAGATAGGACGCTGTCGATGATAACTGGATATGGCTACGAGCAAATCCGCCCCTTTGCTTGCCTGGAACGGGCTCGAGGCTGCCAAGCTCGCTTCACCAAGGTGTATGAACTGTCATACCATATGGAGATGACACACGACTGGAACGTTGACGATATTAATGAGGCGGTCGATAATCCTGATACTTTTGCACCAGAAAGTGCCGGAGATGAAGATAATGTGCTTAGGCAGATGTTGAGGACGGAGCTGGATGGCCCACTGAAGGGCGTGGTCGATCCTCAGCTGGATACAATGCAGATTTGATGGGTATTCAGCTTGTGGCTCGGGGCACTTTGCTTTATTTGCGAATCCTTTCGAGTGTTAGGCCTACCGATGAGGGAATGCTCTCGCTGTGTGAGGCGTGGCTCGGAGGACTTCACCACACTGGCTGGGGTTTACATATTAGACTGGCGTTTTTGTCTCTGAGATACCCACTTGTTAGCTTTGCATTATCAGCGTGCATGTAGTTCATAAGAATGAGTAATTCACTATTGAAGGAACGTTCGAAAGCAGTCGCAGCTTCTGACTAAGCTGGCGCGACCTCTCACATCACTCTGAAATTTGACCAGCTTCAACGCCCACCTTCGCAATGGCTGGCTCCGGTCTTCCTTCCGAAGTGCTCGAGGGCCAATTGGACACATGGGAGTTACTCCATGCTATGTACCCGGCCGCTGACGATGAGAGCAGCAATATTGAGACCGAAGCAGCGGTGCAGGATCTGAGATTGTGGCTCGAAGACCCGACGTCCGCTTGTCCGCATTTGCCAGACACTCTGGGCCTTCTGATCTCACTTTACGAACCGGAAGATGGCGCTGGCAGTCTTCAAATTGACGTGACCTTGCCCTTTGGTCAACTGGCAGAACACCCCGCCTCTGAAGAAGAGATACCACTTTACAGACTTCGTGTGTTGCAACCTCAATGGCTGACCAAGGCCGAAGTGGTGCATTTGAGCCAAGACATACCAGGAGACGACATTGTGTCCGCTCTTGAGTATATCACCGAGCGAGCCAGAGAGGCGGACTTGAGCAGAGCCTTGCAAGCCTCCACCATCGCGACAAACCACGACACAACGCCTCTAGTCCGAGTCTGGTTCTACTTCCCCTCAATATCTACACGCGAGAAGAGAGATGACATCGTCAACTACGCTCCCTCTTACGGCTTGACAGGCTTTCTACTTGCGGGCAAACCTGGCATTTTATGTCTTGAGGGAAACGCCCAGAAGATTGATTCTTACATGAACTTTATCAAGACACAATCTTGGGGCGACATCCCACCACAGCACAAGAAAGTCTCCGAACGGCTTCGTGAAACAGGAGACGATGTTACGAGAGTGTTCCCGGCGATGGAGGAAATCACAGATTCAATCGAGAAGAGAGGCGCGAGAGGGAATCGAGGAAATATGCAAGCTGTTGAGGCTTTCCTTGACGAACGGGGTTTGAAAGACGCTTTCACGAAGGTTCTGATGTAAAGCGGCAGCTACGATGGGCTGAGTATGTGTGGCTTCGTGGGTGATTGCAGCGACATGCACATCAACGGCCTTCTTCCACTTCCCGACGGTGTCTCAGGAATCCGAGGGCATAGTGACCAGGCTGGCTGCAGGCTGGTCACGAGCAGTTTCGGCAATGAGAGAGCACTCACTTTTAACAGGTTTCCGTGGGCTGAGCACCGTCACGGTCACACAGCAATCAGCCACGCCAAGCCATCACACTCATATTGGCTCTTCGCCGGCCCAAGCGACCGCATATTGGACCAGCTCTCATTTCTATGAGTGCCTGGTTCTGGCTTGGTGCCGCGATTGACGCAAGCCGAGGACTTGGGGAGACTCCCAAGGACTGGAGTGTCATTGCCGGCTTTCATGGCACAGCATGCTCTGCAACCGAGATATTGGTCTGTGATTATGACGAACTGCTCGATATGTTCGCGTCTCCGGCTTCCACGACTTGTGTTCGCGACGAGCGTGGCTGCCTTTCTCTAATGAAAAATGTTGGAGCTGTAGTTCTTAACTCGATGTGACCGGTCTTCTCTGCGATGCCGAGTTCCGTTGGCCAATACAGGGCACGCGATGATTATCCAGTTCTTCCGGCTAGATGTCATTGACAACGTACGCTCTCAGAGACGTCGACTCCGTTCTTGGTCTGAATACACCTGCGTGGCCCTTGCAGCGTATGCGGATGATTATGCACGGCCAGGACTTGGAATCGAAGATGAAGTCAGACCGCGCCGTGCGAATCAACCAAAGATTGAAAAGATGTAAAGGCCAAGATGATCGTAAACTGCAAGTCGTGCCGCGAAACGACAACTCTATGGCGTGATGCAATACCTTCATGCGACCACGAGACGAGTGTTGAGGGTCACATCCTTGCGTTGCGCCTGTGAGAGGGCGCTTTGATGACGTCCTGAGGTTGGCGAGGACTTGGAGAGTGAAGGGAGGGCGTGAGAACGATGATCAACCGAGAGACTTCGCTTCCTATCCAGGGTTTATCGATGATTATTTCTTCTCGAAGACTTCCTAAGAAAGCGGGGAACACTCCGAGTTCTCTGGGGTGAGCGTGTGCATTCTTCACAGTCCCGTTAGGCCCGAAGTCTGGCGCTGGTCAATTGTATCTGTTCTCGGTACCAGTCTCCACTCTATGAGGATGGGGAAAGCTGTAAGATTGTGTTCTCCCTAATGTGTTGCAGCAGTCTCACTTGCGCGCCTCGAAAAGTCAACAGCCTCAACTGTAGTTGCTAACATTGTTGAACACGCCCAGATCGTTGCTGACTCGGCATCCCAGTCCGTGAACAGAACTAGACGAAGTGTCGGACTTTAACCTTAAGAATGCCTGTCTTGGGCTTCTTGGCCCCACTCCAGAGAACTCAAGATGCACCTGTCACAGGGCGAGCCTCGAGGATACGGCTTGGAACGTTATACCCGGTCCAGGTACCCGGTCAATCTCGCACAGCGACCCCCAAAATGCGACAGGCTCCCTTCGCACACTGGGCGAACTCCTCGATATGAGCTGACACAGTGGAAGGACCTCCGATCCAGCTTTCCGTTCATCTCTCACGATCGGACTCCTTCCGACGTCGATCACGAGCTATATCGCTCGTACAAAGACGTCGTTTAGATCAGCAGAATATGGACTGGTCCGGCGCTTCACATGTTGTTCTTCGTAGCCTCTTCGGAGATCCAAGACCTGCCGCACATGGACCGTACACGCCTGCTCCAGTCTCGCTCGCGGTCAAAGTGACATCGGTATGTCTTATATGTCCAAATAAGGTCGAAACATCGCTCACAATACCGTAGGTCTGCTTGAATCTGATCACACTGCCTATCCTCGGCGCCTGTCTGACCCGGAGTATGTAGTGCAACACAATGTGCACTCGTGAATTTCCTGCTGAAATTATGTGTAGGAGTGGAGCGAATACAGCAATGGAGACGCCTCCCGGTATCAGCTTGGCTATTATTGCTGATTTACACGGACTCGCTGCTATTCATCTTTGTGACGGTCGTCCTGAAAGACATTGGCTTCAACACATCTCCAAACATCTGCGATGGTGCCATATTGTTATGTGCGAGCGAAGCTATTTCATGACTGCTTGGGTCCAAAATCTGACGAAGTCCAGGTCTCGTATGCTACATGAGCACAAAAGTGCTGATCTATTGCTTCCTCGTTGAGCGATCAGTGAGTTTTGACTCCAGCACAATTGCACTCAGGTCGAGAGCGCGACGACTGACGTGATGTGCACAGTGGATTGTACGAGGTTGCCTTCAGAAACGATCGGAGTCCAAGCTGTATCTCTTCAACTGCTTTGGCATGTTGCTGCCATACACGATCGCGGTCGTACTGAACTTCGTCTGGTAGTTTCTCGCGTTTCTGAAGAGCACCAATGAATGAATGCTGACCTGCAAACCAGGAGAATCGCCTTCATTGACACGAAGGGAAACTGTATTGTCGGCATGGAGATACGAGCTCTGATGCCACTGATCACCTTCGAAGTGTGAGTGGAACGCCCATATTTCCTATGGCTTTGGACACCATAACTGACCACATTGCGAAGTGTTGTCAACATATACCTCAATATCCTGTTCATCATCCCACTTCGAAGTGAGTGCTCCTTCGGCCAGTCTCATTGTGTCATGATCAGCTGACCATTTGTGATAGAGATGTATTCGTATCGGCGCGGAAACGGCAACATGAGAAGGCTGGCCCTTCGGACGTTCGTTGGAAGCTGTGCAACTCTGTTCTCAAGTGTTGTGAACCTCACGGTGCTGATGTCTGTTGGTGGCGAGCCAGCGTGGATGTGTCTGATGCTTTGCAATGCAGACAGTAAGTTGCGTTCGATCCACTGAGCTTGTACGCTGATACTGATCTTTGCAGTACTTTTCTGCGTCCTCGTACTGCACTGGGTGACAAGCTTCGACGGTGGCGGCGGGACCAATAAGTCAAGTTGCTCTCACCCTTCACACGATCCTCTAGCACCATCAGTCGTATCCGCGTTAAGGGTTCCCGAAACCACATTGCAACGACGCAAACACTTCTTCTCGTGCTCGTGTGAGGACTCCGACTTCCCCGAGGGTTCTTGGCGTGCGAATCCGTGGGACGTTGGAGGACTGGCGCAGCCTACTTCTGTATTGGACGATCCCAACGCCACCAACGGGGCCGATCCACTGCAAAGCCGGATTGGGAACAAGGAGAAAATTGAAGAGAAGCCAGAGGGGCACGTCGAAATGACGAGAGTCATCAGCGACGTGAGCGACGCTTCGCAAGATATGGAAATTCGACCTGTAAGAAACGAGCCAGCACAAGGGTAGGCATGAATAAGAATTTGCTTGTTGGGATTTACGTATATGAAGCTAGCAGTTGCGCTCTTCCAATCCGCAATTCTGGCAGCGAAGCGAGGGACCCAGTCCACTATACTTCAACACATGACAAGGCCTTGCCGTGGTCAGAGAGATATGCACTAAACTGCACAGTACCACCCACACCGAACTCATGCGCGAGGTCCGCTAGATCACCGAGCTTGATGCCGACCGGGTAGTCTGTGGTGTTCGTGCCCCATTCGCAGCTGCAGTCGAAGGCAGCCATCGGACTAACGTCCTGCCTCAATCGAGAGGCATTTCTTTTCACTGGAAAATCCCTACTTTTCCCATCAATGTGCATTCGGATGCTTTGCAGATAGGCAGTGGTCAAAAGCATGTTCCTCCAGCTTCCGTCTTGCTTCCACTTCCCGCTGAGTAGCTCCTGACTGTCGACTTGGACAAGGACATAACGCAATCTCCGCTTGGCTACGATAGCACTGTAGCACCAACGCATCTCGATCGTTCGGAAGAGACTGGGCATTGGATTCGGCCAACTGGAAGTTTCAGAAAACTCATCAAGAGTCATGAGGAAGTTCGTTCTTATCCTTGGATTTCCGATGATTATATCCCTGAAAGCCACACACACTTTTTGTGACACCAAAAGATCTCTGGGGGCTACACTAAGCAATATTTGCTCCAGGAGCTCGTAGATATGGGCGACTTTGTGTCCAGCTCCAAGTTTGGATCCCTCTACCTGATTCTCCTCGCTCTCGTCGTGCTTGTACATGATCGTACGTGTAATTGCTGGACCATTGGTCGAAGGACCCTGGAGTTCATTCATCTTGTCAGATCCAGTCTCGACGGGACGCACACCAAGTTGCTCCAAACCCCGTCCAAGTCTTGCTTCCTTCTTGGCTTGTCCCTCTTCTTCGGACCAGCCCTTGGAACTCCCTTCAGCCCCAACCAAGCCTGCGAAACCAGTTGTCGTGCGGAGTGGATCACAGGACCGAGGTATATGGTCTTGAGCGCATCTGCATGGGTTCTCTTCATGTCGCCGGGAGTCCTCGGTAGATGCCGCTTGGTGGTTGCTTGGTTGGAGGATGATAGCCGTTACTTCGCTGTAAGGTTCTTGCCGTACATGCGTTCTTTCCGGCTGGGCTGGTCACGGTAGTGAAAAATGCCTTTGAGGGCAATAAGAATGCCAAAGGTTAGGACAATACCGATTTCGTATGGGCTTCCTCTTTGAGTGAGGGGAGACATGTGGGCCGAGAAGAAAGATGTATTGGTGTGTATGGTCTTATACGGTGGAAGGCGTCGGACCTGAGTCAGAAATGATGCAGTGGCAGCGGCAGAAGTGGTGGAGCTTTGCTCATACGTTGCAGGTCGGTGAGGTGTTACAGATTGTAGCTGGTCGCAGACTGAATACGTAGTACCCGCGAGCGTATAAAACCACAGAAATGTATGTGCTGGCATCGACGATCCGTTTGTGATGAGTCGAAGATCGTGGTGGAAATGCGCCAAGAACGTATCGGCTGAAACAACACTCTGAATGTTGGACGGACAGGGGTTGTTGCGCTGGAAAGCTTGCAAGCGCAAACATGAGGCTGGCCAGCAGTCGACGTTGTTGCTAGGATCTCGATGATTCCAGTCGGTTCGCGGGTGTGCTCCCGAATCCCAGCACGAAAAACGACTATTCACTTCTCCGATCGATTCACATATGGATCAGGATATGATACGTTCAGTAGATGTTCTCTTTCCGGAGTACTCGCTGACGGAAAGGCTGTTTGCACAGCACTGGCAATGATAAATCATACCGTAGCCAGTCGGTTGCATCTGAAGTAGAGACAGTCGTAAGTCCCGCTCCTCAAAGCTGCTTGGGCCCACGTCAATGCATCAGGAGGATTGTATGAGTCCGCTCTGAAGCTTTAGTTTGTCATCGAGAAGCTCGACATTCCCCGTCTATACCTCCCGCCAATTGCCATGTACGGGCTTTCTTCCAATGCCTCCGCCAGGAGTCAGTGCATCCGGAGGGCTCGTGGGGCTAGCGACTTCCGACCTATACGAGGGCGGAGCTGTGTTGGTCTCATAAAGCTTGGGTTGCGCATAGCTAGCGGTTTGCGCCTGAGTTCCTGAATGGTACTCATTTGTCGGCGATGTATAAGACTGCGAGTAGCCAGGCGCCTGCGCCTGCGCTGGAGAATAGTAATTGTTCGCCTGAGGCGGGTAGGATACTGGAGATGCTTGCCGTTCGGTATGGAGCGGGCTTTGGTACGCTGCCGGCGCGGTTGGGTTTCGATCATAGCCAGAGGCCTGGAAAGGCTCTGAAACATTATTGTAGGAGTTCTGTGTGCCATAAGGCGAGTCTTCGTGTGCCCGAGCGTCGGGATAGTAGCCTGCAGCACCACGCTGGCTGCTATATGGGCTTGTAGTCTGCTGACGCTGCTGATCGTAATCGTGATATGGTTGCGCATGCATGTTTGCGTGGCTGGCGCTCATGGCTCCCATGGCTCCAGTCGAGACGAAGTCGTGTGGATGCGACTGCCCTTGAATACCACCCTCATAGCCCAAACTCGCAGTCGAACCTACCTCCTGTCCGCGGTAGCCGGCCAAGGTGGAAGTTGACAGCGACTCCTGCCCTGTATTATATCTGGGGTTCTGGTTCAACAGTCGCTCAGTCTGAGCTTGAGTCTTGACGGGAGATGTTACGACTCGAGGCTCTGGCTTCTCCATCTTTTCCAATTCCACATCGTCGTCGTGATGTTCAATCCGCCGGCTGCTGGCGTTCTTCCAGCTCGGCATCTCAGGTAGCGAATCTTCGTGGACCTTCTGGCTGGACGATTCAAAGGTAGCGGTCTGCGCGAAACTCGGATTGCCTCGATAGCCTGCGCCGCCGCTGGCGAAGTAAGGATTGTGCATGGGAGGATGAGGCTGATACTGATTCTGATACGGTGTTGGCGGCGCCTGTTCATATCCTCTCTCTCCTCGCCCCCGGGGCGATGGGCAACATCGATTAAAGCACGAGCAGCATGCGCAGCAGCACTCCACGCCGCAGCATAGACATCGCGCAATGCATAGAACAATAGAGAGGACGATGAGGCCGCCGACAACGATGCCGATGATGACGGGCCACTTGCAGTAGGCCTTGGACATGCACCCGTCCCAACTGGACAAGGTGTTTTTGACGCTGGCGACACTGTCCGCAATGTCTCTTGCCTGGACGTCCATGCTGCTTCGCCTCGTGCTCGGTCCTGAATACGGCGGCGTGTCGTCCGTGTCGCGTCGCGGTCGCAGGCTTGGCGCGTCGGGGATCGTTCAGCGGCAGGTGCGTCGCGAGGTATCGGCCAGCGATGGTGTCGCGATCACATGTGTACTCGGATGGACTGGCGGCGAAGAGGAAGAGGGCGGAGCGGAGAGAGGGAACGAGCGGCGTGAAGTTGGCGACAGTGTGTAGATGATCTGGCAATGAGGCTGAGTGAGGTGCATGGGTGCTTTCGCTTGCAGTAGTTAGCCTCGAGGGGGTGGAATGACCCTGTCGATCACTCTCATGGTGCGACAACCGCTCGCAGCAAATCATCATCAACAACAACACCTCTCAAACTCGCTGGCCTCACATGCTTCGTACATTCGCCGCTGAGGGCATACCCGCTCCGCCATGCCATCGCACACCGCACCGCTACCTCTCCGCCGCCATTTCCGCCCGGCGGTCTGCATACAATGCGTGAGTTGTGGCTGCACCATCTCGTTCTAGACACCGCCGTCGTGCTCGGCATATACTAGACCATGCCCTCGCACCCAAGTGTCCGCCGCTCCTGGTGCTTATCCTCGTCCTCTCATCTCTTGCGGTAGCCGGCAGAACGGCCACAATGGGTGCTGCTTCCGACTCCAGCAGGCCGCACGAATCGTCACTCCAGGACTATCTGCTCACCAACAAGGCAAATTGGAACGAGCGTGCAACCCTCCACGCGGTGTCCAAAGACTACGATGCGGCGCGACTGGTCAGTGATGCATCAGCAATTTCAGATGTTGTCTCGTTTGACCTACCACTCCTCGGCGACATCTCCGGTTATGATTGCGTTCACTTGCAGTGCCATATTGGAACCGATACTCTCTCGCTAGTACGCCTCGGCGCCAAGAGCGTTGTTGGTCTTGACTTCTCGACTGCAGCAGTGAGGGAAGCCCAGGATATTGCCAACAGAGCAGGTTTTGAGCAAGCGAAGCTCAAATACGTCGAGGCCGATGCCTATCATGCTGTGTCAGTCCTGGGGGCAGGAGCTTTCGATATGGTGTTCACGGGCATCGGCGCGATATGTTGGCTTCCTTCGATTCGACAATGGGCTCAGCAAGTGAGCGGACTTCTCAAGCCAGGAGGCAGACTCTTCATTCGCGAAGGCCACCCTGTAGTCTGGAGCATCGACGAAACCATACTCGATGCACGTGGCCCAGTCATCACCTATCCCTACTTCGAAACTACGAAGCCGGTAGAAAGCGAGAGCGAGGATACTTACGTAGATACTGACGGCAAGAAGCTTACGAGCACGAAGAGTGTAAGCTGGAACCACGGTATCGGAGAGGTAAGGAAGACCTAGCGCATCGCCCGTGCTCCATCGTTCTGCGTTGCAGTGACCCATTGTTGACTCCACAGCTTCGGTCCTTCAACTTGGCGCGTGAAAGCTGACATCTTGTAGATTTTGACTGCCCTCCTAGAAGTCGGCATGGAGATCACTGGGTTCGTTGAGCATAAGACCATTCCTTGGGTTGCCTTTCCTGGCAAGATGGAGAAGGACACGAAACGTGGAGAATGGAAGTTGATCGAAGGCGAAGATAACGTTCCCCTCAGCTACACGCTACAAGCGAAGAAGAAATAGAAGCACGAGAAATATCATCAAGACAGGAACAATCTGCTGCTTGGCCTTCTGCTCATTGATACCCTGCGCTTTCCTGCAGAAGCCACAGCTGATGATGCTCAATCGCGCCCCACCAGCTCGCTTGGTTTTGTTCGACCCACACTGCTTATTCATAGCTGTATCTCATGCCGTGTACAGAGCTATGCCTGTTTTGGGATGTGGTCTCATCTGCTATGCATGAACGTGGGATTCAAGCTGGGCACTACACAACAGAGACAAGAGCTGAAGTCCCCACGATCGCCTCCAAAATAGAGCAGAATGGACGATCATAACGGTGACAGAAACTAATGCAGATCGAGCAATTGAATCACGGGTCGGGCACAGTGCTCTTCGGAGCCCTTGGAATCAGATGGACTGTCAAAGCCCATATCCGAAAGCAACGCCGCAGACAGCTCCACAAACCATAGTCACCACCAACAACGGCGCGGGCCATGGCCCGACCAAGCCAACAAGCTTTCAGTTTGTGAATTTTACTCACATCGACAATATGCACGACCAGGCCACCCTTCGCCGTATTCGTCGACACGCCATGAAGGACATTGGTTTCCAGCGACGTCGGCCCAAGAAGAAGCGGAACATCTCGATTCAATTGGAGTACATCGAAGATCTCACGTCTTCCATGACTTCAGGTCACGATTCCGGATATGCATCGCCCCTATTACTGAGTCCGGCCCCTGCTATTGGCGGCGGATCGATACACGCCTTCTTCCATCTTCCGATCGAGCTTGACGACATTGGCAAAGGCTTATTGGCCAATATCTGGACTTCGGATTATAGCATCAGTTGCCAGAGCGCTCATCGGCCGGATTGGTTCATGACAGGAATAGCCGATGAGGCGACATTTTACCAAGTGCTCGCCAACTCTGAATTATATTTTGAAGTGCTTTGTAGCCCTCAACGCTCCCAGGTGGGGCAAGAGACATCTCTAAGTATGTATTATCATCAGAAAGCGGTGACACTGCAACGACAACGTCTCGAAAATGTGTTCAAGACGAAGGTGACCGAAGCGATGTTGGGTACAGCAGCGAGCTTGTTACTGTATGCTGAGATGTCAGGAAACGCCGACTGGTGGTTACCACAGCAGAAAGGCATGCTAGAAATGGTTCGAGCTTTCGAAGGTGGACTAGCAGCCCTAGACCGAAACAGACCGCTGAGGGCCGCCTGCAGCTGGGCGGAACTGCGCGGAGCTTTCGTACTGGACCTGTCATGTGGTTTGCCACTGCCATCGTGGTGGCAGGAGGAGTATGACAGGGGCATCAATGGCGACCATGGTCCTGTGATATTGTGGGCCGCTGAAGATCCAGGGCTGCGCGAGGAATTCTTCAAGGTCTTCGGTCATGTGCCACAGTGGCTCGAAACTCTTGATGCGGTTGCGACTCTGGCAGGTGTGGTCAGCTCAAGGTTACAGAAGGCTCCCGGCATACGTCAACAACAAGACGACATACTACTGTGGACCGATGTTGTTGCTCATCGACTTCTCTGCCTTCGTGCGAACGATACTACATTGTCACTCGACGATAACCAACGATCGATACTCGAAGCTTGTCGTCTGACATTTCTCATCTTCATTGCGGTCGTCTATCGATGCCTAGGCGCTCATCCTTACAATACCACAATTCTGATTCAAAAGCAACAGCAACGTCTTCTTCGCTCGCAATCCGTCGACTGGGGTGGCCTGGGCAAGCTTCTGGTGTGGATGGAGCTCATAGCATCTCTGGAAGGCGCAAGTTTCGATGTGATGCATGTGCCGAAAGACACACTACAGCAGTGGTTACTCGAACAACAGCTGGGGCTCACGAAATTGCTGTCTCACAGTTTTAATCTGGCCAGTGTGAAGCAGGTTCTCTGGTTGCCAGAACTATTCGATCTCAAAGTAACGGCGTTTGTCAAAGGCGAGTGGCATAGCGAATGGATTAAGAAGTGCTGAATTGTCCGTTCTCATTTTCATAATGACGTTCTTAATTATAATTTCTGTCGCACAGAGAACCTGCTACTGGAGCCGTTCCATTCGAAATACAATCGCAGACCAACACCATGCGTTCCTCATTCGTTGAAAGTGGCTGGCCATCAGTCGTCAATCGTGCAGCAAAGTCTCTTTGATCCGGTTATCTCGCCGTTTTAATGGTCGTGCACTCCGTAAACTCATGACAGATCGTCTCCTGTCTCAGTGACATCCCCCTCTACCGCGGCACCCTGGCCTTCGCCCTCTCTCAAAGTTTTAGGTGTTCCAAGGTTGGCCTGGAAGCTCCACCAGCAGTTCGGCGCTTGCAGGACATACTGCATCATTGAAACCCTGAAGCGATTTCTATAGTCCTTGGGACTAGTGATGGTCGGCTTGTTCTTGCCACGATCCTTGATCCAGCTTTCAAGCTTTTTGTCCCATGTGTAAGTGCGTATGCAATCGATGATACCAACAACGAGTTCCTTGCGAATATCGTCGAACCCAGCCATGAGACTGTAGTCCATCACGTTCTGTTTGCACAACCAGAGAGTGTCGTTGAATACCGAGGCCTGAAGGAGTTTTCGACTGTGCTCCCGAACAAACAGTGGGGACTCAAAGATGGTTTCGACCAGATTCTCGTCCAGTAGTACTTCATCTGCTTGGCCTGTGGACTCAATCTTGCGGTTCCGCATGCTGCCCTTTAGATCGAATCGGCGATTCGGATTTCGTTCATAAAAGAGGTTCTCCATCACGAGAAGATAGTAAGAAAAGTCGACTCCAGTCGCTGGGTTGCGAATATTCACCTGGAAAAGACCGAACATTTTGGCAATCACACTTGGGACCCCATGAAATAGTGTATAGCTCATGAAATTGAAGTAGTCTGGTGCAAATTTTGTGAAGGCCTTCAGCTCGACCTCTTGCAAGCTCTTGATGATGAAGCGGCTGTCCAATGTCCGAAGGAAGAGCGATTTCGTTTTACCACCCTTTGAGTCAAATTTCAAACAGCGAGACATTGACTCCATAAAGCGATCGGCCACACCGCATCTGCGTCGCAGCGCATCAAATGATTCGGCGTAAAAGATCTTGCAACTTGCCTTCACTTGTCCGTGCGCGAACGAGTATTTCATGTGCGTCGCTGTATCACCTAGCAGACTGGCCTCAATGTCTGCCCGCTGCCCCTCTTCCCTTGACAAGTTTGCGATACTCGCAGTACTCGCAGTATGTGCGTGACCATGCTTCGACAAGGGTTGGCGATTTGGCGCGTTGCGGAAGCCCTTCTCTTTGGCGCGGTAGTCTGCGCAGGCAAGTGATAGCGCAATCACTGACGAAGGCTCATCTTCACGCACAATGATGTCCGAGTCCTCAAAGACGTGCTCGGTCGCGTGCAAGGGGTATTCCAGGTTCGTCCAGCCTGACGCAGAGCGCTTGGACCAGAATTCAGAGAGGTATTTGAACCACTGTGTCTTTCTCTGCTCGCCAATCTGCAGTTCTGGTCCTAAATCGTGAAGATCAGGTCCACTAGTCGAAGGCGACTGGAGTGAGGAAGAAGGATCGGAGACATCTCTTGAGCGCGATCTTGTGTTCTCGTTGTCACTCGCTTCATCATCTCCATCGACGGCAGTCTCGCCACTCATACTAGGAGCCTCGCCCTCGTGATATTCGGCTTGGTCGTCGCTTCTGTTGCCATGTTCATCGAGTTCGGCGCCTGAAACATCTTCGGGCTGATTCTGCGCCACCATCTCATCCATCTCTTGCCGAGCGGCCCTTTGATGTGCTTGACTAAGCTCGCCATCGTCTTTCAGACTCGGCGGTCTTTCGCCCACCGCATCGACCGCGTTCTGATAGACTTCCACAACAGGCCTGCTGCTTGCGAGGGGGTTTGCTCTCGCTTGACGACTTCGCATCGCTCTTTGACGGCGCTCTTTCAGCCGTTCTTTTTCAAACTCGCGAGACATCTGCTCAAAGTGCCTTGCTAAAGCCGAAACTGTGGTGGGGCCGTTTTCCTCCTGCTTGATGGGAACAGACCGCGGAATGAGGGATGGCACAATCTTGCCGGCCTTATTGGCAAGCCGTGCGACACCCAGCCTCTCGTTCAGCCGTTTCTCGGCGGCAAGTGCATCGCTGTGGCTGAGTTGCTCTTGAGCAGTGGCCACAGCATCTATACTCTGAGAGTTGATAGCTGCATCGGCACTCAGGCGATGAGCGTGGGCAGGATGTCCAGGCTGCGACTTTGCCCTCAGGAAGGGCGGAGGAACGGGTTTCGGCGAGGGGCTAGGGCTTGCGTCCCGCTTCTTCTGCTGTAGGTCTGCCAGTCTAGGGATCTTGGTTTCGGGGATTTCATCGGTACCGGCTGCCACCTTGTTGTTTCTGATCTGCTCAATCCTCTCCAAGAGTCCTGAACTCAGCGGTTTGGGCTGGGTGGCAAATGGCTCGTCTTGTTGTTGGGCTTGATCAAGATGTGTCTCAGGACTGCGCCTTGGCGACAACTCGTCCAGCGTATCGCCCACGAGCACAGGCGGTGGCGATTGACTTGGAACAGCGAGATCTAGATGCTTGACATCTTCGCGTTCCACAGCTTCTTCTTGCTCTTGCCTTGGTGTAGGAGACCTTGTGAGCTCAGGACCAAGCCCGTGTTCGTGATTTACCAAGTGTCGCAACCCCTCATCCTCATCAGCAGCAGCCCTGTGCTCTTGCATCGCACTCGAAAGCACATGCTGCGCTTTCTCGCTCAGAAATTCGTCCTTTATTTGTGATTTCCCCTTCCGGGACACGTCGATGCCATCCTCAGTGTCACTTCCTGTTTCAGATCCAATCATGTTGCGAATCGGCTGAGATTCGAGAAACATCTTCTTCATTTGATCGGCTGCGATCTTGCGTATGTCGGCCTCCGAAGGGAAATATTTCTCCTCAAACCTCGCAAACTCATCATCCCAGGCGATGGCCTTTTCGTCCATGAATCGTAGTGCTCGATTCAGTGGTATCAGCTCATAGTAACGGGACTTTGCATACTTGAGCTGCAATTTCTCTTTGAGCTCCTGTTCATCAGCCTCAAGCCTGCTTCTGAGCTCGTCGACGAGTGCCGACGCAGCTTCTGCAGTCTTTTCATTGAGGTTGTCCACTGTGATCGTGTTCAATCGCTGCCGTACAGAATCGGTGAACGCTTGTAGTCTTTCTTCGCAATGTAGGTACTGTTCATTTTTGACTGTCAGGTCTGCTTCCACTTTCCACGTCACCTGCGCCTTCGGTACGATGACGTCGTATATATCAATAGGATCATACTGAACGCGTACGACAGTGTCTAGGAAGCCGAAGCATCTCAGGAAGTCTCGGTGGATGTCATGCTTGCAAAGACCAGCGCGAGGATGGAGATGGCTGCTCCAAAAGCTCAACTCAAGATACTTCGCAAATGAATACTTCCACGTGTGCGAACTCATCTGAGTGACCGTCGTTTCGTGCCGGCAAAGGCGACAAGTCGACCACATGAGAATCGTGTCGTGCATTCCGCGGACCTTGGCCATTTGGCGTTGCGTAGAGATTGTCAGCTGCCCGTAGCCATGCACGTACTGCCTATGGTGGTCGGACATTGGTTTTCCGCATTCCGTGCAAGGCTTACTGGCCTCGTGGCACATTTCCTGAACGTACTGCCCGAGCGTAAGGTCATCGTCGTAATCTGGATCAGTCCGGTTGTATGAAGCGTAGAAGCCGAGCCCAAGTAGTTCTGGACCGGTGCAGGGTGCACTGGTGATGCTTGACACTGTTGAGTACAGCACCACTATCTTCTGATGTGAGAAAGGGTCGAATGGATCGACCTCACCATTCTGGAAGGTGTCCCACTGCCTTTCCTGAACCTGGAATGTCTGCTCGGCCTTTTGCAGCTGAGCTTCGTGCACTGCGTGAAGATATTCGCGCACAGCTTTTGGCTGGTCCTTGGATGCCGGGGCATTGACCATGTCAGGTTTCACGAGGCTGAAGTTCTCTATGATATCCCGATCGGCCTTTTCGTCATTAGGCTCGTCTTCGTCCTCATCTGCGGCTGCATACTGATCTCGTAGTATCTTGTACGTGGCAAGTCTACGCTCTAGGTCGCGCAACTGAGTCAGCAGGTAAGGTTGCATGAAGACCACAAAAGGCGACGCTGAGAGAACGCGCCTACGGGATTCTTGCTCTTGCTCTTCATATTTGAAATGCAATTTCGCGTTGCCCTTCTCAATCTCGTGCTGCAAAGTCTCATTAATAGTCGACTGACGCTCTTCGGACGCCACAGCACTGGTGCTCGGGTGGTCATATGTGCCATTCTGGTTATCAACAGTCCGTGGTATAGACACGAACTCATCTCGCATTAACGAATTCTCCAGCTTGAGATTGTAGGCCACGTAGCACATGAACTCAGCGATGCGTTTGATCTTCCGTAAGGTCTTCGTATCCGCTCCTCGTAGTATGACTGTACAGCCAAGGTCAGGTTGACAGCCGGACAGAAATATGTAAGTCTTGCGCACGGAATCCGTCAGATATGTTTTGACATCGAAGCTGTCGCACCGTCCCAAGCTGTCCGGATTCATCATAGTGAGCTTGTCGACAGACTTGACAGGGGCTGTCATTGTCACGCGGGCAATAGCCGCAAGCACAGACTCTTTGATGTTGTACGCAACTGTGATACCCTCTTGTTCAAGCATCAGTAAAGCTTTGCCCGATACATGCTTTTGCACCAGCAGAACATCTGGCTTCAATTGGGCAATACGCTTGACAAGATTCTTCAAGTATTCCGTTTCCTGCGCTAATATTGGCTCGAGACTCATAAAATGTGCCTCGTGCCTAGCGTACTCAATCGAGAAATTGACGATCAAGATTCTGGGGTCTGTCAAGGTGCGAGACATTGACTTCAGAGCAATGTTCTTACTGAACACAATGCCGGAAACATATCCAGTATCTTTCGGTCTGCCGCCCGGGATTTTCTTGAGTTTGATGTAATGCCTGATGTCCATGTCGTCGCCTGCTTGCACATCTGGCTCAACATCGTTTGTGCACTGCATCAGAACGGGCAGAAGTGCTTGCTGCCACGCATGGACATGGGCAACGCGGGCATCTTTCAAAAGCTGCGCTAGTAATTTCCTGACATGCTCATCGCTCGCAGGGTATAGTTCAAGATCGTCTGTGGGTCGGTTCTGCTGCAGAGCTGGACTGCGCGTGACTTTCGCATGTGTGATCTGGCCAGAGGGTGTGCTTGGTCGTGTCTTCATTTGCGCAGCGTCCGCTGAGGCAAAATGGTTGCTCTGCCTTCGTCGCGGCGAAGCATGGACTGCAGATCCATCGCTGAGATGGCGACTACGTGGTCGCGGCAATGCAGCTTTGACCCCATCCCCCTTGAGACCTTGTATGCTTGAGCCCGGTGCTGTGCGTTTATCGGTGCCTCGAGAGCGACCTTTCCGAATAGCAGAAGTGAATAGACCGGTAAATCCTAGTCTATCGCGTTCTCCCGGCGAGGGTGAAGGGCCTTCTAGCGCTGTCATCAGGCTCTGGTGTTGCCCATCGTCAGAGCCCTCATCAGAGAGGAAGTCTGCGAGGTCTGGATCGATGATATTGTCCTTGTGAAAAGTGGGAAGCTGGCGTTTCTCGGCGTCCTCCGTGCTGCCTTGGTGAAAAGGACCTCTTTCGATGTCGACGCTTGAGCGAATCAGTCGGCTACTGGGGTGATGCTTGGAATGTCGTCGACGGTGGCTCGAGGAGCGTGGCCGGCGGCTCAGCGATATCAGAGAATGGGATGAGCTCGGCCGTGCCAGCGTACGAGAATCGTCGAACTCGAGAATGGCAGAACGTCGTTTGGCCTCGCGATTGCGGCGAGAAACAGGTATTCCTATGGATGGTGTCATGACTTCCGTGTCGGTTCTACTGAACGTCGCTCCATCGAACCTCCCGTCTGTGTCGTTGAGATTTGTGTTGTGAGTTTGTCCAAGAGGGCTGCGTGTAATATCGTCGCGATCCTCATCGGTGAAGACTGTAGAGTCGTCATCACTGCCCAGGATCATACTCTCGCAAGGCTTGCACAGCCGAACGTCGCTGACTTGACCAAATTGACGACCTGGATGAAGGGAGGTACACTTGGCATCAAAAATTTGTCCACATGTTCTACAGTGATGTTTGCGACGGAAAGTGGAGAAGCTTTGCCCGCAAGAAAAGCAAACTTTGGCCCCTTCGTCCTGCATCCAAAACCTCTTGTCGAGTACACGACGCTTCGGGTGCAGGGATTGCGACTGAGTAGAGCTACCGGCCGGCTTCAGAGTTGATCTTTTGCGTGACAGCCCAGCGTTCAGATTTGCTACTGGCTCCAGACGGGGTTTGTGGTAGGACTCGTGGCGGGAGCTTGGAGCAGAGCTTCCTTCGCTGCCATCCATCGTGGATGAAGCGCGCGAGGGATCGAAACCTGGAAGATGAGAGACACCTACGCGTGGCAATGGTGGCCTTTGTGGCTTTTGAGACTCAACAGACGGAAGCTCAGCCTTCCTTGCAGCGTCTGTCGGCAACGGCTGAGAGGTAGCCGGGAACAAGGCCTCAGACTCATCAACGTAATCGGAGTCATCGATGGCCTCTTCCAGATCGTCTCGCAATTGCGCGGAACTAATCTGCTTGGACGTCGTGTTCGTGAGTGAGGTCTCGTGGTGTGAGAGAACTCGAGCTAGTGCGTCCGTGCCTTCAGCACTTCGATCGCCGTTTGCCCACGCGTTTCTTGCCTTCTCGACGTCCTCTTTCGTGGGAGCCTCTCCATCTGGTTTGGGTTTGGCTTGTGCCGGTGGCAATTTCGTCGCGTCGACAGCCGTCTCACGTTGGTCTCGCGGGCCAGCAACGGGCACAGGCTGGGCATCGGCAGTGGGCACGTGAAGCTGTGGTGCGGCGGGCTTACCTTCGCTGACGTCTTTGCTGGGAACGGTGCGCATTTGTGGAGAGGGTGAGGCACTGTCGTTGGCAGGTGGTAGCTGGTCTGACACTGTCTTCTTCCCGTTCACCTCCTTTGTTCGTGAACGTGTGGTCTGCAGAGAGGATGTGGCAGACAGTGTCGATCCGGCGTCCACAGACTCGATGCTCTTGGGCACACTTTTGCCGGTATCCTTCACGCTGCTACTCGAACCACCAGCTACCGTCTGTCGAAGCCTATTGTACATGCCTGTGATGCCGTTGCTGACCAGCTCTTTGGCGCCGCCGGTCTTACCCTCCCCATCGAAGTCGTGAAAGCTAGTGAGGCCATCGGACCTGCTCGCTGTCGTGTGGATCTCGTCGAGAGCTTGAGCAAGCGTCTCTTTATCGACGCCCTTCTTGGATGAGATGGATGCCAGCGAGCCTCTCCGCGACCTGCTGCTCGCGAGAAACGGCACGAGCGGGCTCGATGGAGCGGGCGAGTTGCTGGACTCGTTGATCGCCATGCTGGCGAAAGCGTGTCGCGTGCAAGGTGCTGAGCATCGCGGGCGACGGGTGTGGTCAAGGCGGAGTCATCTGTTGCCCACGTGGCTCAGCGTGAGCGGTCTGCATCCGGAGACGGCGCGACTGGTGTCGAGGTCGTGAAGCCATGACGAACGTTCGAGGCAGCTGCGGCAGGGATTGTGGGCCGGAACGCGCGCCACTGCCGGAGCTCACAACAAGCGCGTCCACGGCGACATGGGCGACTTCACTTTCGACTTTGACCTTCACGGCATGCTGTCCAACCACAAAACACGTCAAGCACTGTCGTCGCTAACATCACCATCGCCTCCGTAATCTGACTACGCTTCCTGTGACTGCGATGTCATTAAGCGCACAACGTCATTCAGCAGAATATGGCGCCGAAATTACCTGAGCCCTGGCTGGCGAATTTCCTTACAGCTGAACTCAGCGCCGTCATTGAATGGAAGCAGCAGACTTTGAGTGGAATCAAGCCAGACCCGGAGACGCAGAGTCGGTTCAGTGATGATGGCAGCAATTTCCGGAGCGAAGTCGCGTCGCCTTCCTCCAACACTCTGGTTCAACTGGTAGAGGTCCTTTCTTCCGAGGACGTCGTCACTGCCTACATCTCAGATGGCAGTTGGAAGGTGAAGGCGCGTCTCTCCGAGGAAGCCGTGGCGACATTCGAAGAGGATAGCGGATCGCCTATCACCACTGAAGTCAGCGGCGACCTAATTCGCCTGGAGAAATTCACAGTGGTTAGCACGCCATTTGGACCTGCAGACGGTTTCGTGCAATTGCACATTGACGAAATCGAGTATCACACACTGCGACGCACGATACTAGGAGTCCCACATCCTGTGGAGGTCTTGTATGATATTCGGACGCTCATTGAAAGCACCAAATCGCTCCGACTACCGGGAACTGCTTCTCGCGATGCCCAGAAACATGCACGGAATGACCCAACACCTACTGCAGCGTCTCCCAAGACATCGAAGCGTTCAGCTGCTCAGGAGCCACAGACAACACCGGCCAAGAAAGCCAACAGAACATTGGTTTCGAGCAAACGTAAGTCGCAGGGGCCCACATTGGGCAAAGATGGTTTCGAGGTGCAGAGTGGTGTCAATCTCCACGGTCCTGTTCAGGCTGTCACGCATGACGCTGATGGCAGTCCTCCTGGCCCAAAGACCATTAATCCAAGGCTCACGGAGCTGCTCCCAGCGAAGAGACCAGCGCTTCCTCCGAAGTCTCTAGCGACAGTGGAAATCACACCACAAACACAACTACCAACGACTCAACTTCCAGAAAGAGCGTTGGTAAGAACTTCGCCTTCGCGGACTGCCATTGGACGTAGTAGGCCGGATCACCGACAGCATCCTGACAGCTCGACCGTGGTTTCTGAAACTCCTTTGAAGTCTGCTGGCCGCAAAAAGGCACCGCACCAAGATGATGCCCCTATCGCTCACACACCGTCCGATGCAGTGCCTCCCAGCGGAACATTACAGTCCACGCCGCGGGGAAAATATATTGCAACTAATGCATCGCTCTTTGCATATGCAAGAAGAAAGATACCTCACGACCAGCGTAAGCTGCTTGATGATCCTGCGTCTTGGCTGCCATCACTGCCAGGTAGACAATTTCCCGCCCCCAACGTGCCCATGGCGCTTCTAACGAGATGGAATCACGAGGCTGAAGCTGGTGCTGCTGCTGCTTCCACATCGCAGCTCTCTGCCGATGCACTTCATCAGAAACCTGCTTCCCTGTCCGGGGCACTGGCCGACTCTGATTCAAGTTCTGAGCATTCCGATGGTACAGCGCAAGACTTCACGCCTTCTCCTAGCAAGAATTGGCAAGCGCGACAGGCCGCTGTTCCATCTGCGACTTGGGTGGACAGCAGCGTTGAAAGCGATGCGTCCCTCGGCGGATATTCAAGACATCAATCCAGCTCTCCCCATCCGCCTGACGGACTCACCATGCCACCGTCTAGCGCATTGGGAGCAGTGATTCGAGGCACCGCCCAAGATGATAACGAGCTGCAAGTAGCGCCCCCGCGGCCACTGCCATTCCGGAAATCGCCAAAGAAACGACACGGAGAAGCAATTCTTCCGCCTCCACCGAAGCGCCATGCGCTACCGCCGAAGCCTACATTCACTGCGACAGGTTCACCGAGGCATGGAAAAGGATCGGATCAGGACTTCTATGCCGCGGGATGGTCACCACGTGGGACCGCGAATTTGAGCATTTACCCCGAATGTGATCCGGTAACTGGTCTACCGACTCATGTTTCCTCACCATCTTTGCCCCCGGTGCAACGACAACTGTCACAAGGGGTGCGCCCACACGTGTCTCAGCCGTCAACGCCTAGAATTCTTTCCACACAGGGAAAGCTATCGAAAATGCCACCTTCAGGCCCACGCTCCACTGTGCCGCACACCTACCAGGGCACACAGACCCCACGTACGTCTGCTTCGAAAGGTCCAACGTCGTCGTCTGGACTGGCCACGGAGAACAGTGGCGGACCGCACGATCCACCGAGGTCGCAAGCCGGTCCCTCTAACTCTCTTCGTCCTGGATCTCTTCACGGTTCATCACGTCAAGTTTCCAGCCAAAGTGAACAGAAGCCAAGCAGAGGGAACGCCAAACCTGTGAATGGTTCCTCGATCGAACGTTCGACCATTAGAGCATCCTCTGGTCGCCTCCGCGCTGCTCCATCGTCTGCGACCAACGCATCTTCACCGAATGCGAGTCCATGGCGGCCTGAGGCAGTCTCAACGCAATTAAATCTTTCAAATGGTGACGACGACACTGACATCAACCCAGCACACAATACCAAATTCCCCGCCGTCACCCTTTCGATACGCAAAGACTGGTTGAAAGCAAACTACGTTCCGAGCTCAAATGGTCCTTTCAAGCTGCCAAACGTGCTTGAAAAGTACCGGAAGGCTTTACCGCATGACAGTGCCATTGGCATTGAAGATCTGCTTTTAGCTGCGCGATACGCTTTCAGCAAAGATGACATTACGCACAGCATGAGATACCAACCGAAACGTTCGATACCCACTAGCCAACCCGCAGCAGAGTCAAGGCGGTTGCCGTCTGGTAACCGAAACGCCAGACCTCCCGAATTGCCGCGTGATCATCCTGCTTACAAGCATCGCCAAGCGCGGATGCAGTTCATCAATCAAGAAAGACGCAAGGACTACCTGCGTACGAACTACGCACCCTCGAGCAATGGAACGTACGACCTCGACGGCGTGTCCGAACGATACCGGCAAGCATACCCAGAGGACAATCAGGTAACGCTCCAAGAGCTGCTTCTTGCGGCCCGAAATGTTTACGAGGATGCCTTGCATTTTGACACCATCACAGCTGCAACACGTTACACGCCGCGGCTGAATGCAATGGAAACTGCCGGAATACGTCTGACTGAACGACAGACGGGAACCAAGAAACATGGCTATGAACTGCAGAGGATGGCCTGGGTCAAGGACAACTATACCCCTTCTCGCAAAGGTTCGATCACGCTTGCCACCATTCTGGCGCGGTATAGAAACTCTTGTCCCAAGGACGACCGTGTAGAGTACGAGCATATTCTGGTGGCTGCACAAGCTGCGTATCCCACGGAACGCATTACGCCCGGGCTGCCGTGGATGCCAAAGGCCAAAGATCGCAATAGCGAGGACGGAGGTCAGTCACGATCTAGCGACGCAGCGATCCGGCATCATGCTGTCTTGGAATCTACTAGCACGATGGCAGAGTTCTGTGCCGCTTACCTTGCACCTTCGCCAAGCGATGGGAATGCATTTGCAGCAGGCAAGCCAAGAAGGACGAGGCAGATCCATGTAGATGTGCTGAGCTGGGATATCTGACTTGTCAAGGCCTCATAGGTCCATTGGTGTTCAGCACCTTGTCTTATCATCCACCTTGTGTGCTTCTTTAGATTCGGCGCTTATTTGGATCCGCAGCAGGAGCTTCACAAGTTTCTTGTTTGTTAGATTGTGGCATTGATCCTACAAGCATAAGATTGGGACACTTGGATCGACACCTGCATTGCGCCATAATGGGTTCAGAGATGTGGCTAGCATTCAACGTCTAGGCTGCATTGCCCCCTATGTCCTTGAATATCTTGTGCATCAGCCCTTTTTCAAAATTCAACACAGTCTCGTGATTCGTGCCAGGTGCCTGCACCATCTTCACATCGACACATCCTGCCACGCAGTCTTGACCCCAAACTTCTTCAAAATACGCCTTACCGCCAGTGCCGATCATGATATCAGACGTTGCAAAGACAACATGTAGCTCCAGCAAGCGATCTGCATCACTCCTCTGTCGTTCCGCCGCACAGAACTTTCGGACATACTCGCTGTAGTCCTCGCAAACGCCCCAAAGTCCCTTGCCTCCACCCAAACAAAGTCTAGCCTCATCATTCGCACCACTCATACACTCAGCCCAACAATACTTGGCTTGCAGCCCGTCTATCGCAGCAACAGTAGCAGCGTCAGTTCCCCACCTAGCCTGAGCAGTCTCCTCGGAAGTAACCTCAGCCTCACTAGGCGAAGACTGGAAAAGACTAGCACTCGAAGAAATAATCCCGCCAGACCACGAACCAGCTGGAACCAAAGTCCTATTAATGAACCCCACGAGCCCTGACCAGCCAGAGAAAGCAGCATTGGGAAGCTTAGAAGCAAGACTCAACATTGTAACTCCGGAATGTTCTTGCGAAACCCATGGTGCGAGGAGTGCCACGTAGGGTCTCTTGGGATCAAGGATATGTCGAAGATGGTACAAGGTATTCAGTAGATAGATCGTTCCCGCGCTATGCGAAATAAGCGAAACGTAGTTGACGTTCAGATGCTTGAGGAGTTGCGGCACAGTTTCGAGCCAAATGTTGACTCGATCTTCGATGGGTACGTTTGATGAGCCTCCGAAACCGGGTCTGTGTTGTCTTCGTATCAGCTTCGAGCTTAATGAGAAGAAAGTCAAAGGATGCGATTTTGCCTACCGATCAACGCAAATGAACCTGATTTTACTTGATATCGCGAGCTTGTTATAATCCGTGCAGAAGTATCTGCTGCCGAACATGGGACCGACAAATAGTACCACTGGTAGCACATTGTCGTCAAAATTGGTGCTCGTTGCGAATGTTACGCGCAGTTCTTCATGTTTATCGGTCGCGGCCAGCCGGAAACACTGATGATATTTCCTGTCAGCAAGTAGACGTATTGCAGAGTCTAGGGAGGACATGTTTCGGAAGAAGATATCATATCGTACTCTTGGTCAGAAAGGTGTTCGTTGAGTATTCGTCCAAAAGAACGGCTGAGCTACGGAAGGATTCGGTCGATCCTCGATGACCGGATACGCGGATGGCGGGCCTCCCAAACACTCTGCATGCCATGCTTCGTCGCTAATGCTTAACTACTAGATAACAAAGTCCTTGAAACCCTCAAACAAGCCGTCAGCTGATTTTGTAGCCACAGACCAGACTGGCTCGAATCTGTGTAACTCGTCATATGCAGGTATAGCGCCATTAGTGTTGGCATCTGCCCAACTGCACCACGCTCTCCCACGTTGGCCTGTTGCCGCCCCGTCCTTCTCTTTCTTACCATTCTTCACTTCGGGGCCTACCGGCCATGTCACGTTGACTCTGAAGTTCTTGTCCCAATCTCGACTGAACAAAGTCACACGATTGCTGCCTTCGGGCCCGACAGCTCTCTGTAACGGGGATGTAGCGCCTCCTTCTACGGCGACGGCGTTCACTGCGTTTTCGAATTCCAGTCGACAGATTCTCGTGTTCAGGCCTTTCAAGCTGAAGAGAGCGCTATCGCCGTCGTGTGTAACGTTCAAATCAAGCCACTTCTGATAAGGTTTCAGTTGTTTCGTGTGATTGCCTTTCTTCGACGCTTGCAGAGCACCGTATCCATTGGGTACCACGTTGGGCTGAAGGCCATGCCACGAACAACTCACAAGCCCTCTTCGTTTTGCCAATGGGGATGCGTCCTCGCCACACGAGATATGCTGCCCTGCTGCGCTTGGCATTTCAGCCACAACAGTCTGCACGTAGCCGTCCAGCCCAGAAAGAGTGACATTGTTTTCTCCCGAGGTCAAATTCATATGCTGAACAAAGTAGTACTTCATCCGCGCATCTCGAGAGAAGGGGAATGCAAGTAGTGTATAGATCAAGCATCCTGTGAAGACGAGGGTGAGGAACGTCGGGATGTGATAGGTAAAACGATGCAAGAATGGACTGAGTGGTAGCAGCAGAAGAACACCGAGTACTGCCATCAGTAGATATACTGGTAGCACCGCATTACCGTCTGCTGGCGTTTGGTGCGTTGCGGATGTGATCATCAGTGCAATTTGCCCAACAATGATGACATTGATTGGAACAAGAATCAGGAATTGCAGGATCCAGGTGAAGCTGGGCAAAGAAGACGACCAGGCTTGTTCGTCCAGATACGCTTTGTTGAGTAGCGGCTCGTCAACATCATCTGGCACCTCGTCTCGATCTGCTCTGCGGCGACCGAACATGGTAGTAGTACGCTTGTTGGCACGGTCGTCTGAGTGGCTCAGGAGAGATGATCTTTCGGTCGGCTCTTCCGCATCTTCGGTGGCGCCTGCGTTATCGAGCAGCCTACGCGAGGACCTGCTGGCTGGACGAACAGATCCCGAATCAGCCTGTGCGCCAAGTGCAGTCTCAACATATTTCTGCTTGGTCGGCAAGGCAAAGAGCTCCAGGTATGAGATCAAGAGCGCCAGGTGGGCAGAGAAATTGTAGATCACCACAAAATAGCCGCTTGCAATCTGGAATTGGTGCTCGCCAACCGTGGTGAAGACTAAAGCGATCCAGGTTAGTATGTAGAGCCACAAAAGGCAGAACATGCGGTGTAGCGCTGTGGGTCTAATGTTGGCGGCTCCTGCCAACAGCAGCCAGGCGACCGCGGACCAGGCAGACAAGAATGTTGCCCAGACGGCATATTCAGAAGAGTACGCGATGTAGGGGTTGACCTTTGTTAGCAGATATGCTAGCAAGACTGTGATGCCAGTGGCCACAATGAATGCAAACAAGAATCGGAAGAAGCCTCGGCGACCGTGAAGTCGAATCGATTCGTCGTCATCAGAAGAGTGCAAGTAACGCTTGCCGGCCAAGAGGTACCACTTATCGTTTTTGCGCAGTATTACCTCGAGAAGAATGAAGATGATCGGCCCTACGACGAGCAGGGTAACAGACAGGGCGAAGAGCGTGTGCAATTTGCCCACGGCAATGGCGCGACCAAGCAAGTCAAAGTAGAAAGAGTCGCTGCCTTTGCCTGAATCGACTCTGCCGCTCGAATCAGTAGCGCCGTCAAAGTCGTCTGACTGGTCAGAAGTCAACTGTCGCAGTGTCGCGATGGCGGCGCTCAGCATGTGCCAGACACTATCCTTGTTGGTATCACGAGCTCCGTCTTGGTCCGTGTGGTAACGAGCTCGAGGCTCATAGAAGGCGACATCTAAGCCTCGAAGGTTGAGCTCTTCCGTAAACACACTGTAGTCGGTCCCGCTGCGAATGAAGCCTCGCTTGAAGCCATCAGCGCTGACCACCGTACCAAAAGGATACGGGCTTTTTGAGTAGGCTTTCGTGACCTCCGCATCTGTGCTCCGGAATAGAATAGCTCTGCCACCAGCGCCAGCGCCTTCCAAGTTCAAGAATGTGTGGGCGAACGAGGCGACCGGATGATTCACGTAGTTCCTCGCTCCGTATAGCCCATTCTCCTCGCCGTTGTTGAGCAGCGCGACAATGCCTCGCCGTGGCCTGTTGCCCTTCGTGGTGAAATGCGAGATGAGCTGTAGGACCGTCACCACACCAACGCCATCATCAGTGGCGCCGAATCCACTCGCGACAGAGTCATAGTGAGCATTCACTAGGACACCGCTTGGTCCTCTGTAGCTTTCCGTGCTGTTCCACCAGTCGCCTTCATCATCCTCCGTGCCTCGAATGTACACAATCAGGTTCGTGCTCTCGCCGTATAACGTTACTGGTGCATGGGTCCAGTCGTCGAGCGCCGTGAAGTTGGACGTATCGTTGGCAAAGACAGTCACGAGCTGCGGTTCTGTCGTCTGCGATGTAAAGCCATGCTCGGTCGCGTAGACAGTCTTGTGTCCAATCTCATTTTCTTGCAATATGTGGCTGATCCTGTCGAGAAGGAAGTCGCGTGCGTCGTCGTTGGCTCGTGAGCCCCATGGGTGGTAGCTGCTCGAGAGCACGCGCAGGTCGAGCCAAGCTTGATCGATGTCGATGCCCGGAGCAGGCGTGGGCGAGCTCGGAGCGGAGGGCACGGTGGTGTGCACGACGAGGAGGAGGGCGAAGAGGGCGATGTAGATGGCCGACGCCCAGAAGGTGACTTGGCTGGGCAGAAAGGCCAATGGGTTGCGTGATCGCGTGGTGCCCATGCTGCTTCTGCTCTTCCACTGCAGTCCACCTCGTCTACGACAGCACCGAGGATGAGGAGAACAGACGATGCGACACACCTGCTGGAGGCGTAGAGCAAGAGCTATGGTGGGCACGCGCCTGTGGGACTGGGGTCGTCCCGAAGCAAAGGCGTCATCCGGCTGATCACAAGATACCACTGTGTCTGGGATAGGCAGTCTGTGTCTGAGATCATATTGTGCACCCTGCTACGACAACTCTACGCTTTCACGCTTTCTATAAAATGCAACGACTGCTGACGAACGCTGTGCGGCAGACGAAATGCTCTGGGTATCAAAGAACCGATTACTTCATCCCAACACCAAACCAATGCGTTCATGAAGGTCATGTCTGCCGTGTACCACACCACCTCGTAGCTATCATGAACTTTCCCCTCACCTCTCATGTCATTGCTGGTTCTGATAGTCTGGCATCATATTCATGTTCATGGGATTCCATGTCGACTCTGCGCCCCCGAAAAGCCCTTGGATGTCGATGTTAGATAGTGGCGGCTGCTGCCACTGTCCATTCGGCACTTGTGCAAGTGTCGCTGTGGCGCCCGTTGGCGCCCCATTGGTGAAAGGCAGCGCTTGCCTCGCTGGCTGCTGCTGTTGCTGCTGCTGAGGCAAGTAGCCTCTGCCACCGAATGATGGTATGTTGTGGACCGGCGGTTGATGCTGTTGGCGTTGCTGCTCGAGGTACGGCGGGAGTGTATAGAATTGTGCTTCAATGTTCTCAGCCGGATCCCGTGCCGAGCCAACAGGGCTGGATTTGCCCATGTTGCCAAACGCCTGTCGATTCAGGTACGCGGCGTTCTTCGCAAACTGCTGATTGTTCTCAAATGTCGTCAACGGTTGATTGGGATAGATGAATGGCTCATCTGCAGTTGGGAACATCATTGATGATAATTCGGAAAGTTGTGGATTTGCGAAATTCTGCGGCATTGTGTATTGCTGCATGCCGCTGTCCACAGGGTGCGATATGCTTCTGTTGCCCATGGCCGAGTATGCATTCGGATCGAACGATGCGGATGTCGGTGTCTGCGGCCCATAAGACGACCCAACAGACTGTGACCATGAGGCCTCGTACGGCGACGCAGCTCCAGGTGTGCCGCCGCTTCCAGACATGTTGGGGAATGTCGCTCTTTTGACATCCAGAGCAGTCGGACTCGAGACGTCGGGGTGACTCCGCGATGCTGCAGGCCCCTGCTGATATGGACCTTGTTCGTATGCCCTCTTCTTGCTCATCGCCGGATTCTGCTGTCCGTTTCGAAGCCACGCGGGCAGTCGCTCAAACACAATGTTGAGTGTCGCGGTACAACGGTCAGCAGCCATGCTCCGCGAGGATAGTGAAGCGAGGACATCTCTTCCCTCTATCGCATCCTTCATCACTGCTGCAGTGGTAGGATTGTCCGGATTCTCCGCTGCAAAGTATACCAAAGCCAGGATCGAGAAGAAGGTGGTGTACATGATGAACCAGAAAGCACCATTCAGAAGCCCTTTCTGCTTCATCTGCGATGCAATGTGAATAATGTTCCGTGAAACATTCACAAAAGATGCCGCGCACGCATATGCTCTCTGGTCGACGGGCTTCGATCTGCGTTCCATTGCCGTATAGTGCAGGAAGGGTCGATAGAGAAGTACTTGCGCATGGGAGTATGACAGCCGCAGAAGCTGCTGCACCCGAGCATATCGTGGTGGCGCTTCACATGGCGTCAGAATTTGCGGTAGACTCTTCTTCCACTCTTCCAGCTCGCTCTCAATCTCCCGTATGGTGGAAAACAAGACCGAGTAGGACTTGTCCGCAACGCTCTCAGTCTCGGCAAACTTGATGGGATAGATTTTGCGCACAATCTTTTGCAATATCTGTACCAGTCGCGTGTGAGCGTTGAACGCAGTCATGATAGGAACGACGCCCTCTGGCTGCGTAAGTATCCCGTCTTTGGTGATGTATTCATCGTCAACTTCCACCGGGAACTCCTGGTCAATGTCTTCATCACTCAAGGTTTGCGGAAGCCCAAGCATCGCGCCAACGTATATGTCCATCTTTCGAATAATCCAAAACACTCGTTTCCGGGTCTCGGCCTCCACAGGATCGAATCGTCCAGCCGCAGCTCGATGAAGGCCAAGCCGTAATGCCGATCGCAAAGCCACTCCGACGTAGGCATAGCACTGGGACATCTTGGCGGATGATTGCAAGAAGAGAATCATGAATATCACCGCTTGTATTGATGCGAGGTCTCGGCAATCGGCAATGTCCATGAGTTGCCTGGCAGTCTTGAAGTAAGTGAAGCCCTGCTGAATCGCACTTTCGTACCCATCACGATCGACGACAGTCTCATCGTCTTTGCCGAACAAGCTGCCCAAAGCAATGGCACTGTAGAAGAGGGGGAGGAAACGATTGTCTTCGTTGCTGTAATTATCGCTGGGAGTGGCGTACAGGCGCTCGAAGCTCTCCCAGTATGTAGGATGATGGACCATGCGGAGAAGCGCAGCGGCATCATTGATAGCATACACGCTGAGCTGCCGCGCCATCTCCTTGGGCGGAAGTTCGGTACAGATGGACGCGATCTCGCCCATGGGTGATTCTACGATCGATCTGGGTGAGTCAAACACCTGTGACATTGGCCGGTTCTTGACAAAAGGCGTCGCGAAAGTCTCCGGTCCCATGAGGTCTCCCAACTGCTCGCGCATGCGTCGAACGAAACTTAATCCGGATGAATGGCCATGGTAATCCCAATGGCCTGTCTCGTCCATGTCCAGCTGGGCAATTGCACGCACCATGGACTCCAGGTTCGTGTCGGGTTTCTTTTCGCCCGTATCCGAAGGCAGTGTCGACGCTGGTGCTGGTGCTGGTCTCGACGCTCGAGCTTCGTGCACAGCGGCCGTCGGATTGCCCTTCCCTGGAGCGCCAGGAATCCATCCTTGCTGTACGGCCAATTCAATGCCAGGGTCATCGAGATCAAGATTCGGAATCAGTATATGCAGCAGCGTCTCGGCGCGGTGCACTCGATGCTCCAGGTTCTCTACATATGCCGGGGCAGGATTTCTGCGGCGGTTCGAGGGTTGATCATAGCTGCAATCTGCAAACGAGTTAGACGAGGCATCTCACACCAAGACTGCTCAACACGAACCGTAGCTGTACACCGTACAGTGCGTGCACGGCTGCTTTCCGTCGCATTTAATTTTTTTCCTTCGACATTCATCGCAGGCTCGTGTGACGCGGCGACGCTTTTGCATGTGGCCGGGAGCTTTCACGGCTGGCGCGTCTTGCGCGCCGAGACCAGACGGCGATGCTTGTCCCGACTCCGTCTTGACGCCATTCTCTTCGATGGGCGACTCGGCGCCGCTGGCATAGTCGTCGTGGTGTTCGGGCGAAGCATGCGACATGGCCATCGAAAGCGGGTTAGGTTGATCAGAGTAAGAGGGAAAGGCCCGGCATGCAGGGCATTGAGCGCAGGAGCGGGAGCAGAGCGTACAAGAATGTCACAGGCCGGAGTGACGTCCAGTGGTGCACAAACGGCTCTTGGCGGCAGTCGGTGTTTGTCGACACGATGTAACCGCCCAGGCCTCGCACGCTCTCGCACCGTGACCCCAAGACAGTTCAGCCCTGCCGATCTCTGTAGCAGTCGGGTTGTGTATCTCCGGGGCGTGGATGCGAGGAACCAAGGCAACCTAAGTCAGAGGGAGCGAAGAAGAAGGGTCCTTTTGCGCGCGCCTCGGGCTTTCGCGAATTCGAGTCCGAGAGTGCAGCACCTGCTCGTTTCGCTGCGAAGGTTGTGGAGGAGAGGATCGTGTTACGAGCAGCAGATGACGTTCACCAAGAAGGCCGACCAAGACATAGCAAACCGGGGTGGGCCGTTCTTATGCAGCACATCGCATACCGCCGACTCTGCCAGTACAGCAGTAGTGACGATGCTACGTGCTCACCGCGCGTAATGCGATCCGCCCCTGGGAGTGATAGCGCGATCGCAAGCAGTGGTTAATAATGCCCTGGCCACGGCTCCTGTGCACACACGACGACGACAATGCGTCCGACCTCGCCTGGACTTTAGGCCTAAAGCCCGTGATTACTACTATAAGGCTCGCCGGTGGTCTGCGCCTTACCAGGGAGGGGTAAATGCGAACAGCGATCATCCATTCCGCGCAGTCTCGCGACTCGCAGCGTGGCGTTGCGAGAATTCCCTGCAACTGCCTGCAGACGCACGGCGCATGGCCGCCAGTCGCGCGTCTCGTTTGGCGAGCTTGACCATGCAGAGCAATCGCTTGCCCGTTGCGCCCTCGCGCCCCAGACACACAGACATGGTGGATCCACGCCATGCCAAGCGACGCCACAGATGCAGATGAAGGTGAAGAGGCTGCTCAGGCCTGCCGAGACTTGGCTGAATGCTGGGCTCTCTGGCACACTTAAGCAGAACTAGGATGCCCCAGTGCCAATGGCTGTGCTGTGCTCGAATGCCCGTCTGCTGCATAACCTTCCCACGCGCGGCCAAGTCTTGCCCGCGCCCATCGCGAAGTCGAAGGATTCGCTGCGCTGTGAGGGCCAGCGCGTCATGTCATGCCTCACCACCGCCGGCTGGGCCGCCCACACTTCGCCTGTGGATTCGCTTCCCAAAGATTTTTACGCCCGTGAAAAGCAGGTGCCACTTTTTCACCTTTGCAAAACCGGACCCGAATTGGTGATTGGACACAGCCAGGTCACTGTGGCTCGCGTTGAGGCGTTTCTCCCCTCGCCCCTCTGCCACAGGTCAAGAACGTGTGGATCCTCTGACGATGTGGTACAGAAAAAGAACAGCGGACCTTCGAGAAGCTCGTCCGCGCCGCTGCCGTGAGCTACTACTGCAGCACTAAACCACTGCGTGGTAGCCGTGTTCGGAAAACAATGCGACGTGCCTCGTCTGCCCTACCTCCGACGACCGTATCCATTGTTCTCCTCCACAAAAATGGCAGCTCGTATACGCATCGACTCGCAAACAGAACAACCAACTCTGTGAACTATCGCAAAGTGCTAGATTGCCTGCGAAAGACTCCTTATGCTTTGTGGCTTCCTGTCACTTTATTGAAAAGACGCGTCACCCCTCCAAATTGTACTTACTTTTGGTAGCGACCGGCCTCGATGCTTGCTTGGACGCGCACTCTGCGTTTCGAAACGGGATGCAACAGGCACGCCATGCAAGAGAATAATACCGCAACGAGCTCCTGCAATGTTAGAGCCCTCCCCAAACGAGATATGCCACGCGTACATGAACTCAAGACACGAAGTCAGGAGGTGAAACCGTAGCGACAGCTCAAGCAAATGCCAATAGCTAGTACTTACAATGGCCTCGTAAGGCCCTCCGACAGCAGAGCGGGCGACGGCGTCAAGTTGTTCGCAGACAAGACCTGCCTACCATTCTAAAAGACCTCCTGCCTCGGCCTCCTGGCCACACTTTCGCGGTTACAGGGGCTGCCGTTGCAGGTATTCAGAGGGCCCTTCGAAGTTGCACACACTACATGTGACAAATAGACGAAAGCCGGGACGAATTCGACAGCAAGCAGCGTTTGCTAGCCAACATTTCAGCTTTCGAAATTGTCAGCCAATGTTCAAACTGACATCCAACTGGGCGCGAGAAAGCCAGCCTGCATGGCGGTTCCATACCCACAAGACACATTGTACAACGTTTATGCACGCGATTGCGGAGCTATTGCTCTCTATGTGAGCAATGACATATGAGCCCAAGAGCCCCGTCTCTTGACATTTCGTAAAGATGTAGGAGGTAGACGTCGCCTCAATTATGGCGAAGTCCCCACCTTGCAGGCATGTTCACCTTCCTCTTTGGGCTTGCAGCGACAGCCAACCAGCGTCGACGTTTTATCGGATTACTGTTGCCACAGAGAAGAAACGAGCATCCTTGTCGGCCAGTTGGCAGCCAGGAGATCGGGACCGACCTTTTTGCAATGAGCATGCGATAAGAGCTCCGGCGCTGTCTGACCGTACTGAGATCAGAGGATGAGTGGCATTTGATCACGAGTAGCGGAATCTTTGCGCAGTGCAGTCCGATGCGATCCCACCAGATTCCCAACATAATTCCGCTCCACTGAATCGAAGTCGATTTAGCATAAATGCGGATCAGGATTCTTTCTGAAAGAAGACATTGGGCTCTCCTTGCACCTTATCCGACAATCACGCTAATATGTGACGAACAGAGCAGCTTGGGCCATCGTACAGTTCCTATGCTATGTCGAAGTTGTCAATCTAGACTAGCACAGCATATTTCATTGCAGGCCTCAGGCCATCATCGAAGTGGGGCCCATAGCCCCGCGTCAATGTGCACGCATCAGCTTCCACAGACACTTTCCTTAGCACAAACAACAATGTAGCAACCTCAAAGTCGATCTGCTACGGCACGATCAACACCACAAAAACCATCCAACCATGTCTCACTGCCACGACGAACATCACGACCACAGCCATGACCACTCCCACGGCGCTCACGACCACACCAACGACATAACCCCCGCCCTCCAACACCACATCTACGACCAAATCGACTTCTCCGCCATCACAACCCTCAACGAATCCACATCCCGCTCAGGCGCCGCAATCGTGCAAAAAACCTGGTCCGAACGCCTCAACCCCTCTCCCTCCCTCCTCAGCGAAACCGACGAACAACTCCTCATGCACATCCCCTTCACAGCTCAAATCCGCCTTCACTCCATCCTCATCCGAACCTCCACCACCGACTCCGCACCCATGACCCTAAAACTGTACGTCAACCGCGAAGGCCTCGATTTCAGTACCGCGGCAGATTTACCTCCGACGCAGACATTAGAGTTGGCGCAGAGTAATGATGTGCAAGAAGTTCCCGTGAAACGAGCTCTGTTTAATACAGTGAGGAGTTTGGATTTGTTTTTTCAGGATAATTGGGGGAGAGGAGATGAAGATGAGACGAGGGTGGATTATTTGGGTTTCAAAGGGGAGTGGATGAAATTGAGTAGAGAACCGGTGAATTTCTTGTATGAGGCTGCTGCGAATCCAAATGATCATAAGTTGCCTTCGGGAGTAGGGGAGAGGTTGGGAAGTGATATTGGAGGAGCTGGCGGTGGTCGGCATGGGATGTGATGTCGCGAGCATGAGCATTCTTGCAATCAGTATCGAAGAGCGGACAGCGAACGAGAAAGAACGGTTCTTTTGGCTGCACAATCTCAGACTACACTACATTACAGATGATCTTCGAAGAACACTGTACAGGGTATCCTCACAAAAAAAAGAAATCGAACATGTGCTGTGCTCCGCGGACAACTCAGAAACAGCCACAGCCGGCCGTTTTCTCCTCACCGGTTTCGACCCAGCGTTTGTCTTGCTGCAAACGTACCACTTCACGGCCATGTTCCTACCATGTCGTGCCTTGGCCCTTGTAAGCGCCGCTTTCGAGAGCCGGAATGGAAATGCCATAACCCTCGGTTCGCCCATCCTTCGCACCTGGCTTGATTTCTACGCGAATGCAGACATCGAGACCATCGCGTCCGGCCAGCCCTGTTTTCTTGATGCCGCCTGCAGCAGGATGCTCCGTGCCGGCCTGGACTTCACCCTTGTGAATTGGCTCACGCATGTTCTTTGGCAGTGTGAAGTCGGCGTTGTTTGAGGTGTCACCCACACCATCAATGGTGCCGTTTGTGGCGACACCGTTCACTGCAGCTCCGGTGTGAGAGTGCGACTCTGTGATGATTGCATAGTTCCGGCTCGGCATCGTCGCGTGATTGTTCTTCGCCGTCTTGTCTTCCACTCCTTCCTCACCCTCGCCAGGATTCTTGTTGAACATCTCCAGCAGAGTCTCGTCCGTCTCGTGGTCCAGGTGGTGGATCTTGTTGCGGCGTGCAAGCAAGTTGGCCACAGCCTGCGGCGGTGGCTTGTTGGTAATAGCAGAGCTAACAATATTTGGCATGTAGCGGAAATCTCGCTCGGCCGGAATATTGAGATGTGCTTTGCTGTAGAAGCGCCCAAGCGCTGCCAAATGAACATCGCCACCCAGAATAGTAATACGAACGCTGTGATCCTTCGAGATCTGCTGCAGCCTGTGAATCAATGCCTTGCGCTCCTTCTTGTGTTGGTGCGCTGTGTAGTGGTCGTCCAAGTCGTCCAGCAAATCAACACCACCGTCGAACTGGTTGAAGAGGCTACCTGCAACACCAAAGCGCTTATTGAGGAACTTGATCGGTCCAATGATTGGACTGCTAATGATGTTCTCCAACCACTGCAATCGAGGGTACGCGATGGGTACTCCCAGGAGAAGGATCAAATGCTTGATAGCACCGTTCGAGCGAGCAATCTCGTCATTCGCGCGCTTGAAGATCTGGTCATAGGTTTCTGGATAGTTGATCTGATGTCTCGTCCGCTCTGTTCGCGCATCGATGCCCAGGAAGGCAATTCGTTTGCCAAGCTGGCAGTAGATGCTGCGACTTCGCTCTTCGACATATGGGCCAGGTCGCGTACCGATGATCCAGCTAGGGTCCTCGCGCTTTGGGACCATGACGAAGGTATCCTTGAGCTGAACAGCGTCTGGAGAAGTCGTATGTCCTGTGGTCTTCGTGGTCTGAGGCGCATCGGTGCTGTACGTAGAAGGTGGCGGTGGGATGTGGTGTTGGAACAGGAGGTAGTACTTGTGGGCGACACCTCCAATGCCACGGAACACGGAACATTTCATGAAGTGGTCAGTGTACGATCCGAAGCCTAAAGGACACACACATTAGCATAGACTAAACAAGAGGTTCGGGAATTCGCACCATCGATAATGTCATGGTCATCCCAGATGTTCAGCTGCGGGATTTGTCCATTGGCAAGGGCAAATTCCTCGGTGCCGTACCAGCGGACGTAGTTCTCGTAGTAGTAATCATCGCACTTCTTCCTCATTTCCTCGTTGAAGGGAAAATCGCGTCGCTTCTTTGGGTTCGCGATATCCGTCCATGGACGCAAAGGGCCATCCACACGCACACTGTCGTTGTAGATCTGGTCTCCGCCTCCAATCATGATATGCAGCGGCTGCTCATTGTGCACGCGCAGGACATCATTCCATAGCACTGGGCCGGTCCATGTGTTCATGTCTGTACCAACACTGAATCCGTTGCAAGAGTGGAACATGATGCGCATCGACTCGTGTTTCGATGGTACGACGAAGCGCAGAGGCTTCGTGACGGGGGACTTGTCGGTAGCGCTGATCATGTCCGGTATACTGTATGCCCATGTCGCCTCCTCTTCCTGAAATGGAACATCGATCACGTAGCGCCAGAAGCCTCTTGTGGGATCCTCATACAACTTCTCTGCTTGGAAAGTACGATCCTGACCACCGGCTGCGGCTCCGTTGGTTACAGCACCTCCGTTCCAAGCGCCAATGCATCTCAGCGTGAGCGGGCCGGGTTGTTGGCCAGGAGTCGTGACGATCAGTACACTTCCGTGCCACTGCGGTTGATCGGTATGCTCGTTACTCGTGTGCTTGTAATTGAGCAGGGGCCCGCAAACGATGTCGAGGCCTTCGGTGGTGCTGCGCACTTGCGGTCCATGACCAATGCCATTCTCGTGTCTGGGGACCTCAGCCAGCGTGGCAGCGGGCGGCACTGCATTCGCGCTCGCCCACGCGGTGTCGTGATGAATGCCAGTATCCTCCTTCAGCGCCTCGACCGCAGCGCGTCCTCGGCCTCCCTCGATGTCGTGCTTGTGCACGTCTCCGGTGCTCATGTTGGCAGCCTTGAGATTACAGTGGCGCGATCACGCTGCGACGCGTCCAGAAACAATGATGCGTGCGCGACGTGTTGGCAGAGTGCGCGTCGCTGAGTGGACACGACTGCGCAGGGGGGCCGACGAGAGAAAGTGGAAGAGAAAAGAGGACGCAGGATCGAGAGCAGAAGGATGGCAGCGTAATGGACTGATGCAACACAAAGCTAGGAGCAGCATCAAGCCTTGGCCGGGCAGATTAGCTTCGGCCATACATTGTCGTGACCTACTTTCTCCCCCTACATCCGCGCCTCGTGCCTTGCTTGATGTCGTGCAACGCGTTGTCGTATAGCCATTGATCATCGTAGATCCTACTTTCTTCTACAAGTACGTGCTGCTTGGATTTGACTATGTTGCGAAGACTGGTTACAAAGATGTCTACTTTTAGCGCAGTGTGCAGTGAGTGTCGATGACTACAGCGTGCAGGCAATTGGACTGATGAGCGGCTGCGGCCCGATGATCTTGTTTCTCAGTAACTAGCTCTGCCCATTATTCCCTGATCGTCTTCTTTACGACCCGCTGCTATGTACTGGGGCCCTTGTCCTGCTGCGCCGCATGTCGTGCAGCCTCAGCCACCTCGCAGGTCCAACGCAGCTGATGAGCCAGCTGCACCTCAATCTGAGTCGTAACGCTGGTACTCCGCAAAATTGATCCCTCTGTTGTCCACCATCACCACTGCCGCGCGCAGAGCTCCGCCGTGCTGCTGAGCCGCGGGCTTGGACGACTTGGAGCCAATGCTGGTCCTCATCTTTGGCTTGGATCGTGCCTTGGAAGCTGTCTTGCTGCTCTTCGTGCCCACGCGCTGGCCTTTGTGGTTCGTCGTCCCTGCCACCATCGCGGCCTTCTTCCCGACCTGTCGACGCGCTTTCCTCTCGGCTTTCTGGGCCAGCTTTCTTGCTGCGACTCGCTCTGCCAATTGCTGCTTGATAATGGTCCTGCTCGCTGAACGTCGCTTCACCATTCCACGTTTTGCACGCCCACCGAACGTGTCTTCCACGGGTACCTCGCTCTGCTCATCGTCCGCGACGGCTCCCTCATACTCCACAGTCCGCAACGCCTTGATGCTCATACCAAACGCCCCACTGAACAATCCGCATTTCCTCGCCTTGAGCCTCCTTACTTCTGCTGTGGGCAGTGAGTGTTTCGAATTCAGGATTGGAGCAATTTGGTATTCGGGATCTTCGTTGGGGTCGCGAGGTCTCCTGTCAGTAGACTTGCTGCTCGATAGCACATCCTCCTCGCCACTCTCCTCACTGCCACTGCTGACTGCCAGCACAATTAGTAAATTTCAAAATTGAGGTTTTCGATCACTTACTGGAAATTGCACTTCCTTTCGAGCCCTTGTTGCTAACCTTTGCTAGCTCCTTCTTCTTTCTTCCACTGTCGCGAAGACTCTGATCTTTACGGCCCTTCTTGCTTGGCGTATGGACTGGAACATCGGAGTCAGACTCAGATTCGCAGTGCTGCGCCGAACCTTCATCGTCCTCTCCTGAATCACGCGAGCGATATATGTCCTTGTAGTACAAAGGTCTTCCATTCTGGTTCAGGAAAGCAGGTTGCCTGGCTGCGCGATTCGGGCGTAATCTCTTGGGGGTAGTGTTTCGGAACATTGTCGCGTTGTCTCTGCTGCTTGTCTCGGGGACTGGAAGACGGATTTGTGCTATTGAGTAAAACACAGGAAGGCAGAAGTGCAAGTAGTTTGATAGTAAGATTGTCCAACAAGGCAGAAGAAACGACAATAACTATTCGCTGCCAATTCTTGCTTCACATGCTGCTGAAGTCAAGTGAAGGACAACCCTGTGGCTGCCTAAGCCGAGTTCACATCTTTGGTTTCCCATTCTTGCTCGTCCCCAGCGCTCCTCGATCTTGATCTGTTGGCTCGTTGTTGGAAGTCTCAGCTTTCAAGCTCACAGGATCTCCAAGCTGACTTGGGTTGCCCTTGTTGATCTTCTGTTGTGCAATATCCTTCAACGACTTCCCTCCTCCTTGGTTGTCCAAATCGCCCTCAGTTGGTGCTGGCGCAGAAGACACATCTAACCTCTTGCCTCCAGTGCCTGCCAGATCTTGGTTTTTGAGTTGTGGCTTACTACTTCCATCCTTCAAGTCTCCTTCGGTTGGTGATGGTGCAGCATTATTGTTGTGCTTCCTTTTATCTGCTAATGCACCACGATCTTGATCGGTTGGTTCCTGTATTGTTCAGTGGACTATCATGACGCCGCCAATTGTGTTCTATACATTGTTCGATGTCTCTGCCTTCAACGATACTGGATCGCCTATTTGTGTAGGGTTCTCCTTCGCCATTTCCTTGAGACTTTTCTGCTGTATTATCATCAGCCAGTGAGACAACAAAAATGCAGTTGCAAGAGCTTACTGGAGCCATTGTGACGATACGAATGCTTTGATTCAAATTGTGAATTAATTTTCGAAAGAGTAGATCGATACTGTGTCTTGCACAGCGACTTGTAAACAATGCCCTTTCACGACAGTACTGTAATCATGTCGTCAACACTTCTCCGCCCACACGTTGTGCCTAGGCAGATCGGCAGCTCCTGCCAGATTGGCTTTCCCCAGATCTTGCATATGAAAGCAGGTGGAGCCGGACGTCATGCTTCGGAGTACCGTAGCCTAAAACGGTACATAAAAGCCCAACAAATGTGTTGTGCAGCATTTCTAAAATCCAGACTTCCGTTTCTTCTTCGCTGGCCTACCTCCAAAACGTCCTGGTACGACCTGACTAGCAACAGCAACACGAGGTGCAGACGGTTGGCTGCTCATGACCATAGGCTGACTCTCGGTCACCATCGCAGCTGGCTGGCTCGCAGTCAGAATCTCGGGCGCTTGACTGCTTGCCATCTGCTGCGCTTGACTCGCTGCAGCTTCCCGGCGCTGGCGCTTTATGTGCCTCTCTGCACGTCGCTGGAGGCGTTTTCTATCCCTCTCTGACATTTCTTCGGCGTCGTCTTCGTCCTCGTCATCGCGCTGAACGTGCTTAGAAGTACTCTGCCAGTCATATTCGGCTGGCGAATCTCCTACGTTCCAATGGGATAGAATCTTGCTCATTGGGCGAGACAAGACCGACGGAGATGGCTTACTGAATGTGGTGTATTTGCAGAGGCGGAATATCTCGGGTGCCGCGAAGCTCGAAAGACCTGTCGACATTGTGACCACGGAAGGTGTAGCTGTTGGCGATGGAGTGGGTAGCGTTGAGAATTGTGACGATCCTGCAAGATCCATTGGCTGTGCAGAGCCTTCTCTGTTGGCACTGAGTGGTGCTCTGATCGGCAGCCTCGACAATGCCGCCGTTCCGGAATACTGTTCCTCGCGGCCACGAGCTGAAGCCTGAGGTTCTCCCTCATCTGCGTGAGCGACTCGGCTCGCCAAAGCTAGTTGTGTCGTGACGTGACGTGCGACTGCTGCTTTTGCAAGACGCACGCGTCCTGGTACATCATCTGCAAGACCTGCAAGCCAGCAACTCATAATCGCGTTGTACATCTCGGGGAGCGAATGAGCGTGGAGTTCCGGTGGAAAATCGATGGGCAACCTAGCCATGATAGGACTAATTCGCAGGCGCTGTTCTGGTGTGAATGCATCATCGGATGAATCGCGTACGTGAATGGACTCAGAAAGCAGGTACTGCACCTCATCCAAGCTCTCGCCTGCCCCAGGGTTCGCGACGCTGATCGATTCGGTATCTTGAAAGCTGTCCAAGGTACGCATAGGCAGTATTGTGTCTTCTTCGGTGCGGAATGCAGACTTCGCCTCGCCCACAACATGAGCCACAGAGATGAATTCTTGGTGGACATCGAAATCCTTCGCGACACGGCTCAGGTCAATTCCTCTGTCCTCTGGCTCGCGTCTCGGGGCGATTCGTCTCGCGCGTCTCGATACAGGTCGTTCCTGCACGTGTTCGTCATGGACAACGCTGTCGCCTTCGATAGCGCCTGCAAACCCGATTTGCTTCACTTTCGCACCAGTAGCGTTCAGCTTAGTCTCCCAAGTTGTCACATACTCCTGTTTGACGGCGTTGCGGCGCGACCGATAGAAGATTCGCTCCAGGACCGTGTCGTCGCTAAGCACAATTGTAGCTAGGAAGAACTCCGTTTGGCCTTGCTCTTCGTTGAGTATCCCGCCTCCGCTTGAGGTAATTGGAGTAACATGCATGTCTACAATTGTTGACGAGGTGCTGTGTCGCTTTAGTCGTACCTCGATCGGATCGATGATGTGAAAAGTCGCTTGTGCTGATGTGTTGAGACCATACAAAGTTGCAACACCACCCGTGCGTGGATATAATAACACGTTTACACCTAAAGAAAGGTTAGCTGGAAACAGATTACCACGCAGTGCAGGCATACCCTCATCGAAACACCAGATGCTCATCCGCATGTCTGTAGCTTCGGGATTGCGGAAATGTTCTATTGTGGCGATGTTCTCCACTTGTACTCCATGTGATCCTGAGCTCGCGACTCGATACACGAGAAGATTGTTCGTAGTCAGAACTGCAAATTTGTCCATCTGACCAGGTAGAACGGCAAAGTCCAGTATCCATGGCGGACCACTCGCGATATCCGGCGCAACAGTATGCAGCCGGGCACTATTCTGGCCAGCAATACTGATTAGTGTGATAGTATCCCGAGTGCACACTGCTATGATTTCCAGATTGAACAGCCAAGCGATGCGCGCCCATCCATCGCTGAGAGAGCTGGCCTTTACGGCACCCGTCCATGTGCGCGCGACACGAGAGAGCTTGCGAGACTGAAACTCCATTACCGTCCACGAACCGCTTTGATCAACCAAAGCTATTTGCTGAGAAAACCAAGGGTTGAAGGCTACATCGGCGTGCGCTAGATTGCCAGTAGACTTGATATCCACGTCGTACATCAAGTTGGGCTGGATGTTCGAAGATACTTCTTGTTCCGCACTTTTACGTGTGCCATGAGTTGGACGGAAAATGAGTGTCTTCGTGAGAAGGCGAACGCCCAGCAGTGGCTCTCCTCGATCGACTGGCTCCGCGAAAACAACTTGTTGAACAGGTCCGTCGAATTTCGTGCACACGGTCTCCTCGCCGTAGAGAGTGGGGACCGCGACCCAGCTTTTGTGGTTGTGCGATAAGCCTCGTCTTCGATTCTGGACATGGATCAAGCGCAACTCTGTCCTACTCTCGCCACACGCCAAAGCTGCGATGCGCATGGATTTGTGCTGGATTTCGGAGCGAATGCTGCTAGTTGCGATAAGCCTTCCAGTGGTACTGTCGTGGTTCAAGACGGCCTCCTGTGTAGCCTCTGAGACTCGCAACAATTCCGTAAGAAGGCCCGCTGCTGGCTGTAATTCAGGAACATGCTCGAGGAGATCCTTCGTCTGCCTACGCATACGTTGGCCCTGAGGTTCAGCGCGTACAGGAACATTTTTCAATTGCTCCCTATCAGATGGCTGATAGACATGGTTTGGAGGTCCACAAGAACGGACGATCTGGGGAGGCGTAGAGACACGCTCAAAAGACCATTCTTCATCTTCCAGAGAATATGCTACCTGTCCGAAGTGACCGTACGGCAGGTTGCGCTTGGCTCTTTCAGCCATCCGGCTCGATGGGAAGCTTGCAAATCCACACTCTGAAAGCGAGCTTGATCATAGTAGATGGCAGAGTCGCGCTGATTTTTCCAGTTGGGTGCGATATCCTAGCGTTCGCCGGCAGGACCAGTGGTCCTATTTTGCAGTGGTGTTGGTAGTTGTGGTGTCGTGAATGGTAGAGGTGAAGAAAGTCTCGTCTGCAAGTGCAAGTGCCCCGGCTCATCGCAACCGGACCGGGCCGAACTCCGAATGTTTACAGTCTAGCACAACACGCGCGCATCAATCGACAACGACATCCACATCCTCACACACAGCAACAGGCAGCGGCCACCACACGCGCATCCAACATGTCGACAGCCACGATGACTCCGAGTCGATTTGGTTCATCTATTTCCGGCCGACAGCAAGATTACGGTGTTGCAGGCCCATCAATGGCAGACACACTGCCAACCGTCGATTTCAACTTTGAAGAGCTCCGGCAACGCATGGCACAATTTACGCAACGATTCGACGAGTTCATTGAGCGTGGGAGAAAGCGAGTTCTGGAGGAGAAGAATGCCTTCCGGATGAATGTTGCGGACTTGGAGGGTATGAACATTCTTTTCTCTAACCAGCCTGAGAGGATGCTAACGACGCGCAGACCAACAGCGACAGAAGAAACATGCGATTGCAGAACTGGAAAGCAAATCGTCGAACCATGCGCACACATTAGCAAAAGAGGCGCAAGAGACGGCCGAGATGCATGACGCGATCCGGTCGCTGACTGCTGAGAGGGAGGAGCATACCAATCGTCGCGACCAGCTCAAGACTGAGATCGCATCGACCCAAGCAAGGATACGACAAAAGAAGGAGGCTCAGGCTGCGCATCAACGGTCACTCGATGCTCAAGCGCGGCACAACATGCCCGAATTGCGGTTCTGGGAGACTTGTCTGGGGCTACGCATGGAAGGAACAGGCGTCGAGGACCGGCTCAAATTCGTTTTCCTTGGGCTCGACAGCCGGGACGCGGATCGAGAGTGCTGGTTCGAGCTGCAGATTGGCGGGAGGGAGTACGAAATTGCGAGCATGAAGCCACGCTTGGACAGAGAAGAGGCGGCGGAGGCGCAGGAACGACTGAACGAGACGAAAGAGCTTGGGCCATTTTTGAAGGCGATGCGAAGCTCATTCGCGAAGGCAGTGCGAGTGTGATGGCTTTTACAGACGACTACGCCTGCAAGCAATGTCTTTCTTGTTCATTCTGAAAATTCGTCGATACCAGCGACAAGTGATAGCCTGAGTCGAGATGTAGATTGCGTGCGAAACAGCGGACCTACATGAATGTCAGATGGACATCGTCCAGGGTTGTTGTTGCTGTCTGGCTTTCCAGCGCACTGACTCCCCGCTTCTTCTTCACATCACCATCTTCAGACAAAGCTGTCCAGCCTGAACATGAACACCTTATCCCGAGTCAACTCTATATGAGATCGATTGCGCAGCCGCTCAGCAATGCCACAATGTGTTCACTGTCTTGCTCTTTGCCTCCCAACACATGTCGTTCCTCTGGACGCAGATACAGCTTTCAATTCTTGCAAGGCAATGCGGGAAAACTTCGCAAATCTCTGGACAAGTCCCTTCGCTTTCACTGAGTGACGATGCCGTTCATGCGCTGATCATCGAAAAGGTGCAGAAGTAGACGATAGGACGACTTCGTCATGTTCATTGCACTGCGTTGGCGAAGCAGGCCTTATCGTAGGTTCGGCAAGGTGGCAAGTTTTCCATCGAAGCATCAAAGACAAGACTATTGAACTTCTTTCCAAATGCCAATCAACAGAGCAACAAGCCATGACAAAAGAAAGTAGCCCACAGGGTCGTCCAAGCGTTGGTCCAGAGTTCTGTTCGCACCTCGGTCCTGCTCCACACAACCACAGCTCTAATCCACTTTCCTCGTGCCGTACTCCCGAAGCCTTTGCCGCTTGGTAGTATTTCTCCACCAAAGTCATTCGTCCGGGGTTAAGAAGTAGCGAAAGGCGCGCGGGATGAAGGCGTTCACGCAGAGGGCGATGATGCGACATGCTCCTCCAATGTGCAAGATGCAATTGCGCTAACGACCCTCTTCCTGCTGTATGGTGTGCTTGTTTCTCTCCTAGAATCTTCGACTCCTTCGTGTACCCGTGAGTTCTCTGGATTCTACGCTTGTTTCCTGCGTTTGATCGGTTGAGGCCGCTGGACGTATGGATCGGTTATCCATTGAAACGCACTAATGGAGTCGCTCGAACGCGTCTTGTCGCGCCCTGTAGCAAAACCATACCGAAGCGGAACGGTCCAGAACGACGTTATACATTTGAATCAAGATGGGCACCTGGACTTTTGTGAAGGCGATGTGGAGAACCCGAAGAACTGTCAGTGGCGAGTGATATGCTTAGCCATCGCGCAACGACAGCGATGCGTGTGTAACAACAGCTGACTTCTATTGTACGCTGTAGGGTCAGTGGCAAGGCGATGGTATATAACGATTGTGTCGATCTTCCTTGTCATCTCAGCAACATTCGCTTCCTCGTCCCCGTCAGGTATGGCATACCCCGCTCTGCTCCGTTCATGAGCTGATTGTTACAGGCTGCCTCAACAGCATATCTGAGCACTTTGGCGTATCAGTCTTGGCCTCGAATCTGGTCACTACATTATTCCTACTTGGATACTGCTTCGGACCGCTTCTATGGGCGCCAATCTCAGAGAGAAGTGGCAGAAGATGGGTCTGTTACGGGACATACATCTGCTATTCTATCTTCAACTTCCTTTGCGCCTTCACCAACACATTCGCTGGGCTTTTGGTGGGCAGATTCCTGACTGGCACATTCGCGTCCGCGGCACTCAGTAATGTCCCCGGCGTGCTGGCAGATCTATGGGGGCCAGTGGAACGTGGAAACGCAATGGTTGTCTTCTCGATGATGACGTTTGCTGGTCCGGCCCTAGGTCCTGTAGTTTCAGGCTTCTTGGAGCTCAAGAAAGATTGGCGCTGGGCTTTCTACGTTCTGCTTTGGTTGACTGCGTTGACATTGGGCCCGCTCTTCACTATACCAGAAACATTGCCTGAGCAGGTCTTGGTCAACAAGGCCAAAAGGATCCGAAAAGCCAAAGTGCCCGGATATGAGAATGTACAGGCCCCAAAGGAGGCATCAGGGGATACGCTGGCCCAGATCTTCCGTGTTACTCTGACTAGGCCTTGGATCATACTGTGGGATCCTGTAAGTCAGGCCAGAAGAAATATTTTGGATGCTGAGACACGTCGCTGATCTCGGTCTATCGATAGATTTCACTCTTGGTCGCGATATACCTGAGCATTGTATACGCTTTGCTGTACATGCTATTCACGATGTAAGTCCCCATAGGATGTCTCGCTCCGGCATTCGCTGACGACCGCCACGTTATCCCATTGTGTTCCAACAAAAGAGAGGATGGAATAGCGGTGTTGGCGCCCTTCCTCTCATTGGAACCATGGTGGGAGCATGCATCGCAGGAGCTATCGTTTTCTACGAATCGACTTTTGGAAAGAAGAAAATGTTGGCAGGGATTCCACGAAAGCCCGAGGACAGAATGCCTTTGGTGAGTGCTGTTGCGTTTTGGGTCACCACATCCAGACTTGAATGGATGACTAACTGAATGCAAGGCGATGATCGGAGGTATATTGTTTCCCATTACCATGTTCGCATTCGCCTGGACGGCAAACTTCAACTCTGTCCATTGGGTTGTTCCCACAATAGTAAGTGGCACTCCGTCTCGAATCAGGTGCCGTGTGCTGACCCAACCCTTGTTCAAAAGGCGGGAATGTTTCTGTCAACTGCTATTGTCTTGATCTTTGTATCGTATCTGTCGTATTTAGCCGACACATACTTGCAGTATGCTGCCAGCGCAATAGCAGCTAACACAGTATGTGATTTGCATTTGACCAGAATCAGCACATGAATTTCTGCTAACAAGGGAAAGGTATGCCGAAGCGCGTTTGGCGCAGTCGCTCCATTATTTACCCAGCAGATGTTTGATGCGCTTGGAGTGGGAGGTGCTGGTAGTCTCATTGGCGGAGTTGCAGTACTACTTGCCCCAATTCCCTTCCTCTTCTGGAAGTATGGCGAGAAGATCCGAGAACGAAGCAAGTTCGCACCGACAGAGAATACGCCAGAGTCGCAAAGTCGAGAGTTGAAGACAGAAGGAAGCGGCTCCGACGAAGACCGAGCAGGAGGTCGTAGTCCCGTGGATGTGGAAAAGCAGCACCAGGGCGTGCAGAGCCAAGATCCATACCTAGATGCAGCTGGCCAGGAAAAGGCGGAGCGCATAGATGAAAGAGTCTAAAATTACTAGCACTTACTACGATTTTATCATCCAGCGTCTATGGCCAGCTTAGCCAGGTCGCCTTCAGCTTTGTCTATCCTCTTGAGCAGGAAGGACAGTGTTGCGTCTCTCGCCTTTTCCAGGACTCGCAATCGGTCCAGTGGCAAGGTCGAGTAGTCCGTTGAAGCGTTCGCGGTTGGAGTCGAAGCTGTCGCCTGCTGTGCATCAGCATCCGCTTCCTTTGTCTCAGCAATGCCATCTTGGATATCCTTGAGCTTCTGCTCCTTGTCTGCAGCGAGCTTCCGCAGTACAGTAATACTCGCATCTCTGTCGGCGAGTGTTCTGCACAGCTTGGCGTGCTCTTCCTTATCCTCCAACACTTTCCGTCTCTTTGCCACTGCCTCCGCCCGATGCGACTCGCAGGCGCGTATGCTGTCCCGGGCCACAGTCTCGATGTGAGTGAAGCGTACTGGGCCCAGCATGATGCCACCCCACCATCGGGCCACTACAACGCTGCCTGTAGCATTACACGCTTCCATCACCTTTTCCACCTTCTTGCCCGCATATTTCTCTCCATCGTCGTCGGAGCCGGTGACGTACAGTTTGGCTTTGCCGATGCTCTGCTGATTGGACTCGCGCCGCCAGCCTGCAACCTTGTGGTCGGCCGTCTTCAGCTCGGGCAAGGCCTGCAGCTCTTTGGGCTTGAGCGAGGACGAATAGAAGCCGATGAAGGTGCTCTGCCGGTCCTCAATGGGTTGGCTGCGGAAGAAGGGCGGCTCATCTGGCGCATCGTCCGGGTCCGAGGCTTTGCGCTTCAACGACATTGTTGAGGGATGACGACCTCATCGCTGTCGCTCATCACCAATTGCTTGCTAAAGCCACGACGCGTTCGCGGTTGAGGCCGATGCACTGCCAAGAGGAGGTGAGGAACATTGAAGTCAGATCAAATTCGTGTTTGGGTTCTGCTGTTGCACCCGCGCCGACGTGAGCTGAGCATGACATAACGTCTCCTGCGCGACTTGCATCATGCAACGCCCACTGCTGCAGCTGTGATGACGGGCCCACAGTCTCGTCAACCGTATTCACTCGGGCCATCGCGGAAAGCTCACTACTACTCACGCTACACAATGCTGCAGTAGGAAGCACCTCGCCCAAGGCAAGTAAGAGACCCTTCGTCTCTCCGTTTCGTTGTCACGACATCATTCAACTACTCCATTGAGCATTGCACGCCATGGCCGAGCAGCAAGTCGCCCGGATCATCGTCGAAAGCCTTGTCCAGGCCAATGTGAAGGTCGTTTTTGGAATCCCTGGAGCCAAAGTCGATGCCATATTCGACACCTTATCAGATCATCCCGAAATCAAGTTGGTCGTCTGCAGGCATGAACAGAACGCTGCCTTCATGGCGGCCGCTGTGGGCCGCATCACGGGCAATCCAGGTGTTTGCATCGCGACCTCAGGGCCCGGAGCAGGCAATCTGACTACAGGGCTGGTAACGGCAACGACGGAGGGTGACCCAGTTGTAGCCATTGTCGGCAGTGTTCCTCGTCTGCTGAGCACCAAGCACACACATCAGAGCATGAAAGGCATGTCTTCAACTTCACTTCATATCGTTCCCTCAGGCAGCTAACTGGAGCCGAAGCCCTCGACATTCTGCGTCCAACTGCGAAGTCAGCTACCAACATCGACGTGGAAGATCAGGCCGCAGAGGTAATTCTAGCGGCGTTCCGGGCTGCCAATGCCAATCCAAAAGGAAGTGCAGTGGTATCTCTACCTATGGATGTTGCGGCAGGCAAGAGCAAGATTACTGCCTTCCCAAGTTCGGCATTCAAGTCTCCACCTCTTGGCCCAGCGCCGACTGCCAATGTACAGACTGTCGCGAAGATGATAGATGAGGCTAAGCTACCAGTTCTCTTCCTTGGTCAAAGAGCAGCCAGTACCATTGTCGTGGGTGCAGTTCGCCAATTCCTCCAAAAGCATCCGATCGCGGTCGTCGAAACTTTCCAGGCAGCGGGAGCTGTTTCAGCAGACCTTGCTGATGATGTATATTTTGGACGCGTTGGACTGTTCAGAAATCAAACAGGGGATAGAGTCCTTGCCCGGTCGGACCTCATCTTATGTTTGGGCTACGACCCGACTGAATGTAAGTGCCTGTCAAGTCTTGTGTCAGCCACACACGAGATACAGAGCATCTCGACACGAATTCAACCCACACATCAGGCCGGAACAAATACTTATGCTGATCGAAAATGCACAGATGACGCGAGCTCCTGGAATCCGAAGTCCAACTTACGTATCATACATGTGGTGAGTGCACTATTTGCTCGCAAGTCTCGATCGCCGACGAGTTAACTTCTATCAGGACTACACATCCTGCGACTACGGCGCGTACTATCACCCTGAAATAGAGCTACTCGGCTCTGTGAAAGAGAACATCCTGGCCCTTGGCGACACGGTCAAGCACGTGGCGAATCCAGCACAAGATGAATTCTGCAAGTCCCTGACTCGGGAGCTACGATCCTGGCAGCACGACATTGAGAACTTTAAAAGTGACACTGGACTGGTTCATCCACTTCAATTCGTCGCCGCACTGCAAAAGCGAGTCTCGAAGGAGACAACCGTCTGCGTGTAAGACCCCTCTGAGAACAAGCTTGGCGGATTACTGACAGGTCGTTCAGGGACGTTGGCACAGTCTACATCTACATGATGCGCTACTTCTTCGCATACGAGCCTAGAAAGCTGCTCTGCAGTAACGGACAGCAAACATTAGGAGTAGGAATGCCCTGGGCGATAGCTTCCTCGCTTGTCCAAGATCCGCCTTGTTCGCAGAAGGTGGTTTCTGTCAGTGGTGATGGAGGCTTTATGTTTTCGTCACAGGAACTTTCGACAGCAGTGCTGCAGGGGTGCAACATCACTCACTTCATCTGGAATGATGAAGCTTACAACATGGTACGATACATCATTGCAACGTGTTCACTCAAGACAGCGTTACTGACACCTGGCAGGTCGAATTTCAAGAAGTGATGAAGGTATGTTTGTTACGTCTCGCTTGGTCAACTGTAATGGCGGGTAGACTGAATGGAGAGTGCTAACATTGTATCAATTGATCCAGTATAATCGCAGCTCAGGCATCAAGTTGGGCGGCATCGACTTTGTCAAATATGCTGAAGCATTTGGAGGCAAAGGCTTCCGTATACATGACTCCTCCGAGATTGAGAGTGTCATGGACCAAGCACTTGCACACAATGGACTTTCTTTGGTGGACGTTCGGATCGACTACTCTGGCGCCAAGGATCTTGCGGCCGGACTCATTCAGGACTCAGTCGGCTGATATTGATATTCCGATACGCAGAGAAACAATTGCTTGGGGTGCAGAATAAAAGCGAGGCACTGAAGTAGTGCATGGTATAGAGTCTCTGTTGCTCGACAGAGTTAGGTCATCACAAAATCCAATCCCTTCATAATCAACCCTCCACTTCTTTGACTCCTGCATCGTCGGTTACGAGCTTCGCGTCATTGAAATCATCGGAGGTGGGAAGTTCTACGTGAACGTTACTCGCCACGGCCACTTTGAACGTGAGGCCTTTTCCTCTAAGGTCGAGAACATGTCCTCCTGCTGATCGGTCCTGCTTGATGAAATGGAGATGCTCGCCGGCGACTCCGAAACCCTGCCAGTTACGCGGAGTCCGAAAGCCGATGCTGTGCATGGTATCAGCAGGAGATAAGCATGTTTTCGCGGGTACTGTGCTCACATTGTGCCTTCAACATTCTCGTACTCTTCGACTGACTGCTTCTTGCCAAGCTCGGAAAGTGGCTGCCCCTTATACCTGGTGCGACAGCCATGAGCAAGATGCAATATTAGTGTTCGTGTGAATAAACTCACTCCTGGCCCCTCACAGTCCTACATTTCAGGTAGTCGAAATGCCCGTCGATGCGATAAGTCATGAATAGATTCGCCGCATGATCGTTGAAGCTGTTCAACGCATTTTCGATACCGTCTTTGTCCTTGAAATCTACTGAACTTGTCTGTTCGGGTACGAAGTGTGTGCTGACTGCGAAAGGGATTCGGTCCGTATCGTCCGCTTCTCTTGTTTGACCGCCGGCTTGGAGTTGATATATCTTGCCGTCGAGGAACATGAGCTCGCCTTGCATGCGTGCAAAAGTGCCCAGGCCTTGGTTGCCCTTGCTAGCGAGCTTAGTTGCAGTGATGCCTGTCTCGCTGACGCCGTCCATCAAGGCATTGAGCAGACTGTACTGGTATATGTGATTTTTCTCCATGACTGTGGCTGACCTGTGTTCTTAGATGCTCGGGATTATGAGAATCAGAAAATGTCAATTGCACTGTGCTCACGAAGATAAATGGCGCGTCATTGCAGCGGTGTTGCAGCAGCAAAAGCCGTGACCAACGTCATAGGCAGAACCTGCACGGTTGGGGCATTGGAGAACACAGATTACACGCAAACCAGGTTTTGCGTCCATATAAGCAGAAACTCCTGGATGCAATGATGGGCTGAGTCTACAGGAGCGAGTGCTCATTGTTGAGAAACATGAACAGACACACTGCAGCCAGAAAAGGTGACGATTTGCGCGCTCTGCCGGATGTGGGAAGCTGATCAGCCAACGAGGCCGAATCTCTGTCGCGCTAAATGCTCATTCATAGTAAGCATTACAAGCAGAAAATTGAATGTGAACTCGTGATGGATGTCTTTGGATCGAGAGATTTGTCTTTGACCTTCGTGAAGAAAGAGCGGGTCTGCTTCGGATTCGGATTTCAGCAGTTCGCTTAAACTTTTGCCAAACTTCCTGACGTTTGGTCTACCGACAACATTGGCGTCCATTTGCGTGCCACGACCACCACACGCATCATGGCGGACACAGCAGAGGCCGCTCCCGGTCTGACATTCCCAAGAGACACATTCGCCAGCTTGGCGCCGAAGCCTTTCCTGCTCTCACATCTCAAGCTACCCACACCGACACGACCGAGTGGAAGGTCGCCCGAGCAATTTCGCAAGCCTACAATCAATACCGGATCGCTGTCGCACAGCAACGGCAGTGCAGTCATTCGTGTTGGAGATACCGCAGTGGTATGCGGTGTACGGGCCGAGGTCCTTCTTGCTTCCGACATTCCCAATCCGCCCGGCGATGATGTTGACGAGAATGAGATTATTGAGCATCTAGGCCTGATTGTCCCGAATCTGGAACTCAGCACTGGTTGTTCTCCAGCACATTTGCCAGGAAATGCACCAGGCTCCGTTGCGCAATCGCTGTCTTATCGCATTTCGTCCCTCTTGAACGACTCCGGCGCCATAAATCTGAACGACCTTCGCATTGACTACGTGCAGCCAGCCAGCGACGACGACACGATAGATGAGGCCGGCAAAACGGTGACCAAGGCATTCTGGACGCTGTACGTGGACATATTGTGCCTGGCCTTGGACGGTAATGCACTTGACGCTGCTTGGTTGGCTGTCTCTGCTGCGTTGAAAGACACTCAGCTGCCGACTGCACGCTGGGATCCAGACAGGGAGTGCGTGATCTGCTCGCCATTATCTTCCGATGCACGCTCTCTTCGACTTCATGCTCTGCCCTCAATCAGTACTTTTGGGGTTTTCACTACAGCTTCACCACTCAAGGCTTCGAGCAATGCACAGACGTGGCTACTTGCCGACCCTGACGCATTCGAGGAGCAAAATTGCAATCAGTTCATGACTGTTGTGACTCAGGGATCCGACGGAGATGGCCAGCTCATCGCGAAGCTGGAGAGTAGTGGCGGGAGACAGGTTGATCGGCAGACTGTGCAGACGGCATTGCAACTCGCGGGGGCGCAATCTCAGGCAATCAGGACCATCATCCTTGGAGGCTGAGAGAAGTTTGTGGGCATCTTGTTCTGGGTAGCGCGGTTTTGCTGGACCAAAAGCATCAACGCTGCTACTGCCATCGGAGTTTCTAGAGACATACCCCACATATCTCGAGCCCTGCGCGCTCGTCGCCCATTCACATGACGATGGCGGGCGAAGAGATGTTTGTTGAGGATTGCTTGCAGCGGCACGAGAATGGAACGCACGCAGAGTGCAAGCGACACGGCAACCTGAAGCATACCTATGCCAGACTTTGGCTCAATATGCAGATTGCTCGAAGCGATTGCCAGCGCACCGTATAGAGCGGGCACAAGTGCCGGGCGTGGAGAAATTTGGCGGCATGAACGAGTCCGAGATTGCAGCGCGCACACCTTCAACAGAAGCATAAAAGTCCTCTTCCGCCTGTCTCCGGGTGCATTGGATCAAGCGGTTACGGGACTGGACGATCCGCTGTTGCCAATAAATGCCCATCGCCGCTTGCCCTCTGCCTCAAGTTGCGGCCGACGAAGTAGCACTCATAGTACCGTGAATGGAGACCAACAGCAGCGCTGCCGAATTACTTTGGAGTCCTCTCGGGTCGAGACATTCGGTCTAACTATGCGCCGAACCATTGAACGAATTTCGAATGCATCGATATGTCCCAATGCCCGATCTTGAGCCGTGGGTCGCAACATGTGGCATGCGTAAGTTGTGTGACAGCGAACGGCTCGCGTTCTGGTCGTTAAGGCTGAAACGGTAGCAAGCAGCTGGAGCCGATACAGCGTGTCGGTTCGGCACGAAGCTTCTGCCATGAGCTCTGGGCACACTGACCTCCCTGACAATTGCGTCTCGGATAGCGGAACCAATGCGTACAGGAATGTAACCTGGCAGCTGAGAGTAAGCGTGTTCACGCCGCATCTTGCCCTTGCCTCTGCATTGGTTGCTTGGTAACAGCCAAAATCTGCAAAGAGACGAGTGCCACGCTTTTGCAGGGATTCACGTTACACGACGCCGACACTTTTCATGAGGATCTCCACTGGCGCGTCTCATCTAATCTGGAAGCGAGCCAGATCAAGCAAAGCTGATGAGTCCACTCCGAGATCTATTCGGGGACCACACAGCATTTCTGCTTTGTATATTCATGTCGCGTAACCACAATCGTGGCGGTTAAGCCTAGGCCGGGCTGCCGATTGCCCCTTCCTCCCACGTGCTCAGGTCGCACAGCAAGGGTAACGCATGTTTGACACTGCAGTTCTACTCGTCTCACCAAACCATCAACGGCATTTCCTTGGATACCAGAATGCCTTGACTGGTGCCACTGACAGTAGCCTGCGCGCCTTGGACGCCCAAGCTACGAATGTCCAAAAGACGTTTGCTGCGGTCAATTATGCACGCACAAGCAGCCATTCCGTTCGCCAAGTTTGCTGTTAAAGGAGATTTGGTCTTCCCAATGCAGTTCCACCTGCATTGTAGCCCTCGATTTTTCCGCGACATAAGAGCACAATGCGCGTTACACACGATCAGAACGTTCCACGCGATACTGGGACTCAAGGATTACCGGTCGACAAGCAGCGAGTGCCCGCCAATACCCACACCTACCGCTCAAGAGGCCTGGTCGTGCATTTGCTCTAGCCTGTGACAACCGACTATGGCGCCGTGGCATACGCGAAGGCGTGCCGTGACGTCCTTGCCACAATCATAAATGCAGCTCTTCTCAACCACTGGTGCCGTCTTTCTTACTATCTGCCACTTTCTTCACGAAGCCTCCTCCACTTCTGAGATAGCATATCTGACGAGCTGATCATCGGCACACATCAGTAGTGTCAAGTCTCCCTCATGGCGACCGAAGACATCAAGCCTACCTCTGCGGAGCCCGAAACCCCACAAGAATTGCCCAAGGTTCCCGACTATCTTGCTTCGCCAAACGCTGTCTTTGGAGATAAGGGCGTGCAATGGCGTTATGGCCGGGCACCAGACTACTCGAAGACACGCAAAGTGTGGGCTGAAGGTGAGCAGATGTTCTGGCAGTCTCTTGGATCTCTACACCTGTGATGCCTGTCAACTCGGTGGCGCACAGCATCTGCTTGTTTATGCACGCGACTGGACGCTCCACGTGGCCACCCTATCCCACCCGCCATGACACGAGCGCCAGACTTCGATGCTTTGGGAACCAAGCAATCACCAGCGCACCCAGACCTACCCTCAGTCATCCATTGCTCCGGACCCTGGTCCATGACTTTGAATATGCGCGATTTTGATCGTCCATGTCCACTCTGCGTTCATTGTCGGTCAATTGCTCCCGTATCTGACAATAATGGAACAGGGAAGACGATGAACCACGCTGCCGGCAGTCTCGAGGAAATGGTCGAAAATCTGGTCAAGAATTGGGAGGTCGAAGCATCGTTCAAGCCACGTCTGTCGGACTGGAGAACCATTGATCACGAGAACTACTCTTTTGCAATGGGAGGAGGGCCACCAATGTAAGACCTGCAGACTCTGATAGCATGCCTGATATTCTAATCACCGTGGAATCTAGGTCAGCAGAGCACATGATCAAGGTTCGTGTCACAAACAGCGAATGCTCGGTCCCATGAACTGACACAGTGGTCTGCAGGTTGGCACGTACAACGGAATTATTGCACCGAATGAATACTACAGTCCGGAGAACTCGGACTTTGCTTCAAGTCACAAGACTTTCAAACGTATGATGCCCACCTTTGCGTGGGAGGTACTGGAAGTGTACAGCGGTCCACCGAGGGTTTCATTTCGATGGAGACACTGGGGAACGATGAAGAGTGGTAAGCAGAGGCTACAGAGTAATATTTCGAAAGATTGAGCTCCATCTAACTTGTGCACAGACTATGTGGGCTTTAACGAGTGAGTCCGCGTTCCCTCTATCGCGTCTCCTAACGTTGCTTTGGCACTCAGTACTGACACCTACTAGCAAGGGGGAAAAGGTTACAGCAAAGGCCCATGGCGGCATCATTGACATCGAAGGCGTCACTATCGCGGAAGTCGACGACAAAGTGCGTCTTCGAGCTATTCAGACTTGGATGGATCCTCTTGAGATGTTTCGCCAAATTGCGCCCCAAGGAATCGTCAACAAGCAGACGATGAATCGCAAAGTGGATATGGAGACCGCGCTGGACGTAGACGCGGATAGCGCAGCAGTCAAGCAGACCGCGGACTCAGCAACGAATGGCAACTCCGACGTCACACAGCAGCCCGCCTCTATCTCTGCCGAGAAGTCGGGGCATGCAGAGGGTAGCCAGGACGATGGAAGCAATGGTGTCTACATGGGACAGACAGACCAATCTTCGACAAAGACGCAGCAAATGCCTTCCAGACCTCTCACAGTTGGGCTCACTGACACATCACTGGAGCAAGCCAACTCCAACGCGAAGAGTATCGTCGACAGCGCCGCCACGCAAGGCGAAGACAGAAAGCTCGAGAAGCCTGAATCGAATGCTCAAGCCGAAACCGAAGTTATCCCTCCCTCAGAGTGGCCAAACACAAAGTCGGCTCCAACTACAAGCCAGGCCGAAGAGGAGCAAGTTCCACGTTCAATCTACTCATCGTCCATCACAGGGCGCGAAGAGGATGTGGTCATTGCGGCCAAGCGTGGCAAAGTCGAAGATGAGTCAAAGGTCACCGGCACATATGACGACGTCGACAAACACTTGGAAGGCTCGGCTGAGCAAGTGCACCCTCACCCCAAGGACACGGAGAAGAAGGTCGGGCCGGAGGCTGGTGAAGCTGTGGCGGCTGGATCGGAGACCGAAGAGACCAGACTGACACATGAGGAGATGAGCAAGATGACTCCGGGTGAGTGTCCGTTCTTGATGAATCGGGAGTGAGGAACTCGCGCCGTTGAGCCGCGTGGAGGAACAGGTCTGGTACTTGGGTTTGATCAGTGCTGTTGCGTTATGACCAATTTGTGATTTGCGCTCGCGTTCGCGTGATTTGTACGATAGTTTTGCTATTCTACCAATTTGCCTGAATAAACTGTTGCTGCTCGATGTCATCTCAAGACGCAGGTATGCTTATCATATGTATCTCGTCTTTGCCTGCCCCCGACTGAGATGCGAACAAAGGAAGAGGAATTTGTGAATGCAGCAACGAGGTCTTCGACTTGACTCACACATGCTCACAAATGGCGCGGCGCAATGCTGACGTGACTTGTCTCTACCATCGCTCGCCCGGTCTGTGTGGGCGCAGACGGATGGCACTTCTGTATTGGTAGGTAGCACGTTCTGCTGTTTCACGGATGAAGATCACGTCTGGTCACCTGAATTGCAAGAAACCCTGCCGCCTGCGGCACAAAACCGCTCAGCCAATGATTGGTCGCTGAGCTGTGCTGACCTTTTCTTGACGGATGTTGCACTCCAGGCAGCAGACGGCAAATCTCTGACAAGTGTCCAGTCGATCAAGTCATCGGCCATGTTTGGGCTTTGCCACCACTACTAACTACAGCGTCGGCTGTCGGGCGTGGACGGTGGTGGTGTGCCTAGACGAAAGGTCCGAGAAAGTGGCCGCCCCGGATTCGGATCGTGGCTCCGTGGGCAGAATTGTGAATCCGCAGCGCAGCGCACAGCCCAGCCTGCTACGCGCGAATGACATGGGAGGATCGTGTCTTGTTTGGCGGCCGTGTCTCCGTCGCATGCGGTGCTCTGTGTTTCGTGCTCCGGTACAGTATCAGTACCACCACACAGGCTTGGCAGAAAAGTGCATGGAAGTGACATCGCGATGAGACACAGCGACGAGAGGGGCATCTACAGGACGTAGGGCCGGGAGTCGCGCTGTGTTGGGGCGAGATGTGCTGTCAATCACACGAGGCGCCGCTGCTGGGATGCGTGAGAGGAGAGAGCTCATCATGCGCGCGGCAGAGCTTGCACCGCACACATGGCGAGACAGCTCCCGCCACGGCCTCGCAGTGATGGCATCTGTGGCATGAGCCATGGTGAGCGATGCGAGACACGGCTGCTATTCACATCATCGCTCCAGCTGTGACGATGAGGCGAAGTCGCGTGGGCGGGTGTGGCGAGGCGGGCCAGAGGCGAGAGGTGTCTGGTCTTGGTGCTGGGCGCGTCGCCGGAAGTGGCCGAAGGCAAAGTATGACTGTGCTCCCCTCCTGCCACACGCCGCCTGCGCCTGCGCCTGCGCCGTCCCTGCCCTGTTGGTTGGTTGGCCTTGCCTTGCCTGCCTGCTGCATCTCTGCGCTTGCTCACTCACTCACGACTCGACTCTGCTCAGCTCACTCGCACCTTCCTTCTTCCCCCATCACCACACCACCTCCAGGCAGAATGGCCCCCAACACCACCGCGATCGCCGCCACCTCGCTTCTCTCTTTGTAGGCTGTCGTTGCAGCCTCCGACGTGCGACGTGCCGACTTCGATGCGTGGCGAGGTCCACCGCTGCTTGCGACTTGCCGCCTATTCTTTGTAGTCATACTGCCCACTCGCCACAAGAGTCATTCCTCTTGCTCTCTACTCTACCCTTCACACTCATAATACGTGGTCTCCGCCGCCACCGCCCTTGTACCACCGACCACCTCTCCCCTCCGACACCTCCAACCCTCCTCCGGCCAGCAAGGACGGACCGCCGACGCCGCATACCACTGCGACGCTATCCTGAGCCTGCCTCCACAACACAACCGAAGACATCGACTCCCTCCTAGCCACCCCACTCATCTCCCCGACTTTGGTGGCCGACTAAGCACAACGCTTCAACCCAGCCTCGACGGCACCGGAGCGAAGCTGGCTTAGCCGCCGCGAATCCCATCACTCATACTGAACCACACGAGAGACGAAATGATTTATTACCTGATTACCGAGAAGCGTCCAGTCACCAGCTCAGTCACGTCCAAGTTTATCATCGATTCCACTGTCCAGGGCTCAAAGTGCTAGGCACCACCGCCACCACGACACTCGCGCACTGTATCTTTTATCATACATTGCGCTTCACACCCATACTTACGAGGAACGATTGAACCTACTGGACAACCTGAGCTGGTCGACTGGACCGCTGATCTGAGATCGATTCCGTGCAGCGTACGCTAGGAATCAGCTCACCACTTCGATACGCCTGCATCCATTACATGTCAGCGCGCGTCGACAACTAGCATTGGGAGGCGTAACGGTTTCTTGAAAATTACGGATAGCATAACATTGGACACATTTTCCTTATTCGACCCATAATGAGCACGGAAGTCGACTTCAGTAGCTCGAATGGGCATGGACCTGAAGCGGGCCATTATGGACCATACGAGCCGTCGATAACATCTTCGGCCTCATCTCAGAGCTCTGTCTTCTCCGACGCTGTCTCTGCTTCCAGCTCTATCGCTACCTCCATATCCGACGACTTCCGCAGTAGTCAGGAGGAGTCCGGAGAGCGGGACCGAGTGTGTGGTCAAACACATTCACAATTCCAGCACCACGATCATCCGCGGAACGATGGTCATCTCGCGCTGGCGGATTTGATCAAGTCTAACGACCAGTGCCCATCGTACGCGGATGTCACCTCGGTGCCTCCTACCCATCAGCCAAATCCACGGCGATGTTCACCATCCAGGAGCTCCAGGCCTCCACCACTTGTCAGGCAACGCGATCGAAAGGTCAACTTTGTCGACAACCTCGTTGGTAAGCAGCTTATGTCAAACTCTCGGTCATGATTGAACCCACGCTAAGGCTTCTGCAAAGACTCTGCTACACAAATGGTAGAAGTCATCTGGCCCCTGTCTGTTGTCCCATGCCGTGCTGAGGCCGGTGGACGTGGCGTCTTGCCACTGCGGACTTATATTGAAGAGACACTGAAGAGATCTCGCACCAGCTATTCGACTCTCCAGGTCGCGCTCTACTATCTTGTCCTGATACGCCCCCACGTACCAGAGACTGACTTTACCATGGAGCAGACCGTGGACTGTCCAGCTGAGCGTGCGCTGATGTGCGGTCGCCGCATGTTCCTCGCTGCATTGATCCTTGCATCGAAGTACTTGCAGGATCGGAATTATTCCGCCAAAGCCTGGAGTAAGATGTCTGGGCTCCGGGTCAGCGAGATCAACGCAAACGAGCGAAACTTTCTCAGCAAGATCGATTGGAAACTCCACATTCCAAAACCTGCTTTCGAGAAATGGCAGGAGATCGTGCTCAAGTATTCGCCAAATTCGCCCTCATCGCCGGGCTGGGATGCACTCTCTGGCAACTCGACATGGAAGCGCATCATTCCTTCGCTTACAGCTGACCTTGACAAGCTGCCGACGCCGGACGAGATCATGGTCGCTGAACATGAAAGAACTTCGTACTTTGACCTCACGTCACCGGCAACGCCCACCCCGGTGTCGTCAAAGGACGGACTGAGACTACCACGAATTGCCTCCACGTCTCAAGACTCTACACCCACACCAGCGACTGTCCTGCCTCGATTCCTGGAGCCGAGCCCCAATGTGATCCCACCCACACCAGCCTTGGCTCGCATGGCACCTCTGCCTACTCCGGCTATGACACCACAATCAGCCGCTTCAAGCACTCCTGCAGCGAGCGCTTGCGGCTCTCGTCAGTCATCCATGGCTTCTGCAATGGCACTCGCACAACAGAAGAGTATCAACAGATGTGTGATGGATGCACCAGAATTCGAGTTCCGACACGCACATCGGCCCACCAGACGACCATCGATCATGAGCATGGGCTCGAGCTCATATGGCTCCAGCCCCGAATCTCTCATGTCCGATTACTCTCGGTCATCACGCTCATCTTCGGTCTCTTCGGTATCAACAGTTTCGACAGCTTCGTCTTTGGCGCCACGGGCCTGCTTGGCTCGACAGGCGACATGCCGAAATGCTGGACTGTTGCCATCAAAACCCATCAGAGATGAGCAAGCCGGGACCGTGATGAAGCCCATTGTCATTGACGATGATGTGGAAATGGTCTCGAGCCCGATCATGGCAGACTTCTCCGTCAGCGAGAAGGTCCTTCACGCGCCACACCGACACAGTCGTGGCGCGAAGAACTCTGCTCAGGTTGGATCTGCTCCTGCAACGGACAAATCCAAGAAGCGAGTGCGCTCCCAAGGCCACCGTCGCTCCGAGCTGCAAGAAGAAGTCCGCTACCTGCTCGAGGAATCGATGAACGATGACGAGATGGATCTGGATGACCGAGTGTCACTAGCACCAGCTTCGGAGCATGTAAACAGCATGCTAAGCCGCGGCCCTTCGGTCGTGTCTTTCCGAAACATGCAACCTCCCGCATCTCTGGGAGGTTGGGACTATGGGAGAATCCCAGTCCAGAAGAACGACGGCAAGAAGCGTACTTGCTGCTCCGTTCGCGCCATGTCTATATCTCCTGTACCTTTGTATGGCGAGGTTGCATAAGTAGTTGCAGCATCCTCGTTGAGCTCACCGCTTGTAGTAGTAGGAGCTGGAGAGCCGCATTTCTGTGGTCACGAACAGGACACGAGAGGCGTTTCTATGGGGAGGGAGATGTGTGCGTGTGTGTAGTTGACGATGTGAAGATAATCCACAAAGTGACAAATGTTCAAATTTGTTCATATTACCATTTTCCAATGTTCAGTCTGTGGCGGTTGTTAAAGCTGACATGATGCTCGGTGGTTCGTTAAACATAAGGTTCGTGCGTGCTCACTCGTGTCTCACAGATAGCGGGTTGCAACACAGCGGTCCTCTTCCTGAGACCAGAGAGCGAATTGAGCACTTCTTTGACGAGTACTTATGGCAATGGCACTCGTGTTTCTGGTAGAATTCGGTGGCACGATCCTGTTCGAAGCCACCTCAGCGAGCGGTGAAGCCTCGGTGGATCTAGAGAAAGGTCTTGCAGAAAGATATTCGCATGCGAGGTTTCTCATTGAAAACAATTATCTGAAGTGTCGCATGGCAGCTATCCGCTCTGAACAGCACATTGGCCTTGCAACTTTCTCATCCGCTCACAGCATCTTTGCTCACATTTCAGCAGTGTTCGTCTCACCAGTCGTCGTCGCAGCTTGCGTCAACGACAACAACTCATCCAAAAGCGCACGAGGGCGCTGGAAAGAATCAAGCATGAGAAATTCTCGAGCGATGTCCTCTGCTCGATCCAGATCTTTGCGCTCATCCTCCGGCACCTGCGCGCATGCCTCCACCAAATCCTCGCCACGTGAAGCAAGACCGAGCAATTGATCCGCTCGGTTGATGACCTTGTGGTCGATTCCGTTGATGGCAGCGCACATGGTGCCATAACTGGAACCATTCCTCCCGGGACGCAGATTGTACAGGTAGGTAATCTGGTCATCTGGCTGAGACTCTGAATTACCGTCTTGCACTTGCACCTCCATGTATCCGAAGCCCAGCGAGGGTCTGGGTGGGAGGAAACCAGATTCGAAGATTTCATGGAAATGCGTTGCTCCGATCACTTTCGGACACTGTGCCCCTCGATTGAGCAGATGTTCGAAGACGCCAGCAGCGAGACCAGCTCCGTCGTAGGACTCTGTACCTTTGCCGAACTCGTCAATAATCAGCAAGCTTCGTCGTGTGGCCATGTCGAGCGCCAGTGAAGCTTGTTGGAGGTCGTTCATGAAGGCGCTTTGAATTCGCGAGACGGTCTCTCTTGTCGATATTCGGGTCAAGACAGCATCGGTCAAGCCGATCGTAGCAGATCTTGCAGGCACGAAGCAGCCAATGTGAGCCATGTAGACGATGATTGCAACTTGCTTCAGGTAGATGCTTTTGCCGGAATAGTTGGGTCCTGTCAGTATCATGACACTCGGTGCATCGGGTGGGAGAGGACGACGAATGCGTGGGTCGGCGGATATCAAAGACTCTCGTGGATCAGCAGCCTCGTCGTCACCACAACCTCCTAGTAAGTAGGTGTTGTTCGGCACGAACACGGGTACTGTGAGCTCTTGCAGGATGTGACGACCGTCCTCAATCTTGATAACGTTCTGTTCCGTCATTCGAGGTCTGACCAGGTGGTGCTCCGCGGCCCCTTGGGCCAGAGCTAGGAGACTGTCGACTTCACCGCATATGTCAGAGACGGCGTGGAGAAGGCCCTCATGCTCAAGGACGCGCTGTGCCATGTCTTGGATGATTTCGATTTCCATATCGAGGACCCGGCCCCAGATATCACCATATCTCTCATCTAGCTCGTGGGTGTTGGAGTTCTTGTAGTAGCTGTGTCGGAGTTAGCAGAAAAGACATTCTCGGTTCGATGAACAGGCTTACGCGTGAGTCGCCGACGTGAACATCTTCTCCCATGCATCATCGGGATCTGGACCTTGATATGGCACTGGCACGGAATCCTCTTCATGCTCGATGGATATCAGGAAACCGATCTGCGGGAAGAAGATCACGTTGACTTTGGACTCCAGCTCTGCCGGAACTTGAGCAGCAACATGCGCAGCCACCTGAGACAGCATGTCTTCGATGGCTTCATATGTACGTCTTGCCTCATCCAGCTCATCGCTGATCCCGCTTAGAACCACAGTCCGTTTTGCATCCCGACACATGTCGAAGTCCACGATGTCGGAGATGAGCGCGCCAACCTCAGCCAGGCGTAACTTGTCGAAATTGTGGTAGACTTTGCGCACGATCGAGAGATGTTCGATTCCCACTGCTTCATCAAACGCATCCGTGAGTTCCAGTGCGGAGAAAGCAAATTGACGTATGCTAGCCCACACGGAGGTAGCGATTGGGCGGATTTGGTTGACACCGCTCGTTATGCCCTTGCGTATGTTCACGGTAGAGATGCGCATATCTTTAGCCCCGCTCAACAACTTCGTCAGACGGTCGATAATACCGGCGTTCTCAGGCCGCAAGAATGCGCTGATGGTGTTGTGGCGCTCATCAATGATCTCGAGATTCAAGCTCGGTCGAAGAAAGATTTGTCGCAATATTCGACGACCTTGGCCAGTCCTGGCGTGGTGATGGAAGAGTCCATACACCGAAAGACCTTCTTTGGAGCCCCGTGACCAATTCTTGCTGGCTGGCCCCTGTTGTTGAATGTTAGGGTGGAACTCCGTTGTCGTGATCTGTAACGACAGCAGAGTGTCAACATTGATGAACATCGAATCGCTCATGCTGAACATCTCGACTGTTGCTACACCAAACATGGCGTCTGCGGCCCTGTCTCCCGGCAAGAAGGTAGTAGCTTTCCTGCGCTGGAGATAGGCGAGTACGGCACCTGCACATCCAACAGTGAGGTGGCTCTCCATATTGATGACGCCTGAAAGGCGAAGCAAAGCGTCTTGCTGTCCATTCTGGTCATCCTCAAGGCCGTCGCCATGATCCAGAGTCGAAACCACATCGCCGGGCACAACGTATGTGACGCTTGGACCATTGCGGTGTCCGATTTGCAAATTTAACAGCTTTGTCTTCCCAGATTCATAGCTGAACTCGGAGTTGGGTCGGCACTCAAGGAGATAGGGCAGACGGGTCTGATCACCGTTGTCTGAAGCTCGTGGGTTGCGTGCTTCGGGATCTAGCTGACCGATAACTTCCTCGTTGCACTTTGTAGAGACAAGGATCACGGTTGGGTCGATGAAGAGCTTCACTGTTTCGTTCTCAGCGGAGGCAAGCAGGGACGACCAGAGATTCACTTACGAGAATTTACCACGTCTGTCGCACCTGCCTGAACATCTTCCATGAAACACAATTTTCGGAGCCGTGCATTGTAGTATGTACAACCAACTGCGCCCCGGTCAGTGACGTGCACTGCCATAATGACCTCGCACAGATATTCCAGGTCCACATCTGCGTCCCTGTCGTGAAGGAGGTCGGTGGTAGTCGTGGCACTACGTGCATCGTCGTCAGCACGAAAGGTGCGGGTTGACGCCTCCGACATGTTCGAAGGAATCCTTCTCGGCGCATTTTGAGATCTAGCAAGAGACTGCGACGCATTGACGTTCCCGCGTGAGAGCGCCGTTCCAGCGGAAGGTGCATATCGCTGGAGTGTGCCAGTGCGAATGTTGGAGTAGGACGAAGTTGTGCGGGCGCGCGTCGGTCTGCCCTCGAGCTCACCACTGCGGCGCCGCTTGGGTGCTGGCATTTCGGTTTGAGCAGCTATGGTGGTACTGACAGGATGTGTTGCGTCGTTAAGTTGAGGTTGAGAGGTGAGGTGGAGTTTGACATCGAGGCAGGTGCAAAATCTCAACTTAAGCAACGGCACACAACGTGCGTGCATGAGGAAGGAGCAGGTATCGCATCTGTTCATGCTTCAAGGCTGCGGCTCAGCTCCCTACAATATGTAGTCCGCTCGCCACAGATGTTCGTGGTGGGTGCTTGGGGCACGTGCTCTCTATCTTGCCAACGTGGTATATGTTGGCTGTCCCATGGTATATCGAAACAATTCCAATTCAGCTTTTCGCCGCCGTATGTCATGACTTCCCACCGACTGCTCCATGCTTCTTCAGTGCGGCGAACTCGTCCCTTGTCTTTCTTATGTCCAAGAAGCCCGGTCGCTCTTCCAGTGCCGCGAATGGATTACCCCCTCCCACACCCACTGCCGTCACTGTTCTCGCTTCTTTGCTTCGCTCCAATCTGCCAGCCCAGACATTCCATTGTATGGGTTGAAGATCAGGGCTGCCAAGGACAACTCCAACGCAAAGCAGAAGAACGGAGAATAAGGTCTCGAGCACGATGTCGGTAGGTATTGATATCTTGGGGTCGAGTATTGAGGGTATTATTGAGCTGGATGGTGTCGGCAGAGCTGAGGATGGCAGAAGCGAGTGTTCGTACGAGCTGTAAACACTGTCGGCAATTCGAGTTAGTGCCAGCACATGACGAGAGCTCATGGCAATCTGGAACTCACGCGTGTGAAAGGAATACCAGTCCAGCCAGATTGAAGAGGTTCGCTGATGCGCCCATGGTGGCTGAAGTTGAGTGGTGTCTCCCGGAGCCTCGTATCCTATTGTCGGGCGTGAGTGCGAAGAGTAGCTCCTGGAATTGGCGCGACAATCTCCCATGCGGTTTGGACTTTAGTTGGCCTTCAAGCAAGTGAGCAGCTGGAGAAGCGTGCGCTGTGGAGGTGGGAGTCGCGTCACGTGATGCGTCACCTCCGCACCTCTACAACATGTCTCTGAGCATGAACAAAGCCTCCGAGGTGCTTGAGCTCAGACTCGTGTGTGATGAAGACCACGCTGTTAGGAAGAGGGATTGCCATGGCACGGATGTTCATTCGAAGTGAGGGACGCTGCCACGTGATATGGCTTGGCAAAAATTCATGTGAGGAATATCGCGGACATTATCGTCAACATCAATGAGCAAATGCTTCATGGTCATTGCAATCATGAATTCTTTTGGTATCTATTCATCACGCGTCAAGGCCGTGCCACCCTTTGTGCCAGGCTCATTGCCTGAAAATGCGGGCTACCTAGTGTCCCAGGCACATCATGTATTCACCCAGCATATTCTCGACTTGCTTACACCAGCTCCTTCGCTCTCTGCACTTCGTTGCCAAATCTTACAGCTTCTGCATGGCTTGATGTTGAAAAGTAGTTAGCAAGAGTTACGATAATGTTTGAGATAAATCTTCGGCAGGCCGAAAATATCTCAGAGGGACAGCACTTACCAGCAACATCAGAAGACTGCACGTAGTCCTCGAAGCCCTCAATGGTCTCCTGGAGTTCCTCCATCGACACCTTGTCATCCTCAACGACACAGTTGATCTGGAGCTTCTTGATACCGAAACCAACGGCAACAAGCTTGCCTCCTCCCCAGACCAGACCGTCTTGCTCAATGCCACGAACAGCAGCCTCCAATGCCTTCATGTCGGTCTCATCGTCTGTCAAGAATTAGCACAGCGTCTTGTATGTTCCAGCAATGCATCATACCCCATGGCTTGACGTCCAATGTGACGATAGACTTGGCCGCTGGCTTAGTCTTGCCCTCCTTCTTCTTCTTGTACTCAGCAAGTCTCTCCTCACGAATGCGGACTGCCTCTGCATCCTCCTCCTCGTCATCGGAACCAAAGAGATCGACTTCATCATCATCTTCCTCCTCAGCCTTCTCTGGGGCCTTCGCGGGGTTGACGGTGAGGTCGGAGGACTCTGGACCGTATGCGGTGGCGGCCTTGCTTGGGTCACCAGGAAGGGTAGAGAACTCTGGCTCGAATGTGGAGATGTGCTTGTACCAGCGATAGGCGTGAGGGTACTTCTCGACCTTTGGCTGCTCACTGAAGGACTGGAAGACCTTCACGTCTGCTTGCGAAGGGCCATAGCTTTAGAACGGTCAGCGCAAATCCTTGTGCGAGAAAATGACTGTCTCTTGAGAATCCGCAAAGGGGGGTCAGAGGTGCGCAAGCGCTTTGGTGTGGTTTCATTTGGAGGGTCTTAAGCTCCTCAATAACACGGACCAAATTGTATTCGTCATGATATCCTGCTGTGAAGTGATTGTGCTAGACTTACCCGACAATGTATGAGCGAGTCTTGACCCAGTTGTCAAGGACTGCGGCGACTTGTTAGCGCGGCAACAAGACACGGCGACCAACTAGCAACGTACGGGTCAGGCCAGTGTCGGAAACGAAGTCGGTGAAACCCATTGTGCTGGTGTTTGTGGCGAGTTCTGGGTGTGTGTTGTTCTATGACTGAGAGCTGCGGGATGCGGCGCAAGAAGAGAAGAATATTTGATTTGACCCTCCCTCAACTGGTGTGGGGCGCGAGCGGGCGCTGCCGCGTCTCAGGCATAAACGCCAATCGTTAGCGGCGGGTCAGGCACAGGTTCGTCGAGCTAAAGAGAATGGCCTCGACACTTCCAGAATGCATCAAGGTATTCATCTCGAGCATAACAGTCTGATGGCTTCATGAGTTGTAGAGCATATTCAAGCGTTTGTTATTCATTTCCTTTTCTCACCTATCGAGCACCATGCTTTCTCAAACAACGAGACTTGCAGCAAGGCGAATAGCCTCCGTTCGATATCCATTACCTCGAAACACAATTCGAGCTACATCGATACTACAACGAACAGCACCGCGCACAACGACCAGTGCAGCGACACAATGGCGAAACTATGCAAGTGGGCGGCCGCATCCTCCTGGTGGCACCCACCGAATGAACATGGGCGGAGGAGAGAGCGAGAAGCCTGCTCTTGAACAGTACGGCGTTGATCTTACAGCGAGAGCGAAAGAAGGGAAGCTGGACCCGGTCATTGGAAGAGACGCAGAAATACACCGAACGATCCAAATTTTGTCTAGACGAACCAAGAACAATCCAGTTCTAATCGGTTCGGCTGGAACAGGCAAGACCGCCATTCTTGAGGGACTTGCGCAACGAATTGTGAAAGGCGATGTGCCGGAGTCAATCAAAGACAAGAGGGTGATTAGCCTGGATCTGGGAAGCTTAATCGCTGGAGCAAAATTCCGTGGAGACTTCGAGGAAAGACTGAAGGCTGTATTGAAAGAGGTGTCAGATGCAAAGGGTGGAGTGGTTCTGTTCGTTGACGAGCTTCACACTTTACTAGGGCTGGGCAAAGCAGAGGGCTCAATCGATGCCAGCAATCTTCTGAAGCCGGCCTTGTCGCGTGGCGAGCTTCAGTGCTGTGGTGCGACGACCTTGAACGAGTATCGACAGATCGAGAAGGATGTTGCACTGGCACGGAGATTCCAACCAATCCTAGTGGGCGAGCCGTCTGTACAGGACACAGTGTCTATACTGCGAGGCATTAAGGATCGTTACGAAGTTCACCATGGTGTACGGATCACAGACGGCGCATTGGTTGCTGCAGCAGCATACTCCAATCGCTACATCACTGATCGATTCTTGCCAGACAAAGCAATCGATCTTGTCGACGAAGCCGCCTCAGCCCTGCGATTGCAACAGGAGAGCAAACCTGACGCTATACAGAAACTCGATCGTCAAATTATGACAATACAAATCGAACTGGAATCACTGCGCAAGGAGACTGATGTCGCTAGCAAAGAACGGCGAGAACAGCTGGAGAAGACTCTTACTTTGAAGCAAGACGAACTCGGTGCTCTGACGGAGAAGTGGGAAGCAGAGCGAGCTGAAATCGAAGAGATCAAGCGAACCAAGGAAGAACTAGAGCGAGCGCGCATCGAACTTGAACAGGCACAGCGGGAAGGTAACTTCGCAAGAGCGAGTGAGTTGCGATATGCGAAGATACCGGAGCTTCAGAAAAAGCTGCCTGAGGACCAAGGTGGCGAGTCAAAAGCTGTCAAGGATACACTCATTCACGATTCAGTGACCGCAGACGACATCGCTCTCGTGGTGGCCAAGGCGACCGGCATTCCTGTGACAAAGCTGATGAGCGGCGAGATTCAGAAATTAGTGAAGATGGAGGATGTCCTTCGTCAATCTGTCCGCGGCCAGGACGAGGCTCTACACGCAGTTGCCAATGCAGTGCGCTTGCAACGAGCGGGGCTCAGTGGTGATAACAGGCCGATTGCATCCTTTATGTTCCTCGGTCCTACCGGTGTGGGCAAGACTGAGCTTTGCAAAAAGATGGCAGACTTCCTCTTTTCCTCCTCGAACGCTGTCGTTCGTTTCGACATGTCGGAGTATCAGGAGAAGCACACCGTTTCAAGGCTCATCGGAGCCCCAGCAGGTTATGTGGGCTACGAAGATGCAGGGCAGCTAACGGAAGCTGTTCGACGGAAGCCGTACGCTGTGCTTCTGTTTGATGAGTTTGAAAAGGCTCATCGCGACATCTCCACGTTACTGCTCCAGGTCCTGGACGAAGGTTTCCTCACCGATTCACAGGGCCACAAGGTCGACTTCCGCAACACAATCATTGTCTTGACATCAAATCTTGGCGCAGAGGCACTACTGGTGGATGATAGTGCCGCCTCTGAGATCTCGTCCGAGACGAAGAAGCAAGTCATGGACGTGGTGCAGGCCTCATACCCTCCTGAGTTCATCAACCGCCTGGACGAATTCATCATCTTCAAGCGGCTGTCCAAAGAAGCCTTGCGCGATATCGTTGACATTCGACTCAAGGAGCTACAAGCAAGACTGGACGATCGTCGCATCACACTACAAGTTAGCGACGAAGTGAGAGACTGGCTTTGCAACAAGGGCTACGATCCACGCTATGGTGCGAGACCGTTGAATAGACTGATCTCGAAGGAGGTTGGAAATAGCCTGGCAGACAAGATCATCAGAGGCGCTGTGAAGAGTGGAGATATAGCTACCGTGACAATCAAGGATGGAGGTGAGCATCTGGATATTTTGGTACCTGGCAGCTCAGAGCAGTGAACTGGCGGGGCATTGTGATCACACAACACAATATTGACGACTTGACGAAAGCATAGCGTGGGAATCCTGACTTACTGTAACAACAGATTGTAGTTTTAGCATTGTAGCATATACTACTGTATATCGATAGCAAAATTCGGCGCTCAGCTCATTAAGCACATACCACCGGCTAGGCCAGTCGACAGGTGAAACGCGCAAGCATCTCTCCACCTTCACGAACCCGGCATCTGGCTCCTTCCAACGGGCGCCATTGTGTAGACTTCCAGCGTGTGGCTCGTCGTCTGTGGGCTGCTGACACAGCAATATCGTGCATCCTTCATGGGAATATCGATTGGTAGATGTCGGTTGCTCGGCACCGTTGAAGCCATTCATCGTCCTATCACCTTCTTCACAAAACGCCTCCAGATGAAGTTACTTTTTGCAGAAGGATTTGTTGTGGGATCAAAAACACGCTTCGGCCTCGCCAGTCGAGAGGAGTGTTGTCGCATTCTGTCGCGCTTTCTGGACACCTCGAGATGCACCAGGCAAAACATCGGCGGCAGGCACAGACTACCGAATCCACCATCATCGGAACGACGGCGGCGCCACTGTGCTTCGGCATCGGCTTTCTGACGTATTGCAGACGGCCCAATCTACCGGACATAGCAGAAATATTTTAGTCGCTGGCACTTTGGCCACGACGGCGAGCCGCCATTCTTTCTAAGCAGGCGCGCTGCTTTGTCCGGCATTGAGCGTCGGAAAGTTCGCCCAAGGGATCATAGTGCTTTCTGTCCCCAACGCGACGCCGCATTTCTGAGGACTTTCTCTTCGGCCGACTAAAGCCGCGAACCATTTTCAGTCGCGCTTAAGTTGTACTCGTCGAACGTCATTGTTTGTGGTTCTACTTACCTCTTTCACTGCACTTTGTGCTCGCGTCCTGTGCGCCTCTGCGCATCATTGTTTTTAGAATCCAGTCGACAGTACCCAGACCCAGACAACCTGCGACAGCCATGAATACCGAAGATCAACGAATGGAGGAGGTGGAAAGGGAGGCCAGCCCGGAGAGATACAACACATTACCAGGATCAACGCCAGGCGCGTCAGAAACACTGAATCCAATGGAGAAGACCGAACGACGCGAAGCCTTAGAGCGAACATTAACAGTCTCGAGCTCGTCCAGTTCCGGCTCTTCATCGTCTGGTCGATCGGTCGAACGACAGGAAATAGGAATGTCACGATTACCGACGCAGCGAGACGATGTTGTGGATCTTGAACGCCATCCAACTGCTTTGAGCAGAATCCAAACAGGGCGTAGCCAGCACAGCGCTACAGTCGGTGCTTCTCTTCGTTCTAGGACGGCAACGCGACACAGCAAGACTCCACTGCCCGCATTGTAAGTGAACCAACAGTGCTCGATCTTCACTTTCGGCATTAGCTCAATACCAGCAACGGGAGTGAGATATCTCAACACAGGCTGACAAGTTTTTGATAGTGGAGCTGGGAAGCCCTATCCACCTCCTTTACCGGAACGAGAAGAGTACGTTGTCGAATTCGATGGCCCGGACGATCCTTTACACGCGCACAATTGGCCTCTGAAAAAGAAGATGCCGGTTGCCGTAACACTTGGCTATGTTACTCTCGTCGCCGCGTTTGGCAGTTCCATATTCTCCACAGCGACGGCAACCGTAGCTAGCGAATTCAACATCTCCCGCGAAGTTGGCATCTTAGGCGTGTCATTATACGTGCTGGGCTTTGCTACCGGTGAGTTGAAACGCATTCTCTTTGGTGACAGAAAAAGCGGAACACCCTCACCACCTTTTTATAAATGCAACTTCAGCGGGAAAGGACCCGAAGCACGTCAAAAAACGTTCAACGCGTCCTTGTACATCTGCAAGACGGTTGTCAAAACGCAAAAGATCGAAAGGGTGGTGAAGGATGTTTCGCTTTTTTCTGTCATCCGAGAGGCATTTCCTGCGAGTGATGGTGGACCCCAACTGACAGATTTCAGGTCCCATGCTTTGGGCCCCGTACAGTGAGCTATACGGAAGGAAGACGCCTCTGTTGATCTCGTCATTCGGCTTCTCAATTTTCAATATTGCAGTGGCCGTTGCGAAGGATGCTCAGACGATCTTCATCTGTAGATTCTTCGCTGGTTTCATGGGCGCTTGCCCATTGACATGCGTTGGAGCAGTTTTTGCCGACATGTTTTCGAACCGTCAACGAGGACTGGCCATCACTGTTTTCAGTATGACCGTCTTTTCTGGGCCACTGCTCGCCCCATTCATCGGAGGCTTTATCGTCCAGAGCTACCTCGGATGGCGCTTTACCGAATACATCACCGCGATCATGGGTTTCCTGGGACTTGGTCTGTCGCTGCTTTTCCTTGAAGAGACCTACCCTCCAATTATCCTGGTCAACAAAGCGGCGGACCTCAGGAGAAGAACGCGAAACTGGGGAATTCACGCCAAGCAAGAAGAGATCGAAGTCGACCTGCGGGAGCTTCTGGAGAAAAATTTGTCTCGGCCACTGCGAATGCTTTTCACTGAGCCCATCGTCCTGCTCATCAGCATTTACATGGCTTTCGTGTACGGGATTCTATACCTCGCTTTAACAATGTATCCGCTTTCCTTTCAGGGGGTGTACGGATTCAACCCAGGGGTAGGCGGGCTCCCGTTCTTTGGAATGATAGCAGGAGAGGTACTAGCAGGCGTCTTTATGCTCTTTTTGCAGCCTGGGTACAACCGTAAACTGGCAGCGAATAACAACATGCCAATTCCAGAATGGCGGCTTCCACCGGTCATTCTAGGTGGAGTCTTCTTCGGCGCAGGGCTCATATGGGTAAGAGAATTTCCCTTCCATTGTAGGGTCACACTGACAAAATTGTTCCTAGTTTGGATGGTCGGGGTATCGCGCAGACATCCACTGGATCGTTCCGACCCTTTCTGGTCTCTTGACAGGCTTTGGAATCATGTCGATCTTCCTGAACTGCCTGAATTATCTTATCGGTGAGTCGCAGAACACCTGTCATTCCGAGTGATCAATGCTAACAGTGAACGAGACGCTTATTTGATGTTTGCCGCAAGTGCCGTCGCGGCGAATACGTTCCTCCGTAGTTTGGCAGGCGCAGGGTTCCCGCTATTCGCGACACAGATGTTCAACGGAATGGGTATCCAGTGGGCAGCCACCCTGCTCGGGTGCGTGGCTTTCCTCTGCGTTCCAATGCCAGTGTGGTTCTACCTCAGAGGCGCAAAGATTCGCGAGAAGAGCAACTTTGCTCCGACGTTTCCCATCGCTAGTCAAGCGGCACAAGACAGAAGTGAGAGCGAGGAGGAGAAGGTGGAATAAAATGACTGCTCTGCTTATCATTGGCGGAAGGGTAACCCTGTCATCCACAGAAGTCTGTGCATCAAAAAGAGCAGGGGGGCCAGCATGTGCTGACTTGACTATAAGAACTTAATGTCTGGAATAATTGAAAGACGACTGTGTCGCTGTGTCATTTTGACGTTCTGCATCGTTCACAGAACGATGTGTCTTCTATGCTAAAGTGACGAGCTTCTGCAATTCCTTCTACATGCTGTCCACGAGATGTGCGGGATGATCAATGTGGACCAAGTCAATGTTGAGAACCATTCACAATAATGGAAATCGAATCGACAACAGCAACACGGACGCAGACCCCTTATTTCTTCCCAGCTTCCTCTTCGGCAGTCTTTTTGACGCCATCGACGAAGGCTTCCACAGCAGCGGACCCACCCAGCGGCATACTGCCACCCTTAATGTTTCCGCCGTTTTCGACCTTGATTCCCAGTGCTTCTGAGATCATTGGTAGGCCACCATCCCGCAAAGCTACCGTCAAGGAGCCAAGACTCTGCTGTAACTGGGGAGATCGAAGCACCTTGTTCAATATCTCCTTATTTTGCCCAATCGAGAGTGTTTCTAGTGCTGCCTGTGCCGTAGCTGGAGTGACTTCTGCCGCTGATGTGGATGATGATGATTCTTGAGCTAGAAGAAAGAGCTCAGGTGGGAGGTACGAGCACAGGTTGTCGATCTGCTGATGCGATGCTTCGGATATGTATGCTGTGGTTGTTGATGTGGAAAGGAGATCCGGCAATGTGGTGAATGGCTTCTCGGCAGCCTGTTGTTGAGAGCCGAGTGCGCTTCCACCTTTTAGTGAGTTTAGGAAGTTCTGTACCACTGCGTTGGTATCTTGTGGCGCTGAAGAGGATGACGGTGCACTATCTGAGCGATGTCAAAGTCAGCGGGGTACCGGCACATATAAAGGGACAAGCAGCGAGCAAATAAGCAATGGCCGTATCATCATAGCTTTCGTGTGGTAATCGTACATGCAGATCCGCCAAATTCAGATGCCATCTTACAGGCACCGCCATGCCGCGCCGTGCAGCCCTTTCAGTACGATATTGGAGCGGGCTCAACTTACGCTCTACCGCCATCGGCTCCACCTTCTCTGCTCGCCTCGCCCTCTTCGCGTGGGTCACCACCAGTAGCATCCTGTCCAGCACCTCCCGATTCTTGTCTTCCCAATGTGCGGTCCTGGTCAACTTCCATTGCGTCCGCATCTCCATCGGTGCCAGAGTTGCCGCCGCCGCGGATCTCATCAATTTCAGCAGTCACATCAACATCCTCGCCCTGCAGGAGTTGGTCAACGATCTGGCCGATGCGTTGATCACGCTCGCTGAACCAGCTGGTCTCTCCTTGACGTGACTGTGACTTGCTCTGCATCCAAAAGTAGTGTTTCTGGTTGCTGCTGCTGAACTTGAGAACGAAGATGCGGCCGTTCGTGGGCGAGTGCAATTGCTCAGCTCCTTGCTCCTTGACGAGAGGGAAGAAGTGACCATCGGAAGGAAACATGAGCAGGTCGACCTCGGGCTCGGTGGAGGGTGCTGCTCGAGGTCGCCAGCAAAAGTGCAGCAGTTCCTCTTCGCTGTAGAGGTAGATGTAGCCGGGGCGAGCATCGGGAGTAACGGTGCGGCCACTGAAGTCGCACAGACCGGCCTTGAATGTGATGAGCGGGGCGGTGGCCATGGTGGGTGGTGTTGTGGGCGGAGAAGTGTGATGAGTGATGGAGTTCGATGTTTTGGACAGAGCTGGCTGCAGCTGCGCGTATGTCATGCGGGAAGGTCGGGCGAGGTGGCGTTGCCAGCGCGGCGTTTCCTTTCGCCGACATCCACGCGCGCCAAGTCTTCTCAAATCTCGAAGTGCGCTTTCATCGCATTGCTGGCGACGCAGCGACATCACCCTCTACTAACCCACACAGCACCATCCTTCCTGGTACGCACACACCGCACACCCGCTCGACCTCGCCTCATCCGTCGGTTCGAGACTAATTGTCGCGCACAGTGGCCACCATGTCGTCCGAGGCTCCCCAGACCAAGAAGTTCCAGAAGGGCGAGCGGACCATCACACCCGCCAGCCAGAAGGCCAGCAAATACTACCCGGCCGAGGACGAGGCTCAGGCCAAGAAGGTACGACATCAATGGTGCACCGGGATGGTGGAAAGGACGGGACATGCGGATAGAGAATGGGAGTGGGGTGCGGACATGGAAGCAACATACTGACACTGTCAATTACAGACCCGCAAGGCTCTTCGCCCATACAAGCCTCGCGCATCGCTCCAGCCTGGTACCGTCCTCATCCTCCTCGCTGGCCGCTTCCGAGGCAAGCGTGTGGTCCTCCTGAAGACCCTCCCACAGGGTGTCCTCCTCGTTACTGGCCCATTCAAGCTCAACGGTGTTCCTCTCCGCCGCGTCAATGCCCGCTACGTGATCGCCACCAAGACCACTGTGCCTCTCGACGGCGTTGACTCCCAGACTGTGGAGAAGGCTGGCGGCGAGAACTACTTTGCACGCGACAAGAAGGCCGACAAGAAGGGCAGCCAGGAGGCTTTCTTCGCACAGGGTGAGAAGCCAGCCAAGAAGGAGGTGAACAGCGACCGTGCCGAGGACCAGAAGAAGGTGGACAAGGCAATTTTGGCCGCCGTGAAGAAGGAGCCTCTGCTCGCTGGCTACCTTTCGACCAACTTCAGCTTGAGGAAGGGTGACCGGCCGCACGAGATGGTCTTCTAGATGCGTTATCAGTCCAGCGGGAAGATGAGAACTCATGGCGAGAGCGGTCATTGGCGTTGTCTGCGGTAGTGCTTTGAGCATTTATGCGAGGCTAGAACTACGGATGGCCCGTCAATATGCTGATTGAATGATAACCTCGTCAAGTTTGCAGAGACAGGCCAATTCAATGAAACTTTATGAGCAACCCAGATCATACCCCCGAGACATGCAATTCGAGTGGCAGCATCAGCGCTTCGCCTTTGATCGCAGAATACGACCGATGGCCGCAAGATAATCGAATCGAAGCTTCTTCACTCCCGTCGAACTACGCGGAACATCACTTACCAGCCTACATTCTCCCCAATATACGAATGCAGAAGCCGTGCAAATTGCCGCGATATACCTGCAACGGGCAGATCGCAACATCAGCATCGAACGGTTTCCCTCATGCCGGAGGACTATACAATTGACTATGAGGACCTCCGCTCGTGAAGTCTCCGTCATAACCCCGATCGTGTCAAACGAGTAACACGCTATATGTGTTCGCCATCATTGGCTGTGACAATTGCTAAGTTCCGTCTCGAAAGTTGATTTGACCGATTTGCGAACAATGATGCACTCCCATGCCTTGCTCATCACGACTGCAACCCAAATACCTCCACGAGATCCGCAGCCTAGATTTAATCTGGAGACCTCGTGCCTGTGACGTTCCACTCTTGGCACGAACCCATCAGCTCCCATCGATCCAACACCTGTCACAGTTTCAACAAACACTTCACCACTGCCAACAGCACGTTCAACCGAAATGCACTTTCTGTGCTATAGCCGACTATTGCTCGGCATAGCCATCCCCACGGCAGCAGTCTACTTTACCCCCAAAGAAGATGACGACAAACAAGCTCTCGCCACATCCACGACAGCATCTACTCCGGGAAAGCCCCAAGGTCAAGATTGATTCTCGAAAATTCATCTTCGCTCAGATGTTCAATGTACACTTCTTCGATCTTCTCTCTACGAACGTCGACAATATGTACAGATCTCTGTGTGAATGCATGCATGCGCCGGCCCTTTCTGGTATCTTTGGCCCCCATCCCAACGAACGCCTGATCATAAAATGCATTACTGGAGGAACTTTCCAGCTCTTGCTTCCGAAATTCGCTCGAAGGCGATTTCAGAAGCGTTCATTCGCATATCGCCGTAACAGATATTTCATTACCAATGCATCCGGGGAAAAATCATTGCTCATCATCGTCTCGAGTATCTCGTCCCTCGTGTTCTTCTGTCATCTGAGCTGGCGCTGCCTGGGGGTAAATGTCAGTATGAAAGCTCTATGAATGATTCGGGAAGTTCAGGAATACTCACTAGCACTGGTGTAGTAATCGCTCGAATATGAGTACTCCGAGTACTTCTCGTTGTTTTTCCTGTTGTCTCGTTGTCGCTTCAGACCAAGAACTGCCCACAACGCTGCCAGACCTGCTCCTAAGCCCAGGAGATTCTTGCCATTGCTTGACTTTCGCTCGTCACGGCGGTCCACGCGTGCAGGAGGGCGAGCGGCGCCGTACCAGGTCCTACCGCCACCGCCACCGGAGTGGTGGGAGTAGCGCTCATATTCGTCGATTTCCGTTCGTCTTCTCTTCTTGCGGCCGCCGAGACCGAAGCAGGCAAGACAGCCATCGAGCAGACCCTTGATGCAGCAGCAGAAGCAGAGTAGGGCCAAAAGAGCCAGACCTGCAAGGACACCAATGACGATACCAGCGATAGCGCCGCCGGAAAGACCGCCTCCGCCGCCGTCTTCCATGCCGGTGACTGTGACATTGGCGCCGGTGGCGACAGGTTCCATGAACGGCACAGTGGTCGTTGGGCCTCTCGTAGCGGTTACAGTCAGTTGTCCAGAAGATGTCGGTCGAATGGGCGCACCAGCAGTTGCTCCTGGGTTGACATAGGTTGCAGCGCCTGCACCTGAGCTACCACCGCCGCCATTCGCGGCACATTGCGATTGTTCTTTCGAAAAGCAGTATTGGTTGCTGGCACAGCAGATCGATCCACACGGCGATTCGTTCAAAGCGTAATTGCAAGCGATACCGGTAGCCGCAGCTCCTCCGATATATGAACTCCAGATGCTCGTCCGAGTCACCAAGCCCGTCTCAACCCACGTCGAAGTGTAGTATTGCCATGAGCCTCCTGCACCTCCAGCTGCTGCTTGTGTTGCGGGCGGATTAGCGCACCCAGCGATGTTTGCCGCATTCGTTGTGCATGATGTTCCCGCAGTACAGCAGAACTGGCCATCTGTGCCACACGCTGTTCCTGAACAGTCCCAGCGCGCGAACAGCTCGTTGAATGAGAAGCCGGCAAGCTCTCGCTCGTGTGGGTTGGGATTGGCGAATGTGAAGGTCGGTGCCAGCAGGAACACTGCCGCAAGCCGGTGCGGCGACAGCATTCTGGCACAGCTGAGGGCCTTTGCGGCCTCAGGAAATGCTTGTCGTCGTGCTGGAACGTGAACGTTGTCCAGTCGGTCGTGCTTGGAATGTGGGCGTCGGTCTTTCGATGGTGGGGTAGAAGTAGCGTCGGACTTTCTATCGTGCGTGCCGCTCACTTGTTCTTGCGCCTGCTCACTTCTGCAGTCTTCTGGTGGTAACGAACGTATGGTACTCTGCGCGAGATTGAATTTCAGCAGGCGTCACGCGCAAAAGTGAGGAGGGAGGGAAAATGGCTCAGCTTCGACTGGGAGAATGCGTGGATCTTGAGCTGCCGCCAACCACCTTTGCTAGCCACCTCCAACCACCGCAATTATCCAGCTCACGCTCGTCACGGCTTCGAGGACCCTCGAGAGAAAATAGTGTCTGACGTTGTCGGCTGCTGTTAGAAGTCGTTGCGCTCTTGTCTGGTACTGCCTTCTGCGCTGGACATCGCTACCATCGCCTTCGCTAGGTTGTTTCGTCGTTGGTCCAGCAACCATTGATCGGCGCACGGACCACATGTTCGATATGCTTGCACATCGCGTCAGGAACCACGAAGTCACGGGAACTGCGACAGTGATGTCCTTGCCACTACGTAGACTGAACAGCATTCTGATTCCGTTGCTTGCATAGCGCAGCTTCCATGCGGAGGCACAAACACATTATACTTGCAATGCTGGCAGTGCACTATTTTCATTCTTCGCTCTTTGCAGCTCGCCGTTCGACTTGCCCTGGCACCACCGCACCCCGGCCAGCCTTGCCACTGCTGGTCTTCGATCAAGCTGCTGGCGATGGTGGCGGTTTGCCATCCTGCTCTCGACGTACATCCATCTCCACTCCAGCCTGGCTACCTGGTAGTTCATACGACATATGCTGTGGCTTGGCTCTCGGATCATTAGTGAAATAGCTGGGCGGCCTGGGTGACCACTCGCCGTTCTGGAATTCTGGTGAGTTGTGATACGAAGGTATGGAGGGAGATGTCTGCCAATTTCCTACAATATTGTCAGTCAGGTTTTCGTGAAAGTTTCTCACACGCGCAATCCTACCCGGTAGTTGTTTCAGCGCGACTGCTGTGCTGGCGTCATGCGACAATTCTGGTACTCCTGGCTTGCTCTCGTCCTCCGCAGGCGCAGAAGAGACAGCTGCGGCGGCAGCTCGTCTTTTACGTCGACGTAGCATCCAGATAAGGCCGAATAAAATTGCGGCGAGAGCGACGATACCGCCTACCACGCCTCCAGCTATGGCACCTGTGTTCGTACCTCCGCCTCCACCGGAATCATCGTTGTCGCTGGTCGGGGCCAGGTCCGTGTTTTCTGTACTGCTGGCTTCCCAAGTCTCGTTCAGACTCAGAAAAGGTTCCGATAAGGTTGGATTTGTCGTAAGGAAAGCCCCAGCTAACGCAGTAGAGGCACATCCGTTGGTCGACGAACACGCCGGTGATGTGCAGCAGCCCCAAAAAGGCGGGCTGGTGAAGTTGCCTGATATCGGACATGGGGCGTCAGCACAAGTTGCGAATACCTTCCACGCATCTGGTGAAAACCACTTACATGTGAAGAACTGGCCGGTGCTACATTGTTGATCCGGAATAGCTCCATATTGCGCTGTATCAAAGCTGGTCGTTACGAGGTTGCCTGCTGCGCATCCAACAGCACATGGATTACTCGCGCAACATCCTCTGCATTTTATCGTTAATCGACAACTCCAAGATTCTGTGTCGCGTTTCTGCACTCACACAAATCTACTGCCATCGCCACATGCATAGAACTGCCCACCGCTGGGACAGCTCATGTTCGGAGTTACAGCCATATTAATTGTATTAGTCGTATTGCGCAAGTCAAGCTCAAAAAGACTGGTTGGAGTTGAAAGGCTGCGAGGAGAAAAGACTTGTCGTGAGAAAGTGAGAATCTCACTGCAGAGATGACGGGCCGCCTAGAGGCAGCCCTCCAAGAATTCGTGGCTATGTTTTCGAATGCCGTGCCAGCATAGCGCTCCTCCCAAGAAAAGTTGCGCCGAATACCAAGGATAAGCTCCCGTCAGCTTGAAGGTAAAGCAAGACGTAGCTGCGTGGCATATTCCTTAGGTGAGAGTCTGCTAGACCAAACAACTATGCTTCTGCAAGCTTATTTCTCTGAGCAGAGTGCGGTTGTTCGACTGCCCTTTGTTTCGCAGAAGTTGTGCGACGTCGAATCTCCGCATCGACTCTGCGCCGGGGCCGACGAAACAGACTTTTGTCGTGTCGTGTGCAGTGCCACACGGCTGCAGCCCATCGTCAGCCTTGTGTTGGCAGCTCCATCTCCTGCGCCAAGAGCGAGCTGAAAGGCAGATCCTTGGGACGAGCTCGTACAAGCACAAACACGCATGACGGAACTTCGCATATTACGAAGGTGCATGCGACTCTCACAGGAGTATTTCTTCGATGCGGCCAGGTGCAAGGCACCTGGTAGCCCTACAGCTGTTCCTACGCCGCGGAGGTAAAGTGTCGAATCAGCCAAGCCAAGGCAATCCTTCTTACATGTGTAGGTGGGTCGGCTCGCGTCGCAGTCGGTGAACGGGCTGCATGGAGGCATCAAGTACGCGGCTGAGGAGCGAGTGCGTGTTTGAGGATCTCATGCAGACTCCGATCGGCATCCCCGGGCATATCACCACAACGGAGTAGGCAATGTGGCGGCAATGGTCTCCGGAACGTGGTCAAAGTCGTGCATACCCTCAAGCTAGCACAAGGATTCCGGCGGTGATGCAATTAGTAACAAGTGATCAGACTGGCCTGTGGAGGGGGCGGCGGATCATCTGAACCACCAGTTCACCTAGAGCATGCGTCAGCACAAAGACAAATGTCAAAACTGAGGGCCTGGCTCACCGATCCGACGATGCCATTCCCTTCGCCTTTGACGCTGTGCCAGTAGCCCTTGGGTATGTAAATGCCATCGCCGCTATCGACCTCGGCCTCGAAACAATGCTCCATATGACTTCCTTCTGATTGCCAGACCTCGTTCTCCAATGCCTGCTTCTCTTCTCCCTGCATCATCTCTTCTCCTCGCATCGTTGCTACGGCACTCCCACCAATCTGCTCTTGAACTTTGGCGAAGATGGCATAGCCCACCTGCGGCGCGAAACACCTGATCTTCTTCTTTCCAGCAAGTTGCACAAACACATTCGGATTGGGATCTCTGTGCAGCGGTGTATAGGTCGGAGCCTGTCCTATCCATAGAGAAGAGCCATAGATGTCTCCTTTGCCAGCTTGCAACACCACCTCAGGCGTCGGTACGTCGTCGCGGAGAGCTTTGGGGAAGTCGGAGAGTGAGGCCTGTGCCAGATAAACCCGTGCCGTTGGAGTCGTGACAGTGGAGGTGCTAGTGAAGAAGTCGTTAGATTCGGTCTCCCGTTTCACGATAGCTCTCGCATGCGGCACATATGCTGAGAAGTAGCGGTTGTGCCTTTTGCGATAGCGGGACGTGGAGGCCTTGACGCACTCTAGGAAAAAGCTCAGTGAGTGTTCCACTCGGACGAACTGGCCATTGTTCGTGATCTCAAGAGGAACTATAGTTGCCCCGAACTTGGAGAGGTAGGCGACATCCAGGGCCACCCGGCCATGCTTTGCATTCTCAAACCATCGCTGGAGAGCCGGTATGGTCTCGAAATGCTTGCGAGGAAATAGCGCAGGTTTCCCAGGCTCGAAGGCTTCACGGCGGAATGTCTCCAGAGTCGCGTCGGACAGTACCGGGATTGGACGAGCGTGACGGAGTGTCGAATATCGTCTACATGGTGCTCTTGACACTCGTACAACGCCTCTGCAAAGCATGAGCTGCGGCTTTGGAGAGTCTGAAAATACCGGATGCGGCGAGGAAGTCAATGTGGAGGAGGGAGGGCTCAATAATATATGCCACTTCTGAGCCAGGCAACTGCGCTTCCCTATTGGCTCCGCAAGCCACGCGCTGAAACACAAAAGCACCCCAACTTGTGCAACACTCTTCATACAATACATCAGCTGCTTGATGGAAGCGAGCCGGCAACAGATCCTGCTGGCCTATCGCCATCTATACCAACATCTACTTCGAGCCGTACAATACGCAAAGCCCCAGCGCTATGTAGCACGAGATCGGCTCAGGAATGCGTTCCGCTCCTCAGAGCGAGAGCAGTTCAATGCCAAAGAAATTGAGAGAACCTTGGAGTTTCTGAGAGGTGCAGCAGCATCTCGGGGAATGGAGCACCGCATCGTCAAGAACCTCATGTTTGTATGGTGGACGAGAAGTCCAATGGGAGATATGCCACCGATGTTTGTTCCAACTATTGCGTTTACCCTTCATTGCATCGAGCTGATCATTACCAGGCGAAATGAGGACGCCGCTGCAAGGCGAGCTGCTTTCACAGCGTTTGATGAAACCATCCGCAAGCTGAATCAAACGATGGGAATGTGTATTAGATGAGATGTGTCTTAGAATACTCCGTACACTTCGCAACACGCGTTCGCGAAGGTGGTAATCAAGCACGATGCCATTCACTGCATGACCGGCTGGTTTTTCAAAAGCCCACCCCACGTATGCGAGCCACGAGCAACACGAAGACGAAAAAATCCTTCGAACGTGCCATTGCAGTGGCCAATTGAAGTCAGCAGAAAAGAACATGTAAGGGCAATATTGACTTTCCCACATTGCTGTATTCTAGCATTTCTTCGAATTGGAACAAGACGTTGAGGTCTTTTATTCTCCAGACTTGGGTATCTCTCTATCAGTATAAACTCCCTGTTTCGCCGTTTTGGTGTTTAGGCCGGTCGCCTTAAGCAAGCCATGATCTTCCCTGCGTGCAATGCAAGACTTCTCAGCCATTCCTTCATGCCGACATCTTCATCTCCTTCTTCACTCTTTCACACTTATTTTGATTTCTTCTTCTGCTCTTGGTCTCTCTTCGCGTAGATCTGGGACGTAAATGGATCCTCGAAGCGCAGCGCGATTTCGTAGACCACATAAACGAGGGCACTCAGCACAAGTCCCGCAGGCTTGCCGAACCACAGGGCAGTTCCAATAAAGCTCATGGTACTCCCATAGTACATCGGTGATCCCGAGACGTTGAATGGAAACCCGGTCACGATCTCGTCCATGAGGATGCCAAAGTAATCGCCGAGGTATGTGCCTGTTATCCCCAATGCCCACATGCTTGACAGAACAAGAACGTTACCACTTGCAACTAATCCAACAGCCAAAGCCTGCGACACGAAGCCTTCGAGAAGTGGGTGGGAAGGTTGGGCGCGAAGAGCTCGCTCGTAGAGTGCGTCCCGGATGATACCGATGGAGAAGATGGTCACGGCGAGGGCGTAGCAGCCATAGCGAGGGTTGCCGCCAGCGAGCTTAGTGATGGTTTTGTTGTGGTATTCGCTGCGCGCTGCAATGTTCCAGAAGGTGGGATTGAACACGATTGAGGCGGCGGAAACTACAGATACAGGGTCAGTGGGCGGCTCGGGGTGTGGCTTGCGAAGTCCGAGGAAGACTTACTCCAGAGAGAGGGTTGGCTGAAGTCAACGAAGCCCAGCAGGGACGCTGGAGTGGGAGCCATGGCGCGAAGTGAGTGCACAGAGAAGCTGGTCTGGTAGCGAAACGTTGGAGGTATTGGGTTGCTTCCAACAGTGGAGCGAGTGAAGAGAGCTCCAGTTGCCAGCTGTGTGTGGGCCTTACGTCAGGTCAACGAGCTTCAGCACACCCCACACGGCACTTGACAGCCACGCATCTTCACATGCTTACAGTAACGATGCTGAGCCAAAAGAGTTCTCAACTGTCATACCGATAAAACTACATGTTACTGTGTAGACGATTATACCGAACTCCGTTGGCAGTACTGTTCATTTTCCCTGACAATCATTCCTTATGCAATGCAAAACCTACACCTATACAGATTCCCAGCTCAAACGCCATTGGACGCGCACGAGAAGGGACCTAAAGAAGAAAAGGTGTCAGTGTGTATTCAGAAACGGAAGCTTCAGTGTTGCACCTACCTCCAAAGCCTTCGCCCTTGTACCCCTGTCTGATACTTTCCACACTGGCATACGTGCCGCCTCCCAGGAACAAGAATCCAATCGCGATCAAGCAAACGTTGAGAGCGATCCCCAAGTATCCTCGAACGCCTCTCGTCTTCCAGAAATCCGGTCCATAGTCTGCGTTCCGCATTCTGATATATGCAGTGCCCCAGAAGATGAAACCGAAGAAGCTGTCGAAGAGCGAGCTCATCAGCGACAGCAAATCGCTGAAGAATGGAATCACTTCTGCAATAATGAATGCCAGCACCCAAGTGACCGCCAAGATAGCAGCCCAGCCGGCCCATCCAGCAACGGTATTGCTGGTCATGTGTCGAGTGCCAGCATAAAGCCGGAAGAAAACGAAGCGAGCGCTGACAGAGGCGTACAGGACGCCCAAAAAAAGAATGGTGGGCACCATGAACGAAAATGACACCTTCTTGTACACTTCGTTCGATATTGAGCCAAATGCGGGAGAAGTGTAATACTCAGTTCCAGTCCTGGAGTAGACAATTGAGCCGACTAGAGAGAACAGAATTATCTCTGCAATGGTGACGGCCCATAGAGCCTTGGGGAAGTCCCGCGGGTTCTTCATTTCGGCGATAAAACTTGGAAGTGTGATCTGGCCGATGAAAGTGTAGCTGATGTTCATGAAGGCGTTCATGCCAGCTACGAATGTGACCGAGCTAGGGGTCACAGCGTACACAGTCGGCTCACCTAGTTTCGGATAACCGGTGGGATGGTCCTCGATACCTGCGAAAATGGTCGCTAGGATGACCGATATGAAGGTGAAAAAAGCCGAGAATCCCGCCAAAGTCGAAAGTGTGCCGAACGTACGTGGCAAGGAGCAGGCCCAGGATGCGATGGCTACGATGGCAGAGAACACGATGGTGCAGACACCGCTGTTGCCGTTCGTCATCGTGTTGAGATACTTGGCTCCTGTAAGGCAGTGAAATCCTTGGCTATAGGTTCAAGTCAGTCTCGCCTGAACCTCAAGCATCGTAATGGGGCAACTTCTGCTCACATAAAGGTGTTGTTTAGGAGGAACATGACAGCGGTAAAATACCATGCCCATTTCTTGCCCCAGAAAAGCATCTGTCCAATGTCGCAGACATCTTTGACTTCGGGATGGCGGAGGCAAAATTCCCTGAAACATTCTTAACAGTTGCAGAGAACAATGTGATCGGCGTATACATACCATACGAGCAAGCTCGTATACAACACCATAGCAGCCACGACAACAGTGAGGATGAGTCCGGGTACGAGACCGAGGATGGCGTAGGAGTATGGGAAACTCATGATGGCTAAGCAGATGTACTCCGAAAAGAGGAGCGCCGCAGTCTGTATGCACTGTCAGTAACAGTTCAACAGACCTCTTTCCAATCCAACAACAGCGCTCATTCGCGGACAGCCAGATGGAGATTCGCGAACGACGACAATGGATGCCTCCTCGCCGCGACCTTGTGTATGCGAATATCACGCTTCGCGGGACAATGTGCCTCGATACGCCGCATGAACGCAGAGATACGACAAGCGAGGCTGTGGCCGCGTCCATGGACAAACTGTGCATATTCATCATGGATTTTGGTTCGCTCTCGGCCGGTAAAACGCTTCATACTTGTTGCAAGAATGCAGCATCCATGCGCCCTCGGTGGCGAACGAAAATCAACCATACCTTCTGCCAGCTACAAGTTCGGTACTTGATCGCATTTCCCTCCTCCAGCGCCATTTGCTTCTCGACAGAGATGTCCTCCGAGCTGCTGTCCGTGACGGCGCGTCCAGCGATGGAGCCTCCAATGGACTTCGTCCGAGGTACATCGATGCGGTTCATCTTCTTTGGAACTTTCTTGCGGCCTCCGGACTCTGCAGCGTCCGGCGACGAAGCAAAGCCGTCATAGTAGCCATCTTCACCAAAACTGGGCTTTGACTTTTCGTCCTTAGGCGAATCGCCATTCTTGAGTGCGACGGACATGGCGATTGCTCAGTCTGAGTCGGACTCGGAAGAGCCGCAGAATTGATGGAAGAAGGTGTCGATGAACAGTAGCATTTACCGCGAATTGGTAGAGAATGCGACGTTCAGAAGTGTTGAGAACTATGGTAGACTTTGGTTGCGAGAGGAGAAAAAGAGGACGCACAAGTGCAGCGCGCGTATTGGAGAGAAGTAGTCAAAGGTCACATCCGCCTTCTCGGGTAGAGGCGTGCAAGGAAGGCGTGATCGGCACTGCGGCAAGTGATGGAAGAAGGGGACGTAGTTGAGCAGCTGAAGTAGTGCCGAACCATCAAGATGTGTTCTGTGCAGTCAGCGTGGCTCAATTACGCCGATGAAGCGTGGGTATTGGACGATAGGCGATCTACTCGACGAAGGATGCACAGCAGTGTCGGTTCGGTGGGGGCTTGCCACGAAACTTTCAAGTTTTGGGTGCCGTGCACGCGTACCCTGAGGCAACACACTTCGCCCGTGATGCAGCACTACGCTTTGTTACAGCGTCATTCTCCAGGCCAGGCCTGCTGCGAGCGTCTTGCCGTCAATTACCATAATAAGTGATGGAGGTGATCTGGGCTTCAGCGTTGGCGCTGCTTATGTGCGAGCCAAGCTACATTCCATCTGCTTGTGCGCACACAAGCCTTCGCATGTGGATTGTGAGGGCTGGGCAGTGACATCAGCGGCGACATGGGAATGCGACCCAAGTCACCCAACGTGCCTACATGTGGGGTCCACGACAATTGCACAGGATGAAGGATGAGCGTGGTTCTGACTATGATACATCGTTGCATGCTCGTGGAAGCGCCCAAGAGTAGCAATCTAGCTTGTGCGCCGTGCCGAAACAATTGTGCGTTGACATTGTTGCTGACTGTGATGCGGCTCATCCCAGCGATTGTGACCTGATCCCCCCCCGATCGCCGAATCTCCAAAAGCATGCTGCTATACTACGCTGTCGCGCTCTGGTTATACGGAGGCTTCTCAGTCGCGTAATCCGCCTCGTAGGAGTAGGCCGAGTAAGACGACTCCATCTCAATCTCGAACGCTGGTGCATGGGCGGGTCGAGGATTCTTGCCTTCTCCTTGGAAAATCTCGGCCACGAACGCCAGTCCCTTCTGATCTTTGATGCGTGGCCATACTTCGACAACGTCACCATGGTGCAGTTTGCCGTACGTTTGCCTGCCAGGGCGCTCCGCCTTGTTCAACCTCTGGCCGTTGATAGTCACACCGTTGCTGCTATGCGTGAGAATGCCAACATATGCACCAGGCAAGCGATCGAGGTGTTCTTCGCCCTCAGGAATGTTCTCGATGCCTGTAGCATGCAAGAATATCGTGAAGGCTTGCTTTCCCACTCTCGTATCCATTTTGTCCTCGTAAGAAGTTGTGCAGTATTTATCGCGACCGAAGGTGTTCTTCCGCTGTTTGAGGTCTACTGTGATGTCGGCGAACGAGTCCGGCGTCGATACGAGCCTGCCCACTGGATCTCCTTTCCGAGTGGTGACACAATGTGGGATGGTCAAGGCCTCGATAGAGCGAGGATTACTCACCGCAATCGGAAGATTGTTTGGAGGGCGCACTTCCGGTTCGGGAGCAATGGACGGTGTTGGAGCGCTGTGTGATTCACTTGGCTGCCTGTTACTGGCACGACTGGACGGAAAGACTATTCGTTCTTTCGGATAGTAGTCTGGCTCGTTGACAAAGTCGTGCCCGCTCACGCGGGAGGCGTATTCGGCATTATGTGTTGAAGGGTCCGCAGGATCGTAGAAGCAGGAGGCTGATACTGGAACAGCAAAACGGCGTGTGAAAACTGGCTGTCTGGGTGTTTCATCGCAAGCCTGCTGCGGCCAGTCTTGTGGAGTATGCCTGGCGCTACCATTGTCCGTACCCAGAGGTGTGCATGGCCTGGAGTGTGCACTGCCGTCCTGACTTACATCAAACGAGCTCGGCAAGAATGGCGACTCAATATCCATCTCACGCACCATTACTTCTGTGCCCAGCAAACTGCCATTGTGTGCGCCACTGTGTATCGCTCCCTCACTCTGGCTGGAAGGCACCTCCACCTGTGACTCAGTTGAGCTGGTCCCAAGCTGCTCAGTCTCGGTTCGCTGTCTGCCAAGTGCCTGCTGGCGCATGTCTGACTGGCTGATCTCTCCGAATAGCTTGGGCGGCCTGTTCGCAGGAGCAGCGGCCTGCAATGCTTGAGCGTGTGCTTGTCCTTCGGCATTAGCAATTGGGATGGAGCCCAGCAAGTCCGGGCTGGAATCAAACAAATCATCATGCTCGTGCTCGTGATCGTCGTGCTCCAATGTCTTCATCCTCTTTGATTGTCGAGGATCGAAGAAGTCCAGATCGGATTCGTTGAGGCTGACTTCTTCCTGGTGTTGGCCACGCGCAGCAGCAGCAGCAGTGGCTCGCTCATCCAGGCTGAGAGATGCAACATCCTCCTGGGCGCCAGAGACCGCGTCTTGGTCCTCCTCCTGAATGTCATGCAGTGCTATTTCGTATGGTCGCTGAGGCGGCTCCTCCAGACCGAACCAGGCGTGACGGAGACAGTCTTCGGCAGAGTATCTGGTGAGAGGATCCGTATCAAGCATCGATACGAGTAAATCGATTGCAGCGTCCGAAATGCCATGCTTGTCGAGTTCGCTTGTGTCCAGTGGGGTGTGCATAATGTTGTCAAACATACCACGTCCAGTGGCGTCGGCAATGCCTTCGAACGGTGGTTTGTGGCATAGCGTGTACCACAGTACCGCGCCGAAAGACCATATGTCAACCGCGTGGCTGTAGCTGTGAAATTTGCGATTGGCCCGGGGCTCACGAGAACGCTTGACGCCTCGCGGGAGCGGATGGGAGTCATAGTGCGGAAAGACTTCTGGTGCACAATACAGCAAAGTGCCACAAAAGGTCTTGAGAAAAGTGTCGCTTGTGTTAATCGCCTTGGACAGACCGAAGTCGGATAATTTTACGATGAAATTGTTAGAGTCTGTGGACTTGAGGAGGATGTTGTCCGGCTTGATGTCGCGGTGGGTTATGTTCTTCTTATGGAGATAATCCAGCGCGTCCAATACTTGATGAGCCATTTGCTTGGACATACCTTCCGGCACAGGCCCATGCCGACCAATGTACTGTTGCAAGTCGCCGCACGGCACATATTCCATGATGATGTAGAGGTAGTCGTCGACCTCTTTGAAATCATGGTATGCGACCACGCTGTCGTGGCTGATGGACTGCATGATTCTCATCTCGTTGTCCAGCTTAGTGTCCAGGACGCCATTTCTCATGAAGCGACGCTTCTCCAACTCTTTGGCGGCATACAGGTGGCCATCAAGCTTGGTAGCCAATTGGTACACACTGGCAAACGCCCCTTTGCCAATGTGACCTACAACGTTGTACTTCTCGCCGCCGCTCCATCTCATGCCATACTGGTTGTTTGGCATCAACGCGGTGAAAGTTGTGTGTCGGCGAGGAGTGAAATCCGGAGGGCCTACAGGGAGGCCCTTCGAGATCCGCCACTGGCGTACAATTTCTGCCTGTCGAATCAGATAGTTCTGCATGGCATTCTCGTAGGCTGGGTAGTGCGGATCGCGGGACGGAAACCGGACGATGAATTTGATGATTTCTCCATGCGAGGGCGAAAGGACCTGGATGACGGAGCCTTGCGTGAGCATGCGACTATGAGGGTGATGATTAGTCCTCGCCTTAAGAAGAGTGTCATCAACCATGGTCCCATTGGTACTCAGGTCCTTGATCATAAGTACGCCAGTCTCATTCAAGTGGATGCAGAAATGGGTATTGCTGATCCGGCGATTGCTGTCTCTCGTGATGGCTATGTCGCAGGACTGAGGATTACGCCCAAAGGTGAGACCCAAATGTGGCTGTTTCGTCCTGTCTGAGAAGCGAAAGGCCAAATCTAGCGGGGCTTGACCCTGCCTTGCGGCCTCCTCTTCGTCAAGAATAAAAGTCATGTCCTCGTCGAGATCGGGGGGATCGGCAGGCAGGTCGCGATACTGAAGGCAGAAGTGAGGGCTCTTCCTCGAGTATTCTTGTGTCAACTTGTAGGCCGCCGGCGTAGAGGGGTGCAGAATGCAGATGACATCTGCAACGTCTTCTGCGTGAAGTCCCGAATGATTGAGGCCCAGCCGCCTTGGATCCAGCATCTCCTGCGTCAACTGCGTGGACTGTCCATCATCGTAGTCCTCATTGTCCATGCTGTCCTCTGGCGTGTCTGGCCGGGGAGAGGTGTCCATGTTGGGTATGGGCACCCGCATGAGGGATGCGGTCGGCGAGGACGGCGTTCGTGACGGCGGTGGTGGTGAAGGTGGTGGTGATGATGGGCGAAGGAAACGGAGGCTAGAGGCTTTAGGCAGCCATGGCGCTCAGACCATCAGATGATGCGACCCTTCTCGACGGACAGTGAGGAAGGTGAACGGAGTCAGCGCAACAGAAGGGCGAGAAGCAGAAGGCAGACACGGCAGGCATGCTCGACTCGACGCGATAGTTCTAACGGCACGCGGCACGCGGCTGTGTTCCGGGGGCAGGCACCATTGGGGTTGGCGTCAGACTGAAACGGGTCTGTGCAGATCCCCTCCCATGCGGCTGAACTCTGCTCTGCACAATTTGTGATCTGTTCATCAACTCGAGTTGAGGCCGCCATGCGCCAGAGTCTTTTTCGGATATCTGAGAGCAGCGTCTATCGATGTCGGAGGGAGTCACTGTAGCCACGGAGCCCTGGTGCATGTACGATCTCAACACTGCACACATGGTGAGCGATTTGAGATACATAGGCTTTGGGCTCCGAAGTACCTCGCGCCAAGCACAGCTACAGTTTCTCTAGTAACCTGACCGCGCGTCTCTAGCGCGTCCGGGTGGCTTGCCTTCTTCATGATTCCAATGCAGGAGACCCATGTTGGCATACTGCCGGCAGCTCTCATACGTCGGGTCACAACTGGGTGATATCATGAAGGAGGTACATTTGATGTGGTGTTGTTTTCGGCGTACATAATGCAGTGCTAAATCTGCAAGATGCTGCGGCTAATCTTCTACTTTCGAAGCTGAGCTACGCCAGCAATGGGAACTTTGGTTGTCGAGTACGCCCATACATTTCTCTGCCCGATGCGAGCCCTGTTGATCGGCGCGTTCATCGCCCTACGAGAGCTCTTACTGGCATGAACACCATTGTTTGCCGACAGTGTGCCATCCTCGAGCGGCAATGCCGTCATTCGGAGCCATTCCTTCATCAGGCTCGGACTCGCTGCCAAAGTCTTGTTCTTCATGGCATAAGCAATGATACCTGTAACGTGCGGAGTCGCCATTGAAGTCCCTGACAGCGAGTTGACCATGTTCGGCTTGCCGATCCAGCTTGAGATTATGTTGACTCCAGGCGCGTACAGGTCTACACAGGAGCCGTGATTCGAGAAGGAGGCTCGCTGGTTATCCATATCAATCGCGCCGACGGTGATCGCTGAACCTTTCGATCCTCCGGAGGAAGCGGGTGACGATTGACAAGCATCTTCACCATTGTTGCCAGCCGCCACACATACATGAATGCCAGCTGCGAGCGCAGCAGAGACTGCAGCATCGATTGCTTGCACAGGCTCTGACGTCGCCAGGGACATTGATATGACCGAACCTGTGTAGTCCTTGCCAGATCGAAGCTGCTCCTCGTGACGTCTAATAACATAGTCTATGCCTGCGATGACATCGGACGACGAGCCAAGACCGTTGGAGTCGAGAGCCTTGACACCATAGAGTTGAGCTTTCGAAGCCACTCCGAGGATTGAACCCGCGGCCGTACCAGAGACATGCGTGCCTAGAATGAGGGCATGGGTTAGTGCGTGCACTTAGCACGGTGTTTCTGACATTCGCATCTTCATGCCGCCACCAGAGGGAGATAAGTTGACTTACCGTGGCCGTCGTTGTCTCGCATGTCTCCATCGAATGACCATAGCATATTTGCGCGTCCACCAAAGACATTGTGCTGTGCGTAGAGACCAGTGTCCAGTATGTAAATATCAACACCGTTGCCGAGCGAATCGTCGGCGAAATTGTACGTGTAATCCAAGGAAGATTCGCTGCCCTTCAGGGCCAACGCCGTAGAGATTCGTTGCAAGCCCCACGGGGCATTTGGGCGCGTGCTGTAAACATTGCCGCGGGAGACCGTTGTCGCCTTTTCTACCATGGTTACTTCGGTCATATTGGCCAACAGGTCGAGACAGTGAGACTTCATGGAGGCAGAGAAGCCTTGGAAGTAGCTGTTATTAAAGATATGCCGGACATCGGGATGTGTTGTGTTCAGATCCAGTTGACGCAGGATTTCCTCGACCTTTGCAGGGACTGGTTTGCTCTTGTCGATGACGACGATGTGCTCCTCTCCGCCAGACTGATGACTGCTTGGCTGCGAAGGTTGACTGCTTAGCTGCGAAGGGATCGCCAACACCGACGAGACGCTGAGCCCAAGTGTTGCGAGTGCAATGCACTGTCCGAAGCGCCTCCACATCTTGAAGCCGCGAAAGTCTTGGGATCGAGTTGGGAAAGCAGATTGAAAAGCTCGAGCTGAATGGTGTCGTGCCTGCACGACAAATCGAATTGAACAACGCCTAAAACTCCGTGAGTAGATTCAGAAAGAAGTGGAAGAAGCAGAAGAAATGGCAAGAGCAAAGAGCAGAGAGTGAAGCCTTCAAGACAATAGGACTATCGACTATTGTCGCGGTGATACAAGCCGGCACAACGGCTTGAGCGCGTGAATGGCCTGAATGTGGCCGCATGATGTCTGGACGACATATTGTTGTGGGAAGACTGTTCCATCGAAGACGCAGAGAGCGGACACGCGACTCAGCGTCTGAGAAAGTGAGGTCGAGTGTGCACAGCCATTCGACGACGCTCCAAAGGACTTGGCTGAAACAAACTTGTACGGCGGGCGACCGCTCTCGAACCGCGCAGAGAAGACTGACCCAAGGTCATCCGATGAGCGACATTGACGCCGACGCCATGTTTGGGCGGAGATGTGGACTCGTCATGGGCTGATGCGCCGTGCTGTTGTTGTCGCTGAACAGGTCGTCGTTGGTCTTTCGGCGCGGGCAGACGCGACGTGACGGCGCCAAGTGCCATGTGCTGGGTGCTGCGCCGGCAAATTACCTCTGCTTCGGACCAAGGGAATCTTGGAAGGCCATGTGCGCTCTCTACTTCATCTCGCCGTCCCAGCAGGACATAGCCGTAGTAAGGCCACATCCATTCATGCGCGCTGGTCCACCATTATCCGGCTGCAACCACAGCTAAGTACAAGACTGTTTTCCTTCTCCCAGCAGCTGCCTCTGTCGTGCATTGCGCTACCACGCAGCTTCAGCACCTCCCACCTGAAACCTACCACGTCGAACTTCCAGCACCCCACCTCGAATTGTTGCATCTCCGTGACTACTTCCACCTCACGAGCGGAAACTTTGGGGACAACGAAGCGCTGCAATGGCGAGTCCGCCATTTGCTCCGGAACCTCGCGAGCTTCTACCTCCCCTTCTGGCATGCCTCGCTACCTCGACAGTCTCGCCTCAGCCGCCGCCCGCACTATTGCCTCTGCTCGCTCCCATACTTCGACAGCGTGTCAACTTCCTCTCGCAAAGCAGGACTGACGGCTGGCTTCCTCTACTCTCGTGGGATGTAGGCCGCGGCGCAAAACTTCCACAAGCTGTGGGACAAATAAATCTGGAGCCACACCCCGTATCAGGAGAGCTCGAGTTGGAAGATGTCAGCGCTGTGATGTATCGCCGGCTGGATCAAGAGACTCTGCAGGTCCGGCTCGAAGTGGAACAGTTTGGCTTGCTGCCGATATATGTGTGGTGTGAAAATGATGAGCACGCGTCTTCTGGTGCAGGTTGGCGGCTTACGGAGCTACGTACTCTGAGCGACGTGAACGACGGTACAGATTGGTTCGATACAGCGGCCGAAGCAAACGAAGCAGCTGGAACCGGATACAATGCACCGACAACAGTAGGCGCCAATACTGCAGAGGGAGTCAATGGCAGTGATGTGGACGATTCCAACGATGACTATTGGGCGGCATATGATAGGACTCCAGGGGAGACACCGGCGAGGACCCCTGCGAAGCGGTCTCCGGCTCCTTTCACCTCTGGGCGCTTACATCAGCTTGCAGATAGAGAAGAGGATGAATACTATGCCAGATATGGGGAAGAGGTGCAGCCTGCAATGGATTCGCACGATCCTGATGAAGATACCGGTGAAGTGGGCCAGAGCTCATTAAATGGACACACACTGGCTAGCGTTACCGCACCCGCACGAGCGGACTCTGCGGAGTATCGAACGTCCTTGCAGCCACACGATGCTTGGGGTGCGAAAGACTCCGCGATAGCAAGTGCGAACGAGCGAAGCCCCGAACAAAAGACCCACGAGCAGCTGTCGATGCCACGACCGATCTCGCCAGCGTCCTCACACTCTAGTATCGACCGCTTGGAAGAAAAGGCAGCAGAAATGAGCACGGCGAATGACCACGCGCAGCTGGCTGTGAAGCAACATATCAGTACGGACATCAAGAGCTTATTTCGGTTGGCCAAGGCATCGGGCATGGATCGTGAGGAATTTGTGAATGTCGTCCAGAGAGAGCTGGACGTGCTGGGCTTACTTGAACGTGATGAGTGACGCATGGCTTTGCCCGGATGGTAGCCTGGCGTATGGAAGATTGGGAAAGGTGCATAATAGTTCGGAGGGCCTTTGCATTAGCATTGAAGCGTTGGAGAAACATTGTTGGCGTTATTCATCCTCGGGACAGGGAACTCTTGTCAAGCCTGTATAGAAAATGATCAAGAAAGCAGGGCTCATCCTGAGTACCAAACAATGTGCTGAGGCAGTGCCAGTGCATCATACGATTAGCTAACAATGGTTGTGTTTATTGTACTGAGCTCACGACCTGCGTTGATGCTACGCGCCACGAGCAGTCCCCACTCGATTCATCAGGGACAACGATCGGGTAATGCGGGCTCGATATCGGTAGGCACGGCGAAGGCGCTCACATTGCACAGTGGTGATTGGCCGTGTTTACGAGCAAGGTAACAAGCCTTTTGGCCCAGAGGCCAAGCTCGCCAGCCACATCTCTCTTTTGCTTAACTTGGCCCCAGTGTTCGAATGTCATCGGAACAGCGGAGCGGCATCCTGGCTGCCAGCGAAATTGAGCCTGTGCGCCTGTCGGTGACGACGAGCACCAGCTCGACCAGGACTAGCAGAGCCAAGTGCATGCTTGATTTCCGGACGGTGGCTCAGCGGTTTTACGGCGACGTGCGCGAATAACCAGATCCTGGTCCACAGTCTAGAATCAAGCCTCGTGATTCGGCAGAGGAGCTGCAGGAGCTCACAGCCACGACCGCGCCGGCCGCGTGTCAGTCTTTAAAATAAGAGCTCGAGCTCCAGCGCTGCTGACCTGCTGTTCACGCGCGCGTTGGTTGCTCTCTCTTCACCTTTCTTATCCACTGATTTCACTAGCCACAGCACTTCCTTCCAGCTGTCAAGTTTCCTCGTCTCGTACCTCCACAAGCTCATCTCATCTCCTGCCGCCGATCTTAGACCCTGATCCAACGACCTGATCCACCAGTCTCGACCCGCAACAGGTACGAGCGTTCTTCCTGTCCAGCTTCCGCGACCTTGACACCCTTGCGACGTCCTACCCGAATCAGTCTTACTGTTCGCATTCACGACATCCAGCTAACGTGTGTTGACTTGACAGAGCCTTCACCATGTCGAACCAGGGCTACTACAACCAACAGCCACAATACCCGCCACAATCATAGTACGCAGAACAGGCACGCCGGCGTGATGTGGGGATGCGACACTGACGGTTCCAATAGCGGCCAGCCCCAATACGGCCAACCACAGTACGGCGGCCAACCTCAGTATGGTGGCCCTCCACCGCCAATGCAGTACCAGCAAGGCTACCCTCCACAACAACCAGAGCAGAAGGGGTCTGGCAAGGAGAAAGGATGTCTGGCCACGTTCCTCGCAACTTTCTGTTGTTGTTTCATGTGCTGCGAAGCATGCGAGTGCTGCGCCGACTGCTGTGGGTGATACCAACATGCACAATGCGGTTGATCAGAAGTCTAACATATCACAGGTGAATGCTGCTTAGAGTGCTGTTAGATGGGGAGACCGAAACATTTTGATTGCATTTCATAGGATACCACTGGGGCTTGGAGTTCTGAGGAATTGGAGCGCGCGGCAATGAAGCTATCATGGGACACAGTGCGATCCTGAAAATGTCATGTGCCTCTGATTCGGGACACATGACGGGCATATGAACATTCGATTGCTCTCGGTTTGGGGAGATATGAGCTTCGGTCGCACTGTGCACTCTGCACACCTTAGATATCATTCTTCACTCCTAGACGAGTCTGCGTTATGACAATTGGCACAAGTCCCCTCTGACAACCCTGGTCAGCCTTATGTCTTGGCGTGTGATCGAACTCAGCCCTACGGGTGGACCGCGGCCACAGATTGTGGCTGCTGTGCTCGCGCCGGTCAGGTCCGCGTTGTCAGTAGATATGCGATGTACCGGCCGCAGGGTGACGAATCACTGCCTCCACGGGTTGATGGCATGATGGGTTGTGGTGATGCTGCGCGCATTCGAACGGTTTGGTCACTGGCGTATGGCGAGACGTCTCAAGCAGGCCTGACCAAGTAACTCCCCAAGGCTCTGTCAAACTTCTCCACACGTATGGGCATTTCCATGCTGTAGAATGGATTCTTCATGACAAAATCGCCGTAGATCTCGTAACACCTCCGCACCACGAGATCTGTGTTGGGCTGCTCAGGGCTGGTAAAGAGCAGAAACTTGACCCCAGTAGCGCTTTGAAAGCACGTTAGACGAAAGTGGCTGCTTTCCAGGCTCTCAATTCCGGTGGTGGGCGGTCTCCTGTTGCCAGGGATAGGCTGAACCGGCGGCGCCGGATTTATGCTACGGGAAATGGCGTGTATGCCGTGAAAGGTGCCAGCCAAGATGAGATAGTCATTGGAATCCAATTTCTGCAGCCCGGGAGCAAAGGTGCGATTGTAGACGAGGCCACCTGTGTACCATATCAGTCTGAAAGCACGAGAGCGCTGAAGAGGATGTTCGAATACCAGCTTTGTTGATGATCAGAAGTGCGAAGACAACCATCGTGATTTCGTGATGACAGCAGAGTTGAGTGTGTGAGCGCACTTCCAGCAATGGTGCTCGTCCGCTGGTAGTACCAATACTTGTCGCCTGCAACTATGCTGCTGTTCACTCGGACGTAAAGTTGAAGTCCGGCTGCAGGGGCCGAGCTTGCCTGTTGGCTTGGCGGCTCGAAACGCAACTAGCGGCGGTGCACCTCTCGCTGGCACTGCACATCTTCCACTTCTTCTTTTGACCTTCCAGAGCCAACGATCGACCAGCACCACGACCTCTCGGTGTCCAGTAGTCTCTGGTCCCGTCGGATGGCCATGAGCCGCCGCCTTTCCGCCCCGTGTCTCAAGTGAGCTGCCTACTCACCGACATCCACCTCTCCGCCCCGCCGATCTACCCACCGCAGCCATGTCGAACTCGAATACCAACGGCGCTATTGCGCGGATCACGCGAGAAATTGCGATGGCACAGAAGGGTACGGACCTGTCCATCGCGGTGGCTTGTCGCGACAGCGACGTTCGCAACGTGAGAGCCCTCATTGTCGGACCGCCTGAGACACCGTGAGTAGCCTTGTCATGCAGGCGGCGCCTGCACGCGGCTGATCGTCCACTGCAGGTACGAGTTTGGCTTTTTCGAGTTTGACATGAAGTTCTCTAAGGACTATCCCATCAAGTCGCCGCACGTCCGCTGCATCACCACCAACAACGGCCGCACTCGCTTCAACCCCAATATCTACGCTGAAGGGAAGGTCTGTCTATCCATCTTGGGCACATGGCGTGGCCAGCCAGGCGAGGAGTGGAGCAGTGCACAGGGCCTAGAGAGCGTCTTGATCAGTATCCAGAGTCTGATGTCTGGCAACCCGTACGAGAATGAGCCGGGCTACGAGACCAACAAGAAAGAGGAGCCCAATCCTACCGCATACATTGCTAAGATCCGGCATGAGACGCTAAGGGTGTCAGTGTGTCAACGCCTGGAAGGTCTGCTGCAGATTCCGCCAGACAAGACGGAGCCCGCTCTTAAGAAGATCAAAGTCAGCCCCGCGGATGAGCCCCCTGAATCGCCCAAGTCCCCGCTGGCCAGTGGCACAAATGGAACTTCCACGCCTGCATCGATACATGAGTACGATGCGGAGGCGACCTATAACGCACTCGAACAGGGGCAGTGGGATCCTTTTGCCGACCTGATCAAGCGCCGATTCTTGTGGTACTACGATACGTATACACGGGCCATCGATACGTTCGGTGAGGTACAACGAGATGGCACTGCGTTCAAGCGAATGGAATTTGAGTATCCGCCGAACAGTATGGAGGGACACTTTGCCTACAAGAATCTCAGAGCGCGCATGGAGAATATTCTGGCAAGATTGGATGAGGAAGCTCGGTCTTGGGAGCAACAAGGTGCCCAGCAAGTGATTGATGCAACACAGCTGGCAACTCAGCTCGCTTTCCAATTCAAACAGCTCGAAGACAAGTGGAACAGAGGTTCTTATGCTGGTTCACACATGGAGATCAGCCTATCGAACGCCAAGAATCCATTTGTGTGGCATTTGACGCTGTTCGGCGAGCCGATGACTAACCTTGAGTAAGTGCGTAAAAGATCACTGGGGACGACCGCTGACTCATTCTTTACAGTGGTGGCATTTTCAACATGGATCTCTTCATCCCTCCCGACTTTCCCATCACTCAGCCACGAGTCAAGATCACAACCCCGATCTTCCATCATCGCGTCTCAAAGAACGGCCACCTCTGCTATTTCGCATCACGAGAAGATGAGATAGGCTCCCATCTGGAAGGCATAGTCGCTGCCATTGAGGATAAGGAATCCAGCTTCGATCCGCGGGCAATGGTGAATCCGGAGAGTTTTGATTTGAGATGGGGAAAAGAGGACAAGCGCAAAATCTACAACCGCAAATTGCGACGCAGCGCACAGGAGAGCAGTGAGTTCATGTGATGCTCCTATCGTGAAGCTTGTTTCTGGTCCATGCGGCGGCACAGTACTCGTCATGCTGGAATTATCGAGACACGCTCGTTGCCACTGCAGACTGCTCGATGCCTTCCAGCTATCTTCCATCTGCAGGCCGACCAGCGGCTGACTGGTGGCTCCGCAGGTCTTGAGCTGGATCCCCGTAAGGCTAAAGGGACAGACACATGGATCCTGTCAACCGTCCTGCAGCGACTGAAAGCTGCATGAGAGGCGAGGCCGAATGACAGGAGGCGTTACGGAAAAGTCAAGAAATTTGTATGATACCCGGGGAGTGATATATTAGCGAGGAGTTATGGCGTCTTCCCGGTGCTTGAACGCCCGGGACGCTTCGAATCTTGTGTCTTTTATGCACATTCTCTCGGTCGTCTTCACTCATGCCATGCTTCGTCATCGACGGGGAGTAGCTTTGGTGCGTGGTGAGACCGTTTCAACAGAGCTTTTATTGTGTGACACGTCTCTTGGCGTCAATAATGAGTTGTCTGACGACTTGCTGACTTTCGTCAACTCGTTCGACCTCGCGCTCCAGCGAATCCCGAACCTTCACGAACATGTCCTTCTGGCAGACCATCTTTTTCTCCTCTGGATCATATATTTGCTCGTTCTGCGCCGCCTCATCGAACCCCAACAACATTTCAGCCATGTTCCTCCTGATTTGCTGAAGATGCGCCTGTTTCTTCGCCAAGCTCTGTTCGAAGTCTCGGAAGTGCCACATGGCCTGCTCCGGCCGGCTGACAGCGGCTTTCGCGGGTTCCTCAATGCACCAGGTCATGTCACCATTGGCGTCCAACGATCGTAAACGTGACATGTGCTTCTTTGTGTCAGCAATTCGCCAGTCCAGGGCTGTGGCTTTCTGCCAGAGAACAAAGTGTACCTGGCATAGAGTGTGGAGATAATATCGTTTACTTCGCTTCTCAGGGCATTCTGCAAGTTTGTAGTAGTGATTGTAGTATTCGAGCTCCTTGACCGAGAGCCACGACCACAGAAACTCGGCTTCCCGGGCCAACTTTTCGCGTTTCTCGGTGAGCCGCTTCAGATTCCTTTCAAGATCCGCGATGGGATTCTCAGAGGTCCATTGGTAATTGGCATTGGCAGAGGCGCTCATTCGAACACCGATGTTGAATGGGGCCTTGCTTGCAGTCAGTGCATCACCCTCTTTCCGGCCTCCTTGACTTTGAGGAGCACCATCAAGAGGAGAGCCTCGACCGGACGAGCCAGAGCCAGAGTCAGAAGTAGAGCTGCCGCCTTGGTTCACAAGCGGTCCTCGAGAAGCCGCCATAGTGCCATCAGCGGGGTGAAGCATAGGATCTTCCACAGCCATTAATGAAATTGCCTTAACGGTTGCCGATGTGTCGGTAAGTGATGTGCTTCCCAGTCCAGCCGCGGGCTTGAGAGCTCCCACGAGTTTCATATCATCCCTTATCTGAGTAATTCTGTGAGCAATGTATGCAGCTGCTACGCTACATGTGGAAGCTACGAGAATGTGTCGATAGATTCGCGCTCTAGTAGACAGCCTGCTGAGCATCATAATGCTGCCCAATCCGGCCAAGATCACACCGTCCCTGAGACCGGGATATCTTAGGGGTTCGCGGTGTGGCTGGCGCTCGCTGGACGTAGTCTTGACGGCCACCCTGTGACGCCAGCTCTGGCATGGGGAAGAATCGTAGGTCAATGATCCTATGGTAGCGCAGGTCTGATAATGAGTAAGCTGAGCAGCTTTGAGTGTGTTGCGAGACTTACAGCAGCACTCGCCGTACAAATTCGGATGCTCGTTCTATATCTGGGCGTCATGCAGGACAATGTCCATGGCACTGCTGCGGCCAGTCCGATGAAGCCTGTTTGGTACCAATCATCGCTCACGCTCCTCCTAACATGGCTTGCTTGCACATACCAATTGTTCTGGTGAGATTTAAGAGACGTGCATCTTCGGTGCATTCTTCATCGACTCCAGCGCCGGAGGTGGAAGCCATGACGGCACGAGAAGAAGCCTTGCGGCCTTGAGATGCTCAGGGACATGTGAGCGATTTCGGTCGACATTGGCACGAAAAGATATAGATTGATATTGTTGCACAGAGTGGACCTCGATGACACCCTCGTGACACCGTGCAAGGCCGCAGTCCCCAGTGGGAGGTCGTAATGAAAATTTGATGTGTCTTTTGATTGAGCCAATCAAAACGCGACCAGAGGACGCGTCTTGCCATCACGAACTTTCTGCCTGCACTGCTGAACACACAAAACATCGCGAGGAGAATATGAGACCCCGACGCTCACCGACCACTCCTGTTCTCAGGCGATATGGTCGTGACGAGAGTTCTCTGTGTGGCTGAGAAGCCTTCAATTGCGAAGGCTGTGGCAGGACACCTCAGTGGGGGCCATTTCCAGACTGTAAGCACATTCAGAGACCACACTACTTCATGACCTGACAAGTACAGCATCCAATCACCGGCAATCAATATGTGAAGAATTACGAATTCTCGTTCAATTTTCCAGGATGGGGTCCTTGCGAAGTTACCATGACTTCGGTGTTGGGTCACCTCATGGAGGCCGACTTTGGAGCCCAATACAAAAGCTGGCACTCGCAAGACCCTTCTGCTCTGTTTGACGCTCCAATCGAAATTTCTGTCGCGGACAAAATGAAGGCGGTGGCACGCAACATCGGAGTCAAGGCTCGCCATGCTCACTACCTGTACATCTGGACGGACTGTGATCGAGAGGGCGAGCACATCGGCACCGAGATCATGAAATGTGCGCAGGAGACCAACCAACGGTTTCGTACTGCAGGTAGAGTCGTTCGTGCACGCTTCTCGAACATTGAGCGAACGCATGTGCTAACTGCAGCGCGAAATCCGATCACGATAGATGAAGCGCAAGCCAATGCTGTATATGCACGGCAGGAGCTCGATCTGCGTATCGGAGCATGCTTCACTCGTAGACTGACAATCGACCTGAAGCCGATGATGCCCTGGGCGGACGAACGCGGCAAGGTAATCAGTTACGGCAGCTGCCAGTTTCCAACACTCGGCTTCGTGGTTGAGCGATACATGCGCGTGCGCAATTTTGTGCCCGAGACCTTCTGGGCAATCAAGGTTATGCATCGAAAAGACGACCAGGAAGTCAACTTCCGCTGGGCTCGAACACATTTGTTCGACCGGATGGTCACGACGATTCTCTACGAAAAATGTCTGAATGCACGAGAGGCAGTGGTGTCGAGAGTGCAGACCAAACCGACCTCGAAATGGAGGCCCTTGCCACTTACGACTGTTGAATTGCAGAAATGCGGCAGCAGATTCCTCCGGATGAACGGCCAACGTGTTATGAGTGTCGCAGAGAGTCTCTATCAAAAAGGCTTCATCAGTTATCCGCGCACGGAGACGGATCAATTTGACAAAAACATGGACCTTCGACAGTTGGTGCAGAAGCAGGCCCAGAACCAATCTCGCTGGGCGAACTACGCGCAAGGACTGCTCAATGGCGGCTTCCGATGGCCTCGTGATGGTCGTCACAATGACAAAGCCCACCCTCCAATCCATCCCGTCAACTTCGTCGCCGCAAATGCTCTCGATGACGAGTCGCAGCGAGTCTACGAGTTTGTCACCAGGCGATTCTTGGCGTGCTGTAGTGATGATGCAAAGGGAAGCAAGACCGAAGTGAGCATTGCTTATGGTCCTGAGACCTTCCACGCCTCTGGCTTGACGGTACTGCAGCGCAACTACCTGGATGTGTATCCCTATGACAAATGGACCAGCAGTCAAGTGCTGCCTGACTTTCAACAAGGAGAGTCTTTCGTGCCGACATCTGCCTTGATGCACGAAGGACAGACTTCGCCACCCGGATACCTCACGGAGCCAGAGCTGATAGCATTGATGGACACTAATGGCATTGGCACCGATGCAACAATGGCCGAGCACATTGCCAAAATACAGGAGCGAGAGTATGTGCAGACAAGACCGAGAGCCGGGCAGGCGCGCCAGAATGCCGGGGACGAAAGTGAGGAAGAGGTAGAAGGTCCCGTACAAGCCCAACGAGGGGGCGGTCGAGGACGTGGTAGAGGCCGCGGCAGAGGTGGACGCGGTGGAGCCAACAACCGTCCTGGAGGAAGCACGACCGGAGTGGAAGAATTTATACCGACAACGCTTGGGGTCGCGCTTATCGAAGGCTACGAGAGCATGGGCCACGAGATCAGCATGGCGAAGCCCTTTCTACGCAAGCAGGTACGTCGCGCGACACATCGTCTGATGAGAAGGCACTAATCGGTCCAAATCCAGATGGAGGTGAAGATGAAGGATATCTGCGAGAATCGCATCACGAAGCAAGCCATGGTCCAGGAGATGATTGAGCAATATCGAGCCACATACGTCCGAACAAAGCATGGCATGCACTTTCTTCAAGCGGTAAGTGTGGACCATTCGAAGATGGGAGAGCAATACTGATGATTTTCTCCAGTCTGTGCGCAAGTACGTTCAAGGCCAACCAGGATGAATATCTGCGTGATGACCACCTACTCACGTATGCACGTGTATGTCCGGAGAATGCAAGCATGCACGCAGCAACATCGATCTGGCCGTACAGAACACCGCCTCTATCATCCCCGCGCGATCATGCCCATACAACGCCCGTCCAGATGATCAATCTTGCAAGTGGACACTTGCTGGATCCGGATGGACGAGTATTCACACCTGCCTTACTGAAACCGCCGCGCAATCAAAATTACCATTCACTTCGACAGACATGATCTCGCAGTGCTTGTGTGCAGATGAAGAGATCAGTGTCGAGTGTCGTGAATGGAGGGAACCGTCAAGGCTAAAGAGAAAATGGCATTATGACTTCTGGCGATGCAGACACAACGATATTTCTAGACGCAAGGAGGTCTTCAATTGCGGCATGTAGTCTATTTGATTCGCGTCTGTTCAGATGCAAAATCGGGACTGAGATCAACATTGTGAATCCACATATGGCGTGCTAGAAGCTATCCTTGAACAAACCGACCATCGGCTTTCGGAACCAAGCCCGCGTCCATGACTCCTCCCAAGCCGGATACTTCAGAACGCCGCGAGCTTTGTCACTGCACCCTTCTGCACGACAGGAATTGCTATTGGCTTGCCTCAACACAATCCTGATAGCTTGAATTGGAACTGCCTCAATACAACGTCAATTTGTGTTGCAGTCAAGATGACACGATTGCAAGCACAGCTCGATCATGTGGTCCTTCTCCTTCCGTACCAAGATATACTCAACCCTCCAAGTTGGCTGACAGACAACTTCGTCATCAGTGAAGGAGGTCGACACGCCGATGGTAAGACAGAGAATCGGCTAGTACTATTCGAGGACGGAACCTACCTGGAATTGATCGCCTTCATCGAGGATGATCCCAAGCATAGAGAAGGCCACTGGTGGGACAAGCCCTACGGAGTTGTTGACTATGCCCTCACGACTGCAGACTCAGATTTTGGAGAGCTCTTCGGCATCGTTGATCGACTTTCCAAGACGGAGACCGGCATTTCCTACGATGCACCAAAGGATGGCGGTCGCATCAAACCTGATGGGCAAGAACTGAAATGGTATCATACCTCTCAGACCGCCATTGAATGACACGCTGACACGCTTGCCAGGCGCGTGACATTCCCAAAGAACACATCGAGAGGCAGCGTCCCATTCTTCTGTCACGATGTCACGCCACGGAACCGAAGGGTCCCCGCCCCAGACCGCAAACATCCTTCCGGCGTCGTAGGCATGGCGGGTGTCCTAGTCGAGGTCGCATCAGACGCCTCCCTTGCGCGTCTATCGAACGCCACCGCTGCCCTTCTGGATCAGGAAGCTGCCAAAAATGAGACAAGGTACGAGGTTGATGTTGTACACCAGTTGCCCAATGCCAAGAGTCAGACAATAAGGATCCAGAAGCGCGGAGGCGGCAGCCATGGTGAGCACAGTGATCTCGCCTTGTCATTGGTCTTACAAGGTCCTAAAGCGATCGATGCGGTACACCGCAAGATCGATGGTGGCACCGTGTCTCTCGTGTTCGAACAGCAGTAGCGGTGGCGATGCAGAGTCTTGAATGGCGGCAAGTGGAGCCCCAGATGGAACCTGGTCGTCTAGCAGTGGAACTGTCCTTTGCATGGCATGGCGAATGGGTCATTTGGGGCTGCGGAGGGTGGCGGATGTAGCGTCCTCTATAGATCGGGAACCTTGTTGGTTGTGGACGGAGGTACAGCGGCTGTCACCAGGTAGATGTTCGTAGTGACATGTACGACGTTGGGACATACGAGCAGACCGCGATGAGGAGACAGGATGTCGCACACGAGTCCGTCATGGCCAGGGAAGAGAAGGCAAGTCCCAAGAGCCAGGTCGTCTCTCCCGTCCTGAGGCGCTACGACCGAGGCGGTGTAGTAGGTGCATCTCCAGAAGAACCCAAGAGACGCAGAGTGTGGGTCTGCATCCGCTTTGGCAGCTGTCATGTGTTGTGCATTCTGCACCCGAGTGGCTTGACGGTCTGTGTTGTGTTGAGTGCGGTGTCTCTCGATGCGCGGTGGTCATTGCAGAAATGCCTCTGCTGGGACTTGCCTAGAAGGAAGGAACTGTAGACAGGGGGCGGCAGGGATCGGTGCATCCTGCACGTCTACATCATCGAGCAAAGTGGGCGATAATATTTTCTTTGTGCGGCTTCCAAGATATTTCTGTGCGACGTTCGAAAAAAGGTTACTGCTTTCCTGGTTGGCGACAAAAGCCCTCGTGTGATGCGATGCACTAGTGCGACGAGATCTAGGAAACGGTTTTGGTTGCATCTGGTTGGTATGTCCAACGGGAAACGAGATTTAGAATGATTAAATTGTCTCTTTTGTTACATTGCTGCCGAAGTAGCAAACGGTGGGTATCAGTTAATTACAAAGAAATTTTACTCTCTCGCTATGCCATGAAACCATATCGATTCCGATTCATGACTGGTATAGTCCTTTCCAGCCAGCCGAAATATGGGAAAAAGTGAACGCAGGCTGAAGCCGAGCCTAGTGGTACATCAGACAGCGTAACTGAATTGCCGTCTGCCACCACACCCCGTCTGCCCAGTACCCTCATCCGCTGTAACAGCGTCTCAAATCAGAAAGCCACCAACGCCGGTTGTCCCAATGCAGATATATAGTATACAATTCTTTTGTTTCCCATGGCGGATTGCTCCGCTCTGCCCTCTAGTCTCAACAAGATCCGCTAAGCTCATAGTGTCGCCACCCATACCCGTCTAACCAACGCCGTGTAGTAAAGAAAAAGTGTCCCAAGGTCCGTGAAGATAATGTCGGTCGCGCGAAGAAGTGGATTTTGGAAGTATTATGCCTGTTCGCGTCGATGGTCCAGAGTCGCAGCGAAGATCGTGGCGTTGTGTTGGTGGGCGGGTGTGTGCGTGAGGTGGAGGACCGAAAAAAGTGTTGTTCAGGTAATACAGCGAACGCTCAAGTGGGTATTATGCTCGAAAATTCAAGTAGCAGTGGTAGTAGTGATCGTTAAAGGCGGTTTGGTCGAGAAGGGCGTGGTTTGGCGAGTGGATCCACCAAGCTCCATGCGTGCAGGCTAGCTGCAACGTAAATTCGGAAGCTTGGATGGATTCTGCAACACAGCTGTCGTGTTTCGAAAGAAAGTTTGTGCAGCTGCGACTCGCTTTTCTCGCACGTCGCATCGTCGTATACGGAGTGTTTCGTTGAGCGGTGCATATCAAGGACGGCGCCCATGAGAGCATTATCGTCGCGACTTCGGCGGCGGCGTTGGCTTCGGCTTGGGTGTGCTGCAGTGATGGTCAGTCACCGCACTGAATCGGCCAAGGATCACTGCACATAGTGAGTGCCTGCTTACCCTGTCGTGTCGTATGCGCCGCGGCCCATGTTGAAGTCTTCCGAATTGGTCCTGAGAATCATGGAGACGGTGTGTGTGAGCTGCGGACAGGCGCGCAGGTCAGTACTTATACGGGCCAGAAGGCGGAATGCATTGTGGCACAAGGGACTTACAATTGCTCGCAAGGGAGTGGATTGATGGTGGATCGTTGTACAGAGGGCTTGCCCGTTGGTAGCAGGATGGTTCGCAAGTGACTCTGCGGGTGACCCAGGACAGGCGGCTGGAATGCTGGCGGAAGGATTTGCGGTCGGCAGTGTGCTACTGTACGCGGGCGCTCTAGGGTGGCAGAGGAAGCTAGTGGGTGGACGGAGAAAAAAGAAAATAGGCCAACGAGCGGCAGCGAGATCAAATAGTGCTCGCAAACTGAAGAGCGACAAGGAACGTGGTGCCGGGGAGCAGAAGGCGAGTTTGGAAAAAGGGAGTGTGAGATTGTCCTTCATCGTTCCATGACGTGCACGGTGCCTTCACGTTTGTTCCGCGAAACACACAAGTCGTTCCTTCCCCTGCAACCTGCGAAGTGTCGATCCTCTGAGGCCCTATCCCTGACGCTGGGACCGCCTGCAGAGACGTTCATGTACCTGCATTAGTGCTAGGCGCGGCACTTCATCCTTGGTCTGCCGCCCGCGGGTCGACATCCGGCAGCGTCTCGCCAGACATAGATGATGGAGCTCCCCGACCCGCGGAACGTGCCTGACTGGAGTTTTGGAGCTGTGGGCGATGGCATGACTGGCGGCGGTGGTGTTGATGAGACGCGCCGGCATCTCTGCTTCTTCGCCGCCGCTGCTGCTGCTGATGATTGAGCCCTGGTCCTCTCGCGACGGGCCATCCATATTGCGGTGTTAGTTCGCCTTCTGGCGCGACGAGCTACGAGCTTTCTTGTGCTTCTAGCGCCCGGCGGAGTGCATAGGCCGAACTTGTGCCTAGAAGATGCTAGCTCGTACCGTCTGCCTGGAGTCTCAGCCTGACTTCCGGCAACGGGGAGACTGGGCGAAGCGCAAAGCTTGATACTCTGCCTGACTGCCTCATGTAATGGGCGGTGCCGTGGCCGCCGTGCAGATGCTGATTGCTGCCGCTAACTGTCGTGTCCTAACTGTGTACAGTGTGTAGACACTCCCGCCCGCGCCACGGCGAGTCGCCGCATCAACACGACTGCTGCCGCGAAAGGAGTGCCGACCTTGCTTTTGAGGAACTCCGGCCCGCTGGGAATAATGACTGGGTTGCGCAGCAGATCACAGGCGCCGCACCGGACGCCGGGGCCAGTCTGTGAGTCCAATTTTACCAGCCGAACACCAAACACGCGACGTGTCTCGCCGCGAGAGCGATGCATGCCGAGCTTGTTGATGTGCTTCACTCGCGCACATCTCTCCGTTCTCCTGCCTCCCGTTGCTGCCGCACCGCATTCGACACCTTGTCAGCCAGGCTCGCGGAGCCTATCGCCGCTGCGCTTGTCTGCCCGGGTGCCGTCGACGGGGTTCGCTGGTTTGCTCCCCCTACACCCATGCCGCCGATGGTGTCACCGTTCCCGTTTGCCAGTCGAGCTGCAGGTGTTCGCATCGGAGCTGCTGCACGATTGATTGTCCGGATGCGCTTCCGCCCCAGCGATGTGTCGTTGCAGCCTCAAACGCTTGTCTGCGTTTGTCGCGTGGCTTGATGGTGGTTTGTGTTTTGCGATGAGGTGAAGTCAAGACGAAAGTTCGCAGAAGCAGGCACCTGCAATCAAGTGGAAGGCACGAAGTGGAAGGCACAGCGGTGCGCGACTGCACACGGAAGCTCTGTGGGCGTGGGAAGGAAGGAGGCAGCCCGCGGTCGCATGCAACGAAACATCGTCTACGATTCTTTTTGCAACAAGTTCTGATTCTGCAGTTTGATGCATCGCTGTTTCGCCGGCCATCGCTTCCCGCCAGCTTGATGAATTGATGAATTGCTCTCGAAGCGAGCCTTGTTGACAGCCCCCCAAGTGCCGTTCGACCCACCGCTGGCGAGACATCCTGGCCCCAAACACGTATTCAGCGCACACTCGATACGCCTAGCATTTTCCATGCCACAAGGTTTTGCGCGATCTTCGATCAGCATTCTTCTCTGCATGGATTCTGCAGGCTGCGGCGGGCATCCCAACACGTGGTCTCACGGAAGTCAGCCGACGAACACACAAACGAGGCACAATAATCATCAGCAGCAAGCTGCACCCTCGATCAATCAGAGCCAAGCCAATGCGCCCAATGACAGACTGCCTGTCATATAGCTTTCGGACCATCTGCCCTTGTTGCTCAACACATCAAGCCGCTTCACACAAACCGGCCAAATGGCAACCCCGGCATTGCTGACTGCTGGCATTAATCATGAGGGCCCTTGTATTCTTTGTTGGGTTTAAGCTTCTGTCCCGATGTTCCTGGTGCTCGGAGTATACATTACCACTGTCGTCTGCCCATCGATCATGGGTCGATTTCAAGCCCGCCTCACGCAATGCCCTCTTCCTCGTGAGCGTTGTTTGTTGGACACGCCATCGCACTGGCCAGCAATCCAGTGTCTCCGGCCAGGGATACCTCGACGAAGGCTTCGCAATCCTGTGAGTGCAGGAAATGCCGCACCGGAGCGAAGCGTGTACTTTATCGGCTTTCTCACGGCCCGAGACATTGCCGTCTGGGTATATATTGAAGCCGGAAGCTTCGTGAGTCGCTGGCAGAATAGTAACCCTTCATCGCTGTTCGTAAATCACGTTGGCTGGTAACAAAAAACTTGCACTTGAGCGTGGCTCTCGCATTGCCAATTCGCGAGGCGGCGCATTGAGCCTTTCGACGCTGTTCTTGCGCACCAGGTGCGTTTATCAAACTTGAATCAGGCCATTTCTTGCCATCGGAATCAGTCATAGCCTACACCTAGATGAGGCCGCTGTGGAGGCCGCACTTCATCCGTCTACAACATCGTGCATCTCCCTGCACTCCGTATGGGTGAATATGAACTTGTTCTTCCAGACACATTGATTGGAGGGATAATGTTCGTGACCTGCACGATGCCAGTAGCAATCGACTTACTGAAACCAATGCTGGGGGGCCATTCATTCGGTCGCCCGACATGTGAGCCGCGCGAGCAATTTCAAACTTTTCTCATTTTTGGGTTGTGGTGTGAGGCGACGACTTTGGCATCCTTGATGAACAATGTGTAGCGGCATCCATTTTCAGCCGCAGTGTCAGCGATGGCGATCAGAACCCTGGCGGTGCTGGCGAGTAGTGGCATCACTTCTGCGCGAGTCGATTTCGAGACGGCGCAACTGAAAGCAACGCTTCGATGGCTACGAGGAATGCTAATAAGTCAAGTCTCGAACACACACGGCATGTCATGCACTTAAATGGATGCTCTATATGACGGGACGCGTTCGGCGTCAGTTGTGAAGATTGGTTTCAGCACGACACGCGGAATCGAGTCCGACAGCCTGGCGAGGATCTGAAACGGGCGACCGCTGCACACGATGGACTCCTGCATGCCACTGGTCTGGGTCAAGAGGCGCTTGTGGCTGACTTTGCTGCCGTGGTAGTTGGCGCTCATCATCTTGGGCATCCAGAAGACGTGCACCGGGTCTCTGGGTGCAGCCGTCGGAAGTCGATGGCGATCGTAACGCTCGCCCAGTGTGCAGATTTTGGTCCTTGGGAAATATTTGGAAGTGCGCAAGGTTTCGAATTTGACCTTTCCGCGAGGTGGAATGCCTCCCGATGGCCTGATAGCCGTGGTGCCGTACTATGGGTTCGTTTCAATAGCCAAGCCGGCCCGAGTGCAGACTTCGATGTCAGGTTGATGCCCGAAATACTGAAGCTGACATGACATGTAACAAATTCTCTCGCATGATCTGTTCGAGATGAATTCAACACGCACGACGCGTCAATATTCTATCAAGAAAGAACGTGTCAGCTCTGTCGCAACTTTTTGATGAGCTAGGAGGTCGGTATAGCGAACTTAGACTACCTCGGCTGTCGTCACTGCTCTGCCCGTCAACATCAACGACTCGCAAAAATGTAAACCGCACACGGCACCGCAGCGCTGCTGCAGCGACGGAGGTAGGAAAGTGTCCGCCGCTACTGTGACTACACATTCAGAAGATGAAAGCCATCCACATCCCGAAATTCCATGAGGGCGATATCGCGTTACTGCGACCGAGCGATATCCCGCAACCGACTCCCAAAGATGACCAGTTTCTAATCCAGATCACTCACTGCAGCCCGCAACACGCCGATATCCTACACGCTCAAGGCAAACATCAGAATAATACCAAGCGAGGCTGGTGTCACCCACCGTTCACGCTCGGCTATGACTTTGCAGGCGTGGTGGAAAAGTTGCCAGCTCGAGGCAGTACGAAGAGAGGGTTGAAAAAGGGAGATCGCGTTTTTGGTGCTACAATTGGTGCTTTCGCCGAGTACATTTGCGTGACGGAAGATGCTATACGCAAGGCACCAAATGGCCTGTCCAATGAGACGGTCGTGGCCATGTCGAGTGGAGTGGTGAGCTATGCTTCTGTGGTCAACATGGCAAAGGTGAAGAAGGGAGAAACAGTCATTGTGAGTGGTGCGAGTGGTGGTCTAGGCAGTGTCTGCTGCATGGTTGCGAAAGCAGTAGGAGCCAAGGTTATTGCCCTCACTGGCGACCACGAGAAGGCCGAGCATATGAGACGGGATATGGGAGTGGATCTGGTGCTGGTCATGGAGGACGGCTGGCTGGATAAAGTGCTAAAGTTCACTGGAGGCAAAGGAGCGGAGGTCTTCCTCGACAACACTGGCATGGTGAATGATGCGATACGAAGTCTTGCTTACTTTGGCAGGATAGTCATCATAGGCTTCGTGGCCCGTGGAGGCGTCATGGAAGAAGTGAAGATGAACAAGCTGCTGCTCAAGTCGGTCACGGTGATGGGCTATCGGTTCGGAGAGAGTGGCAGAAGATATCCCGCTATGCTGGAAGAGATATGGAAAGGGTATCTTGGGCTGCTAGAGGCAGGTCGCATCAAGGCCTTGCTGTATGGCGATTACAATGGGCTGGAGGATATGGGGCGTGCATTGAGCGATCTACATCATCGCAAGGTCTATGGCAAGGTTGTCGTTAAAGTGGCCGACGTTCCCACAAGTGCGAGGCTGTGATACACCAGCGACATAGATGTAGTGAAGGGCAATGGCGAAAACACAAAGTGTGAGCGCAAAGCCACTTCTGGTCTTGAAGACGTGATGGACTATGCTGCCACGCACTTGGCCGTGGAGAGCCCAAACGAGGTTCCGAATTCGCGCTGATCGATCATTTTCATCCCAACACTTCCTGCCAATGCTGATGCCAATGCCTGTCCAATTCTGTGAAACGCACGGACCATTGTAACACGCTAGTCTCGGCTCGCCATCGCGACCGCGCCTTTAGGTGTTGATTTGTCTGGTTCAAAGTTCCAGATCACACGCCACGACACGTTTCCCACATCTCAAAATGCTGCTGCGGTGACCTGGGGAAATTCGGATCGCACGCCATGAAATGACCGTCGCTCCTAGCAGAATCTGGTGACCGAAAATCAGCAGCATGCGCGTGTCGCGTGCGAGAGCAGGGGTCTGGCTCAGTCGCTCCTCCGCAATTCCAAGGCCTCTGCGACCATGTCTGGCTTTCGCAGTAATTCGGGCGCAACGACGCTGTTTGCAGCTCCCGTATGGCCCTCAGACTCCTGGACCGCCTGACGCTGGTCCCGTGGAGAGCGAGGATGATGCGCCCAAGAAGGGCTCGTCCGGCTCAGATGCCGGGAATGGTCAGTCCAGGTTCGATTGGAAAGGTACGGCCTTCAAGATGACTGAAGCTGCCTTGACCACATTCGCTTCGGTCGCTATCCTCGGAGCCGTGGGCTATGGTTACACTCGATATTACAAGTACATGATTCTGGAGAAGATGGAGCATGCATTCGACCCTGGGGATCCTGTACTCGACATAGCTGCTACTGCTAAACAAGGATCCGCGACTGGTGGTCATGTTCTTGTGGACGAGGAGAAGCAACGCGAACATTGGGTGCTCCGCAAAGAGCAGGCACTCATTGATCGCATTGTCGCTGGCGAGGTTAGAGGCCAGTACCATCTGATCGTTGGTGAGAAGGGCACGGGCAAGTCCAGCATGCTGATAGACGCCATGGCCAAGATTGACGGCGAAGGCTGCGCCATGCTTGAAGCCCATGCCAATCCTGAGATTTTCAGGATCCGACTCGGTAAGGCATTGGACTTCGAATTCCATGAGGACAACATGGGCTCACTCTTCTCGATACGTGGCCCGCGCGACGCGGGTGCCCTTCTTGATGTTGAACGAGCATTCAACAAGCTAGAGAAAGTCGCTCTCAAGCGAAGACACGAGATTGGACGTCCTCTGATTCTCATCTTCAACTCGATGCATTTGTTACGCGACGACGATGATGGCAAAGACCTGCTCGAGCTGATACAACAAAGAGCAGAGCAATGGTCTGCGAGCAATCTTGCAACTGTCATCTTCAACTCAGACGATTACTGGATCTACGAGCGCCTGAAACAATACGCCACCCGGATGAATGTGCTACGCATTCTCGACCTTGACAAGCAAAAATCCATTACAGCATTGCGGAACTATCGCACAAGATATAGAAACGACCAACCCAGCGAATCGCTCCTGGAGCAGGTCTATGACAAGGTTGGCGGACGTATGTCGTATCTCAATCGTGTCGCAAAGGCGGACGATATGCTTAAGAAGGCCGAGGATATTTGCCGTGCGGAGAAAACCTGGTTCTTGAATCAATGCTGGATCTTGGGCGCAGAGATGGACGACGATGTGATGGATCAACAGAAGTATGCATCCGCTGCTATGGTGCTCGCAAAAGCGCTGGTTGACCTGGAGAAAGAAATGGAAAAGACCTATGATGCTGAGCAAGGGCACATTCTGCCAGAAATACCGCTCCACAAAGCAAGACAGATCATGACTCGAGCGGATTTTATACAGGCACGTACTTGAGAGGGCCCTGGGTGGTAACTATTGCTGACCTGCTTGCAGAGCTACGATGCCATCAATATCTTCGCAATTGACAGCAACGCGAATGTCCGGCCGGATTCCGTTCCCATGATGAATGCGTTTCGAGAGATTTGCAGTGAAGAGGGCTTCGATGAGTTCCTGGAGGCCACCTTGGACAGAATTGGAGACATCGAATCTTTGGGCCGCACAAGGGAGCTTACGATCAAAGATCTGTGGGACGGCGGCAAGTACAGGGTCAAAATGCAGGATAAGGAGCTTACCTTCGAATGCGAAAAGCCGGAAGAAGAGGAAGAGGGAGATGACAAAAGCAAAGGGAAAGCCGATGATGATGGCGATGATGGTAAGTGAGATGCTTCATTTCCTGTCGAAAATGCTTGATCATCTTCTGACAACATCGGTTTGCAGACGAGGCACTCGGAAAGGCACAGCATGTTGTTGCAGAGGCATACCAGAAGTATCTGGAGAGTCAGAAGAAGAAATAATTCACCGAGCCAGTTCCTGCACAAGATAACTCAGGCCGATCAATTCAACCTTCGTGTTCCGGCTCGTCTGCGGTGACGGGAATGGCAGAAGGCTCACTCTCCTATGTATTAATGTATCCACGTACCAATCAGATGTTCGATGACGAACGGAGCTACCCGCGCGGGACAAACGCTTCGATTCATGGCAAGCTGCACTGATATTCATCACATATTCGCCATAGCTCACAACATGAGCACAGAGTACGGACGGTGAATACAGATGGTACTCCGGCGCAGTCTTCGCATCCATCGCACGAAGATCTTGGCAACCTTCCTCTTGCTGCCGCTTTTCTACTTCTTGCTTCATCGCCTAGCTCCGGCATTGCAGCATCCATCCCGCATTATCGACCACGCCACCTTCGAACATGCCTCCACCACCGGTACCAATCGCTCCGTCGCCTTAGTCATTGCAACAAGGGCCGCAGACGACATTTCCTGGGCCTACAGACTGCAAATTCCACAGCTCCAAGTGATCCGCTATATCAGCGACTCTGCATCAGCGAAATACCGCCCAGCTGTTCCCAAGGGCCATGAGGCGTTGATGTATCTAACCTACATCCACGACTTTTACGATGACCTTCCCGAAATCGTGATCTTCATTCACGCAGACGAGAACCCTTGGCACATGGACGGCGCCCTTCTTGAATCTGTTTCATTTGCTCTGAACCACTTGGACCTCGAAGAAGTTCTTCTCAGGCAATATTTCAATTTACGTGTCATGTGGAAACATGGGTGCCCAGCACAAATTTATACAGCAGAGACGAGATTCGACGAAAAGAAACAGGAACAGCATCTGATGGATTCTGCCTTTCGATCCATCTTCGGACCTGATGTGGAAGTCCCAGAAATTCTAGCCGGTCCGTGTTGCTCTCAGTTTGCTGTCACGCGAGAAGCGGTCAGGCGGCGGGGGCGACATGAGTACAAGCACTATGTGGACTGGCTGATTGAGACGGATTGGAGCGATTACATTGCGGGCAGGGTATGGGAGCACATTTGGCCTGTTGTCTTCCTGAACACATCAGTAGACTGCACGGTCGAGTCACAATCGCTGTGCAGGATGTACGGGATATGTTTCGAGAGACAGCGAGAGCTTGAGAGATATCAGCAAGTCTGGGATGCGCGGCGATTTGTTGACAATAATATCACCTTCTGGAATGAGCTTTGGAAGCCGAGGGACGTTGCATCGTTGAGGCATCGCCAACAAGAGTATACGAAGTGGCTGCACGAAAGGCTCGGCGCAGCGCTGAAGAGAGGCGAAGACGGGACTCTGAGAAAGGTCGCAGTTGGTAATCTCTATACGTAGTTACCGTCTTGTATTGTCTAGTATTCCACTCTGACAATGGCTCCCTGTCGAAATCTAGGTGCTGCTAAGGCGAAAACGGGTCTCAAACTACAACTTGCTTGGGCGTGCTTCTCTCTCCAGTGTTCTGAATCGCCTGAAATATGTGATCGCATCCGGATTAACGACCGTGTTTGAAGGATTGACGTCTTTCCCAGAAATGGTTTGCTTTACTGCTGCTTCAACCTTCTTGCCATTAATTGTTGTGGGAATCTCTGGCACCTCAATCACAAATTGCGGAACGTGTCTCGGAGAAAGAGAGGTCTTGATGGCGTTCTTGATGGCATCAGATAGCTCTGGCGTTAGTTTGTCGCCACTATTCATGGTAACAAACAAGAACACCGACTCGTCGGAGTCTTGTGGTCTCCTGCGACCAACGCAAAGTGCTTGTGAGACACGTTCTGTGAATGGTGGAGCTTCGACAATGGCATAGATCTGTTTGACTTATCAGCTACCTCGCTCAAAATTGCCCTCTTCGCACCACTGACCTCCCCGGAGCCGAACCGGATCCCTGATGGGTTGAGTACGCCATCGGATCGCCCGTGCATGACTAACCCGCCCGTCTTTGGGTTCTGTTGAAGCCAGTCACTGTGTGAGGTCGTCAGCATGAGTTGAATTCCCATTAGAGCACATCACTCACTGCTGTGCCCAGACATCGATGTTCTCATATCGAGCAAAGTAACTGTCGAAGTACTTCGAGCCTCCATCATCTCCCCAAAAGAAGCACGGCATACTTGGAAAAGGAGTTCGCATGATCATCTCGCCAGCTTCGCCAGTCTCCAGAATGGACTCTCCAGTCGCCGGGTCTGCTATATCAACGTCCATACCCAGCGCGAATATTTGCATCTCACCGGCGTGAATGGGATCTGTCGGACTCGCAGCGATGAGCGAGGTTGCCGTATCTGTTCCGCCGGCTGTGTTGCACAAGTGGATGTGCTTCGGGAATGAACGATAGAACCAACGATATTGGTCGGGCGAAAGAGTGGCTCCAGTCGTGTAGACAATGCGAAGAGATGAAAGATCAAGCTCGTCCTTGGGTACCACCTTCGCTAGTTCTAGCTCCAGCAGGTACCTTGGCGAGCTGCCAAAGTACGTTACTCGGTATTTCTCAATCATTCGGAGTAGAGCTCGTGTGTCTGGGAACATCGGGGATCCATTGTAGACGATGGTTGCCGCTCCACTGGCAAAATAGCCATTCATAACGTAGAACACTACCCATGATGTGCTGGAATATTGTAGTATCACATCTTTCGGAGTCGTAGAATTGTGTAGTATGGCGATCTTTTTCAGTTGCACGAGGAGCCCGTGTTGATGGACGATGCATTTGGGAGCTCCCGTGGTGCCTTTCAAACACTTTGGTCAGCACGTAGCTCCAAGTTTATTCACACGATGGCACCTCTCAGCGCGTGAAGTTAGAGACGATATCGGACACGGTGCCCAGAAGGTGGAGCCATTTGAACAGAATCCGCCTCAACTGCACCGCAAATATTTCGAGAGTATTGGTCAAGTGAAGTCCAGCGTCTTCGTCCTTCATGTCAGATCGTAACACATACCTGAAGAGTAACAGATCATCAAAGGATCACTGAATGCCACTTTTTCGAAAGTGAGAGGATCCTCCTGTTTAGCCTGTTGTAAGAAACTAGGATAGGTCCTAAAGCTGTAGGATTCGTCTCCGACAAGCGGTACGATGTAAACCTCCGGCTTTGGATCCAGCCTTTTCACGATGTCCTCGACCTTTCTGAGTGTGGAGAGCCTTTTCCCCTTGTATATGGTATGGGAATCAGCAAACAGTATCTTCGGCGTAACTTGTTGTAACCGGCTGTAGCAGCCCTCAGCGCCTAAATCCGGGCTTATGCAGGTGAATATTGCCCCCAGGCTTGCACTGGCATGAAACAGAACCATGGCAGGTATGGAGGTGGCCACGAGAGCTGCAACTCGATCTCCTCGTTTGACGCCGCTATGTCTAAGGGCACTGGCTGTTAATCGAACTTGTTCTCGGAACTGCTTCCAGGTCATGATCTCGTCTTGATCGGTGTCTTCTCGAACTCCAATCAACGCTGTGGCATTCTCGTCTGGATTGGAAAATAGGGAGTTTTCTGCAAAATTGAAAGATAACCCGGGAAACCATTTCGGATTTGAGCTCATTGGTACAGAATCGTCGAAGGCCTTTGTGGTGCCTGCTGGTAATTGTGGGGTGAATTCAAGATACTCGTACAAATCGCACCACTGAGCGCCAATGATGAAGGGTAAGCACAGGTTCGCGACCAACGATACCAGACTGAAAGAGAATGCTCTAATAGACAACACTTACAAAGTTCTGCGGCTGTCGTACACTCCATCTTTGCAAGTCCCTGGTGGTTCGAAGATCCTGGCTAAATTTATCGTTGACATGAGCGCGATACCGATCCATAGGCGTGGCTCCGGCATTCTGGGGCCTCCATAGCACCTCCGGGGCACGCTTCTGTTCAGCCATTGAAGTTTCGCTTTATCCACGTGCAGTCTTTCTCTTTTGGTGACTGCCTTCGGAACGATGTTGAGGTCGAGGGAAAGCGGAACACTCTCCGCCGACAACCGAGGATGCAGGAGCGTTGACCGCCAAGCAGAGCAGCACTTCCTCCGAACCATCACCTTACGCCAGTCCTGAGATACATTGCACAAAAGACATAATGTGCTGTCGTGCATGCTGTCCATGCAATCGTGTATCATCTCTGGATCATGGCTGTCGGCGGTGCTACATCGATCACCGTAGTCCCACGCAGACGACTGGCCACGCCTCGGCCTGCTGCAAGAACGGAACTCTCTAGTTGCACACCACGAATTTATATACGAGCGTCACAACAGCGGTATACTTCCAGAGTCGTTCAACATCGTCCGAGTGTAGGCGGCCCTGATGTTCTTAATTGCTCAATTGCCTGCGAGATCGACTTCGCACGACCATCAGTGACAGCCATATGGCTATAAGAGCCCTCGAAAGATACGACGAGGGCGAAGCAATGCAGGCCGGTCAGCCATTCTCCCCAAATAATGGAGACCAGAAACGATGTTCAGCCGTGGCATAGGCGAAGTCCGAACAATTGGACTTTATGTGTCCACCTTGCCACCCTCGCATCGCCATAAATTCGGATCTCCGAAGATGCAGCAATCCCTTAGTTGCCGTCACATGGTAACCAGTCTCGAGCGAAAATGTATGCTGCCGAGATCTGTAGAACGTAGTCACCGATCAAGCCGGAATTGGAACACGGCTCCATCTCCTAGTGTGTCACAGGCAGTGGGTGAGGTTCCGCCCGGCAGTATACCGGGACAAGCACCAAGTGACTTCCTGTGCTGAACACTCACACAAGCTGGCCGATGCGATGAAGGTGGACACTGAGACTGTGCTCCGAAAGACTTGATTAAATGCGTTATGTCGAACGTTCAATGCAATGCTACTCTGAAGCGTTATGCGGTGAGCTGATAAGCCACAGATTTGTCAAGTCGCTCAATGACTATTCCGGAGAGCTATCGTCCTGGAGCCTTAGAATTCCTTATGTTGCTGTTCCACACGAAGATGCCGACCCATCTTCAGGTACTTTGCAGCTTCCCGTGATCCTTCGTGCGATGATGTTCGGCACGTTGGGATTAACCACCGGGTTCGGTCGCTGCCTCTGATAGTACCGACACTCCCTTGTCTCAGGATTGTAGTCGACCGAGTTGAATTGTGGGATGAAGTCAAGGTCGCGCAAGCACTCTGCTAGAGAGTTGTATATTCCATAGACTGGCGGGTTTCCTCCTCCGGTCGCGCTGCAAATGACTTCGTAATTGCAACCGCAGAATCCCGTCTGTTGAAGGTTGCCGTTTGTGCACATTGAGGGAGGAGCCGGAGCGGTTGTCTGAGAAAAAGTACATTAGCACATGCGACTAATGGCAAGGCACGAGGGATAAGCAAGCAGAGAATTTGAGATGGCTGTCTCAGAAGCACACAAAGGTCCTGGTGCCAGTGCATTGGCTTGGAAAATATGCGAACAAACTGGCACCAATGCGCAGGTACGAATGACTGAGCAACTCGCCGGCCGAAATGCACCAAGAACATAACGAAGTGCTTACCGTGGTAGATGTAGTTGCGGAGGAAGTCGTCGAGGAAGCAGAGGTTGTGGTCTGGCGTGGCTTTAGTGGGAAGGTCAATGCGAGGCACGGAGAAATATCCATACCATGCTTGTTGTCGAAGCAGAAGCCGTTGATGTGCTCGAAGAGGAGGTGGAAGTCGATCCGGAAGTGGTCGTGGAGGAGGGCGTTGCTGCGGAAGTGCTTGTCGTGGAAGTGCTCGTGGTGGAGGAGGACGATGTAGTCACGGAATTGCTCGTGGAGGACGCAGAAGTCGATGTGGACGTAATCGTGGACGACGAAGATGCTGTAGTGGAGATGCTCGTGGAAGAAGCGGACGTGGTCGTAGAGTCCTGGAGCGGGTTCAGCATATGACTCTGTCAAGCGCCCAGCAGCGAATCCTCCGCCTGATGCTGGTCGCGATGTGGTATGCTTATGAGATCAGGTGAGGGATCAATTCTACATACCTTTATTTGCGAGGTGCTTGTCGAGCTAGGACAGTTGTCAGTGTTCGTAATCCAATCTGTAGGTAGTGCAAAACTTGCCTGGTAGTCTTTGTTGTTGTAGATGAAGCTTTTATGGTCTCCACGATGTTAGCTAGGTCAATGTTGAACCGGTGAGTCGTTTGTGTACCTGTACAGTGGTCCTGATGCAGTCTAAAGTCAGCCCGCTGCCACTATGTGATCGTCTCTCGAAGCATGTCGCTGTCGTTGTCACTTACTTGGGATATCCAGGTGCTGGGGTCGTCTTGGTTATGCAAGAGCAAGCTGTCTTAGCAACGTGTTTTGGCCCATTCTTGATGGAAGACAGAAGGCATTTCTCAGGCTTTCCCGAGCATTGGGTTGGCTTAGCAGGCGCACAGCTGGTGGTCGTGGCCCGGTAGGCTGGCTCAGCATCTGCAGCCCTCCTGTAGTTGACTCGGTGCTTCACTGTCGGAAAAGTTTTGCTGCAGTAGTCTTTCGCCGGTCCATAGTGAGCCAGAGGAGAGTACTTTGAGTATTGACCAGATTGACAGACATCGGACTTGTAACCGCGAGGTTGCGGCTCAGGTCTACCGCTCACAGCATAAATGGTGCCGAAGAAGAGAAACAGTGAACGAGTGAAATGCACCATGGTTGTGACCGCGTGCAGAAAGTGCGCGTGGTGAGAACAATGTTTGTCGATGCTAGAAGATATGAGCGGACAACCCACCTCAACACCACAGATCTGGTTATGCGGGCTTCAGGACTCTGCTCGGAAAGGTTATTGGGTTGGCCATCGCCATTTACGCCTTGAGGCGCTGCTAGCAAATTATCAATGATCTGATGGGGCTAGCCATAACAGAAGGTGCTCTTGGACGATCTGGCCAGGACAAAAAGCCTCTTGTCATGATCTATCTTGCATTTAGGATGGTTTCGCGCGTTGTCCGGGCCTGATTCTACTGCAGCACGATCCTGTTCCCATGGCAGAACTGTCGAGGGGCAAAAGGTCTTCGCGCGTCTCGAAGCGCGTATTTCCAGATCGAGCTTATCCGAGTCTGCTAGCGTGAACGGAATAAGATTGAGAGGATCGCGGCCACCACGTTCGGCACGGTTGAGCTCTTCACTGACTCATTGCCACGTGTGATTGCCCTTTACGGTCAACATCGATTTGTTGGTGATGAAGCCACAAACGCGAAACTTGCCAAGATCGCGGTGCGGTCCGTTTTCCGTCTTTCCAGACCCACCTCCTGCTCAATCTCCAGCAACCACGCCTCAAGTCTGGACACGACCGGGCAACTGTCTCTGCGTCCATCTCTGGGACGGGCCACGTTCGACACAGCTGGAGAGAGACTCGACATGGCCGACTACACGATAGACGGAACAGAAGCCTGCTCGCGGACAGCGAAACGGCAACTCGGCAGCATCCACGTTCTTTGACCTCTCGTCGCGACCTTGACTCCATATGTGCCTCGTCACTGGAAATCGAATGCCTTAAATACGCTGCACGAGGCCGAGAGACGAGTACAGAAAGACCACTTGAATGCCCAGGACTCTGCTGCTGGCTCTGGGCTGCCGGTGGCATTGCCTCACATCCACTCGCCAGATCCTGCACCTGAGCCGATCAACTACTCTTCTCCGCAGCCTCACGTCACAGCAGTCACCAATGAGATCATACGCTTTCGCGATCTGAATCTACCCATTTGCCATGTCATATGCTCACTGAAGCTGGTATTGTGGGACCTCACGGCATTCCGATTCGTCTTCAAACTCCAGATTGGTCGCCAATCAGCAGCAAATCCTCCGCTGAACAATGGAGTCCGCGCTTCACCTTCAAAAAAAAAATTGCAAGTTGGGCTGTGTTGCAATCTCCTAACTGCAGCCTCGACAAGGACTCCATCGTCGATTGGGTGAAGAAGAACTTCGCATGTTACCGCGCGAATACTGGGTAACACCTCGGTAACAAGGTTGGAGCAACGGTGGGTAGCTACGACGACGTCTTCCAGTATGTATTGCAGTCCGGTGATTGGACTGCGAAGCCGCATGCAGAACTGCAAGCATTGCTGACATTGTGGGATCATCTGGCCAAGTGTGCTCTGCCGCCTGCTGAAAATGTGTCACATCTGCCACAGATGTCACATATAGCCCATACGCCCGGGTCCAATGCACGGCCAGGCGAAAAGCGGAGACGAGGCTATGATGATGACGATTCGACATTCTCCGCGCCAGCAACAGCATCGCCAGCTAAGCGGGCCAGCCTTATTCCGCCACCTGCACCCTTTTCATCCAGTATTTCTGTCAACCCTGGATTACTGGCAATCTTAGCAGACGGCTCTGATGCCGATTCTGTCGAGGACAATTTGACACTCTCCGCTCTCACGACAGCACTGCCAGCTACGCGGCCTAGCTTTACTCAGTCACGTGGACGGTTTCCATCTGGCATTTCTGTCAACCCTGAACTACTGGAAATCTTGGCAGACATCTCTGATGCTGAGGTTGTGCGACCATTTATGTTTGAGAACCTGACGCCACGACAGAGGCAACTCCGTCATCATTTGCACTGCCATGCACCTGCACAACGTGGAGCCTCTTTCGCCGGTCGCTATTCCTGCCCCATGGCTGCACGATCAACTCATAGCCGTGCTGCCCGGCCAGGACTCAAGCGCTCTTGCTGCACGATCTTTGTTGCGGATCTACATGCAAGGCCTGGAAGGAGTTATGCCGAGCCCAGATGTTGCGTCGCTGGAATCCAGAACTATCGCTGCCATCGAAGCCGCCTTTGCAAACGGCGTCCCAGCAATCGTACAAGAAATTGACGCCCAGTGCTCTGGCGGTAAGGACACAGACGTCAGACTGGTGCAATCCGTCAAGGATGACTGCTCCGATCTGCTTGGATCTGCTGCTGATGGCGAATACCCCAGGGTTATCGCCACGCTCTAGCCATACGGAGACAATGTCTTATACTACAGCAGCGATCAAGATTCAAGTATGACTCGCTGCAATTCGTACGCAGCTTACGCAATCCAACTGGATAAGAACTCCCATACCAGAGTGGTTTATATTCGACATGGACTGTCTTCCCAAATTCAGCATCTCGGTCGTACTCTCTTAGAGAAGCCAACTGCGACCACTCGGTATCTTGTAGCGAAGTACGTTGCACATCAACAGCGCTATCCGAACTTGTATGAGCGTAGTGTGCTCAATTAAGAGACGGAAAGCCTCGCACTGTGCTTGAAAACAGCTACCAGTTCTCTCACTGCGACAATTTCGCCATGTGCATCTTGCGAGGAAGTTATCAAGACGCCGCTGCTGACCGATGCGAGCTTATTGAATGTCAGGAGGTTATCCGTGGCAAGCGCGGACACATTGACATGCATACGAGTCTCCACATGTCAGTGTGCTCAACAGGAAAAGTACGGGATTATGCGCTACCTCCGGTACGAACGCTATCGGGCGACTTGTCACTGCCTCTCGCTTTCACCACGAACGTACATTGGGGCCCGATCGATCTATTGCTATAACTACTTCTTCTCCGCTTCACCTCCCGCTTCATTGACGATCCGGACCAGGTTTGTTAGACCACAAAGATCTGGACGTAGTGCCATGTTTCGGTTGTGGGGCTCGCATGCTCCGGGAGCAAATTGAAGCTCACCGGAAGGGATCTTTGCAGTGTGCCCTATGCAACGAGCACAGGCCTTCCAATCGGCGCCGTAGGCTGAGAATCCCGTGTATGGATGCCAGTGGCCCAGAAAGATGGATCCATGACTTTGGTCCCCAAAGCGTAATCGCAATAACGAGCGAAGATGAGCTTCCATTTTCGATTCTGGGAGGTGTCCCTGTTCCCTGCATGCCACTATCCCAAATGAAATATGCCCGAAAACACTTCGAGCGACGAGAAGCCCTTCATCGCCTTAAAGCCCCGACTACGCTGCCCGCAAACCACCACGAACCAGATGTCGAATCGATCCCTAGGATGCTTTCGGATCTCCAAGACTCATCGCCAGTCTTCATCCAGAACGCCTCCCTCCAAGCAGCCCTTTCGGTTCTCAGGGCGCGGATCGACCTCAGCCTCCTACCGCTCAAGCACTCAAACGGGATCTCTTTGAAGCACAGTAAAATGCTCTGGCAAGGACCTTGCATATGTGCCGGACGTGATCACACTTATAACTGTCGCATCGTAGACTTCAACTTTCGCCAGCTAGAAGTCTTTTGCCGTCCAGCCTGTTGTTCCTTTCCGGGAGCAGGTGCGGATTCGGGCATCGCTGCTGATGATGAAAGCATCACTTCTTTGTTTCTGGATTCGTATCCAGAATCGGATCTCTCGCGATGCGAGATTGCAGGTTCTACGGGCCTTATCTGGTCTTGAGATGGTTGAACGGATAAGTCAATCGCTGTGCTGATCGAGCTCACTCTGCCTGAGCGATCTGAGCTAGCTGAGGCAAACGACAATCCCGTTGCAACGCTGCTGCGATGTTGCTGGGAACCTTTGCCAGGAGGTATAGCAAATGATGATGTTCGCGACTGCGCTACCTGTGTCGGAGATTTTTGGCCTGATCGATTGTTCCGCCCTGGGTACTGCTGGACCGACGTTGGATGCTCTTGACGAAATCGCATGCTCTGCTCGAAGATTTTCTGGTCTCTGATCTGCTGATCTCGGACTGCGAAGCGAAGGTGAAGCTCCTCAATGAAGAGATTCTTCGATGCCAAATCCGGGAATATCAGCATCAGATACTCGGTGCTCTTGATTGAAACCTTCCCGCGCGAGCGAGGATGTGATGGCGTACGCAGAGGCAATATGTTGAATGTGATAGGATCCGGTCGACCTTCAGAGTCGGTTTCGGACGACACATAGCGCACGTTGAACGAGGACCGAGAATCCTTTCTGGCTCTCAGTGCGACTATGGTGCATCCGGGATCTCGATGACAAGGGCAGGACGTAGGATCGATGTAAATGTCGTTGTCCAGGTCGACGGCGAAAGCCGCGAAACTCTTCCTTTCTTTCCCCCTTTTGGACTTCTCGACCAGCTGCGTGAAGATCACAATGCACGAAGACTTTGCGCGCTCCGACTCAAAGCCTTCGCCAATAGCGTGCACCGTACTCGGTGCTGTGATCGAATGTGTCAAGCTGAGCCGGGCGGAATGAGAACCATGCGCTTGGGAACAATCCGAGCCAACTTGTGATGGAGCTGTTGGAAGCACGATCGGCTCTTGCCACAGCTGCACACGACTGAAGCCTTTGCATGCAAGCTCTTCATCACTGAACTGGCACCGGACTCGGCTCTCCTCATGTGCGACTTGATATCCCATCAATGCACCCTGCAGTCGGTGGACGTCCTCGATACTTTTGAAGTCGAAATACTCCGCGTTGCGACAAAAGATCGCGAGCTCTAGACAAGGCTCGACTAATGTTGGGAATGCGTAACGAGGTATCAATCGATCCTCTGTCACGATCAGCTCGTGTTGTGTGACCACGACCCTCCCTCGCGCTGCCTGACTTCCACTCTCATGTACGATACGCAGGCGCTCTTCCGAGCTCTTGATCGCAGTCAGCGACTCGACGTCTTCTGGAGAGCTTGACGCCAGGTCCATCGAGCACAGCTTCTCTTCCCCACCGCGTACCATGATAGGATCAGGCTTGCGATACTGAACATCCTCGGAGAGTACAGGTACCGGCCACACGCAAAAGTCTGAGTCTGGAAGCTCTAGTAAAGTCTCATCCGGGTATGAGATGAGCCTCGTCGAGCTCGCCATTCTCGTCAGGATCGCTTGCTGAACCTGGTTCACTGCACGCCTGTAGTAGTAGCCAGGTCGCGCGTTCTTGTATTCCTCGCTCTCCAGTATACGCTCAAGCAGCCACCTCGACTTGAGAAACAGTAGGTATCCTCGGTGCGTCTGGCTGGATCCGTCCTCTCGACTTTCCTCAAAATGTTCAAGCAACGAATCGAAGCCTTTGATCAGAGGCACATCGATCTGTGCATTTGCATCTCCATCTGCATGCATTGATTGTTCAAACTTCCGTGCGATCACCTCGCTCACGGGAAACGCATCTTGTGAGGCAGGTATTTGGGGAGCGCCCTGACCCGACACATAGCCCAACCAAGAGGCATAGAACCGTGCCAATTCAAGCCGAATCTCCTGCGAGACTTGCAGATTCTGCTCGGATATCGCAAGAATGTCGTCAACTTTATCATCCAGGTCGGTGAGCATATTGACTGACAGCCGATCAATCACCAGGCGTATCTTCAACGAGTGAAAGTGCAAACGACGTCGCAGCACATCTGCTTTGATCTCCTGCTGGCCAAGATTGTATTGCAAATTCTCCAGCACATGAGAGTCTCGGTCGCGAAAGTGCTTGTTTTTCTGGAGCAAAGCGTCGCATTCTTTCAAAGTCTTGTGGAAGTCACCAACAATGGTTTTCCGTTCGTTTTCGAAATCTCTCTCCAACGGTCTGATCCCCGAGAGAGCTTTCTTCTCCCATCGCTGCTGTGCTTCCTTGAGAGCGGCATTCAGCTTGTCAAGCAACTCCTTGAATTCCAGCACCTCTCGTCGAAAATTGGCATATCGCACATCTGCGATCGTTAGAAGATGGGCGTCATATTACGGACTCTGGACATCACTACCTGCTCTATTCTCATAAGTGAAACCATAGTCATAGAGCTTGATCGCTAACTCTACGCCCTTAACTATGTCACTGACGCCGGAGAAGCTCATATTGAGCCGCAAGTGTATAGATGTGGCACGGCAAGCAGCAAAGAGGTCAACCTGAGGAAGTCGAGGGCGGGTGGTCGAGTGTTGACGGACACCTGCCGTGTCAAGCGCTGTTGGCTTGAAACAGGCTGTGCCTGCAGGTCGGGTCACGAGCTCGTCGCGGGTCCGAAATGCCTCATACAACGAGACTGGGGCGGCCTCTGAGGCCACATGCATGGCTGCACTCCACGCGAATGCGGAGTTACACACGTCCAAATTTGGACAGGTAACTCACATCAGACTGGTCAGTCGATATGCTTGGCATGCTTGTGGCGGCGCCTCAAAGCTCACGAACCACTCAGCAACGTCGCCAAGAGGGGCTGGGTGGGAGTCACAGCGACTGTGCATGGAACTCGAACAGCACAGCCTGAGGAAGGATCGCAGGTCTAGGCGTGTTCAAAGCTCGTGTAAAAGCTGTGCGCCGCTGGAATGGAGTGTCGCTCTCCCTTTTCCTCAAGCACTGCCATTCCAACGAGAGATCCGCGGCACGTCGATCACTGCGTTGCAGCGATATGCCTCTTACTGAGACCGAGAGAGCCCTATTAGGCCGACCCAGAGATGAAGATGTTGACCATGACCACCAGAGAATTGATTATGCACCTCGAGAGAAGAGCAAGATCGGCAGATTCACTCTTGTGGCCCTGATACTGAATCGGACAATTGGATCAGGCATCTTCCTCTCTCCAAATCGTGTTTTGCAGGGCACTGGCTGCGTTGGCGGCGCATTGTGTATGTGGGTTTTGGCGGCCGTGATCTCGATCTGTGGCCTCTACGTCTGGTTGGAATGTGGACTGTCGATGCCGCAGAGACTTGTTCGCGGAGAGAACAAGCCGAGAGGAGTGCCACGCTCAGGGGGCGAGAAGAACTATGTGAGTATCGCACGCCGGGAGGAGAAATGTCAATTTGCTACACATCTTCGTCAAAATTTTCAGTCACCACGATTTAGACATGGGCTAATATCTTCGTAGCTTGAGTTCATGTTCCCTAATCATGGTCTAAGGCTCCCACACGCGCGGACTACCTTTATGTTCAGCGGAGTATTCATATTGATGTACAATTTGAGCGCCAATGCCATTGCTTGCGCACTGCAAGCGTTGCGCGCCGCCGGATACTATCAAAATCCCGAAGACGATCCTGCTAGAGGAGTAGTGCTAGCCGTAGCCATTGGAATGCTCACTTTAGTTGTGGTCCTTCATTCGTTCTCACGAAGTATCGGCATCTGGATCAACAACTGCTTTGCCGCGATCAAGATATCTCTTCTTCTGGCAATCATTTGTCTCGGAGTGGCTAAAGCAGCTGGAAAGTTCGGTGGACCTGGCGAGGTTGTCCGGAATAACTTCACTCATAATGTCTGGAATACTCAACGAACAGACGTACCCTCGTGGAGCAACGCCCTCGTGCTATGCCTCTTCTCTTTCGGAGGATACCGACAGCCGTTTTACGTTCTTGCAGAAGCCAAGAGCCCACGCAAGTACTTCCCGAAGTACACAATATCAGCAATGGTGATTGTCGCGTTCTTGTTTCTGCTAGTGAACATCAGCTACCTTCTAGTGGTTGATAAAGAACGGATATTAAACGACAACGATAGCCTCGATCTGGCGACACTGTTCTTCGACACCCTCTGGAGTGACAGTCAAGAAAAGGCTTCTCGCGCCATGGCAGTCATCACGGCCATCTCGATCTTTGGTAATCTTTGGGTAAGTTTAGGCAATAGTCCTCGATCGAGTCGGCCGCTAATCCTAGAAAAAAGGTAATGACATACACTGCAAGCCGAGTGAAGCAAGAGATTGCAAAAGAGGGTATACTTCCATACTCTCTATTCTTCGCCACATCCTACCGGACCCCGTATGGCCTCTGGCAGCAATGGCGGTCAAGAGATCGAATGCAGCCTGACGAGGTGGAACAAGCACCCACGGCGGCACTGGCTCTGCACTGGGGAACTTCTGTTCTGCAAATTGCAGTTACGGCGGCAATCGTCGATCCCAAGAAGGCGTACGCCGCACTCGTTTCGCTGTACATGTACACAATTATCCTCGGATTCGCCTTTTGGGTGTCGCTCGGACTGCTCATAACCAAGACTCGTGACAGGACAAAGTGGCGAGAGAGTCGTCGGTACCGTCCGTGGCTCTCGCCTATCCATGTCTTTGTGTATGGAATATCATCGGCCTTCATGCTGATCGTTGCCTTCGTGCCCGCGGCGAAAGGCTCGCCCTTCCACGACTCCGTCACTGGCATACCTTGGTATATCATCCCTACAATTGGTGTGACGGCGCCGTTCTGGGGAGTTTTGTGGTATTGGGGGTTCCTCTTCTACCAGGCCAAAATCCGACGAGAGCAGCTGGTTGTCACACGGCAGCCGTACTGGGCAGCTGACCCCCATTGTCCGGGCGAGTACGTTCAGTTGGCGGAGGTCATCGACCATACTTGGGAGATTCCTGTTCGCCAAGGGGACTTGGAAAGCTCATCGCAGGAAAGTGTGTCTGAACGTCAGACTAAAACCCGAGCCCATGCTCGCGAGATCTTGCTCCGTGATATTGAAGACTGAAGCTCCAAGGAAGGGCCTCTCTATCCGACAATGTATAGTCATCGTTGCAACGGCCTTTGATGGGTAATGAGACCAGCTTTGCTACTTTTCAGGAGAATTTGTCAAGGAAAGCAGTCGTGTACACATGGACGTGGGATTGAAAGAATGTGTAGCTTCGTGTCTAGCAGAAACTTGCCTACAAACAATTGCTTGTCTCTGTCGCTATTCGTATAGTCTTCGTGACCACATCCACTGTTGTTCCTGTGATGTCAATCTTGCTCCTTCCTTCCGATAGGCTTTGCAGGCTCCACCCAATCGAAGTCACCAAGCGTCTTCGTCAGCCAAACATCTCCCGCCGATTTGGCAGCTCGCGGCTTAGATCCATCGAACAAGGTACCGCTCAAGAATGTGTGTGGAAAGCCAGGATCAAAATGATAAGCCTCATCCACCTCAGCAAGCTCTTCTTCGCTCAGGTGTACGCTCAGCGCATCGATACTTCCTTGCAAATGCTCCACCTTTCGAGCACCGATGAGAGGGAAAACGTATGGAGCTTTCTGCTGACAGTACGCAAGCGCGATACTCAATAGAGGAACGCCTTTCTTCTCGCCGAGACTCTCGAGGTGAGCGGAAACCTTGCGATCCAGATCAGAAGTTTGTATGAAGTTTCGGCCTTCGTTATTTTGTTCTCGCTGACGGAAGCCCTCTTTCGTTTGGAATCTGCCCTGGTTCAACACTCCGTACGGGCATAATCCCATGCCCTCGTCCTGACACATTGGAATAATTTCGCGTTCGAAGTCTCGCATCGCGGCATTCCACATCCCCTGGTACACGGCAAATTGTCTGAGTCCATAATCGCGAGCATACTGATTTGCTTTGCTCACAATCCAGGCTGGACAGTCAGAAATGCCGAGATATAAGACCTTGCCCGCCACAACAAGATCGTTCAATGCGTGCATGAGTTCCGGAATTGATACTGTGTAGTCCCACCAATGGACGTAGAATAGGTCGATGTAGGACGTTTGGAGCCTTTGCAGTGAGCGCTCCAGGGACAATTTCATCGATTTAGCCCCATTACCTCCAGTGTTCGCCTTGATGATGTTCTGTTGGGCCGGAGCGTAGGCGCTGGTGTACTTTGTTGCCAGAACGATCTCATCCCGGTTCTGCCGACTAGCCATCCATTCGCCAACCCACTCTTCAGATTGTCCTGCTTGGTATGTGTTTGCCGTGTCCACGAAATTGCCCCCGTTATTGTAGAAGTGATCGAGGATGTCGAAAGCGGTCTTTTTGTCGATTTTGCCATATCTCTCTTGCTGCTTATCGCCAAAGGTCATCGCACCGAGACAGAGAGGAGAGACTCTGACTGATGCGGTTGGCGCCAATTGGCGGTAACGACTGAGGGCTGGGTGGTTCTTCGACATGTTTGTTGTTTCAACGAGAGCGCAGTCCTGCTAGCTGTGTGTTGATAGTGAGGAGCCAGACACATGCCATTCTCGACATATATGCTGTTGGCATTTCCCAGTGGATCGGACTTATCGGGGATATCACTTTTTCAAGTCCGTGTGTATGATGAAGCTTTGCAAGTTAAGAAGACTTCTGCGTGGGCCACTTATAATCTCAACGGCCATCGAGACTCGTCACTGGTGTTATTCTCGATACGGAGCAAAGTGTTTTAACACCGTCTGCAGCAGTTGCTTCCTTGCTCATCAACCATAGAAACGCCGATAATTGGCGAGATGCATCAACGTCAGATATGTGTGTGATGGTGGAGAGGAATCTCGCTTCGGGTCCGAGCAGATATTTGCTTGCTGCTGCAGTTTGCAGATTTCCTTCAGCTTGCGGTATCTGAGGGTATATTGGTCGGGTAAAGTCATCCCCCTCCGCTAAGTGCTTGTCCGACCTTGCCTGCTGTCGACTTGGCGAAAATGCAGTTTGCGAAGGCCACTCTCGATACATCCTGCAAGTTCGTCAGAGTGCGCGTGGCTTCAGACGAGATACTTCCAGGTACAGGTGTCAGAGGACTGTGAGACGAAGTCAAGACTTGGCGAAGCGGCCCGCGACCGCTCGAGTGTTGGCAGGAGAATTTGTCGCATCGTCGCTTCGGAGAACACAACACAGCGCTGTCACCAAAGATATCGCCTCACCCGCGAAGTGATGGTCAAATTGCTCAACCAGATTCTGTGTATCAGCTGTATGTCGGGCATTCGAAGTAGAGTGGAGCCACGAAGGGGTACACCACGCCAGCGGTTCAGCCAATTGCAGTCTACAACACTTCTTCCAAGAAACGCACTCGTTTCACATTCATTGTTGCGTATGCGAGATCCTACGTTCCCGGACGCTGTTGAGACCGTGACTGCATGAGAGGAAACACAAGTGCGACAAGTCAATCACGCATCCAACTTACTACGCAGCATCCCGCCGAAATATTTGAACGGTTATATTTGCATTTGGATCTCACCTCCACACAACTGGGTATTCGATTACATGGAAACCCATCAGCCATTTCCCTCTTCATTGGTCTAGTGGTCATGATTTCCGCTTGTCATTGAATCAATCTCAAGCGCGGGAGACCAGGGTTCGATTCGTGAGTATCACCACAAATACCTCCAATAGGCTTTCAGTTGCTAACATGAAATTTCAGCCTGATGGAGAGCTGTACAGCAAATCTTTCTTTTTGCCATTTGAGAGCGATGGAAGTTGACATTAAATCTTTTTGCACAGGTGTTTTATCTCCGAAACCTTAAACGTTGGCGGGGTGGTATTCTTTTTGCCCTTTTCGTCAAGTCTCTAGCCTCCTTTTACGCTACCAGAAGTATTATATCAGTCCATGATGAGGGAGAACGAAGCAATTGAAGCGGATTACGAGAGTGAATGTACGGCCATTGTGAGAGACAGCAGCATTTGGCGATAGCAATAGGCATTGGATTGCCAAACTTTGCATTTGGCACGTCATCACGAGGGTGAATACGGCGCAAGATTTCGTGGATTGTCCTCGTAGCATGGACATTGACCTGGTCGTTCGTAGTGCTACTGGCTTTCGGAGACTCGTCGGAAGCGTACGTCTTGCCAACGACATGGCAGGGCGTGCAATGGAGGCTACATGAAAATGTGGCTTTGAAAAGCAGTATTTCAGTGTCCAGCTGATTGATCGTATTTGCCCCTATTGAGTATTACTGAGCTGCGAGGCTAGTCAACAGAAATTTCAGATCTTGAAACGTGCGCAAGTTCCAATTCTCAGAGACCTTCATCTGCTCTGCAGCATTCATACACTTCTACAAAAATACAAATTGGTATCAATGGTTTCGTCAGTTTACGCCCCCAGCGCCTCGCTAAATCCAAGAGTGTGTGATCTGTAATCCTTTCACAAACTGCGTCCTGTGAATCACTTCTCAATCTTCTCGCATGCTTCCCACTAACCACTTCTCCCACCAGTTCCGTAAAGCCATTACTGTCTCCCTTCCATCATCTCGCTTGTCCATCCCGGCTGGATCTCCGACTACTGCTGAGGATAGCCAGAAAATCGCGGAGACCCAGGCAGCCAAAGCCATGCCCATGCTGAGAAATGGTGATAAGAGCATGACGAGGACTAGCATTCCGGGACGATATGAGGTGTCCTCGTCGGCGTGAGGTGGCAGGGGTGTGTAGATGCTCCGGAGCTGCAGGTTCAGTGCAGGGCCGACGAGTCCACCAAGCTGCTGACCGAATGTCGGCCTGCGAGCGCAGAGACGGACAGGCTGGGTCATGATGGTAATGAAGAGAGAGATGAGGGTCCAGAATGCATTGAGCGCAGATAGTAATGCGCAAGGACCGGCCAAGAAAAGCAGAATCTTCACGGCCTTCGATTCTTGTAATAATGTGGTGTCGTCGACATCGTCTTCTTCGACGTAAGCGATGCGAGTATTGTGTGTTCGTGAGTGTCGATCTCGAGACTGCCGTGACTGCCGTGACGGACTTTGCGCGGCTTTCTCGGGATCTCTGCTGCTTTGCCTTTGCTTCTTGGGCTGTTCTGGTTCTATTTCGCGTCCGAGACCGCCTTTCTCCAAATCAATGGACGATATGGGTGTAGTAGTGCTGGTATTTGACGAGGACATGGACGCCGACTTGGTGGGGAAGGTGAGCGAATCATGGTGAGAGCTGGTCGGCGATAGCGGTGGTCTGGGTCCAGTATGCCAGTTCTCTGCAGTGGTTCTGCCAGCAGGATACGCTACGGGTCGCGGCGGAGTAGGTGTGTTCGTAGAGTCTATGGGCGGTGTCGCAAAGGGATCGTGCGTGTCGTCTGAGTCGCTGTCGTGTCGCGGTGGATTCGTAGAGGCGGGCATGGTGACGGAATTGGCGCTAGGCGTGATGGGAAGCTGCTGTCGACGGCCGATGGCGGTGGGCAGGAGGACATCAACAGCGACAGCAAGGCGGCATCTTGGGCAGAGAAGGCAGCGGACGCCGCCAGCTCATATGTAGCACACATGCCCGCCCGCCGCGCCAGCGACGAGAGAGTGTTTTCTTGGGGCCAAGCATTTGGACTTGGCCTAGTTACTGTCGATGGGATGGATCCAGGGATCTGCGGCGCTCTTCGTTGCAGCAAGCATTGGCGAATTGCTATTTAGCACACATATTCTACTATCTGGCTGCAAAACTGCTTAGGGCCATGATTGCTGCAACTGCACTGCAGCGAGATGCACAACGCCGCTGCCTCTCTTGCTGTAGGCTCGTCTGTCAGTTGAGATGGAAAGCACTACTTCTGTTCATCGCCTTGCATCTTTTGCACTCGTTCCTGCTGATGTTATGGAATTCGCAGCTCAGGGCATTCGCTTTGCTCGCCAATTCACTGAGAGTGCCTGGGGTCATCTAGGGTATGTTCCATACCGCCCGAAATCCAGCCCAGGAGCTAAACGTAATGGCTAAATAGCAGTCCGCGCAAAGCACGCGGTCGTCGCCAAGTCTGCTTTGCGCTCGCAGCTCTTGTCATCAGCGCCCGGCGTCACGCACCGAGAAGGAGACGACTTGGCGGCGCTGAGTCCGCGACGGATGCATGCATGTATGGATGTATGGCTATGGCAATGCGATCCTCACTGTCTGCGCATTGCGGTGGACTTCAGCACTATCGCGACTCCGATCATCACCACCACCACCACCACCCCCAAGCTCCCTGAGTCCACGCAATGCCTGCCGGCTGCCGCAGTCGAGCATCACTTTACGCTCACCTTTGCAATCGGAGCGGGCGGGCTTGGCTCTGGCGATGGCATCGCAGTCTTGTCATGCTACAGCAGCACACTTTCCACACCGTCACATGACCACTGCCAGCGACTGAGGGTCTGCCGAGCGCTCTCCTACCGCCATCATCATGCCAGGTTCTGCGCAGACACGAGAACATGCCGCTCTCGCCGCCTCAGCGTGGCCTCGACAAGCTGGGCGTGCCTCCATCCACGCGCCCTACCACTTGGCCCACCGCTGGCACTCGGAATTGGCTGCTCGGTGACCAAGAGCTGATGCACTCTGCTCCAAGCTGCGCGTCCCTTTGCACACGAAAGCCAAGTCAGCCAATAGCTTTGCCTGCTCTGCTTCACCCTTGGCACACACGAAGCCACGGACGGCAGTGCGCGCTACTGAACGCAGATCCTCTACTAACTAGTCCTCTGCTTGGCCAAGCCTGTTGTGTCAGCTCCCGAAATGTCTCCTTCAGAAATACGGACCACTTTCCAAGCATCTCCCAATTTTCACTTCGGAAGACTGTTCACTTGGCACAGAAGGTGTTGTTTGGCAGAGTCACTTTCACTCAACTACGCCGCGGTGCCAATGACCATCTTCTACCACGCAGCTGCCGTCTTCCGTCTTGAGGAGTCGTGCTTCGTTGCAAATTTGCCTGCTGGGTCACGCAAATCCCAAGTGCCATGCCGCGCAAAACGAATCCTCCGATGCACTCTATTGCCCAGGTCTGGTCCGCTTGCACAATGCCGTGGAGGTCTCTGCCACCTATCGGAGGTTGTATTTACGAAGCCAGGCATCCACTGACTGCATCACGCAGCCAAGGAATTTCCCTGGTCCAGGCCATGTACTGATGAAACCAACGCCGCAGTGCGCATCAACATCGTCACAAGTACATATTAAAGCGAGTTTCCTCCTTCCGATGTCGACTGTCCTGGAATGAACTTTGCGTTGCTCTTCTTTAAACTCCGACGATGCCTCCCAAAGGTTTACGCGATCTGGACCGCTGCAACGGCTTTACAGGGAGCTGCATCACGATGCACATCAGCGAGCGCAAGCTTCACGATCAATCACACAAGGTGCGACAATTACTACCAGGATCGAGATGGTCTGCTATATTTGTCCCGCGTGTCTGGAAGGCAGCATGCACGTAAGTGGTTTCTCGTTTGGGCATATAATCTTCCCCGGAAAGGTCACGATGACAGCCGACTTTAAGCCAACATCCCGCTCGTGACTTAATACACGCCCTTGAGCTCTAGTAAACTACTTCGACCTTGCACGTGCTGCCCGTTCTCCACGGAAACGAGAGTGCTTGTGGCAGCGGACAGCCTGTTCGCAGAACCCAGCTTGTACCATCGAGTACGCTCACAATTGTTTGCTAGTCGGAGCTCGTGAGTGTTGCATTTGTGACGTTCTCAAGGTGTAGAACTGCTTGTGAACCCCTCCAGTATGTCATGTTCTGAGCTCGATTTGGGAATTTTGAACAACCACACGACATGACATTAGCAATAAGGTGTCTACGATAACGATTCCGCATCTCGGATCTTCAGAGGCGAGCTCAGCACCTTGAAGAACGCGGTAGAGTATATGCTCCTCATGCCAAGCCATTCAGCGAGTACAGATTAGGCTATTATGAACCGAATGCAGCATTTCTCCCTTGAGGCTAATTAACAAGACTGATTCGTATATATGGCATTTTGAGCATGCAATCACAATGTACAAGTGCATTGTTGTGACTCTTCGAGCTACTTATTTACAATGGCAGACGTGCAACCACTAGTCAAGGACGACTTCTTCGCGGATCCAAGCGGCCGGGTGTTCAATAACAAGCTGTACATCTATGGCTCGCATGACCGCAAGACAAGTATCCCAGACGACGACAATGGCTCGCAATACGACATGGCGGACTACCATGTCCTGTCGATGGACGAAATCGGAGGACCTGTAACGACACACGGTGTTGCTTTCAAGGTTGCTGATGTGGAATGGGCTGCGAAGCAGTTATGGGTCAGTCGCTTTTCAGTGATCACGGTTGCCACTCATCACTGACTTACTCAGGCACCAGACTGTGGCTCTAAGAATGGCAAATACTATTTCTTCTGTGCGTCTGCACAAGCTCTCCGGCTTTGACTGCAACTAATCTTTTCTCAGTCCCTGCGCGAGATCACGAAGGCGTGTTCAGAATAGGAGTTGCGGTAAGCGATCAGCCTGAAGGTCCTTTCATTCCAGAAAAGGCACCTATTGCTGGTAGCTACTCCATAGATCCAGCGGTGTTCATCGATGACGACTCACAAGTAAGAAGACATGGCCCGAATTTGGCGTGCTGTTCGTGCTGTTATATTAACACGAGTGCAGGCATATCTATACTTTGGTGGTATTTGGGGAGGACAACTGCAGGTATGAAGTCTCATTGTGCCTCAACAAGACCTGCTGACAGTGTTTCAGTGTTGGCGATCTGGAAAGTATGATGCAGACGTATACCAAACAATGGAGGCAACTGGTGATGAGCCAGCTATTATGCCTCGATATGCCAAGCTCAGTGAAGATATGAAGAGCTTTGTTGGAGGGGTGCAGGAGTTGGTCATCAATGATGAAGATGGCAAGCCAATTCACGCCAGCAAGCACGACAGACGCTTCTTTGAAGCTGCTTGGTAAGTCGCTCCTTGCTGTGAACATTGCCAATCTGACCCGTCCAGGATGCATCGTCGAGGGAACAAGTATTATTTCAGCTACTCGACCGGAGACACTCATTACATTGTGTATGCAATGAGCGACTCGCCAACGGGACCTTTCACGTACGCTGGAAGAATCCTTGAGCCAGTTCAAGGATGGACAACACATCACTCGATTGTTGATTTCAAGGTGCGTACACGAAGAGCCCCCGTCAATTGGTATATGCAAAAGAATATTGCTGAATAGTTACAGAACAAATGGTGGCTCTGCTACCACGATACATCCATTTCTGGCGAGAACCACCTTCGTTCTGCAAAGATCCGAGAACTTGTATACGACGATGAAGGCCACATCTCGCTGGCAACACCACAATCATAGCACTTTTAGCACGCCCAACCTCCATCGATAGCATAAGTCGCTCCTGTAACGAAAGAAGCTTCATCACTCAACAACCACGCAATCAACTTGCCCACCTCATCGGAAGTTCCAAGTCGATTGATCGGAGTCGGATGATAATCGTTTGGATCCACTCCTTCAAGCGCATTTCGTTTGTCCATCAGTGGCGTCTGTATCGATCCCGGCGTGACAGCATTGACGCGAATATTGCGCTCGCCGACCTCTTTTGCGGCACTTCTTACCAGGCCGAGGACGCCATGCTTGCTGGCAGCATATGCTGCATGGCTAGCGAAGCCCATCAGCCCTTGCACGGAGCTCACACATACGATGCTTCCCGGAGATGAGATTTGGTTCAATTCGGCTCGCAAGCAATACATCATTCCTGTTTTGGCATCTTATCGTCAGTGAACGCGTGGAGGAAGACCACATCTGCCGATGAAGTCTGGAGCCATCGGCTCATGTTGAGGATATTCACACACCTGTTAGATTGATCCTCATGATAAGATCCCATTGATCGTCATCCAATTCTTGCACAGTCCGCGTGCCATGATGTCTGCGAAACAACAGAATCAGATTAGCAAAAATTGACACCAACTCCAACCTTCGTCAATACACACCTTCCTATCACGCCCGCACAATTCGCCGCCCCAGTAAGTTTCCCGAACTTCTCTTTCGCTCCCGCAATCCAGGTTTCGACCTCGGAACGCTTCGAAACATCCACTTTGGTGACAAGCACCCTCTCCTTCGGCTCTAGCGACTCCTTCGCCTGTGCAATCGCTGCATCATCCACATCTGCGATAGCGACGCTCGCGCCTCTAGAGAGTAGAATTCTAGCAGTGGAGAGGCCGATTCCAGACGCTCCACCCGTTATGGCAATAACGTGGTTTTCGAAATCGTTGTCGCGACCCATAATTTATATGTCTTGAGTATTCGGTAGATCAATGCTCTCTTCTGCTCCACACAACAAAGGTGAAGACAGCAACGAGATAGCTGTTAATTTTGGGTACCCCAACAACACTTACGGAGAGAGATCAGCCGAGCGAAAACGGTTAAATGCATTCGGCTGAACACGATGCGGCGCTGTAGTCTCTCACGTGCACTTGCAGAAAATTTGGGAAAGAGGAGATGTCAAGTCACGCGAAAGCCTCAATATGATATGAAATGGTCGTTATCAGGAGAATCAGGTTAGACTGCTGATGAGAGTCTACTCTTTATTTACATTTTTATAAAATGCTGTCCGGCTTGACCGCCGTGGCTGTACAAAATGCAACAAACGCCAACATGAGTGAGACACGACCGATTTGGTCTGCTTCTGTACCATAGAGATTCCATACATGCAAGGAAAAGGTAAAAGGAAATCATCAAGTCATAGGCCACATCGTGCAAGCCAGCAGGCGCTCACCGAATACCAAACTCCAAAGCAGCGAGAGCTTGCGAGTTAGCGTAGCTTGGTCTTCTGGGAGGATTGTTGTCTCCCTTGTCCATCTCCGGAGTCGATGTTCGTGTTGCCTCTGCAAGCTTCATGTCGCCGTTCATCAACTTCGCCCATTCGATCCGCTGTTCCTCAGTCAAGCACACCATGGCGCTGTCGTCTTCCATGTTGAAAGACTTCCTGAAGCTCTTGCGCGATTCGTCTGACGCGCCGTTGGTAGAGTTCAAGAAGCCCTTCGCAGCCGATCGTGGCACGTATGACTTTCGAGACATTGTGCTCACCACGCTGACAGGTCGTGACTTCGCAGGCTCAGTGTTGTTACGTGTGAGACGGCGAGACAGGCGCACGTCGTCTTCCGAATCATCCCTTCGTACTGACTCCGACGACTCGCCGCGGCAGAGAGGTGGAACAGGCGGAATATCAGAGTCGGAATCGTCTGGGTTAGAAGACACCCAGAATGAGGAGCGAGATCGTCTTGATTTGATGCTGCTGATGCTGGGCTGCCTTCGAAGAGTGCTCGTCGAAGCATGTCTGCTGCGTCGCTTTTCTGCGGGCAGAGTGGACGTGGCCGGTTGTGCTGATCTATCAACGGTAACGGGCATCGAGGGCAGTGCTGGCAGTGGTGCCACTGGCCCTCTCTCGTTCTGAGTGAATCTCGACGACTGTCGCTTCGCTGCGCGCGGCTGACCAGTGGCTTGCTCGGCCGGGCTGGAAGGGAGCACGGAGAGTGGAATGTCCTTTGCCTGACCGGCACGCACTGTCTTCGGCATCTCTGGCACTTGTTCGTCCGTATCGGGACGGCCACCAAACCAACTGCGGCGATTGTTGTATATCGACCTTGTTCGTGACATGGACAGTCCACGACTCCTCCGAGAATCCTTTGGGCGGCTTGATTCTGCATCCGGGCTTCTCACTGCGGATGCGCGATGGTTGCGGTCGAGTGTGCTCGAAAATGTCGACGATCGGTCCGCTCGCTGATATGGGGAGTGTGAGTGGCGTGGATCCTCATGGTCCTTCCCACGGAGGGACTGCAGCCATGCGAAGAACCGCATTGAGTTTGAAGTCGTCTGCTGGTCCGCACCTGTATGGAAGAGCCGATGTCGCTGTAAGGGGCGTGGCACACTACGACCAGAAGCTCGTTGCTAGGTGAATATTGACCTCGAATGCTCGATCAAGTAGAAAAATATGGGCGTGAGTTGCAGAGAAAGGAGCACTGCCGGCGAGAGTGAAGGCGTTATAGATACTCACACCTCCATGGACGGCCGTTGAGGGCTGGACTATCATATTGAGCCACTGCAGTCTGCACCGTTGTTCGCCAAAATGTGATAACCCGAGCTGGACTGGCGCTGCATACTAGGCGTGAACTCAATGGTGCAGACGATGCGCAGACTTGCGGCGGCTCGGGTAGCATAGTTGAAGGGTTTTGGGGATCTTCACGGTGCACATGCACAGCACGGAGCTGGCAAGAAGCCCGCATGTGCTGTTCAGGAACAGGGAGCTCGCGTGCCTCGATGAGTGTGGGAGCCTTCGCTCTCGTGGTGCTGCACATGGCAGTGATTCTTCGTCGAATTTGGGTGGCCAAGACGCGGTTGCGGCTGTGAGTGGCGGTGTTCCAGAATGCTGGCGCTGGCACCTCGTGGGAGCATTGATTTTGACGGGAGCCGGCCGCCTCCCGCAGCTCTCGGCGCCGGCGAGGCCGCATCGGCATCGTGATGGCACCGATGGTAACTTTTGCACACCGTTCTTGTCGCAGCCGTGGCAGCGTGTGCGATCAGCACCGTCGTGCATGGCGCGAGTCACATCTGCTGCGGAGTGGAGGCTGGAGCAGCGATGAGCGAATGTCGTCAGCTCATCAGAGTTCAAGTGCGGCGGACGACTCTTTGCTGGGCGGTGTACCAGGTGCACGTACGTGCTGAAAGTGTCGCGAATTGCGGATTGGGACAGCGTAGAACAGAGCAGAGTAGGTCAAAATTGTCGAGCCAGTCGCAGCCTTTCTCGCGCCCAGACGGCCAATCGAGCCTGCCGCGATCCCAATCGGGTCTGCTATTCGATGTGGCGCCCCTTAGCCGCTTGGAAGACGTGTCGTGCATGTCCACATGCACTCAAACCAGGTTTAGTGTACTGAGGCTGCAGCGCCGACCTAGCACAGATAGCTATTGAGTTATGTGCTTTGCCGCTTTGGGTTGTCGGACGAAAAGCCACCCTTTGCTGTCATACGAGAAGCTACAATCGAATGCCATGTGGTCGGCGTCGCCGTCAATTGTTGCTAGCTGTACTGGATTATAATACGCACGACCCTCACATTGGGCCCTTCTGGACGGATGGCTGTGAGCCACCAAAAAATGTCGACTTCGTCCTCAAACCAGAAACGTCCATCATGGGAGATTCGTGGCTACCCGGCGAATTGGCGCCCTGCCCCTCGCCGTGCTGGCACAATGGACCCAGTCTGGCACCGCTCACTCGTGTACCTGTCATGACTTCTCCCCTCCTTCGAGCACAGGAGGCTCTCCGAGGCCTGTTCCGAATCGACCGGGCTCTCAATGCTCCGTGCAAACCGGAGAACAATAGCGGCCCTTGCTGACCTCGTTGCACTTCTTACGCTTGAGGGTTATCGATACTTTCCATGCGACTGAGACAGCCCAAGCACTGTCTCAGATCAACCAAAGCACACATCGCCATGCAGCGGCCCCGCCATCGCTCACAGCCAGTAACACGATCAAGACTACGCATGCACTCGTATGTCGTCCATTGGGATATCTCGCCGCGGCAGCTGAATGCTCCAAAAATTTTGCCGGGCATGTACCTGATAGGACCTGGGGCCGACAAGGCGTATGGTGCACGCCATGAGCCAACGAGGTGGTCGAAAGGGCATGGAGATGTGGAGATGTTGAGACACAGCTCAGCGCCCTCACGACTTGAGCAGCTTGTTACGCTTCTCTCGACGCTTGAGCCGTTCCACACGCTTCTTGTGCATCTTCTCAGCCATCTTTTCATAGCGCTCCTTCTCCTCTTTGGCCGCGCGTTTGTCCTTGATGGCTTGTATGCGGCGCTACACCAGACAGTCAGCTGGAGTTCACTTCGCCTGACAGTCCGCATTTGAACTTACCTGACGCTCTTGCTCTTTCTCGTCCTTCATCTCCTTCTCCACCTTCTTCACTTCGGCGGCCTGCGATTCGCGTGCGACTCGTTTTGCGTAGCTCGTTTGACCAGCAGCAGGACGAAAAGCTCGCCGGGGCTCGTGCCACTGTTTGCCATTTTTTCGCATGCCGGGCGCATGTGCTGGTGTCGTCGATGTGGTCGTCGCGGACATGATGGTGTGCGTGGGTAGTCAAGACTGCTCGTGGGAGGAAAGAAAGTCGCATGCATGCACCGTGGGTGCGTGGGCCCTGGTCCGCAATTCTGCATCGACCAAAATTTAGCTCCGTGGCACCGGCTATCGATAGTGAAACGCGTGGGAGAAATGCGGCATTTTGGGTGCTCGCTCGGCGTTGACTCAATGCAATGCCAGTGCAACCTCTGCATCTGCTCTTCTTCTTGCACACACATGCACAGATGGTACTGCTACGATAACACGCCGACACTGTCGCCAACACCCGTGTCATGGGGACAGCGGCGACCACTGCGGACAGCGCCGCGCTCTCCACGACCACAGCATCGGTGACGATGGCTCAAGCTCCGACAACGGCCAGTGGACAAGGCATTGAAGCGCTGAAGGACATATCATGTGGCTCCCTGGCTGGCATGGTGGGCAAGGTCTTCGAGTACCCATTCGACACTATCAAAGTGCGTCTGCAGTCTCAGCCAAACCGGCACCCTCTTCAATACACTGGTGCTTGGGATTGCCTTCAGCAGAGTTTAGCAAAGGGTGGGCTGAGAGGCCTCTATCGAGGGTTGGGTGCACCGCTGGTCGGTGCTGCAGCAGAGAATGCCTCGCTCTTCTGGGCTTACCGGCTCTCTCAAGATGTACTCAAAGCAACCATTTACTCCAGCAACACCGATGGCGAGAAGCTGCCTATCACGGCGCTCGTCACAGCAGGAGCCATCTCTGGTTCCTTCACATCACTGGTTCTTACACCAATAGAGCTCGTCAAGTGCAGAATACAGGTTCCAGCACAATCACCTCTCGACCCGACGCTGCGATCGACGCAGAGCATGACGGCGATCATAGCCGACATATGGCGACGTGACGGAATTGCCGGATTTTGGAGAGGACAACTGGGCACGCTACTCCGCGAGACTGGTGGGGGCGCTGCATGGTTTGGCAGTTACGAGATTTCGACGTTGTACTTCAAGAGCTGCCTGGCGAACCCCGAGACCGATGAGATACCCCTACTGCGGCAGCTGTCGTCAGGAGCGTTTGCCGGCATTATGTACAATTTCCTCTTCTTTCCTGCCGACACGATCAAGAGCAAGATCCAAACGGGAGAGCTGACGGGTGTAAAGCCTTCGTTCTACAACGTCGGAAAGGAGCTCTTTCGAGCGCACGGATTGAAAGGGTTGTACCGAGGATGCGGTATCACGGTGGGCAGGAGCGTACCCAGCTCGGCGGCCATCTTCTACATCTACGAGAACCTGAGGAAGGTGCTTGGCTGAGACACGAACAATAGACATGGGCTCATAGAATTGGCAAGCATAGCGCGGCGTTGGTGAGGGGGCGTTGGTGCTCCATACTGAGAGTAGGGTTCACTCAGGCTAGTCTACAAGATGATGCCATTTTCTTCGAGGCGCTTTGTGTAATAATTCCCTAGACATCCACCTTGCTACATGACGAACTTCGTGAGCATTAACAGACCCTCGTCGTGCAATGGGGGTCGATGTGTGATGCGTTGCTGGGCAGTCCCGGTGTTTGTTGTCCATTACTCGATGTAGAAAACATGTTTGTGCGACGCATGGTGCACACGACACCTCACCTCTCTCCGCTTGTCTCGCTGTTGCTCATTATTCCACCGCGCTGTGCACCGCCACCCGTCCTCCGCCCCTCACTGCGTGCTAAGAGCAGCGGCGCACGATCTCCATCCAGCATTGTCGCGGCCACTAGAAGCGGTTCGTTGATCCCGAGCACAATACCGCCGTCCCCGCTGACGACTGTTGGAATGTAGCAGCAGCAGCAAGCAACAGCAGCTGCAGACGAGGCCAACACAAGCGTCGCGCGGCCTGCACACGGCCATGAGCTCCTTCATGAACACAATGTTCGTCGCCCAACACTCCCCTCCTCAGCCTTACCTGCAGTCGCCCAAGCCGCTGCCCGCGCTCCAATCCAATGTGCTCGCCGCATCCGAGTCGTGCGCCCACGTCCCGTGCCCACAAAATCCGCAGGCGGCAGATCGCTCGCCTCTGCAGAGACATCTCCAACACATCTTTGGCGGTGACGAGCAGCGACCGCACGAGATGCAGAGCGGGCGAGGACGTGGGCTGGGCTGGGGCCTAGAGGGCATCATGAACAAGGCTGACCTTTTGACCCGCAGCAACAGCAATGCCCGTACTGCTCGCGGCACGGCCTTCCAACCTCAAACGCGGAAGAAGGGAACCAACAGCTGGCAGCTTAAGCAGTTCGCCGAGGCCACGCTAGGTAGTGGGAGTCTGCGCAAGGTCGTGCAGCTTCCAGAAGGCGAAGACAGAGATGAGTGGCTCGCAGTGAACGGTATGAACAACGCAGGATTTTTCCAGCTGCGCCCGCTGATGTGGCCTTAGTGGTCGACTTCTACAACCAAATCAACCTGCTGTATGGCGCCATCACAGAGTTCTGCTCGCCGCAGTCCTGCCCCGAGATGAAAGCTACGGACGAGTTCGAATACCTCTGGCACGATCCACCCGAATTCCCCAAGCCGACTCGCCTTCCCGCGCCCACATACATCTCCCACCTGCTGTCCTGGACATCCAATCATCTGTCCAACTCCACGACGTTCCCAACGCATCCCGGTGTGCCCTTCCCCTCCAACTTCCAGCAAACGATACGGACCATCTTCAAGCGCCTGTATCGCATCTACGCACACATCTATTGCCACCACTACAGCGTGATCAGAGGCTTGGGCCTGGAAGCACATCTCAATACTGGGTTCAAGCACTATGTTCTTTTTGTGGAAGAGTTCGGGCTGGCAGACGAGAAGGGCAATAAGAAGGGAGAATGGTATGGGCCGCTTGGCGAGCTCGTCGAGAGCATGTTGAGAAGCGACTAGCGTGGGCATTTGACGTGTGGGGAAGGCGTTCCTGGAGCACTACGCGGTGTGGAAAGTAGCACATGGGTTTGCGGCGTTCACAGATCGAGACGCATGGACTAGGGTCCAAATCGCGGTTTTGTATGGAGCACGAGGAGCATAGCGCGGGTAACGGCGTTGAATTGACCAGATGAAATACACAACGAAACAGCAAGAGGCAGTACTTTTGATTACCATTGCGTCTAGAGTAGCAGACTCAGCAATGTGAAGCGACATTTTCTTCCGCCCATACGAGTCTCCGCTCATGCGTCTGCATTTTCGCAGTTGAAACTCCCAATCCCGCGTCTATCGTCTAATGCTGCATCTGTCGAGTGCTTCCAGCAGCTCAGGACGGTCTTGCAAGAGCTCCCTAGCCGTCCGGTATGTCATCCACTTCCGGTCTCTCTTGTGCTGCTCCGGCCAAGTTTCACGCTCCACGGTGACTGTGACTTCGTAGAAGCGGTACAGGGCCTTTGGTGCGACGGCTCCGTACTTCCGGATGGAAGCTTCGCTTCGCTTTTCTTCGATCGTGCCCAGATCTTTCTGCACGCGACACTCGATGCCGGCTTCCTCCCAGGCTTCACGACATGCCGCTTCTTGGCAGGTCCTCTCATCGGTCTCCCAGCCTCCCTTGGGTAGGACCCAGCCCTTGCGACTCGAGCTTTGGATCAACATCACGTAGGTACGCTCTGCGTTCAGGGGCACAACTCCTGCTACGAGTCGCTCGCCGTTGGGGCCATATCTGAGTGAGTCACGTGTCAGTTGGATTTCTAGAGCGGACGGCAAGGGCAAAAGTCGATCATACCTCTGCCTGTCTCTGCCAACTCTGGATTGCATCGATCGTTCTCCTTGCTGCTGAGCCATGTTGGCAATGGCAGCTGCAGCTTCGCGTTGAGGGCGCGCTGGCGCCTGTGGGCGACTGTGTGTGCAACAGCGCTTTCAGTGCCCTTTTCTGAAGTGCTTCGAGGGGACTACGCGGGGCTCGGTGTGCGCCGGGTTCGTCGGTGGTGTAGCTTTAGTATGCTTGCCAAGCACACGAAAAGCGTGGGTGGGCGGCGGTGACGAGCGGGCTCAAACGCCCTTGCGGCGGGCGGGCCACGAGAGTCGCGGAGCAGGCCTGTGAGATGTGGTGGACATTATGGGGGAGAAAGTGGTGGAAGCGGAGGAGAAGAAGGAGGAAGGGAGGAGGCGGAGGTGAACAAAAACTTGGGTTGCAGCCACGTGCTGACTGTGGACAGAGCGCGGCATGGACAAGATGGGCAAGGCACTAATGGCAAACATCCAGGCGCCGCTATAGCCGCGGTAACCTGTTTACTGTAGAAAGGAGAGCAGAATCAGAGGCGGGTGAACGATAGCGCTGCAATCAATGCATTGCCGGCAACAATCAACAATGCGTGCTTGTTGTCTGCGGTCGGCGTTCGCGTCGCTGCAACCCCCGACGTGCTCGTCCTCCAGGCGTTTACCCTCCGCCTCCCACGCCTCGCAGTGACATAGACTATTTCTGGGCGACGACATGGTCCGCACCGTCGCCGTCGCCGTCCCACTGACCTGTGCCACTCTCACCGCCCACGCAGCCGACGCAACGACGCCCGCTGCGTCGCCGTCGGCTCACTCGTCTCACCATGCAGAACTGCCTTTCTCCTGCCATGTCGCTGTTGACCCCAATTGGTAGGCAGTGCTTGACACGCCCCGTCTTCTGCAGATGAGTAATAATTGTTCTAGGGTATCAATCCGGTGACTGTGGCTATTGCCGCAAATCAGAAAACAGTGGGCGCACCCCAGACTCTCGTATGCCTCAATCGATCAGCAGTGCACCTGTATTCCTTTGCATATCTCCTCGAATGGCGCATATTTCCACACTGCGTGAAGCCACCGCTCTCGCCACGATGGATTCGCTCGTCAACAGTGATGGGCGCTTGAGGCTGACCTGATGATACAGGTGCCTCGTACTACATGAGGACCAAGACTCTTAGTCCAGAACATTACCAGGAGCTGATGGATCGCGGATGGAGGCGCTCCGGCAGCTTGTTGTATCTTCCAGACGCTGCTAGGTCCTGTTGCACGCACTACACGATCCGGTAGACCTCCAGTTCAGTCAACACACCGATAGCGTCATTAACCTTGTCCAGACTACCGGCGGCGGAGTTCAAGCCGACCAAAGACCAGCGTCAAGCATTAAATCGATGGAATCATTTCGTGCTGGGCGACGAATACACCAAAGCAGCAGCGCTGAAATACCCCAGAACTCGGGAGTGAGTTCATCTGAATATGGCCTATGATTAACCCACTCATTCAGTTCTAGGGAGAAGAAACGCTTGAAGAGTGAGTTCGATTTAACGCTAGCGGTACACCAGAGCGAGTCGAGTCAGCTGAAGCCGGACATTCAGCCGCAACACCGATTCGAAGTGCAGCTCGAACCCGACTGTTTCTCGGAGGTGAGCACTATGGCGCAATGATTGCGGAACTATAGAGGCACTCGCTGATCACTTGAGGGTTTGCCAGGAGAAATTCTCATTATTCGACAACTATCAGCGAAACGTGCATGGAGAAGGCGACGATGACATTAGCAAATCTGGCTTCCGTCGCTTCCTTTGCGGTTCTCCTCTCAAGCGTCGCACTGAGAAAGACGGCAAGCAGCTTGGCAGCTTTCATCAATGCTATCGGTAGGGCACACCAGCATCAGACTCATTTACTGCAGGACCTGTGCTGACCACTTGTGATCAGTCTTGATGGTCGCCTCATAGCAATGGCTGTGCTAGATCTTCTCCCCCACGCTGTTAGCGGTGTTTACTTCTTGTACCATCAAGACTTCGAATCATACGCTTTTGGCAAGATATCGGCTCTTAGAGAAGCGGCACTTGCACGTGAGCAGGGTTACCAGTACTACTACAGTAAGTGCCACTGCACATTTCAGCATGCTCATCATCACTTTCGCGACCAACGCTTTTCTAATCCGCAACGACATGCAGTGGGCTACTACATACACACCTGCAAAAAGATGCGATATAAAGCCGATTACAAACCACAATACGTTCTGGATCCCCACAGTCTAGACTGGCAGCCGCTCAACGATGAGCTGAGAGCTCTCATGGAAAGCAGACGCTACGCCAGTCCGTCACTGGAGCAAAAGAAACAAGCCCAGGGGCAGAGTGATGTCGAACAGGAAACGATGTTTCCGATACCACTCGATGCCATGAACTCCGGACTTTCCATTCTGACACTGGGCATGCCGGGCGTGTTGCCCCTCTCTCAATTGCAAGAAGAGATCGATCTCGGCAGCATGAAAGTCTCGATTGGGCGCGAAATGGGCGTCTTTCTGGCACAGGTGAGCTATATCCGTACGCTGGCAGGTAACGTCAACTGGACTGACAAAGGACGCAGCATATAGTATCATGGAATTCGGGGGATTTCTCTGATGCAAAGACTATCAAAGGCATATTTGCAGAACTCGCCGCTGCGGTGGGGCCGACAGTCGCCCGCGAGGCGATCGTCGACTTTACCTAGAAGAAAAGTCTGGATCGATAAGGTCCAGCGCTGGCGAACGGCATGGTCACAGACAGATGCCACTTGTTTCGAAGGTGTGCCAACATGCATGTCCCACAAAGTGCTAACATTTGTGATGAGCTACTCCAAGCTGCCATGTAGCAGCGGCATCGGGCATTCACTTCCCCAATTCCAGGTCGTCTTGACCGTCCATCCGAACTTTCGTGCGCATGAGGCATCTCTGCCAGCCACGCCCTGTATCCGTCCCCGAACTACGACTTCTCAGTCGCGGCAGCTTTGATGTGTATTGCGTTGTGCCATGAACGTATGTACTGCCCATGCAATCTTAGGGCTTGGAGTCAGCCTTTCCCCGATACGACCTCCCCGATTTGTGACAGCGCATGTCGATCTACGAGAGTGGCTTGCACGGCCGATGCGCGCAAGTATATGTACTTTTTGGAGATTATGCCATCGGTCGGCGTGTTCACCCTGGTGGCACGAGCGAGTATTCCCGATCACGATGCAGTTTGTGGTAGAACTGTTGCATCGGGGCGTCGATGAATGAGCCTGGGTAGATGAAGTCGAGCAGCACGTTCCGAACTTGACTCCAGTACGCCAATTGTAAGTCTTGCATTAGGCTGTACAGCAGCTGATGATAGAAGGTGACTGTTGACCCGCAAGTCACGCTGATCACAAAGACTGCCCACAGTGCAGCCTCGGCGGACTTTTGGTCTTGCAAAGCGGCGTGGTCGAGCACCATGGCTTCGTTCCATGCGGCTTGCAGTCCGAGATCGTAGTTTTGATTTCCAGCAAAAGTCGCACCATCTACCCGCTGACCTTGAAAAATGGTCAGACATACGCATGCCAGCCGCAGATGCTTCGATATGGGATGATCGCTCGACTGCAGCGGATCCAGGACAGCCGTCGTGGCGGTGTTCATCACGATGTCGAAGAGTAATTCGTTCAGTCGGTCTTGCACACCATTACTGGCGTAGTCGAAGCAAGCCGTTCGGCTCAGCAGGACCATGAAGTCGTCAGATATCGTGATTCGCGTCTGTAGCGTCGTGAAGCCACGGGGAAGCGCGATGGGTAGGCGTCGATTAAACAGGCCGCGATCTACCTGCACTTCTTCCATCTTGACTCCACTGTCTGCGATGTAGCCATGCCCGCCGACCAGTACGTCGTTAGCATTCTTCAAATCGGGCCGGCCACCGGAGGCAAGAGCAGCTGCGCCGGAAACGAATGAAGCTGCAGTCAAATGCAGGATGTTGGTGATCCAATTGACCAAAGGCTTCAGGATGCCATCGCTGTCGAAGTTGTCTTCGTTCCGTCTCGGATCCGGGGCTGGAGGCTGGGGCCGTCGTGGCTCCTGGTACGATCGTTGTGAATGGCTATGGCTTGGCTGCGGCCTCGGTGGGTTGTTCGATGTTGTGGCTTCGGCTGGTCGAGGTGGTTGATTTGCCTGCTGAGTCTCGCGGTTCCGGGCTCGGGTTTCCCTGCTTTGGGCGGCACTCGCACGAGCAGCTTGAGCACGAACGATGCGGCGCGAGGCCTCACTATGTCGTCCTCGCTCCGACACAATGACCAGCGGGGGATTGCGCCTCGGGCCACTGGCGTTGTTGCCGCGACCCGGGGCGGGTGAGTCGTCCGCCGACGAATTCTGTGGTGGCGATTGCATGGAGGGCCTCGAGCTGGTGGTGCGGTGGGTGAAACATACAAGGGCAGGTCGGGAGGCGCAAGGCGAATGGGTATGAAGTCGATGTCAGTAGCGCGGTCGGAGGGAAGCAGTGCCCCGGATAGGTGAGTGCAATTTTGTGCTTTTGGGGGACGTCGATTGGGGCCTGGACGCAGCGACAGCTCGTGCTCGGGCGTCGTGCATCAGCGGACGTGTGCAGCACAGCGTGAAGAAGAAGCGAGGCATGATAAATGACAGGCGCTGGCTGGCCGGCAGGATGCAGATCATCTCGTCAAGTGCATTTTCCACGATCTAGCAATGCAAGCAGAGGCTCTGCGGCTCGACGAGACAGATAGGGTGCAGCAGCGCACCCGAGCGAGCCAGCCATGTTTGCATGAGGCTAGAGCAGCAGGCGCGATGTACCGTCGCGACGCCAAGGGAGGGCTCGATGGACCCGGGACCGATGAGCGCGTGTGGTCGCTTCCTCGCCAGACGACGGCGCCTGCCAGGCGTGCAATGATGATGTCGCGAGCAGGCGCGGCGGCGAATGGCGAGCGGGCAGCAGCTCCGTCGCCGCTGGTCATGGCGCTGCTGTCATAGCACAGCAGCAACGTGCCAGCTGTGCTGTGCAGCGAGTGGTACCACAGATTCTTCAGAGCTCCCAACGCCATGGCGACGTCATGAGCGCGGCCATGAACGACATGCAACCCATGTTCATCTTGTTGTTGTTCGCAGCGCTGCGCTCCACTGCACGCACGCCATGGCGATGCTGCCCGCTCTCCGTCGACGCCATCACCTCGCCCATCACTGGGCCATAGACATCCACTCCCGTCATCCTGCTCGAATGCGTGCGGTGGGAACGCCGACGCGCCTCGGCAGCCTGCTTCGGATGCGCTTGCGCCAACACGGCTTGCCCGTTTCGAGGTAATGGAGAGTACAGTAGTCGAAGTTGCGTCCACAAGTACACTGGCCAACGCGGCAATCCTGCGACCGATTCATGCTATGCTCCAGTATTTGTAATGGCGCACGCCGCCACGCGAAAAGCTGCCGGGCACCTCGCACTCAACTTTGTCCGCGCGAATTGGCTCCTGCGGCGACTTGGTTTTTCTCGCTCTTGCTCCTACGGACCTGCGGCGCTGTCGCCATCGCTCGGTCACAAGTGATCGGCGGCATGAACATCACTGCCGCGATTGGGTCAATGCATCTTCTCTCGCAATGGGGCAGATCGACTTATGAGATCGTGATTTCCTAATCCGCACTCGATGGCTACATGCAGTTACGGCAAAGTCTGTCCTGAGCCACTGCAGCCTGCTCTTTTCGACTCTCGACTGATATGTCTCGGAAGTGGGATTGCCAGTGGTCGACACGTGATTGCAGTTTTAGCCCGCGAAGGTTAGTCAGAATCGCGATCGTGTCAATCGTGATTCGTCTCAAAGTGGTTAGACGTGAAGTGGCATTGAATGTGGACTCCATTAATATTGATGATGAGACGAATTTGACGAGACTCCATTTCTGCTGTTATTGACACATTCTCGTGTCTCCAGGTTCCAAGAAACGTGCCAGACTCCGACTTCATCCCTACGTCATGTGATTCTAGTTATTCCCGGGGAGTTGCGGGGAGAGCATGCATCCTGCGCGACGTAAACAGGACCGATGATCTGTCCAGCTCAGCCCTACGGAACAACCACATGGCCGCGATGCCTCGCCGCCATCTGCAACCGACGCTGAGATGAATATGCCCACCGAGGCAGCACGTCCGCGACCATCTCGTCGTCAGCTCCCAGTCGCACCAGAGGCTGTAAGGAGCGACCCCATGATGATGGAGCTCGCGGCGGTCTAGTGTGTGTCAAATGACCCCAAGACCATTCCTTCCTTGTCCCTCGCCGCCAACCGCCTCGCGCCGACAAATTAGGTTCACAGAATCGACGCTGGTGTGTGCGCGTCCGCGAGGGATGTGGGAGAGCTCCAGCGAAGCACACTGCTGCTGCTGCTACTTGAAGCAGCACTCGCTTTCTGCTTTCATCGTCCTGCGAACAGCATCCTCATCACCTTCATCCGCAACATGCGCGCTCAGGCAGTGACGGCGCTGGCAGCCGCTCTGCTCAGCGGGCTCAGCGGCGCTTCGACGCTGACCCCGCCCGTCCTGCCGTTGATCGTGAGAAATCCATACCTTTCCACCTGGCTGGCCGATGCGAGAGAGGAGCCATGGTCGAAATGGCCCATGTTCTGGACGGGGCAATCGGTATGTTGACCAGTCGCGAGTCTTGAGTCTCCCCAGCTTGCTGAGCTTCCCCAGATGGGCTTTTCCGTGCTTGCCTCTGTGCCAGAGACGTCCACCGTCTATCCGCTCCTCGGCCGTCCTCACGATTCTCTCGACCGCGAGAGCAATCACTACAACCTTGCCTTTCCAGAGTACTTGGGCGCCAAGTACGACGCGTCGACCACGAACCTGACCTACGTCATATCCAACTCGAGCTCCAGCCAGAATGTAGAGATCGTGTTGTCCTTCCTCTCGCCTATTACGCCGACTTCCACCCTTCGCCAGGCGATTCCTGCGTCCTACGTGACCGTCTATGTCAAGGGCGACGTCGATGTCAACGTCTACATAGACGTCAATGGACAATTCGTGAGTGGTGACCGCGGATCACACATCCAATGGGCACTCGAAGAAAAGAGCCAGAAAGGCTCTGCAAAGCTGAAGACCTTCCGCGTCAAGAGGAGTAACGAAGAGCTCTTCACTGAGAAATGGGACCGCGCTGAGTGGGGTACCCTGCACTTCACCGGTCCCTCGCACACTGCCCACGAAGCTGGTACTTCTGGCATCCTGCGACAGCGATTTGCGAAGACGGGTACCTTGCAGAACTCGGTCGATGACGCTTTCCGTTCCATCATGGACGAGGAGCCCGTCTTCGCCTTCGTAAAATCTTTCAATCTGAGCTCTGCCAGCCAGCAGTCTGGCACGCAGCAGGACAGCGTTGTATTCACAGTAGCTCACACCCAAGATCCGGTCACTCAGTTCGCCTCTAGCCGTGGTCTTACTTGGATGAGACCTCTGTGGATGTCGTACTTTTCTTCCGATGCCGAGCTCATTGACTTCCATTACACCGATTTCCATCACGCCCGAGCGCTGGCGCTGGACTACTCACAACAGGTGGCTCGAGATGCGTATGCCAGCGGGAGCGACAGTTACAAGGATATCGTCGAGCTGAGTGCTCGACAGGTCATGGGTGCGACCAGTTTCAGCGGTACGCCTGAAAATCCGATTTTGTTCTTGAAGGAAATCAGCAGCAACGGGAACTGTCAGACTGTCGATGTCATCTTCCCTGCCTTCCCATTCTTCTTGTATACGAATCCGAGGTGGCTCGCCTACTTATTGGAACCGCTGCTGGAGCACATGCTGAGTGGCCAGTACCCGAATGACTATACTATGCATGACCTCGGGACCCACTTCCCCAACATGACCGGACATCCAGATGGGCGGGATGAATACATGCCGGTAAGTGTTCGCTCAAGAGCTTGCCGTCATGGCCTGCGCTCGGGTGTTGAAACGCATTTCCTGCGAATGGAAGGTGGAACCCAACTGACGAATTTCAGGTTGAAGAATGCGGGGACATGTTGATCATGGGCCTGGCGCTGGTGAACAGCTTGACGTATGATTCTGCAGAGACAGCTCAATCACCTTGGAGCGCGCTCGGGGAGCCGAAGAGCCAGAAGGAGCTGCAGATGCAGAGTGACGATGCTACACCGTTCTCATTGCCTTCCAGGTTTGGAACTCCTGAAGGCATATTTGGTCTCGACGATCAATTTGGCGGCGTCACGTCTAGCCATCAAGCGAAGAAGTGGCTGTCTCGCACGTACCGTTTGTGGAAGCAATGGACGGGATACCTGGTGGACTACTCACTGTATCCACACAACCAATTGTGCACCGATGATTTCGCAGGATGGCTTCCATTGATGACCAATCTCGCACTCAAAGGTATCATTGGCATCAAAGCGATGAGTGAACTCGCCGAGTTGAGCGGCGAGACCGGCGACGCCAAGTACTACCGCAACATTAGCGAGTCGTACATCAAAGAATGGGAGAAGCAGGGGATGAGCCGCGATGGAGGTCGAGCCAAACTCGCGTACGATTGGCACGGCAGTTGGACGACACTGTATTCTCTCTACGCTGATGCTCTGCTGTGTTTCCATCCCAGCACGGAGGCGGCAGAGAGCTCCGTCGCAAGCTCTCGCAGTGGAGGAGTGCAGGCGCCTCTCAATCCTGGAGCCAAAGGCAAGGCGAACTTCATTCCTGACCGCATCTACCAGACTCAGTCCGACTGGTACGGCGTCGTCATGCAGAAGTATGGCTTGCCTTTGGATTCACGACATCTGTACACCAAGAGTGACTGGGAGTTCCAAGCTGCGGCAGTTGCGAGCAAGAAGACACGATCACAGATTCTAGACAAGGTCGCCACATGGCTGAACGAGACAGCATCAGACCGACCATTCACTGATTTGTACAAGACTGAGGGCGATGGTGGCTTCCCGGGGCCCAATTTCTTTGCTCGACCTGTCGTGGGAAGTCACTTCGCTTTCCTCACGCTTGAGAGGGCATGCCAAGGTAAGGGAGCGGCGGCTTTCGACTATCCATAGCTATGGACTGCAGTGCGACATGATAGGGTGCGTGACGACAGGTGTAGCACGGAGCTCCGCACGCGTCTGCAGACATTGCAGTGTGTGCTGCTGCGGCAAGGACAAGGGGACAGCTGGATCGCAGCTCGGCTACCTGACAGATTGCATATGGGCGGGTTTGGAGGAGTCGCTTATGTATGCCTCAAAAATCTTGCTGAGTAGAATTCCGCCCGCTTGTTGTGTCATTGTACGTTGTGTCGTTGCTCTGCATTGCTCGCTTGGCTGCTTACTTGCCTGCGGACCACAGACGGTGGTTGGAGAGCGCGGGTACTGCCGCAGCCCCATTGGCTCACATGCAATGCAAGCACATCGTCGTCGTCGTCGACGACTGGCAGCAGTGCACACCACGAGACATCGCGACACGCCGCCCGCACCACCATGTCGTCAGGTTTTGGGCTCGCCGGAGGTATGGCCATTCCTCGAGCTGCGCTTCTGAACCCACTCCGAGCTGCTCTGGCTAACCACGGCACGAACTGACAGGTCCCTCCCGTTGCTTTCCCTTCTGGCAAGAGGTTCTGGCGTGTTATGTCGTGAACACAAACGCCGAGGACGACTCGGGCAAGAGGAAGTGCCAGCCTGTCCTGGAAGACTACTACGAATGCCTCCACCACCGCAAAGAGGTACGCTCGCTGCCCTCCGATCCCGAAACCCTGAATCTAACCCGACAATGGCAATAGGCAGTGAAGATTGCTGCGCTGCAAGCCGCATACCGCAAGCGTGAAGCCTCGACGGCGCGAGACGATGCCCCCAGCGCCGGTCAGATACGAAGTCTTGGATTATTGGACGCCAGCAGGGAAGAGAGGAATGTGAAAGCGGCTTCATTACTACCGGGTGCGGAGAGCAATTTGCCCGTGGGAGCGAAGTAAAAGACGCAGAAGCGGAGGTACGCGAGAGACAGAAAGACGACGTACATAACGCGAATCGGTCAATATGAGCACAGCCATGGAACTTGTATTCTGAGGGCAAGCAGAATGATGCTTTGCAAGGAGCTGTTTTGTGCCTGGTGCACTACTGCTCGCATTCTATCATGCTTTCACCTCTTCTAGAGTGCCTTCTTCTGTGAAACGGAATGCTGCCCAGGACCATTGACGATTGCCGTCCCTCTCCTCTACTATCTCCAACACATGTATGGGCTCCTGCCGAACTTGTCTCTCCGTTGTGCCCTGGGTCACAGTTCTGGAGGGCAATTGATGCAGATAGAAGTGCACATCCACCAGATAGCCCAGGCCATATCCCACAGCCGGCTTGATCCTGCACGATTTGAATCTGCTGAGAGTTTCGTCTTCGGAAACTAGCTTGAAGCCAGCTTCTCCCAGCACGATTGTGCACAGGTTGTATTGCTGCGTGACCTCTGTTATCGAGCGAAGCAGTGAGGTCAACAGCGCTTGTCCTTGTGTGTAGTCGTTTTTGATGATCGGTGTCATCACATGGGAAATGCTATCCACGATGAGCAATCTTTTGATAGTGGTGCTGGGAACTGGTGCGCCCGGATGTGATGGGCTCTTCTCCGGCGATTCATCCAAGATGTCCTCTTCATCTTCACTGTCCTCAATCGTTGACTTCCGTAGCTTTGTCATTTCAGCCGGGCGTTGCTGCTTCTGTTGCTTCTCGGCATTGAGCTCCTCGCCAAGTTCTGCTACAGCTTCCATCATTCCAATCCGATCAAAGACTTTGCTGATCTTGAGCCGCTTCAGTGCTTCCATTGCATCACTTTGACCTGGGTGAAGGGAGCTGCGCAATGTGGCATGAAGTCTCCGCACGTCAAAGGTGAGAGTGCTATCAATGATCGTTGCTGTCGCTTCTGGACAATGCAGCAGATGCGTGGCGAGCAGAGCGCGTGAAAGTTCCCGAGCTCCATGTTCTGCTTTGGCAGTGATGCAGTGCACTTTGCCGTAGTCAAGTCCGCCTTCGAAGGTGTCGTCGATGGCTTTACTCCCAGTGAGGAACTTGTCTTGATCTGTCGGATTCGCTTCTTTTTCGTCGTCTGTAGCATGTCCGGGCTGCCAGAGGTCTTCGGCGGTTGTGGGCACTTCGAAGGAGTCCATGTCTGAGTAGTCTTAGCTGTACTTGAAAGCAGTTCTGTCATGAGCGATAAGGCGCTGGCGAGCGCAGTCCTGGAAATTAGCGGCGTCTTGAGTGATGTTCCATCGTCAATGTGACTGCCGTCTCTTCGCGTGCGTTTTCGAAGCTGCACAGGCTCCGTTCGCGACTGCCAAACGCGCGTATCTGGCGCGTACCTATCGCCTTTCAAGACTCATTCGGCCGTTTGTACGTCTCTACGGCATGGAGCTGGAGCACATCAAATCGAAAACGCGAGTTTCTCCCCCACTCTCAGTCTTTGCCGAGGGGCACAAAAGAGATTTGAAGACAGTACCTTATGGTGCAAGCTTTAGCCTCGAAAGTCAGCAGCTGTTCGCTATCCCCTATGAGATCAGGTCTGAGCATCCATGCCGACAATGGAGCATGGTATGGACGAGCTACTGGAAGGAGTATCTGGAAAAAGTGGAGCCAGCCAATATTGTCATGTGTTCGAACCTGAACAAAATACGCTGTGCACTTAAGCAGGGTATCAATATACGAAGCCCTATCACGCTTGTGTACAGTTCCATATCTGCCTTCGTGGACAATTTCCTGAATTTGACCAGCCAAGGTCAATGCCAGCATTTCGGGCATGAGAAGGTGCAGGGTGTGAGATATTCTGCCACAATAGAAAAGCGATCAACGTTTTGCGTAGATCTTACACGCAAAATACTTGCGAAGCAAATTCTGTAGATATCAGAGTTGTTGGCCTCAGTCAAATTGCTGACGGAGAGCTGCTAGGCTGATTCGCAGTACTGGGGGATGCGAGAGTGCCAAGGGAAAATTTTCACTTCAACTTCGAATGCATATATCTCGACAAGCTGAAGACGTACTGAGGCCAAAAACACAGAGCTACTGCATCTAGCATAGAGAAAAAGAATGGAGCGACCGAAGTCAGCTGTAGGTCCGCCTGGGGATCTGTAGTGCTGTTAGTGCTTCAATCGGCATGTAATCTTGTAGAATTGAACGTACCGAACCCAGAATCTCCTGATAACGTAGAATCGTAGTCAGACGCCTTACCATTGGGCCAACGGACCCCAAGACGATAGGTATAAGCCCTGGTTGATGGCTGTCGAGCATAGCCAAACGTATATGAAGATTTTCAAAATTGGGTGAAATGACCTCCGAAGTCACGCCGATGCTGACTTGAGCCTTCCAGCCCGACGCTATCAGCAGAATGAGCAACCAGCACTGTACCTAAGAGCTGCCTAGCAGACCGCAAGTAGCTGTCAAGAAAAAAGTGCAGGTGAAGTATTTTGCATGCAGGTGAAATTTGCTTTCATCTCATTTGGAACGATCGTGGGCTATTTTGCACCTACATACCACGAACGTTCAGTAGTCTACATAACCACTGTCTACAGACCCCTCATCCTCCTCATCATTCTCGCTCAGCAGCGACGAACCAATGACCGAATCATTCCGTTTTTTAATTTCTTCAGCTTTTTCGGCCTCCTGTTGAAGGAACAGTTTGGCACTCTCGTCCCTCGAAACGGAATATGCATATCGAGCCCAATACTGTCCGAGGGCAGTGTCCCAGTCTGAACCAAGGTCCCAAGCTCTGATCTTGTCCGTCTTCTTTGGCCCATAATGCTTCCCAGCTCTACGACAGTGGTAGAACAGGGAGCGCTTATCTTCGGAGACTGTGCAGCCGAGGATCTCATTGATGAACGACGAGGGCGCAATGTGGTACTAGTACGGATCTCTGGACAAGCCCTCAGGGTGTATCTCTGGATAGCGAAGAAGCTTTCTGGCGAAAGCGTTTTTCTCGCTATACTGCCAGAAAATGTTGATCGCTGCCAGCCATGCTGGGGCTTGGAGCACAGTATCAAAGCCATCGACCCAGTGGGGATTCCCTTGCTTTGGGGATGTGATTTGGTATTCAATGGTACGATGATGGTTCTTCTCAAAGCGAACGTTGTGGACCATCGGTACAGCGATCGTGTTCGTCACGATGGGCGACTTTCCGTCCTTTTCGACAGTTTCATCAGCGTACGACTGTGCGCTCTCCTTGGAAGGATTCTCCGGATGGCTTCCACGCACGCCAGAAGCTTTGTCATAGCCCTGTTTCTGCATCTCTCCGAGCTCTTTCAAATAATTAGCGATTCCATCGTCCTCCTGTGAATTATTGCTACTGTTGGTCTTGCTGATGTCCCCTTCTACGCCCTCAGATGTTGCTGGAACCACTTCATCATCTTGCTCATCTTCATCTGGGTAGCAATGAGATTGCGTCTTTCGACAAAAGCTCGAGCAGTACCAAGCCTCGCCGCACTTCTCACAAGTGTAGCAATGGGCATTATGAGTGCTTTCCGGGCTATGTCCACATGCACCGCAACTTTCAGCTGGGCCAATGTTCTCGGCCTTCGCTGATGTAGAGGGTACGCGAGGCAAACCTGTGCCAAGGATAATTTTCTGGCGGGGATACATGTGTCTAGTTCGAGCCATATCAGCGTGCTTTCTCAGAGCGTCATCCCCGCTCCATGTCCCCGTGCTGTCCCAGTAGAAATCCTTGTCTGGTATAGGTCTTGCTTGCATCTCATCCCGTGTGCTCTGTCTGACGAAGTCCTTGGCGGCTGACTGCTCATGGTCGTGCCAGATACCATCGTTGTAGCAATTCCGACGAATGAAGTGTGGGTCGAAATGCCCACGTGCCTTCAGAGCTCGAGTATCGTCAACCGTATCTGGCACATAAGCGGTCAAGCCTCGGTTTGGGTTATCAGGTGTGAGAGCACGTAGTTGCTCGATTGGTGTCATAGGCCTTGTACCAGGAGACAAGTCTGCAGGCGCAGAATGGCAGAGAGATCTTGATTCCTGGGGCTTGTCCGCCAGCTCAGCGCTTTGACCTTGCGGTAGAGACCATGGTGGGCCAAGAGCAACAGGAGAGTAGGCTGGTAGCCCACTCCCTTCTTCCTGACGCAGCTTCATTACGACTCCGTAGTCTAGCCTTGGCTTCCCCGGGCGTCTTTGGTCAATGCCTGGTTGTATAGCCTTCCTGAGCAGGTTCAAGATTCTTCCCACGTCCTCGAGTTGCCTGTCCAGCTCTTCTTTCGCAGCGGATCTCTATTCCGCTTCCCTGCAGATACGGTAGCATTTTTCAGCCTTGACGTAGTGGTCGAAAGCGTAAGAATATACTGCGCGCTGATCAAAGTCGAGCGCGATTGCAAACATCTGAGTTGCCCATTGATAGCGTTCTGACAGCGTTGGGTGCGGTTTGCGCATTGCTGCTTCCAGAGTAGCTGCACCACGCACTAGCGACTTGGACATCATGAACGGGCTGAGCGATACAGGCGTGGCTGAGCGCGGTCGCAATGTTGAGCCGTCAATGGTGGAACGCCGCCCAATTGCAGAGTGCGAAGGTTCGGACCGGTATGCTTGTGGAAGATCTTGATGCTGGTCTTCGACGCTAGGTACCACAGCTTCCTCTAAGGTCGAAGCCGAATGAGAGCGTGGCGTACTAGCCCGATGTGATGAAGCACCACTCTCGCCAGTCAGAAGGCTCCAGCCATCCAGTGCTCGGCCGGAGTGATGAGGATTGCTGGCGTTGTCGGCAGCGTTTTCGGAGACGCCGGATGCTGCAGGGCCGTATGCGTCTTCATCGGTCATTTCGACTGTGTTTGGTGTTGTTACTGCCATAGCAACTGGTGCTAGCCTAGGTGTTGGTGGAGGTCGCGCTGTGCCTTCAGCGTCCTCCATATTGAAGTCCTCCATCATGCAAGTATTGTCGTCCCTCTGACACGTCCCGCAATGCTATGCTGTCCACAGCTGGAGATATCGTAAGAAATACACAGCGAGAGACGCTGAGGTTGTAGTGGGAGTTCGTGTCATGTTGCGTTTGGGACAAAAGATAGGAAGAACCACACTCTGGCTCAAGGAAGGTGGAAGTGAAACTGGTGCCAGTTCCTGCCCGGCTGTCTAGCTTAACTTATCTTGTCTTTCCATCGATCGAAAACGCCTTGGCCTTGGAAAGATGATTCCTCCTTCTGCCAAGTTGTTCTTTCCATGTGCCGTCGGGCATTCCACGCACGAACAAACTTCCATATCTCGGTGTCTGCCAGATTCCATGCTTCTATCGTCCGCTTGTTTACTGCAGCCGATCCTCCACCAGCCTTTTCCCCGCTGTGCAGCTGCAATTTGCACGACTCCAGAAGTGTAGCTTCTCGTCGCAAGTCTTCCTCTGACGGGATCGGGCCATCTCCGTACTCCGGCTTAGGCGCAGGTGGCCGTCTCTCTGGTCCAGGCACCGGCGTCTCGCTCTTGCCGTCAGCAAGAGGCTCTCGAGGCAACTGGAATCCAAAAATCCAATCCAGCTCGTCTCGGTCGTGTTCGTTGTCCTTGAGAGGCGGATCCTCGGCCGAGAGCCACAGAGTGCGAAAGCTACCCAACTCAGAGGCGACGGTGTCCTTCATGGCTGGCAAGCGAGCAAACGAAGAGATGCCTGTGCCCAAAACCAGCTTTGTAGCAGCCAAAATCCACACGTCTCTTGCCGTAGATCGTCTAATTGAGGAGACGTTCCAATCATCGTTCTGCTTGACGAGAGTCTGTGTGGTCAACGGGTGCGGTACAGTTCCGACCTGAAACAGATCGCTATCATTTCGAAAGTATACAGATGCTGTTATTGGCACGTTGTTGGAAACGCAGGGTTTGCAGCGAGGCCGATTTGGTGGGCAGGAGGCCGGGATTGGAGAAACGGCGCACTGCGAGAGGTTGCGTGCGATGTCAATTGCCGGCTCGACAAGCGCTGAAGTATGCTCCGGCAAAGGCTTGACCACAGCGATGCCTCTGGAGAAGATGTTTTGCCAGGTCAAGTGAAGATGGCTGTTAATCAAGACAGGCAACATGGCAAACCCATCGCCCACAGTCTTGGGATCGTTCAACTTCTCTGCAATTAGTTCGTACTTGGTGGTGATGGTTGTGTTGCTGTAAAAAGCGATGCCATCGTGCTTTGGGTCTACCGTCATAATATCATCCGGAAGCGCCTCGTCCATGAACTTGACTCGTTTGATTGCTGAGGAGCGAAGTGCTTCCTTGAGAGCAGCGTCAATTTGCTCTGCAGTGCCCACGAACAAGCCATTCTCCAAGCCTTCGTAGCGCGTAAGCTTGGGGTATTCTCCGCGCCGCAGGAAAGATAGCAAGGGGTCGTCATAGGGACCCATGGGCAGCGCCATGTAATTCGCCAGGATGCCTCCCCTCATGCTGCTCCAAGCGAGCCATCTCATGATTTCCTGCTCAAAGGACTTTTCCAGCTGCAGGCCTTGCACATTGCGGAAGAGTGGATTGTGCATGGCGTCGGATCTGCTGAGCACAACAGGTCGGAAGCCCTTCGCCCACCACGCTTTCCTCCATATCTGCACAAGCTGCTGTTCGGCCTTCTTCCTCTTGTCGTCCGACTCACGCTTGTCGTAATATGTATAGATTGGCGCACGCTCCTGCAAGGGGGGTAGCACGGCCCGCTGTTCGTCATAAACTACGCTGCTGCTGAAAGGGTTCTTCCACTTCCAATCGCTATACCATCTCGTATCGCCGCTACTGCTGTTGGCTTGCTCAGGAGGCGGGGTGTGAGCAGGTGTGCCCAGCAGAGGAATATGGTCGACGATATGCTGAGAGCCTGCCACAGCCTTGTGCACGCCCTCTTCCAGCTTCGGACCGTAGGGCAACTTCTGCACCAGATGATCGTAATCGTCTGCATTGGAGTTGCCCAGATAGACGATACTGAGCACCAGCACGATGGCAAGTGTCACGACGACCTGCAGTCGGCGGGGCAGGAAAGAGCACGGATTTCGAGGTGCCATGGTGAGAGAGAGGCGGACGGGACGACGGCGCTGGCCAGCAGCGGGATGGAAGGACTAGACGGGCATTCGAATATCGGTGTCGATGGAGCTGGCGATAGCACAGATGCGACTGGTAACTTTCCACCACACGATGTGGTCTGCGTGATGTTTCGTTTTCGATGCAAAGTCACAGAAGGAAGTGGAGACAGTGCAGCGCAGGACGTTGAGAGAGACAGTGGTGGTATTGGTGAAGGTGGTGCGGACGGCGCAATGGCAGCGATAGAGAAGGAGGCAGATCAGCACAGCTCACTTCGAGGGAAACGCGTCGCACTTCTCTCGCTATCGTCATCCCTGCAGGTCAAGTCCGGTCTTGGCACCACCGTCTTCAGCGTGCACGACGAGATCACGCCTCGCCTCACGCGCTCTGCTTTCCACTACAGCCATCCGCCGTCTCACAGCGGCGACGACCTCGGCCGGCAGAAGTGTTGTCTGCGTGGGCAAGTGCATGTGAGTCGCGCACACAATCAAAGCCGTGCATATCAGACCAGTTGCAAAGCACAGAATGGCAGGTCCCCGTGGGTTTGCATGCAGGAGAACCGGGTAACAACAGCATGCAAGAGAACGTGACCAAGAGCAGCACAACCTACTTCGCCCGCCCGGCAGCATGTCTCGCTCTCATCGAAATCTGTCCAAAGGCTCCGTCACCACCATGGGCGGAATTCTCGCCCGACCGCAGCGGACTACGCCGCGCACTGAGTCTATTGAGTCGCAGCGTCGAAGAAACGAGGCCGCTGAGATACTGCAGAGCTACGAGCAGCTATCATGGTATGCGTATCAACGCTGCGAGGTGTGACTTTACATTCGGTGCTATCTAGTAACCACCAGTCGCTGATCCACCGCAGACTCTGACACAAACACGCATTCATTTTCGCTGCATTGTGGCAGGCATTACCCCTGAACAAGAAGAGGCCAACGTGCACTGGAGAGAAGACTTTCCGCCGCGTCCGGTTGAGCCTTTGAGACAATCGACGTCGTCTTGTAGAGGCAAGGAGAGAGTCAGCTCTGGAAGTGGTGCCGATCCGAAGGAGATGCCACTTGATGCCGGTCCTTCCACCTCCATCATATCCAAGGAGAAGACCGTTGCGACATCTTCGAGTTCTAGAACGAGTGGCAGCGCAGCAGGGAAATCTGCAGTAGAGGGTGACGAGCAGTAAGCAGTCAGTGAACACAGTTGAGAGTCTACGAGCGGCAACGTGGAGATCTGACAATGAAAATGCAATCAAACACTACATGTGTATTTTGGAAGTATCGTACAGTTTGCACTAACCATCCCTCAAGAATGTACTTTTGTGTCGCGAACGAAAGGAAGTCGAGCACATGCAAGTTGCTCGTACACAACAGAATCCTAGGCGACCATCAAGGCCACAAATCGCTCCTATTCCTGCCCGACCACGTCGTCGCGCTTGTTGTACCAAGAATGCAGTTTGCGGAGATACACATGACACCATTGGCCAATGCCTCGTTGCGAGAACAATGCAGCCACCCCGTACAGGTGTCTCGTTAGAGGGGCCGCACTTCATCATATCCCTCCTCAACTCAGATCCATCACAGTACCCTCGCCGTCCTCGATCGGCGACACGAGAGACTCATCTTCGAAAGCGGCACGCTGCGCCAGCATGCGAGCGAATTGGCCGAAGGTGCGCGCCATGACCTCCGAATCGACACCTCGCTCGCTCATGACCCCGCTAGTCGCCTCCAAGACCTTCAGCATCTCCAATGCGTCGTCGGTCATTGGTGGACGAGCGGTGTTGAAGATGTTCGCCATGCTTGAGACTTGAGCTAGGGCGTCGTCGTTGGACCAGAACGTGTCGATGTCAGCGGGATCGGCGTCTTGTGGCATGAAGAATTTGCCACCTGGGTGGACCTCGCTCTCGTCCATGAAGGATCCTGCATCAAGGTCTTCGCCGTCTTCATCGACATTGAAGAAAGCAGCGCACTGCATAGCCACAGCGTCGGCTCCCTGCTTGCCCCCAGTGCGTCCGAGCATCTTTGGTCCACCGTCTTCGCCGATTTCTGGAATGTCATCCATCTTGATTGAGGATGCGTCATCTTCTTGCTTGATGCCCGAGTCGTCTTCTTCGCTGTCAACGCCAAGCGGGCCACGGAGGTTGGAGGCGAGCCAAAGACCGATAGTCTCGTCGTTGAAGAATGAGTTGACGTCAGCGGTGTCCATGAGGGTGTCAATGTCTTGGTCGCCGAACACCAGCGTCTGATCGAATTGCACATCGCGGTGGTCGAGTGGATGAAATCCGCGGTTCATGCCAGAGAACTGGTTTGGGACATCGAGGTAAATAGGCTGCGGCACCCAGATGGTGTCTGCGCTCTTGCCCATCGAGTATGCGCCAAACTTCGCCACATCATCCGGTTTCTCCTCGCCAAGTCCCTCCTCGCCATCTTCATCTTCGGCTTCGGTCTTGATGCTGGTTCTCTTGATGAGCTTCGACTTCTGAGATGCGTTCTCTGCCTGCTCTAGCACGTTCGTGGGATCTGCTGGCGCTCTCCTGTGCGGATTTTAGCGCTGCTGTGTCAATCGAAGCCTCACAATCACTCACCACTGTGTGGAGACCTGCAGATCGAAGCCTTCGCCTTTGCCTTTCTTGCAGTGGATGGCGCGCACATGACGTCGGAGGAACCAGGCGTACTTCCAAGGCTTGGTCGCCTTGTCACCGGTGCAGAAATTGCAGCGGACTTCGCATCGCTGAATCACGAGGACGCCATCAGTCGGCCAGGAGTGGGAGTGGCCAGTTTCGCAGCAACCCATGGTGGATGGGAAGCACACAGCGGGTGCAGTGGGTGGCTTTGATAAGTGCAGGTAACGATCGGAACAAGTGCGCGAGGCACGTCCGGCTGGCGGGAGTGTTTGTGATTGAGTCGAGTCGGCGGCTTCTTCGACCGTGTTGTGGCGTCGTTGTTGTCGTTGGTGTGGAGGTAGGTGAAAGCTTTCAGAAGAAGATTCGTGCTTGTACTCAGCTTGTCCTGCAGGAGGTGAATGAGACCCACGGAGGAAACACTGTTCACTCCGATTCACGTGGGAGTGAACGGGCAGCTGCAGTGCTGGACAATGCACTCAATGATAATCAGGCTAGAAGTAAATAGAATGTTGGATGAAGTAGCTTGATCTGAGGATCAGTTGGGTGAAAAGAGTGCAGAAGAGAGGGAACATTGCGTGCAAAAACATCGCTCGCAAGTGTAGCTCGCACGAGACAATAGCGCACCTCGACAATGGCTGTCGAAATGAGACCCACACCACTGATGTTATTGCGGTGGTGGACTTGAGCACCTCATTCAACTTGACGGGACTTGTCAAGCTCAGATCGTTCGCCATTAACGATATGCCTCTCTGCCACCATGCTTGTGCTGGCTTCTGCCGCGATACTGTCGAGATGCAAAGGCTTCTCGATGCGGTGATTTTGACACACCAACGGTGGCGGCGGCCACCTCCATCTCGCTACGTGAAGGTCTATCAGTCACAGTGAAGTCTCGAGAACTGTGATTCGTATCGGTGAGAGGGCTTCACCACAATGTGGGCTCAACGCTATTGAAGGCTGAAGGAACTTGGGATGCCATCGCGGTCTGCCGCAGAGTCTTTGGCTGTCAGTCCAAAACGCGTTTCATCGCGTGATGCTGCTCATATCTGCTATCGCAATCTTTCGGTGAATCTTCTACAACCTCCAATGCAGTTGCGGCGCTCTCCAGTACCTCCTCATCGACTCAGAAAGCCCTGGAGGACACTGCCAAAGTGCAGTTCCGAGATGCAATATCTCGTGCGTGACACATCCGATTGCGGGTGTTCAAGCCATGATCCTCGTATACAAAGTAGCGGTGTAACGATTTATCTGGGCTTGATCTGCGTTCTGTAGTCATAAGAAGACCTGGCAAGATAGGATGTGAAGCCGTTGGGTGCGGCAGCTTTTCAAGGTGAAGTTCAGCCCTGGCAACCTGCACTTCGGGAATTGCCGGCGGCAGCATTGGACCAGCCGTCACCTCACACCCTCCTGCTCAGAGCTCTGCGACATCCTCTGCACGCTCTGTCGACTGTCCACCACTCCCACCGCTACCGATACCATGTTCGCCGGCCGTGTCGCAGTCCGATCTGCCCGCGTGGCAGCACCGCGATTCCAAGTCGCCGCTACGCGCTCCTTCGCAGAGGCCGCGGCAAAGCCTGCATCAGAAACCCGACCTCCGATTGATGTCTATGGTGTGGATGGCACATATGCCAGGTAAGAGCTCTATATCGCGAGGCTGAGAGCGATCATCACTAACTGCATAATAGCGCTCTGGTAGGACCCGCATGCGAACTTGCGAGGCTTCGCGATAGCTGACAACCCGATCTCTAGTACACCGCAGCGGCCAAGAACTCCTCGATCGACAACGTCTCGAAAGCACTCGAAAACTTGAACGCGACTTTCAAGAAGGACCCAAAGCTGCAGGCTCTTGTCACCTCGCCAACTCTGACGGTCGAGGACAAGAAGCAAATCGTAGCCGAGCTCCAGAAGACCATCAGCGTCCAGGATAAGACCAACACCGTCTCCGGCTTCCTTAACACCCTTGCCGAGAACAACCGTCTGAGCGTGTTGGAGGGCGTTACCGAGAAATTCGCACAGCTCATGAGCGCCGCTCGCGGCGAGGTGGAGCTCACCATTACGAGCGCTGCGCCTTTGGACAACAAGACCGTGAAGCAGCTTGAGGCGGCTGTGAGCAAGAGCCAGTACGTGGGCGCCAGCAAGAAGGTCAAGGTTGTGACCAAGGTAAGTCGTGGACATAAGAGCTTGCAATAAGGCATAATCTGACAATTATACGCAGGTCAACCCAGAGATCCGTGGTGGTCTTGTCGTGGAGATTGGCGACCGCACGATCGACCTTTCGGTTTCCTCCAAGATGAGCAAGATGAACAGGCTGCTCCAAGAGACCTTGTAAATATAGTGAGCCGGAGCGAAGCACTGTAGACTTTGACTAAAGAGAGTTTCCTTGCGTACTGCTACATACCAGACTTGTACAGAGTTGACGTGACAGCATTCTTTTCCGTGCCAAAGACCGAACTGCCTATAACTTCCGGGAGAGACTATCTAAGACTTGCTGGAGAAGCTGTTTGCATGCTGGAAGAGGAGTCAGGATGAAGTGATAAGTGATACACTTCGCTGTCCAATTACTAATGAAGCATGCCGGTAAAATGGTAGGTTGATTGATCATTCACATCTAGTCATTGATACACTGGTCGCTGAAGGCCTGCTGTCTAATCTAAGTCATTCGTCACCTCAAGTCTTGTAGAAACAGAAGGCATGATAGAAGCTTGCGGCGTCCATTTCCTCCGCGTTGACGAGGAGTCCACCATTTGGTAGACTGCGGTCTCGGCTCAAGACGCCCATTCTCTCCGCAAGCTGGCCCAGCTCACGGTCCTCCGATTCATCCTCAAACACCTCACGGAAGCCTTTTCTGTACATCAACTCCAATCCGTAATCTTCTGCAAGCGCACGGAAAGCCTCCCACGGCACAACATACTCAGCTGCGTCCACGGCTTCTTCCAGACTGTAGTGATACTTCCAGCCGAAAGGCGGGCGAAAGATACCATCCTTTGGCAGTGGCTTGCCGGTCAAGACTTGCTGGCGTGGGAACTTGACGCTGTAGATGGAGTTGCCCCAGCTGAGCGGTGGTGCGTTTTCGTCGACTGGCGTATGAGCGCTGCCGTTGACTTGGGCGGCGGGAATCGGTTTCGGATCTGGCGCTGCTGCAGGTGCTGGCTCAGAGGGCTTTTCTGGATCCCAATCTTCATCGTCCTCGTTGTTGTTGGTAGTCGAAGGCTGTGGATCGCTTGGCTTTTCAGGATCCCAGTCGTCATCGTCGGATGCATCAGCTGGCCTCTCTGGATCCCAATCGTCCACCTCAGCAGGCTGGACACTTGATTTGCCTCCGTTCTGCACAGCCGGTGTTGATGCACCATTAGGCGTCCTCCCAGAGCCCTTTTCTAACGCGAGCAGGCCTTTGACTCGCGACGAGATCACGTCGCTATTTGGCATGACGCCAATGAACCGACCACCCTTCTTCAATGCGCCGGATACATTACTCAGCATACCTCGGGCCAGCTCCTCTGTCTCGAAAGAGTAGTGCAACGCAAACATCATGCTGACGACGTCGAACCCTCCGGAGGACATGCCACCTTGTATGATGCCTCCTGGACCAACGTTCGGATTGAAGCCCACTGCACGCACAACAGGCACGTCGATCAGTGAGTGGGCAAAGGTATCGTGAACGTAGAACTCCGCCTGCATGCGTGGACGACGCCCTCGACCGTTCTGTCCCCCACGGGGGTTGTTATGCCGCTGTTGAGCCTGCTCAATGGACACGTTCGCAATGTCACAGCCCACATACAGCACTGGGACTTGCGGCGCCTTTTCCCACTTGCCCAGATCACCTCCCTTTCCGCATGCGAGATCGATGACCTTCATGTCTGGTACTGGTATCTCGGGTCGAGAGAATTTCTGAATCAGCGTGGACTTGATCCAATTGTTCAGGCTTCGAAGGCCTTTGATCTTGCTCTCGGTGCTCCGCCATTCTCTCCCACGCTCGGGCACGGCATTGTAATGCTCTGCCACCAGCTCTGCAGCATTGACACTTCGGCCCAACACGCCTCGACGCGCTTCCTCCTCGCGCTGCCGTCGTTCGCGCTCCGCAGCTTCACGATTGGCGGCAGCAATACGGGCACCAGCGCCCGGTCGTTTCAATTTGCGAGGAGGGGATCGGTCTCCGTCTTCGTCGGAATCTGCTCGCGGCTCCGGATCACGAGGTGGACTGCGACGAGCGTAGGCGTTTGGCGTTGATGTCTTGCTTGACTTGGCAGCTCGTGAAGCTGGTACCTCGCGCTTTCTCTTTGGCGGGAGTCGTGATCGCGTGCCATCGTCGCGCGCCTCTTCCGACGGCATGTCTGCACAGATGGTGGGGGTAGTGACTGTTACCGCACAGGCGGCGGTGGATGCGAGCGGTGGTAGGGGGCATTCGAGAGTGGTGGTTGGATGTGACCTGACGTATGGGTCCGAGACGTAGTTTAAGGTCGCGCGTTCCAGCTGCAACAGCTTCGCGGAAGCTCGTGCTTCCATCTTCACTTCACCTTCCTGACTATCTGACAAAATTCACATCAACATCCCACCGCCTCCGTCTTGCCCGTGACCGAATTCCGCACTTTGAATCATCGTCCGCATCGTCACACCGCCACCGGCGCCCTCCGCCCACCATGGGTGAACCGCAGTACCTCTCATACCCGACACTGGCCATCGCTCAGGCCGTGTTTGCGCTGGCCTCACCCTCGACCGATGCCACCATCAAGCAGACATCTCTCAAGAGTCTCCAAGATGACATACAAGAGCACAAGATGGCGCCGCTGTACGCCTACCTGGCTCATCCACAGACCGGCAAACTGAACGCAAGCGGCGAAGGCAGCGCCGCACTTTCGCCCACTATCAGTAAAGCCAACCCCAGCACGAGCAGCGCCGCGCCTTCGCCTTTCCATCTTCTGCGGCGGACTAGCAGCATCAACCAACCCTCGATTCTGGGCGTGCTGGGTGGCAACCGGGACACAAGTGTCGAGTTGCCGTGGGACGAGCAGCTGTACGAGCGGCTAAAGGCCGACAACGACAAGGAGCTTGCCGACATTCAGAAGGAGGAAGACGACGCTGTGGAGAATGCAGGCGAGACGGAAGTGCAGGCAGCAAGAGGGAAACGTGCCGAGTTCTATGCACGCGTGGGCGACAAGGACAAGGCGTTGGAGGAGTTTGAGAAGCTGCTCGAAAAGACAAGTATCTTGGGCACCAAGATTGATATTGTGTTGGCCATCATCCGCATAGGACTCTTCTTTGACGACAAGCTGCTCGTCAAGAAGAATGTCGATCGTGCGCAGCAGCTGGTCGAGAGTGGGGGTGACTGGGACCGTCGCAACCGATTGAAGGCCTACAATGGACTGCACCTGCTCACGATCCGTGCGCATAGCCAGGCCGCACCGTTACTCCTTGACTCGCTGTCCACATTCACTTCGACGGAACTGTGCTCATACAGCTCCCTCGTCGTGTATGCCACGCTGGCTGGCGCAGTTAGCCTTCCTCGACGCCAGTTCAAATCGAAAGTGGTCGACGCGCCAGAAGTCATTGCCGTCTTTGGCAGTGCAAATGATACAGATCGTCTGTCAGCTCTTGCTGGCAGCGCCTCCGCTGGACCAGCAGCCGGCGACGAGGAGAAGACGGAATTGGATGACTCAGCAACACCTGTGCCTACCGCAGTCAATCTGACCACATTGGCAACTGGAACAGCATCCGCAGAGGCGCAGGCCAAGGCAGAGCCTAAGATCGACTTCAAGCCACTCGCCAGCATGATCCAGAGTTTGTACAAGGGTGAATATTCGACCTTCTTCTCCAGCCTGGCCGCCGTCGAGCAGAACTTCTTGTCAACAGATCGATATCTGTACGAGCACAAGAGCTGGTTTGTGCGCGAGATGCGGTTACGCGCCTACGCGCAGCTGCTACAGAGCTACAAAGTGGTGGGCTTGCAGTCAATGGCGAACAGCTTCGGAGTATCGGTGGACTGGCTTGACAAGGATCTTGCCCCGTTCATCGCCTCTGACAGGCTGCCATGCACAATAGACCGTGTGCGCGGCATCATCGAGACGCAACGTGCTGACGACAAGAACAAGCAGTGAGTATTGTCGCGCTGCGCTCATATCTACAGCTGAAGCTAACAAAGGATCACAGATACAACGATGTGGTGCGACAAGGTGACCAGCTTATTACAAAACTCCAGAAGTACGGACAGGTCGTGCGTCTACGCGGTAGTGAGCGAAGCTAGACTCTGCCCATGGTTTGACACTCGCGCGTACAACCGACCGACCACTGTACCATAGCTCGATCGCCTTACAAGTCCGACAAAAAGCACATGTTCTCGTGGAGGCATAGATGCATATTACGTGGCACTCTGCATGTGCTTCGCTCCATCCTGGCTTGGGAGCACTCGCAGAACGCACTTGCTTAGGCAGGACATTGAGTAGACGATATAGCATGATACGAAGTTTGTATGCATAGCGGGATGAGTTACGCATCGTCTTGTTCGTCTTTTCGACTTATGCTCACGCTCAAAGCGTAATTCCGCAGGATGTGTCTATGCCACTGAGTTTACTTCGTGCCGCAAGACACGGCCTCATCTGATCATCAGGTACATCAAGGCGTGATGTAGAACCAATACCATAGATGTAGAAGACATGCATGATATCCCAGAACGTGTCTGTCGTATTGTTTGCAGCCGCTACTCAATGCGCACTGCTGAACGCTGCAGTCGGGAGACATAAATGACTGCTGGCATTCAGCCACTTCGACATACTTCAAAGACTGATGCGCTGAGGTCCCTCATAAAGCACTTGCCTTTCGCCACAGCCTTAGTCTTGGAATAGCAGCCCAGCAGCGTATTCAACATTGCCATTGGTTGAATTCAATGCAGCTACCGCCTGTTGCTCGCTGAAACCCAGATCCTTCAAAGTGCTGATACTTTCGGCAGGAAAGTTATGAGCAGGACGCGGCAAAGACTCTTGCATGCCAAAAGGTCTGATGGGCAAAGGCGGAGGGGCGATGAGCGACGGTGTTCTCAGAATTCGAGACACATTTGCCACCCATTCCCAAGGTCTTTCGGAGCCGCCTGGCAGTGCATTGAAGTACTCCCAGCACATGACACCGCCAAAGTTGGGATATCGTGCGCGAAGAGCTTGGAGAACGGGTGCTTGACGAGGCCATTCGATGTGGCCTGGACCGTTTGCCGGGTTGGACATCAGACCCATCACGACCTTGTCTGCCCGCCAACCTACGCTCATGATGGCATCGTACCAGGCCGTAGAACTTGCATCTCCCCACCCGCAGTAGAATTGTCTAAAACATCACAATCGAATTAGTAGCTGCAAATTGAGCACAAGGCGAGCATTATCAGAGTCCGTACGTGTTATACCAAGCGATTTCATGCCCGCGCATCTGCTCGAGGAGTCTATAGTCAAAAGCTGGCCCGGAGAGGTGAGGTTGATTAGGCAGCAGAGCTGTGGCAACCGGGGCAAGAGTGATCAAGAACTCAGGACCAAAATCAGATCGCAATCGATCGATCAGTCGACAGGTACCAGGCAAACTCGTTGGTTCTTCAATGTCCAGATCCAGGCCGTCGAGACGATGTTCGCGAATCATATTCCGCAGCGGCACATAGTAGCTCTCGAATCGCTGAAGATCATCACCATCAAGGCGTTCATAAGAGCCTTTGGCAAAGCCGCCGAGCATGCCCAACACTTTGATGCCGCTCGCTTGGAGCCATGCCACTTCTCCCCATAAGGTGTTGAATTTCTCGTGAGACGGTGATGTGTCGTTCAAGGTCAATTCTTCTGGCTTGTCGTTGATGTGTATGGCAGCGATGATCACATGTGTCACGCCCGTGGAGTTGGTGATGAGGGGAAGCAAGGACACAGGCGGTCCATCATTTGGACCATGATGTGTCTGGTGGTAGACAATCACCCGTGGTCCTTGGCCCAATGGAAGGAAGGGTGTTGACATGTTGTGATGATGGTGTTACAGGCACAGAAGCTGTGAGGCTGTGATCAGTCTTGGCACCCGCCACATGGCCACAAGTGTCTTCTCAAAGTCGACTTCTTTTTCATTACGCTCGAACAAACTTTGCTCACGCTGTCGAAATGAAACAAACCTTCCTCTGCCCTTCGATATCTGCCATCTCACAAAGTTCCCTCTCAGCTCGCGCTGACGTGCATCAAATGGCGACACGGCTCTCCTCACCCCCCGTCCGATGATCTATTTTGGCTTTCTGGCGTAGCCGATGGCCGGTCCTCCGATCCTCCTTCCGGCGTGCATCCTGGACGACAGCACCTCCGCCACAGCTGATTGCACCGCTTCGGAGCTTTATCTTGACGCGCCCGACCTCTTACTGTGACACGCGACCGAATAGGCACGAGTCGGTCTTGTGTGGAAAGCGATGCGGCTTCTATATTAGTCCCGCTCCAAGGGCCCGGGGATCCTCACGTCAATGCCCAGTCCCAAAGCCGCAGTATGTTTGGACGGCTTTAGCCTTGATCTCGAGTCCTTGACTATGTAACTCGGCCCCAGGACACGCGTGAACCTTCAAGACATATTCGTTTGAGGTTCTGTAGGCATTAGAACCCTTTCCGCGAATTCCTTTGACCTTTCTTCTCTTCTACATCCAAACTCTCTGGGCCCGGCAGCATTGTCCCCAACTTCAACATGGCTGCTAAGAATTCAGGCCTCGATGTGATCATACTAGGCGGCGGTATAGCTGGATTGACGACGGCACTAGCACTCACCAAGTTTGCACCGCCCGACCAGATTCCAAACATCCGAATATTCGAAATCCGTCCCGAACCCGCCACAATTGGAGGAGCAGTCAACCTCACGCCAAATGCGCTTCGCATGCTCGATCACCTGGGAGCTTTACCGATCATTCGAGAACGCGACTATGGCCGTGACATCGACTATCTTGAGGTTTTCGACATCTACTCTGGCAAAATTGCCGAATCAGATTTCCGTGGACCTGAGGGCAAAGGTGTAGGAGAACCGCCATACAAAGCACTCCGAATCACTCGTGGCGATGCATTGAAAGGTGTTTTGTCAGCCGTCGAGCAACAGAAGAACATCACCATGACCTGTGGTAAGCGCACAGTCAAGATAGAAGAGACTGCCGACAATGTCACCATACATTTCGAGGACGGCGGATCTGCTACTGGTGACCTGCTCATGGGATGCGACGGCATCCATTCCGTGACACGGCTCAAGCATGTTGAGCCTGAGCGCAAAGCGACTTATTCCGGAGTGTCGAATGCATTTGGTTTTGCTCCCATCGAGCAGGATTTCAAAGTCCACTTCGAATGCACTGCAATCAATTTCGCCCGCAGAGGAATGCTTCTGACGAGTTTTCATTCTTCATCAGCCGATTCGGTATATGTTGGAGGCTTGATGCAGGTCGAGGATATTGGCTCCAGAGACGGCTGGAAGTCGGTTGGTGCGGATGCGGAGAGGACAAGAGCACAGCTTCTCGAACGCTTTGGTGATGCCGAGATTCCGTCAATCAAGCCACTGATTGAGAAAGCTCAAGACTTCTTCCTCTGGCCAGTCTTTACATTGTCGAAGGAGGGGAAATGGAGCACTGATAGAGTCATGCTTCTTGGAGATGCTGCAGTAAGTTTGACAAAACTGGTGTTTGCTTTCATGCTAACGTATCTCAATAGCACGCAATGCCTCCTCAAGGTGAAAGCACAGGAATCGTGTTCGAAGACACAGTACTGTTCGCACGCTGCCTCACGCGATGGATAGAAAAGGGCAAGCCCAACACGATGAAGGAAGCCTTCGACGCGTACGAGAAGCTGAGGCGGCCCCGCATGGAGGCAGCTTTCGAAGAGTCGAAGAACGTGGTTAAGACAGTATCCGATGCTGGATGGTTGGGACACAAGATCAAGACCTTCATTGTGCCATGGTATTTGTGGTGGAGCAAGACCTACCGGGAGAAGCATTTCATCGAAGACGTGACAAAGGCGGACTTGGGATATTAGAGACATTAGGGACGTTTCTTGAAACGCATTGATGATCATTGTAATTTTGGCGTTGCGGGAATATTGCACGATATCAACATGATTCATAGAAGTAAACCACATTTACACTGTCATTGAATTGCAATGCAGGCGAAAAGCTTCAAACAAACAACATGAGAAGCAAAGACGCACTTGACTCCGAGAATGTATGATGTGACAAGGTGGATGAGTCCTAGTGACCAAATGCGAAGCTTATGATACAATTGCCGCCTCGAAGGCCCCCGGCCAGATGCGTGATACGAAATTCGTCAGCTCCATACCTCCTATCCTCTCACGCCGAGCAGTTGCTTGGCTTGAAGATGCCCAGGTTCACCAACCAAGCCCCGCTGTTGAATTCCGAGTAGACGGTCTTGATCAGCCACGTGTTGGACAGGTTCACGGTTTCGAGAACGATGATCCCGGTGACTTGCTCCGGCTCTTGTCCGGGACCCTTAGACAACCAGCGGATGGTCACAGTGTCGCAGTTGTGCCTGTGAGAAACGCAGTCAGCGGAAGTCCTGGTTAACGAAAGTGTTGCAAAGCCTACCAGATGTTGAGTTGCTCGAAAGGAATGGGCGGCTGAGCACCCTGACCAGCCTCGAAAGATGCTCTGCTGTCGAACGTTGCAGTACCAAGCTAGGATCAGGTCAGTTGGAGTTAGCACAAAGGTGTGGATCAAGCACGAACCGCTACTGGAGAGTTAGGGCAGCCATTGTTGATGAGCTCGATGACACTGTCGGAGTAGTCGACGAAGTCTTCAGTGAGGGATGCATTCGCAAGAGCATCGCTGTAGTCCGCAATAAGATTTCTGAAGTTGTCGGCCACGCCCTGCGCTTCCTGATCGCTCAGACATGTTGATGATCGTCCGGGATACCAGCTTGGACGCTTGACGGAACCATATCCATGAGGGTTACGATTGGCTTCTGGTGCTGCGAATACGCAAGCGGCAAACAAGGAGGCCGTAGCCACAAGCATGGTGGATGATCGCATTTTCGATGGAGCTGACGAGGCCTTTGGGGGCGCACAACTGGTAATAGCAAGTATCGTAGGAGTGTCGATAGTTCCGATGTTGGTACGATGACTGAGGGCCTGAGAGACGCACTGTGAGCAGGGAATAGGCACGAAGGACAGTTTATATGTGCACTCCAGTGCTTTTTCGAGCTTTCTGTCACAACATCAGCACGTGGTCAAAGCATGCCGCCACTCTAGCATTGTCAATGCTTCCACCTGGTTCCCCATCTCGAGCATTAATGCATTATGCAGTCGGTAATGAGACTATTGAACGCCATGCTAAAATAAGAGACTGCTGCTTGCAATGATCACACGACGGGGCCTGGAAACACCAGAGCCATCAGAGCGTTCCAGAGAGTGTAGACGTAGGCAACCTGTTTGGGCCACATGGACAAGGATCCGACATTAGTCTTGCATGAGCTTCGCGCAACCAAGCAACATGCAAGCACTGGTCTAGCGTGGCTTGTTTCGACGTTGCACGGCTTGTGCGGCTTGGTACCGGTGACGCTGTGAAGAGCATTACTTTCACGAGATACTGAGGTTGCCCGAGCATATTCGCACTTGCAATCGTACTAGCGGTTGCTTCTTTGTATGCTATGGTGACCACGCAACAGCACGAGTGGCCACTGGCCTCGGCCTTTGGGCCCTTCTGGTTGCTGTGAAGCGAAAGTGGCAGAGCCCGTCTCCAGCGTGAGATCCGTAAGCAATTCTTCCTTCGCTCTTCGGATGAGGAGATCCACTCGGATGCCGGCTGCATATGTGCGAATGCCAAGACATACCACAGCTTCTTCGCGCATCGCATTGATGAGTGTTGCGCAAGAAAGGCCTGAACGGTTTCAGCTGATCATTTATGGCGTGGCAATTTCTTGCAAGCTGCGGAGATTTCGACGGATCGGTGCGTCGTGATCATTCCTCTGCATACCCGTATACCCGCCGTGTTCAGACGCTCACTGCAGGAGTGACTTTTGCGCATTGCAGAATGTCTTCGCTGGAGTCTAGCAAACAGCATGCAAGCGTACAAACGATGTCGAAGCGACATTAGGATCTCCAGTGCATGCTGTCAAGTACGCACATGATCGCTAATGCCAGGGCAGTAATGCGGGAGATATGCGAGAGTGTCTAGCTCAAAAAGCACCAAGTTTTGTCTTGCCGTATGCGCCACCCATCTTCTTTCGCTCTTCAAGAGCCCTACGATATGGAGGAGCAGTGGGCGGCTGGATCGGATCCAAACTTATGTGACCTTCGGGCAATTTGTGGCTAGCGTCAGCATCGAAAGCGCTCAAGTCTCCGCATGCTAGGAATGGGGCAACCCAGCGATGGGTATCCAGACCCGTATCGATATCCACCTCGGTGGTACCATCCGCCCGTATTGTTCGGACGGCAGGCTGATCCAGCCCGCTGGAGCCGGATTTTGTAGGTATTTGACTGGCAGCGCTCAGGGGATGGTCGAGACTCGCCTTGAAGCCGGGTAGTGGCTGAAAGTTCGTGCAGACGATGAAAGCCTCGACACTACTAGCTCTGCTGCTTCTGGGCTTCGCCACAGTAACGCTGTCGAACATAGTTCTGAGTTGCGCATACAGAATGTCGACATCTTTTGCGCGGAAGATCTTTGCCACGAATCTCCCACCCGGCTTCAGCACACACAGCGCTAGGTTCAGTGCTGCCCATAGAAGTTGCGACTGAACGTATATGTCGAGATCATGCAATCCAGTCACATCAGGAGCTCCATCTGAGATGACCAAGTCAACCGGGTGGGATGCTTCAGTGGCAGAAGACTCCGGGTCGTAAGCCGGATCAAGCGCTTTGAGCAGAAGGGGAACCGTGGAAGGATGCGTGATGTCTGCTTTGAGACAAGTGATGCCTTCCAGGGGAGACATGGGTTGTAAGTCTATGGCGACGATCTTGACATCGCTCCGTGGCGCCCTCGTGGGAGCTGCATCTTCGTGTTCCGAAGTCGCAAGCCCTTGGTCATTGCTCTGCGACAGAAGATGCTTGTGACGTTTGTCTTCCCAAGATGCCCTGCCAATCCTTTCTCCTTTGATCAGTATTCGGGAGAGAACTTGTGACCAGCTTCCCGGTGCTGCACACAGGTCGACGACCCGCGTGACGCCAGCGAAAAGATCGAATTCCTCGTCCAGCTGAAGCAATTTGAAGGCAGAACGCGCACGCCAGCCTTGCTCTTTGGCGAGACGGTAATACGCGTCGCGTTTGTCTTTCGATGACTTGCCCATCGTTGACGGCGTGCTGTGTGTTTCTACGGAGGTTTTTCAACCGGTCGTGACTGGGCAGGCATGGCAGGTACGGATTTTCTGCCAAGAAGACGCTCATCAAAACTTAATTCAGAATTTCACTCTGCATTGATGTGAATCAAGTGACAGACAACCACATAGACTGCTTCACAACTAAGGTATCTAGATGACTGAGCTACAGAGTCTTCACGTCACGCGACAAAGCCATATCACGTCGACGCCTGGACACGTGTAATATGGAACTAGTCTGTACATTGAAAGACGGAGTTGTTCAATCACTTTCCAGCCAATCTGGCTCTAGTTCGTCGTCTTCAGGATCGTGTGAAAGCATAGAGCCTTTGTCGCTGTCATTCTCGCTCATCAAGTCCGCCTGTGGTGGTTCTGGGGGACGATTGTATCCTTGCTCTGCAGTTGGCTTCTGTCTCTTGGTTATTGGCAACTCGTTGGGGGTTTGATCTTCACCGACAGCAATATTGTCATTTATCTTCGCACTCAGTCGCATGGTCGGCTCCTCACGAGCCTTGTCATTGTTGTTGAGAACCTTCGAGGCCTTGTCTTGGACGTCAGCCCCATTCTGTTTTAGGTGGTCTCTGTTCACAGTACTCGTCTCAAACGGAGACGCAACAGCATGCTCTTCATCAGCTGCTTCCTCAGGCATAAAACCACCAGCATGCTCGTTGTCAGCTGTTTCCTCGGGCAGGAACCCGCCAGCATAGTCGATAGCAGCTGTGTCATCGGGTATGAAGCCACCAGCGTCTGCAGTATCAATTGTGTCCTCTGGCACGAAAACGCCGGGCTCTTCGACAGGAAATGTGTCGTCGGGCACAAAGCCACCAGAGTAGTCAGCATCGGCAGTATCGTTGCCCACAAACCCGCCGTCCTGATCAGTTTTCATCTCAAGAGTATGGCCATCATCGTCCTCGCGGGACTCGTCGCCATCGACTGGCATGGCGAGGTCATCATTGCGGTGCGAACGTCTATCGGAGCCTGAGAGGCGATCGTCCCGAAAGAAGCCTCCTTCCTCGTCTCCCATACCATTAATGTCGTCCATGCTAAGCTCGGAGTCATGTTCGCTGTCAGAAACAGGAATCTTGCGTTTTCGGGCAGTTGCTTTGGTCTTTTCGAGTTCTGACAACCTGAAGCGACCTGCTGTCAACAAACCCTGATCTGGGATTGTAAGAGCAAAGGAGTTCAACATATGCTCATCGTCACCAGCGTCGTGTGCGGTGGAGCCATCACCGTACGCTCGCACTCGTTCGGCGATCCGCAGGCCAGCCATAAACCGTTTCCACGCCTTGAGTGCAACGCGGCTTCTGTTTCGCGACTCCTCTTCCAACGCCTCATACTCTAGACCATCAATGACTGCATGCACTGCTTGTGCATATTGATCGGCGACCACGACACCTTCGATGATGGCGGTACCATGGCGACCTTTGAACTGAAACCCAGTGACAGCATCCGCATAGTCAACACGAATCATTTTCGCGGCCGTTCGTGCAAGAGAATGCCGAACATGGACTCCTCCAGCCGGAACCATACTTGGCACGTAGATGTCCAGGTTGCCGTAGGCATTCTTTGGTATGCGGCCCCTTCGGACAGGCTCTGGCACATACAATTGAGTCTGATACGGTGCATAGAGAGCTGTCGTAGGACCATCGTTCGACGAAGTAGCTCCAGGATCGGGAGTAGCGTTTCTTCTTACTCGTGCCCTCACATGCTTGAGCGGTTGCTCACCTTGCTTGATTTCACGACCACATCGATACCATTTGTCAGCGCTTTTGCACGACAAAACGTCCCTTCTACGGAAGACCGGCTCCATTTTCGGCTTCGCAGCTGTGCCAGCGTTGACTTTGCCTACCTCGCGCCTGGGATGGATAACCTCGTTGCGTTTGAGGTGTCGCTCTAGTGCGTAGTAAGGATGATCTTTGAAGTCGAGCACATTCGCAGGCAGGCCCTCTCTCGCTTCCTTTTGCCTAAACTCAGCATCCTCAACTTGGTCGCGATCAAGCGGTCCACCTGGTCTTCGAAAAAAGCGCATGACTCTCTTCCACCATTTCGCGCCGTCCGGAGAGACCTCCACGCGACTCCGTCGGGTTTTTGCATTGTATGCTTTTGCGTATCGCCACGTGACATCTCTTGCAGAGCCATCAGGTTCGAAGGCGACGACATACGTGAGCTGGTTCCGATCATACGATGCAGGCGGCTCTAGCTTCGTAGGCTGACCTGTCGTGTGCGTAACGATCGGATCAATGGCAACCCACTTCTGTGTCGCCTCGTTGAATGCTTCGACCCAAAAGACAGGAAATGATAACTTAGCAACAGCTTTTGTCTTCTGGCGAGGCTGCGCTGGTTGGCTTAAGGTCGAAGCAAAACTCGGCTGCCCTAGGCGCCTTCGAGCTGAAGGGACGTTGCCTAGGGCTCGTGAACTACTCACCGCTGCGTCGTGCTCCATTAAGGAAGACTGCGGAGTTTTCGTTTCGGGTGCTACTGCCATAATGCGAACCTTTGCGGGCTTCTTGGGCGTAGCGGCTTTCGGAGGGTTTGCGAAAGGCAGCGCCTGGATGGAACAGACAAAACGCGCATCGACACCTGCGGCTCGAAGCATGGCACAAAAGAGCTGATTCGCCACGTCCTGAGATCCCTCAAGGTCTTTGGCGGCCTTGATGAATGCAGCAGTGTCTATCGGATCCTCATCGCTGTCTATGGTTGGTGGCGGTTCGGTGTCAATGTTCCAATGTGGTCTTGAGAGACCGGTGCGGGTGACCTGGTAATCTGCAACAAATGAGTTGATTGCCTGATCTATTCCATCCATGAATGATCGATTGCGCTGGAATTGGGTATGTTGCTGCGAGGGATTGAGGTACGAGATGGTCTTAGTCGACAGCAAAGATCGGAGGTGCTGTTGCGCCACGGCATTGTTGCAGCGCCCATTGACGTACATACAATGTCCAAGCAAGCAAAGCACATGTAACTCATGAACAAGTAGTCGATGCGACTTCTCTATCGCAGTAGCAGGCTTCCGTCGCACTTTGGAAGAACGTTTTGCGCTGCTCTCAGCCTGCACGGATATCGAAACGTCCTCAATGCCTTCTTGCGAATTGCTGGCATGGCCGAACGGTATGTCTATGTCAACATCCTCGAATTCGAAATCATTGCTATCGGACTCGGAGGAGTCCTCAACAGTCTGTGTGCCAGCGGCTGGGGCCCGAAGTATCGCATTTGACGACGTCGATCTGACAGAGCTTTCAACCTCGTGCTGTGTTGCAGAAGAGACATTTGGTCCGCTCGATCCCGCAGTGATTCGCCGCCTCTTGGGAGCTCGGTTTCTCTCAGTCCTTTCGTCAGCTTCGGCCTCTCTAAGCATGTCAGAATAGACATCCGGAATGTCATTTTGAGGTTGGGCACGGTTATTCACAGCCCGCCGACTTGATCGTGTTGGTCTTGCTGCTGCGACTTTTGCTTTGCCTCGACTCGGAGCCATGTCTGCGATGTCTGTCGCATGTGACGTTTTGGTTGTCCGACGCCAGGTTGTGAACCAGGATTTTGACGCGTCCGTTCGTGCGGACACACGAGCGCGCGTAGCTAGCAGACCTGCAAAGACAAATAGCGCGTCAGAGGTCACAGTTGTAAATTGCGACGTCAATGTCGTTCTAGCAGCAGGTAGAAATGACGAGCGTCGTCGAGCGTCATCTCAAAGCTGATTGAAAGAGCACGCGAGGATGGGTCGCGATGAAAGGCAGCCTGAGGCTTGGCATCCCCATTGTTGACAGTGACAACTCGCACCTGCTATGTATGTACTATATGAGTGAAAGCCCACGAATCTGTTCCAATGAACCGAGCGAGCTCATGCTCTGGCAAGTGTCAGTCCTCACACACAAACGAAAGGTGCCTAAGACCAGCAACAGAACGAATGGCACTGTCTGATCACACCACTGCGCATGACGGCACAACTCCCACTGAGCTGTGACCTGGGAAGGTGCTTGATGCTCAGTCTTGAAATCGCATTATGATTGCGCGCTCGTTTGCTGTATCATGAGAAGTCACCTCACCCTAGCCATTCAGTGGTATAGCAGCCTGCACGCAAAACGCCGCGTCCTTCCCGCACACCATCCAGCATGCATGCAAATCGACATATGGAAACTCATTCAAAAGTCATGGCCGCCATCTCCCAATCCCTTGACGCCTTGATCTCCAGTAGTTGCATTACTTCATGTCTCGTTCCTCCTGACCATCTCATTCTCATCTATAGCCATTTGCTCGAGCCTGAGATTTGCTGCTCTCTTGGAAGTATGGGTGGTGCACAGCTTGCTTTGCGCTCATACGGCCAGCCGGGTCGAAGACAAGAAGTGCATCCAGTAGCTCCAGTCCCTCGTGGCCCAGAACCTTGACGCCGTCGGCATTGATCAGTTCGTCATCAGGCTTGCGCTCCCACTTCGGGAAAGAGGATTTGAAGTCAGGGAAAGACGTCACTCCGGGCCACTCTTGCTCTGTAGGCGTGCCGAGCAGGCGGAAGATCTTGAAAATCTCGTCGATCTCGGAGTCACCAGGAAAGAGGGGCTTGCGAGTGGCCATCTCTGCGAAGATGCAGCCTACACTCCACATATCCACACCCGTGCTGTATTGGCGTCCACCAAGCAGGATCTCAGGTGAGCGGTACCAGAGGGTGACGACCTCGTGTGTGTATGTGCGGAGTGGGACACCAAAGGCTCGAGCAAGGCCAAAGTCTCCGATCTTGAGGTTCCCCTCCTTGTCGATGAGTAGATTTTGTGGCTTGAGATCTCGGTGCAGCACGCGGTGGGAGTGGCAGTAGCGGATACCTGACAGAAGCTGGTACGTGAACTTCTTGACCTGTACTCGATGCATTAGTGGTGGAAGGTATAGGCAGAGCGTTGCGCGCATCGAGGGCGTACCATGTCTGGTCCGAGTCCCAAGTGGCCCTGTTCCGATAGGACACCTTCCGCCAATGGCTTTCCTCGCCCGCCCTGGCTCACCGGCAATGCCTCCATATATTTCTTGAGGTCCAGGTCCATGAACTCAAAGACGAGGTAAAGTTTGTGGCCATCTGCGTGAACAATGTTGAGCAGTCGCATGACATTCGGGTCGTTCATCTCCTTTAGCAGACTGATCTCGCGAATGGCAGTGGAAGGGACGCCTTCATCTTCGGCTTCGAGACGGATCTTCTTCAGGGCGACGATGCGCTGGTCGGGCGTGGACAGGTCGCGGGCCTTGTAAACGACGCCATAGGTGCCTGCGAGCCAAAGCAACGCGCGTCAGTGTTGTGAGCAATGTGTTCCGGGCCATGTGCGCACTCACCTTCTCCTACTTTCTCGAGTCGTTGGTACTGTTCCATTGTTGTGTTGCAGCGGGGATGTGCAGACTGGAACTTCCCAAAAGCGCAGGATGGAGAGCGCGAACTGCCAAATAAACGCGAGCGGGTGGTGGATCTGGAGGGCGCCGTCAGGTGATTGGCGCGACAGCACGTGACTCTGTTGAAATGCAACCGTTTGAGCAATCTCAAGTGCAACGTGAACGGTGACAAGATGGGAGGCGAAGAGTGCTGCCAGGCTTTTGTTTCGGTTCGAAAGTGATTGCAGTTCCAGCAGTTGTTTATTATTTAGCCGACGCGCTGGTAACTTCCTTCGAGCTTCACTTGTTCATTGGTCTTTCCACTCACTTCACGCACATTCGATACACGACTGAAGGACTCGCAAACTATAGGCAGCGAGGCTAATTGCAAGATAACGCTTGTGGCGCCATGTTGGAAGTCATCATAGTCACAGAGAGCCGCGTTCACGCATAGCGATCAAGTTCGTAGAAGAGAGTGGATCATTCGTGTCATTCAGTCGTTGCTGTTCTAAGTCTTTTTGTGGCGCGACTCGCGCGCCATGCTCGTTACTCGTGTCGACATCTCATAGCACATTATCACGCTTTCTCAGTCAGTGCGCCTTGAGGACCTGGCCGCCCTCGCTGGTATCGTTGGGCTCCAGAGTCTGCCAAGATGCCACGCTTCCGACTTCCACGCAGATCATCTGCTTGTAACCATCCTTTGGTTCGAAGTCGCCCATTGCTTTGGCTTTCTCGATCCAAGGGTTCCACACCACGCAGTCGTCGATGTTGTCGCGAGTGACGTCGAGCGATGGCTTGCCGTCCTCCACAATCGAGGTGGTGTCCTGTTTGATCGATTTGTAGACACGATCGACCTCTCCAGTGATGGACAGACCAGGAGAAGTCTGCTGATGCTCGGTAGCGTTGAGGACCTTGTCCACATAGGTCACGCTGCCCAAGCCATTGACCTGCGTCTTTGAGATGTCCTGCACAAAGTCAGCAGATGCGGTGCGTGATGTGCACTACGAACTCACATTGACGCGAAAGTATGAGTGCAGCAGCATCTGATACTCGAAAGCCTGCGTGCCGTCGTTCCTTACGTGCAACATAGTCTGCAGGCCATCCTTTCCCAGCGTCACCGAGTAGACCAGACTGAACTTGTACGGCCAGGCCTTCTTGAACTCGTCGCTCAAGTTGGCATCTGACAGACCAAAGTCCACCTTGACGCTGTCGTCGCCACGATTTTTGCTAAGGACGGACGATTCAGCCGAAGACTTGCCCATGTATTCCCATCTTGTGTTACGCGCGAAACCGTGTTGTGGGAGTTTGCCGGTGGCATGATCTTTTGGTGGAGGACCGAAGCACTGTATTGAGCTGTCAGGTACTCATACGACATACGTGTTGTGTTCATGCGTTGCGAACATACTGGAAAGACAACTGGTATGCCACCCCTCACTGGTTTGCTGCCGTCGAGCTTCGCGGCGCTGCTGACCCAAAGTCTCTCCTTGCCATTGCTCTTCCAGCTCACCACGGTTGCACCGTACAGCAGAACTTCAACTGAGTCGCCAGTTGGCAGCGTGGCGGTGACTTTGCCGTTCTCTTCGTAAACGCTGGCCTGCGGTCCAGAGCTGGTAGGCGAAACCAAAGCGGATGGCTTGTTAGGACGATCTGGCAGGAAGTCGTTAGCCAAAGCGATCCCAATGCTCGAGCTATACCATACCCATAGTTCGCGGCACCAGTTCTTCGCTGTTTGTTATTTGGTTCAATCGGTGTGTATGCAGAAACGAGCTTGGTGTCGTGCAGGGACGTGGATCAATGTGGCAGTCGCAACCCCACGAACGTGGCGCTGACGTAAGCCGCGTTGCTCCCTCCCACCTTGAGCTCACTTCAAGTTCACTCATGCATCAACCAGAGTGAAATGCTTTCCATTTGCACAATAGCTGATTTGATCATGTGAAGCAGTATCAACTGTGAACTTTCCTGAGAGCTTCTTGAAGTCCTGCGAATGATTGGCAGATCGCGTCTCTGTTTAGCTGCTCAACAACAATCCGGGCTAGCAAAGATCGCACTGCGTTGGCGACCACAGTGTACACCACTCCACGTCTTATCACAGCTCCTCCAGGCTGGCCCAACCAAAAGGAGAGCATTGGCAACTACAACCCTCAGTAATAATAAGGTGTGACAGGAGCATAAAGCTGCAACCATCCAGCTCCAGATACGCCTTCTAAGCATGACCTTTAAATCTGTCACTCCTACTCATCTCTATACCTCTTCCCAAGAGTGGTCAGCTTTCCGTCGTGATCAAACATCGCCGCATACTTCCCCACTGTGCCCGTATCTCGCATGGGACCAAACCAGCAATATCTTTCCACCCAGTCCAACGTGTCCAGGTACTTCACGGTCTCCTTTGCAAACTCTTCAACGTGCTCTCGTGGCAGAGGCGCGTCAGGATTCCAATTTGTGCAAGCAAATTCCGTGATCCACACTGGCTTGTCTGGTCCTAATTGATGGTGCCTGTGCATTGCTACCTCAGTATAGCTCCACCGCGGTGAATCTGAAAGTACTTACGTGCTCCAGATGTAATCGTAGAACATGCCAATTGATGCTTCAAGTAATGAGAGTTGTCAGCAAAGTGGTGGCCCAACGACATGGTACGTGGGAAAAGGTTCAAGTACCTCCTGCTGAATTGCCGCAGCCATACCTGGATCGCGTTATCAGCATCACGATCATGTCTTGAACACCACTCGCAGGAGAGGACGAACCAATGAATAGCCCAAAAGTCCACATCTGAACCGCCTGATCGAATTCTCTGAAGAAAGTCCTGCAGCCAACCCACAGCATGTCCGGCACAAGAAATCCCAGGACTACCAGCTTTGATGCCGGACTTCCGAAGAGGCTCAATATGACGAAGCCATTCATTCGCAGCAAGCTCGGCAGACATATTCGACTGATCAGGCAGCTCTGGTTCATTGAAGCCTAAGACCGCGCGAGCTCCTGCTTGTTGTACTTTGTTGTGTAGTTCTTCAATTCCGACATTGTTCCCTGGCGGTGGTTCGAAAGAGATGAGCTTGTTGCCTTGGAGTAATTTCTCGGTGTATCGTGGCTACTCAGGTAGAATTTGCGCTGTAAATTAGTACTTACATTGCATGGGTACAAACTCCAACGATGACGATGAGGGAGTAGGATTGGGAGACCAGTTATCTTGTCATCGTCAGTGTCAATGTTGGAATGGGTTGAGGGGGTCAATACAGATAAATGACACTTTCGACCCAGGTTTTGTGAAGTGGAAAACAGCATCTTGGTTGTCCACCGGCCAACACAGGCCGCGTTTAGAATGCGCGTTGGATCGCCCGCCAGCGCTGGCGACCTTGTTGCGCAGTTTGTCGGCTGCACTGTGAAGGAATGAAGCCATGGTGTGGTAGTCATAGTCAAAGCTGTCATGCACAGTTTCAAGGTACAACTTTACGCCAAGACGAACGCGTAATAATAGAACGTGCTTCGACTAGGCGTCAATGTTCGTTTGCATTCATCGCTATGTATACCTGAGCTCGAGATTCTTGAATAAATCAACGCTGAACGACCAGGCCACAATGCCAACGATGCTAATGGCTCGTATTCTTCCTCGTTAGACTCAAGACCGTCATCTCACTGGTTCCAACCGACTGGCGAGGCCAGCCTCCTGTGTTATTGATAAGACCATGCACTGGGGAAACTCGAATCATAACCGGACTCAAGATTGTACGGATCTGAGAAAGCATCGACAGGAACGCTGAGTGATCCGTCGCTCCATGACTGCGATACAAAGCCGAAGTTGTTCGGGCTGTGCGAAGTATCCATAAGTTGCGAGTTTGGCGGGGAAGTGGTACCGCTCAAAGTTTGACTGGCCTGGTGTCCTTCTGCTCCGCTGGAGCCAATTGAGAATTGATTGTCGTTGACCTCGATGCCAGGAAACAATTGTTTCATGAGATCATCACTTGGTGCATTTGCCGGACCGACTGACTGCGATTGTGGTCGTCCTCCAGCAGTAACGCTAGCAGTACGAGAAGCCGCAGATGTTCCAAATGATGTTGTCGGCCATTGCGCATATGGAGACCCCTGTGCAGTACTTTCGGCCTTGATTTTGTTCGTGCTCGTGCCAAAGCCATCGCCAGCGGGCATACCCCACTCGTTACCCATGTTGGACATGTTGAAGTCCGCATTGCCAAAGAAATTAGGAGGCAAACTGCGTCGATTGACGTTGTTGGTATCGTTCATCGCAGAATCGAGAGGGAATGTAGCAACGTCCTCTTGAATGCTAGGCATTGCCAGGCCATAGAGGTCATCTACAGTAGGAATTTCATCAATTTCCGATTGCGTGCCTGACGAGGCTGCAGTCAGGGCCGGCTGCGCAACATTACTGCTGTCAAACTGAGACGTCCATACACCGAAGGGGTCATTGTTAGGCATAGAGTCTGTGGTTGGAAGGATTGACCAAGGATCGTAAGACCCGTCGGCCACGCCGGACATGGGCTCGAAGGCGGGAAACGAAATGGACTCGCTGGTGCATGATTCCACACTTTGGTTGGTCAAGATGGGCCCCAGAGTGCTGAAGTCGATTGCGGAAAGCGTGGCGTCGGAGAGTCCAACACTGCTTGTCCCGATGCCACTGAGCTTCGGCGACGGCTGTTCCGACTTGGACATTCGACGTGCCATAGCGCCAAGGGGCATCTTGGCCGCAGGGGCCGCGTTCGATGGCTCAAACAGGGACGCCGTCTGTAGTGGTAGGCTGTCAACGGATCGGCGGGCCGCTTGCGACACATTGTTATCGGTGTGCGCTCGTGGTAACGGCATCTTGTACGGCATGCCGCACTCATGGGCAGCGTGGTTTTTGCGATGTACTGGTTTATGGTGGCCATTCGCAAAGACTGTTATAGAACCATCGGATTTGGTTGTCTCCAACCGAGGTTTAGGCACAGCAGGACCATGTGGCGGACTTGAGCCTTTGTTTGCGGGCTCTCTCTTGATGAGAGAGCAGGAGCACTTGCCGCCGTGGTGACAGCAACAACCCTGCTCCTCTGCGACTGCAACGAGGTGAGCCGCATCATCCTCCTGCTTGATGTGGGTGTCGTCGTGAAAGCCAGCCTTTGCACGCTCTTCAGCTTCACGGAGATGTATGCATTTCTCTTTTGGGTGATGCGGCTTCTCGGCCTCGCCACAGTCACACTTGACATGCGCAGACCGCTTCTTGCGCTCGAGACGACAGTGCTGGCACTGCGTAACGGGTCTCCCCTTCTTGGGCACGAGGGTGAGTTCGCGGTCTGCGGCGTCGGTCAGTAGAGGTAGCAAGAGGCAGCGACGGCACGCCGGACTCACCGGTATGGTTGCAGCCGCTCACGCGATGACCTTTGAGACATGATTGGCATGCCCATTTGGTCCCATCTTCCTTTACAACCATGCCGGAGGTCTGAGCTGTAGATGCGCGATTTATCGCCCGGGTTTGCGAGTCGCTGGCGCTGGGGCCGGGCGCGATGACGATGGGGTGGTTAGGATGTCTGGGGAGGAATAGAGCAACGAGGATGCGCTGGACAAAAGAATTCGGGCCTGGTCGTCAAATCTGGGTATCTCTAGCAGTCCATCCGGAACGCCTATGTGCTTGCTCGCGGGACGCCGCCAAGGAGAAGAGTGGTTGAATGGACTGACACTGGGTCAGGAATGTCTCGCGTTCAGGCCGGGCTCAGCCTCGATAGGCTGGCCTTTGGGATGGCCGTGGCTCTGGAGAAAGTGAAGACAAAATAGAAGCCGTCGCGGGTCGCTGCACGAGACAGTAGAGTGGGCGCGAGGAAGAAAAGAAGCCAGTCGCCCAGCAGCGGCGGGGGAGAGACGCTCTGCTGCTGAGACTTGGCGCTAACTAGACCCGACGACTCGACTGCGCACAGAGCCAGCTGCCAACGTGCCACCGCAGCGTTGCTCGCTCGAGCGTCTCGGTAGTGTGCCGCCGGTGACTTTTGGGATGCGCACTCCTCCAGTCCTAGCGCACACTTTCTGCATCTGGTCACCAGCCTACGCGTCGTCCGCCCACCGACGAGCCTGCGTGTGTGCAGCGCTGTGCTGCATCTCCGCCGCACCGTCTGCACCTCCCCAGCTGCGCCGCCAGTCGACCCCGTCCCGTCCCATCCCACCCCATGCAGAGTGCGGTGGAGGCATCTGCTAGGGAGGTCTTCACCACAACCGTCAGCAGCCTCGTACTCCGAGTGGTAACCGCTAGCTACTGCAGTTGACTATCGAGATTGCGCAACTCCGCGGCTGCCACTTCGGCTTGCGTTAGAACTATGCTTCCTTAGGACAATTCCTGACATCAACGACGATCTGTAGATCTGGTGCTGCCAGGTCTGCCAGTGGAACTGGTCCATGGTCACTGAAGTGTAAGTACGAGCAACGAGCGAGAGTGCAGCGTGTACCTCCCCATGTGCTCTGTCAAGGATGGCCATTGTGGCCGGAGCCACACACTCGTAAACATGCTGTGAGTAGGTACCTTCGTCGCACTTGAACAGCTTGAGCGTTCGTAGCCAAATTTTACCACAAGAACGAATGCAGGCTTGGAAAAAATGAAGCCGAAGTGTAACTTCGCGAGCATCCGCCGCGACGAACGCGTTGACCCGCGTCGCTCCTTCTTGCTGAACGACGACTTGCCTGCACGACGACACCTCGCGCCTTCCTTCGAATGATCGAACTACTACTCCATCTCACGAACACTGAACTTTCAGCCAGCTCCTCGCTGCGACAATGCGAGAATGGCGGTCGTTAGACGCGCAAAGGACGACCCACGCCTTCAAGCCTTGCTCGAGACTGCTCAACAGTCGCTACAGCACCTGAGAGATCGCACGCAGGTCCCCCCGAAAGTGGCCAACGACATCGAGGTCCATATTCGAACGTCCTTCAATGCACTGACCCCTGCGACTGTGGTCAAGCGAGGCAGAGACTTGGACGCCTATGGCACCGACTTGTGGAATGCGGCCGCTGCTGCCATTTTCGAAGGCGAGGGAGACCAGCGCGTGGAGGCGCCCAACTCTACTGCGCTTGGAATCTCTGTTCGTGTTTTTGCCTTACTCCTGCTCGATGCCTCTCATTGCGCATCGGTTCGGCGCAGCAAGGACGCCGGACAGCAAGCAAGGCTGTTCAGAGTTGCGAATCAAACGGCGAGATTATGTCTGGAGAAACATCGACTTGATCTTTCCGTGACCGCTCTTGAAGTGGGCTCCAAGTACATTCCGCAGCCAGTAGATGAACCCTCCTTGATGCATTTCGACACAGTACAGGAAGAACAAATTGACGAGCATGGCAAGTCTATGAGGCAGCTAGAGGGCGAATACTACCTGCTCCGTATTCTCCACTCGTGGAAGTCCGAACGCTACGACCTCGCAGACCACTTCTATCAATCATGGTTCAAGGTCCGTGGTTTCGTGGTACCGCATGCTCCTGGATCCGTGGCCAGAGCTGCAGATCTATTTTACGAACTTGCACGACACTTGAGCAAGACAGACAGCGGTATCTCCCCTTTGAACTGGTACGACCGAGCCTTAACAACACTGCACGGTGCTGCTGAGCAGACGGATTCTGAGCATTGCGACTTACTGGTCAGTACAGCCGTGGCTTATGGTACGTCTTGCCATTTGCCATTGAAAAGGCGGCGTTAACACAGTCCAGTTGAGGAGCTGCTGAAGTCTGACCAAGATTCATGCATATCTCGTGCACATGAAGTTGTGACTCAACTCGAGAGCAGGAACAGCTTGAGCAACCGAATCTCTCTCCCGCTGTTAAAACTTAGTATCATGGCTAAGATGCAGAATGTGGACTCTGCGGAGGTCGAGTGGACTTTGCTTCATGCCATCAGGCTCTGTCATTTGACACAACATAATTTCACACTGTACGTAGCATTACGTGCATGAGATCACTGACGCTGATGATGCTAGGGTAATGCAGGCCGCAAGCAAAGCCTACCACACTTTTCCAGACATTGCCATTTCTGCCATGCAGATCTTCGCAATGGACCGAATCTTGCCGGAAATGGCCAGCGCGGGAGATCGTGCGGATCAAGTAAAGGACTGGCTCGAAAAAGCTACCATCACCTGCACGTTATGGGCGAGCAGACAGATGATAGAAACTGGTAAAGACTTATCGGACAAGCTTCTGTTACTGTACGACCAAATCCAACAACGACAAAGCGAGCCGTTCACCACCAAGGCAACGCACGCCGCCCAAACGTTGATCTGGAAAGCAGTCGATGGGTCAGTCAATGCTGCCTCTGGAGGTTGTTGTCAGCTCCTTCGTCATCCTCTATTCTGCAATGCTGGACACGTCAACAAAGGTCGCATTGGCAGGAGACTCATGCGCGGCGCTTTGGACGCCAACGAGCTGGACGCTGCACATCAATATTTTCTCGAGATGCCCATCAGCGTGCAAAACGAGGCCGCTACTCGTTGCATGGCGTTCCAGTTGGCCATTCGTTCGAATGACTTGTCTCTTGCGGAAGAAAGTCTACGCATCATCGCCAACCGCTCTGAGGCGGACGCCACGTACCTTTACGCCTGCGTCCTTGATGCACAAAATCAGCCTCAAATGCGACCGTTGGCTGTTCTGGCGTTACGTACAGTCCTCGAATGCAAGCCCCCAGGACTACAAGTCGGATCACTCCTCCGTTGCATGGCAAGGCTGCTCATGGTCGAGGCAAATGCTGGAGGAAGCGATCAGGAAACCGTCATACGAGAAGTCGTTGCTGTTTTTAAATTGGCAGCCAGCAGCATCGATGACATTCGAAAATGCCCTCAGAAACAGTGGCTGGTGGAAGCACAGTGGTGGAGTAAGAATGCATACAACCTGGTCGTGCGAAACTGCTCATCAACCAGTCCCGAACTGCTATTGGAACTACTCTCGGCATGCATGCTGTTTCTCGACAACTATCCACAAGGGCCAGAGTATGCTGACCCGCGTGAGATTGCACAACGCCGATCGGTCTGCATGTTTCTATCCACGATTTCACTTGTTGCGCTTGGCCGCTCCAGCACTGACGATGCTATCCTCGCGGAACAATGTTTCACCAAAGCACAGCAAACCATTGCGGCGTTCAGAACGCTGTCACAGCAGGGTCAGAACGATGATGAAGAAAATACTTCACGCACCTTCACAATGGCCAGGTTTGATCTGGAATGTACATTGCGACTTCGAAGATGGGACATGCTCGACACCGTTCTCCGTTCCTGCCTGGAAATACGATCTAGCGACCGGTGGGATGCTTTAGCGGACCTGGTCATCGTCATCCACGAATACCTCGATACTGGTGAGAAAGAAGCTCATACAGAACTGATCACTCAACTCCTCCAGAAAGCTATCAACGAGACATGGAAGAAAGACAAGGACATACTCAAAGTCTCCCGCTGGCTTCGATACGCATTCATGCTGTGTATTGATCATGAAAATGGCGATTTCGCCCGAAAGCTGCTGCAACAGGCTTCGCGCATGGCAGAAAGTGGTCAGCGAGGCAAATATGACTTGTACCCCGAGTCAGAGCTGCAGTGGTTGGCCACGACTGGCTTCAACCACGCTATAGATCTGATTTCGCGTGGAAAGCTGCAACATGCGAAGGCATGGCTGGAGGATGCAGTCGAGGTGGCAAGATGGACTCAAGACAATGGTGTATTGCATGCTATGCTGAGCAGCAAACGTCAGGTCGCAGAGGAGCGTATCGACGAGATGTGGAGTGACGCTGTCGCGGACGGAGAATGATTGTATTCTGTAGCGATGGCTGTGAATCTATGCCAAAACAGCAAGCACGGAGGCCACCGCCGTATGTTGCAGTTGCTTCCCTTGCAGCAGAGCAGGTCATTTGGTTCTATCATCGTCCCTACTTTTCTCTTTGACGAGTGCTCTCTGCGATCAATGCTGCCACATCTTCCGCACTCTTCCCTCGTACTCTGTTGTCCACTGTCTCGTCTCCCAGAGGCGTACCGTGAGCGACGAGGTTGTAGATTTCAGCAATACCACGAAAGGGTGACTCATCCTGCGAGAAGCCGCCATCCTCTTCGAACGTTGTCGCAATTTCTTGCATCTCGTCGACCCATCTGTCTCAAATTGTCAGTGGCATCAATTCTCTCCAATTGAGCGTGGCAAATTCACCCACCTATAAGCCTTCGGCGGCATCGACACAAGTCCTGTTTCTGCTCGTTGCCGCACGCCTGGGGCAAAAGCGTCAAGTTCAGACTGAAGCTCTGACAAGACTCCCATGTTGCTGGCCGCGGTGAAAGATTGTATGGCCAAAGCAATGAAACCTTTACTGAGTGAAGCGAAGCACATCTTCAACCCAGTCGCAGTGCCAATCGTGTCATTGACGTGTCGAGCATTGAGAACGCTGGCGAGGGCCGCGCCATGTTGAGGGGCATCGTGTAGACTGTGGGGTCCGGATAGAGGTATGCTCGGCCCCGTCCAGCTGCCGTCTTCTTTGAGCTTGGGCGGCGCACCGATGATACCTCCGTCGATTACCCTGCTCGATGAAGTCTGGTCAAATAGACTCGCAATGTGACGTGCTCGAGCTGGACTGGTTGCATTTAGGTCGATGAAATACAATGGCTGCGTGCGCTTCTGGAGCTCCGGTGATGACATAGCCGCCACGATGCGTGTGGCAGTGGCTATGGCCTCTGATGGCGGCACGATGGAGAGGATGTAGTCGGTCTGATTGACGAGCGCGATGTCGTCAGCAACAATATCAATTGAGTTCTGTTGTGCTCTATTCCGTGTGGCCTCACTGATACGTTCAGCATGTGTCGGAGTAAAGCATCGATCGTGATACGCACCTCCTGCCAGTGGCATTCGTGATCACATTGAAGCCATGAGCAATAAGCATTTTGGCGATGCCTAATCCCATGTCACCAATGGAGATGATGCCTACGCGTGCGCTTGCGACAGACATGTCGCTCCTTTCTTGCTTCGCTGGGCGTCTTGGCTCGTTGGCAGATTCGATCTCTGGGCTCAGGAGCTATATGGTGATGAAAAGCTTCCAGAGTGAAGAACCAACTCTTGGAACACATGCTTCGAGTGGTTTACCCCGCTTCGCTCACATGATGTTAGTCAGCGCGACCTACCTCCTTCCTCAGGCGAACGTGACTGCTGTAGTTGCGAGCGCCAACTGAGGCTGATGACGGAAAGCGGTCCCTGTGTAGGTTCCTAGGGCTAGCTTCCGAACGCCGTGCGTCACTTCCACTCGAGTCTGAGAAGGAGATAGAGCGCGACTAAATGCCCACAATAGACAGCAGTTGGCCAACTTCTCTCGGGGGGCGAAATTGCCAGTTTGGGCAAGGGCTTATGTGACAGTGGAGTTATGAGTGATAACACAACCACCAACGAGGTGTTGCTTCGGCGACAAGTGCAGGAATCCTCCAAATCTGCCTGCTTTCCTGATGGCCATGCGGCTCAGCCTGGAGATTCGACTCGATGCCAGCCTTCGACTCCAAGAATACCACCATCTGACGATGCCGTATCCATCGACCACTTTCGTATAGGCTGCACATCGAGGCCAGATCGGTATCCAGCGTGCCACATTTCTAGGGCCGTCCACGCAATCATCAAAGCGTTGTCGGTACAAAGCGGGACGGGAGGAAACTCCAACTTGATATGTGTGTGGCCACGGACATCCAATATCTTGCGCATGACGGTTCTCAAAAAATTATTGGATGCCACTCCGCCAGAAATCACAACAGTATTCACCGGCTTCGCGTCAGCAGAGGACAGGTGTAGGAGCAATCGTGATGCCACATGCTCGAATGCCACGCGCTGTAATTCTCGAGCCATGTGTCGCCGCTCGTCGATCGAGACTTCGCTTTGATCCCTTACCTCTGTCGTGAGTTGTCCGTCTGGACTTACTTTACGAGCAAGAAAGCGCTGCGCAGATGTAAGCAGGCCAGCAAACGAAAACGCCATGCGTCTCGAAGTCTTGCTGCCACCTTTGCTTTCGGCAAATGGCCTGTGTGGGAAAATTAAGAGTCAGCAGTCGTTCCATTCTGATCGACAGTAATCGCTCAGCCTAGCCAAGAGGATAATGCGTCATGGTGTCAGTCCAGGAACGTACGGTCTCAAGGCCCAATGCCATTGTGTAGGCCAGCGCTCCAATTCTTCCTGCCTGCGCGCGGGAGCTTCGTAGTTGTAGGATTCAGGTCCGTTGGAGAACGCAAATTCCTCCAGAGCCCTACCGTATGGTGCTTGAAGCAAATCGGCGGGCAAAATTGCCCGCGCGGCCTTATCCAAGCAGTCTCCAAGTGCGATATCTCCAGTCTCGGCCAGTATGGAATGCTCGGTGAGAGAACGCGAATCAATCAGCATAGTATGGCCGCCGCTCACCAGGATGGTCAGGAACGGAAAATCAGGTTCTGGCGCAGTGACAGGCGCATCCATGGCATGCACGAGTCTTGGGGTCAATGTATGCGCTTGCATATGATGAACGCCCAGGAAGGGAACCCCAAGTCCAAGTGCGAGACCTTTGGCAGTGTCGAGACCCACGGCCAGGTTAGAACGCATCCCAGGACCTCTTGTGGCAGCGATGAAGTCCGGGCGCGGGGACGCACTCAGCGCCTTTTGCACGAGAAGCGCCAGGTGAGCCCGATGCGAGTGCAAGGCCACGAGGGGATGGATGCCATTGTAAGCATCGTTATTGGCCGTGATTTTCTCGTGGAAGTGCACAGTCAGCGCGCGTGGCGTCTGCTCCAGTACGGCGACGGACGTGTCGTCGCAGGACGTCTCGATGGCAAGAGTGGTAAGAAGACGGCGGTGCGCTGCGCAGATTCCGGAACGGCGGTGGGCCACACGTAGCATGGTTTCATGGAAAGGGCACACTGTTCTGGTCGAAGGAAGTGTAAATCGTGGTATCCGTGTGCCTCAGGCCGCATCGCGCTTGGGAAGATGACTAAGTCATTAAGTGGGATCAGACTTTCTGCTTGGTACGACCTCGCTCTGTCCACGTCTCTCATCACGTCCCTACTATCGCCACATCTACCCACGGAGAGGATGCCACATACTTGTTAGGGCGTGGCCCGAATCGCATCAAGCTTCAATGATACTCAAGGTTTGGATGTCACTCACGGTTTTCCCCAACTCTCTTTGCCGCCGGCGGCCCATTCTGCGCCCCATCATTGAATGCAGCTGCACGCAGTCGCCAACTATTCCTGTCGCTAGCGCCAAAATACACTGGCTGTTTCATAAGCGCGCGCTGCGGCGTGGCATCTTCGACATGCATTCGGCATCGGCACTAAACGAAAGCAACAGTCTGTTCATTTGTCTAGTCCAACGCACTGTTCTTGACCTCCCACATTTCTCTCGCCCTTACTAACTTCGCAGTATGAAAGCAATCGTTCTCAGTATCCTCTTTGCTCACGCAGTGGCAGCGGCAGACTTCGGAGTTGGCTTCAATCTCAACTTCGACTATGCGTAATTCACGCTTACACCGTGGCCTTGCCCCCAGAAGTCTATACTGATCGCCTTCTAGCACTGCCAGTGTCCATTACGCCAATGGTACTAGCATCGGCATAGCCAAGATCGAAGGGGGGTCCAGTTACAAGCGAATGATGCGCAATCAAGTCTGGGAAATGTCTAGCCAAGATCCATCTGATGTACAGCACGACCTGACGCAGCACATTGCCACGAGCTCAAGAAAGACTAGATCGCAGGGCATTCGCGATCATCTTCCCCCATGGCTTGGTGGTCGTGCGCCTGATGAGCGGACGCAGCTCATAAAACGCATGTTGCAAAGTCTCAGCAGCTCGGCGGAAGCCTTCACCGAAGTCAAGGTGCACGATATCGTTATTGTGCTCCCGGGCTTGCCTTCATCAGAAGTGATCGAAGCAACAAGATCTGCGACAGCTTCCATCGGACTGCGGCTGCCTGTTCTTGGACATTCATGTGCTCCTTCGATGGCCATCTATGCTAACAGATGGGCCAGTCTCGGCCATGGCGAATTCGAAGAGGAGGAGTGTTACAAGTGGCAAGAAAGATTAGTTCTGGCAGTAGATTACAGTCGTGCCGCTCTCACTGGTGTCCTCTACGCCGAAGACTGTTTTGGACTTTTGGAAGGCATTCGCGGGTTTCAAGATACAGACCTTGGGAAAGATGCTGCATGGTCGAAAGGTGACGCCGCTGGAAGAGCAAGTATTGTGGAAATCCTTCGTCAGCTCGTTCGCCTGCCTGTCGTTACTGATCAGGGCAATGTCTTGAATCACATTCACGGCATTACCTTGTCAGGCGAAGCAGGCTACGACAAACAGTTAAGATCGGTTCTGAAAGAGTTTTTCCAAAGTGAAACGGGAACTGCCAACTTCTCTGTCGTAGCCATGCACGACATGTCCATGACCTCCGAAGCCATGGTAGATCCGCTCTTCGCAGGTGCTATGGGATCGGCAGCCATTTGCTGGGAACGGCTCGAATGGTACGAGACGACTCAAGGGAGGCTCGAATTGCGATGATGTATCGTCCTATGGACGCCGCGTCCAGGGCGAATATTTCTCTCGAATTAGTGTATGGTACTAGAGCCACAAATGCAGGACGTAATGAAAATAGCAAACCATCTGTTTTTGACATAGTACATACTGCAGCCACTATAATGAAAGTGCCGCCCCTTACAGCTTACTGTGCATACCTCCTACAGCAACAAACTCAAGCTTTCTCGGCAGTGATGTCACGCGTCCCAACACCGCGCGTGCACCAGAACCACCGAACCACCCCACCGCTCTTCTTCTCGTCTCACCACCATCAGCGCATCTTGCTGCTCGCCTTCTGGCCACCGAGATATGCCGCCCCGCCCGTAGCAGCAGAGCACGCCCGCCATGGCCGATCGCCAGAAGGCCACCGACGGCCCGTCGATCAACTCGCCCGAGGCGTGGGACTACAAAACTCTCCCGGATTGGGACGACGACTTCTACAGAGAAGACGACATCCTTCAGTTCGCCGCTGCCCTTGACGCACCGGCTGTTCTCACCGCATCGCCGTCCGAGGAAGACCTGACACGGTGGGAGAAGCGGCCAGACACCGAGGCTGAGCGTATCACCGCACTCAACGACTGGCGACCGGTGCACCAAAGACAGCTAAGGCGCCCCGGGTCTTCCAAAGCGCGGAACAGCCGGGGGAAACCCAAGAAACAGCCACGTCGCGGACGAGATGAAACAAGAGAAGGTTGGACGTATTCGGTTGCAAAGTACCCGCTCTTGTCCTTCGTCTTTGGCTGGATCACTTTCTTGGGAACGTGCTACGCTTTCACGAGACTCTACATCTGGCTGTACGAGCAATACGTGACTTGGCGAGGGACGCGTGATCGGCTCCGAAAAGCATTGCGAAAACAGGATAGCTACGACGGATGGGTGACCGCTGCAGAAGAGCTGGATCGCCATTTGGGCAATGACAAGTGGAAGGCGGATGATGAGGGGTCTTACTATGATTGGAAGACGATCAGGCAGGTCTTGCGACAGTTACGAGATCTTCGCAGACTCGCAGAAGAAGATGAACAGACCGCTCGTGGACGATCAGAGCGCAATGGAGAGAGGCCTGTTGACCTGTTGAGAAAGGTGCTGGAGTCTTGTGTCAAGACGAACTTTGCGGGCATCGAGAATCCACGTCTATACTCGGAGACTTATTATGGTACCAAAAATCTCCTGCAGAGTTACATCGACGAAACATCTCAATCGCTCAAGTTCATTTTTGCAACCACTCAGCTCAGCGCAGCGGACAAGCGCGCCCTTTCTGATCGTCTATCTGCGAACCTTGGCCGGTCAGCCCTGTGTCTCAGTGGAGGTGCAACTTTCGCCTACTACCATTTCGGTATCGCCAAAGCCCTGCTGGATGCCGACATCTTACCTCCCATCATTACTGGTACGTCCGGAGGCGCTCTTGTAGCAGCTCTGCTCTGCACACGGACGGACGAAGAGCTCAAGAAACTATTGGTTCCGGCCTTGGCCTACAGAATCACAGCTTGCCACGAATCCATTCGCGTGTGGTGGTTTCGATATTGGCGCACAGGTGCTCGTTTCGACTCTGTTGACTGGGCGAAAAGATGTGCTTGGTTCTGCCGCGGTAGTCTGACATTCAAGGAAGCATATCAGCGTACGGGCCGTATATTGAATGTTACCACTGTACCATCTGACCCGCATTCTCCGGCTATCCTGGCGAACCACATTACAGCGCCTGATTGTGTCATCTGGTCAGCTGTCATTGCATCAGCGGTAAGAATATTTCTATTTCAGTTTCTCAAATTTGTTTGCTAATCATCAGAAGGCTGTCCCGGGCATCTTGAATCCCGTCGTCCTAATGCGGAAACTCCCCAGCGGAAAGCTCGAACCTTTTAGCTTTGGTCACAAGTGGAAGGACGGTTCATTGAGAACAGACATACCCTTGAAGAGTTTGAACACACATTTCGGTGTCAATTTCAGCATCGTCTCACAGGTGAATCCACACGTTTCTCTTTGGTTCTTCTCAAATCGCGGCACCGTGGGCCGGCCAGTCACGCATCGCCGAGGGCGAGGATGGCGCGGTGGCTTCTTTGGATCGGCTCTTGAGCAGTTCATCAAGCTCGACCTCAACAAATGGTTGAAAGTGCTCCGTCACCTCGAATTACTCCCTCGACCTCTGGGCCAGGACTGGAGTGAGGTGTTCTTGCAGCGCTTTTCTGGCACTATCACAATCTGGCCAAAGACCAAGATGTCTGACTTTTGGAACATCCTGTCTGATCCTTCCATGCAACGTCTGGCAAGACAAATCCGCGGAGGGCAGTTGGCTACGTGGCCCAAGCTGAAATTTGTCAGTAATCGCATGGCCCTTGAAAAGGTTATTCGTGAAGCGTATATGCAGCACCACTCGACCGAAGAAGAGCAAGTCACGCAGGTGCCAATGCAGGGTCGTCTCCGATCAGTGTTGAGCGAAGAGGACCTCAACTCGCTCCTTTCACAAGCGAGGAAGAATAATGGTCTGGTCGAGGTGCCTGAGGAGCTACTCACTCCGGGACGGGAGCTTGAGAAAATGGACTTTGGAGACTCCACCCAACGAACAGAGTCGCCATCGTTCACCAAGCGGATGTCGAATCTCTGGGGCTCACTGCAGTCATCCACGTCACGCACATCGCTTGACACCGCACAGCAAGGATTCCGGGAGATTCCAGCGCACGCACAAGCCTCTCGTCGCGGCAGTAGTGGTGTTGTTGACGAGTTGGTTCGGCAGTCGAGAGTGTTCTTCGACGACGATGACTATGCGGAAGATACCGAGGCTGCGAGCGAGACTGATGGGGTCGACCATGAAACAGACGATGATGCCGTGGGCAGCAACGATGCACCAGACTCATCGTTCAGCAAATGACTGCCTTGATGTGGAATGCAGTATTTGGCTGGGGTGCACCTGTTAGCACCGCGTGGCACATCTTCGGGTGCTAGTATGCAGGAGGTTCCGGGTTGCGCGCTCTCGCCATTAAGCATCTCCCTGTTTTCTTTGTTTTACCAATCCAACTTGAGAATGATTGACTTGTGAAGCGTTCTAGCGTGCTTCGGTGTATAGAAAAAGACCTGGGCGTAGACATCATTATAATATACTAGTGCGAAACGAGGGCTGTTTCCTCTCCGCGTTTGGCGGAATCATGCGCTTCAAGCCCCGTGTCATGCTTACGCTTTTCCCTTGCTCGATGGGGATGCTGCAAACCACGGTGACTCGATTCACTCGACATGAAGGGTGGACGTCTGTCGTCCGCTTCGCCCGGGCCGCTCTAATGCTCAGAACTCACGAAGTTCTCGCGAATATGCTGTAGGGCCAGGAGCAGCTTGCCCAGTGGGATTTGAACGCTTTCGCCCGTTCCTGCCATTACGGTGTACGCAAGGGCACTGGCTGCCACCTCCCAAGGCCTTCGATCCACGGATGCCATTCCGACAGCCCTCGATCTTGGACTGAGGCTCGACATGGCCTGTAGAAGACGCAGGAGGCGACCTGCTTCTGCTATGCTGTTTGTACAAGTGTCGTGAGGAGGCCTTAGCACAGCACAGCTCCGACCTGTCCACCAGGAGATGTCAAGTTTGCAGTGGTGCTGCCATATCTGAAAAATGAATTACAAGAAGCGCGCTGCTACTTATTGTCAGCTTCTTCACACGCGGCGCAACGATATCTAGTCAGCGGCTTTCGTTGATGTTGGATGAGCAGTGCGTCTGAACCCATCCCCGCTGCCGCTGCAATCAAATTGCACAGAGGCCGATTCGCGACATCTATCCAAAGGGATGCTGTCTTCATTGCTAAGAGCCTGCCGTCAATGTTAGTGCCATGAGCTCGACGGCAAACCGAGATTCAGCAACATTAACGCCATTTCCACGACGCAAATGCCCTTTTTGAGTGCATTCCCATGGTGCTGTCATGGTGTTCCCTGAGCGACGCGAGACTCCACCCACCGCCCAGGACTGTTCGAATGTCTGCCTTGGCAATGTGGCATGGTGTTTCGAACTTCTCACGGAGCCAAGGAGTGCGATCTGCAACGCATCGGTCTTGGTTCAGTCTAAACACAATTCAGACGCCGTTCATTGCCGTTGATTTCCTTTGATAGCATCGCAAGAGACGGCATGGGGGTGTAGCTGAGGGCGTCAGATCGATGACAATCGATGACCTTCACAAGCCTGGCTGTCGATTCCGTTCAGGCATCGACGTTATGGCGCAGCATAAAATCCGTCCACCCTCTGTCATGCAATGCAACGAGCAGGAATGGTCGTGCAATGCCTGTCTTCTCGCTGCTATTTGTTGTACGAAGTAGCAAGATCCAGGCCGTGCTCTGTTGGGAACGGGCAGTTGAACAATGAAGAGGTCCGGACCATGACTTGTCCTCATCATGAACTAGAAAGGTCCACAAGTTCATCATCGATGCCACTTCCAAGGGAGGTAGAAGTTCGGTGCGCTGGTAAGCTGGCGCTTCTGCCCAATGTGCGCAGGGCTCTGCGCACTACTGTGAGCGACTGCATGGTGGGCAAGCAACTAAGCAGCACGATTCGTTTTGGACTGAACGACAATCAGTCTTCTCGCAGCAAATAATCGACACTGGGAACATGCCAGTGATTGAAGACCCCTTCCTGCACCTGCATCGGTAGGGGAAGTTTACCTTTGAAAGTCGTAGGCCAGTGAATATGTTTAAACAGAGCTCAACCGCGCCAGGCGCAACTGAACGACTGATGCAGTGCGAACGATGACCTTCACGCTTCAAGGACAGATGTTCTTGCCAATGAGAGCTCCTCTCAACACTTATGTGAAACATGTCGCTCGTTCGGTGCCGACCAGATCGGTGCATATGCCCAATGCTGACTGCCATAACACGGCAAGCAGACGTCCGCCCGTTGGGTGACCGTATCCGAGGCACGGATGCGCCCAAAGCAAGAAAAAGTGAAGGTTCATGACAGCGGTCCGCTTGCCACAGCAGGGGTGTTGCAGGAGCAGCGCACGTTGATGCGAGCTGTGAATGAGGCATAGTATGAACTCTACGCAGGTGGTGAAGGGGGGCCCGAGGAACTGCCAGGGCAGGGACAGTCGTACTTTCCAGCAGCGGAACGGAAAGTGCGAGACTCGCGGGGCAGGTCCGCGTCGCGATGCCTGTGGAAGATTTGTCTCATCCTCGCGACAGCAAGCACGGTCATGTGTGCCCATAAGCATCAGCATGGCTGACGACATGCAAGCGAGGCCCTGGTGCGGCGGAGATCCTGGGCGATGCCTGCTGCTTCCTGGCCAGGTGGCGGAAGTGGCGATTTCACCACCGGGACGGTGGAGGAGTTTCTGGAAGCCGACCCTCCGACCCTTGCTGCCACGCCCTTTCTCACGCTGCACACAACGACGTTGACTCGCCGGGACTACAGCGGGCGCCGGCGAGGGCACAGTCCGCTACTGTAGGCCGTCGCTGGGAGGCGCTGTGTTTTGCGGCTACGCACCGTAACACCCGGTGGGGAAATACAGTGCCGTTGAGATGATGAGTTATCGCCTTAGGGTTAGAGCGCTGGTGCGAGAAGCAGAGATGCTCCGGGTGAGGTTCACGATTAGATAATCCTCTGCAGCGGGTTAATGTAACGACTAGGATGCGAGCGTCCTAGTTAGCGGCATTCTCGAAGCCGTAGAACACAGGAAGGAAGGTGGAAGGCTGCGTCGATCTCCTCGCGAAGCAGTCCCTCACTTGCTCCGCCCACGGCCCTCGCCCTCGCCCTCGCCCACCAACGACATTCTTCTGCTCGCAACCGCATTCCTCCATCACGACCCCTCCCACATTCCAGCGAGCGTCGTGGTTGCCATTGCGGCGCTGCGATGCCTCACTGCCGATAACCTGCTCATCCTCCCGCCAGCGCACTGCCGCTTCCTATGACCCGCCTACCACCAACTCGACCTGCGGCGACTCGTGCGACCAGCTCGCGTGCCCGGCGCAAAACAGATGGAAGCGAACGATGAGCGTTCTTGTCGGGTCGTCTACTACTGCCCAGGCAGCGCACACCATGTCTGCGAGCTCTACACTGCAGCGCAGCCTCCGGCGCTGACACCCGGCGAGCGCGCATTGCGCGACCCGCTCGCGCACGTCTATCAAAATGTGCGCAAGCTCCTCGACGAGGATGTAGGCAATTTTGAATCAGGTGCGCCGCTTTCCCTCCTCGTGCATCTTCTGTCTGACCGTGTGCAGTCTTTGTGAGCTCTGACCCCGAGCAATGTTTGCAACGACTCGAAACTTTCGCCCACACAAATCCCACCGCAGTCTTGGTTGAGTTCGCCGACACGAGCGCCCACAGTCGCACGTCGGACCCCATCTCTTTCCTGCGGAATCTGGCCCCCGATGTTTCTTCCCAGCGCTTCGGCCGTCAGGTCATGTTGTTTGTACTGTGGGCAGCAGATTCTTCCTCCGACTTCACTCGCTTCTCGGACGACTCTTTCGAGAGCATGTACCTGGACGCTGGCGCGCTGGATACGATGCGCAGTCCTTTGTGCGCGGACGCCGTTCATCGACTCGTTGGCCATGTTAAGGAGGTGACCCGAGCGCCAGCTGACTCCCTCGCTTCCGACATGGCCCGCAAGCTGGTAACGCGCATCGGTAATGCCACAAGACCGCAGCTCGCCTCACATCGCCCTGACGAGATTCTATCGGCTCAGCGTAGGAAGGCGGTCGAGGACGCCGTAGGCCAATGGCACTTTCCCGCTCATGAGTTTGACATGGACGAATTAGCTTACGCAGCGATGATCATGCTCGAAACAGTCCTACAGGACGCCGGTCTGGAGCCCTACCGCTTGCCGCGAGCACAACTCATGACTTTTATCCTCGCAGCGCGACGCGAGTACAAGCATGAGCGCGAAGTGCACTATCACAACTGGAGGCACGCCGTCGATGTGACACAATCGCTGTTCGTCTTCCTGTGCGATGTGCGCTTGTGTTCAGCACCTGTGCGAGACGCATCTCAAAGAAGAGAGCAAGCGCAGCCTAACGCGGTGGAAGCACTCCTCACGCCAACTGAAGCTCTGATTCTCCTTGTGTCAGCGGTCGGACACGATGTGGGACATCCAGGCGTGAACAATGCATTTTTGGTGGCCAGTAAACACCAATTGGCGCATTTGTACAACGACAAATCTGTACTCGAAAACTACCACTGTGCCGCGTACTCGCAGTTGCTGAGGAGGCATTGGCCGCAGCTGAACGGCATCGCGCAGTTTCGAAGCAACATGATCTCCACCATTCTGGCCACCGACATGCAACGACATTTCGAATACATGGGCTATCTGACTGATCTGAGGCAGAAGTTGGAGAAGAGCGATTCGGGGCTGACGGACTGGGGCGACAAGGACAAAACTCACACCAAAGAGCTGGTCATGGCTTTACTGTTGAAAGCAGCAGACATTTCCAATGTCGCCCGTCCCTTTGATATCTCCGCTCAGTGGGCCAAAATTCTCATGCATGAATTTGCGCGACAGGGAGAACTGGAGTTGGAGCTCGAGATTCCTACCTGCTTGTTTGGCGGCCCTCCAGATGAGAATGACCTCCTCGCCGCGGCGCAAAGTCAAAAAGGCTTCATGAACCTATTCGGGTTTCCCCTGTTCAAGGGCATATCCGAAGTAATGCCCAACATTTCATGCACACTGTCGGAATTGCAACACAACAAGGAAGTCTGGGAGCGGCGGATCGTTGACGAGACTGCTCGTCGCGAAGCCAACGGCACCACACGGAGAGCTTCCAAGACATATGGCTCCGTGACGGACTCACAGGTGGAGGAGGCACGCCTGCGCAAAAGGGAGTCCGAACCTGCTGCTGTCCCAACCACAATCCCTCAAACTCCAACGAGTCCTGTCCGACGCCAACCAGGCCTGGAAGCTGGCCCACCAGTCTCGCCTGCACGCCATCCGGCAAGCGAACAACGCCAAAATCTGTCTCTGGGACCGTCTATGGCGGAAGAGAAACGGGCTTCGACACCGGTCCTGTGGCCCAGCGCAATACAGCTATCGCCTACAAGTGGGGGTAGCAGGCGATCGAGCAAAGACGTGGCACTGAACCATATGCATGAGCTGAGCGCTTATGCGCAGCACAATATAGCTGCTGCAGGCTCACGCCGAGGCTCGGCCGACGCTGGTTGGCAGTTGCATCAAAACTACCCAGGTTCGCGACGGGGCAGCAAAGAAGAAAGTCTGACGACTATTCTGGTTACCAGCCAGGGCAGTCCAGCGACTAGAGGGTCGCCGTCGTCGTCCCAAACCAGGATTAGTAAGGCTGGTTCGCCAGCGAAGCGTGGGAGCGTTAAACAGAATGCGGCGCAAGGCTCCGGTGGGACGCGGCACTCGATACCTTCGTCCCGATCGCAGACTACGACGTCGGTAGCAGCTACGACAGATCCACAGTCGCCTTCCACACAGCCCTCGTCACTTGCTCCCACGGAAGACGACATGATGCAGCCGGGAACACAGCACGGCACATTTCTTGCAAGCTCAGCAGCGACAGACGGGTCTTCGGCTGCGCACGAAACTGGTTTGCCGGATAGCCTGGACGGCGCACACCATTCTTCGGCGCCTGCCGCACTGCCTGATACTCCTCCAAGCGAAACAGTGCTGGGGTCGAGTAAGTCAGGCTCGCCCATCGTGTCGAGGGTGGCCAGTGGTGATTCGGCGCTCTCGCGGCTGGATCCGCGCAAGTCAGACCAGCTTCGCGAGTCTCGTAGTCGAAGTCGACTGCGGGGACTGAAGTTCTGGAAGAGGCGGCGTGATCCTCCTGGAAATGAAAACCATGCGTCTGCCGAGAATTCTTCCTGATGACAGAAACGCCATACTTGGCAGGCAGATCCAATGCGGGCGTTGCTGATACAGGTGGCTTTTGTGAGCGTTGTGTTCTACATACAATGACAGCGGGAGACGGTGTTCGGGTAGCGCAGGCGCACTATGTCGGTCTGATTTTGGTGTTGAAGAAGCGATGCTCGTGTTTCGGAGCGAGGGACATATTTACGACTGAGGATGGAAAGGGATGAATGGCGCCGGACTGGGTTGAGACGGGCTAGCTGCAAGTCACTGTGTACAATGGACGAAGGTGCAGAAGGATAGTCGCTCTGTAGATATCCATCGTTGGCAGTATCGTAGAAACGATTCATGCAGTCCACAGAGGCATCTTGAACGACTACAACGACTTGCATGTGGCTGATCCACTTTCCCTGACTTGGCAGATGTGGGCCTCAGGCTGACATGTCGATCTCTCGGCACATTACGTCCAATCTCCTGGAGCTTCTTGAATGTTCAGTTCCGCAACCGCACGACCTCTTTGCCCACATAACGAGCGCGTTGATTGTGCTTTCTCCGCCGGTAGATACACTTGGCAACGCACGGGACGAGTTTACTTTAAGCGGAAACGACGGCGTTGACGGAAGCATCTCCAGCAGCACTCACACGGCTCGACTGAGCAGCATGGACACCGCCAGTCCACCACTGTCGCCCGTGCGACAATATATGGTGTCTCCCCTCGACACGTCCCCATCACGATCCTCGTACCGCGAACATCTCCGTCGACGAACGAGCAGCTTCTCTTCGAATCACGACCGGAGTCCTACCACACCCAAGTCGCGGCACAGATTCAGCAACGCGTCACAATTGTCTGCAGATTTTCCAGGCTCGCCGGTGGATGAAGGTGGCGGCCTTGGAGGAACGGGAAATCTTGCTGATGAGCTCGATCAGCTGGACGAAGACGAAGACTTCGACGAGGGCCCGACTGAAGAGGGCCTCCAGGCTGACGGGGAGGAGCAAAGTCGCGACAGCGGAATCGACGTGAGTTACGCTCAGTCAACGAAGACGCCCAACGCTGGAAGTGGCCAGCATGTACGCAACTTTTCAAAGCCTTTCGGCGGAGGGGATGACGAGCGGTCGCCCACCGAAACCCGAGTATCAGAGCCGCAGGATGACATGGACATTGAGGATAGATTCTCGTTGGAATTGGAAGACCTGATGAACACAATAGCACGCATGACCAGCTATACCTCCACGTCAGAGGATCCGCTCGTTCCTCGAACCATCCTGCAACTGCAGGACCTAGGCAACCAGACTAATCTCGAAGCCGGTGCACATCGACTGACGACTGGCACGAACAGCCTGACCTCGCATCTTTCAACGCAAGCCAAGGCAATGCAGACAACCACGCACAGCCTGTTCCCCGTGGTCGCCGGCTTTGCAGCACCATTGGATCCTGCACTGATTGACGAAACACTTCCTCTGATGGACGCTTTAAAGGAGAGCATACCTCAGCCGGATATTGTGGTTGTCCAAAAGCTTCAGAAACTCGAACGAGAGACAATGGAGGTCATTGCAACTTTGTCTCAACTTACAGACACATTGCAGATGGGCAAACAGATCACCAACTCGGCAGCCAGGCATCTCCGGACAACACAGACCATGGTGGTTGGACTACGACGTGAACGAGAGAGAGCTGAGAATGCCCGAGTGGATCTGCAGCAGAATGGCTGGGTCGAAAAAATTCAAGATAGATGGTGTGGAGGACAGTGCAAGGACATCATATCTGGTTTCGAAGCTCGGTGCGACACGCTGAGAGGAGAGCTGGAAGTCGCCATAAATGCTGGCGCGTGACCAACGATGCTACATTGTACAAGATGGAGCCCTTTTGCTGGGAATGATTGCTGCACAATTTGAGCCTGATACTTCTTGTCAGCGTTTTCAACAGATACCCCGACGGATTGATTGGTTGTTACTTTTGTGGCGTTTTGGGGCTAATGGAGAGGAAAGGAATACTATGCTGACCGGTAGGATCGCATATCACTGGGCTGCTTCAAGCTCGATATACAGTGGAAGACTTGGAATGGGAACGCCTATCAAAGGCACGATAATTTCGGGGGCAATGTAGAGATAGAGGAGTCCGAGAGGCATGGACAGAGGTAGCAACGGAAGTTGGCCTCACAGCGCTTGCAGACAGCAAGGCGCTCGTCGAGAGCTCTCACATGTCTCACGCTTTGGTCGCATGCACAGCAAAGGCGTGGTCGTTCGGCTGATATATCTTTCTCTCTGCACGCTACAATCCAGCGTCGACGCGAATGACGTTGTACGTATACCATCAGGCACAAGATGATGTACGGACGGCCCAGCTGCTGGTTGCCGGCATCACGACCTGCACTCCTGCACATGGCTCCATCTCAAAAAGCTTGAAAAGCTCCGAGTCCGTCGGTCTGCAATGTCGAGGCCGTGGCATGGATGCACGCCAAAGCACGCCGCAGGTCTCGCCAATCGGCACGAGCCACAGACGAGTCTTGGCAGCGCTTGTTCGCCTGATTGGGTGTGGGGTGCGGGCGTCACATCCACACGGCGCTTCGTCTTCAGCTGTCCTTCGCTGTTGGAGGATCTAGCTGCGCTCTGCTGTGATGCGAATGCAGCGGCCAGCCGCGCTCCTGGTCATGCCCATCCATAATGGCCGCACTCGCGCCCCTGTAGCACCTCATCTCTGTTCATGCCAACTTCATCGCCAATGTAAGTGCCTCTGCACGTCCTGGGCCCCCGAGTAGACAGATCCGACGACGACCGCACACCACCTGCAGCCCACGCGTGTCCACGCCCTCAGCCCTCCGAGCTCGCCGGCGGAGGGGACATCAGTCGCGAGCATAACCAGGCCACGGATCGAGCAACTGCGCGAAAGCCGAGGAGAAACTTGCGATTCAAGATGATTATATTCGCAAAGCAATGGCGGACACCGAAGATCTTCGTCTGGCTTCTCATAATCGAGTTTCCGTTGACGGTGGCCTGTCTGGCACTCATGGGCATTGCACAACCGAACAAATACCGCACGAAACTGTGGCAGAATGGCTTCGACAAAGGCTTTAATAGTGCGCCCAACTCAATACTGTACGATTACGCGAACTGGCGACCGGCACATACGCCAACAGTGTGGAGTTCTTAGTAGGTTCCATGGGCGACAACAACACTTGGAAGAATTGTACTGATGTTGTGTAGTATGACCGAGTTTAATGTGGTCATCAGTCTCGTGAGCATGTTCGTCCTACTCGTAAAGAGTGCCACGTTCATCATGCACATTTGGATCCCCGCCTTGAGCGTATTCGCACATGCGCTCTTGGTGGCGCTCTACGCGGTGAGCATCTACAATCAATCAGCGGCGGATATGAGCGATCCGGACCACCCTTCGCCTGGAATGCCATGGTATTTGAGCAAAGGCTGTAGCCATGCGACTCCCGGAAATCGCAGCTACTGCATGCAAGCGCGTGCGAGTTTCGCAGTGGTAATCATAATGCTGTAAGTGCCGACGGAATCCATATCATTTGTAAGAACAGGATAGCTGATTTTTGTAGAACCCTCTTTGTGGTCTACCTCGGCCTCAGTATATGGAGCTGCATACCCACACCTGAGGAGCGAGCGGAGCGAGAAGCTGATCATCGATCGGACTTGGAGATGAAGAAGCTATCGATGTATGGCCTGGACGATGATCTTACGAAGGAGGAGAGGAGGGAACACAATCGACAATTATTCTTGAATCTGCCCAAAACACCGACCGGCTTTGGCACGTATAACAATCCCATGACGCCTCGAACTACTGCTTTTACGCAGCTAAACGGAGCGCCTATGAGCCCGGGTGCGTTACCGCTGCGAGACTTTCATGCTGCGCAAAACGTTGATGGCAGGTGATCGAAAGTGGAGGCTTAGTTCTGTGCAAAGTATGACTGTATATATGATGATCATGAAATGCTTCACGCTGCGAACGTGCCATGAACATGTTCCTTCAGTTGCCGTACTGTTTCCTGTCCAAAACTGTTCGTCTTCAGTTTGAGGTTACTCACCAAAACAGCGCTTCTCGTACATCAGCTCATCGTGCCACACTGAGATCTGCTGATGTTGACCACTTCTGAGCAGCATTGAATCACTGCAGGCGTGGATGATCACGCCCAAAGCACCCCTGTAGGTAGCGCGAAAACCCCACCACGGCTTTTCAGGTGAAGAAGCTTAAACAACGACGTCAAAAACGATCCTTCACCTTCAAAATTTACGGGACAGCACCCTGCACGACACCTTGCCTCGAACCAAGCTTCTGACCAAGCACACGACCACCGCTGCCATCACACTCCGCTTAAAAGGCCGCCGCCAACTCACCCGCGCACCGCAGACACTCCCCGCCCCCGCCTTTGTTGACACACCGCTGCCCACGATCCTTCCTGCTCACATCGGTCTCGGTCTCAAGTGGAAACACTGGTATGCAGTGATCGGCAACTCCCACAAAGGCAGCGTCGTTTCGCGCTGCCATGAGCGCTTGGATACAAACACATAACTGCACAGCTCTGGCGCGTGCTGGAGGGTGACCTCAATAACACAAGGAGGACAAACGAACATGGAAAGTCAGGTTGAGAGCGCCATTGAGCTCGCTTTCAACCCAACCACCGACCAGAACCTCAAGGCACAAGCGTATGAGTTTCTGAATGTCTTGAAACAGGATCCCAACGCGTGGCAAGTCTGCCTCGCGCTCTTCACACAGCAGCCTGCTCCTTCCGAGGTGGTACGGCTTGTCTGCCTAGAGGTCGTCAACAATGCTGTGCAAACACAACGCCTAGACCGCGGTGGTTTGAGCGATGTCAGATACCGCTTGATGGAATATGTTCGTCGACGGTACAGTCCCGGCTCGGCGGAAACAGACACACCAACCATTCAGAACAAAGTCACGCAGACCCTCACTTACCTTTTCACCTCCCTCTACGCCTCAGACTGGACCGAGTTCTTCGACGAGTTTATTGCACTTGCCAGCTCAGGATCGGAAATTGGTGCAGATGGAGCGTATGGTGGTGCAGTCCTGCTGCTGCGAATTCTTGGATCCATTCATGACGAGATTGCCGATGTGATGATTCCAAGGACCCAAGACGAGCAGAGACGCAGTACAGAACTCAAAGACTTGATCCGGGCCAGGGATGTCAACAAGATCGCAACAGTCTGGCAGGAGATTCTGTCCAGATGGAGGCAGCTGGATCTTGCCTTGGTAGAGATGTGCTTGCGGACGATCGCCAAATGGGTCAGCTGGATCGACATATGGCTTGTCATCAATGAACGCATCCAAAGCGCCCTCTTAGAAATTGCCGGCCAGCAGGGAACATTCAGCGCGGACAGCCGAGAGGCAAAAGCACGCGATGCCGCCATTGACACCTTCACTGAAACTGTTGGCAAGAAGATGCAGCCAAACGACAAGATTGAACTTATCAATTACCTCAACTTGGGCTCCATCGTCGGACAGCTCGTTGTCAGTCCTGCGCTCGCGGAACTGCGCTCAACTTCTGATTACGACACCGACCTTGCGGAAACAGTGGCTAAACTGGTGAATAACGTCGTATTCGATGTGGTCAAGGTCCTCGACAACGACAACATTGATGCCCAAACGAGAACGAAGGCCGACGAGCAACTGCAGACATTTGTACCTTATCTGCTACGCTTCTTCGCCGATGAATACGATGAGATCTGTTCGGCCGTGATTCCTTCATTGACAGATCTGCTCACCATGTTTCGCAAACTCAACAAGTCGAAAGGTGGACTTCCTGGTCACTATTCGGCAATGTTGCAGCCGATCTTGGACGCCATCATTGCCAAAATGAAATACGATGATACTGCCAACTGGGGTGACGAGGATGAGCAGACCGACGAAGCTGAATTCCAGGAGCTCAGAAAGCGCCTACATGTCCTGCAGCAGACCGTTGCAGCCGTCGACGAAACCATGTACATGGACACGTTGACTAGGGTTGTGGCAAACACCTTGGGACAACTTGGCTCAGAGGATCGTCCGAACTGGAGGGATCTCGACCTGGCTCTGTTGGAGATGCATCACTTCGGCGAGCTGGCCATCAGAAATGGTGGCTTGTACAGCAAAAGCAAGCCTACTTCCGAGGCCGCTTCGCGATTAGTTGAAATGATGTCGACCCTGGTCGCCTCGGACCTGGCGAGGTATCCGCACCCGGCGGTGCAGCTGCAGTACATGGAATTGTGCGTTCGTTACGTGCAGTTCTTCGAACAAAATGCCACCGGAATTCCCAAAGTGCTCGAGAATTTCGTGACCTTCATCCACAGTGATCAGAATAAGGTCCGACTCCGGTCGTGGTATCTATTCCAGCGCTTTGTCAAACACTTGCGAGCACAGCTGGGCGAGTTCGCCCAGACCATCGTACAGGCTGTCTCTGATCTTTTGACGATCAAAGCGGAGCTTCCAGACGACAAGGATGAGGACGACGACTCTTCGGGCGATGGGATTTCTACTGATGGCGCTTTCCAAAACCAGCTATATCTGTTCGAAGCCATTGGGCAAGTGTCGTCGACGCACAATGTGGCGACACCGACGAAGGTCGCCATCGCGAAACTGGTCATTGAACCGCTCTCACAGGATCTGAACAACCATCTAGCCTCAGCTAGAAACGGAGACGAGAGAGCGATCTTGCAGGTACACCACGTTATCATGGCACTCGGTTCGCTCGCGAACGGATACTCGGATTGGACTCCTGGTGCTCAAGCCAGCACTCCACCACCACCAGAGGTAGCGCAGGAGTTTGAGTCTGCCGGCGAGACAGTGCTGCTTGCACTCGAGAATCTCAAGCACAACTCAGAGCTGCGAGCTGCCGCCCGCCACGCTTTCTCTCGCTTCCTGGGAGTTCTTGGATCGCGCGTGCTGCCACAGCTTCCACGTTGGATTGAAGGTCTCTTGTCATCTGCTTCGTCCAACGACGAGATGGCAATGTTCCTTCGCACCCTGGGCCAAGTCGTTTATGGCTTCAAGACCGAGATCTCTACCATTCTTGACCAGCTGCTAACGCCGCTCCTGCAGCGCGTTTTCACTGGCTTCTCGCAAGAGATCACAGGCACCGACGACGAGATTCAGCTGAAGGAGCTGAGGCGCGAATATCTCAACTTTGTTCTGGTGATCTTGAACCACGATCTCGGCTCTGTGCTCGTTTCGCCTGCGAATCAAGGCATGTTTGATACTTTCGTGGCTTCCATCACGCGCTTCTCCTGCGACACGTCAGATCCTCAGAGCGCACGACTGGCCTTCGCGGTCTTGAATAGAATCACAAGCATCTGGGGCGGTCCGGACATAGCTGTCGGCAGTGATGCAGTCGCCCAGCCAGCCTTGCCAGGCTTCGACACTTTCATTCTCTCGCAGTTTGCACCTCTACCATGGACCCTGGTGTCAAGTCAAGGCTTCAATGCGCAAGACGCGCAAGTGAGGAGTGTGCTTCTCGAAGCTGCAGCGCTGCAATGGACGATTCTGCGTAAGAACGGGATGGCCTACAACACTCAGTTGCAAAACGAATTGCGCAACCTTGGTGCTGGTGACGATGGCATTCAATCTTATCTTACGAGCATAAGCGGAGATGTGCTCGTGTTCAGGAAGTTCTTCAGTACGTTCATTGCTCAGGCGAAGAGGTGAGGCAATGGTTGTGGAATGGTATCAATGCATGCTCATGAGACACTTTTCAAAAAAGCCGTTGAGGGAAATTCAGCATTTTCAGGGCGTGCGGCGACTCAATAGATACCCTGTTGTTGGAGCGTAGATAGCGTATGGCTAGATGAGGCAATGATTGGAACTATGATCTTCAGGCTCACGAGTGCAACTGGAGCCCATGTGCTCGACTACATCTTAGGACCAGACACTCACAATACCCCGTCCATCAGCTACTGCCCGCAACTGACTATTGATCTGCAGCGGGTTGCCTTCGAACACGACAAACTCATCGACATCGTCTTCTTTCTCTTCGATGCCAAGTATATCATAAATGGCCGTCGATGCCAGACCCCAGGCCTCCGTCTCGTTGATCTTGCCGCCGCTATTCGCGTGCACGATCCCAGCTTGCAGAGATAAATCTCTCGCCTCCCAATCCTCATTTACACCAATCGCAACTTTGACGCCGGCGGCGTGTAACACATCCACGGCTGTGCCATTCGTGAGTGGCGCACCGGTCAATGCTCTGCGTTGCTCCCACGTTTCTCTGTAGCTAAAGAGAGGGGCGAGGATGACTCCGACTTTGGCTGCTGCCAATTCTTTGGCGAGAAGGTGTGATTCTGCGCCGCCGAGGATGATGACGCGGATTTTAGTGGAAGAATGTTTGGTTGTGGAGATTGCTTGTTCAATTTCGTGTTTTACGCGCAGTAGGGCGGCGATGGTATCGGCGGAGTGGACGTCGATGACTAGTGGGAGGGTGCCGTTCACCACTTGTGCCAGTGCCGCAGATTCTGGTGAGATTTTCTCGTCGTCCGTCGTGGCTGGAGTCAGTGCGTCAAGGAGTTTCGATCTCAGCTCGGCGATGGCCGTGGAGATGGTAGGCGTCTTTCCTCGCTTGATGTTCGATGTCAAAGGATAGTGGAGCGCAACGTGTTGACGGATGACTGCATGCTCTTCGAGAGGGTTTTTGGCGCCAGTGCGAAATGCGATGCTCAGGCCTTTGTGTTGAGAGCTGCCGAATTTGGGAGCTGTGATACCTCTCGTCACACCGTGATTGTAAGCGGCAGCTAAGTTTCTGCCATCTAGTCGTAGTCCGTCGATGGCGGCTGAGAAGGAATCTTGGTCAAGTGAGCCATCGGACGTGGCTTTCTCGGCGGCAATTTCTTCGAGTCCAAGGAGGCTACCGAATGCGGTCAGAGGGCGAGTGATATATCCGTTCTCCAGTGCGACGATAGTGCTGTCTGCGGATATCTTGTGCTGACATTGACCAATGCACGCGATCTTGCCATCTGCCACGACCAGCTGGAAATCTTTGACAGTAGCGTCGGCTGCTTGCTCCTGCCCAGGGATCTGGATCTTTGAAATGCCCGTGAAGACAATATTGCGTACTTCCTTGGGCTTGTCTTCCAGATCCCGGCTAGTGGATGGTTCCAGTGGTGGACTGAGAGGCTTTTCGAGCTCAATCGGCTCTTTGAACTGTGGTACCCCATCGATAAAGACTTGTAATGGCGTGGCTCCGACACCCAGCGGGTCAGAGTCCCATAAAACAACGTCAGCGTCCAATCCGATTTTGACCTTGCCAATACGCTCAGCAAGACCTAGGAGTTCTGCAGAGGCGCTCGTTACGCCTGCTAGAGCAACATGATACGGTAGCCCATTGCGATATGCTTTGGCAGCCTCGAATAACACATGCTGTGCATTCAGAACGGGGTTGTCACTTACGTACACGGGCGTGATGCCAGCCTCGTGAAGTATCTTTCCAGCCTTCTCGCTCGCCACGTAGGCTTCTGCTTTGTAGTTCATGTTGTCTGCAAAGAGCGCAGCAGCTGGAGCCCGGCCTCCGTATGCTCGCTTCAGCACCTCCGGGATCAGGAAAGTCGAGTGCGCGTGATGAAATGCCCTGACAGGGAACTTGAACTCATTGGTATAGCCAATAAATGATTCGAGGTCGGGAATTGTGTAGCAATGGGTGTTGACCATGACTTGGCCTCGTAGTACGGCGGCCAGAGTCTCCCATTTGAGGTTCTGCGGCAGATGAGATTCCATGTTCTGGACACCAATGGCATCCGCTGCGGCACACCATTCGTCTTGTGAATCCCTGAGAGCTGCAGCCTGGGAATTGATCAGTAAAATGTAAGGCTCACAGCACTGCCGTGCTGTGCAGTAGGATGTTATCCGTCAATGATCGCAGCCACAAGCTAGTGTCGTAGCGAGACCGTAGGCTAATAACTGACATACCTGTTCAAAAGCATGACGAAAATACCATGCCTCTCCCAATCTGCTGTAGGGACCAAAATTTCTTCCGACTTGGCCATATACATTTTTGGCGTTCTCGCCGCATGCCATCTTGATGTATCGATGGTGCTTCTCCGGGTCCGCAAGCAAGTCTTTGATGCTCAATTCTGGTCGACCATCAGGCTTTCCCACGGCATGCTTGATCACGAAGGCCTCGCCTCCAATGTTGTTGCCACTGCCGGGTAGAATCAAGGATGTGGTTACGCCACCAGATTTGATTACCTGTAGACCTCAGTTAGTGCATTTTATATAACAGCACATGGGAAGTTCTACCTGGATTTGATGATCGAGGGGATTGAATCCATCGAGGCTGCGAACGAAGGGAGTTATGTCCTCTGATAGCTCGTTTACATCACCGTTTCCGTTGAGTCCCGGCAATGAATCAACTCCAGTATGTGAGTGCATATCAATGATTCCAGCAGTGACTTGTGTTCCTTTGGCATCAATAAGATCGTAGTCTTTGGGCAAATCCTCTTCCGCGATATGTGCGCTGACCTGCTTGATGAGACCATCTTGAAGGAGTACATCTAGCGCAGTCCAGATGTGTTCTCCAGTGTCAGTATCCGGCTCGCCAGTCCAGACCGTCGCGTTGCGTATCAAGACTGGTCGGGTGCCAGGGACATATCGAGCACTGGCGTTACGATGCCCGGTCGGATATGTTGGCGTGGTCCGCAGCTTGGTACATGTAGCATAATCTTGTTCCAGTTTTTCGGCGGAGAGAAGATGTGATGGGTGTGTTTGGCGAGGCACAGGCCACTTGAGGCATAGAAGGTAGATTACACAAGCAAATGCTGCGTATCTCAGCATTCGGCGTATAGCTCTTCGTCGATGGCCATGCACAGCAGTGCTGTAGCTGGGAAGGCCATCCCAAGCCTCAGCCTTGTCCATTGCAGGTTATGGAACGCTTGTAGAGGTGGTCAGGTTTCCGTTCAAATGTGCATCTGCATTATATTGACGGCGAGAAGACGTATGTTGGCACGGAAATGGCGCCACCAGGACGGTGAAGTTGGGATGAGACAACTGCATTAGAATAGCGGAGACTCATGTGCTTATTGATTAAGCATAAGCTGAAATTTGAACGGGTTTTGATGGAACAGGCCCACGAAGTACCACAAGAAGCTCGGAGAGCACAACCCCCAAGTTGCGCTACTGTTTGCCGATGGTTTTCTGGGTTTGTCCCAATTACAACACCGAAATTTGCTGGCACGTTTACACTGTTCCGTTCGCATTCCTCGCCGCCGATATCATACCGAAAAAGTCCTCCATGAATGCCGTGTCGACATATTACCCAGAGGAGTTCGTCGAGAAATGACCTAAATTCTGCTTGATGCTCCGAAGATGGCCACGATGAAGCAACTCGTTCTCCCCTCGAGGCATATGGATACTCAAGTGTTTCGGATGCCTCGACAGAACGAGCCCGATGACAGTTCAGAATGCAATGGGGTTGAAATTAAGCGCATGAGTTCCGCATGATGTTGATGGCATCGTGATGCAAATCGCTCCTTACGCTGTCGCTCTGGAGAGTCATTCGCGAGTGGGTGGAAGAGAGGACGGTGCAGCCCTCCAGCCGTTCCTCGTCATGCGTTGCTCGGGATACCCGCCAGGTTGCGAGAGGAGTTTCAACCTTTCCTGTCGTACGTCGAAAGCTAACATTCTCAGCTCCGAAGCAGGATCAGGGCCACGATGCACAGTGTCAAGCCTCTGCCCTACGCCCAGGACATTCTGCAGGGCCATGGCGAACTGCTCTTCATCTACATCATCGGCACTGACGCTGCCAATCTGGAAGCGCAGGCCAGGACTTTGGGTATCCAAAACCTGCAGCGCTGCGATGATGTCGCTCTTTTGAGACCATCTGCCAGTGTTGGTCGAATCGCACCAGCTCACGACCACTGTCCGTAAGTGAGTGGCATTCGACAAGACTTGACATGCTCTGGTCGCCCGGCGCTTGATTTCGGTGCAGAATGACTCCAGGCCAAAGCTCGGGTAGCTCTGGAGGAGCAGGACGTCACAAAAGAAGACGAGCTCGACTTTCGTGATCAATCGCAGGCTGGAACTTTGCTCCAGTTTCCGCAGATCCGGATCAACACGGAAGAAGTTGAAGGCATGGCTGAAGACCAGCTTCCACGTGGAAATGGAGTAGAAGTAGTCGAGGATCTCGGCAGTCAGGGCAGGGTGGATGTTTAGGAGCGGTCGCGAAGGTGGACGGTGATCGACGGACGTGATGCCGACCGAGGGTAGCGGATGCGACACGTTCTCGCGCGGCAACAGGTACGAGTAGATGTGCTGGCGCAGCTCGAGCGGCAGACGCAGCAACGGCGGTGGCAATGGGATGGAGTTGCTGGTGGCGGTGGTGCTGGATGAGGGGGAACAGGCCATGGGCGGTGGCAGAGCGTGTGCGTGAGGTGGATGAGACGGCTACGGTGGACGTGGTTTGGGAGACTGCACGAGCGTAGCTACAATGGCCTGCTGCTCCTGCTGCATGGCAGCTGACCTGCAGCAGTGCAGCTCCTTCTGACATGACCTCTGCTGATGACATTGGCCCGCGGCGGGTGATGACGATCGTGGGGACGAGGCTTGGCATGTCGCGTCGACCCGGCACGACGCGCCTGTTTCTGTCCACGCTGCTCTGCTCTCCTCCGCTCCACCACGCACCATGCAGCACTGCATGGAACATGTCCGTCTCTCATGACGCCGCCTTCCCCGTCACCACCACTGCTATTCCCATTACCACCCCGCAGAAGCGCCGGCGAGACGAGCTCGACGACTCCCGAATCGACATTGACCGCCGGCCCATCATTGTGCACGCCTGTACTGCCGATGCTCCAACGCCTTCCCTCGTCCTCACGCCGCAATGTCTGTTGTCGCGTGCCCAGCTGCCGATAGCATACCTTGACCCTGCTCAGGACTGTCGCCGACTGTTCACCGCCCATGTCCACCTGCTCGAGACCGGTCAAGAATTCTACAACAATACCGCTCTTCTGCTGGTGGAGGATGAAGCGGACCATTCGCTGTACACCATTGAACGTGTGCAGACTCGTAAATATGCTCTGTGTCGTCTGACGAGATCCGTCGCCCTTGAGGAGCTACTCGCTCTTCCTCCACTTGAGACAGAAGCTGGCGCCCCGGCTAAGAAGCGATGTGTACCTCAATCAGGCGGCAAGGACCAGTCATGGTGGGCGACGGCCGCAGTGGGCGCACCATCCTGTTCCACGTACGCCAGTGAGCAGATTCCGAAGCTTTCGATGCAGCCGCAAGGTCCTTCGCCTTTCGTTCGAGAAGAGGTACCACTGGCAGACCAGGAATCTTTAGCGTGCATAGAAGCGCCCGTCCCGGAAGTGATACCGACGGCGAACTTTGAGCAGACCTTGGAGGACTTGTCGAAACACTATCTGGACGCTCTATACCTGTCGAGGACGACGCTGGCATACTTCGTCAAGGGACCTCTTGCGCGAGCACGAGCTGCACTATCTTCGCAACCAGCAGCCCTCATTGCTTTCCTGCGTGGAGCCATGCTGAACCCCACCAGCATGGATAAGAAGTTCCGCGATGTCCTGGCCGGCATTGTCAAAGATATCTCTGTACTAGACACGCCTACTACTCTGTCCAAGTCACGGAGGAAGAAGAAGTGGCGATCGAAGCGTGACAAGCATGGTTTATTCGTGGACGAGAAGGAATATATCGAGGGATGGTGGCGAAAACACGATGAGGACATGCAAACACCACTGACGAACGAGACGAATGAGGCTCTGCTGAAGCGCCGTTTGCAAGTGGTGCGCAACCGAGAGACATTACTGCAAGTTGTAGTGGCCATGGAGGTTCTGGCTCTAGAACAAGTTGCTGCAGCATGTTCTGAAGATCCTCCCATCGCAGTGCGGAGCGAGGATCCGCCTGGAAACAATGGTGAAATTGGCTCAAAAGATAAGAAGCAACGGAAGAAGAAGGAGATCGATGCTCATGCCAGCTTGGACACTCTCGTCGAACGACTGAACATCTTCCACACCGTTGAAGCTTCGCCAGTGAAGACGAAAGATGGTGAGAGCTGCAGCGCTAATGCGGACACAAAGGATGAACTCAAGACCTTTGCCGCTGAGGTTATCATACCCTTCTTTGCCTCTCGCATCTTCGATATTGCGAACTCTGTCAGCAAGAAGCTCGGCGGGCCCAGTGCTTCACGGCCGCGCGAGAAGAGTTCAGTGAAGGCACCACGGAAGCCTGGTGAACCCACTGTCCGCCAGCCGCCTGAAAAGAAACCTAGGAAGCCGCTCGGCCGCACGTCTACTGACACTTTGAACCACGTTGGAAGGCAGCCTCCTGCTCTGATGCGCTCCTCTACGGACAAAGATGCACTGGCTCCGCTCATCAAAAGGGAGAGGAGCGAGACCCCATCTCTGCACGATATCGCGGCCGCTAAGACTGCCGCAACAGTGTCCAGAAAGAAACCGACTGGTCTTGATCACTATACCGCTAAGCATCGACAGATAGACTTGTCGGCAATGTCGCAGGCCAACCAGGCAAAGATCCGCAAGAACAAGGACCTTGAGGAGAAAATCTTGAAGGATGCGCTCAATGGTATAAGGAAACCGAACAGAGCACTTGCGACGGAAGAGACGGCCAGGAATGCAGATGAGAGCTTCGCGCGAGCACTGGCCAGGAGCAAGCCGACAAAGTCGCAAACACAACGCAGCATGTCGGCCAAGGACAGCACCAGGATCACTGCCACGCCCAGACATGTAAAAGCGACACCAGCTGGCCGCCGTCAGTCGCACAATATGCCGGAAGTACGGTCTGGTTCGACGACAGCAGTGCCTTCGTCAGCCATCGGTAACGCTGCCGACGCATATGTGCCGGGCAGCACTTTTGCTGTTCCACAAACCGGCCATAGAGATAGACACAAAGACGTTGCGGAGACGCCGTCCCGCGGCTTTGCGAGATTTATGCCATCTGGCCTTGCTCGAGCGCCCGGTACACTGATAGAGTCGCCAACACTCAGTCGTAGCGCACCTATATCAGCGACTCCACTACGTCCGCTACGTATGCCCGCACTTACAGAGACCCCTCTGGCAGAACAGGGCACAGAACTCGCGCGCCTTGGGACTACGAGCCATACTTCTCTAGCGTTGTCGGATCAGCATGACGACTCCGGGATTGGACTCGAGAGCCCAGGAATGAGGAACAAACCCTCCATATACGACGCACTGGGATGGAACGAGGATTACGACGAACTTGCATAGCGTAGCGTTATGTCACATTGTTTGCAGGTTCAATGCATAGCATGCTTTCCGGCACACGAGTGCAGTCTGAACCAGAGATGTATTTCCCAACAGCAACGAATCGCGGTATCATCATCCTCGCAGTGCTAATTCTCTAGTGATCAAGCGTCATGTAGTGCTTCGGTTGTCCGGTAAGGTCATGTAGTGATCATCGAAGTCTTGTCTTCCAAGGGAGAGCGACTCGCGAAGCTTATGACAGAAATTCGAGCCTCGGCTGCTGACTGCTGCACATGTGCCTCCGCGCCGAACCCCAGGTCCTGATCCTACGCGCTAGCGTGGTTGCATATTGTCTACAGTACTTGATGTACACATAACCCGTCGGAGTGTCTGACTGAGTATCATTTGATCATCGACAATCATCGTTCAAAGACAGCTCGGACAGGCTGCAACATCACGCTTTGAAAGCATTGTGCTCGACAATCAGTGATCACGACATTGATCCGACCAGGATTCGCTGCAATGTCCAAACAGCAGAGCGAACGGGCCTTTGGCAACCTTGCACCATGGAGTGAGCCTGCGTGGTCTCATGGCATTCCATCGCCATATTACAACGAGTCACACAAGAAGTATCGAAATGCTCTCCGCGAATATGTGAACACGCACATTCTACCTGATGCATTAGATTGGGTGCGGCCATCAATTGTTCAGCCTTAGGAGTCTTGTGCTGACTGTCAGCAGGAAGAAGCTGGAGGCGCACCAGAACCAAGCCGACTTCAATGGGCTAAGTCAGGATTCGCTTTCTCGGATGTCCCAATCCAATACAGGCCTAAAGATATTCCGTTCCCTGGAGGCATTCCTGTCGACAAGCTAGACGCTTTCCATTTGCTGATCTCGACCGACGAAACTTCACGAGTTGAGGGTGGTGTCACATCTTCTCTGGGCGGCGGATCGGTTATTGGCATTCCGCCAGTGATCCATCATGGCACGGAGGCACAGAAACAAAAGTGGCTACCAGGATTATTCACACAAGAAACGTCTTTCTGCTTGGGTATCACGGAGCCTAGGTGAGTATTTGTCGTCAGCATATTCTATCACGCTACTATGCTAATGTTTGCTTCGACGCAAAGTGGCGGCTCCGACGTGGCCAATATTCAGACAACAGCTGAGAAGACGCCGGATGGCAAGTTCTATATCGTCAACGGCTGGAAGAAATGGATCACCGGTGCTCCCTGGGCAACACATATGACCACCGCAGTGCGAACCGGCGGACCCGGCTTGAAGGGTATCTCTGTGGTCGTGATAGATGTGAAGTCACCTGGCGTTTCAATGAGAAGAATACCCAATAGCGGCCAAAAAGCTGGAGGCGCGTCACTAGTCGAGCTCGATGATGTGAAAGTGCCAGTAGAAAACCTTTTAGGAAAAGAGAACGAAGGCTTCAAAGTGATCATGGTTAACTTCAACAGAGAGCGGTATATCATGGCCGTGGGCTGCAACCGGAAAGCCAGGACTTGCCTAGCGCACGCATTCGACTACGCGAACAAGCGTGAGACGTTTGGGAAGAAATTGATCGAGAACCAAATCATCGCTCACAAGTTCTCGACCCTGGCGAGATATATCGAGAGCCACTGGGCTTGGCTTGAGCAGATCGCATATGCTGTTCAAGTCTCGCCGTATGGTTGGCAGGATCCGGATGTGGCAGGGAGAATAGCATTGGCCAAGGTGCAAGGAGGACGAATTCAGGAAATGGCGAACCGCGAAGCGCAGCAGGTCTTTGGAGGAGCTGGGTATCAGAAGGGAGGTCCAGGCGCTGTTGTGGAACAAATGAGTCGCGATCTGAGAATGATGGTTGTGGGAGGAGGTTCGGAAGAAATTATCAGCGATTTGGCTGTCAGGCAAGAAACTGTTCTTGCTAAGAGGCGAGGATGGAAATTGTAGTATAGCGACCAATTGACAAGTCAGCCCTATGTATCAAGTTTACACGTCCGGTATGCGATGCTCGTTCAATCTGTATAAGAATTTTGTCGTGGAGAAAGAGAAAACCTGCTTGCCTGCTTCATGCTTGATATCCGTACCTCGACTTTTGCTCGTGGCTTTGTGGCGCGTGGAAATGGACGACTTTGCCGATCAGCAGACCTGTGCTTTCCGCTCTTCTACACCTCACACAACACGACCTTCAATGTCTTAGTCAGACCGAGATAGTGCGCCATGGGAGCAGATCAGAACGCTGCGTGGAGCAACGGACCGGCGTTGACTGCATCTCTGTTGAAGAAAAGACATTGACTGGGGTATACCACTCCACAACAAGAACTATGGACAGCGCCAACCTGAAGTTGTGCCTGGACGAGAAGCGCAGGCTGTACTGCTCTCGAACGGACCGCGTGCGCCGGGTAGAGGATTCCTGGATGTCCAAGTTGGATGATGAGGCCCCAGTATCATCACTCTCAATCCCGGGCACCCACGACTCTGCAGCGTACACGCAACCATGGCCATTCGTCGCCACACAAAACATGGACTTTGCACAACAGCTTGATTCTGGCATTCGATACTTTGACCTCCGTTGTGGTTTGGTGCACGATGTTGCGGAGATGGTCCATGGCTCGTACCTCTTACGGCTGAAACTCCACGATGTATTGCGCGTACTGTATGAATGGTTGGACGAGCATTTGACAGAAGGACTGGTCGTGCAAATCAAGGAAGACAGAAAGGCGGAGCAATCCAGTATGCATTTCGCGCAAGCGATTTATGAGAATATTTCGGCACGACCTGAGCGCTGGCGCACAGCTAACACTACGCCCTGTGTCGGAGAGCTGAGAGGCAAAATTCAACTATTGAGACGCTACAACGTTCCGAGACTTATGGCGTTTGGTATTGATGTTACTGCATGGCAGGTAAGTTCATCTCAACTCCATGTACCATCATGTGCGAATGAATCTAATGATTGCAGGATAACCCCAGTACACCCTTCACAATCCACACGCAGCATGAAGTTCAACTCACCATCCAAGATCACTACAGCTTCTCAGAACCCCTCTCCCTGCCAAATCTGATCACCAGTAAAGGCGGAGACGTATCCGGCTTGTTAGAGAAAGCAACGAGTGATCTAGATCCGGATCACTGGTACATCAACTTCACCAGTGCTTTCGAATTCAATCTGTACTATCAGTTGACGCCGCGGGCCATTGCCATTGGTGGATACTATGGCTTCCACTGGGAAGAAGGCATCAATCCAAGGCTGCGGAACTATCTAAATCTACGCCCTGGAAAGCGACGATTGGGCATCGTTGCAATGGATTTTCCGCAGGCTGGAAGTGGGGATCTCATTCCAATGATTATTCAATCGAATTTTACGACTCCTGAATCAATTTGGAGAAGGTTCGTAGTTGTACTTCTTGTTCTGCTGGCCTTGCTTACGATCTTGATCTGGGCAAGCAAGCACAAAATGTATATATTGCTCTCGTGCAGTTCACATAAACCTGTACAAGATGTATAGTTCATCGTCGCCGCTTCGGATCCAGTAGCAACTGCACGATCATTCTCATTGGCATGGAGATCTCGCGGGTGATCGGCCTTAGATGGGCGACGAACGCGAGCTGCAGGACGGAAGGTAACTCAGTGGATTGCACAAGCACTTTCACGTCTGATGGAATATATTTCTATCGCTACGTCTATACACTCATGGTATTCGTCAGCCATCACAGCTTCGATTTACCTTCCAGTAATGACAACCCCGTAATCTTTTCCAATTCTTTAACAGCCAAATCTGCTCTGCCCAATTGCACCTTCACAGTCTTCATACCAAGCTTCTTCGCCGTCCTCAAATTCGTCCCAATATCGTCAAAGAAGGTAATGTCTTGTGGTCTCACGCCCTTCCCAAGCTCATTCAATTTGACATGCTCATGTAATCTCGTAATCGCATATTTGTAAATCTCCTCATCAGGTTTCCTCAACCCAACATGTGCGGAGCTAACAAAAATGTCAAACACGCCTTTCAATTCCTTATTCTGTTTGCCCTCCGGCGTAGTCTCATCCGTGAGCGGATGTCCAGGCGGGAAAATTGATGTATTACTCAATGCACCCAGTATCAATTTTCCTTTGCGATCTCCATCTGCGGCTTTCCGTAACTTTTGCAGAGCCGGCCACATGTACGGGTCGGGCTCTCGAGCGACTGTCATCATTCGCCAGTACAGCCATTCGACATCGATTTCTGGGACTGGTGGGACTTGGTATGCTGCTTCTTCTGCAGCTTGTCCTTTGCTCACATTGCGAGTTTTGGCGATTGAACGAGCGTAGTATTCGCGCCAGCGCTTCTCATTGGAGAGGTCTGCTTTGAAGAGGCGGAAGAATTCGGCGTCGAGGAGGATGTCGCCGCGTTCGATCTTGGACCAGGCGCCGGTGGGTCCTGATGCGGAGATGGCGTGGTTGATGTATCCTAGCGGTATGCCTTTGGACTTTTCGTAATCAAGAATAGCCTGAAATGGTGAGACGACCTGGGAGCTGTTAGAGTATATTCGCTTGCCATTCCAAACCTCCGCGCAGCTGTTCTTACGCACGCAGACGCCGCCTATGTCGAAGAGTAGGACTTGAGGATAGTCCGACATTGTGTTTAGCTTTGCGGATGTGCTATTGGCGACGTGATGGAAATCATACGGATTCAAGAGAAGTTGGAAGTGTACACTACTACCGTCTGCTCCTTGTTCTCCAATCACAGTGGACTATGTATGCGGTCGAAACTACTGACATGGTGGTGATTGCAGCCGCGGGTGAAGCGAAGTGGGTATCGCACCTGAACCGAGGCTGTTAAGTTCTACTCTAACTTACTCTAACGCGTCAACACGTGACGAGTGGTCCTCAAGGCTCTATGGACTTCTACGTGTGCGACCAATTGTGCGGAGTATCATCCCAAACGCCTTTTGCATATCTATGTCGTCTTTGGTTGTCGAGCCAATGACCATGGTTGTGGCGGTCTGCATACACTATGCTCATACAGCTTCCTGGTTTATGAAACCAGTGAATTAACCCTTCGTCCTGCAGCGGTGGTTGCTGTTCCTGATGTCAAGAGAACATTGAATCAATCGCAGTGGACTTCCACATTCCGGGCCAATAGCACCGTACGACTGCGGAGTTATATCGATCTTGATTCTCCTGATGCATCTCTCGAGTGTTCCTCTCGCGTCCCTTCAGTATTTTGATATCAGTGATAGATCACCAGCATTATGCGTCCTCAGCAGGTACACGTGCCTCCATTTGAGTAGACCTCTTCAATCCAGACCGAAAGTGGCACATCTGGAAACTGGACTGCATTCGACCCACCAGAGTGAAACTTCTGAAGTATATGTCTTTCATGGGACTCGTCACATGCAAATAGCAAGGTTTGATGCTAAGTGTCGGAGGTTCTCGACGTCGTCTGCCATGATTCTTCGATGCTGGTCGGTAGCATGCGTACTGGGCCGCTCACTGGTGACAAGCAATATTTCCTAGTCCTCGACCAATCCGGAGGGCGCGGTGTTCGAGTAGAAGTAGAAGTGTCTGCCCGCTCTGTGGCGGCAACGACGGTAAAGGGAATGCGTCGTTAGGCTTCTCCCAAGACTGTGTGCTAACGTGGACGGCGAGCAGTGAGCCTGTCGTTGCAGCTGTTTGGTCACCAACATTGGCATCAGTTACCCGGTGCCGCTGATGTTGAGTCTTGCATAAGGGATATCTGCTTTCGTTCGTGTAACCGGCGTACCATCCTTTGCAATGGTCAAGGCCAGACCTCCTTCGCTCAGCGCACCAAAGCGCCAGTTGTGGTGTGTCACTTGTGAAGTTCTTTCCGAAGTCTGATCAGATTCGACGCTGGCAGGGAGCGCGCCGAACACGATGTCACCGGGCTCCTTGTGACGTACATCGTCTACCAAGTCCGCATTGGAACCCGTTTCCCATTCGCTCGGGGTGACTAGGAAAAACACAATGCTCTCGCCCTCACGGGTCACTTCGCCCAAAGCTTGCTTTCGTCCACTGGCGAGCATCTCTTCAGCGCTATCGCCGTCGAAGGTGAAATCCCATCCTTGATCTCTGCGAAGTTCACGCGTGCTGTATTGTGAATCTGGGTCGAGACTCAACAGACCGGCTTTCTTTCCCCAGCCTCCGCCCCCTGACAAGACCCTACACAGTCTGGCTCCTGAGACGAGGGTAGGAAGCAAATCGTCACGTGGCGACGAGCTCATCAATCCGCGCGAGCCATCGGCAGCCCAAATACCTTCGATTGACTTGGAGTCAAGCCTTTGCAGCGCTGTAGATAAAGCTTCCGCGGCAGCACGAGGATCACCTAGCTCCGGAGGAAGGATGAGTGCCCACACCTGAACCGCTTCAGGAGCTTTTTGCTTGCTAGCGAAATAGCTGGACACAGCAGCTTCCAGTTCCTGCGAAGCCGAGATGATCTTTGAGCCTGATTCTGGCGCAGCTAGCTTTCTAACAATGTTTCCCATTGAGCTGACAACCTGTCGTGGGACCGTGAGCGGCAGTAACTGCGCTTGCAATTTTATGTTTCCTTGGCCAAGCGTGTCTGGCAAGCTGATGTGAGCAGATTCCAGGCGCTGAGAAGCCTGCTTACGCAGCTGTCCACTCAGTGGATCAAATTGATATCGTATGTGGAGCAAGGTGGATGGCATTCCGGTGGTAAAAATGGTCTGCGCCAGCGGAAGCTGAGCATCTACGCGACAAGAATCACCATGCCTCATCGCGAACGACATCGAGCCTGGCTTGGTAGTGCTCGACTGCAGTGGCGTTTGCGCCTCAAGGAGTGATTGCAGCGGGTCAGTGACAAGGGCATATGCAATGCCTTCCACGCCAGACGGGGGACCTCCTGGCGCGGGCAATCGGTCGACCACGGCAACGACGGCATCGAGTGGCTTTGAGGCAGTAGGATTGGCAGAGAAGCGCTGCAACACTTTCAAAGGGAAGTTTGGGTCTAGCGCATGCCTCGCGAACGACGAAGACACGAGCAGAGACAGCAGGGATGGCGTCGCGCTCACTTGGACAGGCTTGCCGCGAGCTGCAGGTTCTATTTTGGCGATGATCTCGTCGATGCTGGTTTCCTGGGAGGATGGAGCAGCAACAGTGCCCATGAAGACGCCATGGCTGGTCGAGGGGTGAGGGTGCGGAAGTCCTGACGCTGTGCTCTGCTGCAGACGCACCGCTGCACTAAGGCACCTTCGCGGCGAATGGCGGGGATGCTGGACCAGTGCCCGCCATGTCGCAGCTCGCGTGGGCCTTGTGATGGTGGGAGAGAGAAGCATGGGACGCTGCCTGGCGGTGTTGCAGCTGGGGCCGGTGGTGTCGTCGGAGGAGGGTTGGTGGACTTCAGATGGATTTATAGCCAATGTCTGTTTCATGTGATGACGCTCTCGACGCGCTTCCGTGCCCCTGTACGCTAGCGCAACTCTATTCGAGACACTTTGTGCTCTTCCACTTCTCACCACCGAGCGGAAGTGTGCTGCTCTGCTGTACAGCCTCGACATCCTCCTCGCACATATCGCCCGCCGCCACCACAGCAAGCCGATGCGCTGGTCCGCACCGGCAGACTGCTTCCACCGCCGCAGCCGCTCACGAACCCCCCCTCCGTCTCCGCCATGGCCGTCTCACGCTCATTACGGAGGAATCACACCATCACCTATGTGCTCTCGGCGATGCTGGGAGTCGGGTTTCTGTGGTTCCTCTTTGGCGATAGCACCACGATGCCCTCGATATCGACTGCACCGCGGCAACTGCTAAAAAGTAAAGACGCCGCATCGAATGCGCTGTCTCCGCCCTCATTGCCCTTTCGCAAGCCTGCCAGCTTGGGCCCGAACGAAGTAGCACCTCCGCCGCCCGTGGTGCACTATCACATGAACAACGTGACCGCGACCGCGGACCCCATAGGCAACCGCGAGTCCATCCTCATCCTGACCCCTCTGGCCCGCTTCTACCAGGAATATTGGGACAATCTGGTCAAGCTGTCATATCCTCATGATTTAATTTCTCTGGGTTTCATTATACCCAAGGGCCGTGAAGGCAACATAGCAACGCAACAATTACAAGATAGGATATCAAAAACACAGGCGCCGACGAATAAGAATCGCTTTGCCTCTATCACCATTTTGCGACAGGACAGCGAACCACCGACCGCCCAGACCGAGTCGGAGCGGCATGCCATGGCTGCACAGAAAGAGCGACGGGCTGCCATGAGCAAGGCAAGGAACAGCTTACTCTTCACCACGTTGGGCCCCACCACATCTTGGGTATTATGGTTGGACAGCGACATTGTAGAGACACCGCCGAGCCTGATTCAAGATCTGGCGTCACACGATAAGCCCATCATCGTGCCAAATTGCTATCAGCGGTATTATAACAAAGAGAAGGATGCGCAAGATGTCCGACCTTACGACTACAACAGCTGGCAGGACTCGGAGATTGCGAAGGGGCTCGCGGATAAAATGGGCCCGGATGAGATTCTGCTCGAGGGCTACGCCGAAATGGCTACGTACAGATCGCTCATGGCGAAACTGGCTGGTGAGTATCATCAATTGTGTCCTGCGTGCGAATACTGACGCTGGGTATTTCAGATCTCAACGGAGACCCGCAAAAGGAAATGGAATTGGACGGAGTTGGCGGCACTGCTCTTCTCGTCAAGGGAGATGTTCACAGGGACGGCGCAATGTTTCCGCCTTTCCCATTTTACCACTTGATTGAAACCGAGGGCTTTGCTAAAATGGCCCGTAGGCTGGGCTGGAAGTCATGGGGACTGCCCAATTATTTTGTCGGTCCCTCCTATTCCTTCTTTACCACGGACATACTAACGCAGCCACAGGTATACCACTACAACGAATGAGGCATATGCAGTGTATTGGCGTGGAGTCTCGGCGCCCCGGCGAGGGCATATATAGCATAGAGCATAGCGAGGGGTTGCTTGCGTTTGTTCGTGGGTTCAAATTTTCGCTGACCGCATCACAAAATGGTCGGCCCCCACTGCAGTCAAAGTTAGAGACATTCGCTGTATCACCTACTCGTGCAGAGGCTACCAGCGCGCAGCGTCCTGGTGGAACCGCATTCAGGCCGATGCAGAAAAACAGCAGAAGGGGTAACCCAGCTTCGGCAACATCCGCAGACGCTGCCAGGCCACAGATACCTCAACAGCGAGTCTCCGCGAAGTGAGGGTGCTGAGCAATGGGGTCGAGCATCAGGTGTTTACCCTTTCCTTCGCGGATATAAGCCATTCGTGGGAATATGCTGGAGGTCGTATGGCGAAGCCTTCCTCACAGGCACTAGATGGCCTCTATCTGTCGTCCGAGTTCCCTCAAAATCCATCATCGATGCCTTCCTTCTTCTCCTTTTCCAACCTCTTCACATTGATGTCCCACCACCACTGATTGGCGCCATCCCTTTTCTCATTCTTCTTATCCTCCTCGCTCTCATCCCAAGGCTTGGGGCTCAAGATGTAATGCACATTCTTCACCCTATCGTCTCTCCATATTGCGTCGTGCACGCCTTTCCACCGTAACGTCTTGAGCGCATTGTAGGTGTATGGCAAAGCGACCCAGCGCCCATAGAACAAATCTCCTAGCAAGGATTGATCTGCGAAATCATATTGCATGATCGAAGGGTCATCAAGACGCTTCAGAATCAGATTGTACACATCATTTGACGGTACGACCACCTGCAGGCCGCCATTTGGCATCGCGAGACCCGCAGCAGGTGGTGCTCCGGCTTCTTGCGCAGCATCCGGGGTCGAATGTTGGGAAGTGAAAGCGCAGTTCTCAGGAATCCAATCTTTGGGGTAATGTGGTTTCTTCAGCGGATTGCAGACACAGGCATGGCTGGCTGCGAAGACCCGGTCTCCCAATCCTGCGCGATCAGCACCGTCGAGTGGAATGTCCATCAACTCGTCCATGTTCTGTAGCACCAGCATATCGCTATCGAGCTGTACGACGCGCTCATATTCGGTGAGGCTGAAGGGCGTGAGTTTGGACCAGCAGTCGTAGAAGCGAGGGTCGTTGCTGTAATCCTTGGACGACGTTGGGAGCAGGTAGTTGACGCGCTGCTTAGGAATTCGGCGGGCATCGAGTGCTGCATGGCCCTCGGGTGGGAAGGTATCGGTATACAAGGCGACGAGCGGATACTTCGACCCAGCGAATTTGAGCGATGCGTCGAGTGTGAGCAGACCGGAGAGATAAGCCGTGTTGGTGATGAGGGTCGTCCAGACCTTGTCGCTGTCCACGACACGCTTTGGCTTTGCATTCACGTGGTCGGCCATGGTGGTGGGGGAGTCTCCGTGCACGGCGACCTCGATGGTCGCTGCTGTGAAGACGGCATGTTTTGTTGTTGACGTGATGGATTATTTTAGTCTGATCCAAACGTAAAATCGGCGCCGTCGATGCAGCCCGGAGATCGCCCATTACCTCCGAACCACATCTCGCACTACAACATCAGTCTCATTTCATTCTGCTAACTTGGAAACAGCGATTGCCGCTGTCAAGGTCATGCTTGGATCGAGGCTCTCCACACTACTCCGCACCTCATGTCTGCAGATGCGGTGAAGAATGACTCTTCTCCGCCTCGGCGAATAGCTCCCAATGATGCGATTACTGAAACAGTGGTCGATCAAAAGGGCGGGAATTGGAAAGGATTCGTCGCTGGCGTGTTCAGTGGAATCACAAAGTTGGCAGTCGGGTACGAAAGTCGGACTCCAAACCATGCGCCCACTTGACTGATGCACACGCCAGCCATCCTTTTGATACGATCAAAGTACGACTACAAACTTCCACCCATGACCAATTCAAGGGACCAGTTGATGCCCTGATGCAGACACTGCGGAAAGAGGGCATCAATGGCATCTACAAGGGCGCTACTCCGCCTCTTATCGGCTGGATGTGCATGGATTCGCTGATGTTAGGCTCCCTAACACTCTATCGACGGCTTTTGAATGAGAATGTTTTCCAGCCGTATTTTGTCAAGCAGGCTCGTTTGTCCCAACGGAGTGTTGATTTGGGGCAGAGTAAGCTACCCGCATTCGGTCATGGTATCGCTGGAATGGCAGCTGGATGGACTGTGTCCTTCGTTGCGGCACCAGTCGAGCATATCAAAGCAAGACTGCAAGTGCAGTACCAGGCCGACAAATCGAAGAGGCAGTATGCTGGGCCGATCGACTGTGCGAAGAAGATATATGGCGGCCATGGTGAGTATCGTGGCGTAAGTCGCATCCGGAAACGTGCTAACCGAGTCTCTCCGCTTGATAGGAGTGCGAGGACTGTACCACGGCTTGCTAGCGACGATGATATTCCGCACGTCTTTCTTCTTCTGGTGGTCTACGTAAGTATCCTGGTGCGAGGGCAAGTACCGAGTGTTGTATCAGCAGATGAGCGCTCAGGCTATACCCGTGCGAGCTTTATGCTTGCCGCAGAGCTTGCCTGCACAAGTGCTGATCTTGTTCAGTTATGATATATTCTCGCGGCAATTCGAGCAGCGTACTTCGATGAGCACGCCTGCCATTAATTTCTGGGCCGGAGGACTCTCCGCACAAGTATTCTGGATATTCTCATACCCATCGTGAGTCCTCCTACACTTACTAAACATATTTGAGACGGCATCTAATCGTGCACGAACGCTCTAGTGATGTCGTCAAGCAAAGGATTATGACGGATCCGTTAGACCAGAGCCGGAGGTTCCCACGCTGGCGAGACGCAGCCGCAGCGATATACAGAGAGAGTGGATTCCGAGGATATTGGCGCGGATTCGTGCCGTGCTTTCTCCGAGCCTTTCCTGCCAATGCGATGGCATTGGTGGCTTTTGAGGGCGTGATGCGGACATTGAACAAGCCTACGTGAAGTGATAGACAACTACCCAAAATTGCAAGTTGCAGCTTTAGCTCTGCGGGACAGCGCGAGATTGTTGTGCGACATTCAGGACTTCTTGCGTGCCGCTGCGGATGCCTCGCTCGCTGTGCTGTGCTCGCATGCGTATTGAGAGCGAGTTGGAGGCATTGAATGTGACGACGGCGAGGACGACGACGACTCCTGCATGGTGAGACGATGTGATGCAGCAGGAGAGATGGTGCAGATGGTGTGGCGGTGGTGGTGGTGGTGGTTGGTGGTTGCGCGAGTCGCGAAATGCAGGGGCTTCGGACCTGACGATCGCCGCGAGTGGAAACCTTGCGCATGGGCGCCGCACCTGTACTACTGTACTGCACTGTATACTCCCTGCCCGCGAGAAACACCTCCTCTGTCTCGCCATACCTTACTCACGCTCGTCGCCCAGAGCATTTCACCAGCGCAGCCTGCCTCCCGGGTCTTCGTTCGCGCCAGCAACCTCCGACGACTGCCACGTGCCGCCAGCGTCCTGAGCCCCCGTTATCCTGGGCCGCCGACCACCACGTACCGACACCGCCGCGAGCGCCACCAGTGATACAGCTTTCGCCAGCACGCCTCCTGGACGCACATCTGCGGGCGAGAGCCGCAGACTCGATTCATCATGGGGCAGAAGATCTCCAAGCTCATGAACCAGATCTTCGGATCGAAAGAGATGCGCCTGTTGATGCTGGGTCTCGACGCTGCAGGCAAGACGAGTTCGTCCATTCTTACGTCCGAGTACTGCTCTCCCCGCGACTGACCCTGTGTGGTGCTACAGCAATCCTTTATAAGCTAAAGCTTGACACCGATGTGACCACCATCCCCACAGTCGGCTTCAACGTAGAGACAGTCACGTACAAGAACACCAAGTTCAACGTGTGGGATGTAGGTGGACAGGATAAGATTCGCCCCTTGTGGCGACACTATTTCAGCGGGACGCAGGGTTTGATCTTCGTCATCGACTCCAATGATCGGGACAGAATGGAAGAGGCGAGGAGCGAATTGGCTCGAATCATCCAAGATCGCGAGATGAAGGATGCTTTGCTGCTGGTATTCGCCAACAAACAGGATATCCCTGGAGGTAAGTGTAATTTCCCACACACACAGCGCCTGCCTGGATCATTCTACTCACACTTCGTTCTCAGCCATGAGACCCAAGGAGGTCTCAGACATGCTCGACTTGCAGCGCATCGCCAAGGACCACACCTGGAAAGTTGAGCCCAGTTGCGCGACCACTGGCGAAGGAATCTTCGAAGGACTCGCATGGCTCAGCAGCAATGTCAAAGTCCCCAACCAAAAGTGAGCGACCGAGCAACACGCGTTCGAATCCAACTTCCTCCATTTCGATCGAATACCACGACGCAAACTCCGCGTCGCAGCATCTGCCCGGTCGGCTGCGAACAGCGAGCGAGGCTAGAGAGTCAAGACCAAAGTCACAGACGCAACCCCAACAGAAGACCAATGAGGATCGACTTCTGGCTTCATTAGGATACCCCCAGAGTCCGCCAATTCCGCGGATTTTCTTGCATATTTTCCCGTCCCATCTTTGTACTACTAATGAGAAGAGCATCTGCTGCATAATTTGAATAGCGCGACAGGTCACTGCCCCGAGTTGCGAGCATCTGCTGCACACTGCCCGCATCTACTAGAAGAGAAGGGAGAGATCGTCCACCAGCTAGAAATGTGCATGAAACTGTTCTGTACGACTATAGCAGCTTTTCGGAGATACCATCTATATGCTTTTTTCGCTTTGATTCGCTCGGCTCTGTTCAACATTCACTCGCAACACTGACCATGCGTTCTACAAATTGCCGTTTGTGGTCTTGTCATCCAGCTCACAGAATGCTCTGAAGGTGACCAGAGGCTCACTACCCGTGCTCTCGATCACGAGCTCGGCAGTGGCGCCAACGAAATACACATGTCCCTCTTTGATCTCCTCGGTCTTGTTGCCCACGCTGATCTTGCCTTGACCTTTGGTGCAGATGACAATGGCAGGTCCTTCGATTGGATCAAAAGTTACCTTGCCTCCCGATGCATTTATGTCTGTCTTCACAACGCTGAACTCCTCAATCGGTGGGTCGTACAGAATGGAGCTGGAGTTCGAGCTGTATGCGGTCGTGTTCATCTTCACGTAGGCATAGTCGACAGGATCCATCTTCTGCTCAGAAATTGGTGCATACGAGTACGTCAAGCAAGAGGTCAGAGTGTCGACGTCCTTGAATTTGGGGGTGAAGCCGGCACGAATGACGTTGTCCGATGAGGCCATACATTCGATGATATCGCCAGACAAGTACGCGTGGATATCGTCTGCTTTGAGAAACATCGCCTCTCCGACTTCCAGCTTGACATAGTTTAGGAAGAACGTCACGAAGAGTCCAATATCGTTGGGGAACTGGCCGTCCAGACGAATCATCAAGTCCGCCAATTCTTTTCCAGACGTCGCGTCGACTCCAGAACCGGCGAACTCCGCGCCTTCCGATTTTGCTTGCTCGATAAGCTGTGTTGCTGCTTTCTCGATATCCTCCGCAGAGCTTGTCATCAAGGACGAAAATGCTGCCTGTAAAGCCTTCTTGTTTTGCTGGGTCTTGTCGCCATCGTCAGTGGTTTCTTGGCCGGTTATTGTCTTCTCAAAGTTGCGTGCAGCTTCCTCGCCAACAAGCTGTCGCAGAGTCGGAACGTTTTTCAAGAAGTGGGCGATCTCGCCAAGGGGTCGAAAGCCACAGAGACCATCGAAGGGAGTGATGGCAATGGTCATTTCCGGCTTGTGATTGTCATCTGGATAGTGCTGCGGATCCTTAGCATGTAGCTGCTCAGCTAGCTTCTTGTTTGGGTGAGCTTGGATCGATAGAGCTTTGTTGATGCTCAGAACTTTGAACAGGAATGGCAACTTCTGGTCGTAGCGCTTGGAGATGGCGGTCGACATCAATGCTTGATTGTCTTGGACGAGATCAAGCAATGTGCGGCCGGTGGTAAGGTCCTTGGAGGGATTGGAAGGATGTGTACCCATCCATAGCTACAGAGCGTTAGCATTCGTTGCAGATCAATGAGCACAAGTACCGACTTCTGCGTAGGGCTTGTCCTGTTGAATTGAGAAATCGCCAGATGGGGTCGAGGCTGCATAACGGGCAGCTGCTGATTCTGGGCCAATCTTGCCCCATTCATAACTGTTACAGCCTGGGAAGACAATGTCAGTCATATTGAACGCCGCTGCGACGTTTCGTTTCGACACTCACCGCATTGCAGCCGGAGCAGTGGGACTTGCATAGTTGGCAGAGTTGTTGAGGAAACGAATCACGAGATTCACACTGTGACAGTTCCGGGGAGTAGAGTCGCCGCAGTCGTGCTTCTTTCACCCTGGTGGATGTGGTAGAAGTCAAGAGTTCAAGTGTGTGATGCCCAGCACATGGGTGCACTGTGGGCAACGTGGGGTCGATCTGCGGCAGGGTTTTGCTCTTCGGGAACAGCCGCCGTGCCAGATGCTTAAAGTGGAGGCGGAAACGACAGACAAACAATCACCTTCAGGTCAACAGTCGTACTGTCGAACAGACAGACGAAAGCCGCGGCCAGGATGTCTGCACGTAGCAGAGGTCGTGCAAATCCCAATCAGGATGCCGACGAAGAGCGGCGGCTGTGGAAGGAGATCAAGGACAAGGCGAAGGATGTGGATGTGATGGTGGTAAGTATCCTTGCGATTACCCTGAATAATCGATACATCAGCTCGTTAGAGGCGAATGTGAAGAAAGCCGTGAAGCCATACTGACCGCTGAAGGCGCGATCAAATGAGATTGGGCAGGAGGTCCTCGAAGTAGAAACGCAACAAGCTGCGCTGCTAGAAGCAGACAAACCAAGCGATGCGGCGCTCGACGAGAGGCTAGAGAAGCTCTACAGAGAGAATGTCAAGCTCTGCGAAGAAGTATCGCACATCATCGAAGGCAAGTCGAACGACATGAACCTCCTCGACAGTATCAATATTCTGGCTGGCCTCCGAGAAGCTTCCGAAGAATCTGCCGCTCAGATGCAAGCTGCCCAGTCGCACCGCTCTGCAAGTGGCAAGCTCTCGAGGGCACCTAAGAAAGGTGGGGCGAAGGGTGGCTCCGCTGTGACGGCGACTACTGAGGATGTTGACGAGGTGTCTGCTGCACCGTCACCGAGAATCAGTTTGGGCCCTCGCCTCACTGCGAAGGAGAAGACGTCAAGATCTGGCAGCATCGCTACCACTCGGGAGACTTCCGTGAAAATTGAAGACGGTGCAGAGTCTGTTGCCAGCAGTGCAGACGGCACCTCCACCGCTACTGGACCCGTCAAAGGTTCTGCGAACAACAGACCTTCGAATCGTCTCGTCTTAAAGCTCAATGAAGTCGTGTTTTGTCGTCATGACATGAAGAACGCGGACCCCAAGAACCTTCCAGAGGGCGAAGGCATACTCTGTCGTGTCACAGCAGTGATAGGAGAAGGAAAGCAGCGCCGTTATGAAGTGCAAGATGCGGATACTCTGGGAGAGCCACCGCCACCACAACGAGCATCGGTCGCGCAGCTCCTTCAGATTCCAGACTCTAACAAAGGGCTACCAGACCTGCCTGCAAAGAAGCAGGTCATCGCGCAATACCCAGATACAACCACGTTTTACAAGGCTGATGTCAGCGAACCTTGGAAAGCGAAAGACCTTGGCAATGAAAAGGGAGAAATGGTGCGCCTCATCTTTCAGGAGGATGTTGAGGCTCGTGAAGTTGAACGGCGATTTGTGCTTCTAGATGGCAAATGAGCCGTGGTGTCTTGAGCGGAGCTTACGTCCATGCCCTGCACCATTGCTCCGTCCTCGTGGAATTTATTCCGGCGTAGGAAAGCGCTCACCTCCGAAGGAGAAACCTTCGTAGCTGCAGTAGCCCTCTGGTGGACAGCTGTTGAGGGAGCTGCGAGCAACCCATCGCACCTCTCGTACCCAACATCGACAGACACTTCGATGTTCAATTTGCATCTCAACAATAGAAATATCCACCGGGCACAATTTCAAGGCTCAATTGCTTCAGGGTAAAGCTATAAGGTATGTCAAGCTTGTCGCTTGCCAGAGATTTACCTCTATCTGCTGCGCTCGAGAGGTCTCCGCAGATGAAGCTCATGTATGATGTATTGGCTGATAGATATAAAGCACATAAGTATTGAATCATATGCTGCAGCATGGACGCGAAACATCGACCTCCGAACTTCAGCGAGCAGAGCGGTGCCGAGCATGAGCCCTCATCCTCTGCGGGCTGTGCCCAAGCCGGAAAGTCCGACCACAATGTCTCACCAGCGAACTGCACCCAGCCGTCTACGCTGATTCGAGGTGACAGAGGATCTCGAGCGTCCGATGGAATCGACCACTCCAGCAGGTATGTGGAGATATCACGACGCCTGGCATTGCCAATGTCAAACGGGCTTGCCCAATGATACAGTCGGCAATATCAAGGTGACGGTCCGCAGTGCCGGAGAAGGGGCTGACATCAGCGTCAGCGCTTCTCAGAATACTCGTATAATGAGAAATGAAACAGTCAACAGTGCACCCCATAGCGGTAATACACTACCCAGAAGATTCATCCTATCGCTCGGCGAAGTTATTTCCAACGGATTTGACCTCATTAGCGAAGCTCTAATGCCGGGTTTGCAGTCGGATGACTTCGATAACCACTCTCTGCCACGGAGAGTTGTTGATGGCTCAACTGACGTTCCCGTGGATGCCCTACCGGATGTTAAGATGACATCTCATCGCCAAAATGATATTGTTGGCATGGATGCCAGCCATAAATTCTCGGAGAAGCCACATAATGTTGGCTCTACGCCGGATGGACTTTTGTCTACGCCTCAGCGTCACTGTCTTCCCCGGCGGTCTTTCTCCGCCCCTACTTTAGCGTCTTCACAGCATGCGTCCTTCAAACGCAGCCGGGCAATTAGTGTTCCGGACCTGGAGGCTGGTAGTGCGTCGTATCTTCAGGTGCCCAGGGAAGACGCCAGTCTACCTGCAGATGGTGCAACGAGTAAAACTATCTCCAGCAATATACCCGAGGCTTTCACTGCCCCAGAGCTAGGCGTGCTTCCAGAAGAGTACGGACAAGACAAGCAGATGACGCATAAGTTAGCACCAGAGGATAGTACTGTTACACAGAGTCTACAAACGCCTAGACATTGTGACGTCGGAAACCTCCAAGATCGTGGTTCACCCCAAGCTGCAGGAGAAGCTCGACGACCGAACGTTCAAGACGAGCAGCATCAAGCTTCCACTGGAATCGCCAACACGCTTTCAGGTAATCAAGCAAGAATTGCGGGGCGAAGAGCAGATCTGGAGCATAATGTTGAAAACGAAGACAGCCCAATCTCTCCCCATACTCGTACGGCTGGCAGTGGATCCGCGAGGCAGGCAGCTGTGGAGCCTGACTCCGCACAGAACACCCAGTTACAGAGCCCTGACTTCAGTCCTGTGACAGACACGGGGCAGTCTAAGTTGCGCAGAAGCACTCGCGGAAGCTTCGAGCTCGATGGTGATGCCTGGATCCCACAGACACCAAAGGTTGGGCCATCCGTTGGCACGTCGAATGGCTTCGAGCAATTGAAGAAGTCCCTACGCATGACACCAATTCTCAAATTGGGCGAATCTCCCGAACAAGCTACGAAAAGACGCTCTACGCTGCAGAAGCCTCATAGACCTGATACTGTAGACAGTCAGCAGCAGGGAAGGAAAGACTCTGGCGGCGGTCTCATTACTTAGGACGATGAGAACCATGCTCCAGTTCTACCGAAGAACGGGAAAAGAACGAGAGGTGAAGAGAGCATTCAGCCGGGACGCTTTGCCATATCCTCACTTGCTAGCGAGTCCTCTGGCAAACTCCCTCGGAGTCCGCCTCCTCGCCCAAAACACAAGCGCAGCAATGCTGTAGTGCTCGATCGAGAAGAGCAAACGAAAGGTGCGTGCATTTTCGTTCACGCTCATCACATGGCCCCTTCACTGCATGGCATGTCAGATGTGTGCGTCAGCTCGTAGTGTGACCCATCGCCTGAACAACTTCTCCATTGGGTCTCGTGACTGTCACTGCCTGGGTCATCTTGATGCTCCTTAAGTACGACCAATGTGCGCTGACACATTCGTGCTGCAGTGACCGAGCTTCTCAAGTCGTCCTCAAGTATGCAGCAGCAAGACATCGCCGAAACCACAGCAGACAATAGCACAGCCGACAGTAGTGTCGCGGCAGGCAAAGCTATGCAGCCATCGCTGTCCCGAGGCCGCATCAGATTCGCGTTTCCCTCCAGCGCACGCTCCAAGCATACAGAGTCTGCACAAGATCCGAGCAGTAGGAACCGGAGAGAGGGAGCAGACGAGAACACGATGAATACTCAGCGACGAGCAGCCCTTGGCGCGCTGCAGCAAGAACATTCTAGTGTCGAGGAGCCTGAGGAGGACATGGCTGAAGACATTCGCATTCGCACGTATGCGTTCAACGCAACAGCACAGCAACACGACAGTCGGTCGATGTACAAGACGTTTCCGACGCCGACGAGGGACCAGGGAAAGTTGGCAGAGCTATTGAAGGCCTTTGGTGAGCACATCCTGCTGCGCGACGAAATGAAAGCACTGACGCGGAAACAGACGAGCAAGAAATCTACGCGCCAAAACGAAGGAGTCGTGACGAAGAGATTAGCGACATGCGGCGTAGTCTCTTGGCCGAGCGGAGGCCGAAGGGAGGAGAGTTGTTCACACTGGGACCAGCGGGCGGACGACCGTTGCGATTGCACGACGAGGACGACGACAAGCACGTGCACGTGCAAGCGGAAGGTAAGTTCGGGCCGTGCCGACGGGACGCGCTCACCTCGCTGACCTGCAACCGCAACTCAAGAACGCAGCAACACCGCCCAGTCGCAGCCCGCCGAGTAGCACACCGGGGATGCTGCACAGCTAGACCAACCACACGCCAGCGACGATCACATCCGTTCGGCAGTAGACTGACATCCAATCTCCTCGACGACAACGACATGGCCAACCAGAATGGCATGGGGGCGCCCAACGTTAACATGTACACTGGGATGAACGGCGGCGTCATGCCTTCCGCCGGCCACTACAGCGACATGCAGACATTGATGCAGAATATGGAGAATCTGAGTGGCTGGCTGGAGCAGAATCGACAGGATTGGGCACAAGTTCAAGAGGGCCTTGCCAAAGTCGAACGCTTGCAAGTATGTCTACCCTCGACATGCTCACTTTTCTTGATGGTACACTGCGCCTCTACCTTGGGTAGCCTCTGCATATCAAGTTCCTGATATACTTCTTTGGTGACACTGCAGTGCTTGTGAGCCCCAATGTTGACAAAGTCTTCGCGATGTAGGGCAGGCTCGCTCAGAGTGGTCAGGTCCCGCTGCTCAATGGCGATACACAGCGTACGAATCTCCTCGTTCACGTCTCAAATACAGGCCACTAGAACTGACCTGTGTTCACATCAGCTGTGCCCCGACCGGAGCAACCCACAGTGGCCCAACTGTCCGACTCTCTAGCCAAGGCAAATTCACAGATAGAGTCCCTCCGGAGTACGTACAACGATCATGTCAACCTGCAACGACTATACGAGGACACGCTCTCCGACACCACCGAACGCATACGCCAATACTGTTTCGAGCAGCAGAACCATATCATTGCGCTCCACCAACACTACACCACCCTGCTCTCGCAAAGCCGCAGTGAAACGGTCGAGGCACAATTGACACATCAGGCCTGGCAGGCGGGTCTGCAGCGCCTCAGCGGCGGTGTACGGGAGGCATTGAAGTCGAGACAGGAGGAAGGTATGCCCTACAAGCGGAGAATAGCCGCGCTCAAGGAGGAGAACAGAGTCCTGCGAAAGATGGTGGGTTGGGAGGCACCCGTGGACAGTGAAGATGAAGAAGAACTGGACGAAGAAGCGAGCCGAGGTAGGGTGCTGCAGGTGCCCGGTGTCGAGAGCGGAGTGGGCCATGGCGTATCTTGAAGAGAGAACAACACTTGCAACGATGACTTCACAGCCGAATATGCGACATCGCGACGCTGCGGCAACATTCGCGCGCGAAATGAACGCAGGCACTTCTCAAAACTGGCTTGCTCGAGAGATGACATCCAGAACGCTTTCGGAAACGTCCACCAAACATGATATGGGCACGGATGGATAAGATCCACATATGGGACACGACGTCCTATTCATGGCACTGTCGAGTTTGTGCATACAGAACCGCTCCGTCCGGTCAATCAGCTCGACTGCGGAGCTCACAAAGGGCTATGGGGTGCGACAGCACACACTTTTCAATGCAGATATTGGCATTGTCGCTGGGCTATGAATCGGATCAGGCCGCTTGTTACTGGATTGTGCGGATTGTGACTCGAAGTCGCAAGGATGAAAACACGAACAATGCTGATATACGATTAGCGTGAGAGGTCTGCGAAGAAAGAAATGTTTGTCAACGTCCTGTGGTCTGCCGGACCATCGGGCTGAGCCAATCTACATTATTAGTGGCGATGCTATGGTTCATCGTAGAAATGAAACGCGGACGATGCAGCTTGATTAGCCGGTCCAAAGATCGTAGACAAATCTAATAAATCGTCTCTCACTCTCATGCAGGTGCCAATGGCTCGTCACGTTACACGACGAAAAGCCTCGCCAACTGTGGCTGAACACCCTGACGATCGATGCTCGTTGAAGCATTTGGGCCGCAGCAGATCTCTATCGCTTCCAGCTTCATGTGCATATATGGAGATGTGGCGAAAAATGCCTCTTCGTTTTCTGTTGCAGGAATCTGTGCTCAGGCCGGAGCCACACTTGACGCAAGCACTGCAAGGTGCCTGGTTGTGGTGGCAAATCCAGAACATGTCTACGTCTCAGCGAAGCAGCCCGCCGAATGGGTAGTGTGGGAAGTGGACTGCGACAAGGGTCCGAGTCGAAACTAAGAAACGATCTGAGAAGTGGTGTGGCGGATATCTGATTCCACTGTCTCGGGTGATCAGGAGCTTGACATTACCTCCCGCTCCCGATGTTCTGACGGCGTGACCGGCGTGTCGGCCGACCGCGTGGACGGAGAGATTCGCGTAGCTTATCGGTATTCATCGAGAGCCCTGCGACTTCCTCAGAGTGCGAGAACGCGGGAAGTTGGAAGTTGATCAGCACAGTCACCACCACCCTGCAGACTTCCCAGAAAGCGTCAAGAAGGATGCACGATAGAGGGCTAGCCTGTTCTTCGAGGAGAGATGTGTGAAGACAAGCTCACATCGTCCGTGCTTTTGCATCGCTCCTCCTACATAATACGCAACGCCGCTCCGTGACCTCCGCAGTAGCAGCTGGACCCGGGACCAGGATCTGGCGGAAATCTTGATCAGAACATGGACCGATCGGCTCGTCCTTCCAGCTGACGGACCACCGTTTAGATCATGCACGACCAAGTTCCACACACAGTCTAATAACAGAGCAGGTGTTTGGACTCGCAGCACAGAGCACAGTCAAAGTGCCACTGCTGCTGTCAAGGCCTGATGAAGTCGACGCGCCCAACGTGCCACGCTGTCAATCAAGGGAACCTGCAGAGTTCGGGTCCTCCCCGCCGGCAACAATTGATGAATGTCTCGCGGAATGTTGGTGCCCGATGGAAGTTACTACTGCCGAACCACTCATCTCGATTAGACTCGATAGCCCTGCCACCGCCCTCATCAGCTGCACGATCTTGTGGCCAGGGTCCTCATGCTTGCGCGTGGCAGAAGGTCGGCAGGGAAATCTGTCTGTCCCCGTCTGAGACACCAGCGGCGAGAAGTGCGACAGTCGCCGCTGGCCAGTTGTCCACCACTTGTTGCTGTGCTGGCTTTCCGTGTACGTTGGGAGCGAAGCTGATGACAGCGGCTTCGTGCAGACCAGTGGACAGTTGTGCGCTCGTTCGAATATTACGGCCGCAGAGTGGAACTGTTGCACAGATCATCGCATCTCGTTACTGCGGCTCGCTTCACCCTGTCTCGTCAACCGCAAGGAGCATTGGACACGGCGGTCCAAACGGGGTCTTTGGCATTTGCATGACAGAGCCAATCGCGATGCAGCGTTAAGGACAACGAGGAGGGAAAATCTGCATGCTCGACTCTGGAAGAAGCACTTTCTACGCTTGGCAAAGTCCGTATTTTGCAAAAGCTATGAGACTTTCGGCGGCTGCATGCAGATCCAAGATCCAGCCAGTCTCAGCTGTCCGAAGTCTCTCTATCAACAGAGAGACTGTAGACAAGCGGACACAGTGATAACAGAAAGCACAATATGGAGAATGGACACGGACATATGATCTGCGACTCGGTGCTGTCACTCGATTCTATTCAAGTGCGAGGGTGCTATGTAGGGCATGCAGTAGTGAATCGTGCATGGAAAAGAGGGCGCACGCGATGTTGCGTACCTGGCGCTGACAGGCGGCGTCCGGAGGGATCCTTGCCGAGACGTACCATGCCGTGGATTGGCTCATCTCTGATCGAAAGGCTGCAGGGAGCATGGAATTGGTGTGCATGAACTGGGCACACAATCCGTGGCTGCTGAACCGCAGAAAGGCGTTGTGGCCTTGCGCCGCTGCCATGGCCGACAACCAAACGAGGTGCGCTGATGAGACGATGGAGCGTGCGAGATAGACGGCGTGACTGCTGACGGGGCGCAATTGTCTCTCGCGCGTATGTCGGGCATGTGCGAAGCCAGCGGGCACGGTAGTGAAACAGAGTTCTAGATGCGCGATCTCCGTCCGATCTGCAGGCTCTGGCGCGGCATGACAGCGTGTGCGACGAGAAACAATAACGCGACGGGCAGGCAGGCAGAGAGCGGTGCGACATGAAGGCTGTGGAAGTGCGTAGACGGGGAGTCGTGAGCCCAGCAGTGCTCGCATCGTGTTATCATCATCATCTGCAAAGGATGCACGGCCTGCCTGGGTATGTGATGGGGTGTTGCATGCTCCGATGATCTCGATCGGATGGCCTGTCATCATCGCTGGAACCACCCTGAGCACACCCTGGCCACACTACGATATCGTTCGTATTCAGCCATTCCGAGATCTTGCATCACTGGTGGGTGAAATCTTGCGTAAGTTACGCGTGAGCGAGATCTATATTGGTATCTTGGCGAGGACCGGAGCACTCGAGGACTCGGGGCTGTGAGCCTTTGAAGAGGAGTGTCAGGCTTGTTAAAGGCTCCATATGAACATGTGCAGTCGCGCATGCCATCTTGAGTGGCAAGTCCACTTCCTCTGCTCATGATCAAACGGAGTCTGGAGCGCTTGATGGTAGGATGTGCTACTCCCGTTCGGGGCAGTGGCGAAAGAGATAAACCCCTCAGAACTGCGTCTCGCTACGGAGCAAGATCTGGCGGTTGCTCGATATCGTCCCGACGGCCGCGCTACTGTACGCTGCTCGAGAGCGTCGCGCTGCCAGTACTTTTTGGGCCGTACTTTTGGCCCCACCGTCGCCCTGCCCTGCTGCTGCTGCTGGCACTGGCGAGCCGAACTCGTCTCGTCTCGTCCAGCGCTGCGTGCAAAAGACGTGCACCCATTTGGCGTGTCCCATCATCATCCACCGTTGTCGCCAGAAATCCGGGCAAAACCACGCGAGGAACCCGCTCATCTCTGCGCACCCAGGCACTCCCCTGCCTGGCGGGCACCATCAGATCTTGTCGATCTCCGCATCGTCGAGGCATGAGGGCTTCCACTGCTCTCTCCGACCGCAGCCCTCGCCCGCCGTACACAGTCGCTAGTCGACATCTTCTCGTAGCCTCGCTGCTCTCTTGACACTTGCCCGAACATGGACGCCAGCCGCCGGTACGTCGCAGTCGCATACCCTGACGCCGTCCCGCTGGAATGCTCTCGTCGTCGCCGTCGAGCGAGCGGCGAATGACTTCAATGCTGATGCTGACCACTCTCGCTCTCAGACCGCAGCTGCCTGCCCTGAGCTACCTCGAAGGCGACAAAGTTAAGCGCGAAGACGACGCCTACCAGCAACGCAGCAATGGCACGCCCCAAAGTTTGTCTGCCAGCGCTGGTGCCAGTCCCACCTATCACTACCCTCCAGGCCCTCCGCCCCCGTACAGTCACGCCAATGCTGCTCCGCCGACAAACACCTGGCCACAGTCCGTCCAAACACCGCCAGAGTCGCGCAGGACGAGCGAAAATGAGAAGGAAAGCATCAAACCACGGCAATCGCTGCCGTCCATCTCAGAAGCGCTGGGGAACGTAGATAACCCTTCATCGTTCGCTTCGACACCCGCTCCGCCTGCACCACTGCAGTCGTCGCATCTTGTGCAGTCGCACGCTCCCACACCACAGTCGCCATCTTCACGGAGGTCGTATCCTATGGAGCCTCCCCAGGCTCTATCGTCGGCCACATTTCCGAGTTCCAATAACTACCAGTCACAACATCGACCAGAGCCGCCCCGCCAGTCCTCGTATCCTCCGGCAGAACCAGGCCGGCCAGCATCTACGATTTACACCTCCACTGCAGAGTCCAAGCCCATCTATCTGCAGAACTCGCACGAACCGACCCGGCAACCTTCCCAGCCAGCGACCCTATCTCGTGCAGAAGAGAGGTCGCCTACTCATGAGCCGTCGTATCCCGCACGCTCAAGCAACTCGATGGGCCCTCCCTCCAGTTTTCCTTACGGCTATGCTCCGTATCCACCCCGCTATGCTGAGTCTGGGGCATCCACGAGCAATTCATCCGGGCCTATCTACCAACCCTCGACCACCTATGGACCACCGAGGCCTCTCCAGAGCGGACTGAAGACTGGAAGCTCCCGCTTCGAAGATCGTGGGCTGGCGCATCATAGCAATACTGTAAAGCGACATCTGGACTTTTTCGATCTGGAGGCATCTCTTAACGAGGTATGTTTCACCGCACTAATGGTGCTCGCGGGTGCACCAACGCAATATTTGCGTTTGCTAATCACCGTTTAGATTGCTTCCACGAGCGGTATATTGAGCGATTTCTCTCGTCGATATGGGGATCGCATGCATCACACTCAGCGATCAGGCGCTTCACTCAATACCCTTCCCGGGCTTGTGGAAGTCGATGATATGATCAACAAGTCGAGGGTAGCACACGATTGTTTGATCAAGATTCGTGACGTGGTTCTACAGCAACAAGCTCTGTTTGAGCAGCAAGCGGCAGATCAGAGGCAACAGCACAAGCTGTACGACCAGCGCCAATCATCTGCGCCGGATGGCCAGCACCATGATGGCGAAGACAGCAAAGGCGGTGGCTTCGCTGGTGTCGACACCAAGAAGCGTCGTGGGAGAGCTGCACCGCCTGGCCGTTGTCATAGCTGCAATCGAGCCGAGACTCCCGAGTGGCGACGAGGACCGGATGGCGCGCGAACACTCTGCAATGCTTGTGGCCTCCACTATGCCAAACTGACTCGGAAAAACAATGGAACGAACAAAAACACGAGCATCGGCAGTTCGAATTTGCGACCGAAAGAAAATATGCCTTGAGAGGCCTCGGCAGGGCTCTGTTTCCTACCGACCTGCCACACGTCACCAGTAATAGCTGGCTCATTTTTGACGCACGTGGAACAGTTGTACTCTGCTACTGCTTGTGCTTAACATTTAGCGATACCCGACTTCGGCATTTTTTCCCTCGCGAGGGCATAGTTCCGGAGTTTATGAGAAAATTCTTTGCGATGTGGGAAAAGAGTTGTGCAGCGTTATGAGACGCTATGAAAGCCTGCTTGGCCAGGCGTAAGATGGATGATTTTGCCGCAACGAGTTGCACGAAGTCCCTCTCGAATCTGGCAGAGCGCCATGAAGATCGAGGGGATGTTTTATTGGGGGAACCGGCGTTGACTTTGGTTTCCACGGCCGTTCATCCACGAGGAGCTTATCAGAGCTCGGGACTCTGCATGGGACGGCGTTGGCACGCACGGCGTGAGGCGGCACAAATTGTATGTCTCGTCATCGGAGTGGAGATTGTGGCCTGTATCCATGGCAGCTAGGGAAGGTGTACATAGATGGATAGGCGAGCTTCGCCACCACGAAACAATCCCGCAATTCTTCACCAACCGTGCCGTGGTGCGCCTTGAGCGAGATGTCTATATGAAACATTGTGGTTCGATCGTGGAAGGTGCGCCGCACATCGTAAGGCTACGGCATTCGAGGAGGGTGTCTTGATAGATATCATAGGCAGTAGACTAACGAGCAGACGGCCCGGAGACTCGTGAAATCTTATACTCAGATTCCCAGTGGTCGGGCAAGGAGTATATACAGTAGCCTGCTGAAGTGAAGACTTTCCGGTGGAGAGTTTTTCCGAGAGATGGCCCCGCAGGACGGCGGGGACCATTGGATGAGCGCAGCAGGACATCATCGATTGCTGATTAATTGTCGCCATTGCGCCAGCAACATATTTCCGCGCCATCAATAATTCTCGAGTGTGCAGCACCCAGGCCAGGTTCGACAGCAGTTGCTCGCCACTCGCTGCTGCCAACGACCAGGACCAGGACCCTGGCGAGTGCTCAACAGCGCGTGGAGAAAGCGGAGGGGCGAAAAACGAGAGCGCATGTCGTGCTCGACATAGCGCCGCGAAACCGGCCGCGACTCGACCCAAATGCCCTTTTCTGACAACGATTTTGCCTCGAGCACGCACCTGCAGAGTCGGCGGTGACACTGCGTATCCCTGCAGCTTTGGAAGCGGGCGACGGCGTACACGCTTGCACACGACCGAGAACACGATGGGGCTGCTGTAGGAAACGCCCCTCGCCATCGAGTCATCGCAAGAACAAATGTTGATCGCAAGTCTAGTGCCGTGGGAACGCCACTCGAATGGCCAGAGGCCAAAAAGGTCGCTGCACACGTGCGAGAGTGGGGCATCGAGGTATGTCTGCTCACACAAAGCTCGCGGCAGCTCACAATCGCTAACGCTGCCGAAAGCAACTGCTGGCCATCTGGAACCGCTCAAAGGGCAAGGAGCGCGACGCATTGTTATGGGGCGATGAGGTATGGTAAGCAGCGCTAGTCCGTCCAGAACGATGGAGTTGACTCGGGACAAGATCGAATACCTGGTCGTTTCCTTCGACGATGAGAAGAAAGAGGTCAAGCTCTCGCTACGCCAAGCAGAGATCCTGGAGGCCCTCGCCAGAGATGAAGAATTACTCAGGCAGGGTGGAGGTGTACCGGACCTGGCAAAAGGCGTCGTGAAGTGAGACGTCCCATCCTTGTGCATGAAGAGCTCACTGACGTGCAGCAGATCTTCATGGCCTGCTCCGACATTTCATCCCGAATTCGGTCGATTCATGCTCGAAGCCACACCCGGCAAACCGTGGAGTATCAACTTGAAAGACCTCCTCGATGTGGAAACGGACATGAAATGGAGACGCAAAATTGCCAAGGACCACATCTATCAGCACGAGTATCCTATCACACTGACCACGTTCCCGCTGTTGGGCGATCGCAAATCGATTACTCCATATTTCCCTCCGTCGGGCCCCAAGCTTCGCTCGCAGTTTGTTCCGGATGAGATCGCGAACCCTCATATCAGATTTCCGACTCTGGCGGCAAACATACGGTGGCGTAGGGGGCGGAAAGTAGAGCTCAATGTGCCAGTATTTCACGACACGAACACGCCGAGCCCATGGAAGGACCCGACTGTCAACTACGATCTGCACGACTGGCCCGAAGATGATGACGTGAGAAATGGTGCCGCCAAAGACGATCACATCTACATGGACGCAATGGCCTTTGGAATGGGCTCCTGTTGTTTGCAAATTACCTTCCAGGCCAAGAATGTCACCGAGGGCCGCATAATGTACGATCAACTCTCACCACTGGGACCAATCCTCCTCGCTCTCACAGCAGCAACGCCAATCTATAAAGGCTTTTTGGCCGATACCGACGTTCGCTGGAACCAGATCAGCCGGGCTGTTGATGATCGCACCCCCGAGGAATTGGGCGAGAAACCACTTGTGAATGACCGATGGCGCATTCCTAAGTCACGATATGCCAGTAACAGTACCTATATTGCTCAAGACCCGCGGCTGCGACAGGAATATCTCGACCCGGACTTGATTGTTGACGAGAAGTTGAAGTCGCGACTAGTCGAGGGAGGAATGGACGATCTACTGGCGACACACTTCGCGCATCTGTTCATTCGCGATCCGATCGTTGTCTTCAACGAAGACTTGAAAGAGCTTGATCTCGACAAGACCGATCACTTTGAGAACCTGCAGAGCACAAACTGGCAGCACATGCGGTTCAAGCCGCCTCCACCAGGTAGTGACATTGGGTGGCGCGTCGAGGTGCGGCCAATGGAGATTCAAATCACTGACTTTGAGAACGCTGCATTCTCTGTGTTCGTGGTCCTCATCACTCGCGCAATCCTGAGCTTCGGCCTCAACTTTTATCTACCTATACCGCGGACAACAGAGAACATGGAAACTGCACATAAACGAGACGCCGTGCTCAACGACAAATTCTACTTCCGCAAAGATCCTTTGCCAAAGAGATTGCCCAGACTCAACGGCGCGTCAGCACCTCCTTCTGGCACTAATACTCCCCAGGCTAGCAGACCACCCAGCCCAGGTCCTGTCGAAGATGAGTACGAACTCATGACGGTAGACGAGATCATCAACGGCAAAGCCGACGGCGGTTTCCCCGGTCTTATCCCTCTGGTCGAATCCTACCTTGACAGCATCAATGTGGACGTCGAGACTAGATGCGAGCTGGCGCAATATCTAGCTCTGATTAGGGGCCGCGCGAACGGTACGTTGTGGACCGCTGCGAAGTGGATTCGTCATTTCGTGCGTGATCACAGCGACTACCAGAAGGATAGCGTGGTTCATGACAAGATCGTCTACGATCTGGTCAAAGCCGCAGAGAGGGTTACTGTGCACGAAGGTCGGGATGGTTTCGCCAAGGAAATGCTAGGACGATCCAGGGAGCAGTGAATGGCGACATGAGTCGTAATGTGAGAGCGATGGCGACAGCGTGCTGCTTATGCTATGCGAAGCGTTTCGCAACCACCTGAGAATGGCCGGCGGCTGGTGAACATAGCTTTCGGGGAGACCATAGACCTACTCATAGATACGAAAGGCAGCCTCACGTCCTGTGCACGCAATTAGTTCCTTTGAGGCGCAGATTCATCCAAGTAAGTGGTTGAAACCAGAACACGTTGAATTCCATCTATTGCTCAATCTATCTGCCATTCGCGTCAACAAGTCTGGTTCCTGTTTTGCGCGAGTATAGTGTCCCAAGATCGTGGTCCAAAGCTGAGCCGCTCGCGGTTGCAAGTTTACCCAACGGCGCCATGTTTGCTGGCGAGCTCGGAGATATCGAAGGAGCGGCACGTTGACCCCTTAGCTTGCCTATTTGGGCACGTATGCGGCTCACCAGACCAGCCAGCGGAGACTTGGGCACTTCTTCCAGTAACACGAATCGACGGATGAGAAGATTGAAGATGCTACCAAAGCCAAGAGCGATGACTGTCGAAGTCAGGATGATGACATTGTACGGCATACTGAAGTCCGGCGTGGGCAGAGGCAGCAGAAGTGATGTCGTCCGCAGAAAGCTGTCGGCTTCTTCACCTGATGATGGTAAGACTCTGATGATGGCGGGGGGCACATCAAACCCTCTATTCGCATCGGGCGGGTACTCAGTGTAGCGCAGAATGGCCTTCTCGAAGTCGTAGGTCAACTGGACTGTAGAATTTGCTGGGACATTCAGCAGTAGCTCGAGATGGGTTCCTTTGCGTCGATCGATGGCAGGTGTGTAGTACATCTTCTCCGTCTCGGCTCCATTGATCCGCAGGGTGTGCATGTATGGTCTGAGGAACCACGGTAGACTCTCGAGGTACACGATACGGATGGGCGTCGCGTATGGATTCACAATGACTGTATGCATACCGCCTCGCTCTTGCCCGTAGCCAGTGATTTGCCTGCTTGCATGTAGCAGCTCTACGTGATCTTGGTCGGGGCCGGAGATGCCTTGTTCTGGTGATGATAGATCAAATTCTGCATTCTGCGATAGACGATACGATCGCCATTGGCCCTCATGCTGGGAGGTGGCAGCGGTGCTTGGTGTGACCTCCACTTGCCTTGAGGATGGCACCTCCAACGAGACTTCGGCGGTGTCCTGTGTGAGACCGAGCGCACAGCTTCCTTGTATGGGTCGGCCGAAGATACGACTCAACGACCATTCCATGTCACCCTGCAGCGCCTTCGGATAGCAGGTATCATGACCATTGTAAGGCTTGCTCTCGTCACATGGAATTTGTTCAATGGGAGGAGGACGAGGAATGGGGTTATCCTGTGGACGCATGCTCCGCTCAAGGTCGACAACCAGGTCGACGGTCTGATCAATCTCGAGCGAACACTGTCCCTCGCCGCTGCAGCGCGGCCGGACATCGATCGACATGGTCTGCCAGTTGGCATCAAACACTTTGTGGCCATCAAGCAAGCTGGACACGCCGGCCTTGCCCTTGCATGGCAAGAGCTTAAGGAACGGAGTCAGATTCTCGGTGCAGACGACTTCGTGTGGCAACATGCCGTGCATCAAGTGAAGATTCGAGCTCCGGTGCAGTACCGGCCCCTCGGGTTCGAAGGTCAGAATCGGCTGGATGGTCTTGGTCTGGTCAATGAAGTTGAGACTGGCGCAGAAAAGGCCACTCAGGCTGTTGACCAGGCCACTCCATCGCTCTTCAGCCTCGTCGCGCGAGCTGCCTTCCATCCATGCCCAAAGCTCCACGCCGGTACCGCCCTCGCGACGCCCATTGCGCGGCCGACTGCCCCAACTCTCTTCATCCCAGCGGCCGAGCGCGAAGCGGAGGTGGAGTTCCGTAGTGTGGGTATACTGTAGTATCTGGGCCAGTGATCGAGGAAAGAAGCGAAAGTGCTGGTTGTCATAGTCGGCGAGCGTCGTCGAGGCCGTGAAGTTGAAGCCGGCGTAGAGAGCGCCCCCTGGCAGCGGGCGTAGATGAAGATGCTCGGAGTAGTCGGCGAGTGCGGCGGCGTAGGCAGCGCTGATCAGGCTGGCGGGCAGAGCCAGCAGCGACAGTGCCAACCTCATGGCGCTGGTGCTGTCCCTCCGCAGCGGACAGCCTCCCAGCGCGACTGTGGGAGACGTGTCGTGGTAGTCTCTCCGGTGGGGTCGCGTCGGCGTTCGGAGCTGCGAACGCCGACGGATGCCTCAGCCCTGCAACTAGACCAGGTACCGCATCGTGGAAAGTCGAACAGTCGACTTGCACAGCAACATCAACACCCGCACACGTGCTGTGCCTCCGTACAACATGGCGGCCGAACAGCGCAAGCTGCTCGAGCAGCTCATGGGCGACTCCATGCTCGCGGCGCCGGGCATGGTCAAACAGTCTGCCCTCACCATCACCGATCCCAAGGTCTGCCGTTCGTACTTGTGCGGCAGCTGCCCCCACGATCTGTTCACCAACACCAAGCAAGACATCGGCGCCTGCAGCAAACAGCATCAGCCAAATCTGCGTGAGGAATACCAGGCTGCATCGGATGCGCAGAAGCGCGAATGGGGGTTCGACTTCGACTACCAGCGCGACATTGGGGCCTATGTCAGCGAGTGCGATCGTCGTATCGATGCGGCCCAGCGACGTTTGGAAAAAACACCTGACGAAATCCGCCAAACCAATGCGCTGCTCAAGCAGATCGGCGATCTGACCAGGACCATCGAAGCAGGCATGCTGGAAGTCGAAATACTGTCCGAGCAAGGCGCAGTGAATCTGGCTGTGCAAGAATTCCACAACTTGAAGCTCAAAAAACTGCAAAAAGAAGAGCGTGAGCGCGAACTGAAGTCGCTGTCGGACACTTCTGGACCTAGTGGGCACCAGAAATTGCAAGTATGCGACGTATGTGGAGCATATCTGTCCCGCCTCGATAACGACCGGCGCTTAGCGGACCATTTCTTTGGCAAGATGCATTTGGGATATGCTCAGATGCGCAAAGAGGCCGAGCGGCTGTCAAAGGAGCTGAAAGGACGCCAGGCGCCAATCAGACATGAGCCTGCCGATGACAGAGGCTACGACGATGGCTATGGCGGAGGTTACGGCGGCAGGAACAACTACGGTGGGGGAGGCAGAGGAGGATTTAGAGGACGTGGGCGTGGTGGGGGTGGCGGCTCTTATGGATCGCGGTGGTAGAGGAAGATGGCGGAATGGCCAAAATGAAACACCCAACATTATCAGGCATTCTCCGACCCGGCGAAGCTTCATGGACAGTGATCAAACGCATAGGTGGAGAGTCACCTAGATGCCGGCTCTTAAGCCACAACATCACAAGACAGAGGGGGAACTCCAATGTTGTCGTTACGGCACGCGACTTACAACAGGACTGCGCCACGGGCATTCAACGCGACATGATTCAAGTCCTCTTTGGACTGCAGCATGTTTGGCTCACGACCATACCATGATGGAGCAGATTGAGCTCACCCGCGCGACTGAGATACCGGAGTACTGCATTTCTGGGTATCAACGTGGAAGATATGCGGTGCCAAACATGCCTAGCGGAGCGGAAACTGCTGCGATGACAGACGCACGCTGCGTAGCGGGAATCGGCAAGCAATGACTCTCATCCAGCGAGGGAGGGTGCGGAGCGGTGCACGGTACCAATTAGATAGTTACAGTCGGCAGCGCGAGTTCAAAATTGCTGAGAAGGCGTCGAGACTCGTGCTCAGCACGCACTCGTCGGAGCGTGGGGCATTTGCCCGACTTCGGCTGCGAATGTGCTGCAGCAGCGCCAGCGCAAAAACGTCAAGCGACGAAAGACATGACCAAATTTCTACGAAACTTACTCTGCCTCTCAATTTTCATCCTGGCTGCTTCTTTTCTGCCCTCGGTAGTGCCACGTCTGCGCTTGCTCTCCTCTCATTTCCTCCCCACCGCATATCGACAGCAACGCCTGCAGTACACCATGGCTTCCGGCGACTACTCCCACGAGCTTGACGTCGCGCTACTTGCCGTGCAGCGCGCTTCACTCTTGACCAAGGCCGTCTTCCACCAGAACGCCAAAGGCACATTGAACAAGAGCGATGCTTCGCCCGTAACCATCGGCGACTTCGGTGCTCAAGCCCTCATCATCAGCGCGCTGCAGCACAACTTTCCCAACGATGAGATTGTCGCAGAAGAGGAGGCGCGGGACCTTCGTGAGAATGAGACGCTCCGCAATACGGTCTGGGAGCTGGTAAAGAACACATCGCTGTCGGACGCAGCTGCCGAGAAGCAATTGGGAGGGCCGCTGAGCTCGCCAGAAGCAATGCTGGACATTATCGACAAGGGCGACAGCAAAGGTGGAAACAAAGGTAGGATATGGGCGATCGATCCTATCGATGGCACCAAAGGTTTCCTGCGTGGGGGTCAATATGCCGTGTGCTTGGGCCTCATGGTCGATGGAGACGTCAAAGTGGGCGTTCTAGGCTGCCCCAACTTGCCAGTCTCTGACTCGGAGCCGCTGAAGGAGAACATTGGAGCTGATGCTAGCGATGAGGAGGGTAAGGGCGTACTATTCTCCGCTGTCTTTGGTCAAGGTGCTGCGAGCCGGCCACTGGGAGCTGGTTCACTCGCTTCGTCTTCGAAAATCCAGATGAAGCCCATCTCAAATATTGCGGATGCCACTTTCTGCGAGTCTGTAGAGGCAGGGCATAGCAACCAGAGCGATTCAGTTCAGATTGCCAACAAGCTCGGCATTACGAAGCCTTCCGTCCGAATGGACAGCCAAGCCAAGTATGGCAGCATTGCCCGCGGTGCTGGTGATCTCTACTTGCGGCTTCCGGTCAAGAAGGACTACGTGGAGAAGATCTGGGATCACGCTGCCGGAGATCTGATTGTCCGCGAGGCCGGCGGTCAGGTCACCGATGTTGATGGGAACAGACTGGACTTCAGCCATGGTCGCACTCTACTGCAGAATAAAGGAGTCGTGGCAGCTCCAAAAGACGTGCACAAGAATGTCATTGAGGCTGTACAAAGTGTCCTGGGCAGTAAGCAATAGCGCAACGACGTGAGCGATGATCTGTCAGGCGCATGGAGTCGACCTGCGCGGTTCACAACGATCACATATAAATAGAGAGAGGCCTGATTCCACAGTTCAGGCACCTCAGGCTGATAAATATGATTCATGCATGTATCACGACCGGCACCGCATCGCGAGTCCAATCTACGTACCATCCTCTCAGCAGACCAAACAGCGCAGAGCTCGGATGGACATCAGCTTTTCCGTCATTGCGATTTACTCACTTCAGATGCTTGCGCATAAAGGCCCAGAACACTTCGTTCTCATACTCTGGCCCTGCATCGAGGAAATGGTCTTTTCCAGGTGGCCGCTCGTACTCGACCTCGATGCCACATCCGAGCATAGCACCTACGACTTCATCGGCTTGTTCGACACCCACAGCTGTGTCTTCGCATGGGTCAGCTTGCAGGATTCCAGTTACTATTGCATACCCATTGCTTACCTGCATCACCGTGTAGAAAATAAGCAGGCGGTAACCTGGACTCGTATACATTTCTCGAGAGCCTCCATTTTTTCGCTGCTGTCTGGTCTTCCGGTACTTTCCACAGCTTTGCGAGGGAGGCGTCGGCTTGCATACGCATGTACATATTTTGCCTCAACGAGTCACCGGGATTATTGGCTACGGGTGCAGCACTGGGATCGAGGAATTCAGCCAGCTCTTCTCTGGGCTTCAATGGTCTTCCCATCGCTGGCGGCTGCGGATTTGTGAAAAACGTGCCTAAGGGATCTGTACTGAAAGTCGCGGAAGAGGGTCAGCGCCAGTCTAGCGGTCTGTATTCGACGACCGTTCATTGAAATAGAAATGGTGGCAGCTGGTCTAGTTCTATCATATACTCACATTGGGTAGATTGGCAAAATTACGTTAGGCTTGGGATCGACATATAATCCAGCCAGCAGTGCGAGATAGCCACCAGCTGAGCTACCAGAGACTGCTAGTCTTGTTTGGTCAATGGCATCTGAGTTATCCAAATGGCTTGCAAGCTCGGTCCTGATGAATCGAATGCTATCTTGAACATCTTGTAGGATATCTGCGACGCCGACTTGCGGAGCAAAGCGGTAATCGGCGGATATGATTGCAAGCTTTTGATCTTCAACTGCTCTGCGCATCCATGGAGTGAGCTGGTTGCGATGGCCTTGGAGAAGGCCACCACCATGGTACCATAGTAGAATAGGTGCTTTGGAGGAACTGCCGGATGGCAGATAGATGTCTAGTGAGATTTGCAATGCATCGACCGTCTTGTAGACGATTGTCTTAGTTGGCGCTATGTCAGCCATCTCAAAAGCCCTCTGTCAAAATTATGTCCAGCAGGAGCTGATTCAAATCCCAATGTTGAGCAGCAGCAGCGGGAGCAGCTTACGATGTCGGAGATAGGCCCGGATAGGCGAAGTCGGGACGCCGCACGTGACTTGAGATTTTAGACCACTCGTCATCGTTGCCACTACTTTTCAACCGACAGCAAATAGCGCCGACACACATATTCACATATGCCTGACCTCAATTTCACAGCCAGCAGCAGTACAGATGATTTCTCCGGAGATGATACGATGACGCGTTGCGCGCGAAGTCCAAGCTGTCGGATCGTACCCCAAGATATCGAAGATGGCTGATGCCTATACTCAATTGGAGGCAGTGTACTGCCCACCACTCGACCCTGCTCTTTTGTCTGCCATCTTGTCAGATTATGATGTCAATAACGAGGGCCAACTAGCCGAAGCGAAGCTCGCGCTAGACCAGCTCAAGGAATCAGCGCTTCTGGAGGAGCAGTTGGGATTCGACGCGTCTGGCACGGGCGGAAGGGAAGATGATGAATTGCCCACCAACAACCCAGGATCATGTCCAGGAGAAACCAACACGACAGTATCAAGAGAAACAGATCTCACGAGTTTATCAGCTGGATATCAATCTTTAGATCTGGATAGCGATACCGCAGATGAAAGCAATTTGATCGCGAACGGCGATGTCGCAGAAGAGCTCGAAAATCTAGATGAAACCACGAAAATCCAACTGCTAGAAAGCATCATTGATGGCCGACTCAGTCGTTACACTGTCCAGTATACTTTGCGCAAATGTCACGGGAGATGGCATTCTGCTTTAGAGGAGCTTCTTAGCCAGATCTACCTACGTGAGGCAGAAGATGGCGAAAGCGGAACCAAATTACCAGCCAAAGGCGTGGATGCCTTTTTCGAGGAGAATACCGCCCGTCGCAATCGCAAGGGCAAGGCGAGGAAGAAAACCCAACAATCGTCTCGCGACAATCTCACCATCTCTCGCCCTGCTACCCCGGATGAACCCACTGCGAACAGCTCCAACGCTTGGCAAGGCTCTAGTCGAGACATAGAATTCATCGCAACCCGGACTGGGAAGCCCTCATCGGTAATTGCGACACTGTACCACAAGAGTGGTGCATCCCGACCCAAAACTATTGCGGCTGTCCTAAAGACTCATCTGGCCGAGGGTACCGCTGCTTTGTTGGAAGATCCCGTGAAAGCTGCAACAGCGCACGATCTTAGCCAGGCATATCCGTCCGTCGCGAAAGACTACATCGCTGCTTTGATTGACTTGTCTTATCCTTCGACTGGGGCGGCGCGCGAATTGGCCGAAGCGCTGACCGCGAAACCTCCACGTCAAGGTGGTATTGAGATTATTCCTGCCTATGTCCGACCAAACTTTGACGCCGAAGCTGCTTCGCCTGGTCCCTTCTCCAGGAGATCACAGCCTGGCAGGGCCGACGTGCTGGACTCCCAAAATATAGAAGCTCGAGAGCGGGCGACCACATATGCTGCTGCTAGGAACGCTGCATTGGCTCAGGCGTACGCTGCTCATCGCAAGGCGAAGTCGGATCGGCTCATGGGTGGTGTAGCTGCCTACTATGGACAGCTGAGTCGCGATTACTATGCGCTTTCATCTGGCGCAAATGCTGCCGCTGCCGATCAACTGGCAGCCTCTCAATCCAACTCCACGCAGCTCGACCTCCATGGCATCGATGTGTTGAACGGAGTGAGAATCGCCCAGGAGAAGGTCGAGCAATGGTGGGAGGGTCTGGGTGAGGCACGTGCCAACGGTCGCATCGGCGCGAGCGAGAGGCAGTCTGGATATCATATCGTTGTCGGGCTTGGTAAACACAGCGAAGGCGGTCGGAGCAAGCTTGGTCCTGCTGTTACAAAGATGCTGACTGCTCAGGGTTGGAAACATGAAATGAATGGAGCAGTGATCACCGTCAGAGGTCGTATGCAGCGATAGCTCATCTTCAAGCCGTCCGTACCCCTCATGACCCTGCGTGTGTACTTGAAGGCGAGACTGTCAGATCGTCAACGATCAACAGTTTCGCATGTTTGTATCCTGACGAAATGGGGAGAGCCGAGGATCTCCAAGTTGGAGCATGACTAGCTAGCAAGACGGCCGCCTCGTAAGACGATGAGAGAGTCCTTGTCGTCTCGCCAGCGCCTTCACGCCTTGTTGAGCGCCTGTCAACCATTTGACCACAAGTTTCTGACACTCATTTCCCATCCATTGCTGAGTGAGCTCGCCATATTACAGCGTGCACGGACGTGCTAAGCGGTTCGTAGCGTGGATAGTATGTCCCAAAACATCATCGTAGCCTCTAAGCGGCAAGTCAGAGACCGTGTCCTCGTGAGTTTCGACTTGGACTTCAGCCGCCATGCGTGGATTGGTCGACATTGGGGAGGTGGATCCATACAAGGCATGATGTCTATCCAATCACGGCGGCTCGGCGAAACTGCGTAGAAGGCCCGAATGAAGAAGCGCGCTAGAAGCACGCTAGAAGGGATCTTGCCCAGGAAGCGGCGACTGCAGGCTGTTCGTTCGGTGTGGGGATGTGGTGTCTGGACAACCTCCGACCTCCCAACCACGCTCGTCGGCACCACCAAGGAAAGTAGCGACGGGCTACTGGACACGCTGCCGAAAAACCAATATGGCGCACGCGAGCAAAATGGAGATGACGCAGGCGCGAGTTGCTGACGGCTGCACAGCGGGCAGAGCCTCTCAGCCGCTCTTTTGCCTCTCCAGTGAGGACCTGCTACCACAGCTTGGCCATTGTGCATCGACTCCGCATTTCTCAAGGCCAAGCTTTTGAGGATAATCATGCGCTCACCTCTTCCCCGCCTGATCGTCTCAGTCGCCCCACAAAGATCAGAGCGTGAGCTTCGTCGAGCCATGAGCCGCAAAGACTTGCATCGTACTCCGGGGCAAAACCAGAGTGCGGCATCTCACATGGTGCTACGCCCACAAGCGCGCCTGCAAGCGTGCCTGCACCCACTGGAGCCCCATGGGACGATGCGCTGGGAGGAGCCGCATAGCAGGACCTGCAGAATCCACGGACCGAATGAACACGCGCACAGGCTCACAGCAGTGGCGTCCGCCTATAGTTCAGCCTGGACGTGTCGCCAAGTCTGAGCTTTCCTGCAGTAGCGGCAATTCAATTCTCGTAGCGCGATCTGGACTGCGAACATCAGGTCTCTCTGGCAGTATGGGCAAGAGCTGGCGAGATGCTGTGGTGCAGATATAAGTCCTGTGGCTTCCCTATGAGAATGATCATCACACCAGGTTGCACCAGCAAGTCGACCAACATATCAAAGTCCTTTGGTCATTCATTCCAATCTTGGACATAACACAGCATCTCTAGTCTGTGACGAACGACGATCATCACCACAACAATTCCTACATAGGACAACAAGCATAACCCGTTGACCATCATCTAACGAACTCAACGAGTCTACTGGTCCAAAATGGCGGGCGGTGGTATTCCCACGAACAGCCCCACCGTTGCTGGTGGCTATCTGTCTGGCAAGCAGCTCATCTATCCTTTGAGCTTGGTCATCTCCCTCTTCTTCCTCTGGGGTTTCTCGGTAAGTTGCATGCGAGTATCAATCCACACACGTTCGTGCCTAACGAACTTCGTTAGTACGGTCTGCTTGATGTCTTGAACAAGCACTTTCAGACAGTGTTGGGCGTGACACGTCTCGAATCCACTGGTCTTCAAGTCATGTACTTCGGTGGTGGTTACCTCTGCTTCTCGCCAATCGCCGCAGAAGTTCTCAAGCGCAAGGGTTACAAGGTCACAATCCTCATGGGTCTGGGTCTCTACTCTCTCGGCGCTATCATGTTCTGGCCTACCGCCCATTTCTCCAACCCTGGTAACGAGAAGGCTTCCTTCGGTGGCTTCTTGGCTTGCACTCTTGTCATCGCCTGTGGTTTGGCCACTCTCGAGACTGCTGCCAACTCGTACGCCGTCGTCATTGGTCACCCCGCCACTGCATCCGCCCGTCTCCAATTCTGTCAGTCCTGGAACGGTATCGCATCCTTCGTCGGCCCACTCATCGCATCCAAGGCTTTCTTCGCTGGAGAGAACCAGAACTCCCTCACCAATGTGCAGTTCGTGTACCTCGCTGTGGCCTGTGCCGGTGTGGCAGTCGCTGTGCTGTTCTTCTTCTCCAAGCTTCCTGAGGTTGCTGAGAGTGCCGGCCGCTCCGCAAGCATTGTCGCAGCCGACTCTGAAGAGCTTGGAATTGGTGTCGATGGCAGCATCCTCAAGCAAAAGCCACTCTACAAGGAATGGAACATGATCTTCGGTTTCGCTGCACAGTTCTGTTACGTCGGTGCTCAAGTCAGTAAGTGTAATCGCTGGAAAGGCATCTTCACCTCACAAAACATTCGTGCAGACCACTGACTTTTTCAAAAGCTTGTGCCACCTTCTTCATCAACTACGCAAACGAGAACGGTGGTTTTACAACCGAAGAGGGCTCGCGCATGTTGTCGTATGCCCTGATTACCTTCACCGTCGGACGATTCATCGCTACCGCCTTGGCCACCGTCTTTGAGTCCAACTTCCTCCTGGTTGTGTACTCTGTATGCGCCATTGCTCTGAACGCCTACGTCGCCGCCGGCAGTGGTACATCAGCTGTGGCAGTCCTGATCGTCATCTTCTTCTTTATGGCACCAATGTACCCAACCATCTTCACTCTCGGTACTGCCAACCTCGGAACCAACACACGTCGTGGCGCTGGTATCCTCGTCATGGGTGTCTCAGGAGGTGCTGCTTTCCCACCGATTCAAGGAGCTATCGCCGATTCCGCAAGCACTCGTATCTCATACGTGGTGCCACTTGTTGGATTCGTGGCTGTGCTCGCATACTGTGCTTCTCACTGGTCTCGCCATGGCTTCCACATCATGCGCATCAAGGGCGAGAAGGTCATTGCCACTGCTCTCGAGGGTGGTGCTGTCGGTGGTGCTGTGCAGACTGTTCACTACGACGAGAAGAGACTGTCTGTTGTTGAGGCCGAGACCGCTCGCCGCTCATCTCTCGGAGGCGCTGCAGTCAACCCAGTCACTGGTGGCTACAACCTCAAGATCTAAGCGGTTGGACCAACTTAGACTTCTTCAAGATTGGAAAAAGTCACTTGCATAGCATGGGAGAGTTTCGATGCATTTACACGGGGTGGACAACTGTTTTTATGAGGACATGGACAATGACGAGATACCATCGCTGTACATATTGATTTAACGGCCAATTCAAAAATACTTCAGATGAATTTTCACCTACTCACGCTTTCCGTCTTATCTCGTCAATTTGAGCGACATGAAGCAGACTGGAGTGAGATTGATTCCATCTTAGAGAGCAATGCGCAACACCCATTGAATGACGTGGAATCCCAACATGGGATAGCAGAAGGATCAAACGCGCGCTTGTGTCAGCAAGTGTGTCTGACGCACCTCTCCGATCTTCCAGACTTCCCGACAACACACAAGACACAAGACCAACAAACATGACCAACAGCGCTAGCATGGCACTGCGACCTCACTTCGACATCAATGGCTCACAAGATGAATCGTCAGAACTGAAAGCCGTGATGGCAGCACTTGGAATGCAGAAACATCCCGAGGGCGGGTACTTTGTGGTATACCAAACAACCTTTCATCAAACACCAATCAAGATGAGAAAAATGCTGACAGAAATCCGCTCCGCAAAGGAAACCGATCGCGATCCTCACAGAATCCCTAACCCACTACCCAAATCCGCTCAAGCTACCAATGAAGACGAAACAAGAAGCGCAAGTACGACAATCCATTATCTACTCACCCCAAAATCACCTTTGGGAGCTTGGCATCGGAATAAAGCACGAACAGTGCATACTCTGCATCGCGGGAGGGGACGATATGTAATTATCCATGCTGATGAAGTGGCGGCGGAGAAATGCCCCGGAGGGTATGGAGATGCGGATGTTTCGGAGGAGAGTCGTTGGATTAAGAAGGCACGGGTCGAGGTGTTTACTGTGGGGCAGAATGTTTTGAAAGGAGAGAAGTTGCAGTGGATTGTGGATGGTGGGAAGTATAAGACTAGTTTTCTGTTGCCGGATCAAGAGGGTAGTGAGGGGAGTGAGGGGTTGCTGATTAGTGAGACGGTTGTGCCGGGGTTTGAGTATAGCGATCATGATTTTATGAAGAAGGAGAGGCTTGAGGCTTTGGTTAGTAAGGGAGAGGTGGCGGAGTTGGAGTGGATGCTCAGGAAGGAGTGAGAGATCTTCGGTGTGTTCGATTTGATTTTCTGTTCCATTCGAGGAACGAGTGGTTCCTCTCTTCCTGCGACTCTGTGCCAGGATGTCTACGCGATACAGATATACAATGGATGATAGATCTAGAGCTCCCTTCACAGCTTATGCACAATTATTTCCCCGTGAACGCCTTCGCTATGCCCCAGTTTCTTCCGTTATGCAATGTTCCGCTTTTCCAGCCGGTGTCCCTCATGCGTCGTTATGTCGTGACAAGTTGCGCGCACTGCGCTTCTCGATGCTCTCTATGCTGTCGTGTGGTGTATAGTGATGGATAATGCCCATTTGGCAGGTCGTGAAGAGATCACACATCTTCGCCGCTAGTTGTTGATCCGCCTCGTCCAACACCGCCGCCGAGGCTTGTTTGTGCCCAGTAGATGCCGAAGCCGATGAGTGCCAGCAGGAGGAAGAGCACGATGATGATCACGGCGATGACAATGTTGCCCTTCATGGTGACGAAGTGTAGATGTGTCGGTACTTGATGTCTTGGATGATCTCTGGTGTCGCTGCAGGTGGGTGGTGATGGTATGTATTGCGGGCGATGCTGGGCGACCGATGGGACAGTGAAGCGCTGATGGTTGTGGGAGGCGCGGCAAGTGGATGGTGTGTGAGAGAGGAATGCAACGGCATCGCAGAGTGAGAGCGACTATTACCTACCTTCCTCCGTCTGAATTTTGGAGATGGCTGGGGGAAGCTGTATAACGAGGTTGGGCATCGTGTGGCTGGGGCCGGCTCTCACACGCGCGCACGCGAAACATACATGTATATTGCTCCGATGTCCATCGTCATTCGAACCGTGCGACAAGTGTGCTGTGCTGCATCCGCGTCACTCTTCACGCGTCATGATGTGGGAGTGAGTTGCGCGCTTCGTTCGTTGCAGAGGAGCAGGATCAGTAGCAGGATCAGCTGCGTTTGTGAGAAATGGCCCCAGCTCCGAGCCAAGTTTGCTGTCCTGGCAAACAAGGTTCGAAGGTTCGGATCGGCCGACACCTTAATCACCACTTGCCCTTGCCCTCCACACTCTGCTTGCTTGCTCTGCTCTGTCATGACAGACACACATTGATATCTTGCAGACTGTGACCGAATCATCTTCGCCTCGAGTGCACATCAAGCTCCACTGGCCACTTCAGTTTCGGAATCGCACCCAGTCTCCGCAGCAGATGGCGGCACCGACCATCATGGATGCGCTCCCGGGACAGCTTCAGGACCTCCGCCTAGAGGGTTCTTCCATCGTGCACGTTGTCACGCGTGAACGACGCTTCTCAGACCCCGACAGTGCTGCCGCCCCGAATCTAGTCAGCATCGCAAGCCATACTCGCTCTCACTTCACGCGGCAACTCGAGCAGCATGTCCACGAGACCAGCACTTCCACTGCCAGTTCGACGGCGTCCACGGCATCCGTGCCGCTCGCCGCCCACCATTGCCCTTCGACTCCAGACGACTGCGCCTTAGCTAAGGTATTTCGCATGCCCGAGCTGCTCGCCACAGTCCTTGGCTTCCTCGACACAGCAGACATCATGTCAATGCGGCTTGTCAACAAGACCTTCTGTCGCACGGTACTTGAATCCCCGCAGTTGCGTGCACACCTGTTCGTGCGCCCGCAATGGCTACGTCCTCCAGTTGATTACATGCTCTTGGACGTAAAAATTCCCGGCCTAACCATTGAGTGCGGAGATCCCGTAGATATGGGGCAGTGGGTCCATGTAACGATCGACGCTAAAGCCGCACGCACTATTATACCCTCAGGTCGGGCGAACCGGCGGCCCCGAGCGCGGTCCATTTACGAAGGCCTAAGGGGCGGACTCGGTTCGAGCTCTCAGCGCGAATTCCTGGCCTCGTCTTCAATGTATGAGGAGCTACATGTCACTCAGCCACCTCTATTGGGAATGCAAGCCTTTCTGCTCGGTGCAAATCCCTCCCACATCTCTACCACTATACCGTCGCCTTCAGATGCATCCGACATGGACCACAGCCATACGTCTGAAGGCACAGAAGTTGATGAACGAGAGTTTGATGCATGTGCCAAGATGAGTTGCAATTCTGGAATTACGTTGGACTTCATTGCCGACACTGCCTTGACACTTCTTTCGGAGCGAAGACACGAGTCGAAGTCCGGCGGAGGGAAGGTGTTGTTCAGGGCCATCATATCCTTCTGCGAGCCGACGCAGCAACTGCGGAAGCGAGGCACAGCACGAAGTGTCATCCGTTTGGGATGAAGTCCACCGACGGGTCCTTCGGTGCAATACCTCTTGGTTCTACAGCAAATCTATCCGGCGGACGAAGAAGAATCGAAGAAGAATGCTGTAGGCTGACGCACGCGGCCGTCTGTGATCAGACGAATGGTGATGAGGAGCAAGACTTTGTACCCTCCAAAAATGTACCAAACGACTTCATCACCATCTACTCCGTCCTTCGATCATGAGCCATCAATATCCAATTTGGCCGCATTGTCACGAGGCGGTCGATCCACTCTCATACTCCGTCGAGCGGGGAGATGTCCAATTTTGCATGCTTGTTTTCTTAACTCGTGATGCAGGACGCTAGACCGTCGAACCGTGCCACTACTCCAGCTGGATCCCTGTACTTGTCTGCGAACGTGGTCTCATTAACTTCAGCTGGCGTCCTGACCCCAAGGTACGCGCCATGGTCACAACCCGATGATGAAGAGAATTTCTGCGACGCAACAATAAGTGCCGGAGCTCATCCACTTCGGGCACACGCAGCATGTCGTGGCAGTAGATGAGCCGCGATGATTGTATCAGCGTCCTTGGCCAGTCGATAGCGTACCTCCAGCTATTCATGGACATGTCCCCACACCGGGCACGCGGTGCATTCAGAACTCTCGCCAGGACGATTAGCATCGGTTAGCAGCTGAGAGCCGGTGCGTGGATCATATGTCCCGGTGATACTGAGCCTGGGATAGTATATCCCGACATAGCGATTGCCGCATACGTGGATACGGCATAAATACGCCTGCTTGACACCACTGTAGAGTATAGACAGCACTCATGGCGGCCCGCGCGCAGGGCAAGACAACGTGTGCCAGGCGACGCACTCGGCTGGTTATCGGTGTATGAGATGCGAAAACGGCACTCATCTCCAAACACGCCCCCGTCCGCACGGTGTCATTGCAGAAAAGATTCGTCGTTCTCGGCAGTGAAGGTAATTTCGCAGAACAGTGTGCGCTGGATGAAGGTGTCGCCTCGTAGACAGGACTCGACTGCCCGAAACAGATTTTGCGCGGCACATGACATGCTCACGGTCGTTGCAATCAGCGAGGTTGTGCTACCACGTTGGCGCGATACGGGGTCGTTCTATGAGATGACAGTCTAGCGCGCAGTCCAGAGCGTCGGGGAGACAGGTTCGGTGCTCGGGAGTCGCTCCCTGGTAGTCGTAAGCGGGCGGATGCAGGGAAGAGATCTTGCTGCAAGGAACGCGCGGAAGTCAGATTCGCAGGGTCTGCGCGAGGATCTGCACAGAGCTTGCACGTGGGTGGATCCTCTCGACATCACGCCTTTGCTCCCGGACATCTCCAATGTTGTCTGCGCTGCGCGTCGCCGCTGCTGCGATCACACAAGCGTCGCTGCCGGGGCACGCGATGGTGTCGGCAGGCACGACGCTACCGCCGCCCGCCAGACCGCGCTTCCACGCTCACGCTGCCGGGCCAACATCGCTCACCTCACCTCCCGGTCGCAGTGTGGGTGGGTGGGAATAGGGGACTCGCCGAGCGGGCCCAGCACCTCCAGCACTGACGTCCGACTCCACAACGATTTCGCAGCATTGTGGCCACGCGCGACGTATCGTGCTCGAACGGCGCGCTGGAGGCCGTCGCGGACTGACGCTTCACAGCGCAATGGCCTATCGCGCGTCCGAGAACACGCCTCCGGTCGGTCTTGCGCGAACACATTGATCAGATGTGCCTGCGACGTCGGATGTCTGACCTGCCCTTTAAAAAGTCTGCCCGTTGCCTGCGCTCGCTGCTTCCTGCTTCTCCTCCTCCTTCCTGCTCCCTACGTTTCCTGCTCTTGCCTGTCTTTGCCGTCGCGCCGTTTGCTGTCCAGTTCCACTCCCTCCGCGCCCTGCACCGAACTTCCTCGCCTCTAGGGACCTCCGCGACCCTACAGCGCGAACAGCATCTACGAATCTATCAATCGGCAACGCCACCCGCATTCACTACGAATTCCTCTCGCCCAACATGTTCGGCCGCACCGCCTTGAGGGCTGCCACCCGAACGGTCTCGCGGCCATCTTCCTTCACTCCTGTGCTTTCTCGCGCCACTTTCAAATCATCGACCAAGGCCAGCGATCCAGAGGTGCCGGTCATCTCATACCGCAAAGGCGAGCGATCAGAGGCCAAAGTGCAGTACGAGGCCGGCAGCAGCGGCCCAGTGTCGCCTCCCGGTGCAGATGAGGTCAAGTCTGCGATCCCACTCAAGCCAGAGGCTCTCCAGCACCTCACACCAACCCTACAAAAGTTCACGCTCAATGGCAAGATTGCCGTGGTGACAGGGTATGTCATTCTTGCACTGCTGATCTTTGCGACGCGCTAACAATGGCCAGTGGCGCTCGAGGTCTGGGATTCAACATGGCGCAAGCCTTGGCAGAAGTCGGTGTGCGAGGTATCGCCATCATGGATGTGCAGCAAGAGCTTGGTGACAACTCGGCACGCGAACTCAGCGAGCAGACCGGCATCGACGTTCGATTCTACAAGGTTGACGTCCGTGACGGTGATGCTATGAACCAGACCGTCCGGGACGTGGCCGAGTACTACGGCAGCATCGATGTCCTGATCAACGCTGCAGGTATTGCAGAGTAAGTCGTTGCAGCATCGTGCAACGGGACAACAGACTGATGACGCGTAGCTCCAACCTCAAGGCCGAGACATATGACGCCGAAAAGTTCCGCCGCCTGATCGACATCAACGTTACGGGCTGCTTCTTGACTGCTCAAGCTGTTGGCCGTGAGATGATCCGCCTCGGCAAGGGTGGCAGCATCATCAACATCGCTTCCATGTCTGGCAGCGTGGTCAACTACCCACAAGAGCAGTCCTGCTACAACGCATCCAAGGCTGCAGTGGTGCAGCTGACCAAGTCGCTGGCCGCAGAGTGGGCTCGTTACGGAATCCGAGTCAATGCCATCAGCCCTGGTTACATGGACACTGCCCTCAACCGTGTGCCTGCCCTCGAGGCCCAGAAGCGCATCTGGGTTGACCACACCCCACAGAAGAGGCTCGGCGCCGTGGACGACCTCAACAACCTTGCCGTCTACCTTGCAAGTGACGGATCTGGCTTCATGACTGGCAACAACTGTCTCATCGACGGTGGCTACACACTCTGGTAAATTTCAGTTGGGATTGGTTTGACAGCATTGCGTGGCGTCTCGGCGTTTGGGCTTGGTCCGCAGCAAGGGGCCACAGGGGAAATCTCAAGGTATCTTTGCATGTCGAAAAGTTGTGACGAGTCGGCGCATCGTTGATCTGATAGACATAGACAACGCGAGTTGCATGAGACCTAGGAATTGTAATTATTAGGCCAGCTTGGCGATTTTGAAGCGCGTAGCTTCCAGTGTCCATGTTCTCGGTGTCACAGAGTCTGGCCGTCCTATCGCGTTCCAGTACATGCTGCACATGCCGACCCAATGCGCTGGGAACGATGTGTAACAATGGAGAATCGCCAACAACTTGGCCAATTCCAGCGGTACACGCGTGCGTTCACCTCACTGTACAGGAACTCAAGTACAACGTCCACGACGCTGCTAACATTCTGCCTTCACACGGGCAGGGCAGCCATCGGGGAACATCGCAGTCACCGACAGGCGACTCGGACCAGCAGTTATGGTATTGCTACTTTTTCTCTTCGTTTGCGCTGCCTCAGCACTGCGACTCCATGGATTTCGACCAACGGCCATCAACGACAGATTTACGATAAGCAGAATTCCAAGAGCCAGGTCGAAGGCGCCCACGAGGCAGAGAGAGCTCAAAATCACGCCGAACGTGGTCAGCTTGACGCGAAAGGATGCGACTTCATTGAGTTCGATCTATGTACAAGCTATGAGAGGCAGAAGTGGCATTTCGCGAGTTGCGGTAGGAGTTGCTTTCCCGTACTATCACACTTGTGCAGCACGTTCTGACCTGCTGTGTAGAATAACACGACGCCTTTGATTTCAGTTGAAGGAGGTCAGGTCTTTTTAGCAGATGTCACGGTTGGCGGCAAGCCGTTTCAGGTCGTCATTGATACTGGGAGTAGTGATCCGTGGCTAGCTCAGACGGGCTTTCAATGTTTCGATCCGATCAACGATGCCCAACTCGATCAGTCCGTGTGCGAATTTGGGCCTGCTTACGATTCGTCGCAATCTACGACCTTTACGCCTGTTGAGAATTTGAATTTCAATATCAGCTATGCTGATGGGGAATACTTGAATGGGGGACTGGGTATCGACACATTCAATATGGCAGGCATTGAAGTCCCTCGGCAGCAGTTTGGAGTGGTCAGTATAGCCGCGTGGTATGGCGACGGAATCTCATCCGGCCTCATTGGATTCGCCTACCGGACACTCACTTCTGCGTATGCCGGCACCGATCCGAGAGCAGATATCAAAGGTCGCCAGGTCCCATACAATCCGCTGTTCGTCAACATGTATGAGCAGCAAAACGTACCAGCCATTTTCAGCATCGCGATGGATCGGAATTCTTCGGCTGGTGGAGTGTTGGCTTTAGGCGGTATTCCGGACGTTCAGCATTCGCCATATTTCGCTTCTACGCCGATTCAAGGTGTTAGTGTCAATACCACGAGTGGCCGGCAGGTGTATGAGTTCTACACGATCGATATCGATGGCTATGCTATTTCGGCAAACCAGAGCACGCAGTTCAGTTCTTACGACAACCCGGATCCTCGCAAGACGCCGCTGATCCATAATGGTTCGGATACCATTGTTGACTCGGGTACATCGCTGTGTTACGTCCCGGATGATGTTGCAGAAGCGACTGCTGCGCTTTTTGATCCTCCGGCGTACTATAGCAGTACGCAAGGAGCGTATTTTGTGGATTGCAATTCTAGGGCTCCTGTGTTTGGGGTTGGGATCGGGAAGAAGATTTTCTATGTCAATTCGGATGATTTGATTATTGAGATTCAGCGCAATGTCTGTGTTATGGGGATACAGTCTGATGGTGGTGGGCTGTCTATTCTTGGCGGCACTTGGATGAAGAACGTGCTTGCGGTGTTTGATATTGAGGGGGAACAGATGCGGTTTGCGGCTAGGCAGTTTTATGATCTGTATGCCTAGTGAATGCTATCATGATCTTGGGGGCGCGTGGGCTTGTCAGTATAGCTTGTGCATTTTGCCGGCCATTCAGTCTACTGCTCCATCATCTGTCAGTGTCAGTGAATGGTACGTGCTCCTGACCAGTGACTCGTGTGACGTCACTAGCTGCCGAGGGTGAAGTTGCGGTGGAAAGCCCTCGAGGGCGGTGGGGTGCGTGGTGCACGATGCCGACGACAATGGAACATATGCTATGACTCCGCATGTGCAAAAGACACGTTGTCGTGGCGAATATGGTGAATTCGTGATAGCAGCGGAATAATCAGAAACGTATCGAAATGGAAGCGGGGCTCCATTGTCAGTCCCGTGCATGTGATTGGCCACATCTGATTTTGGCAAACAACAGCTGTCCGCAGGGTCACAGAAGGTCGAGGTGGCATCTTTTGCGATTCACTTTAATATTTGCCGCGTCTGCTGCACTTCTTCCCCTTCCCTCCCCGTGTCTCTTCCTCTTTTCGACCTCAACCTCAACCGAACTTCAATTGCTGTTGGCTCAACCGAAGAGCAACAGCACTCACTGTCTCCATTGCACCACCTCCAACGACCAGCTCGACATCCTGATCGCCAAGAGGACACTTCCGAGTCCATTTCCCACACACAACACCAGCCTCTTGGACCAAGATGGCGAGGTTCTCGAGGAGCCAGAGCGGCCCTTCGCGGTCGACAGTGTCGCCGTGGATGACCGCTTTCTACATCTGCGCCATTTTGTTGGCGCCAATGCTCTTTATGGGCATGATCCCATCCGCACACGCTCAAGATGCTGAGAAGGCTGACACGAGCGTTACTGGACCTGGTAAGCTAAACCTCCGTAACTCATCCGCTGCGAGAAGCTGTCTCGCAAGCTCTTGATGCTGCCAGCTGGGCACAATGTCGCCTCGAGGCGCTTGCAGGACACGAAAAGCTGACTCGATTGTGCACAGTCATCGGTATCGATCTTGGAACCACCTACTCTTGTGTTGGTATCATGAAGGGCGGCAATGTGGAGATTCTCGTCAACGACCAAGGAAACCGAATAACGCCATCATGGGTGGCATGGAACGACGACGAGCGTCTTGTCGGAGATGCCGCAAAGAACCAGTTCGCCTCGAACCCACACCGAACCGTCTTCGATATCAAGCGTCTCATTGGTCGCAAGTACGAGGAGAAGGATGTACAGAAGGATATCAAGCACTTCCCATACAAGGTCGTCAACAAGGGTGGTCAGCCACGTGTCAAGGTCGATGTGAAGGGGTAAGCACGCTCTCTGCAAAAGATGGTTGCTACAAATGCTAACGGGAAAATAGCGAGGAGAAGACTTTCACGCCCGAGGAAATTTCCTCCATGATCCTCGGAAAGATGAAGGAAGTCGCTGAATCGTACTTGGGCGAGACTGTTACCAACGCAGTGGTCACTGTGCCAGCTTACTTCAACGACGCTCAGCGTGCCGCAACCAAGGATGCGGGCACCATCGCTGGTCTCAACGTTCTGCGTGTGGTCAACGAGCCAACTGCCGCCGCCCTCGCCTACGGTCTTGACAAGACCGACAAGGAGCGCCAGATCATCGTCTACGATCTTGGTGGAGGTACCTTCGATGTTTCCATCTTGACTGTCGACCAGGGCGTGTTCGAGGTGCAGGCAACTGCCGGTGATACCCATCTTGGAGGCGAGGATTTCGATCAGCGTATCGTCGACTACTTCACGAAGAGCTACAACAAGAAGCACAGCACCGATATCACGAAGAACGCAAAGACCATGGGTAAGCTCAAGCGTGAGGTTGAGAAGGCCAAGCGCTCGCTGTCCAGCCAGATGAGCACCAAGATTGAAATCGAGGCGTTCCACGAGGGTAACGATTTCTCCGAGACTCTCACCCGGGCCAAGTTCGAGGAGCTGAACAACGACTTGTTCAAGAAGACCCTGAAGCCTGTGGAGCAGGTTCTCAAGGATGCCAAGCTCAAGAAGAGCGATATTGATGATATCGTGCTTGTTGGTGGTTCCACCCGTATTCCAAAGGTCCAGGCCATGCTCGAGGAGTTCTTTGGCAAGAAGGCCAGCAAGGGTATCAACCCCGATGAGGCTGTTGCTTTCGGTGCTGCCGTTCAGGGTGGTGTTCTCTCTGGTGAAGCCGCCGCTAGCGAAGTCGTGCTCATGGATGTCAACCCGCTCACTCTTGGTATCGAGACTACTGGCGGTGTCATGACCCACCTGATCAAGCGTGGAACCACCATCCCGACCAAGAAGAGCCAGATCTTCTCGACCGCTGCCGATAACCAGCCTACCGTCCTTATTCAAGTGTTCGAAGGAGAGCGTTCTATGACAAAGGACAACAACCAGCTCGGAAAGTTCGAGCTGTCTGGAATCCCACCTGCGCCTCGTGGCCAGCCTCAGATTGAGGTGACTTTCGAGCTTGATGCCAACGGAATTCTTCGTGTGTCTGCTGGCGACAAGGGCAGTGGAAAGTCCGAGTCTATCACCATCACCAACGATAAGGGCCGTCTCAGCGCTGAAGAAATCGAGCGCATGGTCGAGGAGGCTGAGAAGTATGCTGAGGAGGACAAGGCAACTCGTGCTCGTATTGAAGCTCGCAACGGCCTGGAGAACTACGCATTCAGCCTGAAGAACCAGGTCAACGACGAGGATGGTCTTGGTGGCAAGATCGACGAGGACGACAAGGAAGCCCTTCTCGAGGCTGTCAAGGAGGCCACCGACTGGCTGGAGGAGAACGCTCAAACGGCAGAGGCTGAGGACTTTGATGAGCAGAAGCAGAAGCTGTCTGACGTTGCGTACCCGATCACATCGAAACTGTACGGAGGCGGCGGTGCCGGAGGCATGCCAGACTATGGCGAGGATGATGAGCCAAGCGGGCACGACGAGCTCTAAACGCGTAGCGCGAGTCCGGTGTCCCTTGTTGATACAGTAGCTGGGCCCGAGACGCGTGGGATGTATGCTATATAGAATCATGGCATGAAATGTTGAAACGTTCCTCACGATGCACTTTCTACGTACGTATCTTGTCATGTGAGGGTCATCGTCCCGCTCCTCCGCTCGTGCACAGTGACACGCGAGGCGCGAGAGCGAGCGTCTGTTGTTGGCGCGCGGCTGCTACGCCGGACTGGTGATGGGAAGCAGATCGGGCGTGTTTGAGCAGCCGCGGCAGTCAATGGGCGATTGCCTCCGCATTGAGGTTGCTTCGTATGGCAAGGCCGATTTCGGGGTGACGGCGGGGGCAGTCGAAACTGTCTTTGGCAATGAGACATGAGAGTCTGCGAGTTGTCGGAGCGTGTGTGTGCGCGGGACGAGCCTCGAGTCTTGGCGCGTGCCGTCGACGTTCGCTGCGCTGGCACCCGCTGCTGGTTCCCATAGCACCACACCTCGACCGCACAACCACGCCGACAGCCAATGGCCTGCGCGACCAGGCGGGCCTACCCTCAAGGATCCCATTGGCCGGGACGAGCCAATGAAAAGGGCGCGGAGCACGCAGTTTTAGCCTCGAGAACCAACAGCAGGTTCACATCACATTATTTCACAGCACTGCGCGTCGCCGCGACCGCTGGACTGAGCTCCACTGCCCGGACAGCGGCTGCCATTCACATGACCGGAGCGCCAGGGCCCGCGCTGGACGTCATCTGCTGAGCCGCCGCGACTTGCTGCTCTCTGGCAATATTGCTCTCGCTCATCCAATGGCAAAATTGGCCTGCCAGAATTTCTCTGCGAGCCCGCGCTTGCTGAGGCAACCGAGAGGCAGACCGCTGCTGCCCACGCTAAGCAGCAGCAGCAGCAGCAGAGCAGCAGCGAGCAGCGGCGCCTGATGCTGAGCTGCAGCGGCCGCTGCGCTGCGCTGCGTCACGGCGCTGTCTGTCAGCGCACTTCCCAACCACCGCGCGCTCGCCTTCGCCTGCCGC